TGGGCTGGGAATGGTGGGTGCCCAGGTGTGTGAAAGATACCATCTTTTGATACACAGAAAAAAAAAATTCTCGTCCCGTGGTGTATGTATATGCCAGTGTAAGAGATAGTAATACATATTGGGCACTAGGAGGAAATCAGCGGATGAGGCCCCGCAAAATAATCAGAAAAGAGAGAAACAAACAAAGGGGGCCTTTTTTTCAAGAAATGAAAGAGTAATTCCAACTTTCTTTCAAGTGTTCGCTGTGCCGAGTCTCATAGGGCAGAGGATCAAGAGAAAGCGGGGGAGCTCACTAGGGCCGCTGATCGTAGCAAGGAGCGGCTGCGAGATTGATGAGCGGCTTGGTATTTTATTACATACATACGCAAATCCATCGGGGAGTAGTCTCCGGACACTTTACACCTAGCCTGGTAGTTTGAAGACGGAATATGGAGTACAAAGTGTACTGGTTTGACTCTAATTCATTGTCACCAATGCTTTTGAGTTTCAGGCCCTGGATCATCCCATACCTAGCTACTTATGGTATTCAACATGTCCCCGATCCTCGATCACTCAATCTCAATCCCGGGGGAGAATCCCAGGAGCAACGCTACTGCTTTGCATACGTCTGCACGATGGGTAGCTAGCCGTGTTAGGACATGAATACGTAGGCCATTTCCGGATCCCCTGTAAGTAGAGCTGTAGTTAATACTAGTACCATCGGTACAGTCCTGTCGGTATTGTATCACGCAAGTAAGTAATACAATACAAAGGTGAACGACCCTGTCAAGTGGTGGATCCCCCGGTTCTCAACAGCGCAACGTTAACTCCCCCCCACTCAAGCCAATGGAAGAACCCAAGAACCTTGGAAGGAATCACCCTCCTAAGACATTTTTTTCTCACTTCTGCGACCAGCTATCCCTCATTCGGCGATGATATCTTAACTTCCTTTGTTTCGATCCAGTCAACCCCCGGCATCATTGACGCCTTGTGTCGGGAAGGGAATATCACGGCGCGAAGGGTCACGGGAACGAGCGCCCGGGGTTTCATGCGCTGCGCTGGGCACGTCACGGCAGAGTAGAGAGAGGTAGAGGTAGATTGAGACCCGCGACTCGCAACTCGGAAACTGGGACTGGGGACTTTGGGATTGGGCCCCCTCCAAGATCATCCCTAGGTCCCCTCACCCACCCCTCTTTTCCCGCGATCAACAGGATGGTCACCGACCGTCAACCGAGTCGGCCGCCTACTTTAGGGAGGAGGGGTGTTTACTGGCCCCCGTGGCGATGCAGATAGGTTGATAGGGCCATACTACCAAAAGGGAGAGGGGCGGTCTACAAAATATTTGGACCCTCACGGCCCGCCGAGCACGCGAGATTATCGTTTGCCTCGCTGTCACTGTCACTGGCACACTGGCAATGCCATCAGAGTGGCTCAGGACCCCCTTAGCCACGGCTCGTGAGTGGAGAGCTGTAAATGGCATGACGAGATGCTCGTCGCCCTACTGCGAGTGGGCCCCACGCTTGCGATATGTGATTCTTCGCTGATAGCGTGGCGCTTTTCGGTGCATACGTCTCAACGTCTAATGATAGGTATATCTTCACATTATCAAGACAAACCGCCACAACCGCTCTATACGATAGCGCACGGATCGACCGGAAAGCCAAATCCCAAAAATAAGGGTCAGCAAGGTCTTTTTTGAATCTAGTGCAACGATCGTGACTCATTGGGGGAGGGGGAGCAGTACTACGGAGTAAGTAACTAGTTGAGTGCAAAAAGACAATATACAACGCTAGGCAGTCGGATTCTTGCCGTGCCAGGATGCCAATGCCAGCATCCCTAATGGGTCAACAGGCGATAGCGACAAGCTTGAGCCTACAGTAGCGAGTGTCTGTCAATCTGTAAGCGCTTTGTTCGATGGGCCAGCGCAACCAGTCGTCGTCGTCTCTCTCATGGGCAGTCTCACTCTCACGGGCCCGTAGACCTGCAGACCTGCAGCATGATGAGGGGTCATCAATGCTCAGCGCGAGCCCGAGCTCGGGTGCGACGGATGGCCTTAAACGACAAGTCAAAACTTTTGAAATCAAGGAAAAGCTGAGAAGCACGACAACGCCAACGCATCAGGTAACGCGGGGTGAGAAGAAACCCCGCACAGTTCTGATCGCATTTCAACTCTGCAGCTGGCGGCTTGTCGCATTTCGGGATCGCGCCTTGTCTGTATCACGGACGCGAAATGCATGCAAGCCCGCAGGTACGCATTTCAGGTCGCCGGGGTGGATCGAGTGATCTTTTTTTTTCTGGAGTCGTCAGAAGAAATCAAAAAACGAAAACCCACTTGGTTGGTTTTGCGGGATTTGACCAAAAAAACGAAATATAAAAAACGAAAATACAAACTCTCATTGTTTTGGTGATCAACACTTTTTCCCTTCCCTTCCCCCGAATACCGACCGCTCATTTGGTATTCGGTTCCATCAAGTGAATGTGATATCGAGTTGGAACGGGAACGCGAACGCGGTGAGAGAGAGACAGAGAGAGCCAGTGAGGGGCAAACCAAACCACCAAACCCTCCAAACTTTCTCTCAAACTCCACCGACGGTTCGTCAGAGGGGAGACTAGTAGGACGGTAGGGAGAGTCCAACCCTCAAACTCTCCCAAACCACCGGTGATCCTGGGGGATCCACCTCTGCACCGCCCTAAACGTTTCACTGCCACGCCCCAGCCTCATCCAACAGCCTCGCTGTTTTCGGTCCCGAAAATGACGGTGTACCGCTATTCTTATCTCACACCTCTCAAATCCTTCCCAATGGTCGCCTTGTCCCGCTTTCAATGTCTCCCTTTTTTTTGCGGTGTACATATGGACCTGACGTCGGACCACTTTTAGCCCCCCCCCCACTACGCGTCTTGGGTCAAATAGGAGGGAATGATGATGTGCATCGTGATCGACCGTCTGTGGCACACACACACACACCGCACAGAGACACGGATTTCGCTTTTGCCATTTCTCCTCCGTTTCCCGGTTGGGCACAAAGGCACCCGACCATCGAACAACCCTGGGTAAGGACCCCTCTACCAATGCTGATTCCTAGGGGACAGGGATGTCAAATGTCGTCAAGGCTCGGTCGACTAAAGTTCATTCGAGTATGGAGGTTGTGTCCGAGAGATCAAAACGCAAGAATCCGAGGGCTCCGCAAATTCTCCCCCGGGGTCGGGGTGACCAGCATGTCGGTGCTGGCTGAAATACATCGAGGTACATAAGAATGACGGCGATGTGGGCCTCGGTACAGTCTAGGTATGCGACAATACTAGTACCAATCGACTTTGTCTGACTCTCTTTCTTCTCTCAAAGAGCAATGAAATCCAGTTTATGAGTTTAATTTTAATTGCTTTCCGTTTTTACACGAGACCCAACAAAATGGGCACCTATCATACTCTGTAGGCGTGATACTTCCCGTAAAGAGTCCGACTCAAAATATGGCTGGTGTGGGGGAACTGGAGCCCGGCACGTACAGACATCGAACTATGGAAGTTTGAATGGAATAGACTGCTGAGCGGACTCCACTGGAAATACTCCGTCGCTCGATCCCGATACACCTTCCTAGAGTCAAAAGAGGGTTACCCCTGGAGTATGGATACACCGTCCCCATCCAACACTCCATCATCTCGTCCCCTAGCGATAAGCGTCATTTCTGGTGCCGGGCTTCTCGCATCTGAAACACAGATCGCCTACCCCGTTTGGCTGATGGCATTCCCCGGGAATTATAGGGATCGGCCAATGACATCGGGCTTCGAGATCTGCCCATCGTGGGTGGGCTACAGTCATTCCACATCGTCATCCCATATTCTACCCAAGCCCGGGCATGCTGTACGCTGATAGGCACGTACAGGAGGGCGGTCTACGATGCCCTCCCTTCCCAGTCCCTAGCTCCCTGATTCCGATACCCAATATACGGGAGGAAACGCATACGAGTAGGAGAGAGATTACGGGCAGCTGGGGTCACGATCCAGTCTTGGGCCGTTGCTGTGTGCTGTCGTGGTCTCCACGTCTCTCTTTTTATTATTTTATTTTATTTTATGTTTATTTAATTTGCGACGTGCCCTTGTCAACTCAGCTCCTTTTCGCCCCATTCCTAGAAAGCTCCCTTGATGTCGGTGGCTCTGATACACTCTAAGCATCAAGTCAGCTATACATAGACACTGCATCTTCCACTTTCCCCCTCCTTCACAACTCATATTTTTTTATTACTTTGAACTTGAATTTACTTTCGATCGATGCTAGTGGTCATCTCGAGTAATTCGCAATACTCCGCTTTCTATACTCCTTGGGTAGAAAGGAGCACCCCACTGTCCCACCTCGATCCTCGAAACGACTAGCATTACGGACTACGAGTAAACGGGAAACTTCAAGTTATCTTTGAACATATACTCCCAGTCTCTTTCTACTCATATGCTACAGAGTATACTGGTATACTGGCATACTGGCATACTGGCATACTGATACAGAGCAAGTGCTGCCAAGAGAACCAAACGGTCCGAAATACGGTATTTCCCTGTATTATAGTATACGATACTATACATACATTTTCCAAGTGTATTCAAAATACCAGTGTGGAGCCAGGTATGTACTGTATGCCCCCCCGTTTTACCCAGCGATTCCGCTGGGTTGGAATTGAAGCTGGAGTGGGTTGGAATTGATTCATTGATTTAATTATTTTTCATCCCCCCCCCCTTCTTCTCCTCCAAACCCTCCTCGAAACATCGCCCCCTTTTTAACACCCTTCTCGCCAGCCGATTCTTCAAATTAATCAGAAGAAGAAAAACACGACTTCAAGGATCACGCTGGTCTTATCCTCCTCCCTTCTCTTCCCATCTATCGTCGCATGATCATCACGATTCCCGCTGCAGGAAGCAGTTCCAAAACCCACTCCCATACCGTCCCCTAGTGGCCACCACGTAACCGTGCAGCACCGAACCCATCAGCTCACGGCAACACTCCCAAATCACACTAAATTCGCCCAAATCCAACATCAGCGAGTCCTCCAGTTCGGTCCTGTCGCCGATTCCTCGTCTTTCCCCTTTGGACCGCCTGCATCCACTGCGTTGGCAAGTGTCGCAATTCCCACTTCCATCGCATCGCATTCGCCTCCAACTTGCGCCGCAACAAGGGAAAAAAAAAGTTCACTGTACCCTTGTATACGGGTACTCCCATCGACCACTGCACCACTAGTCTCGAATCCTGACCAATCGCGCCGTCGCATCGCTACGCTAGAAGAACACACCCCGGGCCTTCCTCATTTTTTTTGAACCTCTGTGGCTCTTCTTGCGCTGCCGCCGCCCGGTTTCCGAACACGCGACTGCAACATTTGGGGCTCTTCTTCGACCTCCCCCAGCATTGATACCGCATGCGCAGTGCGCCCAGCTTCTGATTCGCGCCGTCTCCCCACTCATCCGCTACCGACCACAGGGCGCCTGCGCGCATCCTCGTTCGTCCACTCCGGTTGCGCGATCAATTGGCCCATATCGCAACGCCTCCTAGTGCGCAGCACCAGCTTTCCCCACGGACCGGTAGATCGACGTACAGAAAGAGGGGTAGCATTGGTATCATTGGGACGACGCTGTTCAGAGTATCAGCTCCATTCCTAAAGAAGAAATTCACACCTGCGGTCCGGAACCTTGCAAGTGGAAGATCATCCCTCCCGCTGGGATTCTCACTGTGACGTCCCCTCGATACGCTGGTTAGCATCGGAGGATACCTCTCAAGGAAGCAAGCATCAGTCATACTGCACGGGGCCACTGTCCGTTGCAATTGTTATCAGGGACCAGGGACCTTTGCTCTTCACCCTTCTCCTCAACTCTTTTCTAAATCCCTCATTTCTTCCTTTCTCGGCTTTGCTCCGTGAGGCGCTCTCCCACAGGGTTCTCCGCACTGCAGCACAGCTAGGCCAAGATGCAGAGTTCAACAACCCATCATATCTGCTAACGACGTGGCTGAACCATTATCTTTCTTACTGTGTCGAGCTATTTCGCTTTTGATTATTCTGGCTCGGATCTCCTGCCAAACAGGACCCTTGCAAACCTTGAACGGCTGGCTGTTCTCTTGTGCTATTACCGATTCGTCATTAAAAGGGTCCAGGTGACTCGGAAATTTGGCACGGTTCACGCAACACTCAAAACTTGCACCTATCGACAGCTGTGCTGTCGAGTCTGATAACAGATTAGCCGTCATGGCCTACACTACAGCAACATCACCTCCTGTTCTGGACGCCGACACCCAATCCAGCTTAAAACTTTCCACATCTCTCTCCCGATCATCCTCCTTACAAAATGCTGTCAAATCTTTCCCTTCCAACCCGACACCCCCCTCTGCGCCATACTTTGCCTCGTCCCCTTCCTCATTTTCCTTTTCGACCTATGCTGGCACTGGCACCCCAAATGCCTTGACTCCCGCCGGCACCCCTCTCCAATCCGCCAGCGAGGGGCTACGTGGTCGAGTCTCTCCTCTTCCCATTCCTGCACCTCTCGAACTCGGCGAGGCTATGATGGCAGTTCCCGAGACCTCTGGGATCATTGACCCAGCTGCTCCTTCCAAGGCCCCCGGCCTCATGCGACGCATTTCCCGAGGCGCCGCGAATAAGCTTACTAGGAGACGACAATCCGCCTCTCAGAATGATAAGCGAGACCGTAGCTCCGGACCTGTCATCATGCGCCGACGCAGTGACAGCAAGACAAGCACCCAGCCCACCCGAGACAATGCGCTTGAATCCAGCAACGAAGACGAAACCAGTGAAGCTCTAGATGGCCTCGGGGCATGGGCCGGGTCAGAACCATCCAGCCTCCGTAGTGAAAGCCGCATGATGTCAGCTCGCGAAGTCGTTGGTGGATCTGCCGTCGCTGTTGCGCCCAAGGTGGACTCTGCCGTTCAAAGAGGAACTGTCTTGACTAAAGTGACGAAGAAACGCCGCAAGCAGGTCCGATTCTTCCTCGATCTTGATGCTGCAAAGGTCTTCTGGGACCCCTCAAACCCCGCGAAGCGTTTCTATATCGACGACATCAAGCAAATTCGAGTTGGTGCCGATGCGCGCAACTATCGTGAGGAACACCAGGTCCCTGAGGATACCGAAAGTCGTTGGTTCACTATTGTGATTGCCGACTCTGAGCGATTCAAGGGCCGGGCTATCAAAACCCTACACCTGATCGCTCCCAATGACCACATTCTCGACCTCTGGGTTACCACCCTTGAACACATCTCTCGTTATAGGATCGGCCTTATGGCAGGCCTAGCCGCCTCCGGTCAAAGTGAGGGTGTTTTGCAAGCTCACTGGCAGCGCGAAATGTCCAGGCTATTCCCCCAGGGGCCTCGTCCAGGCGAGGAGGAATGTCTTGACTTTGGCGCTATCGAAAGCGTCTGCCGCAGCTTGCACATCAATTGTTCGAAGAACATGCTCCGGGCCCAATTCACTAAAGCCGACGCCGGTCGTAACGGCAAGTTGAATTACTCGGAGTTCAAGGATTTCCTCTTCCGCCTGAAGGAGCGAAAGGACGTCAAGGAAATCTTCAAGAGTCGCGCGGATAACCCGAAGGCTGGTCTAACTCAGGAGGAGTTTCTGGCTTTTCTTCGCGACGTGCAGAAGGAGAATGTCGAGGCCGATCGAGATCAATGGGTCGCCCTGTTCGAGAAGTTTGTGCGCAGATCGAAATCTCGCATTCCGTCTGATGCTTCTCTGGACCTTGATGCCTCTTCGCCTCCACCTCGCATGAACCTTGATACTTTCTCCGCCTTTCTGGCTTCTCCCAGCAATGGCATTTACGCATCACGTGCCCCTCAGTCGCGATTCGATCGACCTTTGAATGAATACTTCATCTCGAGCTCTCACAACACCTATCTGGTAGGCCGCCAAGTCGCCGGTGCTTCAAGCACCGAAGCCTATATCAGCGCCCTGCAACAGGGATGTCGTTGTGTGGAGATCGACTGCTGGGATGGTGCAGATGGGCGACCAATCGTTTCCCATGGCCGAACTATGACCACTAGCGTCTTATTCGCTGACTGCATCACCGTTATCAATCGATACGCTTTCATCTCCTGTGATTTTCCCCTCATTCTTTCTCTCGAAGTGCACTGCAACCCTGAGCAGCAGTTGGCGATGGTCAAGATCATGAAGGAGACTTTCAAGGAGCAACTTCTCCTCGAGCCATTGATGAGCAATTGTTTCATCCTTCCATCACCGGAAGAGCTCAAGGGTCGCATCTTGATCAAAGTCAAGACCTGTGAAGAGATGACCGGTGACCCTCGCCAAGACACGATGAGCTCCATGAGCTCCGTCGGTACCCATGGTCGCAAGCGCAGTGCCAGTTCGCCATTCGTTCGCCCGACGCCGCCCGATATTTCTCTCACCGGCCCGCTTCCCTCGCTCTCCAGCCCACCAACCATCGGATCGCAAGATAGCATCGGTCCTCTGATTTCCCAGGACCGACGATCACTCACCGCGACAAGTATGAGCAGTGCCACCGAGGATAGCGACGGCGCATTGATCTCTGCCCACAACGAGAAAAAGAAGCGACGCCGCCAGAAGAGCAAGATCACCAAGCCCCTCTCCGACTTGGGTATCTATACCCGCGGGTACAAGTGGCATAGCTTTAGCTCCCCCGAGAGCCGAAAGTATAACCATATCTACTCCTTCGCAGAGCGAGCATTTGAGAGTATCTGTACAAACCATGATAACAAGGTTGCTGTGGAGTCACACAACCGGAAGTATCTCACTCGAGTCTATCCTTCTGGATTTCGCCTCCGCTCTTCCAACTTCGACCCGAACAAGTTTTGGCGCCGCGGTGTTCAGATGGCAGCTCTAAACTGGCAGACCTACGACATCGGCATGCAAATGAACCAGGCCATGTTCGCCGCTGGAACCGACCGTACCGGCTATGTCCTCAAGCCCGACTGGCTCCGCCTTCCCTCACCCGGCAACGACAACCAGAAGCGCAAGATGGAGCGCCGCCTTGTTCGGTTCTCCGTCGATGTCATCTCAGCTCAGCAGCTTCCCCGTCCCCGCTCCATCGGACCTGACGACAACATCAACCCTTACGTCGAGATCGAGATGTTCAGTGCCGACGATCGTGGTCAGAGTCTGGTCTTTGGCGAGGGTGGCATGGATGCTTCTGCCCGTAGTGGCATGTCTGGCATCGGATATCCCCATCGCCGACGCACCAAAATCGAGCAGAGCAATGGCTACAGTCCTGTCTTCAACGATCGTTTCAAACTCTCTCTGGAGACCAAGTACCCAGATCTAGTCTTCGTTCGATGGACTGTCTGGAGCTCTATGGACGGACGCAGTGCAGGAAACAACAACAGTATCCAATTGGCTACTTTCACTGCTAAGCTCACCAGTATTTCCCAGGGTTACCGTTATCTGCCACTGTATGACGGTGGTGGTGATCAATACCTGTTCTCGACCCTGTTTTGTCGCATCTCAAAGGAAGATCCAATCCCTGTCCAACGACTGGATCTCGAAGAACTACGCGCCGAGCGCATGGGTATCCTGCGCCAGATTGGCCAGACGGTCTTCAAGCGTTCCTCGTCCGCCGAACGCGAGAAAGATCTCACCTTGGAGCGCAGCGATCCTCCAACCCCCGAAGAGAATAATAGCTCTCCTATTCTCACACCGACAGTCTCCACAGCGTCTACCTCATCCTTTGCACCTAACGGTGGCCTGTGATTCTTTTGCTATTGGCTAAGACCTACACCAGAAGGTTCTGACCAATCTGCTTCCATTTTTCATTACATCTTTTCGGCCGCTTGTGCCGTGGCCTTCTTTTGCATCTGATGACATTCGTTTCATCATTGGGAAGTTCTATTCTGTTATCATTGCCATTACCATTCGTCGCAGCGATCCCCCCCTTGTTCTTGTTTGCAATTGTGTGTCTATATCTGTCATTGCCTTTTTTCCCGCTTTTTCCTATGAATCTCTATCAGCTTTCATTGGACTCGGACATTTGTGCTTCGTTTCGGTCCAGGGGTTTCAACGCTTGTCCTTTTTTTTGCTTGCTTTTGTTTCTTTTTTTCGTTTTTCGGGCATGGGGAATTTGATCGCGGCGGAAACAGCCACTTATCCATCGCATTTGCGGGAGTCTCACATGGGAAAGATCATCGTGGCTGGTTCACTGGAGCGCAACTCATCATCATCATCATCATTATCATCACACTTTGTCTGGCATCTCATGAGCATGAAGGGCATAACCTATTCAGGGAATAACACCATTCGCATCAGTTGGATTTATTTACTCAGGGAAATCGGAATGCCTTTGATTACTTCATTTTGCCTCTTTTGCTCGTTTTCTGCATAGCCGTGTTGCTTTTTTTTTTCAATTTGCTTTTTTTTGCCATTTTCCTTCCTACATACTCGGCCCTTGTCTCTCTTTGCTCTGATCGGGAACGAAGGGCTCCAGTAGGTGCGGGTCATCACCTACTTGTCTGTCATTTGACATATCTTCCTTTCCTCCCGTCTTTTTTTCATACCTACCCTTCCTGAATGGTGTGTTTTAATAGATGACGCGCTGGGTCGCATGCTTACTATACCTCTTTCGCATTTCGCTGGTCGTACTAGTATTACTAGTAGTAGTTATAGATCTTGATATCTCATCTCATTGGGAACATAGCATACTCAATCAACCTTTTTCCTTTGAGCATCTGTCTTGTTTTTCTTTAGTATCCATACTAGTATTCAATAAATTGATCGGTACCATTCGTATACTACTAGTACTGTGTATGGATCGGTGTTTTATGTTGTCCAGAAATTATAAGTAGAATCCATGGATCATGGAAGAAGCCCGATCGAGCTCGCACTGGAACCCGATCGCTATAAAATTAAAAATCGTCTCGTCATAACCTTATCCAAACGGCAGGTCTCGGTAACTATCAATAAGTACTGTACATAATCCTCCCGGCTCTTGTTATCACCGGGATATGTACGGGTATCCATAACCAGTCCTCAAAACCCTAGGACAAACTAAAGAAATTGTCGGGAACAAGCCAGATAAACAATCATACTAAAAGGAAGCATATCGCAAAAGTCTCCAGAGAAATCAAGAAGAAGATTTGAGAGATTCTCAAACCTTCTTCGCCGCAGCACTAAGCCCCTTCTGATCATCAGGCGGCAAAGAGTCCGTAATCGACCTCCGCTCCCCATAATAATTCTCCTCATCGCCAACTTCCTGCCCATACGAGACATTGTACTCATCAATATCAATATCGACTTCATTCCAGACCTCACTGGTAGCGGGGACAGGGAAAAGCTTCGTCAGAAACCAATACATCCCACCCGAAACAAGCGCCCCAGTGAAATAATTGAGGTTGTAAACGTATTGCGCGCCCATGGGGACGTCCCGGCCGACGGCACCGGCAAATCCGACGATGTTGATGAGGATACCGGCGAGGTAGGAGGCGTAGGCGCGCCAAGAGAATCCATATGTGTAGTAGTATGGGTCAGTCTTGCTGGCGCTGTATATGGCTTTGATGTCGAGGTAGCCGCGACGAACGATGTAATAGTCGCAGATCATGACGCCGGCGATGGCGGAGAGGAAGAGGGAGTAAGCAGAGAGGTAGGTGGTGAATTGGTTGGAGGAGGCGACAAGTTTCCACTAGATGATGTTAGTTATTCTCATCCTTCCGGTCACTTTTTTTTTCTTTCTTTGCGGTGGCTTGTGGCTTACAGGACAAATGGCCAGACCGAGAGCAGCACAAATGTAGCTACCGCGGCGGATGTTGATGTATCGAGGGAGAAGAGCCGTCAGGTCCGTGCCAGCGGAGACAGAGTTGGCTGAGATATTGGTTCCCAGCTGGGCGAGAGCGAATCCAGTCGCAATAATAAAGATACCGAAACGCTGGCCGGAACTCGCGCCATTCAAGAACATGCCAAGGAGATCGAGGGGGTTCCAGACTGGGTCAGTGTCAAAGATCACAGATGAAGACGATGACACGATAATTCCAATGAACGAGGTGATTCCGAAACCAATTGGGATGGTCAGCAATTGTGACCACAGCGCATCCTTCGGAGTTCGGGCAAATCGAGTGAAATCCGGGTCGTTCATAATTAGGGCGGCGAAGTTACCAATGCAACTCATGATAGCCTTGACAATAGTCCATCCTAGGGCGCTTCCGTGGACAGTGTTGGACTGGTGTACGATAGGGCCAATTCCGTGGGCGCGCGAAATAGCCCATGCAAAGAAAGCAATGGCCGCAATAGGCGAGTAGATAGCTTTCACGGTGAATAGGTGGCGCACCTTATGGACGGGGAACCACAGTGCTGGCAGGGAGAAAAGCCAGAAAAGGAAGAAGCTGACGAAGCCCTTGGTATCGACGCCAGCGCTTGCGGAGATGCCATTGTGCAAGTTTCTGTAACTAGGCCAGATGGCCTCGATCATCAGGGTAACACATTCGCCTCCAATGTAGCCCTGTACACCATACCAGATGATGGCCATGACCACACGATTAATCACAGGCCAAAACGATCCCCAAATTCCAAAGGATGCCCGAACTGTGACTGGGAAGGATATATGATAGACAGCACCGATGCGACCGGTCAAGCAAACAAAGCTGGCAGCGATGAAGTATCCGATCCAGACACAGATCCATGATTGCCACCACGACAGGCCGTCCACAATCATGGAAGACGAGATCATCCAGGTATTCTACAATCAAACAGTGTCAGTAATGTTGGCTCTGAGCTCTGTTTGACCAGAGGACCTCGAAGAACTCACGATATTAAGCGAGTCGGCAATCCAGAAGGCGATGTAGTTCAACCATGTCCATTGACGGCGCTCTGGTTCAACTGTATAAGGCAAATCATTGTTCCCCGGTCAGCCTGACTTGTCTTCAATATGACTTTGAGGATATATATTCAAAATTTGCTCGATTGATGGAATAGGAATATTGGATGAAGTCGTCCGGGAACTTGAACGATGACGGGTATATATATTCGGGGCAATAATGGGATAAAAAAGAAGAGAGATAAGAGTGCAACGGCGACACGAGATCGGCCTGTTCAGCTCCAACAATGATTCTCACCTGGCCGTAAATCATCATTTGTGAGCATCAACTGCGCATTATTGAGCCCCGGTTCGTTAGACACGGTCGCCTTGTCGTGGATCCATTTCAGCTTCGACATGGTGTGCCGGGGAGAGAGAGGATCGAATGAGAAGAAGAAATGCTATGCCACTAGTACAAGGAACAAGGAAGAAGAAGGAAGACGGGGTATAAAAACGAGAACCCAAAGAAGGAACCTGGGGAAGGTAATAGAGCGTGAACGTCTAGAATGGCCCGGCCATGCGGGTAATGATATAATGAGTCGCATGGCAAGAGCAGCCATATCATCATCCAAGCTTGGATTTCCGGATCCTGCGGTCGCATCCCTGCTAGGTACCTCCAACCATCCAATGGACATGGTAAGATGATGCGATAAGGAAGCAATCAGCATCCACTGAGGTGTCGATCATTGCGAGAGCTGGAGTGGCGGGAGCCCTGTGTGAAAGTTTGGTCCTATCACGGAAGTTGCCTGGGCCGTAAGTCTGACCATCGTAAATTGTAACTCATGGCGATGATATTAGAGTGCCCCAGTGCAAATGTAAATGCATGGATCGCTGATAAGCGGGTGTGGACGGACCAGTCAGTGGAGTCGTTCTCCGCAAGCAGATCATACAGTCCTCTGATTGGCGGACCCCGTGGGCATATCTCTCAGCGAAGAAGTTGAAGATTAGCGGTTATCATTGGCGGGTGAATCTTTGGTAGTGGCAGAGTTAAGTTGACTCGATGGCATCGAGTAATAGATTGAATCACGTGCCCTATAGTTCGGGAGTCTATCTTTTCGGGGCTGACCTCGGGCTGACTCTCGGATCTTCAGATATCTGGAGGTGATTAATTATTGATTGCTTTGACTAATCCTAGGATTGTTTGTTGCATAGGATTCAAGTTGGCTGATTATATCTCTTTTACTAGTCTGCCACCAAAGCTCCTCCCAACTACTACTAGTACCCTTGCCATACGGGGCCTACGCTTATTACTTCCTACGTCGGACACTGCCAAGAGCTTGTCAAATGTGACATTCAATGGAACAAGGACTGCTAAAGGGAGAGAACGCAAGACACCCATCGACGAGTGAATCAGCGAGATCGAACACTATAGGATGGTCTTTCCAAGAACCCCAGGTGCTTAACCCCCCGACTTCTGTACAGCCACTGGGAGAGTATCGTACACAATTGGAAGCCGTGTTACTCTACCGGCGGAGAGCATCTCTGACAGGCGAATCACCACGACGGAAGGAAGCTATTTCAAACATTAGCCCATGGCTCAAGCGTAACTTGAAGGCGACGGTATGGGGGAAAGGGAGCTCTATAGGACAAGCTCAGCCTATATTTCCCAGGCCGGACTCCAATCCCGAGAGCGCGAGGGTTTATATAGCCAACATCTTGACATTCCCGAGGGAATTGAGTCCTACAGAGCCACCTGCAGAGCTACCGACGATCCAAAATTATAAGTGATACGTAGAGGTAAACATACCATCAGACTCCTCCCAAGCACGGCCAGCACCGAAACCGAGGCCAACCCACGCAGGCCAGGCCCTCCGCTTGAACAGCAGAACCGAGAAGACGACACCGAAGGACAGACCGAGGGAAGACTTGATAATCATGGAGGAGATGGCGCGGTCCCACTATCGAATTGTACGGTTAGCCCATGTCTCCGATTCCTCCCGCGATGATAAAAATGTAAATTGATTCCCATCAACCATGAAGAACCCTCAATTCGACCACCATATTCAAGCCAGAGCTTGGGGAAAGCTCTTCAAAAGACCGATCATACCTTCTCGTTAAGCAGAGCCTCGCTAACGGGCTTGGTGGCCCGCGCGACCCGGGTCTCAGTGGAGTCGGCCATTGTGAAGGATCTAGGATGAGAAATATTAGCCTGAGCTCATAACAGTATGTCAAAGGTCACATCAAGCTCACCTGTAAAGAAATGGCGGGTGTAAGGAGGGTGAATGGGACGGAAGTGAAAGAGTGCAGGGAGAACCCGCAGTTTGAGTGAACGGTCGGGCAAAGGCGGTCGGGCAATTTGGCCGCGGTTTTTTTTTGGTCTTCGCTTTTTTCCTCTTCTCCGCATAAACTAAACCCCTCTCTTCAACACGCAAAGACTGGTTTCGAGAATGCCTCTTCTTGCGGAGGTAAGTGTGATCCCAATTCCGATTTGAAGCCACGATATGAATATCTCTGACACCAAATCAAATAGCCCCGGAGCTCGTCGCAAGAGGCGCTCCTCCGCCTCGAGAAAGGTAGCGATTCGCCGACTACTCAACTACACGAAGCGGCACAAATCCTGGGCATCGATTTAGCTCTGTGTGAGAGCCACCCCGAGACACACCGGAATGGAAATGCATATAGCGCGGCCGCCCCCAAGGAGGAGTGGGTACTACGATGGTTGTTGAAGAAACTAAGAAATGGGAAAAACTTCCGAGTCGAACCTGAATCATTCCTCTTGCTGCGCCAGCTCATCGATCGGATCACACCCAAGAATTTGGCGACCATTTTAAGGGACCAGAAGTTTCTGTCTGTTCTCTGCGATACTGTGTCCGACGTGGAGACGGATGTATCCCTGACTGTTGGCGATGGAGTGTCAATTCCTAGCGCAGCTTCCGACTCAAGCCATACTTTGACCGGCTCCCCACCCACAGAGAGTCGAGGGTCACACGGCACCAAGAGAAAGAGAAGTGGCGACGATGGCACAGATGCCATGGATATCGATGAACAGCCACAAAGCCCCGCCTCTTGCTTCCTCGCCTTCATTCGCGTCTTGGATTGTCTGTACGGAATCGTCATGTTAACGCAGCAGACACTGAGTACCGATGAAACCGCTCATTCCCATCTAAAACTGGCTCTCAGAGGGGAGCCAGAGGTGGTTGCTGGTTTGCTGGGAAAGGCGCTCCAGGTGTCGGCTGTGGCTATCGCTCAATTTGTGCACGCTGGGCAGACGACCGATCTGCAGCACTTGATTTTTGTGTTCCCCTCAATGCTCGAATTGTGGGATTTGAGGTCCTACCGTCAGGATGATACCGATCACAAAGCAAGTAATGACTGTTTTGCGGAGACTTGCTTTGCCTATGCCCTCAGACTCCAGCTCTGCTTGCGGGCCATCAAACTGGATACTGATGAAAGAGCCCATCTTCTCCACGCAATTGAGCGAATTATCGCAGTCCATGTACTTCTTCCAGCACGAGCGGCTTTCTTCGCTCGTGGTGGCTCCGGTATCGACTATTCGAAAGAGGATCCCGATTGGAGCTCGGTTAAACCGGTAACGGACACATTTCGGTCAATCATTCGGGAGCCCACTGTGGCTCATCAGCCTGCGGGTACCTTGAGTGATCAATCTGTCTACCCTGCCTGGAAATCGATTGAGCTTCTACCTGAACTCTTCGATAACGCTGTTCGTGCGGTTCCGAGAGATGATTTCCGTCGACAAACCGCGGAGGCTCCGTGGTTGGAGACATTGTTTGTTGCAGTTGCGGAGTTAGCGTATTCTACGGCGAAAGACGACGAGCCAGAAACGTATTCTTCTCGCTTTGTCTCGGTGCTGGAGGAACTTCTTCGTGTGGCTCTTTCCCGAAATGTTGGCCTATCGCTTCATACTCTTCTGACACATGCTGGCTACACCGGCCTTCTTCAAGAGGGTTTGGAGCATGTGCAGTGGAATGTGACTGCATTGATCATTAGCTTGGGTGTCGACGTATTTCTTCCTAACTCTGGCCTGCGTGACTCTCGCAAGCTACTGGATGCATTGCTCGAAAAAATAAAGCTCCAGTGGCACGAATGTGACACCGAGAAGAGCGAATACGACGTTGTGAAGAACGAAGTTGTTATCCCTCTTCTTCGCGGTTTTGCAACTGCCCGAGATCTCCCGGTTTTCACAGAAGTTTGGCAAGGACAGTTGGTAATTTTCGAGGAGGCTCGTCATCAAGACAGCAACCTTCCACCCTTCTCGGTATGGGAAGACGATGACCTGTGCAACATTTACGGTGACTTGGTGAAAACCTCCCTCACAGCCTCGAATATTGCCGCCCAGATGCAAACCGCCGCCAAAGAGATTAAGGCTTCTGATGGTAATGTCTCTGCAGCTTCTGAATCGTATGCGAAGTTCGTCATTACGGAGGCTAGCTTCCGAGGAAAGGCTCTGGTTTTCACCGATTCGGAGAAGACACTGCCCGACTTCCTAGAGACGTTGACTACTACTCTATCTTCGAAGCAGACCCTTCACTGGCGTTGGCGTTTGTGGCGATTCTTGCGAAATGTTCTCCGCAATAATATGCAATCGAGCGACAATGCTCTCAAGGAAGCATTCCAACCCTTGGGAAACGTCGCCTCAAAGACAATCCAACGCAACCACAGGCATCTCAAGAAAACGCCCCTCGCAGCATTAGAATCCTGGGAGGCTTATCGCTTCATCTTGATGGTTGTCAAGGGAAGGCCTAGCAAAGAGCAACTGGAGATATTCACCGTGGTATCCGAAAAGATTACCGATTTCATCGTGTCAGTCTCACCCGGTGATGCTAAGAAATCGATGAAAAAACCATGGAACGGCCGAGTGGAGACTCTGAATTCCCCAGCGGACCTGGCCCTGGCGTATATCCTGGCGAATCTCAGGGCTCCAGAAATCTGGAAGCAGGTTGAGTTCGACACACGTTCTCGTATGTTCGAGCACCTCCTCTCCCTAGCTGCAGCTCAGTATCAGTCATCATCCTTGCCGTTGGAGGCAGTCTCGGATGACGCAAGATTTCTTCAAGCATGGGCAAGTATGGTTTGCCATGAGTATTTGCTCAGCGTTCAGGTCATTGTACCTGATTTGGCTCTCCTTCTCAACAAGAGCATTGAGAACGAGTCTCCCAACCGCCGCCTTTACGTGGAGAGCTTGCAACGCATTCCCGCCTCGTCGATCACTCGCGGTCTTCGAACTGTTCTTCTGGACAAGTTACACAATGTTGTTCTTCAGCAGGATAGTGCACCGGAAGTTATGGTTGGACTGCTGGCCATGATGGCCAAGCTGGCAGCAATGCCAAAATGCGATGCCGCCGTAACGGGTGACTGGGAGCCAATCTGGACTGCAGCTCGTGCTATTACTCTGGGCGGAACTGATTTGGATCTTCAAATCATGAAGTCTTTCCGTTCCCTCCATCGTGCGATCATTGCAAAACTCCTGGTATTGTCTGAGGATGATCGGATCGAATCGTTCAAGAAGCTCTTCGCAAGGGTCTCCAAGCAGGCTTCTAAGTTGCGTCAAGTTGATCGCGACTCCATGGCTTGCTTCCTTCTCCGCCTATCTCTTTCAGAACTATGGGTTCACCGCGCAAAACTACAAAAGGCATTTTCTGCCGAAGAGTTGGACTCTTGCCGTCAAAGTGTGTTTGGCTTGGTATTGACGGAAATGAAATCCGTCAAAGACCAATGCAGGAAACAGAAGTTGGAAGAGACCATCACTCTTATCAAGACGATCGATGCTCTGGAGGACTTTGAGGATATGGCGGTAAACAATATCGAGGTGGAGAAGTTCTTAAACAAGATCGAGCATTACATGGAGATGTCGATCGATTCAGGCCCTTCTCGACTAATTCGCCGGCGTCTCTTGGCAACCAGAGGGCCAGAGAAGAGCATCACCGACCCAGTGCTCCGATGTGCTGAGACTCTTACCCTACAGTCGCTCTACGCTGAGGACCAGCAACTATTTATCCGTGCCACCACTGAACGATTCCGCTCTATGCCCGCAGAGCGCATCGGCGAGGCTATCCGCGACATTCGAAGATTGGGCCTAGTTGGAGAAGGATCTGCCTGCCGACTTCTGGTAGTTTACCTCGCTCTTATCACTCTTCCGCCTGTCGAAGACAAGGAGACTGCAGTGGCTCGCGAGCTTTCCCTCCTTTGTACAGCTCTGGGTGAGACCGTCATGCACAGCACTTCCATCGACCAGTTCTGCTTCGCAACGGAGTGCATCACCTTGCTCCTTCGCGTTCACGCTCGCGCTCTCGCGCAATCCAACATCGACTCTCTCCTTACCTCTATTGCGGCCTCGGCCTCGAAGGCCGGCCCTCGCATCTCACCCAAGTATGCGCCTACCATCTTCACCCGCCTCTGTCGTCTCTTGGGCACAGTCCTCGGTCTGCAGCGTATCAAAATTGGTGGCCGCTATCATATGGTCAACATTGCGATGTTCCGGCTTTTAGGGTGCCTATTTGCCCGATCTCGCAAGCGCTCTCGTTCTGGCCGCCCCCAACCCAACTTTTCGCAGCCGTTCTGGCTCGCCCCGCTCGGGGTTTCCCACGCCACACACTACACTCGTCTCCTCACTACACTTTGTGACCCGACGCTGTCCGCTGTCCTTCGTCCCCAGCCTGGTGCCTCGCGTGAGGCTCTGATTGACGAAACCAAGAAGGCAAAGAGCATCGCCGGTCAGTACCTCAAGTACGTTGTCATGGAGTACGCACAGTGCTCTCTGCGCGGGGCACTCTTGCCTGAAGTCAAGGCTGCACTTATGCCAGGTCTGTACGCTGTGCTGGATGTGATGTCGAAGGAGACTTTGAGATCACTGAATGCCGGATTGGATGCCTCGAGCCGGGCCGTGTTCAAGTCTCTTTACGAAGACTATTACAAATTCGGAAAGTGGAACCAGGCGTGATCTATCATCGGCCTTTGTTTTTTTGTTTTCTTTTTCTCTTTTCTTCAGTTGCATACTTCGGTGCCCAGGTTATGTACAATTACTCCTTCTATTTTAGACATGATGATATCCCTCAATGCATTGACGAATCTTGCATTAATTGTGTAATATTAAGTATCTGCGTGGATCTCACGCGAAAAATCCCAGTAGTTTTTCCCGGTGTTGTACAAGATTTTGGTGCTCGCGGAGGAGCTGTGCTAGACGGTTTTGCTTCCAACCCAGACTATCATCCAAGATGAGGTGAGTGTATGCGAAAACACTCGCGTCAAAGAGTCCAGGGTTCGGCCGTCCAAAGAAATGGTCATCGTCTCCTAATAACGAGGATAGCGCCTCGAATGCGTTTCCCGCGTCTCCCTCCAATTCTGCCACGTCGATGTATTTTGACGTCTTGAGAAGCTCGTCGCGAGCTGCTTGTTGTAGTTGCAGTCCAAGTGCAGTCCGCACGAGCGTGTTTGAGGTGGCTGGGTCCACGTACAGTCGCCGAGCCACGGCCTCGAAGTTCTGGCTGTCAAGATACAGCATGTATAACTAGCCCCGCGTTAGTTCTCAGTGCATTAACCAGACCACCTCCATAGCCTTTGTCCAGAGGGCCATCACTCACCCATGCAGTGCGCACCCTGGTATCTAGTAGGGATGCGTATACTTCGAAGCGCAGGTTTAACTGCTGCTCCTCCTCGCAATGGACTTGTTCAATCGCCCATTTTTGCAGTTTATGGGAGGGGATGGCGTTCGCGTTCGCTGTTTCGATCGGCTGCGATGGAATCAAGAAGGGTAGGGCACCCGTCGGCGACGCGTGATTGCTGGAAGGGGTGGTTTCAAAGTTGATTCCAACGAATTTCAGATACGCCTAAATAGTCAAACATAGGGTCAGCTCCGGAATGATCCAGCGATGCGCTGGCGGTCCCTTCCCCTATCGTTCACTTACCTGCCATTTCAGGCACTGGGGATTGAATGAAGGTCGGCCATTGCGCGCACCAGCTGAATCGGTGAATACGAACAGCTGGTTTCCTTGTCGACGAGTCGGAGATCGTTGTGGCAGGTCGTTGGCTGGATACGTGGCCAAGGGGAACTTGTCGAACAACTTCTTGATAGGAGGAGGGATGGTAAAGAATGACGAGGCCGCACTAGGCTGTGGAGAGCCCTCGCTTGCCTTGGGGGGCATGGCGTAGTTCAAGAATAAGCAAGAAATGCAGTCTTTTGAAGATCGGGAATCGGAGTTATTCAGAAACGGCCTCGGCGACGTCAACTGACGGCGGTGCCAAGGCCGGATGACTAATGATCTCCCCGCAATTGGAGTTTCTCACTTCGTTTCCTCATTCGCAACCTTTGGTTCTTTGGTTCTGCGACTCGGTTCGTTCCTGGCGTCTGCATCTCTCGTCGACTTGTCGTCACCGATGACTTCGACCCAACTTCCACGTTCTATTCGTCGGCCATCCTCTCATTCAAGTTCCTAACCCCGGCGTTCCGTTTAGCCCCGCCCGATATCCAATCGAAATCACCCCGTCCGTCTGCATTGTCGCAAGTGAAGGAAAAAGCAGCCCTGGACGCTTAAAGCGCTCCAACCATCACTCCTACGAGCCTGCTACATATATAACCCGGAGGTTTATTCGAGCACGCCTTATCTGGGTCCCCACCGCGGCACCCGGTATTAAGCGCGCATCGCCCAATCTCGTCATCGACGATCACTCCCTTCCGTCTAAGCCCCTCGTTTAAGTCTACTCTTCTCAGCACCCGCCAAAATGCCGTTGGATGAAGAGGGTGCAAAATGGTCCTGGTATGGTGGCATCCAACATACAACGTTGCGCTCCTTGCTAATGATACCTTGTTCAAAGTGAACCATGCATTCGCGGTCACCGATCTTCAAAATGTCAGCACTTCGACAGACTAATGATGAAAGTCCCCAAAGCCGGTCGCCCTTTGGCAAAATGCCCACATCCAAAGGGATCATGCAGCTGCCAGAGAACTTTTTCGATGATGATCCGCATTCCCAAAGGTAGATACATCTGCTTTCTTGATCATACGATTACTAGAAGCCAGCCCTAACAAATTTTGTTACCAGGTACTGGTTGCGTCTGCCGTCCTATCGATACGCCAGAGGAAAATTCTCCTCGAAATTCAGAGCCTGCCAGTGCTACTCGTGCTTCGCTCTCCTCTCTGACTACATCGCCGGCCTCTTGTAAAATTCAAAAACCGGGCAGACGACAAAGCAGCATCCAGGCCGTCCCCGAAAACATTGCCCGAGCCCTTGAATCAATGCCAGTCAATATCAAGTATGACGAGGACGCGAAAGAAAACCCCACTTCTCTTTTGTCTTTTCCCTTGGACCACAAAGTGTACACTCATAATTCCTACCAAGCCATGCATGCCCTTCCAGAGGCATCTTACACCCCGCAGCAGACAAACGGATCGAGCTGTTGCTCTAAAAAGCCCCCCCCTCCCCCAGTTGCTTCCAGTGGAGGGGGATCTTGCTGCAGTGGAAAGGCTAGCAGCGGAAAATCTGGCCCACAACCCACGCCCTCTATTGTTTCTAATGTGCCTGAGCTGCATCAAGAACACCAACAAGGTTACCAACAAGGTTACCAGCAGCACTCACAGGAACCAAATAATTGGAATGGCACGTCCTACTCAAGTTTCACGCCAGCTCAGATGGCATGGCGTAACCCTCTGCCTTCTGCTCAGCCTGCCCAGGGACGGTTCATGCAGCCCTATGGATTACAAGAAAACAATGTACCCCACGCCTACATGAATGGTTTCTCGCAAAGTGGCCCTTCTGATGTGCACTCCCATGCCGCGAACGGTCTCGGAATCCCGCCAAGCTCTATGTCGTCTTACAATTCTACACCGTCTCAGAATTCGGTTTACACCCCTACCAATATGAGTGGTGATCCGTCTCATGATTGTCAATGCGGAGAGGAGTGCCAATGCTTGGGATGTGCAGCTCATCCTTTTAACAATACCACTCGCCAACGTGTCCAGGAAATGGGTGAAATGATGACCATTGGTGGTGGAAACTCAGCGATCGAGATGTACCAGTCCCCAACGATGCAGGGTAATCACAATTGGGGGCACTTCAATTACCTACCTCAGGGGCTGGACCACAGCCAGAGCATGCAACAGCAAACCTTCGACCCATACTCGGACCAGTCTCATGTGACCCAAGCGTCGAATTTCCCACGCCCATATACTTCACCTGTTCCAGTCGGCCAGGTCATGAACGAGCAGCTGATGCACACCTCTGAATACTACACTCTGGAGTATCCGGTAGGAATCCCTTCAGCTTGCTCAGACGTGACAGGCAGTTGCCAGTGTGGCAATGACTGCAGCTGTGTCGGCTGTCTGACTCATAGCGGCCACAATGGGCTACCGCTTGAGGCTCCTTTGCAAGAGCCCGCACTCCCTATTCACAGCAATGATGATCTCGTCTCATCTGGTGAACAGCTACCTGCGACAATTTCTAGCATGCAAACCTCTCGCATCCCGGTACTTGAGAACATATCAGTACCGTGTCTAAGTCCGCGCACACTGGAGACATCGATGATTTAATCACATCTCAAACCCTTCGGATACATTCCCTCGATAGGGCAAGTTACAACGACACGATGATACACACGACCTCACATTTATACTATGCAAGAATTCGACGATCACGCTATTTGGCAGCCACGATTTCAAGTCAATCCAATTAAATGCGATACAACCCTTCTCAGTTCAACTGCCACCCGAACTCTAAAATGAACGTTCAGTTGTTAAGCTTCCAATTTAATGTTCAGCTAAAGCCATACTTCCTCCACATGGCCCACACAACGAACATGGAACGTACACAGCTAGGACAAAGCCTTCAATGCTCTTTCAATCTAGATTAAATAACTACACCAATCTCCTCTCACTTCGATCGTCTCTGAAGATCAATCCTTCTCAATGCAGTCGTGAACCACCCCGATCTCAACTGGGCAGAATCACATGATCTGTTCGAAGCGACCGCCAGTCACTCGCAAAGCACCTTCAAAGGTAACTTTTTGTTCGAGAGTTTTCTCATTTATTTGTCATATAACTTGAGGCTTTTCTCTGTCTTTCCAGAGTCGAGTACACGATTCCCAATAAAGCATCCCATCAATTCTTCAGACGATACCACGCCAGAACGCTTTTTCAAGAGAAGAAGTCATTGCGTTCAGATCTTCAACAATATCCAAAGGAATGGTCTGCCCAGACGAACTCCTGGTAGTTCTTGGACCACCTTATTCTGCATACCGCACTTTCCTGAAAACAATTTGCACCGATCTCGTGGATCTTCTAGATTTCGGTACAATGGGCATTGATACCTGCGGCCAGCCTATGAACAAGACTCGGAATCCTGGGGAGTTTGGAGATTACTTCTTGACAGACTGGCTGAACGTTCTGCTCCACGTTGCGGAGGCTGCTCATTGGAGAGACATAGGATCCCCTTCTCTGTGTCATTATACCAAATCTCCTAAATCCACTTTCTATTTAGAAGTTAGTCCCTGGGAGTGTCCGACGAATGCGTTATGTTGCCGATCTTTTCCAATTTACCTATACGGACACAGCAATTGGTATCAATGATACCTGGCAATTTGTTCAACCCCGGTCAGCAGACTGTTCCACAATTGATCTGGTTCCTGCATACGCTCAGAATCGGCCTCATATACAACTCGGCCAAGCATCATACTTCATGATGAACACAAGCAATTCTTTAATCTCAAACTAATTGAGACAGTTCTTGGGCCCGCCAAGCGATCTCCCATTTTTCTGGCCTTGATGGGGGTAAAGGTGTCAACATTACGCTGGCTCGGGACAATGGGGTCTCGCTTGCTAGCCTGCCAACGTACGGCAGGTGCAGGTCTTGATGTTTATATTGGATGGCAATCTATGTCGGGCATCATGGTGTCTCACATGAGGTAGAAACTTTGCCTACGTCATACAACCTCGAATGTTTCCTCGCCAAGATCGAATCGGTCAACAGCATCCTTATTGACATCACCAAGCTCTAAGATGAGGCAGTAGTCACACTCCACGGCATCGCCGACGACACTCAACATTCTCGATTCTCCACATCTCCACCGCGCGTTCCTATAACACCCTCTGAACTTCGCAGTGTGATTTCTCCCGTCTGGAAACTGGAAACTCCCATTTTGCCCCATGATCAGCCGCAGAGCATTCCGAGGTCTTGTGGCCTTTTTTTGAATCTTGTTCCACGATTTTCAAGATCTCACATTTATGTGAAGGCTTGGGTGTCTATATCCAGGTGTGAACTTTACTGCACAGCCAATCTTGTTGCCATCGCAGACCCAGCCCAAGACATCACACCCTGTCGTATGCCGGAAATCCAACCCTCCCCGGTACAGGAGCACCTTGATATGTCCTTTAACTCCCCAGAGTGGCCTCACCCTAGGGAGGATTTCGATTACAACTCTGACCGTCCTCGAAATTTCGTTCGGGCCGAATCTCCTCTTCGGGCTGCCCCAGGCCGTCGTCTTAATCAATAGAAGCGAGGATAGCCCAAGTCACATCCCACTCACTACAAGCTACAAGGATCCCCGGCACCTCCACCCCGAGAGATGGTTCAGCTACTCAGCATCATCCCCATGCATCCGCATACAATATTTCGCGGTTGTCACCAGAAAAATGATCGATCTCATTCGCCGCCCCAAATTCCCGGCGAGTACTTCCCAGACCCCGATCCCAACCAATGTCAGCCCAGCAAGCATTTCAAGAACTTTTCCTCTCCGCTTCCTGTCTCTTCTTTCTTACCCTATTCAACTCGAGCCCTTTTATCATTCAAGATGGCCCATCTCGTGTTCTTCACCGAGACTCTCGGCGAGCCTTCATAAATTGGTTTGATGTCTTCTCCCGCTATTCTGCGCACGATTAACGACGAACGATGATACCCCCGTTAGACATTTCCACTCTGGCAATTCTGTTTTTATTAGAACCTAATTTTGGGTTTTCCCGTGATTTTTATTGTTATGTCTATTTTGATCCAATCCACAAAGATATCAAATATTCAACTAAACTACTATCAACTTCAAGCTCCCTGTTAAGACTACTAGTAGTTTTTGTTGAAACACATTCCAACCCACACCTCATCGCCCCCATTTCTTCGGACGAGCACCCAAAGTCTCGACCAACTGCTCGTCCACGCTCCCAACCAGCACTTCGTCAAGTCCGCTCTTCGCCATCGCGGATTTAACTGACGTCTGCGCTACTCACAACATACCGGTCGATGCAACATGGCTCACGATCTCAGCCCCGAAGGCGGTCATGGCCATGTGTCTGGCTCTCCCGCCACGCCGATATCGCGTCGAGTAGTTGCGTCGCATTCTTTCCCTTGCAACATCCTATGTCCACCAAAATCTGCGCGCTACTCTTCTCGGCAGGCTGGAAGCGCAGCTACCCGACCGAGGAACTCGGAGAGCAATACCTGCATCTCGATGCCGTCAAGGCGCTGGAGAAAATTCCCATCTGTATCGTAGACCTGGCGCTTACGGTTCCAGTAGTCACTAGTCACTAGTCGCAAGAAATAACTTGAAACTTAAAAATAAAAAAGGTCAAATATCGCTGTAGCGCAACAATTTCCAATTTCGAAAAACAGGCAAGGCTTAGAATTAGAAGGCCATCATGAACACACACATACCTCAGCCCATTCATCATACGCCTCGACCGAATTAACATACCTACAGCTCGATCTGTGAATAGCCCTCTCCACCGTTCCCTTCTTTCTCGCTGCATTTTCTGAATAGTCTCCGTCACGGCCATTGCGGGCTTGTTCCTTACATGTAGTCAATATAGAGCCCAGCCCAGCAAGTCCTAGTGATTGCAAACCTTGGAAGGGAGGGGTGAAAGTGGAGTTAAATATATATTTCCTGCGCTTGAATCAATGGTGTCCCCACAACCGGACTAGCCAAACCAAGCCATACTAGTACTAGGTAGTGTATCCTCAAACTTGAACAGAAGTTCCGAAACGACGATTGACTCACGTTTCAATACTGAGGCAACCACGGACCCGCGAAATGATGTGATTGCTCTAACATACCCCACATGGATCGGCTGGTGTATAAAATACGACAGGGATCAAGGGCTTGAACCACATGTTCGTGGACCGACGGCCCACTTACGAATTGGTCTTGGGATCAATGGTTTGTCTATACTAGTACGGGTAGATGCAGGAGTGCGGCCCTTCCAAAGTCCATAACCGCAATCGACTGGTGTTTTTTCAGGGTAGCTTGATCCTAACGATTCAAGTTCAGGATACCGAATTACATAACTGGGTAGGTAGGATACCAAATAGTATAATAGCGTTTATATCTCCAATACTGGGTCTCTACACTGGGTCAATTGCGGTTATGGAGCACCGTAAGGGGTGGATGGATGAATGGTTTTTTTTCTTCACAGATTTCATTGTATTTGAGTGAAATAATCACAGAGAAGAATCGTCACACGATCATGTCGCCATTAAAGACAGGTAAGGAAAACGGGGACCGAGGTCGACAGGCAATATTTCCATCAAATATTGGGGGGGGGGGGGGGGACAAGAGTGAAGGAAAGAGATAAGAGGAGGAAATAAATCACGTAGGAGACGAAGAAGAGGGAGAAAACAGGAAAAAAGTGAAGTAGAGAAGAGAGTCGGGAAAGGAACAAAACTGGCGCGAAAGATAAGCATCAATCTTGACCACATAATCTGGGACGCCGTGCCAGACGGAACATATCAGCTCGTGAGGAATCGAAGGTGAAAAAGTGTGAACAAAAAGTGTGGCGTAGAAGAAAAAAAATCAGCAAGGCTAAGAAGAGAAAAAAAAGACGCCGCTCAGCGCTGTAAAGAAGAGAAGAGAAGAGAAACACTAGCGCAGACCACATCAATGCGGCCATCCCACACATTCTATCATGAGAGCGAAACTGGGTCATCACCACCGGAGGAAAAATAAAAAGTCGTTCAGTATACCGTAGCCCCAAATGGAGCTGTTTCCTTTAAATCCTCTACCAAATCCTCAACATTATTCAAATATCTCCCCAGCAGGGCCTGCTTCTCATCCGTTGTCCTCGTATCGCGCGCAATCTTTGCCGCCGCCGGTGAATGCGAGTGTTGTGACATTGGGCGCGAGGAAAGCTTGCTCGGACTGCGCTGCAGGCCCGGCGGACTAGGTATAGGAGCCGAGCCGGGGCCTAGGATGGGAGTTTCCGGCATCAGGTAGAAGTAAAGGAACTCGACGAGTTTGAGCTTGACTTCGCGGGATGTTGCGCGCTGTTTGAAAAGTGATGTGATGGTGAGAAGACCGTCAAGATCTTCAAAGGTGCGGGTATTCGCTGGGCAGTCGAGGAGGGCTGTGACGAGGGTGAGGAGAGTTGCTGATTGGATGGCTGGGCAATTGATTGGGTCGAGGAGATCGAGGAGAAGATTCATGTAGATTTCGCGGGCAAAGAGGGTGCGCGATGGTGGGTGGAGGAGGAGGGCACCTTGGATGAGGTCGAGGGTGCAGACGATGAGCATGTCGTTTGTGCCATTGCTCCCGCGGCCGAGGAGGTGTTCGAGGCAGGATACTAGGCGCATTGCCACTGTTTAAGAGAATGTTAGTTTTCTTTTCTTTTTTCTTTGTTTTGTGACATGTGATTTGTTCGTTTTTTGTTTTGTTTTTGTAATGCCATCCACAGTGGTGATATATCATGTTTTGTGTGCTTCGGTGTGTTTTTTTCTGTTGAGGAAAACGCGATAGCTCATACGCACCATTCCATTGGAAGCTCTGCTGGAGCTTGAAAAATTCCCTAAATGCCGGGTCATCGTGCAGGTCGGTCAAGGCCTTCGGCACGGGCTGGGCTTCGACGGCCAGATGAGACCTTCGACGGTCGGGCGGAGATTTGGAGACGGGTTTTGAGAGGCAAATCTGGGCCAACAGGCCCTCTACCTGTCGCAGGCCCTTTCGGACTTTGCTGGGCTCATGAGAGGAAAGATAGTCAAAGGAATGGGCCAATAGAGTCTCCATGAGGGAAGTGATGATGGTGATGGAAGGAGAGAAGAGATATGTTGTGTCAAGTGCACAACGTTGGAAAAGAAAAAAGAGAAAAACCCCGAGCCCGGTAAAAAGCTCTTGAGTTTCCACAAGCAGTGTCCCAAGGTCAGCTGAAAAAGCGCATGGGCTGTTTATATCCACCGAAATGGCGAAGTTGAGAGGGCTGGGGTGGTCCGTGTGGTGCCGATGAGGTCAGATCGGGTAGCCACTTTGAGCATCGCTAGGGTATAAATAAAGAAAGTAAATATCTGGTTGCCCCGGACGACCCACTCCAGGCCTGTAAGGAAGCTAGAGAACCAGGGATATTCTGCACGCTAAACAGCTAAGCTTGGAGGAGGTTAAATCTGGTGACAGAAAACCGGTTTCAACTGCTCTCTCCCCGGAGGCTCTTTGTTAGTGGAGACCGATGTCATTCTAGTACTCCAGGGCTAGTATTATTCGTATGTCTAGACCAGATGGCGGTGATGCCCAGTAAACAAAAATCTTCCAAAAAGTCTTCCAAGTCCCAACATGGCACCTACACCCCTAATGAGTCACAATAATATACAGTAACTACAATTGTAACTATAATTAATAATTATATGCTATAAGTAGTATAATCACTATGGTAACTGATCCTCTGCAAGGCAGTCACATCCCATCACATCCCTACTCTCCCTTTGTCCCTTCGTCCCTTCGTCCCTTCCTTCCGGGCGCTTAACACTTAGTAATTCACCAGTATACAGTATACTACACTAACTATAGTACCTATAGCTACTACCATGATAGCATAGTATCATCTACTCTAGTACGGAGTACTTTGGAGTACTCTGTGGAAGCTACCGATCGTGGCTTAGGCTAGACACATTGATGCCTTGGTGCCTTCAATCTCAGGCTTTCACTCCAACTGCTGCCTGCTGATTTGATGTCATCTGCATCTAGCACATCTGCAGCTAGATCTGCATGTGCTCTCCGCATTCGACCCCTCCGAGTCCCCTCCAATCTTCCCCTCATCGTCCACTATCACCACCACCACCTGTACACAGCATGAACCCCTCCCACCAACCACCCAGCCCCGTCCCACCGAGGACCAGCTCCGCCGGTGCTACAAATAGCCCCGCGAGCCCCCCATCCCACCGCCATCGAAAATCAGTCACCGACGATTCCGCCAACGGCCACCCCCCAAGGCAGAAACATAAGCGCAACAGGTCCAGTGTCGACGGCACCAAGTACAAAGATGGCACCTGGTCCTCCAAAAATGAGAAAATCCTCATAGGCCCCTACGACTACATGCACCAGCATCCCGGCAAGGATGTACGCACCCAGCTCATCCAAGCGTTTAATTCCTGGCTCCAGGTGCCACCAGAGAGCTTGGCCATCATCAGCAAAGCGGTCCTGATGCTGCACACGGCATCCCTACTGTGTGTACCATATAACTTATTTATCAACCACCTCGGATCTACTCTAACCCGCCGCTCTTCAGAATCGACGATGTCGAAGACAACTCTGTCCTCCGCCGCGGCGTCCCCGTCGCCCACAACATCTTCGGCACAGCCCAAACCATCAACTCCGCAAACTACGTCTATTTCCTCGCCCTCCAAGAAATCCAACGCCTAAATAATCCCGCCGCAATCGACATCTACGTCAAGGAGCTCCTTAACCTTCACCGGGGCCAGGGTATGGACCTCTTCTGGCGCGACACCCTCACCTGCCCCACCGAAGACGAGTACCTCGAAATGGTCGGCAACAAGACAGGCGGTCTCTTCCGACTCGCCGTCAAACTCATGCAAGCCGAGAGTAGCACAGGCAAAGACTGCGTCAGTCTGGTGAATGTCATGGGTCTAATTTTCCAGATCTGCGACGATTACCTGAATCTCTCCAATACGGCATACACGCATAATAAAGGTCTCTGTGAAGATCTGACCGAGGGAAAATTCTCTTTCCCGATTATTCATAGCGTTCGCTCGAATCCTGGCAATCATCAGCTTGTGAGCATTCTAAAGCAGAAGACTCAGGATGAGGAAGTGAAACGCTATGCGGTGCAGTATATGCAAAGTACCGGCAGTTTCACGCATACACGGCAGGTTGTTCGAGATTTGCACGATCGGGCGTTGTCTCTGATTGAATTGATTGATGCTACGCCCCGCATTAATGGTGCTGGGGATGGCGAGATGGTGCGTGCTGTTCTGCATAAAATTGTGGATTCTACATTATCGGATGAATCGGCACAGTAGTTATAGCTCTCTGTGGAGATCACATTTCTCTTTTCTTTCTTTTTGGCTATCCCCCCTTGGAGGTGTTTTGAGGCTTTTGATTTATACCCATCTCAACTTGAAGTTTCCCACTGTTGGCCATGTGTGATGACGTGCATAATAACGATATTACGACAATATGAATTTGAAATACTTGAATATGAGATTATTGAATGAAGGAACCTCGATCTATACTAGTAAATATAGTAATAACTTGAACTGAAAGTTAATTCAAAGACACCTGGGCAGGCTCTTGGTATTTGTGTAACAATTCCATGAGAGTAGTGCGATCCTATACTTCCAATCTGAAGGTTTCAACGCGTCCAACTAGCTTTCATCGGGATTAACCGAGTACGAACCTGGAAGTACGAACTGCATATCTGCACATCCACAAATGACAATTTACCCGGATGCCACTAGTAGCACGTGTTAGATAATTGAATAGCTCGCTTCTACCAGTACTAGTAGTACTAGTAGTGCTCACTTGGTCCTCGGCAACGGGTGGATGCGCCTCGGATCCCCCGCACGCATAAAGCCGATTTATGCGGGGAAAGCTCCAATGAACACATCTTGATTCGACAACGCTGTATGCCAACAAGTAAGATCACGGTTGAGCCGGAGTTATGAAATTGTGCCCGGTCTTAAATCCTCTTTTCTCTACCAGTGCCTGTTCCTCTTATTCTCATTCAATCCATACTAGTACCTACCTATACATTTCCTCTACATCCTCCAAACCCTCGTGATACTAGTATCACCACACTCATCCAACATGCCGTACAAATCCCGCTGGACAATCGACATCCCAAACGCCCACCTCGCCTCAATCCTCCTAGACTCCCCAACAGCCCCCTTATCCAAGACCAACCGCTGTTTCCTCGAAGCCGCCCGCCCAGAATCACACTACTTCACCCGGCATGACTTCCGCCTCTGGAGCCAGCGCTTCGCCGCCGGCCTTCGCAAATCAGGCCTCCAACCAGGTGATCGAGTCCTCCTCTTCTCCGGAAACGACCTCTTCTACCCGGTCGTCTTCATGGGAATCATCATGGCAGGCGGTATCTTCACCGGCGCAAATCCTACCTACGTAGCCCGGGAACTGGCCTTCCAGCTCCAAGACAGCGACGCCACGTACCTAATCTGCGCCGGCAGCAGCCTAGACACAGGTCTAGAAGCCGCAAAGCAGGCAGGACTAGACCGGGACCGAATCTTCGTCTTCGACAATACGATTTACGACGGTCCAGGCGTCGGACAGAAAGGATGTCGGCATTGGGGTGAATTAATCGCCCCAATCGAAGAAGGAACAGGTTTCGCCTGGGAAAATCTATCCACGCCCGAACAGGCCGATACAACCCTCGTACTAAACTATTCCAGCGGAACAACGGGTCGACCGAAAGGCGTCGAGATAACGCATAAGAATTACGTGGCGAATATGCTGCAGTACAACTATATGGCCTCTTTGAACCCGGATCATGCGGAGAAATTGCTTCGCGCACGCTGGTTGTGCTTCTTGCCGCTTTATCATGCTATGGCGCAGAATATTTTTATTGCGGCGGCGTTGACGAGGCGCACACCAGTCTATATCATGCCTAAGTTTGACTTTGTTAAGGTGCTGGAGTATACGCAGACGTTCCGGATTACGGATTTCATCTTCGTGCCGCCTGTTATGGTTTTGTTGGCTAAGCATCCGGCTGTGAGGCAGTTTGATCTTAGTAGTGTGGAGAGTGTGGGTAGTGGTGCGGCGCCGTTGGGGAGAGAGGTTTGTGCTGAGGTGGAGAAGTTATGGCCCGAGGGGAAGATCAATGTTAAGCAGGGGTGGGGAATGACTGAGTGAGTTTCCTTTTTTTTCTTTCTCTTTTTGCCTTTTTTTTGTGCATGGATGGTCGTTATGTCAAAAGCAATATTAATGGCTGTATAGGGTAACATGCTCCATGCTCGGCTGGGATCCGCGAGAAAAGAGTGCTTCAGCCTCAGTCGGGGAACCTAATGCCAACTGCGAAGCCAAGATGGTGGCCGAGGACGGCATGACGGAGATCCTTGAGCGCAATCAACGCGGTGAGCTGTGGGTGCGCGGTCCTAACGTCATGAAAGGATACTGGCGCAACCCTGAGGCAACGAAAGAAACCAAGACAGAGGATGGATGGCTTCGGACAGGCGACATTGCCTATGTGGATGATCAGGGCAAGTTCCATGTTGTGGACAGGCTGAAGGTGAGTAACGTCATTACGCGCTAAGTTTCGAGAATCACACAGATATCACATATTAGAAGGGAAGAGGGGCACTGACATGACCCCCGCAGGAACTGATCAAGGTCAAAGGCAACCAAGTGGCCCCAGCAGAGTTAGAGGCCCTGCTGTTGGAACACCCAGCGATTGCGGATGTGGCCGTCGTGGGTGTTGTGATGTAAGTATCGTACATATTTTTGGACACCCTCCTGTCTCTTTGTGATAGCCCCGGCGCTGACAAGGTGACACAGCAACGAGGAAGAGCGGCCTCGTGCATACGTCGTCCTGGCACCTGGACAATCTCTCACGGCAGAGCAGGTCGTCCAGTTCTTGGACGGCAAGGTTGCCGCAGTGAAGCGGATCACTGGTGGGGTCATATTCCTTGAGGCGATCCCTAAGAACCCATCGGGGAAGATCCTGCGCAAAGTCCTGCGCGAGCAAGCGCAGGCGGAGCTGAAGCAAGGTGCCACAGCGAAACTCTAGTCGCGGCAGGGTTTGGCATTGCTTTGTTGAGCGAGGGATGTATATATTGCAGAATTGGGAGAATTGGGCTCGAGTGTACTTTCAATTGGAAGTTTTCTTTCTTTTTCCAAGGTTCAAGGCCCTTTGGCGATCATCTGTATGCATTAAGATGAACAGGGCGATCACTCGCGGGGATCCGTGGCCCTGGAGACGCGGGCTAAAGCCAAAAGAGAGGGAAGCAAGAGAAAAAAAACATAGCCGAGCGAGTGGATGGAGAAGCTGATTCGTTGGGAGGGCACTAGGTTAGACCGTGTAAGCCAATATTAGCGCGAATGGCCTGTGCCACGCCCAGCTGGAGCTGAATGCGCCCCTCCCAGTACTAGTATCGATCTGATCGCAGATCGCTCGCTTTGAGAGGATAAGACGACCCAATCGATTGATTTTTACGCCTCTCAGGTTTTATCTCCGTAACCGTGACCATGGTCATGGGTCAAGCACCCCTGCTCTGAAGGTCGCGAATGATTTGGAAGGAAAAATCAAATGACATAAAATGAAAGAAGGAATAGTGGGGAGGTGAAGACGGGCAGATCCCGGTTGAATCCTGCGTGGCGCTTGATGGTTGCAGCTGAAAATTTGGGAGTCTTCCCCGTGGCTGACTGGTCGGCAGCTGGTAAAGAAGTCTAGTGTTTTCTTTTAGCATCCACCGTTCAAAGACACGGGAAATCCACGAGTTCCAATGTAGGCCGTACAGAAGGCGAGATTACTGGACATAGTCAGTACTGCGAGTACTGCGAATGTTGCAGACTCCCTTCCACCTTCCACCGTTTCGATTGTGCATCTTTGACTTTCTGATGAATCAATTATAAGCCTTGATACTTTTCATGAAGATGATCTACTGGAATATCCGGAGTAGTAGATTTTATTTTAATTTCCCTATACCGTTCCTGTAATGTCATTGCGAACCATCGTGTCACCTTCGCGGGGAAACCCTAAGAGGTGGCCTTTTTTATTCCAGTTTTTATAGATCCAACCGAGATTATGCCAGCCCCGCCAGCTTTGCCTTGACCTTTGCTCCCAAGTTTTAAAAAATAAAATAAAATAACTTGAACACTGTCGATCTCTTGACACCCCCAGGCCACCCGTTCAAGTCGTTTATAATCCTGGTCATAACCCCTCTCTTCAAGTTTGGATCATAAACTTGCTCAACCGCCCCGCCCCGCCGTGATAGTGATACGCTGTGCTTCGTGCTTCATCGAGATCATGCCCACTCCGATCTAAACCCCGAGCCTCATATGTTCCAAATCACCCATCTACTAGCACAGACTACTCTTTCCAAAGCTCAAGTTCTCGACTTTCTTTTTTTCTAGTCGAATTATAAAGCTCTCTCACACCCCCGCGATGGTCCTTGCACAAGAAGTATACACGCGATCTCGGGCTCTACCACTTTTATCCGCATCACGGTGGTCACTATACACCACTCTATTCGCGATCAGCACGATCGTCACCAGTCTATTTCTCTTCTCCCTGGCAATCCAGCATCTCAAACAGATTTGCAAATCCGCGCCGCAATCGAGCCCGTGGTCCCAAATGTCCAATATGGAAAAGGCAACATCCAAATCATCCTCGCCGCCGCCACCACCACCACCCGCCTCTGCATGCGACGTGTTAAAACCGCTTTCGCAAAACAGCAATTATCCAAGTAGCGGGGCGGTGGCGGCCAGAGCCCGTGAACAAATGGAGAACAGTGGGAAACCTTCCCCGGTGGTCTCCGCTGCAACTGTTGCCACGCAGCCTCGATTTGGATCGGAGGGAGATGCAGCCACCGGATCTGGATCTGTCCAAAGACGCAACGAGTCGGTGCAGCAGATGCGTGAGGTGGATGATAATGGCGTGCGGACGTGGCGACGCCTAGTCGTCGAGTATAGTTAGTGGGCATTTTTTTGGCCTGAATCATCTTTGTTTTTTTCATGTGTCATGCTTCAACTTTTAGCCCGGTGGCCTTTTTGATGGTTTCTCGTTTTGTGTCACTGTGATTATGCATTTCCCATGTCTCATTCATTACTAGTATTTGCTCATTTTCGCTCACATTGGGAGGTCGGCGGTCCTTTTGTTTTGTTTTTCCATTTCGATTCATCTGTTTATGCTTTCTATTTTCTATTTTATACTCCGTATACTTGTCCAAAATGGAAAATTCTTAGTCAGCAATGATCGGCCACCTTTACCTCCAAAGTGGCTACGTCCGACTACTTACACTACACCTCCCATCTTAATTCCCAGCATGGCTGTATCGGCATTTCCTTCAGCAGGGGAGTCCCCCGACCTCACTCTCCTAAATGCCGCCCGTCTTTTCACACGCCTCGAGCATAACCTCCTCTCGCCAGGCGCGGAGCTCCGCACCCTACGCCGGTCCGAGTACCAGCGCATGCGAGTAACCAAGGTAGGAAAATGACGGCCAACCTCAACCGCAATCGGGAAGAGTTTCAGCCAAATTGATAGATCCTACCTACGATCAGAAGATTTGAAGCTAACAGGTTGTTCCATCTTATGACAGAACGTCGAATACGCGCGGACCCTCCTCACCCAACTCGAGCGCTCACTCCCACAATTAAAGCAACCCGACCGCCGACATGAAGCGCAGGCGGAAATTGCTCGTGATAGGCAGCTTTTGAAGAGAATGCAAACCGTTCTCGACGAGGAAGAGGCCGATGCCCACGCAGCTGAGAATGGTGAGGACGCGGAGGATGAGGGGGATGATGAGTGGAACGAGTTATTCTCTAAGCCGGTTGTGGAGAAGAAGGTTGTTTCTTCGACGCGAGAAGCCGATGGCTCGAAGTCAACGGCTCTCTTCACTGAGACGGTCTCTGCTACAGCTACAGCTAAAGCTCCAGCTAAAGCTCCAGCTAAAGCTCCAGCTACGGTTACATCTACCTCCGTCCCAACGTCTAGATCTATACCTACTTCCACACCTACACCATCAGAACCACCCTCCGCCCTCCGCAACAGACACGCACCAACCACAGCATCTAAAGCCCCCGCCGCGAAAACAACAGGAAGCAGCACAACCCCAGAAGACCCTAAGATCGCCGCAGAAAAGGCCCTCGATGACGACCGCTCCGAACAAGAAGACCTTACCAGTTCACTAGTCGCAATGGCCAGCCAATTGAAGTCTCAATCGCAGTCATTCCAGGAGACGCTGGACAACGAGAAGGACGCGCTGGATCGAGCTTCGTTGGGCATGGATAAGACTTCGTCGACGATGGAGGCGGCGGGGAGGAGGATGGGCATGTTGACGCGGATGTCGGAAGGGAAGGGGTGGTGGGGGAGGATGATGCTCTATGCGTGGATCTTTGGGCTGTGGATTGTTGCCATATTGATCGTTTATGTTGGACCTAAGTTGAGGTTCTAAAGTGAAGTGAAGTGAGTGTTGTTTTTGTTTTACCCATGTTGAAATTAAGATACCCTGGACATCTGCATCCTTATTGAAACCATTCTGCCCATGTGCCATGTGCACGAATTCGACTACAATTTTGATAACAAGGGTATACCTGTTATGCGTAGACCTCAAGTACCTACCGACCGGTCATAGCTCGACACTTTATCATACTAATTGCTACCATTCTACATGTCACGATCATATAAAGTCGGAAACCCGATAATTGAATTCCTGTCTGACTATAACCCAACGACCGAGGCATGACACATGAGAAGAGACATGATAATTCCGTGTATCCTGTCATTTCCCCGTGCCCATTGCCCGGCTGGTCGCTCGAGGCTTCCAACGGGCGCGAGACCAAGGAAACGATGAGGGAGACGGTATGTTTACATACAATAAAACAACAAAAAAGATAAGAGGGTAGGGTGACAACCACAAGAGAGATGATAGGATATCCAGCATTCAAATCAGACACAAGGGGGGGGGGGAAAGGAAAGGAGAAATAGGAAATAAGAGACGATGGTTCACAGAGGAAGAAAAAGAGAAAAAAAAGTTCAGGGCTCTCCGCGTCGATTAAACGTTAGAGAGAGTCATGGTCAAAAGGAAGCATCCTGTTTCGTGTCATCGAGAGCAGGAAGAAAAAGAAAAAGTCAAAAGAAAAAAAAGGAACCGGCTAGAGATCGTGTCAGGAAAAGGCGAGCGCAATTAGAAAGGACACATGGAAGAAGAAAATGGAACAGAGAAAGAAATGTTCAACGCCGGAATTCTGGAACGAGGCTTTTGATCACAATCCCGGCGAGATCCGATTACAGCCGAAAGGAAAAACACATGCGATCTAGTTCAGCACACTGCGACACCCTGGGATTGGTAGTTCATTAGATCAAACCGCAGAGTCGGAGGTTCTCTTGGATGATGATATCTGAGAAAAGTATTAGTCATGTGTTTTTTTTTTTCACTTGGATGTCCAAGAAAGATTGTAGTGGTTGACTTACCGTTGACAGCGGCCATGACGAACCGAATTTGGGTGGTGTCGGTGGCGCAGGTGAAGTGGGTGTAGATCTGTTTCTGTTCGGCTTGGTTCAAAGACACGAATCGGTTGAGGATGTAGTCGCACGCAGCAGAGTAATCGGCACCGCCCTCGTAGTCGGGGAAGTAGTTCTTCATCGGGCTGACGGGCAGCTTCTCCTTGAATCGATCGATCTTGTTGAGGAAGAGAATGATGGAGGTCTTGACGAACCAACGGGAGTTGCAGATGGAGTCGAAAAGGGTCAGGGCTTCTTGCATACGGTTGACGGTCTCGTCCTCGAACAGCAGCTGGTCGTACTCGGAGATGGCGACCAGGAAAAGGATGGTGGTGACGTTCTCGAAGCAGTGAATCCACTTCTTTCGCTCTGATCGCTGGCCACCGACGTCGAACATGCGGTAGGTCAGATCGCCGATGATGAAGGTAGTCTCGGTGATACCAGTAGTCTTAACACGGGAACGGAGAACATCCTGGTCGGTAGGGAGGTAGTCGGGCTGGGCGATGCGATCAACGGCGTCAAAGTAGCTGGGAACTGTTAGGGGTATGGCCATTTCGTTTTCGTCGAGAGCGCCCACTTACTATTTGGCAGAGTCGTTCAGCTGGTACTCACGCGAGCGCTTGAAGCACTCCTGAACACCGGTGTCACGCCACAAGGCGCCAATGGCATTGCCAACCTCCGGGGGGATGCTGTCACCCTCAATCTGAGCGGGCTGCATGAAGATGGTCTGGACGTGATATTCATTCCGCGCATCCTCCAGGGGGAGCTCGAGAGACTCCATCGCCTCAAGGATGACCCGCATCGACTGAACGGTGTTGCTGTAGATAATTTCTTTGAAGGATTCGCGTTCGTCGCGGGAGTAGCCACCCTCGTGAATGAGCTTCATCTGCTTCAGAATGGTAGACTTGCCCGACTCTCCGGCACCTGTGTGGTTTCTTGTAAGCTACTACTCAGAACTGTCGGAGTTGTGTTTATTGATCTCCGGTTGGGTGCGAATCGAATCATACCAAGGAGCAGCATCTTGATCTCGTTCCGTTGCATCATCTTGTCGCGCTTCAACTGGTTTTCGATCTCCTCGTTACGCGCCTTCCCCTCCTTATCCTCAGTACTCATACCACAACCCATTATGGCGGTGTTGGTGGAAAGATGTGTTTGTAAATAGGGTGCGTTTGTGTATGCGTGTATTAACGATAGTGCGGTAGGAGCCGGTGTAATTTGGTCAGGGCTCGGTCGATCACAGGAACTGGAAGCGTGCGCGCAAGGTCAGCGAAACTGATCGAGGAGAAAAAACGTAAGACCTCGAGAGAGACGAGCAAATGAAAGTATTGACTGTCGTCGGGGACTTGGCGAAGGTGGTACAGGCCGCAGAAAACCCAACGTTTCAGGATGGGAAAGGTGTCGACGCAAGGGTGAAACCAAAAGGGTCGGAGCACGAAAGAGAGAGACAGTGATAGGAGAGAAAAGGGGAATTGAGATTGACGCACCTTGACAGAATACCCGAGGCTCAAAGGAAAGGAGCGATGGATGGGAAGAGTTGAGGGTATCCAAGAAAAAGAAAAAAAGGAACAGAGACGCCGGGAACCAGCTGAGAGAGAAGGAGAGGTTTAAGGTGTGTAAGGGGGGGGGGAGGGAAGAGGGGAGTTGGGAAATTGAAGTTTCTTAGCATAAGAAAGGGGATACAACTGTAATACCGGCGCGTCAGAGCATTGAGTATTGCATTTGGTACGGGACTCCGGTCGATGTGACGCTGGCCTGACGGTATTATTCATCGTAGGCGATTTTGGCATCGCCGTCCCATTGAGGGATTCTGATTGGCCAATGAGAAGTGGATTGGTATTGATCAACAGCCAATCAGCGCCCGTTCCAGGGGAGCCCCTTTTTACGGTCTCTTTGTATACACCACAGTACACATCAACACTCTTTCACTCATTCGGCTATCATCCGACAACAAAGACACATCAATGAGACTGTACTCTGTACTCTGTACAGAGTGACTCTGGGCATTGGAAGTTCTCTCCCCTGTCTCACTCTTCTACGGATAATGCATATTCTCCAACCTCCATCTACTCGTACATCTCTACTCGTACGGAGTACATTCAGGAGGATCTACATGTGGGGACCAAGCACACTAATGGTTATTGTCCGACGACCGTCTCCATTTTTGAGGGCATGAGACGGGGGTGCTCGAGTCCCTGGAGCTTTCATCCCCTCGCCCAGCCCGCCTTACCATTGATGGATATGCATTGCACTGTACAACGGCACTGCTCTGTACCCTGTACAATCATTCATTCTATTCTTGGACCCCTCGAGCTGACCGTTGTCCAGGGATCCCCTTCGAACTTGCTTTTTACTTTCTCTTTTTTTTCTGGCTTTGCCAGTCCGACTGAGCAGAAACTGCGATTGCCTCAGCCTGGAACACCCTCCCCCAAATCCTAGTCATCTTTTACCGTCACACCTGAATCAGCAGTCTGGCCACTGGGATCGCTCCCGTCCCTATAGATGGGACTCCCAACACCCCCACAGGGTGGCGTCAGGTCGGCCGTTGCAAAACCTGTTGCTCCATCACTCTCTCCACCGCTGTAGTTAAGCCCTGTCTGTATATGGTACTACTATCACTAGTACAGTATCCAGTACGGAGTATTTATTGTAGACTCGATACGGATTACTGTTTGCCTAGTATAAACATACTTACTGCCTACTATGTACCATGACCATCTGCCCATCTCCGGTACCGTGCCGATCCGTCGGGTGGGACGCAAGACAAAGTCCTTTGATCCCCGTGGATCGGCTTCCTGCACAGGATTTCAAAGCAAAGCGGGTCAGACGAGGATGAACGACATACATCCTACGTACGGAATCATAGACACTGAAAGCCGGGCCCCAAACAAGAGAATGGCGCACATGGGTCTCACATGGCCCGCCCCTGAGCTCATGGAATTTCTGGAATTTCTATCGCTGGGGCACGCTATCGGGTTTGACCCACTATCTAGTGCTTCTAGCTCTTCATTTGCCGCGCGCCACCCCTCCCCCCTGGTCCTCCTTTTCTTGCTGAGTACGAGTATTGCATGGGGAAGGGGTGTGCCAAAGCCAAAGTTGCGACCTACTTCCCCCCTTCGCCCAGGGCTGGAAATATTCTGCACGGAGTAGACGTTAACTTGCACGGAAGGTGTTGGCCAACTCTAACCCTTTCTGCCATACTTAGTACTCTGTACTATCGCGTAATCTGTAATCTGAGACTCGCCGGGTGGACTAATTCCTACTACATACAGCATGCATGTCGTTTTAATCGGTCGGTTCATAGTCCCGGCACAGAATGACGGGGTAGCTATCGCTAGGATTATGTATGAACCAGCCGCCGCGACACACCATACTAATTACTCGAAGGGGTGTCAGATCTACTAGGTTCTCGGAGTAATCTTCTGTTCTCGATGCGGTTTAAATCGGGCATTTCTATTTTCTTTTTATTCGCGTTCAAAACGCCTTCATTGGTCGGAAATGCAGTGCGGTCAATTATGTCTTATTCTCCAATCCTTTGACCTGGATTCCTCTTAGCACAATGGCAGTCGTCATTCGTCACTCCGCGGAAGTACAAAGTACACGTAGCTCAGCACGCTATTCACCCCAGAGCTCAGTAGTTCTCACCTGTGGATATGATCAGGATTCTATAGAGTATGAATCTAGCCTATGTAATGGCCGTTCAGCTCATCCCACATAATTCATCACTTTTTAGCATCGCATCCCATTCGATCCATGGATGGTTAGAGAGGGACACACTAGTGTTGAATGTCTCGCAGATTTGGATCATCATTGATAGATCGCCAAAAAAAACCTCAAATCACTCCAAACTATTTTCAACCTCGTTTCAATCAGGCGTCGCGAACCGAGATTGACGGAGTCGATATGAGCCAGATTCGTGACCCTTTGGGCTCAAAATCTGCAGCAAATGGACAAAGTGTACGAGCGATGATTGAATTTTAAACCCTTGTCAGAGTTACTATAGCTTAGTATGTATTATTAGTAAATCTGACAAGACTGTGGAATTCAACCCTCAGCTCAAGCACTTCGTCGATTTCTTGCCTGAAATCTGAAAGTCAGGGATCTGACCGATCTCGGCTCCATCAATATTGACTCGAGACTTTGATTAAAGCGAGGTTGAGTTTGGCGAGTATTCTGGATAGTGATAAGTCACACTGTTTAACAGTTTAACCTAACAGCCCTGGAGAGTTTAGAGGCGGAAAGCTCTTGATGCGGGTTCCAGTAAACCGTGGGTACCTCTTGGTCACCACATCGTCATGGTCATCGGGTAACGAATGAACAACGAACTGTGATCCAGTATCTCCAGCATCTTCTCATAGTAGAGAGACCTATATTAGCCCTTTCTCCAAGAAAGTGGTCATAGAACTCAGTAATCAGTAGGCCAGGTAAATCTTATACACTCTCTTGATTTCCAAGGCTTCTATATTTCCTGGAGTACTAATTGTTTAAAATTTGGATTAGTGCTTCGATGTAACCTGTGACAACTAATTGGCTCTCGGATCTCTATTCCGGTGAATGTGCATGCCACCGAGCTTTGGCATGTGGTTAAAAGGCCCATGTATGATTCTGCGACTACCGTATGTGTCCGCTGGGTCTGCACGGAATGAATCGTGGATAGGAAAGTATCGACCCCACCGGATCAATAGCGTAGAGACAAGGTTTGGGTGCCATGCCTCTAGGCGTGAACGGACCAAGGGAGTGAGGGCTACTAGTTCCTCTTGATAAACTATTAGATGGTCCATACAAGCTAGTCTCCTGGGGGGTTTATTTTGCATGATAAGCTGGAGGCGATCCATGCCATGCTAGAGCAGTGCGGAGTACGGAGTAAAAAGGATCCAGACCGATCTACGGGGTACCATCCCTACGTATTTGCCTACTTTTAACTCTACAGATCAACAAATCACTCTGAAATCACTTACGCAAAACAATGTAAATAAATGCTGTACAGTACATTAATGTGATATGTGGCCATCCAATCTACATGCCGCAATCGATCCATGGATCGCCCCCCCGATCGGGTTCTGGTTTTTCGGGTCCCGCCTGGGAGGAACCAGCAGTCCCAGTACCTCGGGGTCCAGTCCCCAGTCCCTGGTTGGATTGCAAGATTTGATTCGCCCTTCCCCACTCACCTCAGCTTCACGAACTCTTCGCAGTTCCAACCTAACTTCCTCATTGATCTCTCTCCACCACACCATGTCCTACGAAATGTCCCACCTGGGCTCGCGGGGTACGTGTCGCGCCAATCTCTCCCTGAAACAACGCTCAATCTAACACCTCCAAGCCTTCAACCACGACCAAAGCGGTGACTCCGAGGCCGAGTACGATCGCCTCCGCGATCTTGCGCGCCAGGAGGCCTCCAAGCGAGGCGAGTGCTTTCACCGGGTATGCCAGACATCCTCCCGATTCCTGTTTCTCTTCTCTCTCTTTGCCCTTCTCCACGCGATCGCGTTGCGATGATCTATCACCACTGGCGCAATCCGTCCTAACTCCGCCTTTCTACGTCTCAGTCGAAGGAAGCCTACTCAAGCGGCGATGGCGCCGGCGCAAAACAGCTTTCGGAAGAGGGCAAGTCCCACGGCCGCAAGATGGAGCAATACAACAAGCAAGCGTCCGAATACATTTTCCGTGAGAACAACGCCAATGGCCGCGTAGCGGCGGACACAATCGATCTCCACGGTCAGTTCGTCGAAGAGGCGGAGGAGATCCTGGAAGAGCGCATTAAGTATGCCAAGTCCCACGGACAAAGCCACCTCCATGTGTAAGTTTGCATTCCTCCTTATCCTATTTCCTGAGCCATGCCTGTTTTCGCGACAGACCTGCTGGGGATAAAAAGAAAAGAAAACTACTAACACCAGGATTCCTACAGCATCGTTGGTAAGGGCAACCACTCTGCCGGCCATGTCCAGAAGATCAAGCCTCGCGTCGAACAAGTCTGCCAGGAACTCGGCCTGAAATACGCCATCGAGGATAACGCCGGCCGTATCTACGTCAACCTGACCGGTGGTGAGGCGGTCATGCCCGACTACCCTTCGCACCAGGCACCACACCAGGGTGGCTCGCATGGCGGGTACCCCGGCCAGCAGCAGGGACACCACCAGCAGCAACAGCACCAGCAACAGCCACAACAGCAGGACGAGGTGGAAAAGATCGTCAATGCGGTGTTGCCCAAGGTTATGCGCAAGCTGGAGAAGGCGTGCTGTGTGGTGATGTAATTATATATGAGGTCTATTTTGTCTTTCTCGCTTCACTGGGGATTTTCTGCTGGTGTTTTTCTTCGCTTTATACAGATGCATGGTACGCGTGAGTTTGTGATCAGGACGCTGTGCCCTAACGATCTATGGCTGGGAATTTACGACTCGTGATGAATGGATATCTATGCCCGATTTGTCAAGATGATACATCCTTGGGAGGTTAATGTTCCAAGTAAACTTGGATGGAATACTAGTACCGGTTTGTAGTAGTTACTACCTAGTAGGTAGTAGCTAATCTAGACAACACCACAAATGACTTAATTTTAGAATGCAGAAAAAATCTTATTGGATCTTGATGCACTGATCGACTACACCCCAAACCCAGCCCAGGCAATACATAGGAAAAAAAAAAAACAAGTTAAAAAAGAAGAACAAGGCTATAAAAGACATAAGTATCATCATTCCTCGCCGCCATTCAAACAGGCCAGCACATCCTCCAACTCAATCACGATCTTTTCTTCCAACCGGTTCTCAGCATCACGCTTCTTGTCCAGCGGCGGCTGCCGCGACATCTCGGCCTCCTTATCAGTAGTGGCGACGATACGACCGCGCAGGTACGGGCGGCGACTGAGCAGTTCTTCAATATCATCCTTGACGTGTGATCGATCCCACTTGAGTTCCTGGATGGACTGCGGGTCTAAACCAGCGCTGGGTCCGGCTTCACGGAAGCGGTCCAGAGCGACGGAGATCAGGGCTAGTGAATATGCCTCTGATGCCATGCCCAGACTAATCCATTGCGATTGCGGGGTGGAGTGGCCGTGGGAAAAGGCTTCTGCGGCACGGTTGAGCTGGCCTTCGAATTGGTTGAGGAAGGCGGATACTTCGGGGGCGGCGCGGACGACGTTGAAAAGGAGGTTTAGACACAGCGGGAGGAAACCGCCGGTCCAGATGGTGTACAGCCGGGAGACAGTGTCGAAGGGTCCGAATCCCTTGGGTTGTTGAAGGATGTTGGTGAGGCGGCATGTCGACAGTTTGCCTAGGACTCCCTCCACGGCGAGGTGTTCCGCTAACATGGGGAGAGTGGAGAGCTTAACAAGGAACGAAAGACTGACCTCGCCGTAGACAGGGTCACCGGCGATTGCGAGCTGATCTGCCCAGGAGAAGAGTGTCGTCGCGTGTCGGACGGTATCGTTGTCCTGGACGTGGAATGTGATATACTCAAAGAGTCGATCGGCGTCCTTGACCTGCAGACAAGTCTGGAGAATGGCAATGATGACCGCAAAATCCTTGGGCGTGCACTTATCCGGCTCGTCGTGCAAATATGAAGTCAATGATCGGAAGCCTTGTGCGACAACAGTCTTGACAACTTCCACAATGACTGGAATATTGGATGAGACCTTGGCCGCCTTCGTGAGGACCTCTGGCTGATTTTGCAGTCGAGGCACATCCACATGGAATTGGAGGGCTAAGAATAGCACATTGAGAAGGGAGCGGTAGTATTCTGTGTCATCACCAACGAGAGCTGCCTCGTAGGTTGGGTGACGAGAGCGCAGTGCTTTCCAAACCACCTCGAGCAAGTGAAACACCTCAGCACCTCTAGCTCCCTCCTCAACGAGACACTGAGTCAGTGCCTGGGCAAAATCAACTCGAACTTGCTGAATACGTGCGAAGATGGCCTCTGGCGGGACAGCTCGACTATTGGCTTCAAGGCATTTCTGTGCTACCTCTGCCATCAAGACCGGCACCATTTGGCCAGCTCTCATAAAGTCCTGGCAATGTTCAACGGCGAAGAATTTCCAGCTGTTTAGAAGAGTCTGGAAAAATTGTTAGCAATGATCGACAAATTAATCAAAATAATCAGACAAAACTTACCACCTGTGCTTCAACAAGTGACAGATTGATGTTGGCTCTCTCAAACTCCTCGGAGAAGCCTTGTTTGCGGTTTCCCGCCCAGGCAAAGTCATACGACAATAACTGTTGTCCCATACCCAGGTTGTAGTAGTAATCACGTCCCAGAGTGCGGGACTCAAGTGCTGATCTCTTGAAGTCTGTCATCTTGCAACCAGAGTAGCGCCTCTCGAAGTTTTTCTTCAAGTTGGCGTGCAAAGAAGCATTGTAAGCTGAGACATCCACGGCATCCTTAGATAGCCATTGCACCAAGGGAATAATGTCAGCGAAGAATTTTCGACCTCGTTCGAGAGTTGCTTTATCTGATGGTGCTCCCCTGATCAGCTCCTTGTATGGGAAGAGGTAAACAGCGCAGATGTCTGTAACAACGGCCGCAATGCGTGTCGCGAAGATTTGCTCGGATACAGGGAGAGTGGAAATGTTCAGCTTCGAAACATAATGCAATATGCCGTTGAAGAATTGAGTGTGTTTTTGTAGGTGAGGCGAAGCCCATGGCCAGTTTTCCTGGGCTCGAGAAACAAACTGAAGTAGGGATAAAGCCACTTGAGGATCCTCCTTCTCGAGATGGGCAAGTTTATCAAGAGCAATTTGTAAGAATGGCGCGCCCCTCATCTTCGGGCCACCGGTATCTGTCTTCTTCAAAGTTTGACGAGGAGATGCGCCAGTGAGAATGAAAACGGCCAACCATTGTTGACGTTTGCTCACAAAGGTCGACAGAAGGTGCCAGATCGCGAGAAGTAGAGGCTTGTTGTTAAGTGACTTATCGAGCTGGGCGAGCACGTCAAGGAAAAGGCAAGCTGACTCTGCCCCAAGATGACCAACAAGAGATGGAGGTTCCTTGTCGGAGTTTGAAGAAGCACTTGTGACCAAGGTGTCCAATAACGATACGACGGGTAGTTTGTAGGCATCATTAAGAGCGTAAAGTTTGGTCAAAACCGGGGTAGCTTTGAACAATTGCTCCTCTAGAAGTGAGGCGGGCTTCTCAGCGAGTCGTGCCGACTGGACAAGCTTATCACTCAGCCTGAGAGTGGAGCTGACCTGGTCAACAACTAGGTCAAGGTAGCGGAGGTGAAGGGTAGGTGGAGTTTGGAGACCATCGGTGATCAGCCGGAGGATGGCGTTAAAAGGTAGGTCGGTGGCTGAACGAGGCCGTAGCATATCCAGAATGTAGGCTGCAGAATCAGAAAACACGCCAGTAATTTTTGATTCAAGTTTCGTAGAATCATTGATTCCGTAGACGTAGTAAAGGATGCGATCGAAAACCTTGGCAAGACCAGCACTGATTCCGAATTGTTGCTCAGGGAAGTTGAACCTCCAGTTACCGTTGCTGTTGAAAATCTCAACCATTGTACGAGTAAAATTCAGCAAAATGGTTCTCATGACATGGGAGGGGATGCCCGCACTCCAGTCCGATGCGATTGTCGATTTGCCCGAGACACTACCAGGGCATTTGCGAAGTACTGCGCGTGACACAGCATCGTCGACAGCGGCCTCGAACAAGCGAAGGGCGCTGAGAAGGAATGGATACTCCCCAGCAGGAATCTCCACTGCCGAAATGATCGCAGCTAATACTCCGCCTTTGCCGTCTGACCCGATGAAGCTGCTGCGACTCAAAAATGGCCAGATTCTGTTGGGAAGGACATGGAGGACCTCTTGGATGAATTGCATGCAGACCATCAGTAGATCCAATGCCTCCACAGCACCACCCCGTGAGCCAACATTCTGTAGGTTGCGCTCAAAAATATCCAGCACCACCGAGATGATATCGCCTTGGCGCGACAGCCCATCACTGGCCATTTCCAAAATTCTCTTCGCGCTAGTACCCGGGGAGTCATGAGTGTGGACATCTTGAGAGCTAGCCACAAGGTCAGCTAGGAGACCGATTATCTCGGTGCCGCACTCGGGATCCCAGCTAGAAGTGTCACCGCCACTCTCACTCCACTCTTCTAGCCAGCTTCCCAAGTAGCTCAGACACGAATATTCATGTTGCCACATAATGACGGCCGGTCTCGATTCAGAAATGACTTGTCCAACAGCCGTGGCTGGAATCTCCGATGACCCGTGTACCACAAGAGCATTATCCGGCTCATTACCGAGGAGCCGGCTGTGAGGAAGAGACTCGAACATTGGAAGGGCTTGTGTCAGGGACACGAAGTTGGCATTCTCATCTTCTCGAATCGTCTCGTACCCCTGGAAGTCTGACGTGACTGCCTGTGTGAAGGTACTGATGCTCTCGAGTTCTTCGACAATCTCGGGTAGGCCGTCCTCATTGATCAAGTGCGGACTCACGAGCGCACGACAGAGCTTCAGGAATGGGACTGTTTCGTACGGAAATCTGGAACGTGAGACGCGGAATATCTCATCCATAAGTATTGGAGTTTTGACAAAGACCGACTTTGGTTCACTGGCAGGGCTAAGCGAATCTTCCGAGGGACAGGGCGAAGAGTTTGGAGTCCCACTGAGAATCGCTAACAGAGCCTCCACAATCTCCGGTGAATAGTCAGTGTATCTGATTGTCTCCCGAACAAGATCAAGCAGAGCCAGACGCGTCCAACGATATGTTAAACCATCGTCGATTGCTGACATAGACCCCGCTTTGGCAGAGAGTGTGATGATTGTGCTGAAGGCCAAATCTCTGACCTGATCAGAAGTCAGATATAGCAGAGGGTCCTGCTCCTCATTCATATGCGGTGGTCGAGCACAGTCAATCAAATCTTCATAAAGAGACGGCTCAGATCCCCCAGACGGCCCTGCGGTACGCGCCTGGAAAGATTCCACGGCACTATTTAGTTGTTTCATCTCTCGATCTTGTTGCTCTTTGGAAGCTAGGTTTTGCAAAGTGTAAAGTATCAAGCCCCAGGAGAATGCAGCTGGGTTGGCAGTGACCATCGTCGTCGTCGTGCAGGCGTTGAGTAAGATCTCTGTTATTCTAGGTATCCTTTCCTTGGAGAGGAAATATGCCTCCTTTCCACAGGAGATGACTGGGGGCGTGTTCGGGTCCCCCATGGATCCGATCACAAGGGAAACTTTCAAGAAGGCAAGGGTAGTCAGCGAAACAAAAGATTGGAGTGGTAATAGCAGCTCCTTGGGCTGTTCGCAAGGCTGTAGTCCTAGTCAGCATTCAAGGTCCTAAAGTTCTATCCATGTCGACACCTACTACTTGCAAATATTCCAAAAAGTCATACTCCGCCATGAGCTCCAGCCAGGACTCCACAAGGATTCCAGAAGGCACTTCCGTTGATGGTTGAAGAGAATGAAACATCAGTTGGAGGATATGTACAATTTCCTCCACTAGGGTAGTCTTCCAGGCGGCTTCTGTGTCTTGGTTACTCTCAGAGGCGCCCAGCCAACCGCCATCTGCGGCTGCGTCCTTTAGGCGCCTTCGAATGCCGGCGATACACTCTTCCAAAAATTGCTTCAATCCATCACCGGATGCTTTCTCTTTGAACAGAGACACGCCTAGCTTGGACAATGCAAGTTTGCGCGCGGCGCCAGCCTTGTCAGAGTTGTGCGAGTCGCTTGCACGATCGTGAAAGGATAGAACCATCAGCTTGCGGAGGGTCTTGAGGGTATGGCCGCGTTCGGAGATGTAAATATTGCGTAGTCGCAAGCGTCGGTTTCTTTCCGTGTCAAAGGAAGACGTATTGTCATCACCGCCAGTCTGCCTCAAGATACTGCCTAGGTTCGGGCCAGCTACCGAAACACGAAGGTTGTCGACACCCGCCGCGCTTTGCAGACTCGTAGCCTCCTCATTGGAAAACTTTGTTGTGAGACGTGCGGCCGGGCGATCCTGCCATTCGAGGATGGCGATGCGTAGAGCGGTAATCTCGTCGATATTGGCGGTCTGACTGAGCCATTGCGCATCAGCCTTGATCTCCTTCAGATCGAATGAGCTCTTCGAATTCGTCTCGGCATGGATTGCGGCGGTCTTGGATTCGAATTCGGACTTAGATTTCGCAGAAGGGCGGGAGAAAGGGCTCAGACTCTGGGATAATTGTTGAGTACTGTCGGGGTGCGAAAGGAAGGCGGCGACATTGTCTACATCACCGGTCTGGCGTTCGGCGTCGTTTGTATAGAGAAATGCATTCTTCCAGGACCTATCAAACGATCAGTATATCAGTATCAAATGCCAACCCAAGAAGGTCAGTGAGGGTCGTACAAGAGCTGAGCGTCCCCGGAGAAGCACTTGTCCAGGGACGGGAAATAGGCCTCCGGGATGGGAGCCATTTGGCAGGGCAATTAGATCATCATAAGACCAGAGGATAAAGTGAGGACGTGTGAGATAGAGAAGGCGACAACAGGGTCGACCACAATGATAGCTCAGGTAGCTTTCGGGGAGCTCCAGCAGAAAAACATCTTTCACCGCGGCGCGAAGTCAAACAATCCGCATTGCCTATCTGGGACTAGTGTTGGGCGGTGAAGCTTTGCGAACCCAACCATAGTCGGTCCTTTTGAGTCACTCGAGTAAATCAGTTGGCTTGGTTCTTTGCTTTTGGTGATTACGACGATTACGACGATCCGATCACTACTGTGAGGCACTTTCAATTCGTGTCTTACCCTCCATCTGCCACCTCCTCCCATTCCCCCCGACCACCTACAGCAGCCATGGCAGATCTCGTCGACCATTCACCCCACCATCCCACCAAGGTTGCCCGCCTGGACAGCGCTTCCAATGTTATTCTGATCGACAACTACGACTCATTTACCTGGAATGTCTACCAATACTTGGTGCTCGAGGGTGCCACAGTCACAGTCATCCGCAACGACGAAACCACTGTGGAGGATTTGGTTGCGAAGAAGCCTACTCAACTAGTGATCAGCCCCGGACCTGGACACCCCTCAACCGATGCGGGAATTAGCAATGCTGCGATTAAGCACTTCAGCGGAAAGATTCCTATTTTCGGTGTATGCATGGGCCAGCAATGTATAATTCAATCATTCGGAGGCAAGGTTGATGTGACGGGTGAGATCCTCCACGGCAAGACATCGGTGTTGAAGCATGACGCCAGGGGAGTCTACGAGGGATTGCCGACTGTCCTCTCTGTAACTCGTTACCATTCGCTCGCCGGAACTCATTCGACTATTCCGGACTGTTTGGAGGTCTCATCGTGGGCTGAGCTCGAGAACGGCAGCGGTAAGAGTGTCATCCAGGGAGTCCGACACAAGGAACTTGCAGTGGAGGGCGTCCAATTCCACCCGGAAAGTATCCTGACCGAGTATGGGCGAACGATGTTTAAGAACTTCCTCAAGCTCACCTCGGGCACCTGGGCTGGGAACAACAAGAGCGCAGCGACTCCAGTCAAGGACGCAGCTAAGCCCGCTGCTCCCGCAGACAAGAAACTCTCCATTCTTGATAAGATCTATGCTCATCGTAGAAACGCCGTTGATGAGCAGAAGAAAATCCATGCATCACGCCCCGAGGCTCTTCAGGCTGCTTACGATCTGAACATCGCGCCGCCACAGATTTCGTTCCCTGACCGTTTGAGACAATCGGACTATCCTCTATCTCTGATGGCGGAGATCAAGCGAGCATCTCCCTCTAAGGGCATCATCTCCGCGGACGTGTGCGCCCCCGCTCAAGCACGCGACTATGCCAAAGCTGGCGCCAGTGTAATCTCTGTTTTGACCGAACCCGAGTGGTTCAAGGGTACTATTGATGATCTTCGTGCAGTTCGCCAGAGCTTGGAGGGATTCACTAATCGACCGGCTATTCTGCGCAAAGAATTTGTCTTCGATGAATACCAAATTCTGGAGGCGCGTCTTGCCGGCGCTGACACTGTTTTGTTGATTGTGAAGATGCTTAGCACTGAACTTCTCACACGCCTATACAACTACTCTCGCAGTCTGGGAATGGAGCCTCTTGTCGAAGTTAACACCCCCGAGGAGATGAAGATTGCGGTCGATCTCGGTTCTCAAGTGATCGGAGTCAACAACCGGGATTTGACTAGCTTTGAAGTCGATCTCGGTACCACAAGCCGTCTCATGGATCAAGTGCCGGAAAGCACCATTGTGTGCGCTCTGAGTGGTATTACGGGCCCGAAGGATGTGGAGGCATACAAGAGTGAGGGTGTCAAGGCCATCCTGGTGGGAGAAGCTCTGATGCGGGCTCCAGACACAGCGGCTTTTGTTGCGCAACTTCTTGGTGGATCCACTGACAAGACTTCCGCGTCATCAAGCCCGCCCTTGGTCAAGATCTGTGGCACCCGATCTGAGGAAGCCGCCAAGGCTGCCATCGAAGCCGGTGCTGATCTGATCGGTGTCATTATGGTCCAGGGCAGGTCAAGACTGGTTCCAGACGACGTTGCTCTCCGTATCTCTCAAGTTGTCAAGTCTACGCCCCGACCGGTGCTTGGGTCAGAGCCTGTCTCGAAGGCAACTTCTACGGAATGGTTTGAAAACTCGATTAACGTGCTGCGTCATCCATCTCGTGCACAACTTGTCGGTGTGTTCATGAATCAGCCACTGTCATACGTGCTTTCCCAACAACAAAAGTTGGGACTGGATATTGTTCAACTCCACGGCTCAGAACCATTGGAGTGGGCAAGTTTGATTCCCGTGCCTGTGATTCGCAAATTCGCGCCAGGCGATATTGGAATCGCGCGCCGTGCCTACCACACACTTCCGTTGCTGGACTCCGGTGCCGGTGGATCTGGACAACTTCTGGAGGAGGTGGGTGTCCAAAAGGTTCTTGAAAGCGATGAAGGTTTGCGGGTCATTCTTGCGGGTGGGCTGAACCCCGACAACGTCGTCGACACTGTTACCAAGCTTGGCAAAGCGGGATCCAAGGTGGTGGGACTGGATGTTAGCTCTGGTGTTGAAACAAATGGCTCACAAGATCTGGACAAGATTCGTGCCTTTGTAAAAGCGGCCAAAAGCGTTCGTTCATGATTCATGCCAGTGCTCTAGGTGACTTCTCTTCTCACCTCACATTAAGTTCAATTCTTGTCCATAGAAATCCCAATATTTCAGTTATCTTTTAGATACTTGTCAATTCACTTTCGCGGCATGTCAACTATCTCCCCTCTTGTCTCTCTCCTTCCAAGGTTCTTTCCCTTTGTAACATCTCCTATGCATCTCCACCGGAAAAATCTACGTTTAAGTTGTCACATGAATCTATCCTCGATTCAAGCTCTCATACTTCCGCTTACACCTACTTCATCATCAGCTTTACCATCTCTCACCAGCCGTTGTTCGAATCAATACAAGTCTCTTCATTCTTGCCCACCTGGGCAGGTGGTAAGCCACTTTTCTACACTGCCCCCCAACGGCTTGTCTTTCTACACCCGTTTAATCTACTGGCAAAGCCTGCGCTGACTTAATCATCACTTTTCACCACCTAAAAGCAAAATGGGCAAGACATTTGAGAAAATCAGACTCTGTTCGGTGGGAAAGCTCCAGGATGCAGACAAGATCCCCCAGTGGGTTCGAGCCAATGGCGGCGACTACACGAAGAGCATTGACAGCAGAACAACACATCTCGTCACTACAAAAGAAGCCTACAAGCAAAATGTTGAAGCGGGTAAGTTTTCTCTATCTAGACTTCTTTATTATTTTTCAACAACTTCCAAAACTAATCAATGACAGTCAAAGAAGCCAAGAGTCTGAAAAATGTCAAGATCGTGTCCTTTGACTGGCTTGAGGATTCCCTACTTTCTAAAACACGCCGGCCACTGAAAGAGACTCCATATCTCTGGACGAACCTCTTATCGGAAAGGAAACCGAATGAAGCAAATGCTCAGTCTGCAGTCGTGTCCAAATCCTCGCCAAAGATATGTACGTGAATGTGTTTTCCTGGAATCGACTTTTTTCCTAACTGCGTTACGAATAGGGGATCCATTTCTTCCAACGCCGAAAAAGAGTACCAAGGGAGCGAAGGGAACGAGTCGAGGTATATACAGTCACATTCGTTCCCTATCTATTGATTTCACTGACGTAAGACATCGCCAGGCCGAGTCTACCAAGAACCTGACAATGGGGATCTCTGGAAAGCAACCCTCGTGCGGCCTTGCAATCCCTTGCGCCAACGAGAGAAGTACCAGCTAGCAGTATGCTCTAACATGTCTCTTCAAACTATTCAAATTGCGGCTTACTGACAAGTAGAAGATCATGCAGTCATTTGCCAAACAACCCAGCTACAGCACTTATGCAAAGTACAGCCGGGTTGGTACGTCGAAAGTTCAGCTCCTCTTACCCGCACAGAAGAACCTTTCCGTTGCCATGAAATCCTTCGCCGAGTTCTTCAAAGATCAAACTGGCAAGGAATGGGAAAGTCGAGCCGATAAAAAGATGCCGCTGCCCAAATGCAATCACGCCGGAGAGCCCCTGCCTGCCCATGAGGGTTGGTATTCAATGGAGATATACGAAAACATCTTCACGAATTACCTGAAGAGCTACGAGGATCCCAGCAGCACGACTGATGTCGAAGTTCAGGATAAAATGGATCCAGTGCCCGAACAGCCTGTCACTGACAGTGGAGATGGTTCTTCCAAGGGACTGAGCCAGAGTCATGCCTTGCTGGAATCGCTCATATTGATGGAATTCGGACCATCTACTATGAATAAGCCAGAGGAAGATAATAACACAGCAGAGGAGCCTTCTGAAGTTGTTCCAGACGGGGTAGTTGAGGAGAGTTGATAGAAGCCAACAACACAGCTATCGGACGAGGGGCTAAGCGAAGGGTGACTGAGTATTTGACAGTCGGAGTCATGTTCTAGGGTTTTAGCATGGGTGCGAGACAAAAAAATAAGCTGCGGCTAACAAAAACAAGGCGATATCGGTCTCATTTTGCAGTTTATCTCAAATTGGGCCTGACATACCTCGCCGAGCATTACGTGATATTAAATGGATTTTGGTGATCAGTATAGTAATACTTGAGTACCTACTAGTACAGAGTTATTACCACCAGTCTATCTTCAAATTCTTATAGCCTGGAGGGAACTATTAATATCCATGGATAAAAATAAATTATGTCTAAATATATACTACTAGTAAGTTGACTGAGGACGAAAACCACCCCAAATTCCCAGTGCCCGATCTACGGCGTTAAAGTACAGATAAATAGTTTGGGAAGGGCTACCATGGAGACTCTGAGCAGAAAACGACTAACGCTAAGCCCTTTACTTAAGTAGTTAATCATCTATACCTTACGTGAGATTTGCGTGACTTCCGGAGATACCTACTCATGGTGAGGGTCATTCTCATAGGGTATTGATATGAAGATAAAATAAGAGTCTAAGTACATGAGTTGGTAAAACAGGAGCTTTTAATAACCCTTAACACCGATGCGCCAGTTGATTGACCAATAAATTGCCAAAAAAAAATCCCGTATGCCATATCTTTTCACGCCTGCAATCGACACCATGATGAAAATCCGTGGACACTTCAAAGGTAATCCTTCTTTCTGCTAGTCCTTGTGTACTGAGTGAGCGCCCATTCAATGTCACCACTGGAGCCCTTCTCAAGGGTACCGCCCCGGATCTCGAAGAGTCGCATCGTCATGCGCGGTCCGACCTCAGCAAGCTCAACGTCCCGATATCCAGTCTTGACAAAGACATGGTGTCGCACCTCAATGCTGTCTTCCTTGTTGACGAAGCTGACGACACGGTTGCCAACCTTTCCAGTTTCACGGGGAGGGAAAAGGTGCTTCAGAATCTGAACGACGCGGGTACCTAGCTTCGTGGTGAAGCCCTCGAAGACCAGGTGGGGGTAGCTCTCCGAGACAGTACCACGGGCGGAGTTAGGAATATCGGCGCGAAGAACAACGTTGTGAAGCGAGAAACTGGCAGTCGGGCCGTGAGGGAGATGGCAAACAGTCATGGCGGTAGGTGTACCACGGTGCTCGTGCAGAAGAATCATGTCGGTCAAGGAAGCGGAGGTTGCACTTGAGACGAGGTCAGGAAGAACGAGGTTACCACGATTGAGGCGAATGGCAGTGGGAAGCAAAAGTCGAATCTCCTTGGCAAAAGCGCCGAGACGAGCAGAAGGCGAGCGCGATGTGGTGACCAAAGGCCGGGGGTCAATGACGCCGGACGTCAAGGCGTATTCGTCGTCAATATCCACCTCGTCATCCTGGCCCTTAGATTCGTCGTATTTGAAGTCTTCCCGAAGAGACTTGTCGTTTGCGATTGTGGGATCTAGAGGTTTTCCAGAGGCGAGAGAGGCCTTGAGCTGGGCTCGCTTCTCGGCGATAGAGGCATCGCGGAGCAGCAAGGCTCTCCGATAGAGATAATCACGGCGTTCGCGGGTTTGTCGGCGCTATTATAAAAGTAAGCATATACAGAATATATCAGAGCAAGTGGGATATACATACCAACATATTGCGAAAAGTGTGGCTGCAAAAATGTAGATGATCTCCAAAAAGATTCGAGGCGGGCAACTTTTTTTTCTTGCAAACTCCGGGGCTGCGCAGATGGGGGCTTCCGCCTGCCGTAGTGGGATCCCACTGATAGAGAATCCGGATCGCAGATGCGGAGGCGCTTTTTGTCCACCCAAACTTTTCGACTTTCTTTTGTCGGGCCTTTCTATGACAAAGAGCTGGACGTGACGTGAGTCTGTTCTTACTGTCCATTCCTGTTCCTCACTAATTTCACCTGGACCTTTTTAGATAACCGTTCCTTTGCCACTCAGGCACCACACAGTCAGAGCGGGCCTTTAAGATTCACACTGGATGACCGGATTGTCCGCTACGCTCATTTGATTACGGCTCGGGAATTTCCTCTTGATTTGAAGCGCATGTTTTTCTCACCTTGAACTCACGTTTCTCTCGCTCCCCTCACTCTGGGCCAACTTTTGACAACCTTCGTCCACCATGGATTCCTACCCACCAGGCCTAGCGGATGACTCTCAGTTGGATGATCATAATGCTGCTCTCGGCAGAGCTCGACCACGTCGACACGATGACGAAGATGAAGGATCGGATATCCTAGAAGATGACGACTTGGAGAGTACTATCGGAGGTCCCGCCAACGGAAATCAGAAAAGCCAGGGATATGCGGAGGAAGAGAAGGAGCTCCCTGCTCATGCATGCGCGTGAGTGTCTTTGAACGATATGATAGATGTGTGAGCGCATGTGTTAACAACAAGTCTTTATCAGGTACTGTGGCATTCATAACCCTAGCAGTGTTGTGAAATGTCTTTCCTGCAACAAATGGTTCTGTAGCGCCCGCGGCAACACTTCCTCTTCTCACATCGTCAATCACCTTGTTCGTGCTCGTCACAAGGAAGTTCAACTTCACGCGGACTCTTCCCTTGGAGATACTATCCTCGAATGTTACAACTGCGGTACCAAGAATGTTTTCCTGCTCGGCTTCATCCCCGCGAAATCAGACACGGTCGTTGTTCTTCTCTGTCGTCAGCCATGTGCGGCCATGCCTTCTTCCAAGGATATGAACTGGGATACTTCGCGCTGGCAGCCCCTTATCGAGGACCGCTCTTTCTTACCCTGGCTTGTGGGCGCGCCCACTGATCAAGAACAACTCCGCGCTCGCCACCTCAGCCCTCAACTGATTGCGAAGCTGGAGGAAATGTGGAAAGAGAACTCCCAAGCAACCCTGGATGATTTGGAGAAGGCTACAGCCGTTGACGATGAACCTGCCCCCGTCCTCTTGCGTTACGATGATGCTTACCAGTATCAAAATATCTTCGGTCCTCTCGTCAAGATCGAGGCTGATTACGACCGCAAGCTGAAGGAATCCCAGTCCCAAGATGGCCTTATTGTTCGATGGGATCTTGGTCTTAACAACAAGCACCTTGCTAGTTTCGTTCTTCCCAAACTTGAACTAGGAGACGTAAAGTTGGCAGTTGGTGATGAGATGCGCTTGAAGTACACGGGAGAATTGCGCTCCAAGTGGGAAGGTGTTGGCTACGTTATCAAGATCCCAAACAACCAGTCCGACGAAGTCACTATCGAATTGCGCTCCAAAGGCGATCATAAGTCTGTACCCACGGAGTGCACCCACAACTTCACCGCCGATTATGTCTGGAAGTCGACTTCATTCGACCGCATGCAGCTCGCTATGAAGACATTTGCTGTCGATGAAATGAGTGTTTCGGGTTACATCTTCCACCGTCTCCTCGGTCACGAGGTTGCAGCTGCCCCAATGAAGACTCAAATTCCCAAGAAATTCAGCGTTCCTGGTCTCCCAGATCTGAATGGCAGTCAAATCAATGCCGTCAAGAGCGTGCTTCAGCGGCCTTTGAGTTTGATTCAGGGCCCACCCGGAACTGGTAAAACTGTCACTTCCGCCACAATCATTTACCATCTAGCCAAGATCAATGGAGGTACGGTGTTGGTGTGTGCTCCATCCAACGTTGCCGTGGACCAGCTTTGTGAGCGCATCCACCGAACCGGTTTGAAGACCGTGCGTGTGACTGCCAAGTCTCGAGAGGATGTGGAATCCCCTGTCGGATTCCTCTCCTTGCATGAGCAAGTTCGCTTGAATGATAGCAACATTGAATTGGTGAAACTCAACCAGCTGAAGTCAGAATTGGGCGAGCTTTCCAGTCAGGATGAAAAACGGTTGAAGCAGCTGACTCGCTCAGCGGAGCGGGAGATATTGAACAACGCGGATGTCATCTGCTGTACTTGCGTTGGTGCAGGTGATCCCCGTCTTGCCAAGTTCAAATTCCGAACTGTTTTGATCGACGAGTCGACACAATCTGCTGAGCCAGAGTGTATGATTCCGCTAGTCCTGGGCTGCAAGCAAGTCGTTCTGGTCGGTGATCACCAGCAGCTTGGTCCTGTGATCATGAACAAGAAGGCAGCCAAGGCTGGACTGAACCAATCTCTTTTTGAGCGACTGGTCATCCTTGGTTGCTCGCCTATCCGACTGAATGTCCAGTATCGTATGCACCCAGGCCTTTCCGAATTTCCTTCGAACATGTTCTACGAGGGTTCTTTGCAGAACGGTATTACCGTCCATGATCGCCTTCGCCGTGATGTTGACTTCCCCTGGCCCATGATGGACAACCCGATGATGTTCTGGTCAAACTTGGGCAATGAGGAAATTTCGGCATCAGGAACCTCTTACCTTAACCGTACCGAGGCAACAAACGTCGAGAAGATTGTCACCCGCTTTTTCAAGGCAGGTGTGCAGCCCAAGAGTATCGGTATCATTACTCCATACGAAGGTCAACGAAGCTATATCGTAAGCTCGATGCAGGCGAACGGAACGTTCAAGAAGGAGAACTACAAGGAAATCGAAGCTGCATCGGTTGATGCATTCCAGGGCCGGGAGAAAGACTACATCATTCTTTCTTGCGTGCGTTCCAATGACCACCAGGGCATTGGTTTCTTGAGTGACCCCCGCCGTCTCAATGTCGCGCTTACTCGAGCCCGATACGGCTTGGTCATCCTGGGTAACCCGAAGGTGCTCTCCAAGCATCCTTTATGGAACAACCTTCTACAGCATTTCAAGGAGCAGCACTGCCTGGTGGAAGGCCCTCTGTCAAACTTGCAAGAATCGCTGATTCAATTCAGCCGGCCTAAGCAGGCCTACCGTGGCCCTCAGCGTTTCCAAATGCCATTCAGCCAAGCCTCCAACGCCAACAATGCTCCTGTGAATGGCCGCAATGGTCATCGCAACGAGTATCATGATTCTGGCTCTGTCGTCGGCTATATTCCTGACGATGTTTCTTCTGTTCACGGTTCTACCCTAGGCGGAGTTGGCCTACCTTCTTCTGGATATCCTCCGATGTTCCAGAACTTCGCCGACCAGTGGCCGTCGCTATCGGGCCGTCGAGCCAATGGCGGCCGGCCCAAGGGCGCCCCCAGCGTTGCTGGAGAGTCCGTGGCTGCTACGGAATCTGATGTTACAGGAAGCATCGTCGATGGAAGGAGTGCTGACCAAGGTGGAGTGAGCCTGACAGGTTTGAGTATCAATGATATGAGCAAGCAGCCCAGTCTCAGCCAGTCCGATCGTCTGAAGCGCTACGTGGAATCTGGTGGACGCGAGCCCTATCGTGTTGGCGTTCCGGACAACGGTAGTATCTTCGGAGGTAGCTCTGCCAGCATTCGCGTCACTCGCCCGGGTGTCAACGTTCATGACGACGATGACGCCCGCAGTGTTTCTACCGCCTTTGCTAGCCAGGTTGGTGGCAACTATGACTGAATGAAGCCCTCCAACGCCATATCATGTCCGGGTACCTCCAACAGGCCCGCCCTCGCTTATCATCCTGGGGAAACAAGAATCTCCCATGAAATGTCAGCGTTACTTCCACCAGAGTCCTGCCCGTCCATTTCTTCCATGCCGACCTGGGCTCCAGATCAGTGAGGCCAAGACTGGTCCGCTACTCTTCGGGCAACCAAACTTCCTTTGTACTCCCACTTGAGACCACTGTTTGTCGTCCGCTCAAGAGTATGGCACCCTTGGTTCTTAACACATCACCATTATCATCACCGTGTCGAGATATTATTCTACGCGGCATTTAGTGGGCTTTAGGCGACTGGTATTGGCCTTGAAACCTCGATTCATGACCTATGCCCCAACAAAAATGCCGGTTGCCCGCCTACAACGGGTCCGGTAACTACTAGTTAGCAGGCGACTTTGTCAATTCTTTTGCCCCTCTTGGGCTCGGTTCTTTCTAGCACTCCATGTTACACAGGTAGCTAGTTATCGTCTTCCTTCACAATCGACGCCCGTATGCTTTTGCCTAATACTTCTCCCCCGGTATATCATAGGTTGGCATCATTTCAGCTCCGGCCCATTCCAGTAGCTCACTGGCATGATACGGTGGGCAGTCATGGATCTATGATCCCTGCTAAGAACCCATTTTTTCATCCGGAACTCCCCGAGTAAGAGCCATAGGGAAACAACGTCACGAAAACACTATATTCAGTCAAACGGAAATCTCCGTGCGCGAATGGGCAGAATAGCTGCATACCAAGAAGCTAATATTCAAAAGTCTCACCACAGCCAGTTCTATTTTTTCCCTCTGAGCCCTGATCGTCTAGCGAATCATACATACATAAGCAATCTAAACGTCTTCTAGAACCCTATGCCACATTTTTGCACTTTCTTAATATAGTATTTGTGGTGGCCTAGAAACCTTGGAAATTTGCGGGGTGCCCAGCAGTGGCTGAGGGGATCAACGGCCCCCAAAATAGTTAGAATGTACATCCTGTACTCACTAACTCGTCGATCCGCCCCCACCTGGTTTCTGTCGTCTGTCGCACTGGAGACTTAGTTAGGGCTAGACTTTCTGCCCCGCTTCATCATCAACGCCCAACTCAAATCAGCTTGGAGAATCCAGCATGACAACAATACCACCCCAGAATTGGAGAGTAGAGACAGGCTCATCGCTGATCTCCATCGGCTCACACCGTCTATGGGTCTCTGTCACTGGGCCACCGCGTAATAGCCCGCGGGATCCGCTGGTAGTCGTTATCGCCGGAGCTGGTGATGTTGCGGCTTCATACACAGCCCTCTCACCGCTGGTTTCTTCGTCATGTCGTCTCTTGCTTTATGATCGCTCCGGCCTTGGCCGTAGTGAATCGAGCCCTAGTACTACTACTACATCCTCGGATCTCCCGGATTACCGTTCTCCACAGATATCAGGATCGAGATCGCCGGCCGTAACGGTTACGGCCGCAGGAGAACTACACAGCCTTCTTGAAACAATGCAGTTAGAACCTCCGCTCGTTCTCGTTGCTCACTCATACGGGGCGATCATTGCCCGCGAGTATCTCCACCTCTATGACAGTGACGTTGCAGGAATGATCCTTGCTGATGGCTCCACCGAGCGCCAGTGTGACTATTTTCGTCTCCCAGACCCTGATATCAATGCCGTATTGGGCGATCTCAGAGTGGCGCAGGTAACAGGGCTTCGGCAAGAAGCGAGACTATCGCGAGATGAGTGGAGGGAACGAGCGATTGATATTGCGCGCGGGGCTGCCGCTGCTGCCCAGACAGAGGCTAATTCCCATACGCTGAATAAAGTTTGCCGCACGCTTGGGAGCAAGAGACAGTTTCAGAATCGGGCGATGCGGGATCGGCCTGTGAGTGTGATTCGCTGTAGTATACGGGACTTTGAGCGCATCTACGAGGCGGGAACTGAGGCGGGCAATGGGACGACCGAACAGAGACAGGCGTTTCGAAGGCTTTTGGATCGATTGCCGTTGATTGACCAGGATGCTAAAGAAGAGCAGCTTCAGCTCTCATCGAACACGCATCTTGTTTACCTGCCGGAGTGTGGCCACAACGTTCATTTGACACGCCCGGACGTGGTGGCGGAAGAAATCCGGTGGGTGCTGGAGCGTGTTGACCAGTGGCAGGGTCTCGGGCGGGACGAGCTGAAGCTTTGATGTTTTTGTTCGTGGGCCATGGTCAATCATGAGATTTTCCCTGCTCTGACCTGGTATTGCGTACCCTGCCGTACCCTGCCATGCAATCCTTTCCAGTTACTGGGCAAACTATGAATCTTGTAGCCTAAGAAGTTTGTTTGAGACTAATCGGCATCCACTGCGCAGCAAAAGAATCTACGAAACATTGCATCTTGAACACTATGTTTAGATTGCATAGCCTTGAGATTCGCAAGCTTTCTGTGATAGACTGGTGGGTTCATTTTGAATTCATAGGAGCCTAACTCTCAGTGTGCCCAACCCTTACTGTGCAGTGCAGGTGGACTGTGAACAGCGCGCTTAATTTTTGGATGCCTGATCGCCTGCCGGTCACGTGTATAATACCTGCATACACCGCCACGCCTTGTTCACTTCACCGATTCCCGAGCATTCCACTCTGCAGATTTGTCAGGCGCGTGTGGCAATCAACAGACAGGTTTTGACCGGGAAATGGCTGCCTGACTGTCCCTGTTGGCCGTTGGCCTGTTCTGCGGTGTTAGCCCAAAATCCCGTCTGGCTAAGCCGCCATTTATGAGTCATGGCACTTCATTCTTGCCACACTTCGTTCAGGCCGAGAGGTGGATGAGGGAGATGGGTGGGGGAATAAAAAGGAACAACACATCCCACCTGCGCGTAGATCTGAGATTTTCAAGTTTAGCTCCTAGTTCAGACTGAAGAATCTGCTTGTGCATATTACCTTGGCCCTACCCTACATACATTCTCAGCTTTATCGGCAACTCCGCGCCACATCAGAAGCGCGCCACCTTCCGCCACAGCGGATCCACCCCTGCAAGCGGTCAACCCAGGCATAAAAGGTATAAATAGGGCATTAAGGCACCCCTTTCTTGCTACCTGAAAAATTTGGCACTTCCATCACTCTCCAAACTAGCTCCCCCATCAAGATCCCCGTTCTATCGCCTTCTTTATTTGAACCCATTCCCCTCTCCGATCTAAGGGTTTTACTTCGCCGATCCTATCTGACGACTTCGATCCTTTCCATTCTCTCTGTGATTTCTCCTGAGTCATCGGTTGACGCGTCTTGCCGGTATTCATCACTTTATCTACTCCCCCTCCGATCTGAGTGTGGAGTCCGCGATTTGGATATGGGAATAGACGGCTCTGACTACCCTAGTCCGCGAAGTGAAGCTCCGCACAGTGCGACTACTGCCTCGGTCCTTGCCTCGGCCCACGCTCAAGAAGGCCTGTCCTCAATTGCCAGAATGAACGAACAACCCCCCACTTCTATTGCCGGATACGTCGAAGGGACGCGCCCTCGCCTCTCCGTCCGACGCGCTCGTGATCCCCCCAAGAACTCAGAAGGCCAGATCTTCTGCGACCATATTGATTGTCAGGAGGCGCCTCCGACATTCCGTCGTCCTTGCGAATGGAAGTAAGTACAATGACAAATCCCCTCTCTCCTCGCGACCGTACATTCGCTAACCCCGACACCAGCAAACATATGGATAAACATGATCGCCCTTACAAATGCTTTGAACCCGGCTGTGACAAGATTCAAGGCTTCACCTACTCCGGCGGCCTCCTTCGCCACCAGCGTGAAGTCCACAAAAAGAACACCGACGCCAAGAAGCCATTGATGTGCCCGTACGGCGATTGTAACCGCAGCACTGGGAATGGATTCACACGCCAGGAGAATCTTCGAGAACATCTCCGCCGCCGCCACATGCACACTGACGATGGACCCGCCATCATGCTTGAGAGCCCATGGGACCGTGCCAATGAGCTTGAAGGAATCAGGTCCAACTCCCTCCCGGCTGCCGGTGTTAAGCGCAGGCATGAATCTCCCAATGGAGACCTGCCGGAAACCGACGAAGCCAGTCTCGATCTACACAATGAGGTGAAGCGACTGCGCCGCGAAAATCAAGAAAAGGATCAACGCCTCCTGGACCTTGAGCGCATCGTGCTTAGCCTGCAACAGACACTCGCCCAGCCCCCCGCCCCCGCGCCCGAGCCCGAGTCTCAAACACTCTCACAGGCGATTTCTCCCGTTCCCCAGGCTGCCGCTCCACAGGTTTAGTTCTGGTGGCAGTGCTGTCTCCCCTTAATGTGTTTTCCTTATTCTTTTTTTTTTCTTTTTCAGTCGCATTCCGTGGGCGTTCACCGAAGCAAGAAAATATTTTTCTTGGATACTTGCTTCTTCCCCCTTTATTTTTGCGCCTCCATTCCCTGCATCTGGGCTCGTCTGCGAGGGCTTGCATTTGATTCTACCAGCAAGTCGATATGGCACTATGGCGTTTTATTTGAGCTTGATCCCAGTTTTTCCAGTGGAGGTTGCTAGTTTTGGGTGGCCTCATACTATACCCCGGTGTACCATTCAGTGTTTTGCTTTATGATATGATTTTCAATTCTCAACACCTCTTTTCTCATCTATTTACCGAGCGAGGTCTTTGAACGACCTTTCTGTTCACTATAATATCCCATCTCTCAATGAAACCCCGTCGTATATTGGACAATTAGCTCTTGATCGATTTCAATCTCCTCTCCACACTCCACTCTCCAAATGATACATTATCTAGTTGATAAATTAAACTTGGTCTCCCACCTCAGAAATTTCTGTCAATTTTTTTTCTATACTTTGGACGACTCGTATCGTATACTTCGAGCATCATCAGGCAAAATCAGGCTCACCAGAACGCCCCGGCCCCGCTAAAGAACATGTGGAATCCAGGCAGCCAACTTCAGGCATCCGGCCCCCATTCTTAGGTCCGTACATATAACGGACCCATCTATCTCCGACCGCCGCCCGGGCACCTAGCCCCTACGACTAGCATCTAGCCTTCCTCCCGGATTTTGCCTCATAGCTAGTCTCCAATCCCACGAGGCTACTACCCGGCAACCTCGGAATACGAATGACTCACGAACGGTAGCCGGTGGCCCTCGCTGACAAACTCGAGTCATCTTGACGGGGCCAAGGCGCGGCATCTTCGCGGGTTTAATGAGATGTCCGCCTGTCCGCCTGTCCGCCTGTCCGCCTGTCATCGTGAGGGAAACCTTGAGCGGAGATGGGGCGTTGGGGTCGGGGCCAAAGCTCGAGCTCAAGCTAGAGCTCAAGCTAAGATTATGATGCCTTGCGATGACGAGTGGTGTATATTCCGAATACGGTAAACGCCTCGGTGCTGGATTTGGTCTCCGCTTGTGCTCGGACGGTTGGTGATCGGGTCATCGTAAAAGATGACTGTGGCAGGATGAGTCGAGGCTCTGTTTTCACTTGGTGAACGAGGCTCTGCACAGCCGGATTTTGATTTGGAATGAGTATGCTATCCGTGCTACTCCGGGCAGTCAGGCGGTACTAGTATCTGGGAGGGGCGTTTACTTCGCTCCGGCTTTGTGCTACTGGAGTCATTTGGAATAATTTAATCATATTATTCGGGTCGTACCTACTAGGGTATCACTTCTGTTTATCCTGATCTTGGGCTGGGGCTCGACGGGCAGCTATTTGTGCTCTAAGCCCTAGGGATGATATACAGACGCATAAATTACTACCATCTAAACTGGTTGTTGAGTATAAGACATCGTAATACATATCCGCGATATACTTCCACATCGCAGGGCTTAATTTGATTCACTGAAATAGTCGTTCATTTCCACGCAGGGTAGCCAGCGCTTTGATCCTATCAATACACCACCTGCAGGTGATTCAATACTACTACTAGTATTTTCGCGCTAATAAATTACACGGCAGACCTCGGGAGCTTGCACACCACTGGCAGTAAGGGCTTGAATGGCCTTTATACTAGTAGTACCAAGTCCTGAGGTCTACTACCTTAGGTGACCACTGGCAAGTGGTAAGATGGTCCACGCTGCAACAACAGCCCCGGACTCGGAGGTAGTAGTAGATACTAGTACTTACTAATGAGGACTCAAGTTTTACCCTTGCATACTACTACAAACTTGAATAAGTCTAGAGGCAAAGCTCTCTTACAGTGCTGCCTGCGTTCATTTTGTAGTTGTAGTCGAATTCCTCTCTCTCCCCAGTCCTATGAGGCTGAAAACCCGTAGTTAGTGAGGATCCAAAATTGTCCCTCACCACCTTAACCTCATCACTCATCATTGGTGTCAAGCTCCCAAGGGATATAAAGCAATTTCAATTAAAACACTCATTCGAAGGCGAGGAAAATAATGATACCACCATAGATTTCAGATGCTGGACTTGGAGTGGATCATGGATGACGCCGAGATCTACGTGACTTAGTAAGCTCCGACCTAAATCCAACCTCTACTCGCTGCCCGCCAAGGCCTTCCTTCGCACTGTCATCGAGGACTCATCGACCAGGGTTAAGAAAGGAGTGTATTGCTAGACTCTGTGTAGAAGCTCCCGATCGAGCCTTAGGCAGCACAACCGCGCCAAATTCGGCAGGCAATGGCACGGTGCTTTGACGGATCGCTCCTTCTTCGTTTCACTCTATAGAGACCGTGCACGTGAGCCTCTCTCAGTACCTTCACTATCTTCACTATCTTCTATTCTTTCTCTGCCCCAGTCTGCTTCTTTCTCTGATCTTCCTTCCACGGCAATTTCCACGGCAATTCTCTCGACATGCCTGTATCCAACGAGATGCCCATGTCCATGAGTGGGCAGGCGCATTATGTTCGCACTCAAGATTATAACACTTCGCCAAAGTTTGCCGGGCCAAATACATCAACCGGCACATTCGGTTTGACAGCGGCAATTGACTTCGATGAGGATGATGGCACTGATGTCGTTGTGGTTGACCCCAAACTCTTCGATCCCAGCACTCACCATTTTGCGGAAGGTGATTTTATCTGTTCTGGATTCTTCTCTCTCGCTAAACTTGATGGATTCACGCGTCGCTTCAAGTTCTCACAGTGGAGCTATGACATGCGCCGCGAGGCTCAATTCATATTTCCTTTTCTGGCCCTTGGCCCTTCTTCCTGCTTGCGCGATCGGGAATCCCTCCAAGAACATGGATTCACACTTCTCCTCGCCATTCGGAATACTCATTCCGCCCACGCACGGCTTGTCTCTGGCGACAAGGCCGCAGCAGAACTTGGCATCCTGGCCGATACCATTGATGTCCTTGACAATCAAGAGCTCATATCCACGTTTCCGAGGGCGATCCGCCGCATAAACGACCATCTCGCGGGCGCGGACGTGCCTTCAACCGCGATTCCAAGCCTAAGAGATGACCCGTCTCGAATGCGGAAAGTTCTCGTCTTCTGCGAGTCTGGAAATGAACGATCCGCTAGCGTCGTGATTGCGTACATTATGGCCATGCTCAACATGGACACAGTGCCTGCAACACGGATGCTACAACAGCGGCGCTTTTGCATCTCGATTGATGATGCTATGACCCGAATTCTCCTTTCTTTTGAGTCCATCCTTGCTGCCAAGCGCGATGTCGAAAGATCCCGACGCGCGAATATCCAAACAGGGGCCGCGACCCTCGCTCCTCCACCTATACCCCCTATCATGCTTGCGAAGAAGCGGAGTTTCGCAGATCGACAATTTGAAGATACCCAAAAGGCTGGTTATGAGATGGATATTGACGATGATGTTGGCTCACTCTTGGATCGCAAACCGATGGCACCTTTCCAGGACCGTGTGGCCTAGATATTTACCGCATTACTGTCTCCCTATAGAGGCTCGGAGTCACAACGGACCTGATTTTATATGTTGTCTGGTGGAAATCGTCTTAGAACCTTCTTCGGCCCTCGCATCTGGATACTAAACCGGAAAATGGAGTCAGTTTCTTTCTTTCGGTTTTTGTTATTCAAAGGTCTTTTACTTCAACACATTTTGGCTAGTATTTGTCCGTTTGCTCTTTACGGAAATACCCAGCTCGATTTTCTTGTTTCTTTTTACTACGTATCCCGGTCCTGATTTATGAACTATTTCCTGAGAAGTAGATGTGCATCCGCAGCCCATCCTGAATTACAGTTGAATACCGACTGACTACTTTACGTACAAACTCAGAGTAGCCGAATCTCTCAGAAATTTAACTCTGTTATTTTCCAGACATTTAAAATCAATTGTTTTCTCAAACCTGGTTGTTTTGACCTGTCTCGAGGGCCGGGTTAAGGCCAGACTAGGTACCCGTCACTGCCAACACGGCCTCACTCGACCCGCGTCACTTCTGCTCAGTCTTTCTGTTGTCATCTCTCCTCACATCTCTCTTCTCTCAAGTCAACTTACTCTGAGTCCCTGTAGCCTGTATTATTTCTCCCTACAGGGACCTTGTGACATTTAAAAAGAGCTCACATTCGCATCTTTTTTCGGCATCTCATCATTTTCCGAACTTGCTTCATCGCATTATCTTTCCCTTTCCGCATACTACTGCCAAATCCTCCCCTCCGCTCCCCTCTCACTCTTGTACAAGCCCACTCGGTGTATTTCTGCCTTGTTCAAGGAAGCTGTGCTTTTTCAGGGGCCGCCAGAAGACATCGGACTGTCATTACTGACTTTTTGTCAGTTTCAACCCCCGCCACAGCAAGAGTGTCCCACTGCATCAGGGTGTAGCATTCACATTTCTGGAGGCCTTCTCTCTCTAATACATGCTTTGCCTACCATGAACAGTGACAGGCAACTGCGTTGCACCATACGTGCCCCAGCGAGGTATGGTGAATGCGCGACCGAGACACCAACTTCGGCCCTATTAATGTCAATGCATTTGGCACGAGGGCAATCGTTATCGGCCGATCCAACAAATCCAGTGTCAGAAAGCCTACATCCATCGCTTCGCAGGGTCAAGATCACACGCAAACCGGAAATAATCGAATTCGATCCCACATTGGCCCCTGCGGATTTCCCTGAGCCGTGGCCCAAAAGGCAAAAGATCTCCCAGAGCAGACCCGAGGAAGGCCAGTACTCATCCGGTATTGACTGGTCTATGAGCAACTGTGAGTCCAACCTCATTCACAGAAGCAATATGGCCGAAATTGGTGCAATTGAGGGACAAACAAAAGCAATTGATGTGGCCGACAACCTGAGCATTTCTGACAGCGACGGTGAGCCTCTAGATGATCAAGAAGCCCTTGGACGGAAAGTAAGTTAAACATCCGTCTTCCTCAAAACCCTTAGGTCGCCGACGCATTGCTGCGGATGCTGACTTTGTTTGAATAGATTGTCAATCCAACCTGGAGCGACCTCAATCCAGCCATACAACTGCAAATCATCTCTGGCCTCCTCAAGCACTACAACTGGGAGAATTCCTGCATAAAACTCGGCCTGGGCAAAGAAGATCGGAGCAAACTGTCACATTATCTGAACACGCGGGACCAGCAAATTTCTCGGGAGGATCGAGCCCTGGCCGCCATGCGGGAAAAGCAACTGGCCCATCTTATGAACATGGATCAAAGCATTCTGAAGCAAAGCCCTGTGCCCCATCAGTTCGTTCTTAACAGAATCTCTCGGGACTTCCAAAATTCGCTTACTGCGATGGCTAAACCAGAACTCGAATTCTGCCGAGCTGATGATATACTGGCAGCTAGGCAGTTCCTCCGCAACCATTATCTCAATGAGAACCTTGCCGGCCAGTGGGATAGCCCTCTTGTCCAACTAGCCGCTATTCCCCGTACCGAAAATCACGGCACACGAGAGATTTTCCAATGGAAGGAGGATTGGACCATACCGGCATGCAGCTTCATCAACCCCCAGGGACCGATTCGAGACTGTGCACCCGGCCCCTCGTTTGATGAGATACCCTCTTCTGCCGAAAACATGTATTTCAAGAGCGGCTCCTACTGCACAATAAACCCTCGAGATACCTTTAAGGGCGATTGTTACCCGTTTGCGTCTTGGAAAGAGCATACTCCATTCTACCTGCGCGATGAATTTCAGGACGCACGTGAAAAAGTTCGGGAGCATGTTCGAAGGGAGATGTCATCGCCTTTAGATGGTTCCGAATTTACTCGAATACGAGTTGGGCCAAGGCAAGAAGCACGACTGTCGCTTGGCTTCCGTGATCGGACATTGTACAACCCCCTTGACCTGTCGTTCAAGAGAAGAGTGAATTTGGCGGGAGCAAAAGAGATCCAGAAGGCTCACTTCTATCAGCCCCATGTACCATTGCCTGGTAAAGAGGACGAAACCCCATCTAAGCCACCGAAAGGAACGCACAAGTCTGCTCATGTGTCCTATGAACCGGTAACGCGTTCTCTGGGTGGGTGTTGGTCTTTCAATGAAGTCCATCCCTCTGTGTCACAGTCCCGATACAAACGACAGATCGAAGAGGCCAGACTGGAGTCAGAGCAACAGAAAATGAGAAACCTAGCCTGGCTAATGGAATACGAGACTTCGGGGACATATGGTTCTCCAAGCACTCCCCAGGGGTTCATAGACGAGATATTGTATGGCGGTTCCCAGGATGTTTTATCTGCCGAATTCATGCATAACCTCCCCGGTCTGGACGAGACCTTTTTTGGGTCCTATCCCCCCTGTCGAAACCGACTGGATGGTGCCCTACTTACCGAGCGGTTACTTTCCCAATGACACGATTCTCAATCCATACGCGGGGCAGGATCAGATGCTGGTCGGATGGAACGCAGGGTTTGATTGAAATCGTGAGAACAGCAGTATGTATGAGGAGAAGCATATTCCGACGATGTGGGAAGGGCCGATAAATTTCGAAGTCATTTATGCCGAAAAGTCGAAACTGCAGTTGTGAGAAGAATTCATGTACTGATACTGTTTGAGTTATTCTAGTTGTATGAATTAAAAGTTATCAGATACTAAAGACTTTCATTCATACCATACCATAGCGGGTTACCTTAAATGACGTTGTTATCGCATCGCTGATCTAAAGTGGCTGGTCTGTGCGCCAACGCGAAAATCCGCGTCGCACACGCGCCAAGCACCCCTTCAGTGCCGCCGAGATCGAGGCTCTCTACTTGCGATTTTGCCGAAAGACTCGAAGACACTCAAGCCTTTCAATCGCGTGTTATCACCAAACCTGCAAGACCTCTATTTCATATCCTTGGAGTTTGTCCACTCGTCGAACCGGTGAAATCCTGATTTGGACAAGAATTCTCATCCCTGGGAATGACGTCCTACCACACCTTCAACCTATGATCTCTTGAGAGCACTGTATCCTTAACCTCCAGCTCTTTCAAAAATCACAGCAGCAATGGCGACGACCGGATCTCCGACCGCCACCCCGACTGATTCCCGTGCTGGCACCATGCAGCCAGAGTCTACCTTGCCTTCGTCCCCAATGACCGAACTCACAAATGGAGAGACGAAACCTGTTTCAGACAGCGAGGGAACTGGTGGACAGGATCAATCGACAGAGAAGAAGGATGAAGATATCGAAGGCATGGATACCAAGGCTAAGGGCCTGATGCACTTGTTGCAGAGTAGCTCGGTAAGCCGCCGAAGGGCTATCCAGCATGACCACTTGCCACCAGTATCTAACCGAGTGTTTTGTAAAGTTATTTGTCGCACTTATGTCGGAGAAGATGAAAAAGCAGCAAGAAGAGGCTCGACAGCGAGCTACGAAACGCCAGCAATCTGCCGCCGACGAGAAAGACAAGCCTGCAGCGGCACCCGCAACCACAAATACCAATCGACGCGGCACAAGAAATCGAAAGTCAGGAGCTGCAGTTTCAGAAGAGGCTCCAACAGCGAACGATGCACCCTCACAGAAGAAAGGCCGCACAACAAGGAAGAGTGGTGGTGGCACTATCTCGAACTACTTTAAAAAGGCCGAGGTGGAGGTCAAGGAAGACAATCCCACCGTGCAGGAGGTGCTGGAGAATGCAGCTGATGAATACGAGTCAAAGCCCACTGCCATCGGCGAGCAAGAACTCGTTGCGACCCAACAACCGGCGCTGATCACGGGTGGCAAGATGCGCACATATCAGCTAGAGGGCCTTGAGTGGCTGAAGACCCTATGGATGAACGGTCTCTCCGGTATTCTGGCCGACGAAATGGGACTGGGAAAGACAATCCAAGCCATCTCAATGATTGCTTTCCTGAAGGAGAATAATGTCTCCGGGCCCTTCTTGATCGCTGCCCCGCTCAGCACAGTGAGTAACTGGGTAGATGAGTTCAAGAGGTGGTGTCCGAAGATCAAGACGGTCCTATATCATGGATCCAAAGCCGAGCGAGAAGCACTCCGCACCAAGCATATGAAAATGCGCAACCAAGGAGATATGGACTTCCCCGTTATTTGCACCTCTTATGAGATTTGTATGAATGATCGTAAATTCCTCGGGCAGTACCAATGGAGGTACATCGTTGTGGTATGGTTTGACTCTTAAAATTTACAGGCTGCCAAAGTTGCTAATTGGAGATATAGGACGAGGGGCATCGCCTGAAAAATATGAATTGCCGTCTTATCAAAGAGCTTATGGCCTATCGATCTGCCAACCGCCTATTGATTACGGGAACGCCGCTGCAGAATAATATCTCTGAGCTTTGGTCACTATTGCACTTCCTCCTACCGGAAGTCTTTGATGATTTAAATAGCTTCGAAAGCTGGTTCGACTTTTCATCCGTACTCGATGATAGCGGCAAAGCAGAGCTCCTCGAACGCCGGAAGCGCAATCTTGTGACAACAATGCATTCAATTTTGAAGCCTTTCCTTCTGCGGCGAGTCAAGACAGATGTCGAAACCGATCTGCCAAAGAAGCGCGAGTACATTTTGTACGCTCCTCTTACATCCGAGCAAAAAGAACTTTACAGAGAGATCCTCAGTGGCACAGGCCGACAGTACCTTGAAACAAAGGCTCTGGAGCGTTTGACAGCCAAGAACCCAACTCTCTCCCGCTCGTCAAGCCGAAAGCGACGGCGGGAAAGCAGCGAGTCCGAAACACCCAACAAGAGTATCCGATCAAGTGGAGCTTCCACTCCTAGCGCGAGTGCCAGTGTCAGCACCAGCTCTAGTCGCCGTCGCCGCGGTCCTCAAAGTTACAAAGAAATGGGCGACCGGGAGTTCGATGCGAAGCTGCGTATGCTTGACAAGGGAATCGAAGTCGAGGAAGAGGAAGCTGAACCAAGTGATACCGAGCTCGAGGAGATTGAAAGAGCTGAGACAATTAAGCTCGCTAGTGCGTATAGCCCCATCTCAAATGACTAGTATTGAAACTGACAATTCCCACAGAAAAGGAAATTGCCCAGAAAAAGATGCAAAACCCTGTCCTGCAGGCCCGTTTGGCTTGCAATTCCCCGCACAATTTCTACTGGCCTTGGACAGATGAAACGTCCGATGTCGACGAGTCTCTCGTGTCGGCTTCCGGGAAGATGCTTCTCTTGGACCGACTTGTCCCCCATCTCTTGAAGAGGGGACACAAGATCCTAATATTTTCTCAATTCAAGACCCAGCTGAGTATCATTGAAGAATGGTCTACCCAACTCCGGTCTTGGCCATGCTGTCGCATTGATGGAGCCATGGCTCAATCCGAACGCCAAGCCCAAATTAAATTATTTAACACAGACAATAGCCACAAAATCTTCCTCCTCAGCACCCGCGCCGGTGGACAAGGTATCAACCTGACTGCTGCCGACACGGTGATTCTCTTCGATTCAGACTGGAACCCGCAACAAGATCTGCAAGCCCAGGACCGCGCCCACCGCATCGGTCAAAAGAAGCCCGTGATCGTGTACCGACTCGCGACAAAAGGAACGGTAGAACAAACTCTACTTGAAAAGGCAGACTCCAAGCGCCGGCTCGAGCGACTTGTGATTCAAAAGGGCAAGTTTCGCTCATTGCTGGACACGAGTGCCAATGCCCAAGAGCTCGAAGACTTGCGCCAGGCTCTTGGAGAAGATGAATTCGAGCGCTTCGAGCTTAATGATCAGTCGATTCTTTCGGATGAAGAACTCGCTATCTTGACAGATCGGAGCGAAGAGGCTTATTCCCGTGCTGAGAAGGGTCTTGATAAGACTGGTCATGCCTTTGTGGCTGTGGAGACAAAGCGTGGTGGTGAAGAGTCTCTGATGTCTTGAGTCTTGCGGCTGTAATGTGAAGTGTTTTACTCGACCTTGTTGGTCTTATGGTTTGGCGTTGATCCTAGATCTGGGAGGATAATTATTCTTGTCCTTTTGCTTTTTGTTGTTGATTGTTTAGGCGATCTCATAGGCTCTGCTTGCCTTGAATCTAGAAGCAATGCAATCTTGTACAATATCCTAAGAAGTCTTTCTTTAAATATCCACTGGCAATGAACATTTGTTCTAGCGAGCTCGAACCTCGTCGCTTGCATTTTTTGGCGGTGCGTCCACCTCATCCTTTTTTTGTTTTTGTTTTTGTTTTTTTGTTTTTTATAACATTCATCATTCCCAACAAGCCATAATATTGGATCTTTCCCTTCTACAATCTGACAGGGTCTACTTACGTCTGACTCGGGGGGTCGGATGTTGCCGGTATATTTTAACGCAGGGTCCTAATTTTGGGTTCATGTACGAATCTACTGAAGATTTTCTTGTTTGCCTGAAATTATAAGAGGCTTGTTGTTCTACTATTACTTAACTAATGTAGTCTTCGCTCGCCAGGTGAAACAATAATCCATTCAGCGCCTGTAGCTCCTTGCCAGCAATGTGGCTGTAAACGAAAGGAGACGAAAGATGCAGCCTATACAACCCAGATCAAGATACCCGCACGAAGAAAATGGCCTCAGGCTATTAGCCTTGGGGCACTTATCGACGAGATCTCTCTTCTTCGACCTGCTGACGAAGATCGGCAAGAACTCCTTTGCGCTGAGCCAAGTGGCTTTTCAGCCCGTCGACCTGCTCCCCAACAGTCTTGACATCTTCCCTTGATCGCTCTAGGTGTTGCCCATCTTGCGACCGTCCAACACCCTCACGCAATTCCCGGAGCTCCCGCTCCTTATATTCCAGCAGCTGGAGAGCTTCCTTCTTGATCAAAACCCAGTTGGGCCGGCCATCGTTTCGGGGTTGATCGCGTCTATTGTCAGAGGATTGACTGGCAGACTGAAGCTTTGATTCAATCTCAGCCAGCTCCCGGCGCAACCGGACCTTCTCCCACTCCTCATCCTGGACGGTTTCGCTGAAATCCGTACCCTTCGGCTGGTATGAACCCTTGCCGCCCACTCCCAGTCGGCTGAGATATGAGTCTCCAAACTTGGCCTTGCGACCACTTGTTGTCTCGACATTGCCTTCCGTGCCCCAACGTTGGGCTGGCGCGTTGTCAACCTGGTAGTCGATCTGGTTGTTCTCAAACGAGGCGCGGAGGGATGCGGGGATGGCACGTGGGATTCGGAACCCCTCGTGTCGGTAGTTTAGGATGTGCAAGAAGGCAAGGGTGGCGTCTTTGTTAATGGCGGGCGCGACGGAGGGGTTAACGAGGTTCCATGCGGAGCGGATATCGGTGTCTGGGACTTCGAGGGAGTCATATAGGGGTTGTAGGGATTCGACTGTAGTACCGCAAGTTTTAGCGTTAGCGAGTGTGATCACCATGTACCGGGTAAGTTGTCTACTGACACGTAGTTTGGCCACGGGGGTTGCGATTGGCGCTATAGATTTCCTCGTATTTGGCCTTGTCGGCCGGCTTCATGTACCACTCGAAGCCATCCTTGAGGCCCAGGCTGTCATCCTCATCCTCTATCCGTTCGAATTGCTCGGGGCGGCCGCTCAATGCTCGTGTCGCGTGTACAAGGTGTGATTTTGACTCCGGCACAAGCCAGTCTGGCAGAACGGCGGGGACTTCTTGTAGTTCCTGTTCGAGGCAATGCCATGTCAACACTTGAGGGTTCTCAGACGGGTGGGCGGGGTGGTAGAGGAGGGGGAGGGGCAGGGGATACGCACGCCATTGACGAGGTCGAATACCAGGCGCATTGCGACACAGAATTCCTCGAAATCAAGCTCTCCATCACCGTCCACATCTGCGATATCCCAGACCTTCTCGAGCTGGTCATCACGCAGGCGACTGTTGCGCAGCACGGAGGCAGCCTGGGAGCTATTCAGGTGGGCCTGACCATTCGAAAGCGATGCGAAGATTTCCCAATATCGCTCAATCTCATATTGCTCGATCTTTTTGGCGGACATGATGGCTGCTGAGGAGTTGAAGGTGGAGCGACTTGGGGGGTTCCATCATTGGGGGGGAAGTCGGACTTCCGCTGTTTACGGGGCCGAGCCCGATTAGCTAATTCTGATCCAGCGTCATCGCAGGCTGCCAACTACAGCTACAGCTACATTTACATCTACATCTACATTTACATGACTATAGTGGATTCCTTCATTCAATATTAGGCTATAGGCCACGTGCTGAAGCACATTCAAGATATCTGAATATCTGATGCGCAATTTGACTCCGGTGACGAGTCATTCTTAGCCACATCAGTGCTACTCTCCTCCGACGCATGGGTGTTATATAGTGCCGTCTGCAGAACGTCAAAAACAATGTAGCCTTGATCTCTAGGGCTACTATCATTCTTCGAAGATACGAAGCTCTTCTCGGCCCTTTGGAATCGCTCCCTCACTCGTTCATTCAGCCCCACAAAGACCAGTTCAGCATCCGCGCCGGCCCACTCCTTGAGCATGGATCTGGTATCTGCCAGAGCCTGCATTCCACTTGTGTCGATGTGGGTGACGCGCGTCATATCGATGATCACTGTCCGTACATGGGGAAGGAAGCTTTCCTCGTTATTCGTTGTGCGTGCTTTCTTGCGCAAATCTTCAATGCGTCTAGCTTTGGTATCATTCCAGAGTCTGTTCGTGGATTTTTCCGCATTTTGGTAATCCTCTGTGGTCCCTGAAGGAGTTTCGTGCGCCCGGAAGTGTAGGAATAGATATACTCGGTGAATTGGCGTGCGATGCGGGCAGCATTGGGATAAAGGACTGAATCACAGAGAGCAAATACAACCGTATCTTCGGGCAGCTGTGCAGGTAACGTGCTATACGTCGAAGCTGGGTAGAGCTGGGGATAATTGCCGCTTGTCACCATGTCCACTTGGGCGAATGCTAGCTGGAAAAGAACGTAGACGATTATATACCCGACTGCGCAGGCAATGCCAATCTCAACGTCCACGAAGACTTCTATTTATTCATGTCTATTCTCAAATTACCCCCCGAACTTCTGATACAGATTGGGAAAGCTTTAGAATGCTCTGATCTGAATCATCTTCTTCAATGTCATTCTTGTCTTTGGAAGATACTGAGCAACCTCCTTTATCAACGCAATATTCACAATACCTCTGCATTATGCTGGGCTTCGGCTCAAGGGTCTGAATCCACTTTGCAATATATTATTGATGCTGGAGCAAATGTTCAATGGGAATCTCAGTACTTCGCCTAGACAGTACAACGACATCGAACACGCTTCCGAACTACACGTCAAAGAGCGGAGATGAAAAAGCATCCAATATCCTATGCAGCAGCTCAGGGGCATACAAGAATCGTGGGATATCTCCTCGATTTAGGAGCCGATATTAATTATCGTGACCGGGTTGGTTTAACGCCCCTTACTCTCGCAGCTCGCGAAGGTCATTTAGATCTGACTCGAAAACTCATATTCCAGGGCGCAAAGCAACCATCACACGACAAAGAGGGAAGATATCCACTTGCGCAAGCCGCATCAAAAGGCCATCAGGAGGTTGAGGCCTATCCTTTCGAACCACTTCGCCAATACCCTTACGGAAAACCAAATCCCGGATTGGACCTCTACTGGATGTTAAGATACGCTGCAGAACACGGCGATGAAGACCGCATATGATACCTTCTGTCACAGGGAGCGGATGTCAATTTCCAGATATCTGCAGAGAGTCATCCACCTCTGCATGGTGCGCTTTGGGCTCCACGATCAATAAGTGCCGCCCGGCTTCAATTGGATAATGGAGCAGACCCGAATGGAAAGGCTTCACCATCGAAATTCAAATCATCTGAAAGAGAAGAACGGGTGAAATCATCAATCCATTATGCTCTTCGGAGAGATGAGAGCCACTTTCTAATTGAGCTCCTTATAAAATACGGGACAGAAGCTGAATATCACAGCCAGGCTTTAATCACTGCAATTTACTTAGAAAAGCCTGGGAATTTGAGTATCTGGTGGAGCACGGAGCCAGATTGTCTGCAGAATATCGCAGACGATCTGTCTTTGAAAGACCTATTGATTCTGAGCGTCAAGCTACTATCAATATTGCTTGAAGCATAGATTTCGTCCAGGTATTAATAGGTAAAACGTGAATTGACCCATGGGACTTTTCGATATATTTCCTGCTACTTCCTATTATTTTTCTGATATCTTAACAACTTGACCCATGAAAAATGACTTGAAAATGATATTTGCACGAGAGGGGAACTCACTTTCAGTAACCGGCGAGATACAACAGCCGACGTAAAATGTAGGAAAATTAGAGTTTATAGAAAACTATCGAATGAACAGCACATATGGAAAAGGCTGGTATTTGCGGAGACTTCAGCGTGCAAAGAGATCGACGGTGCGGTGGAAAAGATCTACAGATTCAAGCCATAACCATCCTTGTTTGATTGTGCAGTAGTCACTGGTTCATTGACTGATAGTACTCGTCCTCATTTTTGAGCTCCTTGTCTTCCAAGGTGTCAAGTCAAGAGTATACAATCTGCACAATTTTTGTGTCCTTTCAGTGTTTCTGCCAGCCAAATTTGCCCTAATAGATGGTCTCGAGACTCATTATTAGTAAGCATGTAGGCTCTCCTGTAACTAGTTAACTAACTATTTATCCGTTGCGTCACCAAACGGAATGATGAGTGATCATGCCGAGCCAAGGTTTAACTATGCCCCACGGGGCAATTTACTTACCCGTGGACATCTGTTGTCCTTCTTCCAGGGTCGAATTAGCCTCCATACTACTTATCTTGAAACAGACTGTCTAATGAAATCCTATTACTTGGTTGAGATCAGGTAGCGCTGGTCGGAGAACATTACAGTCAGTCTTTTCCTCTGGCGGGTAGACTTTCGTTTGACTTCGCTTGACTTCGCTTTGATCTTATCCGTGACCATATTCGTCACGCCATGGACCAACAAGTACCACTGCCCATAGCTAGCGATCTGCCTATCTTTAATTGGGAAGATTTCCATCCAAGCACGTCGTTATCCGAATCCAGCCACCCATTATTACAGGAGTCGGCGACCTCTGACATCAACTCATTGCTCTCAGCCTGCTCCTATCCCCTGCCCGAATCATATAAATCACGAAATGCTCAAAGTAATACGCCATCGCCAAATTCTGACGACTTCGCCCCTGAGCTCGCATTTGACTTGAACCGGACGAACACAAACCAAACACACGGCTCCAAACCGACGACACCACGGCCACAAAAACGCCAGCGAGATGGACCAAAGAAGGCCACACCAGCGAAGAGCTGCGGAGCCTCCCAAGCAGCTGGTGATAGCGAGGAAAATCCTGGAGAGGTTCGTATGGTATCAGTCGACCTCCACTAATGTTTGAGCGTTCTAACCGACCCACCCGGGTGACAGCGTCGTCGCAAGCAAATTCGCATGGCACAACGTGCATATCGTTCACGACAGCAAGCCACAGTTGAAGACCTGAAAAGCCACATCTCCCTTTTGGAGACCTCAATGGAGAAAATGAGCTCTGCTATGCTGTCATTTAGCGCGCAGCTGGTTCAAAGTGGAGTACTTAGGTCACATACTGCCCTGACAGCGAATCTACGTGACACGATGAAGATCTTCCTTTCCATGGCATCGGGGGCAAGCCTAGAAGACGGGATAGTGGTCCCTGTTAACTCTAATAAGATAATTGACTCACCACCAGCCTTGAAAGGACCCACAGTCAACCACCCGGCACGCGACATCCCCCTCCACCTGCCCATGGATGGCTTTGGATTTTATCACCCTAACAGTACTATCATGCCATGTACCGTCACTTCATCAGAAATCTCGATTTTAGAGGTATCCGGATTCATTGAAAGGCTGCTTCTAGCAGCTCTCTACCAGGGGCATCTCGCCCTGTGCAATTCGTCAATCGGCTTGGATCAGCTCCAAAGGCCCTTTGGGATCATTTTTAGTATTATGAGACGCGAACGCCTGGCATCCTACTTTAAAGCGGAATTATATGCTCACGCAAGCAAAAAGCCGCTGGATGGATGGGAGGAAGTCCCCCTGTTCAGGTTGGGGGGCGCGGGGACCCATTATCCCGACGGGTGCACGGGTGCATCTGTCCCTCATTACCAGAGATGGGGAACCGTGGAGGACCCCATATCACTCGTCACGGCAGATTTACGAAAGCAGCTAGAAGGTGATTGGTTTGACTTGCAAGATCTGAAGGGATATCTTCAAGATAAGAATGTGCTCTTGGTTGCGTCAGCTGGCGAGCCAACAAGATGCTCGAAAGTGCAGACCAATATTAATGTCTCACGTTTCATATCAAGTAAGTCCGTCCCTGGTCCGTAATGATTACAGTATTCTGACATTGGTAGCGTTGACAAGCAGAGGAGTTTGCCTAGGCCGCACACCTGGGTTCCAACGCAATGATGTGGAGGAGGCCCTGCACATTTCGACTATTGTGTGAATTTAGTTAATCTATATGCACGACCGCAATCGCTCTGAGTCTTGTATAGATACACACGTGTAAAAATAAAAACAAAATACAAAATACTGTAAGGCTTCATATTACGTCCACAGGTACTGTTTGTATCTGTCGCCGGATCGTACTGTATATAGAAAACCGCCCATATCGCGAAAAGTGAAATTGAAGAAGTACCTGTTAGAAGTGCTGAATTCTAGGTCACAAGCGATGGTCTTTGACTCTGTCTCTCAGCGACCTTTTTCATCGCACCCGATCATACAGCCCTGGTGCATAGCTGGCTTGTAGTAATGTTTGACTTGCTGGGCGCCTCGAACAGTTGCAATAATTCCGGGACATCGGTGATCGCTAATCAGTGCCCAGGTGTTGCAGAATGGTCCAGATTAATTTTTTCTCATGCTTTCACTCGCCGGGATTTGAGCCTAAGTCTATGGATCGTCGAGAATTGTGGTATATTCGCTTTGCAAAAAGGATGAGTACCGCTGGGACTGTAATAATTAACTGGTGTCCCGTTGGAGGAACTACGGTCCCGAGTTCCAACCTTCGAAGTTGTTATATTAGCTTGCGGGTAAGACAATCGAATCGGGAATGTCTCGTCATCAACCCGACCTCGGGACAGTTGACCTTGGCACAAGGTTGGATAGGTACTGCGTGAATGTTATTTAGTTATATCTCGCTTGTATCCCAAGTACCTGGCTTTGCGCCAAACTTTAAAGCTGCGCTCCAGATCGTTCATCACAAACATGGGTCAGAAGACAGTTCTCATTACAGGTTGCAGTGAAGGTGGGATAGGTGACGCTCTTGCAAAGACCTTCCACAAGAAGGGGTTTCGGGTTTTTGCCAGCGCTCGGAACACCGCCAAAGTCCAACATCTCAAGGACATGGGTCTCGATATTGTACAACTAGATGTTACTGACGAAGAGTCAATCAAGCAAGCAGTGTCAACCGTGAAGGCTGCGACGGGGGGGATATTTGGACTTCCTGGTCAACAACTCAGGCGCAGGTAGTCTCATGGCTTCAAAGCAGTTTACTTGTGAAAAGCCACTGACCCTTCAATAGGTTATAGCATGCCCTTATTGGATTCGGATGTCTCAATCGCCAAGAACATGTTTGATGTTAACGTCTTTGCTGTCGTTACCATAACTCAAGCGTTCGCGCCACTTTTGATTGCTTCCAAAGGAACGATTGTCAACATTGGGTCAGTGCTTGGCAAAATGCCATTTCCATGGCAAGGTTATTACAATGCAAGCAAAGCTGCAGTTGCCATCATGACCGATCAGATGCGTATCGAGTTCTCTCCTTGGGGAGTCCGCGCAATCCTCATCACTACTGGTGCAATTAGGACCAAGTTCTTCGACAATCTTCCAAGTGCACCACGTCTACCCAAGAACTCTTTCTATTACCCTGCAAAGGATGTGATTGAGTCAGCATTGGATGGAACTGAGGTGGCTAAAAATGCTATGGATGTCAATTCATATGCCGAGGTCGTGGTCAACAACGCAATTCGATCAAGCCCAAAGAAGCATCTTTGGTCAGGGGGAGGGGCTTTGATGACTTGGCTGGCTTCAGCATTTGGCTGGTCGACTGTATGGGTAGGAGTTTTCCCGTCAACTCATGGCAGCCATCCCATTCTATTTTCTAACTTTAGACACGCACATAGGATACGTTGCTCCCTCCTGTCGCTCACATGCCGGATATTACGAACAAGATTCGTGACGCGGAGAAGGCTGAACAGGATCGTCAGAAGGTAAAATAATCGGTCCCGCTCTTTTCTGCATTTTTGAGAGCAATATATTTTTCGTGCGTTCTTTTGTCGTCCTTCCCTGTGATTCAAGTTCATTTATGTTGCTTACTTGAAGTGTACATTCACAGATACATTCTGGCGACATAAATGTTCTCCTTCTTTTCGCGCTTTTCCTCCATCTCATTGTCCATGCATTCAGTTATCTTTAACATTCTCAATACTCCAAGGAGACAAACAGAGCTAAAATATCATTGCCCCTAGGTTTAATTCATCTCAAACACAATCAACGAAATGGCTATTTATAAGGCCACGATTGTTAAAAGCATTGTAGTATACTTTTCTATGCGCAGAATCTGAAACATAGATCGAAGCATCTGAGTTCCATCTTTTAAACCTTTGATACTGAGGGCTCTTAAGCCCCATTCGAGGTGTTAATAATATTTCGCTATGCTGAAGTAAAATCCAAACTGAGCTGTCATCAAAAACAAGGTAATATAGTTATCGATCATGTCTAGTCGCGTGGGGCGGCTTTGAACTACCCAACCACCTTGAAGTGTCCGTTCTTCTTTGACCCTGGAAGCGATGGATACAGAACACTTATACAAGTAAAAATGAACCGATCTGAATTCCAATGATGGTGCTCTTACTGTTATCAATGTAATCGTCCGTGGCGTTAGAATCTGTAGTCCGAAGCTTGAGGAAGAAGTTCGGAAGTAAAGCTGCAACCAATAACTACCAGATAAATAGAGAGTCAAGGATGTAATCTCTCTATGTGTTACCATGCTATATTAGTTTGACTTAGGACCAGGGAGCTTGCTGCTCAATTTTACTGACCAGTCTTCGTAACCTCACCTCTGATATTGCGGATTGAGGAATATTCAAGAGCAAATTGCGATGGAGTATCATTCTAGAAGAGCTGATATTGTTCAATTTCAGTATGACCAAGCAAATGATACATTTCGGATACTGAAGTAATCTAGCTGCAAATCCTAGCACCAACTGGTTCCTTCGAGATTCTCGACGGTTGACTGGCACCATCCTATACGACCTATGTCCTCGATCCTCGACATGTAGACAACTGCTGTTGAGTCATGAACCGAGGCAATACAATAGTGGAACTGAACAAGACTAATAGACTCAGTTATTCAAGAACAGCTCAATCTGCTTCCCGTAAAGCTCTGGCACCTGGAAGAGATGCCCGTGTCCTGCGTCAGCGTAAAGATGCAGCTGGGCATTGGGAATCTTCTGCTGCAACATGAAACTGTTTGCAGTGGGCGACATAATGTCCGTATGGCCGTTGGTGACAAGAACCGGGGCCTTGATTTCTGCCAATCGATCGAAGTTGCGAGTATCAGTGGTGTATTTGAAAATCGCAGCAAGCTGCGACTGAGTCCCGGTTCCGGTAAGATATGCCTTCCGGGGTTCACCTTCAACATTTCGCTCGTGGATTCGCTTCCACCATGCATGGCCGAGGGCGAGGCTGGTCTCGGAGGAGTTGAAGAAAAGATACATCATATCATCCTCGGTTGGTGGCTGCTCTATGTTTGCTCCAGCACTTTCCAGTACCTCCCGCGGAGGCAAAGTCACACCTTCACCAATTCCAGGTTGAGTGCCGGCCAGGATCAGTTTGTTGACAAGTTGAGGGTACGAATATCCAATATGCTGTACAATGCCACCGCCCATGGAAAAGCCGATGAGGTCGGCCTTTGGAATATCAAGCGTGGCGAGCAGGTTGACAAGTACCTCGGCCATCTCGGGAATGGAATCCGGCACAGTTCCCTCGCTGTGTCCGATGCCAGCACTGTCGTAGACAATGACTTCGCGGGCTTTGGCAATGCTATTGAACAGAAGCGGATCGAGCGTATCCATGCTACCACGGAGATGGTTGACATAGACCAAAGGCAATGGACTGCCCGCTCCAAATCGCCTATAGGCGATCCTCAGTCCATTGACGGAGACAAAAGAAGTCAGAACGGTTTGAAGGGTCGTCATTGTAGTGGTTTGTTCAAAGAGCAGTTGCGATTAAATCAGTGGCCTTGAGGAAGAATTGTAACACAAGGTATTTCATGAGATAAGAACGGTCTGCAGGTTTTATAGTGCAAGTGTCAACCTGCCGACTGCTCGATGTTCAACACTGGGATTTCCGCAACCTGATCATTGTTCTTCCTTGGTTGTGGTCGGATTAGTTTGAGGTCAGCATAGTCACCAAGGAGGACTCAAACACAAAGCTGGAAACAAGATCAGCAATCCCTTCCCAGACTCGGAATCGGGTTGATGAGTGAGTGATTGGCAGCTAGATTACTAGCACGGTCGGGGCAGCCGACTCATCATTCCCGACCCGAGGCCTCCACTCATTCGGCCCTCAAAATAACCGTAAACTCGCCTCCTGGGCCTCTCTAATTTTAAGCTGGCGAGTCAACGCGGGACATCCCTTGGTCCAGTCGGTCTGATGTTCATCCGACCTGTTAGACAGTGTTTTGGAAAGAGCTTTACAATTAAGTGCTCAGTTCGCTGCGTTAACCTTCACCAATACTTTCCATACAACCAAGTCCTGCACACGAGTGCCTTACCTGTTCAACACTTCCTGTCTTTCTTCTCCTACTCGGTAGCCTATACCTATCCACCGAGATGAAAGCAATCATCACACATCGATTTTTGCCTAGGCGTGTACTGAGTTTCGCTCTCGGCAGTCCGCTTGGGCAAGGCGCGCAAGTCAAGGATGTCTCGATTCCAAGCATAACTGATAATGAGGTCTTGGTGAAGGTGCGTACCGTCGCGCTGAATCCGATCGACTTCAAAGACATCGATTTTCTTTCCCCTTGCAATTCCGCCATTGGCTGCGACTATGCGGGCGAGGTGGCTCGGGTCGGCAAGAATTCGGGACAGCGATGGAAGGTTGGAGACAGAATCGCAGGCTTTGTTCACGGTGGCTTATATCCCGACGTTGGCTCATTCGCAGAGTATCTGAAAGTTGATGGCGATTTGGCTTGGAAGGTCCCTGACGAAATGACCCTAGGGCAAGCCACCACTTACGGAGTTCCTGCAGCCACCGCGATGCTGGGTCTTGCCTATCTTGATATTCCCTGGGTGGATATTGTGAACGGGCGCAGCGCTCAGGGTGACCAACCGACCATTCTCATCTACTCAGGAGGCTCGAACGTTGGTCTGTTCACTATTCAATTAGCTAAGAGAGCAGGATATAAGGTTGTGGCAACGGCCTCGCCACGTTCCTTCGACCTCGCAAAGCGTTATGGTGCCGATGCAGTATATGACTACCGAACCTCTGCATCTATTGTCGAAATCAAGGAGGCCTATCCAAATATCACAAAAGCTTTGGACTGCTTTTCCGAAGGCAGTTCGGCCGCCTTCTGTGCCGATGTGTTACAAGAGGGCAAGGTGGTCACGCTACTTGACCAAGGAAAGCCGAAGAAGGCAAACGTGACCAATACGTTCCTTATGGTATATACTGTGTTCGGTCATAAGTTCCAGCTTATGGCGCCTCTTGGACCCGTGTTCCCGGCGATTCCGACAGACCGTGATATTCTTACCAATTTCTATGGTAATTTGTCCACTTTGAGCATTGATGTTGTGAGACCTCCACCTATCACAACGATCAAGGGCGGATTCAAGGAAATCTTCGAAGGCCTCGAGACACTTCGCAAGGGAGATGGCCGAGGCACAAAGCTTGTAGTCGAGTTTCAGTGATTGCAGTTATAGAGGCTTTCGTCGCTGACAACTTGTAATTCTCACTCCTATCTTTACCCGTTGTGTATTTCCGAACTGGGGCCCCAGTGACATAATCATTCTAATCATTCGGTGTAATTGATCGTTATTTAAATAGATTTATGTAAAGAAAGGTGGCCAAACGAACACTGACCCGCCACCGAAAGGAAAGCTCGCTAGGTGACTGAGAGTAGCTATCAAAGTATTCACTCTCCACTGTTCTTTGCCGCCTCCGAGTGCAAACTTTGCACACCTCATCTAATCCTTGTGCCCACAGAAGACTATTTGATACAGCTAATTTTTTCCCTCACTCTAGCAAAATCTGCCGCTTGACCCACAGTGAGTCCAGTGGGGCTAGATTGAAGAATGAAGAATTGGCTGTAAGGAATCACATTTTGAGAGCAGAGGATTGAAGGGAAAAGGGACCATCATGGTAGTGATGGTTGAAGGTGTGTATTTGTCCTAGAGAGCCGCCTGAACTGGCTCGCAACGAGTCACCACGGCCTTTGGATTAGTTAAACCTGCTGCCCAAGTTACTAGGCATTGACTGCTAAGGTATGATCAAGGTACTGGAGCTACCTTAATATGATCCAGATTACGCTAAAGATGATCCGCGATATTGGCGTGTTGAATGCGATGACGAGACCAAGCCACTGGGTGAGCACTTGGATTTCTTGAAGCAGAGGTTTCAGAATCTTAATTGGATCCCTCATGTTCAGAAGGTGGGATCGTGGCCAGTGATATTAGAATGGTATGACGAAGTGTGGGGTGATAAGAAGGGCAAGGTAGGCCATTTTCTGCCAGATCGTTAGTCCACAGGGTCAATGTTTGTTTTGATCTAATTCGATTCACAGGCGATGCGCGAGATTTATCTCAAGCATGGGTGACCGGATTCGTTTGACCGAGAGGAGTGCCAGAGATCACTGGAAATCTTTTACAGAGGTTGATGAAAATGAAAGGCTTGATTTGTACAGGGCGTCAAATAGATTTTAGTTGATCCTTCCACTTCCAAGCGAATTTGATACAATAGCGCTTACCAGCACCACAGACCTACGTACTATAAATTCTCAGAAATTTCAAAAAAGAAAAGAAAATAGTAGTAAAAGGAAACCACTACTAGAGGTGACAAGAACGAGTGTATATTAACTAGTAGTACTTTTAGATCACTTCTCCCCGACGATCTACACTCCTCCCCTCTGCATATACCACTCCACGTAATTTGTGGCCTCTGCCACATTTCTTCCACGCAAAACTATTTTTCCGTATATAGCTGGTTTCATAACTGGAGTATTACGCTGACATATCCCGCAGAGCGCTCTGTCTCGTCTTCGGAACATACCGACTTCTTTCCCGCAACGTTGGCCCGTACCTTTGAAGTACAAAAGGAACAGGTGCCAGCGCTAACAGGATAAACGCACAAAGTGAGATGGTCCAGTCAAAGCCAATCCGCCTAACCATTTGAATAGTGAATAGAGGGAAGACAGACGAGAATGTGTACCGCATTGCGACGTCGACTGCAAATGCGGAAGCCCCGAGTTCGGCTCCATAGACCTCATTCTTGTAAAGTGGGTAGACCAACTGTGTTTTATTAGCCATCCGCAAGATTGAATTGCTGAGAAAGCCCGATACGTACCTGAGATAGCGCGAATGCTAACCCATAGAGGCCTCCAGCAAGGAGGGGACATATCCAATGAATACCGCTTCGAGCTGTCCATGCAAGCCTAATTATCTGTATTAGCATAGTGTCACGAATCGACTGAAGTGTTCCGGAGAGAGGAATATACCAGAAAAGACTAATAGGTAACAGGATGCCTGCGATACTCCCCGCAGGAAGCGAATCCTCGGGCTGGGGATTCGAGGACTTTTCCCTTCTCTTCATCACCGCTGATATGATAGGCATTGCCAGCAGACTACCAATGATCAATGGAATAAAAGCCAACCCAATCTCATAAGGGCTGAACTGATAAACCTCTGCAAGGACTAAAGGATAGCTCGCATAAAACACGAAAACCACAACCTGGCCCATAGCGACGATAGCCGCGGTGGGGAAGATGATGGGCTCCAGTAAGAGCAACTGCATCGGACGCGCAAGAGAAGGGCCAAGACAATGCCACAAATTCTTCCGGGGCAATTTCATCATCTTCCTCCTGATCTCGGGCTTATACGTCTCCGGCACCGAGACCAGAGCTATGAAACAAACCCCCACCAGCATTGCAGTCAACCAAAAGGTCCAGCGCCAATCACGGTCGACAACAATCGCCTCGCCAGCAAGAGGTCCAATCTCACTCGCAACTGCGCCCATGATACCAGTAATAGCAAGCAAGGTGACACCCATTTTATCCTCAGGCATTTTCCAAAGATCATTCAACAGACCCGAGAAAACGGTCACGCAGGGTGAACCCACAATCCCGCAAATACCCCGGGCAACGGCCAAAGTCCGAAAGTTCTGCGCCGAGCCACCGACAATGGTAAACACCAGATGCAAGAATAAAGAAATCTTATAGATGTACTGTCTTCCAAATTCCTCTGAGAGCGCGGAGGTGCAAATTGGTCCGATAACAAAGCCGATTGCGTAGAATGTGATGGGGGCAATGGCCAATGTTTGGCCGACCCGGAATTCGAGCATTATTCCGGGGATACTTGCTATATAAATTGACGTTGTCAAAGTACTGGTGGAACACACCGGGGCCAAGTCAGCGTCTATTCAATATTGGCCGGCGGGCTCGGATTGATAGATAGATGGACTCACATGACGAAGTATGCACAGATCGCACTGAGCGAGACAAAGAGTTTGTACTTCATGTTCCAATCACGAGCGTCAGGAACTTGAAGTTCCTGATCATTATCGTTGGTGCTCTTTTTTGAATGGTTGCCTGCGGCATCGTAACTGGTTCCCACCGTAGTGATAGGCCCGCCATTTTCAAGGCCAGATACTAGACTCCCCGACGTCGATTCACTGACACCAGGACTCTGATGTCCTTTCTCCAGAGTTTCCATGGCGAGCAAAATAGTAGTTGAGGTGCAACCTCCGTAGTAAAAGTGGAAGGAAAGTTTTATGAAGCGAATGTGGGCGGATTCTCAAAGGGGGAAACTTTGTGGAAAGAGAACTTGAAGGGTATGTGTGTTGCCAGTGAGAAATACCTAGGTATCTGTTCATCAGATTCAAAATCTGCATTAGCGTTACTACTAGTGCCTGCCCTTATCCTGGGAGTAATCGAGTGTTCCGAGTCTATAGGTATTACCGTATGCAACACCATCAAATAGCGTGGGTTTTGAAAAATAGATTGTAATCGGTTACTGCAATACGACTAGGGATATGTGTACACAAGCCTCCGAGTCATTAGCGGTAAAATCAAGGATCTTTGAAATATTCGTAGGGCAATGTAGATCATCTCAGCCACAAGCGCTCACGGACCGTGTTTAGTTGTTTAGCGTATCTGAACCAGCCCAACACATAACTAAAATATCTGGTCAGACCGCTGCCAGCCGTAGAGTCAGTGTGGATTTAGACTTGCCCCACATGAGGCTTCAACTTCAGACCCCGGATCGGCTTTTCCATCGTGTTTAACAGATATCGAGGTCCAGATTCAACTGTGTGGATTTAAAATAGTGATTCGGGACCCGGGAGCTATGGAGACTGCGCTGGAGACAAAACTCAAGATATACTCAACCAAATTGTTTCACGTAATTTGACGCGATCCCCCCTAGTTCGTGGATGAGTATTGCCCTATATAAACTCCTAAGACATTCATATCGTCACTGGCGATGCATGTCTGCCTTAGATATAGTCCCCGGATCTTTCTAACCAAGCATGTCTGAGCTTACACCCACCAATTGATATACCACACCTGTTATTATTGCCGACCAAGGTAGTGGGTGGATGTAAGCGGAGGTACTTCTAGGGCTGGAACTGCGACAGGCATTAGGAAGTGTCCAATCGGAACCGCCGAAAGGAAAAATATTCGGAGCAGTTGTCAAGGGGAATGACAGTTGTCAGGACCTGTGGGTCAAGCAAGGGATGGGTCAGAAGCGGGATAAACAAATCACACATCACTTTTACGAACCTACGTGGGTCGATCGTGGCAGCGTAGATCTGTGACTAGTATAGGTTCGTTATCATAAAATGTAAGGAAGATGCACCTAAGCTGCAACAGAAAAAAGTCAGATAGACATATGAAACTTTAGTGAATTTACGGTCTGTCCGGCCCAAACGCACTGCCAGGGCATGTAGTAATGGCATCCCAGGACATCTGCATCGTAGATCAATGTCTTAGTTAACGAATCAGACCCACATGTTCTCAGCCCAGCTGTAACCACATCATATCTACCAGATTGGCCCAAATGTCGGAACCTCACTCCATATGTTTACGCAAACTCGATCTACATAGAGATCTTATTTTCACGTCACCAAACCTGTCTTATTTACCTTATTCCTAATATCGGCTAAATCTATGAACGTCTTAAACATGAACTACTAAGATCCACGAGTTGACCCCGAAGTATCGGGTTGACTCTGTTTGCGTCGCCGATCATATCATTTTTGACAAACCCTCCTCGGATTGTATTCCCTGAACCATTAGTGGGCCTCGGATGTGCGGCGCAGCTGAGGTCCTTGATCTCAGCCCGACGAAAAAGCCCAATAAATAATAATTTTGGAGGTCATTTAATCATCCACCTCGTCTGTATGAGGTAAGGTTCCGCTGTAATATAGTACAGACAAAAATACTAGTAATCTATCGGTCACCCCTGTGATGCGATATACCTGGGCCGTAACCCTACTTGCGGTGTGGTAAGTGGAAAGGTTTGATGCCCTAGGAAATAGAAATCCCACCCCTGATGTCTGGATATACTGTGATACATACTGTCGATTCAATTCATCAACTTTTATGCGAACCCTGCAAGCCTGAGCATAACAATGTCTAGATTGATTCTGGCAGTGGCTATTTCCGCGCCCCTATGGGTAAGATCCTTCAGTTAATTTCGAAAGTAAAGTCCCTTATTTTGACCCAAATATCTCCAGGGAACTGCAATCATCATCTACCGCTTATTTTTCCATCCGCTGGCAAAGTACCCTGGTCCTCGTTTGGGAGCTATAACCAATTGGTACCCTGCCTTTTTTGCCTGGAGAGGAGATCTCCATATCCAATATTATAAATGGCATCAGAAATATGGTCAGATACAATTTCGCTTCTCAGATTGTGTCCTAGGCTCTGACTGTCCGCACAGGGGACATTGTACGATTTGGACCAAACAGCCTTGTTTTTAATACACACTCCGGGATGTACACGATCTACAGCACTCGAGCCAATGTCCGCAAGCCGGAGAATTATGCCGCCATGAGTGCTAGTCGAAGAACTCCCAACACCATCTCTGCCACCGATAAAACCGTCCATGGCTTCAAACGTCGCATAATGTCCCAGATCTTCTCCGAGCAAGGCCTGAGGGTTGTTGAAGACCGCTTCATACCTAGAATAGATGACTTTATCTCGCTACTTTGGGATGGCACTGAAAATGGTCGGAACGGCACCAAAAGCGAGGAGGAATGGGGAAGCCCGAAGGAAATGGCATCGATATGCGGCTGGTTGGCATTTGACATCATCAGTGACCTTAGCTTTGGCGAGCATTTCAACATGTTGAAGTCTCCCGAGCTGCGATGGTTCCCTTCTGTCATACAGAAGCTTTCCCAAAGAGTCGCTATTGTATGTTATCCCATACAACCGGTGTTGTAGGCTTCTCTAACCTGTTTCTTTAGGGCATGCTTCAACCCAATTTTACTAATCTTAAGATAGATCGACTGTTCATGGCATCGCAGCTCAAAGATATCCTGAATGCCGGGACATGGATTCGCAAGCGCTCGGAGTTACGGGCCTGCCTTGGTAACGACATCAAACAAAAGGATCTCATTTACAATATGATGAATGCCACTGATCCAAAAACTGGGTTAAGCTTTACCCAGAAGGATCTTTGGCTGGAGTCCATCATGCTGCTCACTGCCGGTATGAATCTCTTCTCGCAGGAATAAAGCCCATTGGAAGATCTGGAGCGACTTACTTGGTTGTGAGATTTTAGGCTCGGATACGACCTCCGCTGCATTAAGCGGTGCATTGTTTCTCCTAGCACACCACCCAGCCGCACTTGCGCGTTTAACAGAAGAACTCCGCATGACCTTCTGCAACGAAAGCGAGATCCGCATGGGCCAGCAACTCAACTCGTGCAAATTCCTCCAAGCTTGTATCAACGAGTCATTACGTTTAATACCCCCTGTTCCAAATTCCGCTCCGCGCATAGTCCAAGAAGGTGGGATTCAGATCGACCAGGAGTTTATCCCCGCTGGAATCACAGTCGGCACATGCATCTACACACTTCATCGGAACCCAAGACACTTCTCCGACCCTGAAGAGTTCCACCCGGAGCGATGGCTTGTCAATTCAACGGAGCGAAATGCGGAAGGGGAGAGTATCAGTACCAACAGAGAAGGATTTTCCCCGTTCAGTCATGGACCTCGGTCTTGTGTTGCGTGGAGACTCGCGTGGGTGGAGCTGAACATCACCATTGCACGGACACTTTTCCGATATGATATAAGATTAGCGCCTGGGCTTTCGTGCTGTGGTGGCGCACGCAATGATTGCCAATATCTGTCAAAGGGATTCATCACTGCTGCGGTCGAGGGTCCATGGGTACAATTCCGCCCTGCCTGAAGCTAAATAACAGTACGTGGAAACATCACGCCGGCGTATGTGGTGATGGATTTATTAATCAAAAGCACGCCACATTGAAGTTGATATGGGCCCTTCGCGCGTGAACGTTTGAGAAGATAGTCCCACGGGGACACTAGCAGTTTTTGCAATGGCCCTCGCCTCGTGATTTAAGACCCACGCCCTTGATAGAAGACGAGGGTCCAACGAAGGTGATTCCAGCGGCGGCAGGAAATTGACATTTTCGCTCAGAAAACCATAGCTGGGGATAATGGTGTCAGCGCCGAACTTCGTGCAGGTATTCAATATAGACTCGCTATGTAATGGTCTGTTTAGCGTAATATACAACATGAAGTGAATACTTGCTATTACAAGGAGTAGTACACCTGGGCATAGTGAATTTATAGTTTTTGCCAGGAACTGATTTGTAAATTATTCACTACTAGTATCCGGATGACTAGTTACCAGTTCCAGAGAGTAAGTAGAAATGCTTCTAGTACTAGGTACTAACTACTGGAACCGATTGCTGTCGACGCTTTGTTGCCTCAGGCAGCTGTCAGGGTCCAGTGCACCACCAACCTTCGCCGGATCGACCTCTTCTTCTTCAATCCACTCATCTCATTCTTATTTCACCTCTCGTCCCACCTTTCAGTACTGGAATGCTAATGATTCACATCCATGAGAATGGCCTTCACTGTGAGGTAGTCCTCAATTCCTTGGGTACCCCCTTCTCGCCCGTATCCACTGTCCTTGACGCCTCCAAACGGACTCTCACACGCACTTAACATGCCTACATTCACTCCAACCATGCCGACTTCCAGGGCTTCTGCCACCCGAACGCATCTCGACATGTTCTCAGTCATTATGAAACTACCCAGTCCCACATTGCTGTTGTTTGCCAGTGTAATAACCTCCTCTTCCGTCTCGAATGGGTACATCCCCAGCACAGGGGCAAAGACCTCCTCCCGCGTGGTGATCATCTCCGGGTTCATATCTCGAATCAGCGTCGGCTGCATAAAATAGCCCTTTGACGCTGGAACTGACGCACCGCCCAGCATCACTTTCCCGCCAAGGCGCTTTGCGTCCTCAATATGCTGTGTTGCCTTCTCTACCGCTCGCTCGTGCGTAAGCGGACCAATCATCACGCCGTCTTGAACTCCCGGTCCGACTTGCAGCGACTGCATGCGCTTGAGCATGGCGTCCGCGAAGGAATTGTAGATCCCCTTTTGAACTAATATGCGGTTTGCTGTCACGCAGGTTTGACCAGAGTTGCGGAATTTCGCCATCATAAGGGCCTCGACGGCGTGATTAATAGAGGCGTCGTCGAAGACGATAAACGGGCTGTTCCCGCCCAGTTCTAGCGAGAGTTTCTTCAGTGTTGGGCCGCACTGTTGAGCAAGCAGCTTTCCAACGCGTGTGCTGCCAGTGAAGCTGAGCTTGCGTACGATGTTGTTCTCGCAGATTGCTTGCCCGACTTCGGCGACCTTGTTGAGGGTCAGCACTACGTTAATAGAGCCGTCCGGCAGGCCAGCCTCTTGCGCAAGGACCGCGAGAGCAAGACTGGTCAGTGGAGTTTCTCCAGCGGGTTTCCAAACCGTTGTACATCCTGCGGCGAGGGCAGCACCGGCCTTGCGTGTGATCATGGCAATTGGGAAGTTCCATGGCGTCAGCAGCGCCGCAACCCCGATAGGTTGCTTTATTGTGAGAATTCGATGGTTGGGATTCGCAGCAGGCACCGTCTCACCATGGGTGCGTTCGGCCTCGGCTGCAAACCATTCTAGAAAGGACGCGCCGTAAATTACCTCGCCGCGGGCCTCCGGTAGAGGCTTGCCATTTTCCAGAGTTAGGATTAGTGATAGATCGTCAATGTTCTCAAGGATAAGGTCATTCCACTGACGCAGCCAGCGTGCGCGTTGCCGAGCGGTGGTTTTGCGAAATGATGCAAATGCTTTATTTGCTGCCTCGATCGCGTTGTCGGTATCGGCAGCGTTCATTTCAGGCAGTGTCGCGAGTTTCTCTAGCGAGGCTGGGTTGAGCACATCAAAGGTCTCGCTAGCTGGCGTGCTGGTCCATTTTCCATCGATGAAGCCTTTGGTTTGGAGAAGACCTGGGCGACGGAGGTCGGCAAGTGTTTTGGCCATTGCGACTTGATAGGCGTATGTGCGAACGAGGCGAAGATGGGCGAGTGGGGAGCTTGGGAGATAACCGAGGGGTTTGTAGCACTGGGATAGCAGAAGAGAAGTACTTATGGAGGCTAGTCGCATTTTGGTGAGGGGTTAAAGAATTGATTCGGCTCTGGACCTGAACCGCGAATCTGCTGACTGTCTGCGCCAACTAGATCTATCTTTCTAAGAACCTAATATCGGGCATGGCTTCACCTATGCAGAATTACCGATTGGTGAATACCGCGGGGTTGGATTAGAGTAGAAAATGGTCAATGGCATATAGCCTATTCGGGTATACCCATCATGAATTCATGTGGGCCTAGTGATTTGTGTATGTACTTCTATGAATTAGTCAAGGAATTTACTACATGTTGTCTGATAGTATTCACGTACCTGGGCACTTCAAGTTCACATTTAAACATCACATTGAGAACAGATCCCACAATGCACTCAAAGAAGCGTCTTGGTACTATCATTGCCCATTATATACAAACCTTGGAAGACTACAGGTACAGGCGGCCGCTGGAACGGTCAACCTAAATTGCAGACCTACTAGTTACTAGTAGTAGTAGTAGTATTGAGCCGGTTGCTGCTATGGAGCGCTGCAAGATTTAGAACCGCCCGCGCAGATGACGATACGGGCAACCAAGAAAATATGTTAAACAATCTCTCTAAGGAGTCAATGTCTTTAATTAATGCAAATCAAATAAGTGCTTTAAGCTTCTTATGCAGCAAGCAGATAAACGTCAATGCAATTTATTTGTCCGGTGATAAAGTCTTGATATCCAAATGGGCGCCCAACTCGGATTTTTCGAGAATGAGGCACAGAAGTTTCCACTTTATAAAAGATCGATGTGTGATTATATCATAAAAACTCGAGAGCTCCCTGCATTTTCGGGAGCCTACTACATGAGATGAGGCCCTAAAGACCGAGTAATATTTCGTCAATGAATCAATCGAAGAAGGTATTATTCAACGGTGCCGCCGTGCTTCTTTCTTTGGATGAAAGAGTTCTTTCATCTCGACTCCTCGAAGTAACTTTCTTTGGAGTAAAAGAAAAAATCGAGTATAAAGCGAACAATCATCGGACGGATTCTATTAATTTCCTAACTTCTGGTATACAGTAATGCTTTTTTATTTCTTACGTGAAGAGTTAATATACCCAGGTGTCGATAAATATGCCGCCATATACCTGGCCAGCCCTCCCTGATGACCAAACACGCCACCCTCGCTTCGATGATAGATGGATCCGAGGACTGGAAAACATGACGGACGCGAATTTGGAGCACGCCCTGCTGACGAAGCTTGGGATTACAACAAGAAACAACGAGGAAGGAGATCTCTGGCATTATCATTTCTGCGATTTCCGTCAAAATCTGCTACCGAGATACCAGCGTCGATTTGCAGCCGTTACACGCCGAGTAGCGTCTTGGATGAGTCTCCCTGCCACACAAGCGATGATCAGACCCAAACTCGAGATCTTTGCCTTACCAACAGGAGCTGCGCTGGTTGCAGGGAACTGGGATGGTCCCGTGGGTAGAGAACCGGATGCCACCACCGGTGCAATTCTTGACTCGTGTTATGATTGTCTCCAATGTATGCAGGACTATGCACTGTCACCAGGTGGGGGAACAGGACAATTGGAATATAATAATGTTGGATTTGCGTTGATTTCCGTCGCTCTCTGTCAAATGGGAAGAACTAAAGCGACTGACGAGACGGAACTCCCCGATGCCCAGAGTATAGTCGACTTTTTCGCTCGCCGTGTTACTGCTCCTGGAGTCCTTCCATTTGTACCCCATACCCTTGGTGGTGGCGGTATTAGTTCGATCTTTCAGCTCGCACTTGACCAGGGGTCTTGGCTACCAGCAATAGAGTCACATGTGGATTGGCATCAAAGAACAGCCACAGCGAGGCCATGCCCGGTGGCTTTTAATCAACTAGGTATTCGCGCCCGCTGGCAACTTTGTAAAGTTGCAAATGTTCGAGTTCTCGCATGGGCTCGGCGACATGCCGTTGAAATCTCCTTTGTCGAGTATCCTCCAACCGTACCAGCTATGAGACATATGGTCGAAACATGCGGGTAGGCTGTAGCTCACAATCCTGAAGGGCATTTGATCATGGACGAACTGCTAAAGACACCCCCGGCTCAACCCAATCATATATGCGGTACGACAGGGCGAAATGGGATTTCTGAGGCAATTTTGTGTGGACGACCAAACATAGTCCGATGGTTCTTAGACCAAGATCATTCAAATTACGTACAGAATGTCTCCGAGCGCGTTATTGACACAAGCATTCCAGCTGATTTGCCTAACGAATTCCCATGTTCGATAGATTATGCAGTACAACAATGGGACGCCACAGCGGCGGCTTGTCTGTATATGATGATGAAGTATGAACCTACTCTGGAAATTATGGCGGGAGGGCCAGGTGGGGTTGCAGGGGCTAAAGCAGGTGTTGCCAGGCTAGCACTAGTTGAATTGGATGCACCGGTGGATGAATACAGAGCCGATGCGACAGCTGGTGTAATGTATATCGTCGAACGCGACCGGAACATCGCGAGGGTAAGGGATATCGCATTAATGAAGGGGCTTGCGGCGCTCGATGGAGTTGGAGCCGAGTGGAAAACCACAGCACATGGGATCGCAATGAGGACGACAATGACGGGGGCAGACTCCAATTTATCATGAGGCAACTCGATGTCGAGCATCCCCATCTTCCGGTGACGCGGGCACGCGGGCTTCGTTCGTGAGAGGGGCAGTATTTGGGGTACACTACTTATTCGTGTCTGGTTTTTAGTTATATTTATTTGGTGTATTTATTCAGTGACCTTGGAATTCACGCTATTGCTTTTCCTTTTTATCCAGTTGTTCCGGCGCTCCATACGGCAATCAGCTCAGTAGGTCTGCATTTTGGGCTGACAGTCCCAGCGGCCTTGCCTACTTTACAGACGAATTGGATTATAATAATCAAATACTGCGATGATAGCCTCAAGTATTTAGTCTTATTCTATAGGTCAAAGTTATGTAAGTCTAAATCAGGTCCCAAAATGGGCATCTATTACAGAAAATGCAGAGTCATGACTGGGATAATGGGAAACCCAACGCCAATTCCATGCGTAACGTGTTTCAACACGATAAGAAGAGAGAAGAAAAAAAAGGAGTAGAAAATAAAAAAAACCGTCAAACTTCATTGGACAATCATCAAGAATTTAATTCAAAGGCTCTTGAATAGACTCAAGCCTGAACATCAATCCACTCTCACTCAGCAATAGTCGCAGGCTGTTTATAGTCCGAAAAGGTCTCCGGCCAAAGAAACATCTTCTCTTCCTGCGAAGGCGTAGCAGCAGCCATAAGCGTAGGAACAGCCTCCTTACTCGAAATCCGCCTCCACATATTGGCGCGAGGGTTATACCTGACGGGTTTACCCACACCACCAGTCTTCTTCTGGTCCTCCTTGGAAATAGCCTCGATCTCGCGCTTGATGTCGGAGAAGGTATCAAATGGTGTAAAAGGGATATTGTGTTCTCGGCAATATTCTTCGAGACGGAGACCGCGCCGCGCGAAGAGAACGTCTGCTTCGCGGGCAGCGGCGAGATCGGAGACGCCGTCACCGATGAAGACTATAAGCGGCATTTCGTCTGGTTGGCATTCGGCTTGGGCTAATTCGCGGCCTTCAATTATGGAGACATCCTTGTCGTGGCCTTGAATTGAGTCATGGCGCCAGATTGGTGTCCAGGATTGGCCGTCTTTTGAGATTGTTGCGTCGTTGGCGACGATTTCGATTCCCGAGGACTGGGATTGAGATTGAGATTAGAAATCTAACTTTTACCAGGGTTTCTTTTTTTTTTTCGACGTACCTCTTTTTCGCCGAGGGCCATATCCAGAACTCGACGTAGAATCGGTTTCAGTCCGGCACTGATTACGTTGAATGGGAAGCCATTGGCCTGGCAGTATTGGTAGAATTCCTTGAAGCCAGGGTCCATTTCGATACTCTTCTCCATGAGCACGAAGCCGTCGTCAAAGGGAACGTGGAGAGATGCCCACATCTCTTCTGAGGCGTCGCGGAAGGTCCTGGCCCCGGACTTCATCTGCGCCTCGAGTCTTTCTCTCGCTTCTGCTCCGAAGCCGTGCGCATCGACGAGGATATGGCCTGTATCTTGCATGCATATTGTGCCATCGAAGTCTGTTGCGCGAGTTAGCTGGTCCGTGGTAATCTATAGATTTGATCAAGGGTCTCGATTGTGGGTTTGGAAAATAGGGCCTGGGGGTTTAGGGGACAGGGCTCGGAAGTTGAAAGGAGTGAACCATGACATGGAAAAAGAATGCGTACCGGAAAAGATGACAATCTTTCGTTTTTGAGGAGTAAGTTGCGTAGGTTTCATGTTGGAGTTGGTCATATTAGGATTTAGGACGGAGGGTTGTAGATGTGAATGTAGGTAGAAGAGAGGACAAAGCATAAATTAAAAGGAATTGAATTCAAGTTCTTAACCCCTCTACGAAAGTAGACCCCGTGGCGAACCAGAACAAGATAGAATCAACTGTATGACGTAGGAGAGAAACGATACTATCATAGTGGGTCGACGAGAGTGGAGAGACGACGAACACAATCGCAACGTGCTGAGTCCAGTTGGTCGGCTGGTCTCGGAGGGTCGGTCGGTGCCACTGCCGAGTCTGCGCAATATAATTGGTTCATCCTTCAGGGCCGGCCGAGAAAACTGGAGATCGAGGGTTTCCGATGCCGAGGCCTCGTCGACATTGGCTGGGTTGACATCCGGAGTGGAGAATGCGACTACGGTTCATTGAAAGGTGGACAAGTACGGAGTACAGAGAACTTTTTTTTCAAGTTCATTTGCGCTAAAATACACATGGTGAAAGAATCCGTTCATCGACTTTAACTCGCAGTTAGTTCGGCCACCCGGCGCTGGATTTCAGGTACGGCCCGAAGTTGCAGTTCCAACTCATCCTTCTCACTATGGAAGAAACATTTTGTCAGCACAATTCCAAAAGTTGTGATCAAGGGATGAGGATTGTCATACTCTTCTAGCTTCAATCGTCGTTCCCAGTCCAGCCCTGTGAATATATAACTACCCTGGCCGTCAAATTGCAGAATCTTCTGGTGGTATTTCCAGAGACTGCGTCGGTGCGAAACAGTCATCAAGGTGATGCCGAGCTTCTTCGCCGTTTCGTACATGACCTTCTCAATCTCCAGCGTCACTGATGAGGTGCACTCGTCCAGAATGGCGAATTTGGGGCGATGATAAAACAGCCGGGCCATGGCAATGCGCTGTTGCAGACCACCCGACAAAACATCGCGCCACTCCTCCTCCGCGTCCCAGCCACCAGGACGGTCAACAACGGAGGCGATCTCTACAACGGACAGGACCTCGTAGAGATCGGCATCAGTCACACCCTTGGCACGCATCTCGCGCACACCATCGGGGTAAGTGACTTGCTGTCGGAGTGTTCCGCGGGAGAGGTAGGGACGTTGCGGAATGTAGAAAATGTCTTCAAAGCGAGGCTTCTTGACTGAACCTCCGTACACTGGCCAAAGACCGCCCAGGATGCGAAAAAGAGATGACTTGCCGCATCCATTAGGTCCGACAATCAGAAGATGGTCGCCAGAATTTACGGTAAACGACAGCTTGCGAATAAGAACATCGCCATTGGGTGAGACAATGGGTACATCTGTGAACTCGATGAACTCACTCTCCATGACCTCGCCACGACCCGAGAGAACGGCCGCATTCTCTTCAGTGGAGGCCGATGATACCAGCTTCTTCTCGAAGCGTCCAGCGACCAGGTCATCCATGACTTCAAGTAGGGACGACACGCGAGAGGTAAAGCCGGCAAGCTCGGAGATCTCCTTGTAGGAAAACATCAAACGGCCAAATGCATCGGATGAAGACAACAACATTCGGCGGTTAGTGACGAAACTCTCGGTGCGATCACCCATGGTCTGGGTGACTTGGCCGGGAATCTTAAAGAAGACGGGCAAGCTGCAAAGAACCAAGCCCAGAGCACCCCAGAAATATTTGATAACAAAGTCCTCCATGAACCCATGATATAGTCGCCGCCGTAAGATACGGTTCACATGTTTGATGAGAGTAAAGTAGCCCTTGTCTAGGGTATCCTTCTCAGCCTCGTGGCCGTGATAGAGAGCCACCTCCTCGCTGTAGTCGATGAGCCTCGAGTGTAGAAAGCGGAATTCACCCTCCAGTCGAGCCTCATCCGCAACATACTTGCCAAAGGGTGGTGTTAGCATGCGCATGACGTTGGCTGAAAGTTGTACCAGCAGACTCATAATGAACAGCCCTTCTCCACCGACATTCTTTGACAAGGAGTAGTTGTAGATGCACATATCGAGGATCGGCTTGGCCAGGTTGGAGTAGAGCTCGGCCAGACTGTCGGAGAAACGCGACACATCCACCGTCACGAGCTGGTCGGGATTCTTAATCCGATCGTCCAGGGCGGAGATGGCGTAGAAGGTCATATTCGATAGGTATTTGTCGTGTATATAATCGGTCAAACGTTTTCGATAACTGAGCGCAAGTTTACATTGGTGGTAGGAGAGCTAGAGGCGTTGGCGAGTTAGCAAGCAGCTTCTCCACGGTCGCAAAGCCGCATACCACTCCAACCGGGCGACGCCGACACCAAGGAACTTACCATGGAGTTCGTAAATGTTGCCGGCACTGCGACAATCATCCACCAGAAAAGACCCAACAAAAAGTCCTTCCCCTTGCCCCGCACCAGGTTGCTCACGAGACGGCCATCCAGCTCGGCAACATACAGACTGAGCAACGTCCGCAGAACGAGGAAGACACTGTGGCTCACAAGGAGGCGGAACTCTTTACTGCGCCATCCAGGGATCACGATCTTCAGTAGACGAAGCAAGTGTTTAAAGAACTCTCGATTGATCTCCACCCGCTTCTTCCGCGGTTGTTCATCGTCGTCAAGGCTGCTGGTGCCAGGTTGCTTTCTTCGTAGCTCTACCTGTTGTGAAGCAGCTTTCTGCTCGGAGATGGCATTATGGATGCGTTTGGCGAGTGCGGCAAAGAGGGCGAGGTAGACGCCGCGCGAGATGCGAGTTCGGTGTCGGAGATAAAGAGAGGAGATGCTGGAGAGGATCTGCTTGACGGAACGGTCGGGCGGCAGTAGCTTAGATTGAGCCGCCATGACGATATGATCGAATGCGACTGATCAGCCGGAGTCGCGGATGGACATGACCGGATGTAGTAGAAGTGTGGAAGATAAGTGAGAGGGAAAAAAGAGGAGAAGGGAGGAGGAGCTGCTGAGGTGTCCGAGTGGATGACGGAGGTTGGCATGTGAAACCCCCCAGGAAACTGGGGAAGTTCAACCGAGGATCTCCACTCCATTCTACACGATCATAGTATAGTTACTACTACTAGTACACTACTAGTATGCCAGGTTTGCTTTACAGTACTGCCTTGGGTATTATTAGACCTTATCTTTCATTCTAGGTATTTAAGCAGAGGCTCCTTGAAGATTGGTCATACTGCTAGTATTATTGTCTATTATATACAAACCGTGGAAGTCTCGTAGGTATAGACGGCCCTTGCTAGTCACTTAACTAGCGTAAGAAATGCCAGGAAGAATGGAGATTGAAGAAGTCAAATTATGCTATCGAACGCAATGCAAATTATAAAAACACTAATCACTAATCACATGAATTCACACTGGTAACACCCGGTGGACTCGGACACAGTCAACAAACTCAATCCTTGACAACTAGCGGCTCAACGTTCCAGATACTATCTGCGTATTCGTTGATAACCCGATCAGTCGAGAAGAATCCCATGCGAGCAACGCTAGTGATTGACTTGGCCAGCCACTCCTCCTTGTTCAAGAAAGCCTCGTCAACCATTTCGTGGGTCGTGACATAGGAGTGGAAGTCGTCGGAGACAAGGTAGTAGTCGCCGTGTTCCTCAATAGAAGCAGTGAGCGCCGAGAAATCACCAGCGTCACCGAACACGTTGTCCTTGATTGCTTTGAAGACCTTTTCCAGGGCTGGGTCGAGTTGGAAGTCGCCGTAGAAGTGACGGTGGCGGAGATCTTCGACGTCCTCCGCGAGATTGCCGAAGAGGAAGATATTCTGATCGCCGATCTCGCGAGTAATTTCGATCTGTAGGAGAATTTGAATTAGTGATGCCTGGCTTTGTCGTAGAGGAGAGGGTAATATTCACGTTTGCGCCATCGCATGTTCCGATGATTAAACCACCGTTCAACACAAACTTCATGTTACTAGTTCCACTTCCTTCGGTACCAGCAGTAGAAATGTGCTCGCTGATGTCTGAGGCCGGGCAAATGATTTCGGCCTTGCTGACGTTGTAATCTTCGATAAATATGACCTTGAGAAGGTCGCCAACATCAGAATCATTGTTGACCACAGCTGCCACCTTATTGATGAGATGAATGATGGTCTTGGCCATCCAGTAGCCCGGGGCTGCTTTGCCGCCAAAGATTGAAACTCGAGGGACCACCTTCTTGCGCTCCGCGGCGGTCATTCCTTTAATCTTCAGGTAGCGGTGAATCACCCCAAAGATGTTGAGTTGCTGTCGCTTGTACTCATGAATACGTTTGACCTGGATGTCAAACAGAGATTCTGGGTTCACGGTATATCCAGTTGTATCCTTGATGAGTTTAGCCAAGCGGAGCTTGTTGTCAGACTTGATGTGTGCCCACTGGCGCCTGAAGTCTTTGTCGTCCACAAATGCCTCCAGTTTATCCAAAAGGGTCAAATCAGTCAAGAACTCGTGACCTCCAAGCTTCTCTGCAATCAGACTGGAGAGGGCTGGGTTCGCCTGGTGCAGCCAACGACGCGGGGTAACTCCGTTGGTTACGTTGGTGAAGCGATCAACTCCGTAGATGTCTACAAAGTCCTTGAAAAGAGTCGACTTGAGTAGATCGGAGTGTAGCTCGGCCACACCATTGACCTTGTGGGATCCAATGATAGCTATGTATGCCATGCGCACCATCTTTGGGTGAGATTCCTCAATGATGGAGACACGGGACAGAATCTCACGATCATTGGGGAACTGCTTCTCCACAGACTGCAAGAAGTACAAGTTGATGTCGTAGATGATTTGCAAGTGCCGAGGAAGGAGGTTCTGCATGAGAGGAACAGACCACTTCTCCAGCGCCTCGGGGAGAACGGTGTGGTTGGTGTATCCGAAAGTCTTTGTCACGATATTCCAAGCTTCGTCCCATTCAAGACCCTCAATATCAATCAGGATGCGCTGCATCTCGACAATGGCAAGAGTGGGATGAGTGTCGTTAAGCTGAATCGCCACCTGGTCGGGAAACTCGCTCCATGCCCTCTTGGTCTTCTTGAAGCGACGCACGATGTCGTACAGGGAGGCAGCGCACCAGAAGTACTGCTGCTTCAGTCGGAGTTCTTTGCCTCGCTCCAAGTTGTCATTGGGGTACAAGACGGCCGAGATTGTCTCGGCGCTCTGCTGGTCGGCAACCGCATTCTCGTAGTCTCCGGCATTGAACTTCTGGAAATCGAATTCTCCACTGCTTGCCTTGCTAGACCAAAGACGAAGATTGTTGGTGGTCTTGGTACCGTATCCGGGAATAGGAACATCATATGCTACAGCCTGTACAGTCTCTCCTTCCACCCAGGAGGCAACAAGTTTACCGTTCTCATCCTGCTTCTTCTTCACGTGGCCATAGAATTGAATGTCCACGGTGATATCATGACGGGGGAACTCCCAGGGGTTGTTGTCCAGCCAATAGTCTGGAACCTCCATTTGATAGCCATTGACAATCTCCTGTTTGAAGATTCCATAGCGGTATCGTAGGCCATATCCCCAAGCAGGGTAGTTGAGAGTTGCCAGACTATCAAGGAAGCAGGCCGCCAGACGACCGAGGCCACCGTTACCGAGAGCCGCATCATGCTCCTGCCCGATGACATCTTCGATGCGGAATCCAAGATCTTGCAGACCCTCTGTACAGTCTTTCAGTATTTTTTCTTTGAATGGGGACTGTTGAGTACTGACCTCGAGCAGCATCCTTCATGCCCACGTTAAGCATAGCATTGTCGAGTGCTCGGCCCATCAGAAACTCGAGGGAAAGATCTATTGATATGCATTAGATAATGAAAGTAATCAAACAATCGACCGGTATGGCATACAATAAACTCTCTTCTGATCAGTGAAGGTCTGCCGCTGCTGAGTCCTGTTCCACTCGATGATCAAGCGATCTCGAAAGGCAAGGGCAGTACCCGAGTAAGCCGCCCTACATCTTGTGAGCACGAGATCCAATTTTTGAGAGCGGGATTGCTCCAATCAAATCGGGCGCTCACAAATCATCGCAATTGTAGAGAGACCGAGCGAGGGTCGTTTCAATGTGCCGAACGAGCTCTCTCTGCGTAACCATTAGCTGTGGCCGGAAGATAGCCAGTGGCCAATGGGACTAACCTCGAATTCGTCCTTGTTGGTGAACTCGTGGGCGGACTGTCGAAAATTCATGTCAGCAATTATCATGGCATCATCACTCGTATGATTGAGTTCGACCTACATATTTCCGCCATCTGCAACACCGGTGGGTTAGCAGGTGGTACAGGCTCCCCTAGGGAAGAACAAATAAACTCACGCCTCGCGTAGGGGCTCAGGGATGCTGGCCTCGACGCTTTTGATCTCGGAAGGACCAAAGCCCGTAAAGGTGCGCTTATGCTTGGGGCGACTGAAGCCAGGCCCCACGGGACCTTGAAGGTCATCGATTGGAACACCGACAGAGGGCTTGCGCTCGCGACGTTCGGACATGGTGAGTTCACGAGTGCAATGCTTGGGTTGGGAAGGTAGAACTCAGAAGGTGAGATTCCAAGGTGAGGGGGGAGAAGTGGGAGGGAGAAATGGGAGGGAGAAGTAGAATAGGAAGAGAAGAGGAGAAGAGCAAAGCAGATCAGAGGAAGCAGGTGAAAGAGGGGACCCTGCGTGACACAAAGTACGAAAGATGAGTAGAAGAGAGGAGGAGAGGAGATATTATAAGAAGAGGGAGAGGTACTCTAGGTATACTTATTGCTCTGTCCGTTTTTGGTATTGCATGATGGGCAAAGGCAAGTACGACCGGCCACAACTCGACCGGACGAACATCGCCCAATCCGGCAGCCATCCACCTCAGTGACTATCAGACATCTTACCATCTTTACCATCCATTCATCTCTACCATGGTTGACCTTCTCATCTCCCCTGTCTTTTCAACCTTGGAATACTCAATGATTCTCTGATCTTGATTCAATTCCACTGACTACATGAGCTGTATACCTCGAGTGGGGAAGCTCGGAGGATCGACGCTCGAGCCAACGGCCTGCAGCTGTCCGTGCTGATGCAATATGCTGCTCTCCTTCCCCCCTCTCCTCTTCTCACGTGGAGACTTTTCCCTGATTTGCAGCTCCTCCTGCTCCTGCATCAGGCCACCCCGATTCCCGTGATCGATAACCACTCACCACCCCACAATCCCGCCTCGCCCAGTGCAGAAAATCGAACCATCACCCCCCAGTTACCCGTGCTCACGTCCCCCGCCCCATCTCCGCCCTCGATTCACAGCCCACCAGTACTCCATACTGACGCGTGAGCAAAGAGAGATCCCTGTCCCTCTTGGAGAACGCGCAACCAGCTATGCTATGGCCCTGTCAGCCACCGACGAAACCTTCGCACCATCATTGCTGGCATAGTGCGGGGTGACTTCCTTGACATACTCCGTAATCAATGAACCATCCCATTCCTCCCCCCTTCCCCACGCTGGACTAGAAAAGGGTGTCGTCAAAGCTGCCTTCCTCAGTCATGACTGGTATCTTTTTTTTCCAGATCCCGCGAGCCCTCTCCTCCGCATAGATCAACTTCGGCCGGTCGCTCGGCCCATTCTCATCCAACGGATTCTGCACGAGAAGCTGCCCAGCCCCGCAGTGTCAGCCATCGAGCTTGAGAACCTTAAAACTCGATGAGCTGGATTTCGTCTCGGGGCCCGGAATACCTACCTCCCTCGACCGACCCCAGGTGCCTCCATCCAGGTTTCACCCAAGCTGGAACTTTCTGTACTGGAACTAAAGTTCATCGTTTGCGGTGAGTATCAAGTAGCCCCTTCCCCCGTCAGGTCAGTTTTAGCCCGGAAATATCTGGTTCGACGGGTTGAGGCTGGCTTTGGCCATGCAGGATACTAAGGTGTCGTATTATGCCCGGTTTGGATTCTAGCCAATGCACGGCTCGTAGATCCCATCTTCTACTAGAAAGGTATTTGAATTTTTTTCCAAATTGCGGGGAAATCGATCCAGGTCTAGGATCATGCGAGAGGGAATCCGAGACAGAGGAGTTCAGTAAGGCTATACCGAGAGATCAGTAGTCAAATACGTAGGTCTTAATACGTGGGCGGTTCTTCACGAAGAGGAAGGAGGGTGAAAAAGATATCTGAGCTAAATAGACCCAAACAACGTGAAGCCTGAGCTAGAACAATCCAACCGGAAATCTGGACATCGCCATAATTTCCTAACCGAAACCGGTCTATGCGAGAGCCAAAAAATATGCAGGACCGATTGGGAAGAGCAAGTAATTCAATCAACTTGCCAGAGTATACAGCTTCTGTCGAGAAGAGGAAAAGTCACCACATGCCTGGAGCGCTTAGAATCAAGTTCAAGGAAGATATAAAAGTGAAGAGAAGATAAAACACAGCAGGCGACAAGGCCAGGGTTCAATAGATAGATAAGTAGATAGATTCCACTTGAAGAAATCACAGCAAAAAGAAACAGGCACAATCCGCCATAATATGCATCCGATAAGAGGCTTGAGAAAAATATAAAAAAAGATAACACAAATGGGAGAAAAGATCCGGGGGCCGAATCGGGTAATATACGGATAATGGCCAGGGCCAATGTTCAAGTATTTTGAGAAATTGAGAGATCCGGCAATCTCGCTTTGGGGGAGAAAGGGGTGCGGGGTTCTCTCGAGATCAAAGTTGAAAAAGTATCTGTCGTTCAGAGTTGGGGTTGTGAGAATAAAGTGATAAATCCAAGGATAGATGCCCAAGTAGAGCCGAGCCTGAAAAATTCCATCGTCGAAAGAGAAAGCCGAATACAGAGTAGATAGCCGCGTAGATACCGAATGGGGTATCACTTAACCAGCGCCTGGTAAATATTTCACAAAAAGAGATGCGCCGTGAAACGCCAGCAGCTATTCCAGAGTAAGAGCAAAGATAGTCGAATTTCGAAAAGGAGAGGTTGGTGTTAAGATGTAGGAATGCCCAAGGTTAGAGGCCCTTCAAGAGACAGGAATGGAACCAAATTCTCAATGGTGTGAGGATACCAAATAAGGCAGGGTATTTTTGTGAGAGGTGGAGGTGGAGTGAAAGGGTGAGAAGCAAGAGAGGTACGAGAATGAGGCAGTGACCAGCTTATAGGATTCCGGAGTCCTTCAAGGCGTTTTGCAAGATGGTTTCCTTGACCGCTGCAAAAACAAGTCGAATATTTGTGGTATCGGTCGCTTGGGTAAGACTGCAAGATGATGCATCAGAATGGGCGACTTCGTTGTTTTGACAAGAGACATGAAACTTACTGTGGGTAGAGATTCAAATGCGCTCGGTTCACCTGGTTGAAACGCCATAGCAGATACTTCGCTGCGCGGTTGACATCATTCCCTCCTGAATAGTCGGGGAAATAATTGCTCAACGGGGAGCGAGGCAGCTTTTGCCGGAACAAATCGACCTTATTCAGGAAGAGGATGATACTTGTTCGCATGAACCATCGAGAATTGACGACGGAGTCAAAGAGAACCAAGCTTTCCATCATTCGATTCTGAGATGTATTAGCTAGGCTGGGGTGGGGTATGCTGTGGTCTCAAGAAGGAACCTACTTGATTGCTCTCCTCCAAAAGCATCTGATCATATTCGCTGAGAGCGACACAAAAGATGATAGACGTAACGTTTTCAAAACAGTGGATCCATTTCTTGCGCTCACTGCGTTGGCCGCCAACGTCAAACATGCTGCAGGTCGCATTAGTGAGGCTCGGAGAGAGTTGAGTTTTAATCGAGATTGTCCACGTACTGTATACTCAATTGACCCATTGTGAATCGCGTCTCATAGATACCAGTTGTCTTTGTTCTTGCTCGTAGGACGTCCGAAACATCGGGGGTGTAGTCCGGTGCCGTTATTCGCTTCGCCTCGTCGAAGAAGCTGATCGCAAGTCAGTTTCCAGCTACGGGCGACAGGGAGAAACCGACGAAATACTCACTATGGTGCGGAGTCCATGAGATAAAATTCATTTTGGCGCTCCAGAACGGTTGAAGTGCAGGGGTCATTCCAAAGGTATGTGATCGCATCCCCCACTTTCGGGTCGAGCGGAGTATTGGGGTCCGGGTCGACATGATATTCTTCGAGGAAGGTCATGTATTCTTGAACCTTTTGGCTGGAGGGTTCTAGAGAAAAGAGGTGATATGCTTCAATGAGGGCCTTGGCACAATCCAAGAGGTTCTTGAAGACGGTCAACCGGTACAAGGCCAGCTCGTCGACGGTGTAACCATTCTGGTGGATAATCTTCATCTGCTTGACGATTGTGGATTTGCCGCTCTCTCCGGAGCCTGCGATTTACATCATGATCAGTGGGTGATTCTCCAGATGGCCATGCGCAAAAAAAGGAAGGGAGGGGGCAAGGAAAAGGAGCTGAGGGTTCAACCTACCCAACAGGAGGATCTTGCATTCCCTGCGTAACCGCCTGGAGTCTTCCTCGAGCCTCCGATCGATCATCTGACTTCTCTTCTTCTGCTCGACATCCCCAGTTTTTTCGGCACTAAAACACATCCCCATGGTGACTGTCTGTATTTAATCAGGCCCAAGGCCAGCGGGAAGCAAGTCCGGGTTGACCGCGCGCAAAAGCGATCAGTGTCAGCCGGACGGGACGGCCGTAGCCTTCGGTAGATTGGGAGGACGGCCACCCGCCACGCACGAGGGGTTATATTGGTGTAGGCGGATAAGGGAGGAGCGGAGAGCGAGATTCGCGACGAGTGGAGAATTTGCGATGGTTGAAGATTGAAGGAGAAGTGTGTTAAGGCGGGGGAAGTTGGGAACGAGAAAGGTCGGGTAAGGTAAGCGTAAAAGGGTTACTTGGCGCTGAGGAGGTTGATGTTACGGTAAGACCAAGTCGCCGGGTTTCCGTGTCGGTCGTATCGGGTCGTGTTCGTGTAGTCGAGTTTCGGTGTATAGAATGAAGGGGTTAATTCAGGCTATGACAGTTAAGAGTGATCAAAGGGCGGTGCAACCGTCGTTGGGGGGGGGGAGGAGTCCACGAGTGGAGATGCCAGAAGAGCGGGTTTGGGGGGTTTGGGGGGTTTGGGGGGGTAAAGTATGAGGTAAAGTAACGGTACTCCCGTACAATTGTGTTTTACGCCCCGGGGCGGAGTCGCCAGTGCCGGCCTACTTATTAGTCTTTAGTTACTCCGTACTAGTACGGCGCACTGTAGCAGACTAATGTATGGGGGGGGGGTTTTTTCTTTCCTTTCTTTTTTTTTCGCTTTGGGGCCAAAAGGTAATTTACAGGGTTGGCTGGACTAGGCAGAACGGGTTATTCTGGGGGGGAATAAGGGGTATTATTCTAAGGAATGAGTAGTAACTATTAGTATTTGTACAGCCTTAGTGATGCCCTGATTTAACAGAATGCTTAGATCTAGGGCCTGTCCTAGTATTCTATACTCTAGACTGTGCAGATGGCTCCGGTATTTCCCATCAAATGGCTATTTTACGCAGCCGGTGAGAGTCCACTTGGAAGTGCGTCACGACTCTCCACCACAGCTCCGGCCTGGCACGTGCCTCCCCACGTTCTACATGGGAATGTGAACACCTGCGCTGGATTGAGGTACGGGATACCAGGTATTAATGGTATCTATAGGGGTATCCTTGGAATCTAGTAGTAGTAATAGTAGTAAATTGGTACTAGTATACTACTAGTATTGTTCTGAGTCTGAACTGCTAGAGGGTGCCAGTGCCCAGGTGTTTCCAGAGGTACGGAGTAGTACTGCAATATATTTCTGAGATCTACTCAACGCTCACCTCAAACCTTCCAACTTCAACTCCAGGGCTTGGTTGAACCCAACCAAGATGGGCATCAAAAGCTGAACCCCTCCACTTTTCCCGGGCGCACAACATCCAGTCTTACCCGGACGGGGAAAATGCCTTGGATGCCCGTCGCGTGGCTATTGGGTTTCACATGTCTCAAATGTGTCCATGTCCATACGACTGGGTACCTGTCCGGCTTACCATGCTCAGTGAGTACTATTAATACAGCACCACCCAGGTTCAAGTTCTTTGTTGCCCTCAGGTGACAGGGCAAGGCTCCCTCCATCCCCTGTGGCTTTCCAGGGCTGTCAACCGAATCGATCGATCCTGGAAACCGGGTCTCCACTTTGACCTTTCCCGCCCGATATGTACTACATATGTCCCCTGGTGGATTGCCTAAGTGTATCTCGGAAGATCATTGATCATCTCAGTCTGGGTCGTCTGCAACCTGCAACGCTCGGTTCTGATATCTGATGCTGCATGAGTGGTGCAAGCTGGACTGGTGACATTGGCATTGACATTGATTGACATGGCATTGACATTGACATTGGCGGGACCAAGCCGAGGGCGAATGACAACCGCACAACGCAGCAGGTGTCGGGACCGGGCTAAGCGCGAGTTATTAGCGATTCGGCCCTTTTCAGAATCCTCAAGCGGATTGCAGTATATCGTACGTAGGAAGATAAGATTAGTTGAGATCGAGGCACTACGATACTCGTACTTCGACTTCGGACTCCGGACCTACGAGTATGTAGGAGTACTGCCCCTTTAGCGTAGTTCCCGGGCAATGTGGACGGCAATGGCCCGGTCGAGACGCGCGGAGTGGGGATGGACCAGCACTCAGTACATTATACTGGAACGTAGGGTTAGGGTATGTATATGGGTATTAGGGAGGAAATATTAATTAAGGGGGAGTGAAGTATTAGTAGTAGTTTATTTATATACATATTTAAATACTACCAATTATTCAATCAATGTTATCCTCTGGAATCTATATACTCATACCCTACTGTTCTCGTATATACTGTCCTCCTTCAAGGCTAGACCCGACTGAGTCAGCCGCAGAAACCTGCTCGCAAACGTCATCGTCCTTGTTTTCTGCACTTCTGCACTTCTCACCGCAGAAGGCCCTTCCCCACATACGTTCCAAGGCCCCTCCGTCGGCTTCACCCCTTTCCCCCTCTATCTCTATCTCTTTCGTGTCTGTCTTTTCTCAACTTAAAAAAAACAAAAGCTGTCTCGTTTTCATCATGGCCGAATTCGTTCGCTCCCAGATCTTCGGCACTACCTTCGAGATCACCAGCCGGTATGTCGCCCTGTGCCCCGCCGGGCGCGTGAATCTCATCGCTGATCGTGTTTTTTTTTTCTTCTTCTAGGTACTCGGACTTGCAGCCGGTTGGCATGGGTGCCTTTGGCCTCGTGTGGTGAGCATCATCCCCATCTCGATTCTGCCGCGCGCGCCCCCGTCGGCAAGATTCACCCCATCGCTAATCATCAGGCGCTTGATAGCTCCGCGCGCGACCAATTAACCGGCCAGCCAGTCGCCGTCAAGAAGATCATGAAGCCCTTCAGCACTCCGGTCTTATCGAAGCGTACCTACCGAGAGCTAAAGCTTCTCAAACACCTTCGCCATGAAAATGTGGGTTCTTCTCGTATCAGTCTACTTTTAGCTCACATGTACTGAACGCTTTATACAGATCATCAGCCTGAGCGACATCTTCATCTCTCCTCTTGAGGATATGTATGTCATCATATGACACGTTTGGAAACCGACACGCGGACTAATGACTGTAGTTACTTTGTTACCGAGCTTCTGGGAACTGACCTCCACCGACTCCTCACCTCTCGCCCTCTTGAGAAACAATTCATCCAGTACTTCCTCTACCAAATTCTCGTGAGTTGCTTTGACGTTTATAAAAATCTGGGGTTCTTTCTCGTTGGGATCCCTCGACAACTCGTTCTTTGACTAATTGCCCACAGCGTGGATTGAAATATGTCCACTCCGCTGGTGTAGTCCACCGCGACCTGAAGCCCAGCAATATCCTAATCAACGAGAACTGCGACTTGAAAATCTGCGATTTTGGCCTCGCTCGAATCCAGGATCCGCAAATGACCGGCTATGTGTCAACACGCTACTACCGTGCGCCTGAAATTATGCTCACATGGCAAAAGTACGACGTTGAGGTGGACATCTGGAGCGCGGGCTGCATTTTCGCCGAAATGCTGGAGGGCAAGCCACTTTTCCCTGGAAAGGACCATGTCAACCAATTCTCGATCATCACCGAGTTACTGGGAACTCCTCCCGACGATGTGATCCAGACTATTTGTAGCGAAAACGTGAGTCCCATCCCTGCCATGAGGTAGCGCCAAATCCGGACCTTGGCTAATTGTTTTTACTTTCCTCTGGATCTAGACCCTGCGATTTGTCAAGTCCCTACCGAAGCGCGAGCGCATACCCTTGGCGAATAAGTTCCGGAATGCCGATGCCGATGGTTCGTGACTTTCGATTCCCACAGCCCCACCCCTTGTGTGCCCCTGTTGACAAAGATTTAGCCGTCGATCTGCTTGAGCGGATGTTGGTGTTCGACCCCAAGAAGCGAGTCCGGGCCGGAGAAGCGCTGGCGCATGAATACCTGGCCCCTTACCACGACCCCACCGACGAGCCGGTCGCGCAAGAGAAGTTCGACTGGTCGTTCAATGATGCCGACCTACCCGTGGATACCTGGAAGATCATGATGTGGGTAACCCCTCGTGTGCATGAAATAAAACGACGCTTACATTATTCTTTTCTTTTCTCAATAGGTACTCGGAAATTCTCGACTTCCACAACATTGACCAAGGAACCGAGGCTGGCCAGGCTCTGGTTGCTGGCGGTGCCGTGCAAGGAGGCGGCGTCCCCCAGAATTACGCATGAAGTTCATGATCCAACGAACCATAATTTCTACCATAGTATCTTTTTCTGCAGTCGTGTTTTTTCCCCTTCCTTTTTCCTTCTCGGAAGGTTTCCCTCTCCTGTTAACTTCCTCCACCTCCAAATCAGGGAGCCACGGCATCCAAATCATATATGTGTTTTAACTGGGAAGCTTTGCAAAGTGGGCGTGTTCGTCTTGACTTTTTCTTTCCTTTCTTTTTTGGCCTATTGAAAGCCAATTGTCCATAGCTAGTTCGGCGTCGTTAAGAATCGGCCGGTGATTAGGGGATACCTTTTCATTACCATGCGGTACAATTATATTTGGGAAAGAACAATTAGAGTGTGTACAACTCGTAGTTCCTGTAGGCCATAACTAACTACTACACTACTCCTACTACTCCTACTCCCTGTCAATCATTCCATTGGCCCTGGAGAGTCACCGCGGGGCTGCCATCGAAAGGCCACACCGCCCGCAATCAACACGTGAGCGATAGCCTATCGAAATCCCCTGCGACCCATGGGATTCTCATACTCCGTACATGTTACTACTTGCTCTCTTCTCCTGACTCCAGCTCCCTTGCGCTCGTGTTTTTATGGGGACAATTCGGGCCGTGGAGAAACGCCCCCGAACCCTTACATTCACTATCCCCGATCTTTACTGCCCCCCGCACGACCGTCCCCATGGCTATTCCGAATAAACAAGATCCGATTGTCCTGGTGATTGATTTCCACCATGCGCGGTGCGTGCTTCCCCGCAGTCATAACCCAGTTGTCTTTGACAACTGGTCTCGTGGCAATGTGCCGACGAAAACCTATGCTAATGCAATCTGCAGGGGTCCGGAAATCGAGCATTGCATCGCCAACGAAGGCGCGAACCCTGCCACGGACAATGACTGGTCATTGCTGCCGTTCATGGCCCTGTCTGATGGCGCTCACCTGTATGGCATTACCTTCCCGGACCCTACCTAAAAGTGGTCACGCCGTGTCTCTCGAGTCGATATGGCCACCCTTGGTTTTATAATGAAGAGCAACGCACTAATGTCTTGGGACTTATAAATGTTCTAGTTCGACCGAGGAATTCTCCTATTTTACACTACGGGGCAGAGAAACACCCGATACCCCTGAAACCTCTCTGTTCGGTATCGCCTGCTCCCGCCAGCTCGATGCCAAGCTCCTCCTCAATCGCCCGCCGGACGTGACGAGATCTACGGTACAGAAGGCGGTGGTTGTTGTCACCGATTCCCCGCAGAGGGTAGGCCAGCTGCGTGAGAAGCTCTCCGTGGTAACAACGGCGTGGTTTGCTCAACGGTATGTTAAAAACAGCCCTTGTGCAGTAGAGAGCGGCTGGGATACCCCGCATGAGGGAGTTTTTTTTGTTGGAAATGGTCCACTGAGCTGAGCTAACTCCGTGCGTGGATTGATAGCGACTTTTCCGATATCGATATTTTGAAGGTATACATGACTCCATGGACTCGAGAAATGAACCGCAGACTCATAGTTGATCTAGAAATTTCACGAGGGGTTGGTGATTAGCTTGATGAAGGATGGCCCGAAAGATCAGAACTTGGGTTAGTATTGTCCATATACTTCGATTCGCGTGGCATTTGACTGACTTGGACTCAAGGTCTCTCCCTCCGAGAAATGATTCACGAATTCAAGTACCAGACTTTGGTACTATTCAAGGCATTGCTATTGCAGCCCAAGGTATGGGCCATCTATCCCCTCTCGGTTGGATCTATATAATGAATTCTGCTGATTAATGAAGATGCTTTTCTTCGGTACACGATGCGAAAGATTATGCATGCTCCAATTTTCGCTCATCTCCTTAATACCCGGTCTTATAAATAACTTGGAAGACTGCGCAGATCCTTCATTTGACAGTTATGAACAGAGCGTTGAGAAGCCAACTTCTCTCAAGACTAGTGATCGCAGCTCTTGTAGGGTTTTCTCTCGATCCGTTCTTCAATCATCGATTTACTAACCTTTCGGCAGTGCTGGCATATATGGGTCTACCATTGCAGATCTTTGGAAAGGTATGCGTTGTCTTCAACTAAGAATTCTGACTGGAACCCTAACTCTCTTGCCAGGGAAGCATGTTAGGGCCATATACCCCTCTTCAACAGTTAGATCTGCTAGCCGACGATGGTACGAAGTCCTATGTCGTGGGATCTACAAATTCATTGCTTCTACAACAGAAGGACCGCTACAGTGATATTTTAATCAACGTGAGTCATCTGCTCCTTTTCTGGGTTATAACACTTCTAACACAGTTTGTGACCACTAGCTTGATGAAGATAGCATTAGCATCTCATCTCTGCCTCTCCGCAACGCTTTGGCCCTATCCACGGCCGACAGACGCTGGATCGATCTTCTCACTCAAATCGTTAATGACACCTGGGATGAAGATCACCCATCACGCCCAAAGACCCTTGGTTTTATGGGCTCCGAGGAGTTCATTCGATTGCAGTTTGAGGAGTACCTGCTGGCCCTATTATCTTCCATGAAATACCACGAGGAACTCAGCTCGTTTACTTCCGGCGATTCTGGCCATCGTAGCAGAGCGCAGTTACAAAACTTCAACATTGAAGGAGACCCTGCTGTCGACTTTAACACCGAATTTTTGATCCAGTGGCAGAAGACCTCCAACTATGCACTCTTCTCGCGCCTCACCTCGGATGCACTCTTGTTTTCTATCACCGAACCCCGACACCCAAGTGCTGGGGATTGACCGTGGAGGATATCCAACGCCGACTTTCTCAACAAGTAGCCGACCTTCATCTAGACGAAAAGGTTCGTGAGGGACGGGAGGCACTCGGCAGACACCTTGCGACAGGCCAGAAGAAAGTCAGCGCAGCATACAGCAGATTCTGGTCCGACATGGAAACCGTGCGCGAGAACCAAAAGAAGCGCAATGAAGAAAGATCCTCCCAGTCACAGCGCGCTTCGATCGATACCCCCGCCTCCCCTTCACAAGGATCCATCGATGATTCCACTTCCGAAACATCGGGTGCTTGGTTTGCGAGCCGCCCAAGAGCGTCAATTGACGTCGCCCAGGCCCAGGCTACAGTGGGCCAAGCCGGCCAAAAGGCCGGCGCATATTTCAGTTCATGGGGGTCATGGGCGAACGAGAAGCGACGCGAGTGGCAAGAAAAGCGCAGCGCTTCGCCAAGCCCGCAGCAGGGCGCAGTCGCCCCGTCACCATCGGTACCATCACTGCCCATCGTCAGCGAAACCATCATCGAGTCAGATCGCGGCCGTCGTCGCTCGATGCAGCGACAAAGCGAAGATGCCGAGGGTCTGTCGCGCAGTCTGAGCCGTAGAAAGAGATGGAGCAATATTCTTCTGCGTCGCGAGAGTGGTGAATTCAAACGCGACGAGAGTGCCGATGCCCCTTTTCCCAAGTCACCCCTCTCGCAAGGCTTCCCAGCGCACGATCATGGAACGGAGGAGAATCCATTTGAAACTGAAAAGGTTCCGGGACAGCAGCAACAACAACAAGCTGCCGACGCGGACGGTTTCACTAGCGTCTCACTTACGCCCAATGAGGGACTTCGCCTGGACCTCAACCCCAGCGAGCCTACCGCTGAAAATACGGAGCGCTCCGAGAAGACCGCTGATCCGCGACCGAATGATTCGCTGACTGCTCTGCCCGTCAAAGACGAAGAGCAATCGCACGTCGAGGCCAAGGATTCTATTTCTAGCAAATGATTTTTCTTTCGGCACCTCGTCCATCACGACAGTACATATGAATTGAGTGACGCATTCTCCTTTTTCCTTTTTCATGTCATGTACTTGTTTTTCCCCCTTCTTCTTCTTCTCCTTTCCTCTCGCCCCTTTCTTTATATCTCTGGTACTTGGCATTGTAGCGCGGCATACCCATTCTAGAACAGCATTCTCATTCTTCAATTGTTTTTGTCTATACTACATTTTCACCCAACCCCTTTCTCAAATACTCCAATTGACCTCAAGTTACTTTCCAGAATTGCGCAGCCTGTGTGATACGATCTTGGCATTCTTGCGTTTTCTTTTTCTTTTATTCCTTTTAGGACTCTCGCATCATGCGATCAACTTGCATCTCCGCTAGAACTTGGAATTGGACATTGATTGCACTGGACTTTACCTATATTGAGACGACTATGATTAAATACTAATGTGTGGGATGAAAGAACCTGTGCGACATGAGGTCTCTGATCTCAGAACATGCATAATAGTCCCCTTCAATCAAGTTTGTTGTAGGATCTTGAAATGTCTTGTGCGACAAATGATGGGCACGCCGGTTGGTGAGGTTGTAGATTCCTGAAACACCGATACAATCCATGGATCGTTACGCTACAGTTTGCCTTATGGCTCGGCGCTTTGATCAGAGCTTTGGTATTCCGCGGCAACTTTGAGGAAAATAGAGCTACGCTCGCGTGTCGAACCTTGAGTGGAACAAATAAAAACCTTCGTATTTGAAGCAAATACGGGGTATGAGATCAAGGCGGTCGATTTCTTCTGTGTCTAATCAGATCGATAGCAAGGTGGACTGCGGGGGAGGACTAGGGTGGGAGATCCAAGTATGGAATTAGGACTCCTCAAAATTATTGGTAAGGTAAGACGGGGTACGAGTAGCCTGATCAAAATACACGTGGGGAAATAAAAGGAGAATTCGGGTTATCATTGATCTGTCGTCTCAACGCTATGATGAAAGATGGAATAAAATAAACACAAAATGCGTCGTTCTTGTGCTCCGAAGCTCCCTTATCCCCACCAAGCAAGAAAAAGAAATACCCCTTCCTCGTCGATTCCGGGTCACCCAGTTAGTTTAAGGCACCAGCCTTGCCGCACCTCCTCTTTTGTCCAATCAGAATGGTGGAGAAGCAACAAGCAAAGGTGGAAACCAACCGAATCAGATCAGATCAGGCAGAGGCGCGACGATAATAGAGGAGGATTGGGGGAAACGGAAACATAGAAACGGGCGTGAGCCTGATGCGATGAGATAAGGAGGAATGAAGAGTGAAGGGGGAAAGCAAATGATAGAGATGAGGTTGGGAATTTAAGCAATGTAAGCAATTTCGTCCCCGTCTAGACGCTCGATGTAGTCCTTTTCCATGAGGGCTTCGATGTTTTTCTTGATATCGGGGATCTTGGGCGGGAAGCGAGATTTGACGATCTGGATGACTTCTTGCACCAGTTGCACGTGCTTCATCTTCTTTCGAGATTTCATAACACGGACGATGGCCGACTGGTGAGCGTTAGTAAAGAATAGAACAATGCATAGCGAGGTGTGGAGCGGGTCGGGGAGGGGAGCTTGGTTCGTACCTGGAGCAGAAGTTTCCGGTCCTCTTCTATGGTTTTGTGGGTATCATCCGATTCTTGCTTTTGCTCCGACTTAATCTGGATGTTGAGATTGACCTTGATTTTCTTATTTTTGAAGTTGTAGTTGAGGGAGAAAGTGGTGGAGGGGTCAGGCTTGGCACCCTCCGGACTTGCCAGGAGCACCTTCGCCTTCAAAAGGATACTGAGGTTAGGATCAAGGACTTCAGGGCCGAGTGCTGTCGCTTTTTGGATGTCGGAATAGCCCATGGTGTCAGTCTCATTGAACAGCAGCAAGATGCCCATTTGGTAAGTCGACACTTGAAAGGTGTAGGGTAGCTTGGCGTTCTTAATGTAATTCGCTTTAACTTCGCCCTTGCAGAGTTGCCACAACCAGGTCAGCTTACGACCATTGTGCTTGCCGAAGTAAAATTGCTGGAACCGCTCGCAGGTCTTGTTGATCTCAGTGGGAGCATTGAAGGGGGTCGTGGGAGGATTGAGAGGCCAAAAGCCAGTTCCAAGGATCTGGAAGTGCGAGTCGACCATCTTTTTGCGGTCGTCGTCATCATAGGTCTTTTCTTGGTGATCCTTGTAATTCGAGTTGAGATCTTTGGAGAGTTGAATGTCCTGGAACATGCGCTGCAGTTTGTTGGTGTATTCAAAACCACAAGCCTCCTTCAGTTTACTGATCATGCTGGTCTCTGCATCGTCGGACACCGAGCTGACATGCACCAGGCGTTTCGCCAACATCTTAGAATAAAACTTTTGGAAAACATCCTTGTCCTCGATGTATTTGAAGACAGTCATAATCTGCGTGAGCATCTCCTCCAGTTCGGACTCCTCCGCAGCCTTGGAACCCTTCTTCAATAGACCATCGGTGTATTTTGCCAGGAGCTCTGGAGAGCGAGTCGTTGTTGTCTTGCAGATGCGGTTTCGGTTGACAAACTCGCGACAAGCATTGTCGAGAGAACGCACAAACTCAGATTCGCCATTGAAAGCCTCGTCAACGAGATTTTGATACCGGGTATGGACCTGTAGAAGGGCGTCCACGTAGAGCTTGGGCTCGAAGTTATCACCCTCCGATGCGACCTTCTCAACAGCAGCTAGGCCAGCTCGTCGCACATGGTTTTCAAAGGTAGCACGCAGAGGGTCCAGTCCCTCCTTGATGCGAGATAGGAGTCGGTACATCCGGGCAAGGTCTTCCTGACGCTCATTGTCCAGGAGAATCTGGAACTCATCACGAAGCAAGTTGGAATGGGCAGTGACAAGGACGTCGAGGCACGTCTCGGTAAGTAGCTTGGTGACATCAGGGTGCAAATAAAGGCCGACCCGATCCTTCTCCTCTGCAAGTCGAGCCTCCGCCTTCTTCATGTACTCGACAACGCTGTTCTCTGCCACAAACTGTCGGGATTCGTTTTCGTAATATTGCTTGGTGGCTGCGATGAACGGCGTCTGGAAGTAGGTTCGGTAGACTTCGAGGGTGGGCTTCTTGCTATCGTTCTCGTCCAGGCCCAGAGAGACGAATGAATCAACGATGCTCTTGATCTGGGATTGTTCGATGGTTTCGCCGTTGCGCTGTTTCTCAATGAGGTTTAGCACGGCATCCATCACCTTCTCGTGAACATGCTCAAAGAAATCCTCCTTCCACTTGACGAGATGCAAAGTGTAGACGTCGTAAACATTTTTTTTGCCCTCATCGATCTCGCGCTTCACCCAGTGTCGATTGAGGTAGCTGAACAAATGGTTGATATATTTGGCGGCGGTGGTGTACCGGGACCATTCGCGGATGTAGAATGCTAGAAGAGCTTCTTCGGCGTGACTTTGAGATTCCTTGTAGACGACAGCCAGATGGCGCGATAGATACTCGCCTAACAACTTGTAAAGTTCTTCGCCCAAGAGGTGTGCTGAGCGCATAGGGCGTCCCGTTAGTGAAATTCTATCCAGGGAACCCGCGATTCGGGCTAGGAATAAGGGTGACAAACCTCCTCGGTGGGCTTGTAGACCTTGACTGCTGGTGACGGCTTTCTGTGAGGTACAAAAGTTGTGGACGGCGCTGTGGTAGATCTGTGAGCGGGGAAAACAAAATCGGTGCGGGCATCAAACATACGTGTAAAGAGCCATGTACTAGAAAAAGACAACCAAGATGAGTTTGCGGACATTCAAATGAGAGCCAGTTGCTTCATTATGGACGAGGGCGTTCGAGTCACTCACATGCTTCATGTCAACTCCTTCCTCCAGCTTCATCATCACATTATCGATTCCCGCCTCGAGGAACGACCACCTGGAGGAAAATCAGCCCTGTTCTGTCTTTTTTGTGTATCCATTTATCCTAACTCACGTTTCGGGGAGGTCATCTTTATGCGGTGTTTGAGGCATGGCTGCCATAGTGGTTGGGGAGAGATGGGGCGATTTAGCAAGGACGAAGGAAGGGAATGATTCTGGAAGAAAGATGATAAAAGATCAGCTGGAAAGGTCCGGAACACGCCATACAAGAGGTCAAGTCGGTCTCCTTGAAGGAGCGCGTACAAGTGAGACTTAATCTCCCAGGGTCGGAGATGGGGTCGAACGCCACGAGTCACAGCGTGTAATTTTTGGTGCAGAATCCAACTACTGATGATTTTGAGAGGAGGAAATGCCTGAAAAGAGAGAGTAGAAAAGAAAGAACGATGCCTCCCATGCGAAACAAGTGAGAGCAAGGCAGAAGAGAGATCAGGCAGACGAGTGTGGCGGCAAGATGAGGCTGAGATGCGTGGGGACCTCGATGCATCGACCGCGGGCGGTCAGCATCGGGCGGTGAAGGTCTTAATGGGGCGATCACAGCTTGTTGCTCATTGGGGTTGGTTGTTTTGCCGGCATCCCTACAAAGTATATCACAGTTTCACCATTCATCGTAGCATGTTATACTAGTGCTAAGTTGTTCAAAGAGACTAGGATCTGGTATCGTATTGCTCTAGAGTCTTCATTACTTTTACCACCTATAGGGTGGATTTGGTGGTATCACTTCGCACAATCAGCAATCTAGAACCTTGCTAACGTGTGATAAATAAAGCACATCTATGCCAAGTCAACTCAAAAAGCACAAAGGAGAAAAAAGCAAAGATTAAGGCAATAAAAGAGCCAGAACAAGACCCACAGAGCTCGAAGCTGTTTACAAAGAATCGCACGCCTTGCCCGGGCGGTATTACAGGCCCCGGAATGACGTCATTGTCTTGGTGAAGGCCGGGGTTCTGATCGGGAATGCCATAACCAGTACATAGTAGCGCTTGTACGAGAAATCTATACCGAAACCTAGACTCGGACCAGAGAAGAACACACCAGAAATGACCTTTCGTCAACTCTCAGAGATCCAGGTGACTTGCCATCAGATCTCTCTCCTCTTGGGAGCTCATCCCCCAAACTGCGATTCAAGGACATCCACTCATGAGATACCACGGCGCTTTCGACGCCACAGCCGCCGAACTCAAACGGCACTTGGAAGAAGCTGGAAAAGCTGTACCCTACTGGGTTTTATATCGTATATGGCCGACCCCATTTCCACGCAACTGCCCATGAGATTCTTGGTAATGTCGTGGGTTGGTCGGTCTCTGCTCTGGAGGTGAACACAGCTCACAGCGGTTTGAATCAATCCTCCGACGAGGTGGGTAGGCAATTATACCCGTCGAGGATGGGAATCGGTTGCTAGTGGACGATGCTTATGAACCCTTTCGGATGGTGGGCTCGTATCTGTCTGGGAAGCAGTAGACAGTGGTGCGTGTTTTATGGGCCGCCGGAGGAGCAAAGATAGACTTAAGGACATCCTGGGCTTGTCACGGATTCATAGAGACCCATTAAATAGGGAATGCGGGCTCAATTTGCCAGGGTTCAACGTTGGGTAAGATAGGCGACATTGCATGCTTCCGGAACATACTTCCCCGACAGACACAGCAAGCTTGGAGTAAATCAAAGCGCAATCGAAAGATTGAGTTTTTAATGCTTCACCCTTTCAACAAGTCTATAACGATATCAGTATCCAAGTGAATCATTTTTTCTGGACGTCGTCGGTACTTACCGGAGGACACTGATGCAGAATGTCATTAGCCAGGCAAGTAGAGCCACCAGGAGAACCGATGCCAGGGCTTTCTGTCGAACACAAATTCTGTCATTACGAGGGTCTATCTCTTGGTTGACTTCTGCTTCAGTACACGATCCTGTCACTTCTGATAAAGAAGCAAATGCCAAGCTAAGATTGGCGGAATCGAAGACGATGAAGACCAAATCCAACAAGATAAGTCGCGCCTTCGCTGAAGGCGAACGCAGGCCCAGGGGCTTTGAGGTGTATTCATCAAACGTAATATAGAGGAGGTACACCAGGGCGATGGCGTCAACAATGATGGCCATCAGGGCAGATGGTCCTTGCGAGTGGGTGCCCTGATCAGAGAAATGTTGGATAGATCCGCCCAAGGCGAGAGCAGAGAGAGAGAAACACCAGACGGTTAGACGTAAAATCAGCGGCACTATGGGACTTTTGAGAAGAGTGCTTTGGAACCTCTTAAACCACATCTCACGGCGATTCTTCGAGTGCAATGGATACTCTGGGCTGTCACCTTCAAGGTGCTTTCCTCGCCAAGGATCCGCATAACTGCCGTGGTTCTCGAGCATCCACTCGGGCGTGACTTCTTTTTTCTCGTGGCCATTTTCCCGTGGGTATTGAATAGATCGCGAGAATGTTATCCAGCGTGATTCGCGTTCTGTGGACGGCGAACGGTCCTCCTCAAAGAGAGGTTGATCTTGTGATGGAGTATAGTGGTGGCTTGATGATGCATGAGGCGAGTGATTATGCTGAGCCACAAATGCATCGCTCGGTTGGGAAGGTAAAAGACGATCGGCTGCTGTGGCATCCTCTCCCTCGTCGTCGGCGGCTTGGACAGATTGAATCCATGCTACGAGAGCCAAAAGTTAGTGACAATGAACTAATGTTATTACTGTAAACAACGAAAGAGGAAGCCAAGTCTATTAACATACGAGGCAGAGTTCTTAAAGTGAAATGTTGCGACTGTATGAGCTCTTCTATCTGCCCACCCGGAATTCGGGACGCGGTGGCTGGCGAGTCGTAAGCACCATTGCGCAGAGCGACAGCCTGGGTATCGATGCTCAGATGGTTCGAGGACGCGGGTGCAATTGGTGATGACAGGCCTGAGGGAACCTTTTCAGAAAGTTTTTCATTGAGGACACGCCCCGAAGTGCCTTGTTTGGAGCTGTTCGCATCCATGGCAGGGTTGGTCTAGGGCGGGACTCGGAGACTGCGGAAGGGCGTCAATTTGGGATGTGCATGACCGAGATTGCTGATCACGAAGCAGAGCCTAGGAAATAGCCCAAATCAGGAGAGAGTGACAGAGTGACAGAGTCGAGGGGTAAATAAAAATGGGGCGTGGGTGGGTGTGATGTGCAAGATGCAAGAAGGAAGCAAAGCAAGCTTAGGAGACCCTCGGGCCAAAAACGAGTTGGGTGGTTCGCGCCGAATGACGTCTCCCCCTGCCTAGTGCCATCCTTCACTTTCCCCTTCGCCTTCACCTTCACCTTTTTTTTCCTCAACCTTCAAAGGCCCTTGGGCGCACACATAAGCGCATGGTCTACTGAAATTACACTCCCTTTTCATATTCCTCTCCTTCTTCTTGACTTTCTCGATATTTTATTTCCGGACCCAAAATCCCCATCAACTTCCCCGCTGTGATGCGCCTTTTCTTGATCCCTATCTCGACCCGACGGGCGTTGATATATGCGCGACCGCTTCGAAGAGACGCCGCCAAGGAGCTTTCGATATTGGACCGCGTGACGACAAAGGCGGCGCAAACATGGGCTGGTTGGGAGGAAGCTGAGAAGGGCTGGAAGAAACACCTGGTGACCTGGGGAAATAAGGTCCAGCAACGGATCCCATTTGAAGAATGGGGTCTCAAGAGCATTCCGTCCCTCACGACACAGCGACGAATCGATGAGCAGTATGGGTCTAAGAAAATTGAAGTTCTATACCCAGCAAATGCTCTGCGATTGGAAAAAGTCCCCACCATTCTGCGTACCATCGCCACGGAACGGCAGGAGTTCCATCAAAAGAAGATGCGGTGGAGCCTCGGCATAGCCCCTTTGACAGCACCCTTCGCTTTGATCCCAATGTAAGTTTCTATCTGGAGTGGTCTGGATCTTTGAAAAACTTGGCAGAGTGCTAACGAAGAGTTCTAACGTGGCAGAGTCCCGAATATTCCTTTCTTCTACCTGGTCTACCGAGGATGGTCTCACTGGCGCGGTTTGTCAACCCGATTCGCGAATTGTTGAGTCCAAAGACTAACAACCATATTTTGTAGCATTGAATGGCTCTCGCCATCTCGAGTTCCTTGTTGAAAAGAACCTTATCAACCCTATATCTCCCCCGGAATTGGAGGAGCTGTACGCCAAACGAGCCTCGCGCACTCTTGACAACATACCGGCCGATACACCCGCGTCTGGTATGGTTGATGGTATGGAGCAAAGCGATGATCGTATATTACTTAAGATGTCCGACGCAAAAAGGCTGGCATCCATTTTCGAAGCACCGGAGTTGGCGCTGGAAGCGGAGCGAGCCATCATCCAAGTTGGTGAGCAGCTGGAGGCCAAGAAGGCGAAAGCGAAGGAAGACGACCTAAAAAATGAAAAGAAAGATTCATGAGTCGGAAATTTGACGAAATTCAGGCGTTGGTCAGGCACAGGACCCCGATAGAAAGTCCACTCTTGGTATACACTGTTTTAATATCACACGCACCTCTTGTATCATACTGATTAATGCCAAAATACCATTTTCCAAGCAAAATTATCTAGTCCGATCTCGTATCTAGGACAGCAGGCCCTTCTTCACGCCGACCCCGGACTCAGATCTATTTTGCTTATTATACAGCTGGCCTAGAAACCCTCAATTTGGGTAGGTTCCAATCAGATCCCAAATTCGAAAGTATATGCGATATCTGGATCATCCTGCCCGACAACAAAGTGAAGGGTGTCATCTGTATATGAATGCGTATAGTACCCCAGATCCGTCGGTGCATCAGTTTCAGTATACAAATCCCCAGTCTCAATTCTCAGGGTTCGAATGGGAAGATCCCCGCTCGATGGCAGTCCAACAGCGCTCAACCCCGACGGGACAATGCCCTATGTACAAGTAGTTGGGCGTACACCAGCCAGAACTCTCACCTTGTCGCTGCCCGCAACAGCATATGTATCCCCGAGCGTGTCTTCTGTCATTTCTGAGCGAACTCGATAGCCGGTCATGTTCAAGGTGTAATATTGATAAACTTGATTTTCGACATGGCCAGTAGTCAGTATCAGAAATTTCGTAATTAGGGTTAGTGTGGGCTTTCCCAATTACGTTCGCAAGGTAATCGTGTAATTCATAGTCTCCCCCTCTTCCCGCCAGTTTGTGCGTAGACCGAGGGCGTTGGCACATTCCTATACTTTCGCTATGAAAATCCAGAATCATCGCAATCGATTGACTCACAACAAAATGGAATATTGCTCTTACATCACCCATGTCTCTGAGTAATGGCCTCTTGACTCTCGACATATGCATCTACCTCGCACTGTGCAAATTGACGAGCTGCTACTCCTCTCGCAAACAAGATATCCAGTTCCTCGAACGTCTTTCCCTTTGTTTCTGGCAGACGAAAAAATGCCCAGACTAAAAACACGGCCGAGGAGCCACCCCAGGAAAAGCCGGTCTTTCCACGCCAATTACCCGCAGTGGGGTTCAGCATTTCTGGATTGATGCTATTGCAGACGACCTGAGCGATGTAATAGGCAATACGGCTGAGGCAGACGCTCTTATTCCGAAGACAATTAGACGACACCTCTGTAATCACGGCGTAACAGATTGGGCCGACGGTGGAATAGTATACACCCAGCCAGCAAAGCATCAACCCGGCCTGGGCGTAATTACTTCCTGTAATATCACTGCCAACACTGCAGAAACCGACAATGAGGAGGATAGGTCTAGCATATAATTCTCGTTGATATCCTGCTTCAACTGGGCCAAACGTTTCTCGAACTCTGAATAAGCCCCGTTGTCGCCGGGCTCGAGAGCACTATCAGACGATGAACCATCCGAGCCCCTAAGATCGTGAATCAATAAAATAAAATCCCCATTGAACTTCCGAGTCGAGCGATAGTTGGATAAGGTAGATTCAAATCGCCCAATATACTGGTCATGCCCACCAGCACCCCAGCCGGTAGACACTGTTTGTGCACCACCAGCGCGACAGGCATTGAACTTAATGTCATTAGAAAATAATCCAGAATAACAGTCTGCGCCTCTTCGCCATTGTCGGGGAATCCATATATGAAATCTGACCCAAGAAATTCTGCCGAGCCGGTCGTTTTAGACACATCAACTGTAGCTTTTCCATTAGAGTCTCGGGGGGTAATACGCGGAGGGCTCGCCGCAATTAGCTTCACGGTGGCGGTTATCGCCAGAAAAGTGGTGAACTTCATCATTGTAAATACTGTGGAATTGGCTTTGGCTTTGTGGTAATCATACACATCAATCATCTCTCCAAAAGGGCACCTTTTATACTAATACAAGATGAAGCCTTTCCCGCACTGTTTTCCCTTCACAATGCACTTAACACTAAAACGCGGCCGGGAGTGATCACACATCTCCGGTGGCGGGTGAAGAATCTCTGCAGGGGTGAAAAGCCATTTGCGGGGAAGTTATGAGAGCTCGTATAGCCATAAGCTGGCTATTTCATGCTCCGGCAATATCTTCACTGTGACACAGCGTTCCGCATCCCGATGGTTGAGAAGGCTTCCTGGGATATTGGATCACCACCCCACACGGCTTCATAACTACTAACTAGTGGATACATCCCGGTGGTTGAGACTTGAGGCCCTGGACATAGGGGACCCCCACAGGGCTCCTCTAGTGAGTGGATACAACCCACCACCTGATAGCTATTTACTGATAACATAGCGGCACATACAAGTACCGTCTAATGGCTTCTCACCCCCGGATTATTTCATGAAGATGGTAATCATGGGAGCTTTTCCCCACATTTCCCCGGCAGGAAAACGCCAGGGCACGACGGATAAATGCAAGGGCTGGTGATGTCACTACATGTATATAGTATGCCAAGCATAATTTCTCGTCTATTTTAGGCAAATTGAAAATATATGATGAAACACCAAGTATTCTTTGTTGACACGATACTTGTTCCAGAATGTCTTGGTCCCCCACAATTGATTAACCGGATTACCTCGAGACTTCATTTGCAATTCCATTTCACTCAATCCATGCGTCTGGCCATAAGACAGTTTCTTTTTTTTTTTTTTTTTTTTTTGTATTTTCTCTTGCTAGTAGTATTCGACTTTCAGGCTGTTGCCAAGGGATCGACACGGAGCTAATAGAGACGAAACTCGGCCCTCCCCGACAACTTACCTAGAAAGGCAAACTTCCGATGGAGATAATACTCTCCTAAAGGATGCCGGTAGAAGGGAGTCGGCCTGAAATGAGACGCCGGGTAAAGGATATGAATATGTTAGTGCTAGGTAGGTTGATCGATCAATCTTGGCGTCGTCTGCGAAACAGCCAGCTCCACCTGTCAGTGGGCATGTACGGAGAATTATTCCTTTCCTGTTTTGTCAGTCAACCACCTGGGTATTTCGAGGTCACCTTCTCGGGGGCTTTCCTCAATGGGATTGGGCTACAACGAATATATAAATATCTGTACGCACCCTTGATCTTTACAAACTTTGGAGCCGGCCTTCTCTTCTATATCATACCTGGTTATCCAACCTTCGAAAAGGATCCCTCTTCCTAAATTCCGACATTACGTGACCCAATGTCAATCATGCGATTTTCCGGAGGGGCAAACCTATGGTCCTACATCCTGGCGCTGATGTGTACATCAATCTATACTGTCGCGGCAGACTGTGATTTGCCCTCGGCCTACAGTTGGACATCGACAGATGCCCTGGCACAGCCTAAGTCGGGATGGGCCTCGCTCAAGGACTTCACCAATGTAGTCCTGAACGATCAGCATCTAGTATATGCCTCATTTGCCGACGAGTCCGGCAACTATGGCTCTATGAACTTCGGTCTCTTCTCCGACTGGACAGATATGAAATCAGCAAGCCAGAACGACATGAGCTTCTCGGCTGTGGCACCCACGCTGTTCTACTTCGAGCCGAAGAGTATTTGGGTTCTCGCATACCAGTGGGGCGCGACCGCGTTCTCTTATAGAACTTCAACAGATCCTTCCAGCGGAACTGGATGGTCATCTGAGGCAGAGCTGTTCTCTGGTACAATCTCGGACTCTGATACTGGACCAATCGACCAAACTCTTATTGGTGATTCTGAGAATATGTATCTGTTCTTTGCCGGGGACAATGGCAAGATCTATAGGTCCAGTATGGCTATCGATAACTTCCCAGGCTCTTTTGGTACATCATCGGAGATTATTCTGAGCGGAACCACCAATGAGTTATTCGAAGCTGTACAAGTCTATACTGTGAGCGGACAGAACAAATACCTTATGCTTGTCGAGGCTATTGGGTCCAATGGACGATATTTCCGTTCCTTCACAGCCGACAGCCTAGGCGGGTCATGGACAGTGCAAGCAGGAACCGAAAGCCAGCCCTTTGCTGGAAAAGCCAATAGTGGAGCTACTTGGACAAATGATATTAGCCATGGAGATCTGGTTCGCAATAACCCCGACCAAACGATGACCATTGACCCCTGCAATCTGGAATTACTTTACCAAGGACGGGACCCGAATGGTGGCGCGGATTACAATACTTTGCCATACCGACCTGGTGTTCTGACTCTGAATCAATAAGGAGTTGTTGCTGTCAGCAAAAACACGAGGTTTCGTGAATAGTTTGCGAATATCCTATGCGCAGAGAATAAAATTTTATTCTGTATTCTGTAATCATTTTCTTCGCAATCGTAGGGAGTTGAACGATAACTACTAGTAGACAGTCCTAGAAGCGGAAGCCCGCGTGTTTAGTAGCTTTCAATGGCTCCTATAGGTTCAAATAAGTTGGCTAATATCAATTAAAATGATTCCAGGTCTGCAACCTACTTATTCTTGAATTTAGAATCAAAGAACTTGGTTAGAATTTGACTGAGTACAAACGACTAGTATGTACTTCTCGCCAATTTTGTGCGGGGAATACCACGTGACTTGCGATAAGGAAGGCGCGCGTTGATAAGCGTTGATGCCGCTGGGCGCGTGCAGTCGCGGGCTTCTCATTCCAGGAACCCCACAACATATTGGGCCATGAGGCGTGCTGAATGAGACCCAAGCAATGGAATCGACCCGAACAATTTACGAGCTGAAATCGACATTCATTCGGAGCCAAATCCGCATTCTCTCCGAGAGCCTTGAGCTGCCGGAAGATTGGCAACAATATGCAGTGGAGACCGAGGAGGGCCAGTTGAGCGCGAAGGCGATTGAAGATGTGCTGCATAAAGGTACGGCCATTTACCCTCTCACATTTTCTTGCTAGCTCGGCGTTTGATAGAGACACTTGAATATTTGGAGGTCATCCAATGCTAACCTATCAATAGTAAATGCGGCCGCTAAGCAGCATCATCGAGTTGTCTACACATCACAAGCGATTCACCATGTGGCCAGTCAGATTGCCAGCCTCTACTGGTCCGCTATTAGCCAAGAGGCGCAAACACAGGCAGCTTTTGCAAAGGGCGTGGGTCAATTGACGGACTTGTCCAAACAATGGTTCGAACCATATACCCTTGCTTAAAGGTAGGAGACTGACCAAGATGACTCCAGGAATATTGCCAAATTACCCTTGGAACTAGAAACCCCCGGCGTGACTGAAGAACAAAATACAAGGTCAGGCCTCGAAACATATCCCATCGCTCCCCCGATTAAGATTCAAGTTCCGCCTGCCTAACAGTCTTTGTGGTACAGATACCAGGAGCTTCGGAAGCGACTCACCAGTCTTGACGAACAGCGTCAGAAAAGGCAACGTCGTCGCGATCAATTACAACATCTCCGACGTCTCCTCGAGCCATTTGAAGAACCACCCAGAGATATTCAACCAAACCTGGTCAACCGGGATGGAGAGCTTATTAAGGAATTGGAGAAAATGCGAATGCTTGTGGCGCGGGTCGGAGGGAGAATAGCACAGCAGAAGAATCGCAGGAATGTTCCGGAAAACGAGGGAGGCGAATATTTGCTTCCTGGGTCAGATCAGAGGCTGGAGGCCCTGCTGAACACGAGCGAATGAACTTTGACGACATAACATCCATAATTTACAAACTCTGCAAACTTTACATGGCTTTGCCAGACCCCTGTCCATGTGGCATAGTCGTTGAAACCTACCAGTAACACTGTAGCCCTGTAGCCCTGTAGCCCTGTAAGTCCGAGGCCCTGCAGTGCCGATCTCAGGAAGAAGAAGTGTATTACTATGCATGCATGGTAGATGCTGGTAAGGTAAACTTGTCAGACTTTTCCAGGTTACACGTTCTAGCCTATTATGTTCTGCTCCACGTATGATTGTGCTCCAATATGATTTTTATGACAACTAAAGAGGGAGGTCCTTTCAAGTACTTACTAGTAAGTACTTCGGACACGGGCGGTACCCTTCTCCCTGAGGCTCCAAACCCAACCACCATAGATAGGCAGAACCTGCTACGCGGGGCTCATATAGGGACCCTAGTAGGGTTTTAGGTAGATCCTAGGCAGGCACGACCCTAGTCAGGGGAGAGTAAAAAAGAGAGTTCGCTGGTTCCTGTCTTCTCCGTCATCCATTACACTTACACCCGCGCTGGGTTGGAAACCGGAAGGCGCGGTGGAATATAGCTTGCATCAAACTAGACTTCAACATCACACCCGTCGCGATGAGTCCACTTGACAGGATGAAGCGTCTAGCTGGGTTGGAACAGCGTGGTGTGAGGCATGATGGTGGGGGAAGTTCCTCCAACTCGAGTACAGCGAGTGCGAGTGGCAGTGGCAGCGCTAACCCGATTGGGTCTGGGGCGATTCCCCTTCACATCGGCGAGACCCAACCAGCATCAAACCCCAACAACGAGGACCAAGTGCTCGATACCGATTCCCATCTTCTCGATTGCGCCGCCATCATCGAGGGTGACGGCTCTTCCTCCCCTTCCAAGGCACCCTACGCGCGTGGGCATCGCCGTCGTTCCACCCACGTTACTCGCCGTGACCTTGAGAAGTTTCAAAAGGAGGTCTTAGGTGTGGAAAACCACGCCTCCTTCTATGACGAGGAAAACGGCACCTCGCACCCTATCAACCCGAACGACCCACAACTCGAAGAACTCAACCGTGCCTTTACCGTCGCCGACCTCTCGATGAACAACACTGCGGGAATGACGGCCAACGGTTCCGCCTCGGGCATGTTCTCCGGCTACGCAGACAGCTCCCAGGGTAACCCCAATATGGGCAATGCCCCTCGTCAGTCAATGTCGCCCGCACTCTCTCATCCCGCTGCGCAAGTGAATGGGGGTGGCATGGGATCCTTCGCACCCGGCATGCCTATGAACGCGGGGCACCAGATGGATCTTCATCATCTGTATGACATGGTCTTGGAACTGAGCGATGTGCTGAAGAACAACCGGGAGGTGACGAAGAATATTGTTTCGAGTGCTGAGGATATCATGGTATGTCGACACACCGCGAGCAAAGGCCGGGGAGAATGGGAAGCTTACAAATGTGATAGAAACACGGCTCTTCGGACGATGCCAGCCCAGCCTTGCAGCGAGTCAATGGTGAAATATCAGGTATGTCTTATCCTTTTAATCCAGTCCTCATTCCTTTCTCTTCTTGCGACCCAGATTGCTGATTACTCGCCTCGTGATAGCGGCCCGAATTTCAGAACTCGAACGCGCTCTCGCCAAGGAGAAACGACAGACCGAGGAACTCAAACGCGAGCAAGTAGAGAATGCTAAACTCATTGGGGAATATGAGGCCAACGTAGGCACGATGGTCGAACAAATCCGCACTTACTGCCAAAACAACAACATGCATTTCCTTCACCAGAAGAACCATTACAACCAACTCCTCCAAGCTGAGCGTGATGCTCATTTGGACAGTCGACTGGACCGTGATTACTGGCATACACAGACAATGAAATGTGCGGAGATGATCCGCACAGCTCACCGAATTCGATCCGACGAGGAGGCCACCCCCGTCCGCATCATTGCCGGTCTGCAGAACGAGGTTCGGGCATACCGCAATGCGCTGGGGATGGAGCCTGAGCAACCCGAGGATGAGTATGGCTGGGAAATCCTCAAGGACGTCCCCAGTGCAGACTGAATCTAGAATGGGACCATGGACTTTCACGGCGCGATGACATGATTCTAAGGATCTCTCTCTATTCTCCCTTTCTCTGTTTCTCTGGATGAGCGGGGCTTTGTGTTGCATACTATTCGACGGCGTTGTTTTGTTCTTACCTTTTTTGCACTTCCTTACCTCCGATCCTACTAGGAAGGCGTTTATGGTGGGGGTTTGTTGTATTCTTTTCCTTCTTTTTTGGTCACCGGTTGCAGATACCCGGAACCGGCTGTGTTACCTTATAGTGGACACACCGATCATCATACATATTGAATCAGCATAAAAACCAGTAAATGGTTTCAGTCAGATCACCATTTCCCTCGATAGGAGTAAGGAGTACGGAGTAGTTCAAATGTGTTCAAGTTTAGAGTCGGTGAGCACCCAGAATGGATAGTGGATGACTGGAGACTCACTAGTGACCAGTCGCTCCAAAAGACCCCCAAAAGTGACCCCGTTTTACGGAGTTCCGATCAGCAGCCCCGGAATGACCAGTAAGAAATTCTGGTTACACCCTCAGTGGACTCAGTGGACTCGGTGGACTCGGTGGACTCGGTGGACTCGGTGGACCCCTTCAGGACTCTGATGTACATCGTATCGCACTCTCTTATGGGTGTAGTATCTCGTGTCTCGTATTATGTCATGGCCAATGCTTAATCCTCCACATTCCCGTTGCTGGTTGCTGCCCATCTTTCTTCCCCGGAAGGATTTGTCGTTGATTCTAGTATTTCCATTTGCCCCCCCAACCCGCTTACACCATGCAATTCACCCAACCATTCATGGCGACTCATCCACCTTGCCACCACCTTTAAGGTCGTGCTTATACTCCACCCTCTCCACGGAACAACGTATCAGCCCCGGTCGCAGAGCCGAGCTGAACTCCTGATCGTCACCGTTTCCGCCTTGTCTACACGAGTACTCTTTCGACAGGAAATTGGACCTTGCGAAATACCGACCGTTTGTTATTTACATAAATCAACTTGTGTGGGAAGTGGGGGATCAGCCAATTATGCGTCATCCGATCTAGGCCTTATCCAGTCATTCGACCTACATTCCGCGCCACATAGCGGCACATCTTTTGATCAGCCCGTCCACCCTGGTCATCTTCCTCTTCCTCTCTTTCCTCCCTCTCCACCGTTTGGTCTGGGAAGTCCAAGTGAGGACAATTTAACATGGAGAGTGTTCAAACTGTGGATGTGAGCTGGCTCCATCACTCACAGAAAGGCAAGTCCTTTACCCCAGCACTCTCTATCCTGAGCCCCGTCTTTCGGAACCGATAGCGGAACTCCGTGCAACTTACTGCCGAGGGCCAGTGTGAAGCCAACATCTGACCGGTCTTCTTTTCAGATCATCTTTCCCGTACGAAATCCGTATCGTCGGCCTTGAGCGACAAGACTGCCGCCGAAAAGGAGCCGCCTGCCACATCATCCAAACCACACCGAAGATCACGATCAAATAGTAGTCCAGCACGCCCACCGTCCTCAGGACAGGAAACCCCCGCACCGAAGCGAGAAACTGAGAATATTGTCGCAAAGCCTGAGGAGAAGGAAAAGCCACTACCACCATCACTGCCGGAGAAAACTGCCGAACCGAAACTACCGGCTACCCCATCTCCAGCATCGCAGAGGACTGCTCCGAAACCAGTCGGCGGACGGCGAAATTCATGGATCTCTAGTCTGAGCTCAAAGTTCTCTTCTGGGTCAACCCCACCATCTCAGTCAAGTCTCAAGGGTTCACCGGCGAGCCCCAAAACCACCTCTCCCCTCGATGCGCACAATCCATTCGGGGCGGCATACTCGCCAAAGGACAAGGAGGAGGAGAAGAAGGACGAACAAAGTCCCTTCACTTCATCGTCACCCAAAGGCCCCTCGTTCCTTCACAATGCTTTGCGCAAGTTTTCATCTAACTCGGGTGGACTGCCCAAGTTGCCACCCAACGGGGTGAGTTGCCCTCGCCGGGTGATGAATCTGGATCCAAATCGAGAGCGCTGCAGGATTTCCGAGTTGAACCAGTCTAAACTGAACCGAGTCGCATTTTGTGTAGACGTGGAGATTGCGGGTATCTCTCATCGAGACACCGATGAAGATGCTCCCCCCCACTAACCAGCTACGCCAACCCCTCCCCGAGTCGCACCGCCAAAAAACTAAAAGGGCCGAGGCGGCCAAGGAGCAAGGTAAACAGGAAGCTGAAGCACCAAAAGAGCCCCAACCCGCAGCAGTCGAGAAAGATACCCCGGCTCCGACTCAGGCCCCGGCTCCGACTCAGGCCCCGGCTCCGACTCTGGCCCCGGCTCAGGATTCTGCATCTGCTCTGGGCACATCGCCTTCGCCATCGCCACCTACCGAAGCAAGCAGCCCACCAAATGCCGAGCCCGCCCCCTCTGAGCCCAACAATTCTAGCGCAACACCCGCTACAGATGCGAAGCCCAACGGCGAGGGCAAAGATCCGTCAAGGAAAGCAGAGAAGAAGAAACGATCGGAGGAGGAACGGAAAGAACGGAAAGAACGCAAACGGAGACAGGCCGTTGCAAATGGCTCAATACCCTTGCAACTGTCCGCCGACACGGAAGATGATGAAACTCGACCACCAGCAAACGCCACAACCCGCCCCAAGACTCAAAGTCATCCTACAACAGACCCAGTTCGGATCTACCGCCGATGCTGTCAACTACGAGAAACGCCGGTTCTCAAAAGAGTGGTTGATGAGATTTCCTCTCCTTCGTCGACTCTCGCCGAATCTCCCGGAACTGTCGCGGCTCTCGATCTAAGTAATTTCCCTATGACAACACAAGATATTGCAACATTCAGTGATTGGCTCGCGATTGTTCCCGTCCGAAAACTTCTTCTTGAAAATTGTTCATTGAACGATGAATCCATCCGAGCTATTCTGGCAGCTTTACTTGCCACGAAGACAGTTGAACAAATGCGTTCTCGGCGAAGACGCGCTAGGAGAGCGGATTCGCCGCCCGTAAAGGACGAACGATGGGGTGTTGTGGAGAAACTGTCACTCAAGGGCAATACCAAGATCGGCCGCGAGGGATGGCGCCATATTGGCTTGTTTGTTCATTTGTCCAGATCCTTGAAGGCAATCGACATTTCTGGAATTCCATTCCCAAAATGCCAGGTCCCATCACCGGATGGGTCAGCCCAGCCGTTGTCTAAGCCCGATGTCTGCAATGTCTTCTCGGACGCTCTTGCCGAACGTTTCAGTGGCGACCATCTTGAAGAGCTCCTGATGAGTGAATGCAAGCCTTCTAGCGAGCAGGTAAAGAGGATATGTGAGGCCGCTACGAAAATGGGGCTGCGCCGACTGGGTCTTGCGAACAACGGCCTAACGAGAGAGAGCCTGGGACATGTCATCGAGTATCTCAAGTTTGGCCAATGCGAGGGTCTGGACCTGGGAGGAAATATCATTAAGGATGATATCGATATTCTCACAGAGGCCATCGAACCCGAGCTGCCACTCTATGCGCTCAGTCTTGCGGACTGCTCATTGAACCCATCGGTGATTTGTCCGCTTCTTCAGGCCCTCACCCGGCTTCACAACTTACGCTTCATCGACTTTTCCCACAACCGGAATTTGTTCTCGGTCCAACCGAGCTCTATCGGTGCATTCCGACGTTTCCTCCCCAAGATGCCTTCTCTGAAGCGGATTCATCTGGCTGATGTAGCCCTTACTTCGGATAACGTTATTGGCCTTGCCGAGATCCTTCCGGAATGCCCAAGTCTCTGCCACTTGAATATCCTGGAGAATCCTCAGATTGTCTCCTTGGCTTCTGGTACAGATCCCGAGGTCCAAGAGGAAGCATGCGCAGTGTATGCTTCGATGCTCGCCGCTGTCCGCGTGTCGCAGACAATCATTGCCGTTGATATTGAGATCCCCACCGCGGAGAATAACGAAGTTGTGAAGGCTCTGGCGTCCCAGATTGTTGCTTATTCTCTGCGGAACCTTGAGGGCGGTGCCATCGCTGAAGAATTGTCTGAGACGATTTCTTCTACTCAATCCAGAGATGTTCCGGTGCCAGAGATCCTGCAACACATTGTGGGACATGCGGGCTTCACCGGCACAGAGGAAATTGTCGGCGGTGACGAGGAAGACGAACCGGCTCCCGATGAAGACTATGTCATTGGTGGTACTGGTGTCGTCAAGGCCCTGGGTGTCTGTCTTGGTAATTTGGACCAGCAGGCCGGTGAAATTGGCGGTGACCTATCTCTGCCTCCGAGTGGCACGACCACCCCTGAGACGCCGCAAGTCTCGAAGCGTCGTTACCAAGAGACCCCGTGATATGTCGAAGAATCTGTTGGAGTCGGCACGTAACATTCGCACTCGTATCCAGTCGGCCCTTGTCCGCGAGGACCGAGCTGGTAACGATGCTAACTACAGTGAGTTTCCTTGTTTTACCAAGATGTCAAAATCGCACCTGCTAACCCTGCCTAGGACGCCTTCAATTCTTGGATTTCACCTTGCAAAAGATGATCCAGCGCTTTGAGGACGAATATCCCGAAACCCGTCTCCCTCAAGCAGCACCTACATCGGTTGCGCCCGACACCGGCTCTCAACACTCGAGCGAAGACGCCAATGGCCCCGGTGCCCTCAGTAGCAATCTGACCAGCAGCATGATCGAAAATGAAAATGCTGTCGACGATGAGGAAACCGACCAATACGCCATCCATCTATCTCGCACTAGCTCAATGACCTCCCTGCACGCTCGCGCCATGACCTCAGAAGAAGGCCACGTGCATCGTCTCGGCCAAAATCTCCGCCGTGACTTCCTCAACCCATCTCTGGGTGAGGGCGAGGTTGATGAAGATGACCAGTCCCACCTCGTCGCTCTCCGGGAGAAGCTGGAGCGTCTTCACGAACAGCAATCCCAATCGCCATTCGACAGCGCCCAGGCCGAAGAAGCCTTTGAGAAACTCGGCAACACGGTCGATGAGCTCTGGGCAGCCCAACGACAAGATGCGGAGGGTTTCGAGAAATTCAAGCAATCGCAGATCGCAGCTCAGATTAATAGTGGTCTTCGAATGGCTTTATCCGGTGCTGGCGATCGCGCAGCTGACAAGGAGGGTCAGGCCTCTGGAAGCAAGTCACCTTCTTCGTCTTAACTTTGACTCTCCGTTTGGTCCCCGGTCTCGATCCGGGACTATCTTACTATCATTATACATTCATTATCACCTGATGTTTTGTGTCTTTCGGGCGCACGCAACTGTTGTACATACGCATACCTCTTGATGTTTATTTCTTTGGCTTTACCTCCACACCCCCCCCTCGGTACTGCTATCCGACCATGTTTCACAGCGTTCATCATCAATCTGTATATAATTTTCTCTTTGAACTGTAATCGTCTATCTCAAGTTCATGATGTATTTGAATGATGTATCCTTCTGATGGGTTATGTATTTCCTATGACTTGTATCCTTGTTCCGATATCGGTAGTCTTATCTTACTACAACGAACTTCAAGTTGATTTTGCATTTTACCATAATTATCTAGCGGTTGCCAATTCTAGCAGATACCTCATTTGATTAAATGACCTCAACAACGCTCGCCTGGTTACTCCTGAGGTCCCAAAGCATAGACTGGAGTTGATCCCGGGCTCGGACCTTTGTTGTTTCCATGTCCGCTCGGGAATTCGCCAGTTGGTGAAGGAACCAGCGGGGCCGAAGATGGAACTGCCAGTGGTTTACAGTCCCTTGCTGGGCAACGTAAATACAGCATTTTGGTAATAACCAATGTAGGTAAAAATATATATTATTTGATTGCTAATCCAAGAATATACACATAGAGTTGGCCCGCTGAAGTTGTCCCGACTGGCATTCCCTCGGCCTCCAGCCGTTTTTGGACCTCGGCAATTGGCGATCGCATTGAAGGGACATTTACACCTCCGCAAAGTCTCATACACACTGGCATCTATCTACACGCCATCTCCTGCATCATCCCAGTCACCTACTCGTTAACGCTTCAAGTTCTTTGGGTATATTTAAGCATGGCAGAGAACAAGCGGCCGATCGGCCTTCTTTTCGATATTGGCGGCGTTTGTGTAAGTCACTGCCAGTGCCAGCTAGTACCGCCATGCTACCATGATTACGAGAAATATATATTGACCCCAAGTACAGGTTGTATCGCCATTCCAAGCTATTCTAGACTATGAGATCTCTCAAAATATCCCACCTGGATGGGTGAACTTCAGCATCTCACGAACATCACCCAACGGTGCCTGGCACAAGATCGAACGAGGCGAGATCAAGATGGACGCCGAGTTCTTTGCCGCATTCAATCGAGATCTCCGTCACCCGACGCTTTGGAAGCAATTCCACGAGCAATTACAGCAAAAGAAAGGGGCGAGCGGAAGCCCGTCTACTAGTACTAGTGCTACTATCCCCCCCTCTCCCAGAAGTGGATGCAGAATGGCTCTTCTGGGAGATGATGAGGGTATCTCGAACACCGGATCCATATATGTTCCCCGCTTTGAAGCGATTGAAGGCATCGGGGAAATTCCTGATGGGTGCTCTATCGAATACCGTCAAGTTCCCGGATGGTCATGCGTATAATACGGATGAGACGGGAGTACGGTCGCAGTTTGACTTTTTCGTTTCATCGGCGCATACTGGGCTTCGCAAGCCTGATGCTAGAATCTATGAGGCTGCGATTCGGGAAATGGACGGTTTGGCTAAGAAGCGTGGTTTGCCCGGGGCGGAGGCTTCTGATATCGTCTTCTTTGACGATATTGGTGAGAATTTGAAGGCGGGGAAGCGATCTGGACTGCGGACTGTGAAGGTGACACTTGGGAAAACTTTGGATACAGTGAAAGAACTGGAGCGGATCACTGGTCTTCAATTGTTGGAGAGTGAGGATAAGGCGCGGCTATAGGTGGGGGTGAGAGGAGAGGGGATAGGAAGGGTCCGGTAGATTTTGATTGATTAGAGATGTATAGAGAGAGCAGACTGTGATTATCTACTAGCATATTTGATTTATTCAATCCATACTGTCTGTACGGAGTACTCCGTACACACTGTCAATATACTTTTGTCTCGTACTTGAAGTGGAAGTGGGGCTCAGTCGTGGCCAACCCGCCAACCCGTCAACCCGTCGTCGCCAACCGCACTTTTTTGGTGGGATGCAAGTCCCGCTAAGCGAATTTCCCCACAAAGACTCGCCGCACACAACTTTTCTTTGTTCCTTGTTTCATCCGTCGACCATCAGCACCCCGACTACCGCCAAAATGGTGAGTGTGACTTTCGAGGATTGAGATACCTTCTCTATCTTCTCCATCCTTTTTCTCCCTCCGATCATCATCGGAGCCGGGTCCTTGCAAGATGCTTCGGACGAAATTCTGAAGCGCTAATTGCTGACTCGCGATATCTTCTTACAGCCTTTCACCAAGACTGTCAAGAGCAACGCGTACTTCAGGTAAGTTAAATAATCCAAAAATGTGAAAAAAAAAGGTCGTGCGACCGTATACTAATTTCCCTCAAGTCGCTACCAGACTAAGTATCGCCGCCGTCGTGAGGGAAAGACCGACTACTATGCTCGCAAGCGCCTCATCACCCAGGCCAAGAACAAGTACAATGCCCCCAAGTACCGCATGGTTGTTCGCTTCACCAACCGCGACATCGTCGCCCAGATCGTCTACTCTGAGATCTCCGGCGACAAGGTCTTCTCCTCCGCCTACTCCCACGAGCTGAAGCGCTACGGTATCAACCAGGGTCTGACCAACTGGTCCGCTGCCTACGCTACCGGTCTTCTGCTGGCCCGCCGCACCCTTGCCAAGCTCGGTCTCGCTGACCAGTTCAAGGGTGTCGAGGAGGCTGATGGTGAGTACACTCTCACCGAGGCCGTCGAGACCGACGATGGCGAGCGCCGTCCCTTCAAGGCCTTCCTTGATGTTGGTCTTGTCCGCACCTCCAGCGGTAACCGTGTCTTCGGTGCCATGAAGGGTGCCTCCGACGGTGGTATCCTCATCCCCCACTCCGACCGCCGTTTCCCCGGTTACGACATCGAGTCCGAGGAGCTCGACGCCGACACTCTCCGCAACTACATCTTCGGTGGCCACGTCACTGAGTACATGGAGACCCTCGCCGATGAGGATGAGGAGCGCTTCAAGTCCCAGTTCATCAAGTACGTCGAGGAGGAGGTTGATGCCGGTGACCTTGAGGAGATCTACCAGGATGCCCACAAGGAGATCCGCGAGGACCCCTTCAAGAAGGACGAGGATGCGTCCTCCAAGAAGACCAAGGAGCAGTGGAAGGCCGAGTCCAAGAAGTACAAGGTCGAGAAGCTCACCCACGCCCAGCGCAAGGCTCGCGTCCAGGAGAAGATCCGCGAGCTCGCTGCTTAAGCGTCTTGTCTCGGTTAAAAATCCTGATGAGTCCTTCGGTCCGCTGTTTAAGCTCAAAAGTTTCCTACAAAAATTTAATGAGGGAATTGGCTTTGCCAGTCGGCGTTTCTTTTTTCTGATGATGTAGATTGATGGATCATGCCACATACCACTTTGTTACGTTAGGGGTGTTTCTTTTTTTTTCCAATGGGGCTATTAGTTCGGTGTTTACAAGGCAATTTCTTTTCTTTTCACAGTTCTAATCGCTCCCAATGTCCAAGCAATCTCTTCGTTCCCTCACATACTTGTGTGTCTGCTGTGCATCGTAGCCGGGAATCTAGATCGTAAATGCAACAATCACGCTGTATCAAGTTTTTGGCTTGCGGACCTTGTGGAAATGTCTTTGGTGGTTCGATATAAAAGAGTGTTCAGGGTGAAAGACTCGACTCGATCGCTCACAAAGCCCCGTGCCGATGCACGTGATCGGCGGTTCCTGGATACAGCACATCAATCGATCACAAGCTTCTCTCACTACTGATGTGAAGACCATCTTGAACAATGAAAATATACCTCATCCGCCATGCGGAAACGGTACACAACGTCGAACGAGCTTGGTAAGACCCGAAATATCCTGCAAACTGTCCTACATCGCACATCCTAACAATACTCAAAGGGCGGGCACAACTGATTCAAACCTCACGAATCATGGCACACTGCAGATCGAATGTTTGGGACAAAGGTTTGCTTCGAGTATGATCCACTTTGGGTCTGTATTTGCCTCGGACCTTACTCGAGCCCGGCTTACAGCGGAGGGAATATGTCGCCACCAACCATCTGGGGAAGATAGTGCCCTTTTAACGCCCACCTTGACAGCAGATCTTAGAGAACGAGATTTTGGTTCCCTGGAGGGCACACGCTGGCGCAAAAACTTCCCATCAACCGAAAATAATACCAATTCTTCATCTGATGTTGTCCCCTCGGGACATGTTGAGATCGAGTCCTCAGGGTCAATGAAGCGACGGGCCACTTCATTTTTGAACAGCCATCTTTTACCTTTGCTCTTTGAGAACTCACACACAAGAGACACCATAGCTATTGTCTCTCATGGAGTTCTTCTTCGCGTACTGTGGGCTTGTCTTGTGGAACTGTTCGATTCGATGAATATCTCCATCGAGCCCGGCATCTACGCACGACATGAGGGTCCGGCATCACAATTGGTACCATCTTGGTCAAATACTGGATATATGAGTCTGTCTATACACTCGCATCCATTACCTCCCCCATTACCACCACGCCCGGGGTCTCCTTCGCAAACACCAAGCCAGGAGCAATCGGGCACAAGCACGCCTGTTCAATCGAAATCTGTCTCGAATGCCTTGTTACACGGATGGTCCATGAAAATCTTGGCTGTTAATAATAAAGAACACCTATCAGGCCTACGTCGCGCCGGCGGAGGAATAGGAAGTGCATCGCATGATACCCGGCAGAAGAGGATAGATCATTTCTTTGGATGACAAAATTTTCCTCTTTTTAGATATTCGATATAGATGTTGATTTGATTTATCCGGTTTATTCGTTGTAAAAAACCTCGTCCAGGACCTTCCACCATCCAGGCCCATCGGCACTGCTCACCGCACCTGGAATGGGACTCTCCTGCAACTCGGAGATCTACGTTAGCTTGTGCAAATTGCAATACCAGATAGAATAGACCCAATATACTCACCTGCATTCCATCGGTCATAGCCCACCATTCTCTCACTTTGGGATTCGCCCGCATCTTCTCCATATCGCCCTCAAAGTCCGTGCCGACGTATTTGAATGTAGCGAACAGGGTGCGGTCATTGTCGAAGAATATGGAGTCTTGATAATGCGAAGAATTTGTAAGTAAATTTGAGCCAGGAGCTTCCGGGGCAAAGAGTGATAGGTTGAAGCCGTACAATCTTTAATATTGCAGTCCTTGATTTGTTGTAGAACTTCCGGCCAGACATTGGCGTGGCATTCCTTGTATGCAGCCACAGCGGAGGGCTTAAGGTGGACAATTTGAGCGATTCGGCGGACTGGAGCCATTTTTGGGACTTGTTTTCTCCTGGGAGAATTCGTTGAGATTGAAATTGGGAAACAAAAGGGTCGGGAAGTGATGGGAAGCGAGAGATTTGACAGAGAACTGCTGCAGCGCTTGACAATAAGAAAACGATTCAAGTAGGATGACAAGTTCAAAGCGAGAAGTTGGAGAGAAACTTGGGAACAAAATAAAAAATCATCAGTGAGAACCCCTAGTTTCCCCACGTATCCGGCTGCTGCCCCTCGTTTTCGCCAGAGCGTTACCCCGTCTCTCGGGGGGTGCTAACCCGAAGCCCCCCCCACTAACGGGATGCCGGGGGTAGGGTTGCTGAACGTCAAATATTAGCATTAAAAGTCTTGTAGGTCTGGGGATAAAGGTTAAATGGCAAGTATGAATTTGCATGACTTAATTAATATCTAAAATTTATCGTAACACGTATATTTGATCTTCATGATTCAAATAGGGGGGTTCTTGGGCACAGGACGAATCCAACTGACAGCCATGTTCGCGGCTAGAGAAATCACACCGATGATCCACATAGAGCGCCCATAGTCAGAGCCGTTATATCTGAAAATTATAGCAAATATGATACCTCCAAGGTTCCCGAATCCACCGACGATGCCGGAAACGATACCATTAGCGTAAGGATGCACATGCGGAACAACAGCAAAGTTAGCCCCATTACAAGCCTCGAGGAAGAATGCCAATCCCGCAATGAGGCCAAACATTTGTGATTGACTCGTTGGGTTAGAGAATCCAATGGCCAGCTGGAAAGCACCCATACCGAGACCGAGGAAGGAAAGCAGAAGCTTCTTGGCCCAAATAGTTCCAGTACAGCGATAAATCAAATCGCCGAAGAATCCACCTGCAGGACGAGTGACCACATTGAGCAAGCCGAACATAGCAGCCCATCGACCTGACTCTGTTTGGCCCATGGTGGGGAAGTTTTTAGAGTAGTAGGTTCCAAGAATGGAGTTAATGGCCAATTCGGATCCAAATGAACAAGCATAAGGAATTGCCACGGCCATTGTGGACAGACTGAAGGCCACACGTAATGCGTCTTTCCGTGAAAGGGTGACAACGGTGTCGTTTTTGAGAAGTTGGATTTGACCCATGCCCGAGGCGTCCCGGTCGGTTATCCGGGGTGACTGTGTCCCTTTCTTTTCCACATCGATGGTGCTGCCGTATACTGATGGAGGACCAGACGGATTTGCTGAAGGAAGCATGGAATTGATGTTGACGATGTTGCCATCTGAAGGGGAGCCGGGAGAGACTGGAGAAGACATCTCTTTTGCCCAGAGGTGTCGCTCTGACCACTTTCCAGTGGGTGTATCCTCGCAAAGGAACAGCATTCCCAGTGCCACTGCAGTGATAATGATGAAAGGGACAATGTAGGACACCCGCCACGCCTTATGGGGAGTCAATCCGCGGTCGTTGACAAGAGAATCGTAAATAGCTGGCATGAGGAAGCTGGAAAGCCATAAAGTTAGCAAAAATATGGCGGTTCGAAGAATGATGAAAGACTCACTATGTGATTCCTCCACCAGCATTTCCCCAACCTCCAGCCAGTGAGTTGGCCGTACCCACAATCTTCTTGTCAAAGAACCCTGTGCACCAAACCTGACAAGGAACAAAAGTACCTCCCAAAATGCCGACAAAAAATCGCAATGCGATCAAACCCTTGGGTGTAGTAACCAGGCCAGCCATCGCGGTAGGAATCGCTCCGCAGAGCAACAATCCTACAAAAACCAATCGAGGGCCAAATCGATCGCAAAGTGGGCCAGCAATCAAGCGAACAATCAAGGTCGCGAGAAGAGCGACAATATTCGAGTTTGCAACATCCTCTTGGGTCATATGTAGGTCCTTTTTAATGGTGACGGACAGCTGGATAGAGCATAAGTAACTGCTATATTTGTGACTGACGAGGGGTCATTATTGACTTACCAATGGTGGAAATGCATACCACGAAAGGAATGCTACCATGAAGCCCATCCAGGAGAAGAGGAAAACTCGACCATACTGATCGAATGGGTTGAGGACCGGAATGGACTTTGCTTTCCGAGTGCCGGGATGGATTTCTGGGGAGACAAACAGAAGCTTGCCGAAGTTCGCAGCCATAGCCGTTGATAAACGACGTTGAATGGTTGTAGATGTAAATCGAATTGAGAATATGTCTCACTCTCTTGATATATATGATCAATTCGAAGAATGTGTCCTTCAAGCGCTTCGTGGGATGATGGAATGTTGAGCTAGACTGTTGTGAACCAAGGGATAAAGGCAAATGCCATCATCTATATAGACATGCCCAACGCCAATGCTTGACTGATTTCCTATATCAGGAGCTACATTTATGACACATGTATCTAGCCTCTCCAACAAGTATCGATCAACAAGAAATTCCGGGAAATATCGCAGGGTTACGAGAAAAAGAAAATGCACCGCTACATGCGTATCCAAGCGACGTGATTCGATCAAAGATTCAGCTCCCTGTCTCTGACAGCATAGCGTTAATGCTAGGCCTTGGAGACCCCATACTTTTGCCATCGCCCATGGGTCGATCCGGAAAGGCGATAAGGAATGCACGGCCACCCCGTGGGACCTCTGGATGGGCCTACACGAAGGGGCTCAAATGTCATGCACTGTGCTGAAGAGCGATAAGCACAAAATCGAACATCTCCGCGGAATGATTTGGCATAAAATCTCTAAGGGTCCATTCAAGTGCCGTGAATTATCTGGAGTTGTGTTCCACTTTCTCAGGGCTGTGTGCGCATCTTGTGGTAGTTGGCATCCGACGTTGATAAACCCGCCGCATCTCATTGGACGCACCGCAGCCCAAAGATAGAGAGTGGTTTACACTTTCCTCACTTTAGAAAATCGTGGGTCTCGCTATGGGTCTTTCTGATCGATCTACGCTCCGCGGAAATACTTTAAACATCATCATCTCGCTCAATTCTCGTGGCTCTGCTCGGTTTTACTGGCACCCGGCCCGATGTCGTGATATAGCTTTGATTCCCGTCGGCGGCGACATTGTGAATAATCATGGCTTGTTTCCCTCATATAAACTCAGGAGCACTATGGTCCGGTCTAGTCCCGAACTTCTATCTAGAAATTGAGTGGCTTGGTCAATCCTTGGTCATTCATGTGGTGAATCTAGCCGTTGAAGCCGCCCGTGGCCTACCTAATTATATTAGGATGGGACAGATATATTTATTTTTGAGATTAATGCATCACGGATAGTCTAGGGTTGGGATATACCTAGGTATTGATAAATATTGATAGGATTTGGAACAAATCTATCATCTACCCTGGGAATTCCATATCGGCACCGCCGCTGTCCTCGATGAAACACTACACTGCCGATATTTTCAACGCACAAATAGATATTTTTCGATTTCAGCATATGACAGGGCTTGTATCTATATTGAAACCATGTCTCGCTATTGGTTACTATTTTATTATTAGATCTTCTCCACTAAATGCTCACCTTTCTTCTTAACCGAAATAATGTTCTGGTTGTCATAGACAAATAGCAGAATGAGTACTAGTTTGTTAAAAACCTTGGAGTATGCAAATTATTTAAATTAATCAAGCAATTTGATACATGAAGTTTCATAAATCGAAACCTCCGGTCTTCTTCGATATCCCAAAACGCCCATCGAATCGTGTCGACATTACCAATCAATCCCATTTGCAGGCTGGGCCGCAGAGTGATTTAATGCATCGCCATTAGCCACCTTCTTGCCTTTCATACCCTTGTATCTCTTATCCATTCTTTGGAACGGGTCAACGGATTCCTCTTTCTTCACTTTCCATTTCTCCGTGCCGAGAATAGCATCCAGTTCCTCAACAGGTGGCAACTTAATGTAAATCCAGCCATCATCTCGCTCCTCGACGGGGAACGTGGCAATATTCATACTCTCGTCATTTGTGCATCGTCCAGCTTGGTCTCCATTGAGCTCAAAGTTGCGCTTGTGATAGGGACATGAGACCCAGTATTTCCCTGCATCATCATCGCCGATCAGACCATCTGACAGGACAAACGCACGCTTGTGCGGACACATTTGCTGGGTAGCGTAGAGCTTTCCTTTGATTTTGAAAACTGCTAGTTGCGTGTCACCACGTTTGACGTTAGCGGAAGAAACTTGCGGCGGCTCGTCAGAGAAATGGTCTGCTTGGACGACAGGCTGCCAGGAGAGGCTGGACCATTGGTGGCCCTTGAAATCTTCTTGAGCGGATTCCTTGGCCCAGTAGGTGGGACGTTGCTGCGCACGTTCTTGTATGACTTCCACTGTATCAACAATCTCCTCCGTGTTGGCAAATTGTTGGAAAACCTTGCGACGCTTGGGGTTCTTGATTGTTTCTGTCCATTCACAGAAGTAGCTATCAACAAGCTCCTGCATTTGCCTCTCCATATCGGCACAGATTCCTAACTTGTCTTCAATGATGACTTCTTTCAGGTAACCGAGGCCGCCAGGGAGATTCTCAATCCATCGAGCTGTTCGTTGAAGTTTGTCTGCCGTTCGGATGTAGAAGATAACGTATCGATCGATGATGGGTATCACCATTTCTAGCGGGACATCTGTCACTAGAAGCTCCGAGTGTCGCGGTTTGGCACCGCCGTTGCCTCCAACAAAGATATTGAAGCCCTTTTCTGTGGCAATAAGACCAAAACTAGAAACACATCAGCTAGATTCCTTTTTGGGTAGAGAATATCAATATACTCACTCTTTATTTTGTGCCTCCGCACACTCTCGCACGCAACCAGAAACTCCACCTTTGAATTTATGTGGCGCTCGGATACTCTTGTATCGCTCTTCGAGGCGAATAGCCATACCCACACTGTCACCGATACCAAAGCGGCACCACGTAGAGCCCACACAGCTCTATGAATCATCAGGTCAGAGTTGTACAGTCAGTGTAAATAAGTGTGCGTAACATACTTTGATTGCGCGCAGAGCCTTGGCATACGCATGTCCGCTCTCCATGCCTGCGTCCACAAGCTCTGTCCAAATGTTCAAAAGATCCTGCTTCTTTGCACCGAACATGTCAATTCGCTGTGCGCCAGTAATCTTGCAGTATAGTCCATATTTCTTCGCGACTGAACCAATCGCTATGAGCTTATCAGCCGTGATCTCCCCACCTGGTACCCGAGGCACGACAGAGAATGTCCCGTTCCTTTGGATGTTGGCGAGGAACTTGTCGTTCGTATCTTGGAGATCATTGTATCCCTTATCCATGATGTTGGGGTTGAATTGACTTGACAAAATTGATCCAATTGCAGGCTTGCACAGTTCACACCCGAGGGAATCGGGCTTATTTCCAGCGACTTGCATCACTTCGGTGAAGGTCTTCAATTGCTTTATTGCGACGATATTGTATAGATCTGCACGCGAATATGGAATGTGGCCGCACACTATCAATTCAATTAGTAATCGAACTTTTGATTCAATGCTGTCATATTACTCACAGTGATTTGAGACCTCCTGGCCCATCTCCAACATGGTCTTATTGAAGATGGACTGAACTAGGGGCATGCAACCGCCACAGCCAGTGCCCGCCTTGGTGCAAGACTTGACTTCTCCTATTGTTTTGCAAGTTCCACTTTTGACATTATCAACAACATCTCCCTTGGTCACATTGTGGCAAGCGCATATCTGAGTAGTATCGTCACTGTATTTTGGTCAGGGTCTGGCTCAAATGCTTGGCGGTGGGTTAACTCACAGATCATCTCCATTATCATCTCCGCCATTTTGTGCCCCAAGGATCAATTGACTCGGTGGAACCTCAAGTGCCTTTTGGGCTTTAACCATTTGGTTCAACTTGATGTAGTCCGATGTATCACCGATCATCATTCCTCCAAGCAGAAACTTTCCATCCATGGTGAAGATATACTTTTTATAAACTCCACCAAACGGATCTCTATATGTCAAGGCCTTTACAGGAGACTCTGTTTTGTCTATTTCCAGGCCTGCGATTGATGGACGCTTGCCCGGAAGGAACTTGGGACCATCCCTATCGGCAAAGAAGTCGCCGAATGAAGCGACGTCGACACCAAGAAGCTTTAACTTGGTGCTAAGATCCGGTCGCGTGAAGCGCTTGGGATCATCGCCGGGATGCGTGAGATTGTAGGCCAGCACGTCAGCCATTTCAATGCCCGGTGCGATGATTCCGAATGTTTGGTTTTCCCAACTGGCACATTCACCAACAGCGTATATGTCTGGCACAGATGTCCGAAGGCTGTATTCATCAATTTTTAGAATAAGTTGTGCAGAAAGAACAGACAAACAAACCTTTCATCAATTATAAAGCCACCCCTCGCACCGGATAGAATACCAGCCGATTCCCCTAGCTCGTCTCTCGGTCTCACGCCAATCTAAACAAATCCGTCAGCAGCGTTCTTATGTTCAAACAATATAGCACAGCATACTGCAAAGCAAATACAGCAACATTCAATGTGCTGCCCATCTTCAAATGTGACACCAGTGACGTTATTGTCATCGTCCGTCGTCACAGCGGCAACCCGTTTCTGATGCAGAACATCGAGGCCCAAATCGCGAATCTTCCGAGTAACCAAAGATCCCGCATCTCCATCAAGTTGTCGTGCCAAAACCCACTCATTGCGATCGATGAGCTTGACATTGCCGAAATCTTCCAAATCGGTCATCGCCTTGGCAGCCTCAAGCCCAAGCAGACCTCCACCAACGGTGACTGCGGTTTCCCCTTTGTGATCGGCTGCGAAATCGATGAGTCGTTCTAAGTCGTTGATTGTTCGATAAACAAAGATTCCCTTGGCATCGTAGCCAGGTGTGCGCGTAGGAAGAACCGCATCTGAGCCGGTAGCGAGAACGAGAAGATCGTAGGAAATGATATCTCCGGTGCATGTGCTAACCGTTTTGTTGACTGGGTCGACGTTGGTGACGCGGGTGTTCAGGTGGTGGTCAAATCCTCGCTCTTTGAATGACCCATACTGCTCGCACATATTAGAGATTGCTGCTAAGGCATTCTTGTATTCTTTCTTCACTCACCCACTCCTTCGGTTCAAGGTAGAGATCCTCGATTTTGCGATGCTCAAAGTACGACGAGAGTCCAACACGATTATAAGCGACATGTGGCTCCTCACCGATTACTAGGATATCGAAACGTCGGGCTGTGTCTTGTTTGATAATTTTCTCGCTGCGCATATTAGAACGAGACCAGAAGACTCGGAATGCTGATGTATACATGCATACATTAGAGAAATTGCTACCATTCCCAGCCCCACGATCACGATCTTCTGACGTTGAACATAATGAGGGTTGGATTCGGATCCTAAACCCTCGCCTTGTTGTAGCTCCACCAGCGACGGCATGGCTGGGGGAGCAAATAATGGATGATGAGAGGCAAATCAAATTACGCTGCACTTTGGCTACTACGGCTGCTTGAGCAGTTTTAAGGGAATTGGCAAATTGCTCATATTCACCATCGTTGCCATCGCCGCGATCGCAGTGTGTGATACGGAGTACAGAACCGGGGGAAATAGGGCGATCGTACGATAAGGGCGAACTCTTGTCCTACTGTCCTCCGCGGAGATCGTATGAACGATCTGTTTAGACAACGGGTAATCCACTTGGCCAAACTCTGACTGGCTGTGGCGTCAGAATATCAACTGATAAAAACAACTGGACGCTGATAGGCTAAGCGGCCGCACTATAATCAAGCAAAGAGATAAGGAGTCTACCAACGCCTCCAGATTTGAGTCATTGCCCAAACATATCACTTCTTATTTTCATTATTCAATCTGATGTGCCCACGTCAGGCCTCCATGGGGTTACTCACCCGCGGAGATATTCTTGTTAGATTCGCGGGGAGATTAATGCCGTGGCCTGTTCTTACCAAAGAATGCCTTAGCCGATAAGAATTGAATTGAGCAATGTGGTCTAGAAAGTTAATCCACTTTGCATTTGAATGTTTAAAAACGGTTTCCATCGATTCTATTACCATAAAACGGTCAAAACTGAAGCAAGTGGGGGACTGGTGGCATAAACACCATGGCGACCATCACGCAAACAGCCCTCGAGCGAGCAGAGTTCCCAATCAAGGGGTCAAATGTCACATTTCATGACCTGCCCACACCAGAAGAACCAGATATTCCATTACCTCCACCATCAGTCAATCCGACCAGTATCTTAGAAGTTGACAAGGGAACTCCGGATAGCCATGTACCTCGCGATCCGCGTCTCATTCGGTTGACAGGTGTACATCCTTTCAATGTCGAACCACCCCTCACTGCGTTATACAAAGAGGGTATGAACATACCTACTTATTGAGAAGTACTAGAGTGCTCTATACTAATTTTGGAAGGATTTCTCACCTCACCCGAACTATTTTATGTTCGAAACCACGGCCCAGTACCCGAAGTGCATGATGAAGATATCCCAACATGGGAGCTGAGCATCGAAGGGTAAGTAGTGGCTTATTACATCAAGACTTATACGTCGATTTTCATTTGAACAAGACTAATGCATCATCTTATAGACTAGTGGAGAACCCAATAGTCCTGAACTTCCGTGAGATTCTGCAAAAATATGATCAGATCACCGCACCAATCACACTCGTCTGCGCAGGTAATCGGCGAAAAGAACAGAATACGGTTAGGAAATCCAAAGGTTTCTCGTGGGGCCCAGCCGGTCTCTCTACAGCCCTTTTCACGGGGCCAATGATGGCGGATTTAATCCGCAGTGCAAGGCCACTTCGTCGAGCAAAGTATGTTTGTATGGAAGGTGCCGATAAATTGGTAGGTTCTTTTATCATGGAAAATCCCCTGACTGTGCGACTAACTGTGATATAGCCTAATGGTTTCTATGGAACGTCCGTGAAGTTGAACTGGGCTATGGATTATAACCGAGGCATCATGTTAGCGCATAAGATGAATGGAGAGCCCCTTCGACCCGATCACGGACGTCCCCTGAGAGCCGTAGTACCAGGTCAAATCGGAGGGCGAAGTGTCAAGTGGCTGAAAAAGCTTATCATTACCGACGCTCCAAGTGAAAATTGGTACCACATTAACGACAATCGAGTATTACCGTGAGTTTGTTTGACAGAAGGTTTGAAGGACATACTAACGCTATCTTAGAACAACGGTGACGCCTGAGATGGCTGCCGAAGACAAGAAATGGTGGACTGACGAAAGATATGCCATCTACGACCTGAATGTGAACTCCGTTGCGGCATTTCCGGAACACGAAGAGGTGCTAGACCTGGCCACGGCTGGTCCGACTTATACTGCAAAGGGGTACGCATATGCCGGTGGGGGCCGACGAATTACCAGAGTTGAGATATCATTAAATAAAGGAAAATGTAAGATTCACATTGCCTTAAAGCTTGACCGATGCGAAGAACTAACAAACCATTCCTTTCCAGCATGGCGGCTCGCCGATATCGAATACGCAGAAGACAAGTATCGAGAATGGGAAGGTAATCTCTTTGACGGTAAAGTGGACATGTGGAGGCGAGAAACGTGTTTCTGCTGGTCTTTCTGGTCATTGAATATCCCTGTTCCAGACTTGGAAAGTAGTGATGCGTTGCTTGTGAGGGCTGTCGATGAAGCCTTGGCAACCCAGCCACGAGATATGTACTGGTCGGTCTTGGGTATGATGAACAACCCATGGTTTCGAGTGACAATCACGAAAGATGGCAATTCACTGAAGTTCGAACATCCTACACATCCAGTAAGAAGTGGTGGGTGGATGGAAAAAGCGAAAAAGGCCGGTGGAGATCTGCTCAATGGTAATTGGGGCGAGCGACATAAAGGCGAACAACCCCTTGAGCCGGAGCCCGTGAAGGAGATAAATATGAAGAAAGAAGGAATAGATCGCCAGATCAATCTCCAAGAATTGAAAGAGAACAGCAGCAGTGAAAAGCCTTGGTTCGTGGTCAATGGAGAGGTGTATGATGGCACAGGGTTCCTAGAAGGACATCCTGGCGGAGCGATCAGCATCACCTCATCCGCGGGACTTGATGTTTCGGAGGATTTTAATGCAATTCGTGAGTCTGTTAACAATCTTTACTCATGACCAGCATTCTAACTTGTAATGCAGACAGCGAAACTGCCAAATTAATGATGGCAGATTATCACATCGGCACCCTGGACAAGGCATCTCTAGAGGCCCTGAATAGCAGTGACAAGGCTGTTTCAAATGAGCCACGCCCACACTTCCTTCAATCAAGAGCCTGGTCCAAAATGACATTGGTCGAGAAGAACGATGTCTCTTGGGATACCCGAATATTTGTATTCGAATTGGAGCATGACAAGCAAACCTTAGGGCTACCAATTGGCCAGCACTTGATGATCAAAGTGCAAGACCCAGAAAACAAGAAAGAAGCAATCATCCGCTCGTATACGCCGATTTCCGAAACAAATATGGAAGGGCGTATGGAGCTACTTGTCAAGGTTTATTTCCCGACTTCGAACATTCCGGGAGGCAAGATGACTATGGCAGTGGACATGCTGTCTTTGGGATCTCAAATCGACTGCAAGGGCCCGACTGGTCGGTTTGAGTATCTCGGAAACGGACGAGTCTTGATCAGCGGGAAAGAGAGGAATCTTCGCTCTTTCAAGATGATTTGTGGCGGAACGGGTATCACTCCAGTGTTTCAAGTTCTCCGTGCTGTCATGCAAGACGCTCAAGATCCCACCACTTGCGTGGTATTGGATGGTAATCGCTTGGAGGAAGATATTCTCTGTCGATCTGAACTTGACGCCTATGTTGCAGAAAACAAGTTGAAATGCACCGTTGTTCATACTTTGTCGAAAGCATCCGATTCCTGGCAAGGTCGCCGGGGTCGAATTTCCGAGGACCTGCTGAAAGAGTTTGCTGCTCCGGAAGAAGCCAGCATGGTTCTTCTCTGCGGGCCCGAAGCATTGGAAAAATCTGCGAAGAAAATCCTCCTTGCTCAGGGTTGGTCAGAATCAGATTTGCATTTCTTTTAATAACCCATTGGGCAGTCTGGTGTTAAGCATTGAAAGGAGTTCCAACGTAGTTGGCATTTAGACCGAGACATTTTTTGTTTACAGCGATAGAGACATGAAGCGACGGGGTATGGGCAGACATGTCATTGTTTTTGTAAAGATGCTATTAGAAGTTTGCTTGGTCGTTAATCGTGAATTCTCATAATTTATAGTCGTGAAACTCTTGCTTTACACTTTAGTAGTAATCCCTCACCTCCAGCCTGATTCGAAGATGTTCGAAAACACTAGTAGGTTCATTTTGTAGAGAGAAGGATGCCCCTGAGTTTGCCATAGACTTCGAGGAGGTCGTCCCGGTGTCCAGTCCTCGTAAATAGCCAACAAAAGTGGAAGTTTGTTTTTTGAACACGCTGTACAAGTGGTGCACGGTGCCTTCATTTCCATGGCGTACCCCGCTCAAGCCATCGGCTTTTGACAGCGAACTAAAGGCAAGGATTGTGCCAAAGATGCCGTCAAGTAATTTAGCGGCCGGAGCATGTCGTTTGCTAAGGAAGAGTGCAAACAGCATTTGGTCTAGGATGTCGACGTGGAAGTGACGAAGATGAGTGACAGAATGGGCAGTTTCGATTGTACCATCAATGTCGTCGCGATCAAGACAACGTTCAATTTTGGCAAGTGTCTCTTGAAAGCGACTCCAGGTTGAGCCAACCCCGATATGGAAGCAATAATCGCTAACCGCAAGGACGAAGTGTTGAGCATCAATTCGGAACTTTTGGAATACATTTCGTATGTCCCCTGCAAGCGAATTTCGGGCAGTGGAATCACGGATCAGTCCTTTGACAACCGTTACCATTCGGATAAGACGAAGCAAGTGTTTGAAAAGCCGATCGTATTTTTCCAGGGACCTCGGGGTAATGAGCGTCTCGAGGGTCTCGGGAGGCTTGTATTGGAGGCGAAGGAAATCCAAAGCCTCAATTGCATTGGGATCCTGGCATCGTTTGATCTCTTCGGGTGTTAGGTCTCGAATCGAGAAGCTCAGTCCCCCAGGGAGCTCGTTGTCTCTCAGTTGCGCGTTCTCTGGGTCTTCCGGCTTGGTATCTCCAAAATAACAATCACCGAGCAGACCAATCAAAACCAATCGCAGCTCAGAGCTGGCTGGAGGCCAGGTCTCACGATTCCCTAACCTCAGCCCAGTATGGACGCCACTCCGTACCACACCGGCCTTGCGCTCTCCGCTCTCCATTTCAGGTGCAAATAGAGAACTTGTAAGACGGGCAGTGAAGGAACCATCACCTAGTAATTGGAATCGCCATTGCATATTCAGATGGTGACGCAACTTGTGTTCCTTGAAAAGATGATGAAGGCAGGAGAAATCGATCAGCTGTGCCTGGGATGATACCACAGGTGCAAGCGATAAGTAAAGCGCAGATTTCAAGTCTGGGCCAAAACGATGAACAGTATTGAGAGGATCAGAACCAAGGTCCCTCGCACTTTGTATCATCTGGTCGACATTTTCATTCGAAAATGCGGCGCGATCCATCGCAGAAGACGAGATGCGCTCCTTGTCGTCAATGTCGAACAGCTGGAAGGTCTTTTCGGTGACCTCTTCCGGGCTATCATCGGTTTTTTGCGGAAAGGGCACATTATTCATGGACTGTATCGACGATTTACCCTTGTGGTATTTCAAGATATCCGCTCGAAGTTTCGATTCATATTCGTCGGCCCTTGTTTGAATTCGCTCGATATCTGCCCAAGCGGTCGCACACTGCAGATTAAGATTTCCAGCCCTAGCGAGGGCATCATGTCTGGCAAGAGGATGATGTGGGTGTGACTTTTTGAGTAGGCGTAAACTACTCCCACTTTCAAAGATCAACTCTGCTTGCTCGTGGGGAATGAAAGAAGGCATGTGGTGTTCACGATAACTGTATTCAATGCGTGTCGGAGCGTTCCTGAACTTGTTGGGATCATCATAGCGGTCGAGCTGAACGAAGGTTCTACCGCTAGCTAATTGCTCATTGAGTGATGCATCATCGGGCCGGAGACCGATCCAGCCCTCAATGAAACCAAGCCAAGGAACCGTTATCTGAACCACGATTTCGTGCAAAAGGTTCTCCATCCAGCCAAATTTATGGGCGAAGTATGCCGCCCGGTCTATCACTGCGGAAATAATTTCGGAATCCGATGAAGCCTTTTCCACGAGGGCGACAATGTCAGCCAAGGCTCCTAGCAAGTCCCGACATCGATCGAATAGCATGGCAACCTGCAGGACCGACACGACGTTGCTGCAATTGGCCAGAACTTGCTTCTCGAGGTTGAATAATATGACTGACATAGCACCTCGTAGAGTAAATATAGAGGATAAAGCTTTAGACTTTGTCACTGGAGCTTTTGCAAATGCACGAACCCACTGCATAAATGTACCGCACTGCAGCACCTCGGAGACGACACTATCCATAACCGAGGAAGACAGTCCGGAGACCCTAATATTTGTCATGGATTTTTCGAATAATTTATTCCCCTTGTTATACCGGAAGAACAAGGAGTTCCATCCCAACCCAAGGCGCAGGAGAGATTGAATGAAAATGTCATCTCGAACAAGGCGGGTGGAGGTGTGGGCTTTTACTTGCTCTTGGTAGGAAATTGCAGCATCGAAGCCCTTGGCACCAGATTCACTGAAATACACGGAAATGGGCTCATCGAACGCGCGATCCTGGTATTTCTCCCAGGATTTCAATGGAGCGATGTAACCAGGATCCTGCTGCAGGTACTTCAATGACCACAAATCATCCTCTTTTTGTGCTGTATCCTGCACTGGTTCACTGGGTGCTTCAGACAGGTTGTCTAATGAATGATCGAGGCTAGAGTCCGCGGACTCTGAAGGTTGGAGGTCGTTCGTGAAGAGGTTGAGCGTCCATATCGGATCGATCTTCTCGGTCGAGTCTGGTACACCTTGAAAGCAAGCCTTTGGGATGGCTGCAAACACGACTAATCAGCAATCGGTAATCCACTCGCTCCAATTGTTTGAGCCGCATACGTACCTGGCAAGTCCGCGTTCCATGGAAGAGACTCCAAGGGCTGTAGAGCCTCTACGCTGAACCTAGAGAGCCTCCAGAGGCTTTCACTAGAAAAAGGATCAGGATCATAGTCACCTATATCCATCGTGAGTCCATCACCAGAGCGGGCACCAGCAAATGTTGAACGTGTTTATTTTGGGAGGTGAAGCGCGAATGTCTAAAGGTCAACCTTAGGTACGGCCCAACCCAACGGAGTCCCGCGATGCGCCTGCCTATCGCGTGCACGGGCCAACTCGATAACAAAAGGCGACGGCGGCGTCTCTTCACTCCGCGCTCGTCATGACCTTTCCCCCCCCTCGTCGCCTTTCTACCCCAATTCCGATCGCACAATGCCTCCTCGTAAGAAAACGAAGCGCGCACACTCCAACTCTCCCCCTGATGATACCGCGCCACTATCCAGCGCCAACACACCCGGTTCGAGCTACAGCGCCGAGAAGCCCGATGAACCCGAGTACGACTTGATCAGTGATCCTTGGACGGATGAGCAAGAAACTGCACTCTTGAAGGCAATTATAAAATGGAAGCCAGTCGGTAAGCTTCAATAGATCGCGATCTCCGCGTGGGCCATGGTAGGAGCTCTTGACTGACGTATGACCTCGTCCCATTTTCAGGCGTACACAAGCATTTTCGCATGCTCGCGATCTCAGAATACTTGCGGAGTCAAGGATATGCACCCTATAGTGCTGATCACATGCGCATTCCCGGGATATGGAAGAAATTGGGCTCCTTGTACAACCTCGAAGCTCTCGATGAACGGGTATTCTACAGCCACTATCCACCCATCTACCTGACGCAAGCTTTGCTAATTCTGTATTCGTTGAGTAGGAGGATTCTGTTATCACCGATGCGAACGAAGATGATGAAGAACCGAGCGAAATGTACTGCCCGTTCGAGCTTCCGTACGATGAATACGGTGACATGATGTTCGAGAAACGACTCGCCCTGGAGGGTTCTTCTTCACCTATCAACAGTCCCCATCCTGAATCCAGACGAGGAAGCACTGTTGCCGACACAGATGGTAAGATTATATCCCGACTAGCAAGACTGTGATCTAGGAAGTTAACTTAATTGGTTGACAGAGCCGCGCTCCTCTCCCGCACCATCACGAGGTCGCAAATCAGACCGCGGTACTCGCCAAGCCGGACGAGCAACACGATCTACCAGGCTACAGGTGGAACTTGGAACAGATAGCCAAGGGAAGGCCTCCGACGAAGATATGGAAGATGCTGAGTCTGCCGAAGAATCAGCTGCCAACGATGAGGAGGGCGAAGGCGAGGGCGATGGCGATGGCGAAGGCGAAGGCGAGGGTGACGGTGAAGAGGAGGAAGAGGAGGATGAAGAAGGTTCGGACGGAGGAAAGGACAGTGGTGGTGACGAGGAGGATGATAGTGAAGGGAAAGGCGGATCGCGAAGCACCCGGGCAAAAACTTCACGATCCAAGCAAAAGGACAAGAAACCCCCGAGCACAGGAACGCGCAGGACCGCTCGTCGCCGCTGATATGAGGTGATCTCTCTTTTTGCATTCGGTTTCCTACCAGCTTTGATACCTTTGGACTTATGGATTGGCGTTGGATATTTCTTTTTGTCTTGTTTTATATGGAGCGATGTACTAATAGTATGCGTGGAGGCCATCTATAAATCTTATCATCACCATTTGATGAATTGCTCTACAATCAAGAGAACTATACGCGAAAAAGTAGGATTGACCACCTAGGTACACAAATAGGGATATTTCGATCGCTATAGGAAGTCTAATGTCGTTCGAGGAGGGTACAGAAAATAGATCAAAGGGTCATAGTACAAAAATTCCGAGTAGCGACAAGCTTACAGACGCTTCATGATGGCATCAGCGTACTCGTGGGTCTTGGCCTTACCACCAAGGTCACCAGTAAGGGCCTAAAGGGGATAATTAGCATAGTTCTAATCCGGTTCTTGGTTAAAGGCAAAAAAAGACTCACCTTGCCCTCAGCCAGGGTGTCGAAGATAGCCTTCTGGATGCGGTTGGCGTGGTCGTGGAGACCCATGTGCTGCAGCATCATGATACTGCTCAGGAGCAGGGCAGTTGGGTTGGCAAGACCCTGGCCAGCAATATCGGGGGCGGAACCGTGGACGGCCTCGAAGATAGAGCACTCGTCACCAATGTTACCGGAGGGGGTGAGACCAAGACCACCGATCAGACCGGCGCACATGTCGGACAGAATGTCACCGTACAGGTTGGGCATGACAAGGACCTTGTCGTTGTAGGGGGTGGGGTCGGTGACGATCTTCAGGCACGAGTTGTCCAGCAGCTCAGCGTCGAACTCAACACCGGGGAAGTCCTTGGAGATGTCGCGGGCAGTGTTGAGGAACAGACCGTCGGACATCTTCATGATAGTAGCCTTGTGCACAACACGGACCTTCTTCTTGTTGATGGACTCGGCGTACTGGAAAGCGAAACGCAGGACGCGCTCGGAGGCCTCCTTGGTGATGAGCTTGATGCTCTGCACAACACCGTCGACAACAACGTGCTCGATACCGGAGTATTCACCCTCGGTGTTCTCACGAATCAGGACAGTGTCGACACCGTCGTAGGGGGTCTTGTAGCCGGCGATGGAGCGGCAGGGACGGACGTTGGCGAACAGGTTGAAGGTACGGCGCAGAGTCAGGTTCAGGGAGACGTGACCCTTTCCGACGGGGGTCTAGGGAACAGAGATCAGTATGGCGAGCCGATGCGACAAGTCGAGGTTGGCACGTACAGCCAGGGGACCCTTGAGGGCAACGTAGTTCTTCTTGACGCTAGCAATGGCATCGTCGGGAATGGCGGTCTTGCCGTCCTTCAGAATGGGACCGACATCGACGGGCTCCCACTTGATGGGGGCCTGTGAACCAAGTTAGCATCGCGTTTGTATCGCGAGATCGAATTTGCGACGGATCGTTACCTTGGCGGCCTCGAAAATATCCTTCACGGACTGAGCGATCTCAGGACCGATACCATCACCCTCAATCATAGTGACAGTGTATTTGCCCTACATATCCAAGAAAAGAGTATCAGTATTATCGCGATCGTGTTTTGGCATTCGGCGCGGAAGGTTTGGCCGTGACAGGCCCAGCGCGGCTGGCGGCGGCCCAGAGGAAGAAAAAACGAGATTGGCGATGTTCACATACATCAGAACCCTTCTGGCCCTTGAACTTGGCGACGGCATCGTCGGCGGGAGCAGCGAAGCCACGGATCTAAACATCAGTTATGAGAGTTAGTCGAATTGGAGTCTTTTGGTGGTAAGGGGATGTTGAATTTGGAGAGGGGGCTGGTCGTACCTGCGAGATGGGGGCCACGAAGCTGGGGGTCACACGGACGGACCGCAGGCACTGGCGAGCAGCAGAGAAGTTTCTGGCGGCGAGCATCGTGAACAGATCCCGTCAAGTATGAGGGTCTAAGGAATTGATGGTGGGGGGGAATCGGAGGGGAGTGGAAAGGGAAGGGAAGAGAGAGAAGTGAAAACGTTTAGTCTCGGCGCCCGCCCGATCCGACCGGGACGCAGACCGCATTGGTGGTTTGATGTCCCCGGCTACCCGAGTGAAAGTGTAGGGTCCACTTGCCATGTTCAGGAGCTTCTGGGACACATGGCACCGGTCTGTTATCAATCTATGGAAAATTGGCCCCAGGACATACTAGTAGTGTATAGTACTAATACTGCTACCAGTAGTAGGTCTAATTTATCTATATATACCAAGGTCGAGGTATAGATACGGGATACGGATATCCTTCTATACTATTAGTGATACTAGTATGGACCTAGTATCTGATGAGAACCATCTTTGTTAAACCTGAACTGGATTCCCTTCTCCTGGCACTCAATCTCCACCGGCGCAAACGTATCGATCGTCGGCTGGGGGACTTCTAGGCAGTCCACCCACAAGACATAATTCCCAGGGGGTTTTCGGGACAATTGCTTGGGCTGTACTTCGAGTATTCTGAGATTTGCAAACCATTTCTCTCGGTGCTTCAGTATATCCCGAAGAACCTCGATGATCAGCGCGAAGTCTTTCTCTCGGCAATCAGCCAAGTGAAGATACTCTAGGCTTGTTGGAAGGATATCCGAAGCTCTTACTGTTGGCTGTTCCCTGGAATCGACCTGCAAGAGTGTGGCCCACGGTATCTGAAGCTCGCGCAGTTGATGAAAGTCCGTCATCGAGCCGAATGTACCCAATTCAAATTCCTCATCGAAGTCACCCTTATCAAAATGCCAAGGATGTTCTCCTCGGTTGTTCAATCGAATCACCCGAAGGCTATGAATCTGGGTGGACAAAGACGTGTAAAATGCCCCAGGCCGGAAGGGATAATAGGATTCGCCCCAAATTGCCTGGTCATTGTGCTGGAATTCAAAGCTTTCCAGACCTTGACACAATTTGACAAAGCCTAGAAACCCGTTCATGCCATTGCATGTGCCCCAGTCACCGAAATCAAGCTTCTTGATTCCAGAGGTCCCAGGCGCTTGCTTTGGATACCCATGATATGTCCAATTATCCTCTTCGTTGATGGCATTCCCGGCGAAGCTCCGCATCGCCGGAAAAGAAAAGAATGGAAGAAGGTCTCCCATGCTGTAAGATGATTTATTATCGTCTTCCATTTTGATTGTGACATGTTCCAACTTCTGGAAGATTGGATTCAGGTCAAAGGGCTTTTCTCCGGCTGCTGCCCGTGCCACCATAGACATAAAGTACGTCGGCGAGCGATGGAATTGAAGACACAGACTTGTGACGTTTTGTAGCGATGGAATGAGCACGGCGATCCATGCATCTGGGCTCCCTTGTTGCAAAGCTTTGGTCCACTCCCCGGAGTGCTCCGGAGAATGGCTAGTTTCTTCCACAACACTTCTAAACATTTCAATATCGTCCACGGTCCCATCTCCCCAGAAATCCCAAACGGCATTCAGAGAACGGATGGAACGGCCGATTTTGGGATTTGCTTGGATCGCGCAGACAAGTGGGTAGATCTGATCCCCTTGCACATAAATGGATCTCCAGGCCACAGAGAAAAATAATGAGTACCAATGGCGGCAGACTTGCAAAAGGGAGGAAATTCCTTTTCGATTATCAAGATTTTGTTCCAGAACGATGTGGTCGCAGATGAGTAGCAGGATGTCATCGGGTAAGACGGGCATGGCCATTTTGAATTGAGCCTTCTCGTCTACTGATGAGTACAGCAGCGATGGGTGAGGCAATATAGCGAATTGCAAATTTTCTGGGTTGAGTCCAAACTTCTCATGCGTCGTTAGCGTTATCTAGCGAGAATGATTATGGGGCCAGCCTCCAGGCCAACATTCAGGCAGGCTCGAGCCTCATCATCCCAAAGTCAGGAATGATGATCCATGACCAACATGGGCAAAAGTCATACTGCCAGAAAATATTAATACCGCAGTAGAAAGAATTGCTGCTACCATGGCACTTTACCCAGATATTGAACTCGGCCAAGTTCATGCAGGGCCGTATACATCCATTTCCCTTGGCAATGTACACCGCCCCGCATCTGTAGGCGGAGCAACGTTCCCCATTGATTGCCCCATTCCTCGAGCTCCCCCCCGGTTCCTTTTCAACTAGAACACATATACACCCCAGCTCAGTCCAGTCAATCTGGCTACTGGCCACTGGCAATCATGTCAGACCTTGATGTCGCCAGTCATTACAACCTTCCCTCCGAATTCCCCGAAGAGTGGCCAGCAGCGCTGGATGAGGCCGACCAGTCCGAGGAGGAACCAGTTCAACGAACGAAGTCTCGCCCTCGCAAGTCGCGTTACTTTGCTCTAGAACGCACCCCAAGTGATTGGAGGAGCAACTTTGGATCACGCCGGGGAAAGGAGAATAGGGAAAATCCTCAGAATGACGAACCAGACCCGCTCGGAGCTGGCGATAGTGTCATGCGCATCCTGAAGCAGAGAGGGCTGCGCATGGAGGATGAAGGGGGTAAACGATCACGGTTCCTGCTCTCGTCGACCTCGTTCTCGCCCGCCCTATTTCTTTCCCAAGCACACCACTCGGACTCCATCGAATCGCTTATCGACGGTCTAGACCACCTGTCGCAATCCATCGACCAGAAGTCAGCGTCCCTGAAGGTACTGGTTGAAGCCAATTTCGAACGCTTCGTCCGTGCCAAAGCAACAATCGATAGTGTATACAAAGAAATGAGAGATCAAGGAGTATCAAAGGAGCAAACATTGTCTGCTCGTCGGTCAGGGCACTTCCGGAGTTATTCGGGTCAACAGCGGGGACCATCGCCTGCTCCTGCCCCGGCAGTGATAGGAACCCGGAAGAACGCATTAACTAAGGAGAGCGAATATGGTATGAAAGGAATTCGTGGACCATTGGTAGAGGCATCTGTCAAGGCAGAAGAGGTCTGGGGTCCTGCCCTTGGAGGTCGTGATCGAGAGCAGATGCTGAAGTCAGTTGTTGACTCGATGGAAAAACACCGCGATGTCTACGAGATTGGAAGCCATTTATTCAAATCCATCCAGCAACGCGACTATGACTCGGTCTTTGAGCAGTATACTAAAGCTCGAACGTTAGCAAACAGAGCACAGAATATTGTGGAGCAAGCCTCCAGCTCCAATCGACAATTGGCCGACCATGAGGCGCATACTATTTTAGCAATGGGAAGAATGTGGATGGATGTCGACCAGCAGATTCATGCCTTTAAGCGCGATCTCTGGCGACGACTTAGTGACGCGCCGACTACCTCAACTACGAGCACAGCGTCAGGTCCCGTCGAAGAGCATATGGAGCTGATTGGTGCTTTGCTGGAACTGGGTGTCGAAAATAACCCTATCTGGACATGGCTTCATAGCCGCTATAATTTCCTTAAGCTCAAGATCACTTCTTTCTGTGAGCGGTGCAAAGTTGAGATCGAGATCTTGCGGCGGCGCCTTGCCAACGGAGAAAAGCCAAGCGCAGATGTCACGGCATCATATCTGCGCCTGGCACCTCGCGATGGTCCCTCGAAGTTCCCGGAGAGACTGGATTCAGACCATGTTATTGAGCTGTGGGATTGCATTCAAGCGTTCCTCAGTCGTCTCCTTTCTTCACAAAGTGGATTACTTGGTGAAGCACTTGATTTCTGGGAAGTCACGCAGTCGTTCATTGACGGTAATCGTCAAAGACTTCTTCCTGTCGGGTTTGAAGGAGAGAGTCGAAAGCATCACAAGTTATCCCCTGAGAACGTGCAGGAGCTCGAGAGGGGCATTGTAGAAATCATTAATCTGATTCGACAAAATGTCCTCTCGCTGTTCAACGAACCCCCGACTGAAGACATCTCCCTTCTCTCCTCTCCCATTCCACCGAGCCCGACTAGTCCGGCCTCCAGAGGCATCACTCCGACCGAATCCCGGTTCAAATTGGATCCCAAGAATCTCCCAATTCCAGTGCCCAGGCGAGGAGAACACTGGGAAGACTTTGCGTTCTGGCCTCCTTTCTCCAACTCTCTCAGCGGTGTGCACTATCTAAGCAAATTCCTCACGACCGTTGGTACAGCTGCTAGTGAGATGGCAGCGCTGCGTCCTGTGGGAAGCGCGGGTGCCACGCATGATCTCTTGAAATCGCTTGTGAGCATCGTTCGAGAGCGTGCGGCACGCGTGGCATGCGATGCATGGAGCAAAGACGCTGAGGTTTGCAAGATGCTGGAGGACTGGACGCGTGACTCCGAGAAACGAGACTTGACAAAGATGCCGGGTTTATTTGCGGCTTTTGAAGGCGCCATCCTCGGTGGCATGCAGAAGATCTTGTATATATCCGATGCCACGGCGAAATCTGGATCGGTGGATGTTGTCACTCAACCGCCTGCGAAAATGCTTCAGATGGTCCGCACTCAATTTGTATCGAGTGTCTACAAGGCGTTGAGTGGGCTGGTTGAGAACGCAGAACGTCTGGCTGCTTCGGACGAAGAAAATGAATGGGTTATCTCTCGGCCAGTCATGACCAGCCAGGTAATTGATGCTGCTTTGTCCGTCTTGAGTGCCGACTCTGTGGACTCTTCGAACAGGGTAAGTGTATATGAGAAGCTATATTCGACCCGTTTAACTAACATTTCCATGCAGAACGTGCGAATTCTTCTCACGCTTTCAAACCTTAAGGCTCTCCAAGCCGAGCATGTTCCACAGTTGATTGCGAACTTCGAAACATCCTTCTCTGTCAAACTGACCGAGGAAGGAAAGACTGTTCGCGATGTCCTCAGTCAGATTGAGGATCGACTTTTCCAGTCATACACAAAACCCACCATTGCTGCGCTAGATGAAACTATCAAAGCGGGTATCACTGCTGCAGACTGGGAGCCATCAACCGATCGGCCCGAGCAAGTTCGACCATATGTTTACAACACCATGTTAACTCTGGTGTTGGTGCATACCGAAATTTCTACTACTATACCGTCTACCGTGAAACCGAGCTCCAGTCGTTCATCTCCAAACGCCCCGTCATCATTATTGGCCACTATATTGACGCATCTCCTTGTGAATGTCTCCTCATCCCTTCTCAATGCCTTCCGCTCTCGCCCCTCTTTTTCACTTGCTGCTTTGATGCAGGCCACGTTGGACACCGAGTTCATCGCCCAGACCCTGTCTCAATACTCCACCGACCAAGCATCAGATATACAAAGCCAGGTCTATGTAGAACTGGATCGCCGTACTACGAATGAAGCCCGCACAAAACTCCAAGCGGAGTTGGGAGAGATGAGGGTTGTCTTGAAACGATTGAGGGATCGAACCAAGGGGGAGTTTGCTTGCTTCAAGAAGCCTAGGAGCGGCGGCTCCAAGCCATCTACCTCAGCATAGAATCGAATTAGACGATATAATTGATCTTGTTTTGATCTTGTTAAGAAGCGTATCATGAAACTTGTGAACATTTTTTGTCCTGAACAAAACTCAGCAAGAACCGGGTATCATAAACAATGGCCGTAGCCCTTTTTTTCCCTTCCTCCTCTTTTTGCCTGCATTCTCGAGTCCGATGTCCAACAGCGGCAGTATTTTCTTAACCGACCATGCGCTGCACCCGACTCAGGAGCGCAGTACTCTCTCGTCCCAATCGTCGCTTTCCAAACTGATCTGGACGCTTCGCCCGCGTCATATCCTCCCGCTCCTTCTGCTTAGCCTCGCGCTCCTTTCTGCGTGCTTCGGCGGCCTTTTTCCGCTGCTCTGCAATTTCCATCTCCTTGGAGAAAGCCGACGGCCTAGGCTTGCGCTCCCTTCGCTTCGCATCATTGTCTCGAGGACGTCGCTCTGGCCTTGGTGCGGGCTCTGGTGATTGGCTTGGGGGTGGCTTGTTCAACATGGCGACTCGACTGGGGTGAAGCTCAGTCGACTTCTCTTCATCCTCATCCTTGTTTGCCCCATCCTCTTCTTGGTATTTATCGTAGACGGACTTGGGTTTTCCGGAAGCGACTTCTTGAGCTTTAATTTTGGCGTAGGCCTTCTTGACTTTGGCCTTTTGGATCAAGTCGGACTTGATTTTTTGGGCTGGAGAGAAATAAACGATTAGCCTACCTAAACCCCCGAGAAGAAAGAGCAAGCAAATACTCACTCTTGCGACGATATGTTCCATCGGGCAGGTTGGCTGGACCAACGCTGAAACCCTTGCTCTTCTTCTCCGAAGCACCTGCCCTGCTTCCGAGTCCATTTTCCGAGTCGTGGGGTCGCTTAGGTGCCATGACTGTAAGTATTCGATACGAAAGCCCAACTGTCCTGTTTCTTTGTAGAGTGGTTGTGTTGCGCGCTGTGTTTAAAAAAGTTGAAGAAGTGCGGAGACGCAAAAGGGAAAAAAAAATAAAAAAAAGCGGCGAACCTCGGCCGATCGCCGACGGTCTGGAACTCAGCAATAGCAACGCCCACCTTTACCCCAGCTTTTCTCTCTCCATTTGAACTGGATCTCGATTCCGATGTGTTTCACTGGATACTTGGATTGTTTTTACTATCAACATCAAGTTGAAAATTGAAAAATTAAAAATATCACAGACAGAACTCCATTCCGGATCAGGCCCGCCGAAAACGCTTGGGCACCCAATGAATCATCTGAGGGACCCACGAGATGACATGACCGAAAGGTAGATCGGACCTTTCTTTCAACCTCAACTCTCTCGGACTCTGTGTCCGTGTCTACCGCTTCAACACGACTTAGAGATATATTCGCCCTTATACCCTATATACCGCACTCTTCCCTGCCAATCACTGCTGGAACCACTGACGGCATATCGACCCATCCTCTCACACCGCATCCCAACCACCCCACCACGGCTGTGCCGGGTCTCGTTTCGAACTTGCTCGCCACATTGGCGACCTCCTGCAATGTACGGCTGTGAGTTTCAGACCTCATAGTCTGTATTCTATCTCGCCAATATGCCCCTATTTCATGATCCTCATCGCCGACGCCAGTACCGCCTGTCTGGAGACCGGGGAGATCATGAGCAGCCTGCTGGGGAATCACCTCAGGGCGAGCCATATCAAGATAGCGAACCTATACTTGACAGGGCAGATATAACCGGCGTTAATTTGGAATCAACGCCTGCAGACCTATATCCGACCAAAATGTGGGCCAACGACCGCCAGCAAATTATACATCGAATCAAAGAATCGTCGCCCTGGAGGCGTCAGTATATGGTGAGCGATTTCTTTCAACTAATCCCATCGGCCCTCAACCTTTTACAAAAGCATTTGCTATTTACGAACCTCAGCATGCAGTGTTACTAACTCTCTCAAGCCGCAAACAAGCGACAACAGTGAGCAGTCTTTGTCTCATAACTCCCCGGAGGAGGTGAGTCAAAGAACAGAAAGAACAGAACAGCAGCCTTCAAGACGCACAGAAGATGTGCAACAAACGAACGAGATAGAATCGCCGGCCGATATTCAAAGACCTCGTTCTGCGTTGCACTCCGGTGACTTTAGAGAAGGCATACCTCACGGCGTCTCCCACTCTCCACGGACTCCTTTTGCTGAACGAAACCCGACCTCCGCATTTCCACGCCTTGGAACATCACCGACCACGCCATGGTTTGCTGCACCAGCCTTTGGGGACCCCAGTCGCGATGTCAGTACCTTGGGCGACCATCGCGAACCACTGGCAATGCTTGGAAATCGCGCAAGAGCACCCTCGCTGGGGTCATTTTCGTCAAGCTATGTTTTGAAAGCGCCGACGAGCCCTCTTGTACACCAGGCCAACAACACCGACCTGGACTTTTCGCCACGGGTATCACCGGCCGAGTCAACACCCTTCGAGAGGGCTAGTCGCCGCCGAACGCTACCACCAGAAACCTTTCGACAGCTCGAAGGATCTCCTCCACCTGCTGAGTTTATCAATATGCACAGTCCCTGCCCATCTCGCCAACCAGATGGGTTTCATAATTTCCCTTGCTCGCCTCGCCGGTCTTTGACTTCAGCATACAGCCTTCAACTTGCCTCAACTGCGAATACTACGCCTGCATACCGGGCAAGAAGACCTTCCCTCGTCTCCGACATCTCTCCAAAACCCCATGCCCCAATGGTTGGCTCCTACGAAGAATCCATTTTGCGCGGGCGAATGTCGATGAACCCCTCCAAACCGCTAGACTTTACCGCTCAGATCGGTGTCCTCGGCAAAGGAAACTGCAAAGGGCATCTCAAATGTCCTCCTCATGTGACGGTACCATTTCCGGCTTTCTTTTATAGTTATCCGACATCGGGGAGTGGTCGCTCCATTTCAGATGACAGCCCAAGTCCCTATGTCGGCCACATCGACCTTGAAAACTCACTGTCCAAAGATGATGTAAATGCGACCCGACGTCGTCGGCGACACGTCAGTCCATCCAAATCCCGCGAAAGCAATATCCCAGGGGAGACAAGTGCCACTCGAATGCCCAGTGCAGAGACCCAGCGTCGTCGGGAAAAGAAGAGCCGCAGAGCGGAATCCCCCCAAAAGTCCCCCGGGCGGGTGCTATCGAATCCCTCAGAAAGGTCAACTGCAGATTATCATCAAAAACCCACACAAGACTGCTGTCAAGCTCTTTCTTGTACCATACGATCTGGATGACATGGAACCTGGAACCAAAACATTTATTCGGCAGCGCAGCTATTCCGCAGGACCAGTCCTCGATATGCCGCTGAGTGCCCGAAAGAACTATGGGACGGATCGACCTGAGGCATCTTTGAACAGCACCGAAGATCCTCAGGATAAACCAACCTTGCGATATCTAATCCATCTCAACATATGCTGTCCAGCACGAGGTCGCTTCTACCTTCACTCGAGTATTCGCGTGGTGTTTGCAAACCGAGTGCCGGACGGCAAAGAGAAGCTACGTAACGAGATCCAACTACCAGAACCTCGGTACAGTCCGTACAAGCCATGCCGGGATCCTACTATCTCGACTTCTGCTGGAGCCCGGCTAGCGACTGACAAAGCTTCACGGAGACGGAGCGTCGGACAAGACACGATTCCACTCCTGCGACCGCACGCTACTTTCCCCGGCGACTTTTCGCCACATTGGAGCCCCGGGCAGACCTCAGACATGCTATATCCACCCGGTCCTACCCAGTTTGATCCGGGTATCTACAATAAGCTAAACAAGCACGATTTTGGATATGGAAGGTATCCTTACCCATCCAGCCCGAGCACATCTGAGAACGGCGAAAGTTTGCTCGCCAAGAGACTTCGTGCCTTAGATGTACAACGGAGAGAGAAGTTTGAGAATAGTTGAGCCGGTTCTTGACTTATGCTTCTCTCCCGCTGTGGCCAAAGGAGCCACCTCTATTTGCCCACCACCAACCACATCATATACTGCCCTGTATAAGCAATTTCGTTATAAACCATCAACTCTACTTGGTTTTTGAGATTTCTCTTCTTGGTTTGTTTTTTTGGCTCCGCTGTTCTACCAACTGTGAATAATTCAAGCACATTGTGAACATGTTGGATATCCACAACAGAACTAACATGAGCAGCAACCCTAGCTCACCGAACTTTTTCATTTGCGAACAGGTCCCTCTTTCTTTCTCTATATCTGTTTTCGGTCTTTGATTTTCTGCTCTTTCTCAATTCAAGGTGCTGGGCGCTTGGGTTCTCAGATAGTATATATACCCTTCTCTTTCTGCGTCCGATTGCAGGACCTTTCGTTATATCCAAGTTCATTGATTAAAGACCGTGACAATTTACTACTATTCAAGTTCCAGTGACTTCTACCTACTAGTCTGCCTTCTATACGAACCTTGGAATCGACCTTAACTTTCCATCTACCTAGGTACTAGTAGGAAAAGTACCTAGTACTAACTAATTAATTCTAGTACCTAGGTAGTAGCAGTAGATTTCCGGGGCGTTCAAGTTCTTTCAATCGTGACAAAAGTCATTGAGCTACATCAAATTCTACAGCTTAATCTACAGGCAGCACGGCTATCATAGAACTCCTGTATCAGCTAGTAATAGCATAGGAACAAGTTAAACCTGTATTCTCGCAGTGTATATCTACAGAAGGGCGCTAGGTACAGCACACAAAGATTAAAAAGAAGCTGGGAGAAAAGACAAAATATCCTCCAAACGAGGAAAATCATCGGCTCCTGAAACTCAAGCTCAAGTCGGGCCTTCAAAACACCCGGGTCATGCAAATGAAAATACAAAGATTTAGCCAGCGTGCTCGACAATTTCGGAAACAAGCACCCCGTCCTTGACGTAGCTCTTAAACTGCTCGGGGACAGGGCACTCCTTGGTGTCATCATCGGTGCCTTCCTTAGGAGGAAGGTTGATGTTGACGGCCGAAGACTTGCTGGTGAAGATCTCAGTGGCAAGGCTTTGCTGGCCCAGATAGATGGTAGCGCCATCAACCTGGTCCAGAAGAACGGTAGGAACGACACCGTCGATCTGCAGAGCGAACTTGGGCGACTTGACGACGTCCAAGCTGCTCACCAAGGAATCAACGATGATGGAAAGACCAGTGCAGTTGTCGATGGCAATGGCATTCGCCTTGTTAGGAATCTTGATGATAGACTTGTTGACGCGCGAGATGAGGATAGATTGGTTCTTCTGCGCAGGAATCTCGATAATATCCTCCGCGCTGTCGAAGTTCTCCACCAGCCACTTGCTACCTTCCAGTTCCTTGCGCGGCGGCTTGCGAGCACGCATGCTCTCGGGCTTGGGCTTCTTGTTTGGCGCGGGTGACTTGCTCCGAGAAGCGCTGGAACCCTCGGGTACAGTAGAGGTGGCACGTAGACCAGGATTCTTGTGGGTCATCTGCGACTTATCGACCTTGCGCAAACCAGAGGTGATGGCCTCGCCTTGATTCAGCTGATCAAAGACAGCAGACATGTCTGCGCCCGGAGCAGCAGGGGCAGGGGGAGGAGGAGGAACACCTGGGGGAGGCGGCGGTGGAGGGGCACTGGCACCGGGAACATTCACAGATGGGACGGGAGGTGGAGGTGGAGGTGGAGGAACGGCGCCAGCGCCGGCTGGGGCAGGGCCACCCTTGATCTGCTTGAGCGCCTCCAAGGCATCAACGCCGGACTCATTGTTCCAGGTCAATCCTGTGGGATAATGCTTCTTCAGGAAGGCAGAGAGGCCCTTGAAGTTTTGGTAGTAGGCTTGCATGTACTCGACGTGTGTTCGGTCCCTGCATATACAGGTTAATTGAAGGTCGACATATTTGCTCGCACACTAGGCAAACTCACTTCTCCTTGAAATCCTTCAGAACCTTGTTGCCGTAATACTGAATACCACCAATCATTTCCTCGACAAAGCTGGCAGGCTTAGTCTCGAAGAACCATCCTAGAGCGACAATGCCCTCCGCAACAGCACTCAAGTGGTTGAACAATGGCGAGGCACGGTTCGACTCTCGAATATTGTTGATGGAGTCCGATGCCTTGTGCAGATCCGTCATGAGTTCAATGGGTTGAGGTTCGGGCTTCTTGGCCTTGGTCGCGACGAAAAGGTAGGTACGCTCAGCCTCAAATGCTTGCAGAACGGCCTTGGACTATTAATGCGTCTCCCGTTAGCCATGGTTCTAGACCAATTCCCACGTTAATAAGCCTCACCTGCTCTTCTACCAAGCCACCGATCTTTGCACCCAGCTTCACGAAGTTCTGGACATCTCCCTTGATCAACGCATCGAAATCTTGAATCTGTGGCGGGATTTGCGGCGCCACGGGAGCTGCGGGCGGAGGTGGAGAGGGCTTGGGAGGTTCCGGGGTCGCAGGTGCCGCAGTAGCAGTACCACTCAGGTTCTTGGGGATGTTGGGCTCTTCCACGGACATGGCCATATCCTCCAAGCGGGAGGTCGCCGCCTCGAGCCTATTGACAGTCTACCGTCAGCCCAAGTCCACCGGGGGTACGCATGGCACAGTTTAGACTGGATTGAAATACCAGCCGTAGTACTACTGGGAGTACAGTGACTAGTCAGGGGGATACGTACCGCTTGATGAGGGTGGTGAAATTATGCATGTTGCTTCCGCTCGCCATGACAGGCAACACGTTGCTCAAGGGAGCTGAAAGAGTAAGGGGACGAAAGGAAAACGGGGAGTGGCCCAGGTGAAATATGAAGTATAAGACCGAGTTGGACAGTACTTCAGCAGCGTCGTGTCCCTCTTAGCAGAGCAGCAAATTGGGGGAGGAAAGCAGTAGGAGTAGGAGACGGTTGACTGAGCTGCCCGGCCGACGTTCAGGAGCTGCGACCCGCACCGGTACGTACGTTACGCGGGAACAAGCGGGCATCGGATGACGTTGGCGGGTATATTTGGTATTATAATTACCTTCCTTTGATCCACTCCCCAACTTCAGGGCTGGCCCGATAGATTTGATAGATGTGTTTTATCGTTTCTTCCCTAGCCATTGGTGCCTTCGAAAAGCATTTTTGCTACTAAGCTATGGCCAGCAATCATGATGTCGCAACCCGGTCAGACCAGGTTGACTTCTGTACTCTAGGAATGTTTATTCTTGGTATGCATCTTTCCATTCTGAGAATCGAAGCCCCGCATCGCCTCATGTCTGTTCCAAATTACTCACAACCTTGCAGATGATATTGATTTCGGCGGCGTAAGACCAGGCGTCAAGAATATTCTTGGAGGAGCCGCATCTTTTGCAGTTGTGGGAGCTCGTTTAGTGGCAGGCTCCGCGCATGGACGTGCTGTTAGCTGGATCGTGGATGTTGGATCCGATTTCCCACCAGAAACCCTAGCTGCCATTCAGTCATGGGGCACAGACTGTGTCATCAGAGAGGATTTTAACAGGCTGACAACAAAGGCCTGGAACGGGTACCATCCGAACGAGAAACGAGGTATGATAGATAGCCACTACGCTGGTTGCCTAGCACGAACCGTACATGATTAACGAAGATTCCAGATTTCGAGTACCTTACTCCTAAGTTAAGGCTGGAGCCTCATATGCTCTCCGATACGCAGGTGTGGTCACGGACTTTCCACATGGTCTGCTCACCCTCGCGATGCATATCAATTGTACACGATATCCTCGAACGACGGGGTGAGCTGCAACGAGCAGGCCTCGCTCCTTCCACTCCACATGCCTTGGATCGTCCCTTTTTCGTCTGGGAGCCAGTGCCTGATCTCTGCACACCAGAAGAGCAAAACAAGTTCTTCGCTGCAAACCGAGTGGTGGATATTGTTAGTCCTAATCACCTTGAGCTGGGAATGATGTTTGAGCAGCCTGGATGGACTACGAATGACGAAGCGAGCCGAAGACTGGTGAAGACTGTCATTGAAGCCGGAATCGGTCCCACTGGCAATGGCTGCCTGGTTATCCGAGCAGGGAAAGATGGGAGTTACGCCTACTCGAGAGACCAGGAAATCTGGCTTCCAGCCTATCATCAACCCGATACTTCAGGTGCTACGCTGGTGATCGATCCCACAGGTGCGGGCAACTCGTTCCTCGGCGCGCTGGCTCAAGGAATGATATCTGCCGGCCGAGAGCCCTTTGGCGTTATCGACTCTATTCTATCGAACTCTAAGGAATGGGAAGACGGCATGGTTCCCTGGGGCGGGCGTCAAGATCTACCTAAAGCTCTTATTTGCGCAACTGTTGCAGCCGGGTTTGTAGTGGAGCAAATTGGCGTGCCGCAGATCTCAGAGTCGAAGGAAGGGAAGGAATTGTGGAATCAGTCTGAATTCACGGAACGAGTCCGCCTGTACACGCAGCGATTATTTAGAACGTTGGAAGAGTCTCCCCAGAGACACCTGTTGACCAATTGATCAATGGTTGATTGAGGAACGCCCCTCTATTGTCGTACAACCGGGAAAGATGAAATGATAGTAAAAACACAGTATGAAGATGTTCCATCACACCAGGAATCCTCCACTAACGGCCACCTGGGACGCGGGGTGTCGCCTATTGCGGGTTCTGGGCGGCCTGTTGCTTCTCATGCTCACGGATCTCTCGGCTCCAGCTAAATTCGAGAGAAATGAGGTCAGTATAGAATTCGCAAGAGGGGCCCCGATTCGGAAATGACTGACTATCGGCTGGGGAAGAATCTGCCGGGTTCGGGCATCTTGTCGCGGTGCTCTCGGTCGGCACTGATGCTGAAGGCGATGGCGGCAATGCCAACGACAAAGGCGCCCATGACGGCAGTGTTGGCCCTCCAGTTGCCTGGCTGGGCGTACCAACCACCAGCGGGGGGACCAGACTTCCTTGGGGTACCTGCGTAGCGAAAACTGTTAGCATCCACCTCCACTATCAAATTCTGCGGAAGGATTGGACTCACGGGATCTTTCCACCTCCACCCATTGTGATTGAGATGTAATTGAAGGAGCTGTGGGAGTGTAAATGAAGGAAGGGCTGGACTGTTCTCGTAAAGCGCGGGCTGAAGCGGCTTCACGAAGTCAGTGCCAAGCCAGCACTAGTGCCGATCGGGATTAGTGTCTGCTCACACGACTCTGCGAATCCCGTGACCGCCGACAGATTAATTTCTGTCTTGAGTTGAGACTCACGCTCCCCGTGAATTGGCCGCCCGACTCCGATCCCATTGCCATTAACACAGCGCGGTCTCTCCTTTTTCTTCTCTTCGAGTTTCTTTTGCGTTTCATTCGACAGTCGCCCAGATGAAGAGGCTGCAGCTCCAACGATGGAGCAGCACTGCTCTTTCGCCGCGGGTTCGGACTAACAATCGACTGCATCAACAACTCTATTCTACCGGATTGCGACTCCAATCCACTGTATCTCCGCTTCAACCCGAGTCTACTATCTCAGAGAATGTAGAAGATGCGAGCTTCCAAAACCCGGATGCGATGCGCCACATTCGACGTGCTCACAAGCGCAAGACACAATTGCAATATCCCTCTCCCCCGGTCGAAGCCGCCACCCAGTCCGCCAAACTCGCTGCCCTCCATGCTCGACTTTACCTCCCTTCCCGACTACCTCTCCAAACCCTTGCGCGGACATTGGTTGATGCCTCAGCTGACTCCAATGCCGATTTCAACAACGAATCGCTGGCTACCCTCGGCCACGACCTCCTTGCCAACTACACATCCGAGCACCTCATTTGCACCTACCCCCGTCTGCCATTGAGCGTAACATTTGCCGCCATGTATGCTTATGTTGGTCCCAAAACACTCACCGCGATTTCCAAGGAATGGGGTATCGACAATGCTACAGTGCCCGGTGGTGAAGTAGACCCCGGTTTCCTGCAGTTCCAAAGAGTCGCTCCCGGAACTGCCGTGGAGGACATCTCACAGCTCAAGTCCGCACGCCCCTATGCCGATCAAAAGAAGTGGAGGATGACTGTATCCTCGAAAATCTTCTACGACGACGAGTTTGGTGACGCGATCAAGGGGTCCGTGGCTTTGGGTCAAGGTGTTACAGACGAGACTGCTAGGGCCACCTTCGTCCGTGCTGTCCTCGGTGCCATCTACCTGCACGCCGGTCGCCCTGCTGCCAAGCGATTCTTCGAGCAACACATTCTCTCCCGACACCTTAACATCTCCGAACTGTTCAACTTCTCTCAACCCGCCCGTGACCTGGCCCGACTTTGTGCTCGTGAGAACTTCGAGGCACCCGTCGCCAAGATCGTCAGCGAGACCGGTCGCAAGAGCAGATCCCCTGTCTTCGTGGTCGGTATCTTCTCCGGCCAAGATAAGCTGGGCGAGGGCTCTGGTGCCAGCCTGATGGAGGCACGTGAGCGTGCAGCTCTCTCTGCCCTGAAGGGATGGTACCTGTACACCCCGATCAACCCACGTGTCCCTAGCTCCATGGAGGAGGAGGGAGCTGCGCCATGGAAGCCCACCCATATTGACTTGGGTGAGGTAATTGTCTAATAAAAGCGGGCGATAAAAGCTACTCCCGACCGAAGATGGGTGAAGCACATCTTCTTTCATGTCCTTTTGATTGTCCCACTTTTGCTATCTTTTCTGGTGTGCTATGGTTTCGCATGGGAAACGGGTCAGAGAGGAAATGGTCATTTCCTCTGTCCTTTGCATGACTGGATACTGTACAGTATAGGAATTCAGGTTCCTTCGATTCATCTGGTGTCTTCTTTTCCTGGATTTCTTCTTCTTTTTCCCCTATCTATTTTTGTCTCGTCGCATTTTCTCCTGTCTTATTCGGCCACGCCCCTCTCCTGGTCCAAATGAGGGTTGATCGATGCCACTGGCCTCGACACTGGTATATAGAGGTGCCCTCCTATTAACACATGTACTACAACAATGAAAATCTTTCTAGATCTTAACCTGATCTATTTCCTGTAGCCGTTGCCGATTGCGTTTGACGCCTATGTACTAATCTGATCATTCCTGATTGATAAAATTGGAATTTCCTCTTCCCAGTGACTTCACGAGACTCTTATTTTCCACCATCACCGTCAAGAAATTGGCCATACTTCCCCCACAGCTCAGCAACCTCCATCCCAAAAAGTCCCCTCCAGAATCCAATTTCACCGGCCAACGACTTCTCCTTATCCTCTCCGACATACCCTACTCTTAACAGCCGGTCATTCAACATACCAATCGCCCCCTCGCCCACCCAGACATCCTCAATCCAGGCCAAGAAGTACGCAGTGTGCTGGTATCCAGCATCCCATTTAGATGCCCGCTCTGAAGCGGACTGGGGCTTCTTCCAGTGCGGGGGATCCAGGTGTGCCTTCAACCGGACAAAGTCCGCAATGCCTTCAATCAGACCTCCTGGTGGATGAGGAATCTTTGTTTCGGGCTCATCGTCAGTCTTGGGTGGTGCCGTATGCTGATAACAATGCACAAGCTCATGGGTGAGCACACCGGTTAATTCTCGAACCGGATCTGCGAGGGTAGTACAATGTTTGATGTACGGTAGGGAGAGGTGGATTTCCTTATGGTCATTGTCGAGCTCGGTGCCAGTTGTGTACGCGACACCGCTGAAATCACGGAGGAAGAGGGTGACAGAGCGCGTGGGTGGTACGGAAGGGTTAAATGAAGGCCAAATTCTCTTGTTGCTTCTTTCTATGTCTTCGGATTTTGTCGCCGGCGATGTGTAGAGGTATCTGATGATGTTGTCGAGGGCCGTGTCTAGCTTCGAGTTGACATCGGGAACGAGAGTGAAGAACGAGACGGATGATGGGTGACGAAGTTCTTCGGCGTGGAGACGTAGCTTCGGTTTCGTAGCATTTCCTTTCAGGCTTTGTTTGTCTTTCCGATGCTCGTGCTCTGCCTTCTGCTGTACTCGTATGCTAAGGTTTGCATCGGGCCCCGCGTGATGTTTGGGAACTGCAGATGCAGATGCAGCTGCGGGGGCGGGTGGGGTTGTCGTGGTGAGTTCTGTCATTGCTGGGTGACTCTTAGAACTTCGAGTAGGAGTAGGAGTAGCGGAGAAGACGATAAGCCAAGATTGAGTGTCAATGATCCTCGAGTAGCTGAAGGTGTTGAAACAATGATCGACAAGACGATTGAGAAGGTGGGGAGCTGGTGCCGCTCCACTTTGGCCACGACCCCATCAGTTCGTCGAGGTATCTACTCACCATAGGTAATCTACGGTGTAAATGTAGCTCTAGCTTATCCATTGCGTAGAATATGACTATTCTCGCAATCATCGGTGGGCTGCAAGCACTTATCATGCCAATTTTTCCCACCTGGGCAAGTCACGGTCGTTTATATATTTTTTCAAAAGCCTGAGGTAACGGTAGTTCTACTATTACCTATTACCACTGCTTCCTGTAAAATTTTTAGTACTCTAAGTTTGCCAGGTGGTTTTGATCTGAACCTTGGAACCCTGGAGGTAAGAAATATCTTACAAGACCTACTTCTTTTCTCATCGGGTTTGAGTATTTCCAATGTATCTGGGTCACATGACATGCTATGGATAATACTACTATAGACTCGAGTCTTTGAATAGGCAACTTCCCCTAGATAAATGATAGTAGAAAGGTCATATTAGTACCTGGCTCCGATTTCTAAAGTATATTTAATGGTAGGTACTAACTACTACATAATACTTTGCAATTGTGTAACTGGTAACTGATGTAGTGACTCCGACTCCTCACACTCCACGGTTGCCCTTTGCGACCGTGATACCAACAGGTAAACAAACCAACGCGGGGGAATTGGGCCACACTTCTGTACCCAACCACGATTGATGAAAACAAACCATACATTGCTAAACAGAACAGTAAAAAATCTATTGCCTAATATAAACTAGTACTTCTACTTTTTGACCAGGATCACCCCTTCATCTCGCCTTGGTCAAATCTTTGTCGCATCAGTGGAGACCACTCGCGCTTATCCGCGCTTATCGCCCCTTGCTCTCCGACTTTCCCTCACCTTCGTCAACACATCCCACCATCCACGGTTCGCGCCCGCTCTCTCGTCAATAACATTGCCTTGGTAGGTGCCATTCCATTCCCTTCAGAAGATCTGTGTAGCTGTGGCCACTTCGGCTGTTTCTGTTCTCAACTCCAAAGACAGTTGCCTGCCAGTGTCTTCCCATGTTTGCTTGCGCCGTGGCCACATCCTGACCGTCGCGATCCCCGATCGTGGATCAGAAATCTCCTGCTGATCTATCGCTGTCAACAATCAGCCCTGCCAATATATCGCTACCAGAGGCTAATATCTCGCAACAGACAACGGCGAAATCCCGACCTGATCCCTCTCGCTCAGTTCCCAGTGTCCGCATCACAACTGTTTTTGCCTCTCATAATCCCCCGACTGCTACCCGGCTCCATTGATTTCGCCGTCGCAGATACTGCCTCTTATGTTTTGTCTTTAACATAGGCAAATATTCTCTCATCCGCGCCCAAAATGGAGGCAAAGGCGGCAGAACTTCTGGCGGTCTTCAAGAACCCCAACGTCTCTATTGACTCCCGAGTCGCCCACCTGACCGCCATCAAATCCGATATCAAGCAAAAGAACGTCCCCGAGAGCGCAATTGTGACCATCTTTGATACCCTACGACTTGCTATCAATTCTCAACATTACTCAGTGGCGAGCGCCGGCTTTTCCACCTTGGGCCATTTCTTGAAGCGTCTTTCAATCCAAGACCAGCAACAATGGATTCTCAGCCAAGCGTCCAACTTCTATCCCATCTTGTTGGAGCGGCTGGGTGATCACAAGGAACGCGTGCGGGCCCAGTCCGCATCCATCTTCACCGAACTTTGGTTACACGCAAACAACGAAGCCGAGTATTATGTGTTGCAGTGTGCTCTAGTGGGTAAGAACCCAAGGGCCAAAGAAACGAGTATGCTCTGGTTATCATCTGTACGTTTATAGGCTTCTCCATATCCAAAACACTACTCTAATCCTGACACCTCCCAGATGACGAAGAACCACGGTTTGTTAATCCGACAGTACGTGCCCCCACTGGTTGCGTGCTTAGAAGATGCCGACAGTTCTGTTCGAGATACGGCCAGATCGGTTGTGGTGGAGTTGTTTCGGTATGCAAATTCTTCCATATGATCGACGGGGCTTGGTGAGACTAACCGCATCGCTTAGAAATGGTTCTGCGAGGGCCAAGTCAGACCTACAAAAACAGATTGTGGCTCGTGGGGTGAGGAAGTCCATCGCGAACGCCATCTTGTCAAGCATTGGTCTTGGCTCTGGAGAGTTGGAAAGCTCAAATAGACCTGTCTCCCGCGTCGAGCGGCCGATATCAGTCATGTCGTCCCGCTCACATACTGTCGAATTATACGATGATGGTCAGTTTACTATCACAAGCCATGTATGATTCCTAGCAGCTAATATGAAAGTATCACAGAACATGAATCGCGAACCCGATTGGCCCCATCAAGAGGCCACCAAGATCGCTCGACACCTGGGCCCCCGGAAGCCCCAAGTCGACCCAAGACCCCAGCTGAGACACCCCATACCCAGAAGTCCCTTTCGGAGGAGGATGGCGTTGAGCCCTTGCTAGTTTCTTCGTCTCGAGACGTTGAAGATACCGTACGGGATATGGCCTATTGGTTTGAAGGTAAAGAATCCGAGGATAATTGGATAAAACGTGAAAAAAGCGTTATCCTTCTCCGAAGACTCACTCGTGGTAACGCGCCCCATGAATTCCTACAGTCTTTCCTCCAGGGCATAAAATCCCTTTTGGATGGAATTTTCAAAGTTGTACATTCCTGAGAACTACTCTTTGCAGTGCTGGCTGTCTCCTGATCCAAGATATCGCGCAGATCTGTGGCCCAAAAATCGACGGCATGGTCGAAATAATGATGCAGAACTTGATGAAGCTGTGCGGATCTCTGAAGAAGATTGCAGCACAGAATGGATGTGCTACAGTCGACGCTGTCATTGGAAATGTGACATTCAACATACGTATTCTACAACACGTTCACTGGGCTTCACAAGATAAGAATGTGCAGCTGCGCCTTTCAGCCCCTGGATGGCTGCGAACCTTGATTTATCGACAATCTCACCATAAAAGCACGGTTGAACATGGTGGCGGCTTGGACCTCATCGACAAGTCTCTCAGGAAGGGCCTTGCTGACGCCAACCCCGGTGTGAGAGAGGCAGTACGAAGCACCTTTTGGACTTTCTTCGGCGTATGGCCCGACAGAGCAAACCTGATTTTGTCTGATCTCGACACCAAGTCGCGCAACCTGTTGGAGAAGGACCCGTCGAATCCTAACACGGGCCAGACGGCGCCCGCCTCTGCTAGCAAGAGTGCCAGCGGCCCCGCGGCTGCTCGTTCTGCATTGAAAGAGGCCATTGCCGCTAAGAGGAAGGCTGCCAACATGAATTCCCGCCCCGAGTCTGCCCAGCCAACTTTCAATGATACCAAGGCGCCAGAGCCCTCCAGGTCGACAGCAAGAACGGTTCCTACCGGTGCCCCTCTTTCGTCCTTGTCCTCCGCCCCCATGCGCCCTGCGATGAAACCACGACGAGCTGAAATAAGTCGTCCGGCAACTGCAGATCCGTATGCGTCTCGGCCAAGCTCTAGAGCAGCCCAATCGTCTAGCAAGACGCCTGTTAGCTCTCCAAGATCAGTGAGATCCAAAGCCACCACACCCTCATCCAAAACAATATCTGCTCCCCGTCTCCGGCCTCACGAGGCAGGCCAAACCGGAACAACTAGAGGCAAACCTAAGAAGCTCGATCTTTCCAAATCCAAGTCCCACGGGGACCTCGCAGCTGCGAGTCATGCGCGTAGCAATTCTGAAGATAGTGTCGCAAATCAGAATGCTCTCCACAGCTCACAGGCCGATCTACTGCGTGCCTCGCAAGAACCAGATCAGCCAGCAAATGTTGTACTGGAGAGCCCCCCCCCTTTCAGCATCCCAACCACCCTTCCGCAGTCACCGACCGCCTGGACCTAGTCAACAAGCAGCCCCAGAGCCTGTTGAAGAACCGCAGTCTCTTTCTCTGGAAGAGCCCGTTACTGTGCCTTCGCCGAGCACCCCCAGACTGGACCCCACTGTGCCACACCATTCCGATGTGGAAGCCGAACCGGAATCTCCTCCCAAGATCCAGCCTGACGAAATGGTCATATATGAAGACCCTGACACCCCTGTTGCCGTTGAAGCCGACACCCCTGAGATGGCGCCTGTTGAGCATTTCACGCCACAGAAGTCCCCAGCAAGATCTCCGACGAGGTCTCCTGTGAGAACACCACGCCATGCTCATCACGAGCAGGCTCCGGCCGAGGATATCGTAGCACAGACCCCGGCTGACCTGGCGACGCCGACTAAGAATTCCTCTATTGAACTGAGTCCCCAACAGGGTTCAGCCAAGGATACTGTGGCCAATGAACCCCACTTTCAATCGCCAATTCGGAGAACACCCCTTCGAGGTAGTCCTTCACCTTCAAGGAATCGCTTTCAATCTACATCTCCCGAAAAAGGGATGGGGATAAGCCCTGCTTCAGCACAGGAACCATCAAGGGAACCCATGACAGAGGAAAACCTCACCAACGAGAATGCCACGCCCCAAAACAAAGTTCCCGACTATTCAATAGTACCTTCGTCTGCCGTCAAGCCCGGGGCCCTGGAAGAGGTATCTCCTAATGAGTCAGCAACGAGAAGCGTCGAGCCAAGGCAAAGATCCTTTGAATCTTTGGCCCATTCAACGGGAGAGGAGACGTTACGTCGCAGTCGAAAGTGGGCTGAAAGACATCGAAGCCCAAGTCCTCGATCGAAGGACCCCGCCAATGCGAGAGAGATGCTTCCCAAGGCCCTCAAGCGCATCGGTACAAAGACTATGGATATTTCCGGCTACCGAAAACTGCAAGGGCTTTTCCAATATCATGGCGAAGAGCTCATCTCTCAAGATAAGGATTACTATGAAGTACTTGGGGCCCTTCTGCATGAACTCGAATCTGCGCCAATGAACCGCAAGGACCACGACGTGAAAACTCAGATTCTTGCTACGATCCGCTCTATGCTCATCCGAACCAGCGAGATGTTCCACCAGTATGACATTCCTGCGATGGCCTCCCTCATTCGGGCTCGCCAGCATTACGAATCCAACTCGCACTTTGTCACTTGCCTAGAGGAAGTTGCAGAGCAGTTAGTCACCTTGGTCCCGACTTCGGTCTCTATCAAAGGTGTTCTACAGGGACTGGACCTGGGTGAGGATGTTAACAGCGAGGGAGCTTACCGATCAATCATCTTGGGGCTGTCCACCATGCATCAAGCCCTCGCCCAAGGAAGTGAGGAAATCTCCGACGAAGTCCTCGCCAGTATCGGAGATGTGGTTAGCCAAGAGCTCAACCACTCCCGACCAGGTGTGCGCAAGCAAGCCACTGAGCTGTGTACCCTTCTGAACCTTAAATTCGGACTTGACCGCGTTCAGAAGCTCACTCAGCCGGCAGGGGAGGGATCACTCAACCTGCTCACCTATTTCATGGCCCGCCGGTCTCAGTGAAACCAAACGGGTAGCTTGATATTTTCGGCCCTGATATTGTAAATAGCCTTTTGACCTTCTCCATTTTTTTTTTAATTCTGCTGTACTGTTTTCGAATGTCATTCTGTATCTACAATAGGTCGGTCCTCTCATGTTGAGGGAACCGTACATAATGAAAAGCTTTCATACGTTGCCTCGTGGTTTTGCGTAGGGTTTTGGTGTGCAGCCTGAGGGGCAGCCTTTCGCGATTGACCGAATATTACCTCTTCTGAATCGTCACTTCCACACCCTTCGTGTAGGTAAAAAATGCATTTTTCAGCGACCACCTCTTGTCTGGATTTTGAAGCTCAAACTATGGTCCCGAGGGGGGGTCAGGCCATCAGCATATTTGATCAACGAGAAAATGGGGTTCACCAAATAACATACTTTGAATCTAATAAGCAGTTCAGGAATGACCTTGTACATCTCCAGATACGAGATATTTTTCCCGAGGCAAACTCTAGACCCGCCTCCGAACTGAAAAAAATGAGAATTAGTATCGACGAAAGAAGCTGCAGCCAGTTGAGTTACCCCAGAACTTACAGCAAACAGTGTTCGCTCCATCTCCTTTTTCTTTTCTTCATTTACTTCAATCCATCGCCCCGGTCTCCAGAGAGCGGCATCTGCACCAAAAATATCCTCACTTCTATGCACCACCCAAGCATTCACCCCAAGGACTGTCCCTGATTCGAAATGTCTTCCAGATATCTCCATACCCTGTGGTGGAGAGACCCGTTCCAGAGGAATTCCAATAGCTGGTGTCATTCTCAAGGCTTCCTTGATACACGAGTCAAGGAAGGGAAGCCTATGCGCAGTAGCCCAGGGAATCGGCGACGAAAGATTAGCGCCGTCTAGCTCAGCAAGTAGAGCTTTCATTGACTCGGGATTCTTCATGAGGTGGTAGAGCACTGATGTTAGGGTGATTGCAGTGGAATCGGAACCGGCCTGGACATTCTGTTGACACCAAGATAAAACCCAACTTCAAGACTTTGTATCAGCAAAGTCATGATAAAGAGAGTATGTGGAGGTCCTCACAAGTCAGGAATATTCGGACGGCCATCTTGAATGTCAAGAAACCGAGATAAAAAGTCAGGCCCATGACCTTTGATTTCAGGGTGATCGTGACGCGCTATCTTGCGCTCTTCTATTCTATCAAGGGCGAATTTAAGAACCGGAGATACCTTTCTCTTTGAAAAAATACCTGATAAATAGGTAATGACAAAATTCTTGTGTAACAATCTGTCAAGCCAAGGCATTTGGCCGACCTGTGCCGGTAGTCAATCTCATTATTGAGTCCTTAATTCATCGCTTTCAGCAGAATATTGAAGATGAGGTTATATACTCACAATAGCAACATACCGAAACCTCTTCTCTATGATTTCCAAAATCCCATCGATATCCTCCTCTCTGTCCAAAAATCCCATCCTTCTCCCAAAGGTAAGCTCCATAATAACATCAGTCGCAAACCAATGAAGCCATGTACCCAAGTCAAATACCCTTCCTTCATTCGCTAACCTCTCCAGCTTATCGAAAAATACAGCCTCAGTACTTTCCACGAGTGGCTCATAAATCTTAAGATTCGTCATGGCATATACCTGAGCAATTGGGCGCTTCATCGCCTCGTGGACTGATTCATCTTGAGTAGAGAATATTGTAGGTACGACTTTCCCATGAGCCACATTGCCCATTACGGGGTAGAAGTCGGACTTTGGGTGACGGGTCCGAGTATTATAGAGAATGGGGATGGCGGTTGGACAGCTGACAGAGACATTATTTGGTCCGAGCCGGACGAAGGGTCCGTAGTGATCGTGGAGCTGGATGTGATGTTCGTGCGCGACTCCGGTGCGGATTAGTAGGAGCCGGTAAAGATTAGTGAATTTGGCGAGGAATGGACCTGGGATTTTGCGGAGATCGTGACGGAAGAGTGGGAAGAAAATGGCATGGTATATCATGTAAAAGATGAGAGGGATGCTGCAGGTAATCAAAAGTTGAAGAGGCTCAAGGCCGGTATATTGGTGAGCTTGATCCATTTGGAATGAATACTGTCTTTTAGATAATTGCTCTCTCCGATCTTCTTTTGTGAAGAATGTCTAGTCCAAAGAGTATCAAAGTTGAAAATATCCAACCCCGCTTCAGCCCATTCTCGATGACCCCACTTTCTTGACAGCTGGGGGCGATGAGAATCCTATCACAAATGCATCGGAAAAAGCCACATCATGGTGCAGTGGGGCTCTTAAAGCTTAGCCAAAAGCCTCCCACCGTGAGACTCGTATATCAGAGCGATAGTTGGAAGGCCAAACCTCTGATCTTTGGAAAATATTTTGGAGTTCTGATGTGGATTTCGACGATATTAATTAACACCGTGACGGCATGGCTGCAAGCAATCGGGCGTACTGTACCGTTGAAGAGTAAGTATTGAACAGGGAACAGGGAACTCGGATGACCTCGATGCTATTGCCTCACAAAGCACACAGCATATAGTATGACGATGCAAATTGAACTGTCTACCCGCACCATCTTAAGTCCTAAAGAAATATAGGCACGGTGATGTTTGTTCTGGCTAGTCGGGGATTCATTTGCCAATTTAACCACTGGCATGAGATATCCCTGGAGCAAGCGAACAAGAGTAAATAATACAAATATACTCGTAGATATGATTCAACTGATAAGCCTAGAGCCCTGCGGAGTGAAAGATCAGCAGAATAATTCGGTCCATCTTGTTAACTATGGATTCATTCGAGAGGCAGTGCAAAACGACCCACACTCGACACCCGCGGACTCCGATAATCGGCAGGTAGATCAAGCGTAATTGTTTCTAGAAAAGTCCCCCAAGTCCACACAGCTACGTCTCAGATCACATATTCTACGAATATTCCTTCCTTAGGAGAACTTGCCCACCAGGGGTAAACGCGGTGAGGGCGGGTCATCCGCAGGGACTCCGTTGGTGGCGACGCGGTTGGGCGATCGCGCCTCGTGATGGTGGAGAAGATGAAGGTGCCTGGAGGTGCTTCCTGGAACATACACAAGCCTGCGAAAATAAGACATTTCAACTTGAAATTAAATCCAGCTAAATAACTTGGTTGGGGGCGGAGTTTATCAATCGATCAGATTAGATTTATTCGATCAGATAAATCCCAGATGGCGTGGACGGTGGTTAGGTTTATCCAAGGTTGAGGTGGCTTGGAGAGGATTTCAGTTTCAAAGTGCTTGGCGAGCGGCATTGGCTAAACTTTCTTTTCTCAACCGGAATTTTTTCATTTTTTCCAAGAAACTTTGAAGGAACGGGCCAGCAAATTTGAAACTGCACTGCCATCTACCCTTACGAGTACTTGAAACCTGGCACCGATCTGCCAGTGAGAGCAGATGGCCATGTTCTCGGACCTCACCCCCTCCCACTAGTAGCCTTCCTCTTTGCGTAAGTTGGAGGATCGATGTGCGTTCCTCAATTATTCACGAGGTTATCTGATGTGCTTGGTGGATCCCCTCAAGACCCTGAACATATGCAGGGCCCACGCCATCCGCCACGGTCATTGGGGTACCACACAATACTCTCGGTAAACTCGTCAAGCGGTTGGCCGAGGCCCTTTTTCCCTTTTCCTTTTCTTGGTCGGCGCATTATGCGGGCACAAAACGACTAAGATTGAAGAGGTGCGTGTGTCACTGAGAATAGTAATCGATCATCGTGAGTGGAGTGCCAGTTGATTTCTCTTTTCTCCGCTTGGTCCTTTCCCCTGGGATCATCCTCACAATCCTCTTGATGGGAAACGCCGCCCCGCCGGATCTTTCTGGGTTGTATCCATCTTGCTCCACTTTATCATGTCCCCCTCCAAAATTTGTACAGATGGCGTCAGGGTCTGAGGAGTCTGTGCCGATGCCGTTCGGTGCAGCTTTGCAGTGATTTTTTTTTTTCGGGGCTTCTTGGCTTCTTGGCCTCTTTCTCGCTGTTCCTTCTTAATGTCGAGACAGCCGACATTTTTTTTCCTATCCACCACAGTTCTTGCATGAAATGAACCCTGTGAACTGTACAGAAAGAATTTGGGTGTAACGAGCTGGTACTAGCAACCCGTTTCGGTTCTGCGCCAGTATCCCCGCATCCTAGTTGGAGGGGGTGTTACTAGTCATTTGACACTAAGCCCAGAACTTTCCTTAACGCCATTATGAGCAGTCCAGAAGGAGAAAACTACACAAAAGAAGGCGGCGGGGACAAGTCGGTATGTTTTCCCCCTCTTGGTCAGAAACCAGACGTCTTTGTATGCGAGAATAGGATAGCTGATGAATTCCGTAGGTTAGATATTTGAAAAAATGCGTGCCAACGAAACAAGGTATTGGCAAATTCTTCGCTTATACTCGCCTTCTATTCTCGCTGGACTACACCAAGACCGATGTCCTCCTCATTCTTGCCGGCTTCTTCTTTTCCATTGCTGCCGGAGTTCCCTTTCCACTATTGGGAATTGTCTTCGGCGAATTGATCAATGATCTCAACACGGCCACTTGCTCGCCATACGAGAACGTCGATGCCAATGTAGCAGATGGTGTACAGAAGAAGGTATTATACGTGATTTACATCACAATTGCCAACTTCTGCTTCATTTATATCCATTGCAGTTGCTGGAGCTACATCAGCGAGCGTATCGCAAGGAGATTTCGTCGCCGCTATTTCGAAAGCATCATCAGACAAGAAACGGGCTATATCGAGGGGCTTCCGGCAGGGGACGTCATATCCCGGCTGGTCAGCGATATCGAGGTGGTACAATCAGGAACTTCGGAGAAGGTGGGACTTGTTGTTTCCACAATCTCGTACTTCGTCACATCATACATCGTGGCCTTCATCAAAGTTCCCCAGATTGCTGGAATGTTGGTCTCCGTTGTGCCGTGCTATTTTCTCATGACATATGTCGGTGGATACTATATCAAAAAGTATGCGGGTCGCATCACAGAGCACGTCAATATTGCCACGTCTATTGCTTCATCCAGCCTGTCACATTTAACCCTTGTGCATGCTTTCAACTCCCACGAGCGACTGGAGAGGCTGTATTCCGATCACCTCGCCGGATCAAGAATGGACGCACTTAAAAAGGCAGGAACGCATGCGGCCCAGCTCGGCGTGCTCTACTTCATTGCCTACAGCTCCAATGCCTTAGCCTTCTGGGAAGGCTCCCGCTTGATTGCGGACTCCGTCGAAGCAGGTGGCTCTGGAACATCTGTCGGTGCAGTTTATACAGTGATATTTGTTCTCATTGATGCATCGTTCATTCTCAGTCAAGTCGCCCCATTTGTTCATGTCTTTGCGGCTGCCGCCGGAGCATCTGATAGGCTTCTGACCGTCATCAACCGCGAGTCACTGATTGACGGAACATCCGATTCTGGTGATAAAGAAGCACCGTTTGATTCAGAGGATATCACTTTCCAGAACATCAAGTTTACCTATCCATCTCGTCCGGAGGTTCCTGTTTTACAGGGTGTCAATTTCGCCATTCCTCCTCGAAAGCACACTGCGATAGTCGGCCCTTCTGGTGGAGGGAAATCAACCATCGTTGCCCTGCTCGAACGTTTCTATGACCCCGCGTCTGGAGAAATTTGCATCGGAACGCAGAACTTTCGTGACCTGAATGTGCGTTATCTGAGAGGAAATATTGGCTTCGTCCAACAAGAACCTTGTTTACTTGACCGGTCAATCCTGGAAAATATCGCATATGGCCTGGTCACCTCCGCCTCGGAACCCCATGCCGCTCTTGCTCCCTTTATTATGAATTCCAGCCTAGCGGCACTGGCAGAACTGATGCGTACTGGCCTATCCGAGAAAAAGGCACTCGAGAACTATGGCCCCGAAGTTGCCGAGATTATGAGACTGGTCCGAGAAGCTGCATCTAGCTCAAATGCGCTCACCTTTATCGATGCTCTTCCGCATGGTTTTGCGACCAGCGTAGGAACTTCCGGTAGTCAATTGAGTGGTGGTCAGAAACAGCGTATTGCGCTCGCCCGAGCTCTTGTTCGAGATCCTGCGCTCCTGATCCTTGATGAAGCGACGGCGGCCCTGGATTCGACCAGCGAACGCTTGATCCAGGACGCTTTAGCGAAAGTGGCAGAACGGGTAACTATGGTTTCAATTGCTCATCGTCTATCCACCGCAAAGGACGCACATAAAATTGTGGTTATACAAAAGGGAGTGGTTGTTGAGGAGGGATCTCATGCTGATCTAGTTGCCCATGGTGGCTCCTATGCCGAGATGGTTCGTCTCCAGAACCTTGGAAAGCTCAGCCCTAAAGTATCAGTCAAGTCGGACTTGATCCGTGAAGCGAGAGAAGCAGAAAATCGCGAAAACAACACTGTCGATGCGAAAGAAGCTCTTCTTGAAGCCCGTGGGATCGACATCACGGATGAAACGAAATTTACTGCTGCAGACGAGAAGGGGACTGATAAAATGAGAAATCCGCGAGAGAAAAAGGAGAAAAAGAAGCGGAAACGCTCAGGCTGGTTTACCACAAAATTCACGTTTACCCTGCTTCGCCCTAATCTGCAGTTTGTGCTGCTAGGCCTGGGCATGTCAATTGTCATTGGGGCGAGCTATACGGCGGAAGCTGTCATTTTCGGCCATACAGTCGGTAGCCTAAGCCCCTGCATTGGAGCAGATGGTATTCGACATGGTGGGCACCTCTACGGACTTCTGTTTTTCATCGTGGCACTTGTCGAACTCTCAGCGAACGTGATAGGCGGTTGTGCCTTTGGCTGGGCGGCTGATAAAGTCCTATATCGTATTCGCGTTTTGTCTCTGCGATCTCTCCTGGGCCAGACCATTCCATGGCATGGAATGGAAGACCGCACCCCAGGAACTCTCATGACCTTTATTACGGGGGATGCAACTTCGCTGGGGAATATCACAGGAACGACCATCGGTTTGCTGCTAGCCACAGCCGTAAACCTGGTTGCTGGCCTCGTTGTTTCGTTTATCTTCGCGTGGAAGATTGCCATTGTTCTTGTCCCAACTATTCCGGTCCTGCTGCTAGCTGGCATGATGAAGCTCCGAACACAGGCCAACTTTTCCGAGCGGCACCGGAAGGCGTTTGCACGGGCGACTGCAGTTACAGTGGAGGCCGTCGACAACATTCGAGCCGTATCGGCATTCTCGCTAGAGAAGCAGTCCTATGCTGTGTATGAGCGGGCCATGGAGGCTCCTTACCGGGAGACTCTCCGTTCTATCGCCTTCGGGAACGTTTTTCTCGCCCTAGCCTTCAGCATTAGCAATCTTGTTTATGCGTTGGCATATTGGTGGGGTACGAAACAGATCACGGCTGGTGCCTATACCCAGGTGCAATTTTTCATCGTGCTACCTGCCCTCCTATTCAGTACTCAGTCTTGTGGACAAATGTTTGCCCTCGCCCCAGATATCTCAAAGGCGGGGTTAGCTGCCTCAAACATCGCCGAGTTGCTCACCACTCGGTCAGCTGACGAGGAATTGATGTCTGAAATTTCGGCAAAGTCCATGGCTAACGATGTCTATCTTTTGGATGAAAAGATCCCTGACCCGGAAGCAGCACACGACGAAGAGCGAGCCCCAAGTACACCAGGTGCCCCTCCCGCAATGACTGGCATTGGTGCCGAACTGCAAAATGTGCACTTTGAGTACCCGTCACGACCAGGACAGCCAGTACTTCGTGGTCTGAGCCTCAGAATAAAAGCTGGCCAATTCTGTGCGTTGGTTGGTCCGAGTGGCTCAGGCAAGTCAACAACATTTGCAATGCTAGAGCGATTCTATCGACCGGAATCGGGCGCTGTAGTCATTGATGGCGTGGATGTCACGCGGCAGCTTGGCACAAGATTTCGCGATGATATCGCTCTAGTTCCGCAAGAAAATGTGCTCTTCGAAGGCACTGTCGCCTTCAACATTGGCCTCGGCGCTCGGCCTGGCCACGAGCCTACCCAAGATGAAATCGAAGAGGCATGCCGCATGGCCAACGTCCATGAAGTTATCGAGGCCTTACCGAAAGGCTATCAAACACAATGCACTCACGACGGAAAACAATTTTCTGGTGGACAGCGGCAACGACTTTCGATTGCTCGCGCTCTGGTCCGTAAGCCACGCATGCTGCTGCTGGATGAGTCCACTAGCGCTTTGGACGTGGAGTCCGAAAAACGAATACAAGATGCATTGGCTACACTCGCCGGGCGTACGACAATAATTGCGATTGCCCACAGGCTGAATACTATTCATCGAGCAGATTGTATCTATCTTATTGAAGAAGGTCGCTGTGTTGAGCAGGGGACTCATGATGAACTGGTTCATTGCAGTGAGACGTACAGGACGAGCGTGATTCACCAATCTCTGGAAACCTGATGTCGGTCGCCCATTTAATGAAGATAGAAGATCTATTTCTAAATTAGAGAATGCATATCAATTTTTGCAATATCCCCATGATAAGCGAGCCTTTGCTGAGCGCGAGGCCGCACGCTTCTCAATAGCACGCGAACAGGCAGTAATTTATCATAATAATAGTCTCATATACGTTCACGTATAAGTCCTGATCTATTACTTCAGCGGCCGGGTTTCCTGAAGAGGTAGAATTGGCGAACCTGGCGCTTGAATATCCCTCTTCGGGGCCTCGGCAAACTTACCCCCCGCAATTCGGTCGGTTTTACTCCGAGCGTCCCCGCCACTCACGCAGAGAACTGCGCGACTGGCCAATTTCACGAGCGTGTTGTAACGTTTGTTTCTCCACGCTGCCCCTCTGTGCTCCAGAATCGGCTAATTTACCCCAAGCAAGAGGATCATGACCGTCGGTACAATAGGAAAATGTGTATTAATGCGGATCCGCTCTGAGGACTGCTGACCATGTGCACATCGCCAAGAATCAACCTATAAAGATGGAGGTTGCACTCTGAATCTGGAGCAATCCGAGGACGAAAAGTTGATACTGAGGATATACACCACAATGGCGACAACTCTGACGGGTGGAAACCCGCACATCATACAGCTGCCCACGACGCCGTTGAATTCGCCCTTGGAGCCCCAGGCCATCGCCCAGCAATGGCTCACAGGCCTGCAAGTTCAACTCGCTCATCCCGAAAGCATCAATATTGCACCGCTCTTTCATGAAGAGTCCTGGTGGCGCGATATGCTCGCCCTTGATTGGGACATGCGAACCGTCCACACGGCTACCGAGATCGAAGCCTTCCTCCGCAAGCGCCAGGGTCCCTCCGTGCTGTCCAATTTCCGACTGCAGAATAAAGGTCAATTCAAGCCGGCCTGGAATAAAGTTGTTGATGGTTTGAGTTGGGTGTCAAGCATGTTCTTCTTCGAGACAGCAGTTGGCTCTGGTTCGGGAATGCTTCGTCTGACGCAGTCGACCGAGGGGCGTTGGAAGGCATATGCAATTTATACTTCGCTGCAGGAATTGAAGGGGGCTGAAGAGCCTCTAGGCAAACGTCGACCGGAAGGAACTACAGAGTCTATGCCTGGGGGGGCTGGAGGGTGGAACTTGGATTGAGAGAAGGCAGAGACAACAGGAGTTCCTGGATGAGGATCCGACTGTTTTAGTGATCGGAGCTGGTAAGTCTTGTTCTGTTAACGTTCCGAACTTGAGTGAATGGTTCGAGAAGTCGCTAATACAACATATCCATAGGCCAAGCTGGTCTGAACATGGGAGCACGTTTGCAAAACCTCGGTCTTTCCTGTCTACTTGTCGATAAACATGAGCGTATTGGCGATAATTGGCGCAAGCGTTATCGTGTGAGTTTCCCTATATGTCCTTTTTTAGTGGTGTGATTGAAAGATGGACTGAGGTTTAACTTTTTACTAGACTTTGGTCACACACGACCCTGCAGAATTCACCCACATGGCCTACCTTCCCTTCCCTCAAAATTGGCCCCAGTTCACCCCGAAAGATAAATTGGGCGATTGGTTCGAAGCCTACGCGAAAATCATGGAATTGAACGTTTGGACGCAAACCTCCGTCGCCTCTGCTGAGTACAACGACTCGAAAGGCGATTGGAACGTCACCGTGACTCGCGGTGATGGATCTCAGCGTGTCTTACACCCTCGTCATGTCGTCTGGTGTACTGGACATTCAGGGGAACCCCGTGTCCCCAAATTCCCTGGCCAAGACAGCTTCCAGGGTACCGTATATCATGGCAGCCAACACCGCGATGCAGCTGAGTTGAATGTCCGCGGGAAGAAGGTGGTGGTCGTGGGAACTGGTAATAGCGGTCATGACATAGCCCAGAACTACCACGAAAATGGTGCAGACGTGACCATGTTGCAGCGCAGTGGTACATATGTCATTACTGCCGAGAAGGGTGTTTTTATGATGCATGAGGGATTGCATGAAGATGGCGGGTAAGTTTCCGAGGAATTCTATTTGCAGGATAAACCCTTTCTCTGACCACTGAAATTTCTAGCCCCCCCAACTGAGCAATGTGACATTGTCTCTGAGAGTCTCCCATTCCCAGTTCAGTTTGCTTTGAGCGTTCATGGGACAAAGCGCTTTGCAGAAGCCGAGAAGGATACTCTAGATGGACTACGCCGTGCGGGCTTCCAACTGGACTTCGGCCCCGATGGAGCTGGTATTGCACGTGCTTACTATACCGCTGGTGGTGGCTACTATATAGATGTGGGATGCAGCCAGCTGATCAGCGACGGTAAGATCAAGGTGAAGCATAGCCCGCGTGGTATCGATGGATTCGGCGCCCATGAGCTGAAACTCGCTGATGGGAGTGCACTCCCCACCGACGTTGTTGTATTGGCCACCGGCTACGATAATATGAGAACCACTGTGCGGAAGGTCCTAGGCGACAAGGTTGCAGATCGTTGCTCTGACGTGTGGGACTTGGACGGGGAAGGAGAACTTCGTGCGGTAAGATAATCTAGCAGCAGCCTATCCTTTCTGCAAAGATGCTAACTTATTCCAAGATGTGGCGTCCAAGTGGTCATCCTGGCTTCTGGTATTTCGGAGGAAATCTAGCTCTTTGCCGGATCTATTCCAAATTCCTGGCCCTTCAGATTAAGGCAGTTGAGACTGGCCTCTCAAATGGCACTCGACACGAGGAGAGAGCGAGCAAAATCTAAATAGACGAAGAATAGAAGGAATGAACAACATACATAAATTTCGAGATTTTCTAATTACTGATCATTGAAATATTTGCCGTATTTTTGACAATCTGCAAAGTTCTTGTGGTTCTCGCATATTTTCCCATAGTCGTCCGGTCGGGGATAAGCGGAGATTGCGGCGGAACACCCTGATTGGTCGGTGATGGGGTGCACCAAAATGTACTCGTCCGCCGCAAACACCGGATTTCGTTAGACATAAATATACGCCATAGATCCTTGATAATAAGTATTTTCAGTCAGATCGAATCCGCTCAAATATTTATATTGTCAATTATTCACTATCGAAGAATCATGAGCGTACTCAAAATTTTGCCTGCACGACCCCTAGGCCGAAATGGTCCATTGGTTCCACGCTTGGGACTGGGCCTGATGGGGTTGAGTGGCCAATATGGATACTCCGCGCCAGAAGCAGAACGACTACACTTCTTGGATGAGGCTTATAAAAGAGGCCAGTGGTTTTGGGATACCGGTTAGTATTTCGCCCAGTTTCGTGAATCCAATTCGGACCCTGATATCCAAAAGCCGACAAGTACGGCGATTCCGAGGACATTATAGGGAAATGGTTCGAAAAGAACCCTGAAAAGCGCGAAGATATTTTTCTGGCTACCAAGTTCGGTATCAAGTATACAGACACAGCACCGGGCTTCACTATTGACTCGAGTCCCGCATATTGCCGCACTTCCATCGAATCCTCTCTCAAACGACTTGGTCTCCCATTCGTGGATCTATACTATGTCCACCGCCTCGACAAAGTCACCCCCATCGAGAAGACAATGGAGGTGATGCTGGCCCTCAAGACCGCGGGTAAGATCAAGAACATCGGATTGAGCGAGTGCAGTGCCGAGTCTCTTCGCCGCGCACACGCAATCCATCCGATTACCTGCGTGCAGATCGAGTATAGCCTATTCTGTACGGAGATTGAATCGCCGCATCGGAAGCTGCTTGAGACAGCTCGGGAGCTCGGGGTCGCGGTTGTTGCCTACAGCCCTCTTGCAAATGGCATCCTCGCAGGAAGCATTCACAAAGTTGCGGAAAGCCCTGGAGATAAGCGAAGAGTTTTACCATGGTTGCAAGAGGGGAACATTGAGAAAAATGTGGCAATAGTCGAGCAGATTGCTGAGGTTGCGAACGCAAAGAATGCGACTTTGCCTCAACTAGCGCTTGCCTGGTTGCTTGCGCAAGGTGATGATATTTTCCCTATCCCCGGATCCTCGAAAATTGATCGACTCGAATCCAATTTGGAAAGTCTCTCTATTTCCTTGTCAAAAGAGGAGGAAACTCACATACGGCAATTAGCGCAAGGTGTTGCCGGAGGCCGATTTCAGAATCTGACTGGATATGCATTTGGAGACACACCGGCCCTTGAGGAATAGACATTAATGGAGATCGTTCATGGGTTTTCATGATGTATCCAATAGATTAGATTCCTTTGCCTGTTTTCATTCCTCTTCCGTGTATGGGGTTGCTTGGATCCACGTTTCAAGCCATGAACGTGCTTCTTCTTCTTCTTCTTCTTCTTCTCTTGTTTGGTTTCGCGTAGATAGCTGAGTTGCGTTCTTCGTGTGGCGAAGGCCTGGATGAGGCTTTTGTATCGTGGCTCCTAAGTCCACGCTATGAATTTCAGCTCCTGAGGTAGGGATGACCTTCGACATGAGATATGAATCTTCCCAAAGTATGGTATCGATAGTGAAAGACTGTCTTCTGTGAGGCTTTCCTGGCTATCGTCACTGGCCTCGATTCTTTCATCACACCATGCATGGTACGTGGAGCCTTCTGCGGCAGCATCTTCGAGAGCCATGAGATTTCTCAGGATCTGAATAAGAACCAAGCCCCTTGGATCATTATTTGCCATTGAAACTTTCTCCATCATGTCGATAGATTCGCTAATGAGCCCAAGATCACGATTTCTCTGGTGATCAAGAACATTGGCACTCCCGTGTCTATGACCATCCAAATGCGCAAATAGAAGAGCTATGGCGCATGTATACATCTTATCGTCCGTTGGACGATATGTCGGCGACTGATGTAGTTCCCGAATGGCAAGGTACCGTAAAAGTCCCTCATGGCTAGCAGATGCGGTAGCGTGTTTGCTGTAGGTAAAGTCCACTGCATTGTGTTCAACGGAATCCGAATCGTGCGTGCATGTGAGTAGCCGGATGAGATATGGTTGATGTAGAAGTATAATCAGATAATGCTGGTGCAGTTGTACCAGAAGCTTTGCCGTCTTTTCAACCGAGTTATTTTTCGAATTTGTGTTTGTTTGAGAGGATGTTAGCCACCAGGTTGGTGGGAGGAGCTTGGCAGATTTCTTCAATTGCTCGTCAATGTCCTTAGTCTCGCTATAATGATTATAGCGTATATTGCAACCATTGAGCTCCTCCCGAGGACTTTTATCTTGTTGTATTTGAACATTCCGAGTAACGATGCGCCCAGCAATGGCCACGTGGAGACACTCCAGCTTTTGCGACGATGTGCTATTCTGGAGCTGGGTTTCCCATGATAAGCTTTCCTCGGTGATTGTGAATGGAATTCCTAGCATCAATGCCATAAATCGGTCGCTATAAACCAATCGAAACCATATTTGTTCAGCGCGCTCGTCCCCCATCTCGGCCAGATGTTGGATACCTATTCCGCGAGCAATATTTATCGCACGGCACTGAACTGTCCAGGCCATGCGGGTGTCGCCAAGTGTGATATAGTAACAAGATTCTAGAATTAGAGTTTCTACCCCGTCGAGAGAACTGACCAGAAAGTCCTGGGACAAGACGAAGCGAGATGCAATTTCCTGGTATTTCCAAGAAGCTTTGCTTATCGAGTTATTCAAATGACATTCTAGCTGCTTTGAAGATGAGGCATCAAATTGTTTGAGGCAAAGAGCAAGCTGGATGAGTCTTCGGGCGAGCACCAAGGGGTGAGCTGTGAACTGCAAACCGACGCGTGGTTCGCCATCTACAAAGGTGGAATTTGTACCTTTTCGTGCTTGAGAGTTTTGCAGAGGTGAAGAAAATAAAGTACTGCTGCTCAGAATCACAATAGAAGTGGCAGGATGGGGTAGGATGGAGAAAAGATAGGCACTGAGAGTGCGATCGCGCGACAATCTTTCATGGCAAATCGATTGTAAAGTCGGAGGAGCCATGAAGCTTTCTGTATCCTCAGCCGCCGTTCGACCCGACGAGGTATCGGATTGCTGTTTCCGAGCATGCCTCGCTTCTCTTTGCTGGACGAGCTTGTTGACCAAGGCTTCAACATGATCAACGCGTTGTCCAATCTCTCGGCAATCATTCAGAGGAGCTTCTGTGAGCTCTTGACTGACACATGAAACACCATGTCGCTGACAAGAGAGACAAATCGTGGAGTTCAAATCGCGTTCGCAACGTCGTTTGCGACGCTTGCATTCCCAACAACTGAACGTGCCTTTACGGACTTTTCGCCGTTTTATCGAGTTTGTGTCGGGGTTTGAGCATGATTCGACTGGCCCCTCAATTCGAGAGGATCCAATTTCCATTGTTCCATATCATCATTTTCTCTCAGAACTGATGATGGGAGATTGATGAGAGATGAGAGAAAAGAGAGAAATCAGGCTGTCAAGAGTAAGACAGAACCACGTGACCGGGGACAGATTGTAGTCAAACAGCTGGAAATTTTTGCTGTTCCGTTCCATTTCCGGTCGCTCAACATATTAAGATGGCAGACAGAATCAATGGACTGAAATGCGCTTAATTACACCTTTTTTGCAACCCGTGGGAGTGGGCGGTGCGTCATCAATCCCAATTAGTTATGCCGACCAAGGGGGCTGAGCCAAGGGAGCCCAATGGTGAGAGCCAGTGATAAAGATGTCAGTGGGGTATTTTTGGCCCCCAGTTTGATCTCGCATCTCACCTCATGAAAGGTATTATTAATAGGTGTTCCCCGCAACTTTTGGCTGCCGATCGCTCATGTCGCAAAGCCCACGTAACTGCAGCTATGGAGTACCCACTCTTTCTTTTGTTTAAGACTTTGGTTATCATTTTCGTTATCTACAAGCTTGGATGGTTCGCTAAGAACTATTATCATGCTCGCCGCTCTGGGCTTCCGGTACATGTTGTGCCTGTTTTCACAAAGAGTACTTTGTGGCTGGTACTTGCACCGATGCTACAGCCTCATCTGGAAAAATACCTTCCGAGCTGGATATACGATCAGATAGATGTAGCCATTCATGGATGGGAGTTCCGCCGGAAGAGATGGTATCATGATCGTCTTGGGGCAATTTTCGCCGTTGCAACCCCGGATGAATTCACGATATGGTAAATCTTAACCCAAACTACTTAATTCCCGCGAACCTCAGGCTCGAAAATTCGACTACATTGGGTTGACTCCAATTCTTAAAAATAGGTGCGCAGATCCAGCCATCGGCACCACAATTTTGCAAAATAGGAACGAATTTCAGCAAGCACCTATTGTGAGTAGCATCTTGGGATTCCTGGGGTCCAATGTCTTCATGGTGAGTCTTCCCTTGACCTGCGTTCTTGACCTCAGTTCCAGTTATTGACAAGATTTGGCGCATAGACAAATGGCGATGAATGGTAAGTTTTCATGGCAAGCACCTTCTTGGACACGAATTCATTCTGAAAACCACGAACTACAATTCAGGAAGCGACATCGCAGAATGTTCAATAAAAACCTGGACGAGCGAATTAGTAGAGTGGTATGGACTGAAACACTCCAGCAAGCACAAGCCATGATCAACTATCTCGTGGAACACCCAGGCAATGAAACCCTAGAGGGCCTCCGCAGTATAGCGATCAACGTTATCGGAAAAGCCGGATACAACTGGCAACAACCTTGGTCGCCGAATGAGTTAGGCATTCCTCCAAAAAGCGCAACCGGGAAAGAAGCCTATTTTGGAATGCTAGGTCTAGTGACAACTATGATTCTGGAAGCAGCGCTGCTTCCTCGGAAAGTTATGCAGCTCCCCTTTATGCCGTTCGCGTTACAGAGCATGGGGTATCATCTGGAACGGGCTCCTGGGTATATTCAGGAAATCCTTCGAAACGAAAGAGAGTCGGATTCCAGCAAGACACACTCCGAATCTAATTTTCTAAGCTTAATGCTTCAATTTTCGGAAGAAGAGAACAATGACCATGAGACAAAGTCTTCGCTGACACAAGACGAAATCAGTGGAAACCTTTTCGTCTTCACTTCCGCTGGATTTGAAACTACTGCCAATACCATGGGATTTGCAGTAATACTCCTAGCCCTTTATCCTGATTGGCAAGACTGGGTTCAATACGAAATTCACAGTTTAGACATATCAGGATCTGATTGGACTTACGAAAATACCTTCACAAAATGCAAGCGTACACTAGCTTTGATGGTATGGTACTCCTTGCTTTTCTTGAATCGATCCGATTGCAAAGATATTGACGGCAGTGACGATAGTTCGAAACCTTGCGGCTGTATACCCCAGTGGGACACACCACCCGTGCCATCTTCAGCCCCACATCGCTTTCTGGGACCGATGGTCAGATCTATAGCCTCACACCACCCTTGGATGTTTACGTTGAGCAGTCCATAATTCACTTGGATCCGGCAATTTGGGGCAATGATGCCATGGATTTCCGACCTTCTCGATGGATTGATGACTCGGGAGATCTCATCACGCCTGACAAAGGTACTTTTCTACCTTGGTCGGGAGGGCCACGGGTATGTCCGGGTGTGAGATTCTCACAAGTGGAGTTTGTCGCGACTATGGCAACCCTATTCCGAAATTCTCGCTGCGCGCCGCTCACTGTCCCCGGGGACAGATCCGAAGACCCCGAGCTTAGATTAAAGATGGCGATAGCAAACACCGTGACCAAGTTGACATTATCGGTCAAGGATCCGAAAGAAGTTCAACTAAAATGGACGACATGCGGCAAGGCTGTTTGAAATTATGAATTTACTGCATATTGTTTATTAAGGACGTGAATATGATGCAAGAATCTCTTGTTCGTAAAGTGACTATGCAATCGGTCCGTCAAAGGCTATTCCTGAGGGTCGGTCAAGGAAAAGAAAACCGAGTTGAGGAAAATTCACCATTCGCGAAATTCTGCACTAGAGTCAAATATTTAATCAATCGCTAAGCTCCACGGGCGATAAATTACACGGAAAGAGTTGCGCTTATTTCACTCTTGTAGAGTCCTGACTTGATGTCTTCCAGAAGGGTCGATCCGGAAGGCTTCCATCCGAGTGTTTCCTGGGTTTTCTTGCTAGAAGTAGGATTATCCACACCAGCAAGGGGTGCCATAAAGCCTTTGAAGTATGCTGGAGCCTCTTCGGGTGTCTTCGACACTACTGGGAGATCCAAGCTTTGACCTAGAGCTTCCGCAATATCCTTGAATGGGATACCCTCTTCCGCAGTCGCATGATACCGCGCCCCTGCAACACCCTTCTCAACAGCTAGGCGATATAGACGTGCCGCATCAAGGCGATGAACAGCTGGCCAACGGTTGAGCCCATTGCCAATATAGGCAGACTCGCCATTTTCACGCGCAATCTGGGAAAGCATATGGATAAACGCGAAATCCCCAGAGCCGTGCACAGTTGGCGAAAGCCGGACGACCGAGGCGCGTACACCCTGAGCTGCAAGAATATCCACCTCCTTCTCACTTTTAGCACGCACGTTAAAAGGATCATCGTAATCAATTACCGAATCCTCCACACCCGATTTGCCCTTCGGCAAGACTAAGGTACCCATGGTGATAACGAAAGGTTTGTTGGTTCCGACCAGAGAAGCGCCGATGGCCTGAACCGCTGCATACTCGGCGTTGGTATTTTCTTCATATTTGGTAAAGTCATGATTGAAGGCCAGATTGATGACTCCATCAGCTTCTCTTGCCCCACGCTTGAGACTTTCGATGTCTTCGAGAGATCCGCGGATTACATCGGCACCCTTCGCCTGCAGCGCGGTAGCCGATTTCTCGGAGCGAGCGAGTCCAATGACTCCATGGCCTGCGTCAAGGAGCTCCTGAACAACTGCTTGGCCAATAAAGCCCGTAGCACCGGTAACAAAAACTCGCATTGTAGTGGTAGATCAAGTACGGAATTCAGAAGATTTTGTAGATGATGAAAATTGTTGAAAAGTAAGTTGTTCTTGATATGCATTACCGGACACTGGGTCTCTGGGGTCTTTTATACGTCGGGCGATGCCTCAATTCCTCTGAATCAGAAACCCCGACGGAAATAAGATTGATAATTCCATGCTTTGATTCTCACTGTCAACTGCGAGTTACTAACTGCCATTTTGATAACTCCGACGGATTTCCTAAATTAGATTAGTCCGATATAGAATACGAAAGGTGGTTAGCGCGACCCACTTTACGCAACCATTAACCAGTGGGCTTTGGACAAGCCCACAGGTCAGCACAATCGAGGCCCTTGCCACCAACTTCATCTCTCTCTTCATTTACCCTTCTTGCGTCCTGATCCAAACCGACCCATTTCAATACGGTATGAGCTGATATGCCTTCATTATCGGCCCCGCTTGAGGACGACGATCGAAAACGTCGGAAGCATACGAAGTCTCGCCGTGGATGCCGGAACTGCAAGCTGCGCCGTGTCAAGGTACGTTCTTAATCACCACCACAACTCCAAAATTGAATCTAAACATAGAAAATTGCAAGTGTGACGAATCCAAACCACACTGCATGAAATGCGTGAAATATGGGGTAGCATGTAATTATACTCTACCTACGGGCTCTGACCTTCAGTTGGCCAAGGAGCATAAGCTCGAAAGCTCTCCTGGTCAAATATCCTTCGGCGTTCAACCGTTGAAACATTCTTTACAATCCTTTGCAGTTGTGGGGGCTGGACCCGACTCATTCGTATTAGAAGTTGACGGATTGGCACGTCTGAGTCGATTCCAAAACCATACAGTATACACATTTGCTACGCTCCGTTCAACCGAGCTCTATAAAAATGAAGTCGTCAGAATGGCCATGGAGGTAAGTCACCTGATTCATAGTTGCAGAAATATAGACACGATATTAATAATACTGAAAATTCCGAAGCATCCATTCTTGATGCACGTCATTCAGGTTATCACTGCAACACATGACCGATTATTAGCTAGCCCAAAGAACGCAAAGCGATCTTTGATTGAGGCCTATCACTGGTCGCGAGGAGCTGCGTTACTGAATAAAAAGATTGCATCTCCAATACGACCCCAGGATCGCGACGCTCTCTGGGCTTCTGCCGCTATGCTGGGCATTGCCAACGTTACTTCTCTTGAGGCATCTACACCGACAGAAGCATGGCCAATGAAGCTATATGATTCGTCCGATCTGACATGGCTTCATTTGACTCGGGGTAAAATGGCTCTCTGGGAAGCCACGGATCCTTTACGACCCGATAGCATCTTTCATTTCATGAAAGACGAATACGTTACAATATCAACCGAACCTTCTCTCTTAGAGGCCCAAACCATGCTACCCGAATTCGTTGGGCTTTGTCGTCTAGATGAGCCACTGGCTTGCGACCGCAATCCCTACTATTCAGCTGTCTCCATTCTGTCACAAGTGCTACCAATTAAGTGTACACGGGCAACCATGAAGAATTATCTTCTATTCCTCAACTTCATGAAAGTCCCCTTTAGAGATTTGTTGCATCAAAAAGATCCACGCGCCCTCCTTGTAATGGCCTACTGGTATGGGGCTATGTGGAACTCCTTATGGTGGATCGAGAGACGTGCTCGGTTGGAATGTCAGGCAATTTGCTTGTATCTTGAAAGATGCCATGGAAATGAGCGAAATATCCAGAAGATGCTTTTGCTACCTCGGATACAATGTGGACTCGCATGATAGAGACATACAGAACATCAATTTGGGGTAGTTATATAGCCACATGGTGTCGGGTCTAAAGAAAATAAAAATATTTTAATAATCGAATAGTTTACCCAGAAGGGCTTCAAAATTTAAATAGAATATTTCTTCCGGTGGTAAATACTCTGGTGCCTTTTTTTATTTTCATCAGCAACGACTGCTCGGTGGAACGCACATGAACATGGTCGGTCTCACAAAGCCAAAGCCAGAGGAAGCATAACCCTTTCAAGGCTACTTGTATAAAAGAGAAAGTGGAGCCAAGAGAACAGATGACAAGAAATAATACTTCACGATAGCATTCATTGAGAGATCTGTAGACCGCCTAAATGAAGGACGGAAGGGTCGTAGAAAAGTAAAGGTCGGACAGCTCCGGTTGCATCGTTTGTATCTAGGATTGAGGTCGCAAATCCAATGATTAGCGATGCCGAGTGATGTAAGAGGATACCAGTGCTCCAATGCAAGCAATGCAGGCAAGAAACATGAATGCAGCATCTGCAGTGGCGCGCGTACAGCGCTTCTTAACTACGCCGCCATCACGACACCACTTAGCACCGTCGTCGTCGTAATAACAACCTCCACTGATCAACAGATTATCCCAAGTACTTCCACCAACTTTGTCATCGTCGCAATTAGTGCCACGAAGGGCCACAGCGTAAGCCTAAAGCATCAAAAGTAAGCTTCCGTCTCCGAATGTCTTGGTATCTCTTTTTCGAAAGCGCACGAGTAAAGGGCGTAACATACGATACCAGCAGCCAAGAGAGCAATTGCGGTGACCCCATCAAGAACCCACGAAACGATTCCCTTTAGACGATCAATGAACATCGAGGCAAACCCAACCGTGGCTGCGATTATTCCCAGGGCACCTGCGAAGGCGGCATAGTTGGTTTGAGATGGGACCTTGCCATAATATTGTTGTCGAGCAATTAAAATTGAAAGCGCTAGTACAATGATTGAAAATATGGCCTAGGCTTATGATCAGCTTTGGAATGAGAGCTTAGGAGTAGGAATATCCCACCTGGAAAAGCCGGACAATGCTGTTGATGATCTGCATCCTGGGTTGTTTATGGTTGGAAGTTGAGTATCAGTGGATTTGTGGTCGAAGGGAGAGTTGAGATTAAGGCGGGAGAAATGGCTACTATTTAACTTCTTGACCTTTAAGAGGATTAAGATGGGGTCTCAAGCTTGTCAAATAAAAGCCTCTTTTGAGCCCCGCTTATTGCTGCAAAGGCGCCGGAGCCTCCTGCTTGGCGCTAAATTGGGGCCAAAAAGGGTGGAGCGGACCACTCAGGGCACAAAATCAACTAGAGGACCAATGATATTCCCTAGCAATCTTTCAACCGCCCCATTCAGCGGCTGTCCTAGAGTTGAAACTGACTAGGGCTCTATTTTTAGTCTATCTGCCCAACGCCTGACTGCTGAATGAGGGATCTGCAAGAACGCGGGCGGCTAACAAGGCAACCAGCTAGTTTTTAACGAGTCGAGTGTTCGGTAGCATGATCTGGATACGAGAAACCAGGGTCTCAAGTGAAGCTGAAGTCATTAGTTTGCTCAAAAGCACTCTGTCAGTTTGAAACATTTTGGCAGAAATCACAAACTAGAGTCATAGGGTATTGTACAAGAAAAATTGTGCAGAGCATTGAGACCTCTATGGCAAGCTGCCTCTATACCCTGAAGCTATAAGGAAAGTTTGAGTAATTCTTTTGCCAGATTTTCCATGTCAGTGCCTTAAGTTATTTGGTTCTTGGCCGGTTCTAACCATACCCACCGGATAATATTCGGCAACTTCTGGCGCTCCCCTTCCATTCTAGTGCTCAGTGACATCTTACGCATTTTTATATAAAGTTTTTTACCATTAATATAGACCTAATGGATCATAGCAGTAAGCGTAAATCCAAGTGATGCTCATATATTCAGCCTTTCAGTGGTTAAATATAGAGACTGAGAATACTACCACCTTCTCAAAGCCGGAATGAAAGTCTAATATCGCGTAAAGTATTGACCCCATGACTGCTGAAGCAAACTTGGACATAACTCTATATTCTTGATTTGAACACTTATAGAAATCTATGAATCAACAAAAGGTTATTCAAGTATTTAGCACTTCCGTTTCCACAAATACTAGTACTAGTAGTTTCAAATCACAAGAGCGCAACACATTTCATCTCAACATCAGTATATTCAGGGATTGACTTGACCGCAACGCAACTATTCATCCACGCAAACTGTTATTGGAATTCTGTTCTGTATCAGGGCGGAGGTTTGCTTACGTTCGGACGGGCTTTATCTCGCTAAACCACTGCAAATACGTCTCGTTCATCTTCTCAAATCCTCCATGTCGGCCAGAAAAACATTAACCTCAACCATCTTCTCGAGACTGGAACCGGCTGATTCAAGTACAGGTTTCAGGTTTCTGATGCATTGATTCTAAAACAGACAGGATTAGAACAAACTAAATGCACGAGACTCAGACTCGACAAGATAACGCACGATCCTGCACGGTTCCGGAGACAATCTTGCCAGTAGAGCCCTTCGGAAGTTGGCCAGAACAGAAGACAAAGCCATTGGCGACAACTGCTTGGTTATAGAATGGCCGAGGAGGAGGGGCTTCCTCTGTATTGACTGCTTGTCGGCTAAAAGACATGCTGGCTATGTTCACTTGGATAATGGCAAGTTCTTTTTCTTTTCTGAAGTCGTTTGTTGTTGGTCTCTGAATCCTCTTAATTAATATTTGAAGTCGCATGCTTGGAGTAACTACAGGGCGATATATGCCACAGTTCACCGCTGAAAAAAACTACTCCAATGAAGCCGTCTGGGGTGGATTGGGCTTCCTGGAACTCCAGGTTGTGTTTCCATACCCGAATCCAACGAAGAGCCGGCAGATAGGAACCCAAATTATTGGAGAACCTTGGAAATTGATCCACATCCACACCCTGGGCACCCATTAGAAGCCGCGGGCTATTGTTTTTTGTCGAGTTTGGAGCCTAGTGCTTTTCGTTTCTAGATTCCTCGCTCGCTCTCTCCAGTTGCAGTTTAGTTCCACACGCTTTGCCTCTTCGTTCTCACGCACTCGATATGGAATGTGGAGCGGCCAATCCTTATGCGTTGTCGAGGAGGCTATCTACACAATGTAAACCGATTCCATCATTCACTTGACGAAGAAATACCACACTTCGTGGCTCAGAATGAATTTTAGCTCGTTCTCCTTTCAACTCAGCCAAGGCTCGCTTTGTCTATCTCCGAATATCTCGAGCATGCTTCGCTCAATTAATGCACGGAGAGCGATACTCACGTCGATTTTGTGCGAATCATATCGTCTCAATAACATCGCTTTTCTACAGTTGGGGCCTAGTGGTATAAACAATTCAGAGCTCACTGTTGACGAGTGTCTTGCATTTTTGCAAGCTGAATCCAAGAGGCTAGATGAGTGGCACTCCACACTTCTGCAGTCGGAACTCCCCAGCGAATCATTCTCGGGATTTGTGGACTATGAAAAAGAAGAGATTCATCCACTTGTGTTCAAATCCCATTTCTTTACAATGAACTACGCCTACTATGTTTGTTCTCGAATCATGCAATGTACTGCGCTGTTTCGGGAACTACAGTCTACGCGCGATCAATCATTTGGCACTGGCAGGAAAGAGGTTAATTACTGGATGACTATCCTGGTTCGTATTGCATCTGGACTTGATAAGCAGGATTGCTTCAGGAACAATGTTTACTCGGTCGGAGTTTCAAGTTTCCTTACTGCCTGTCTTCTTCGATGTCACAATATAACGATCGGGAGATGGATCGAGAACTTGCTGTATGAATGGACGACATCACACATCCTAGAAGAGGGAAGCTTTCCAATTTCCCAGGCCCTGCAGGCTGTTCGACTGATCAATGAGGAGAAGCGGACCGATAATGACATTTACGCAATTGCGTTGCCCGAAGATGATGGTGGTGGCACCGGAAAGTACATGTCGTATCATAGCCAGCATTTTGACAAAATTGTGATCATAGGGAGAAGAGGGAGGTCAGGGCGCTTATATTCTGGATTGGTTGCAATCAATATCGATGGTTAAATACTCAGGGATCATGGAGCACCCAGAGTTATTTAGCTAAACGAATCTCATACTTCCGGCATCCAAATTAGGTTAGCGCGGTTCTCCAACATATCGTGGACACACGTGACCGGTCTAGACTGCCGTTCCCCGCAAACGCGACCGGAAGCTGCTAATTAACACGCACTGCATAACTCCAAGCATCGTGGTTAATTCGGCTCAAGACTAATTTATCGAGGGCATCTCTCTTTGGTCCGGTTTCTGGAAGACTATGAATCGATTGGATCTCAGCCATGAGTGAAAGAGGCTCGGAGATTGTCTTCCGGGCGGAGAACATTCCGGTCCGGTTCTTCAAAGCATGCCGGTGGTGTCGTCGGCAGAAGATGCGCTGCGATGCACGAAATCAAGTCCCTTGCTTCCGCTGTCGCTCAACTGGCCGTGACTGTATTCTTGATCCCATTGAAGACACCAGGAGACGCAGTGACCGTCGACGAAAAACAACCACCCCGGGACGGTCAGGCCATCTATATTCATATTTCATAATCCCGAATGCTGATTTATTTAGATTTAGTAACGCGGCAGTAGCTTCGCCTTTGGATCATCGAAGCGGCTTTCATACACCTGCATCAAGAGAACGCGAGTATTCTCCAGCTGCTGGGCATGATGCTTCCTTCGATACTTCTATCGACTTGCTGCCAGAGGCATCATCCTTCAGAGAACCTAGACGATCTCAAACTGCTGATCATCATGGACCGGAATCGCAGCAACTAAGTCCAAATGATATGGTCGCCCCAGCTTCGGCAGTTCATTCGATGTCTGTGAATCTACTCGGCTCCGATGATGTGAGTCGTAATTACGTTGATCCGTTGATCCAAGGTGGACTTGGCTAACAGATACTTCAGATATTTATGGAAAATTCTTCTGGAGGGGATCCCCGGGGAGACATCATTGCTCGCGATATTATCACGGAAGAACGTGCTCGGGTGATGTACGAACGGTATGCAACCCGACCCCTCGAGGAGACACTCACATTCAACCCGGAATCAATCTCTTAATCTTGTCATGCAGATTTACCGGCGGCATGAAGAATTTCTTGGGTTTGTTTGATCCGATCCGAGACACATTTGATTCAATACGATCACGCTCCCTGTTTTGCTTCACCGTGATCATTTACTTGGCCAGCCGTGCCGTCGTGGATCTCCGAAGCGACACACATATGCAACGGGTCTTACAAGACGAGGCTCAAAGGTTGGCCGAAGATAGCTTCTTTGAGCGCCCTACAAAGCTTGAAACAGTGCAAGGAATGATTCTGCTGGCTGCATACTCAGAGAAGACATGGTTCTCCACCGCCCTCATCTTGAGAACTGCATTAGACTCTGGGCTCGAAAAGTCGCTCGACAGACTACTGTCCCAAGAGGACATCCCAAGAAGCTCGCTGTCGGCCTCCATGGCAGATCGTCAACTAGTGTGGCAAACACGAACATGGCTCATCAGTTTCACTCTAGAACTAGATGTGGCTTCTGGAACAGGCCGAAAGTCGCGTATCGGCGAGGTTGATATCATGAAATTACGAAGGTTTTTGGACTATCCACTTTCTCTTCCATCTGACATGCGAACAGTGTGCATAGTTGAACTCCATCAACTTCGAGGTAAGAAGATATTTACTGTTTCTTATTCCATATCGCAAGGTGAACATTGGACTAACCCAGTCTAAGGGAGCTCGCGTATGGTGATCGAAAGCTGCGGAGAAATCCGTGATATTGTGTCAACAGAGCTACCGGCGATTATGGCGAGATTACAAAGCTGGTGGACCACGTGGGATGAAATTCACATGAGTGAGAACTTCCACCTCTCATACAGCAACCCCACAGCTGCTGACTACTTTGAAAGACAATGGATTCCACGCGGGAGCTTTTCAACGTAGTAGCTTAAAGCTTATGCTTTTATATGCTAGAATCTTTGTCTTGTGTGCTTCACTCGCCCGCATTCAAAAACTACAGCCTACTTCGTCCAATTCCGATACTGAGACCATCGATCAGGACGTCCTCAACTTGTGGCAATCACTCATTGCCACGATTATGGACCAGATGGCATTTCTAATCAATGAGCCAGCTTACCGTTGTCAACTGTCTTGGGCGCCGACCTACCCGGCCCTAACAATTGCCTTTGTCAGTAAGTGTGACATTTTGACCCAGACTTGCTTGCATTGGGCAGACGTGCTTATCTACAAATAGCGACTTTTGCGCTTCGCATTGCACGCTGGCGCCCAAACATGATAGACCAAGATCTTCTTTTGGAAAGAGCGGAAAAGATCTGCGACTTCTTGAAGCAGCCACCCTACCCGGACATCCACCGGACCGTCTCTATCTTCGTGAACTATGCACGTGCTCTCATTGCAAGTCAGCGTCCACAGAGCGATGACAGCGCGGAAAGACCTAATGTGTCGGAGCAAGGCGATGGGTCCGTGCCTTCTTACAGGGGCCCTGATAGTCCCGTGCCGAACCCCCCTCCTTTGGCAACACTAGAGTATCCTCGCGACAGACCCGGGACTTCCATTCCAGGTAACAAGGATCCAAGCATTGCCCCGCTTCCAAACAACGATACAGCTACGACAGCTAGACCGCCACTTCCAAGACTTCCAGATACAATGGAAGCTCCCAACTGGACTATGTCCAACTCCATTGCGGACTCTTTCGGTCTATTTGAAGAGGGACAGAATGATATATTCGATTTCCTGCCCATGATGCCTTCATTACCCCAATAGACCAATGAGAAAATGAGATAATGAATCCGATTAATTTCCAATTTGAATTGACGTGAGTGGATCTGGAAAATCGTAGCTAGCTTGGACTACAAAGTCGGTCTCTTGTTGATAGTAGGCCGTCGATCAATCAGCGGACTTGTACAGCTGAAAGCAAGATTTCGGGCCGCCACACAGTATCAAAATCCGAAAATTCTCAAGAAATTGCGCGTGAATGGCAAAGTAACCCACAATGCGAGTAAAAAGAACTCAGTGGAGGTGGATCTAGGCTTCGGAGACGCCCGTCAGGGACCGGGTCCTGACCGGGGCCGGATCTGTTTTGCACTAGGAACCGGCCCCGATCCGTCTCCGACCCACTTACTCAATTTCGAAGTATACCGTCCCCTTTCATTGGGTAGTTTCTAAGATCGCAAACATAATAGTTTGGCACACTATGCATGGTTGCAAATTCTAGGTGTAGTGAGTCAAGTTCTTCGCAGAGATTTCGCCCCACTATTGGTAATGGCGAACAAAAGCTTTAGTATATAGAGGCTCGTTCACGCAGTTTGGAGTCTTGAATAGTATAGACATGATCCACAGGCTCTCTTCCTTCTCTTTCTGTATCTGAATTTTGCTGCTTCACATCCAAAATGGCAATAAACTCGGGCCATTCCTTTCTATCTGGCATTGCCAAACATTCCCGAGGTACGACGATCCGCTGTTACTTTCTCTTGCCTTAGCCTCTAACAGCTTCTAGATAGGAAACCCAATTCTAATGAGAAAGAAACTGGATCTACAATCTCCAGAGATGATTTAATGGATAACAAGGATTATTTGTTGGTTGATCTACCTACCCGTGAAACACTTGTCGAGTTCACCGAGGACTCTGAAGCAAACCCAAACAATTGGCCTCTTGTATGCTTGGATATTCCTTTTGTATACAAAACATCTAGTCGTTCGAAGGTACTAACCGTTGTCCTAAATAGTCCAAAAAAATTTACAATGGAGTTATTGCACTTATCGTTGTGCTCAATAGTGGAATATCCTCCTCTCTGCCTAGCAATGCAGTCCCCGCTATCATGCAGGATTTCAATCTATCGGGCGGCGGGCAAAAGGTTCTACCAACAGCCATTTTTCTGATTGGTTACTGTATCGGGCCTCTCATTTTTAGTCCTCTTAGTGAGACTATCGGACGGAAGCCCGTTATTTTTTGGACTTTCACTGTCTTTTGGCTCGGCACATTGGGTTGTGCTCTAGCGCCAAATTGGACCTCGCTTTTGATCTTTCGAGTCATCTGTGGAACTATGGCTGCTGCCCCTCAGACTGTTGTCGGGGGTCTTTATGCAGACATGTTTTCTGATCTGCGAGCTCGTGGTCGAGCGATGGCGATGTATATGTCGGTATGGTGATATACTCGGGGATGATCATCACAACAAACAATATAATTCTAACGTCATTCTTAGGCAACTAGCTTCGGACCCATCATTGGTCCTATCATATCCGGATGCTCAGTTCAGTACGGTTGGCGCTGGACATTTCGAATCGACTTGATCCTTAGTGGGTTAACCTGGATAGGATTGCTCTTTCTATCGGGTAAGTTGGGCTTCATTCGTGCCTCAGCAGCAATCAGTCAGCTAATTTTTTTTTTTTTACTATAGAAACATTCTCTCCTGCTTTGCTCAAGAAACATTCCAGGAAGTTGAGAAAGGAGACTGGATCTCACCGGTATATTGCTCCGCAAGAGTTGAAGTCCGATACGGCTTTTACCCTCACCCAAACATTCACCCGTCCTCTCACAATGCTCGTGTTCGAGCCTATCGTGCTTTTCACCGGTATCTTCATTTCGCTTGCCTGGAGCATGGTATTCTTCTATTTCCAGGCATACCCCATAATTTTCCAGCGTAAGTGTCTCCACATCATGGTCCGAATGATTTCTAAACTAACCTTTTACAGAGACTTACCACTTCGATGTTGCGAAAACATCTCTTACATACATTCCAAGTGAGTAAAATACTTGTCTTCATGCTCTGAGAGTACACGGAAGTTGAAACTTACACATACAAGTGGGAATTGGCGCCGCATCGTCCTGTCTATTCGCCCTCTTCTACGACGCCTTTTATGAAAAAGCAAAAAAGTCCGGAAAGCGCTGGGCGTCTAGTCCCGAATATCATCGACTTCCCACTTCTTGTGTCGCCGGCCCCTGCCTCACGATCAGTCTATTCTGGCTGGCCTGGTCGGCAAAATCCTCCGTTCATTGGATTGTCCCCGTACTCTCGGGATTCGTCTTCGGGTTCGGATACCAAAGCATTTTCATCTCGCTTCTCACCTACGTTACCGATGCATACCGTATCTACTCTGCCAGTGCATTGGCTTCTTCAATGATTCTGCGGAGTATTGCCGGTGCTCTATTTCCTCTCGCTGCGGATCCGCTTTACGCAAAGCTCGGAGTGGCATGGGGAACATCGGTTCTTGGATTCGCTAGCTTAGGCTGTATCCCTATCCCGTTCGCTTTGCTCTATTTTGGGCCTTGGATTCGAAAGCAAAGTGCTTTCTGTCAACGCCTTTTGGAAGAAGATATGCTCAAGTCCGGTGGGGCCAGAACGCCACAAGAAGCATAAAGATTTCTCACTTTGTGGAATCACGAATTAATGACAAACAGTCCCTTCTCTGTGAAGTTGCTGGAAAAAATCGCATTTGCATGACCTGGTCGTTGAGTGGATTGGTTTTATAATTTGTTAGCCCGTTGCTGAAGTCCTATTAATCACAGCACTATAGTAGATAATTCTAATCCTTTACTTTTTCCAATTAAGATAGCATATTTATTCCAGAATAAAAGTATAGCCCTAGGCTCTTGTCCAGACAAACGTTTCATTGACGTAGCTCAGTCTTTTCTAACGTTGTCCAGCGTAATATCCAGACATCTGGATTTTCAAGGGATGTGTCATCCGCTGCGGACGGCCCCTTCAGATTGCCATATATCTGTTGTTTCTGCTCAGCTGTCGTCTCCAACGGATCGATATCAAGCGACATGTTTGGGTCGAAGCCGAACCCGGTACCGTCTGCCTCTTTGTTGAGAAAGGTATCAAAATCAAAACTTTCCAAGAGGTCTGGGTTATCCAAAGCACTGAGGTCGAGATTGAAGGCAGTCTATAACATCTTTTATTAGAAAACCGCGCAACTGTTCAGAAGTGCGGGTGAGCGGAAACATACATCGGAGAAACATAGATCGGAATAACTTTCGTTGTTGGATTTGGATTTGAAAGGTTGATGGACCACCGTTGTCGGCATTTCCGGAAGTAGAGACTCCGCCGGATTTTCCTGCCGTGGGTTTGTCATTGCGATAGAATGACTAGTAGATGCTTTCTTCCTCTTTTTGCTGGGCAATCTTGGCGGCATTGCTCGCGGTGGCGGACCTTGAGGTTGCGGCGGTTTCTGGATGGTTTTTGCTTCGTGGGGTATGGGAGTTATCTTCAACTGAGAAAATAGATGAGAGGCTCTCGTTCCATAGGTCTCTTTGAGTCGTACAGCTTCACCGCTATGTACGGCGCTGAATCCAGCTTTCAGCCTCCGGTAGCGACCTTCATCCAAGAAGCGCCCTGCCGTATCTATAGTATTGAGAATAGCCTTTATCATATCGTAGTAGTGCTGAAGCTCATCGTTGGCTTTGCCAGAATCTTGTGTTGGAAATGGCGTCCCATTTCCATGATTCTCGATATTCAAGTTGAAAACCTGGATTGACGTGGTCAATTGCTCGAATTTCCTTTCGCTTTCGATCTTTTCTACAGCCAGCATTTGCAGAAGTTCGCGCTGCTCTTGGGCTTGGCTCACTTCGTGCCGACTATGAATTGGTTAGTCTTCAATAACAACACCTGTGGGGGTTCATCATATCATACCTGCGGAGCTGTCCAGCATAAATAACAACATTGAGCATCAAAAGCATAGTCGATTTCAGTCGCTCCAAATTTCCAGCCACCGCATCCAAACGGGGCTCATTCATCAAAAACCATATTTTGCGAGTTGCCCTTTCAATGCGAGACTTGGATGAGGGATCTGCATGCTGCTGCTCGATCTCACTCTCGAGGTCATTGAAAACCTTCTTGCATTCTTCCAACACGTCCTGAGCAGTGGCGAAGGCATCGGGGGAATATAATGAAACCAGATCATCTTGTCTCAGACTGTCACCTAATTGGCGAAGTACACTACAAGTCAGTGCCACATCATTCGACAAACTTCGTAGTGCCTTATCGGCATTCTTAAACTTGTGAGCGAAAGTGCATAGCTTGACTGAGAGACGGCCCCCAAGCTCGGCAACTTGAAGGGCCGCCGAAATGGTTCCTAGAACCTCAGCCATGTCTGACATCCATGGTTCCCTGCATTTCGACCCTCTCTCGGCGCTTTGACGCTCTGGCTGGAGGGTGAGTGCGTAGTGGGTGCGAGCTGGTCCCGTTGCCCCTCTTTTAAGTCACGGCCCCCACGTCGCCTACAAATGTGAAACATCTCCGCACGGTCCACTTCTCGTCACAAATGCCTATATGTAGGAGATATCGACGGAGTCTGTTAAGCTTGATTGTTCCAAAGATCGGTCATTCAATGTAGCAGTAAGACCTATTGATATCCCAACAAACTAAATAAAGTTGAATCTTATCATTGAACTTAATCCTCTTTTGTGAATTTGATAACTATGTGGAACTTGAATGAGATAACACAAGGGCCAAGGCTAAGAGTACACCTTGCTCCCCTTCCCAGCGAGTAGCTCCACAAAGAAATCCCGGAAACTAAGTGGCGTGAAGTCTGGATAGAGCTCTCTGGCGTTGAGGTAGCCCAAATAGTCGGCATACTCAGGAGTATTATCCCGACGCACGTACTTGCTATGATTGTAGTCGGCTACATAAATGCCTCTGAGCTTCATGAAATCTTGAGGATCCTGAGCAAGGGCAGCTTTGGCTTGGTCGACGCTTGTTTTGATATGTTCGTTTGATACCTAGAAATCACACTCGAGTAAGCATAAAAAGCCATGCTGTTGAAGAAATACGACTCACGACAATTGGCTCCAGCTCCTCCCCAGAGAGTTCTTTTGCAATGCGGAAGATTTCGTTTTCGGAAAGGACATCCCCAGATGTGTAAACGTATTTGTTAAGAGTCCGGTCATCACGGATTATACGTGCGACAAAACGTCCGATATCGCGTAGATCGGTAAGAATATTAGGAGCCTCTCCATCGCCGTGAATATCTTTGACGGGGAAAATCTGTGCATAATCCAGTTTGCCCGATGGGAGATACGGGTATGAGATTTGATACCAATAGCCGACATCGATCACTGTATACGGAATACCCAAGAACTTGATGGCATTGTAGACCTCCTCTTTCTATATTTTTGTTTTGTTAGTCAACTTCAAGTTGGTCATTATCATGGGCTCATTCTATGCATACCTCGTCACGAAGCCGCATAGCACCCTGTGGAGGTGCGACCGTGATGAAAGCGCACGGAACGATTCTTTTGACACCTGCAAGCTTCGCGGATTGGAGGAGCTTCTTTTGCTGCAGTAGGTCATTTGGTCCAATGGCGCTGATGAGGGTATCGACGCCAGTCAGCGCAGTCACAAGCTCATTGGACTGGTCAAGATCTATGGACCAGATCTTAATACCCTGCTCTTGGAGCTTCTGGACCGCTGGCTTTTGCACGGAAGCAGGTCGTACTAGAACCTCCACTTCCTAATAATAATTGTCAACAAATCGAGTCGGCCACAGAAGGAGATGATAATGTTTAGCAAATTCAACTTACAAAGGTGCCGGATTCCAGCAGTCCATCCAAAATCGACCTCCCAGTCTCACCAGTAGCTCCAAGAAGTAGTACCCTCTGCTTAACGGACATTTTGGGAGTTGAAAAAGTGGTAAATTCCAGGAACCGTATAAAAGAAGGATATCCTCGAAGCGGGAACGGGCAATTTCTTTATTGAAGTTGAAACTCACCTTCCGGTGGGAGGGGTGGGATATTTGTCATCGTCTGCCTGATTTCCAAGCCCCGGCTGATTTATGCATGCAATTATGACATTGGGCATTACGATTCTTCGAGCTCATGAGCCAATAAGAATCTTCGGGACGAAATTGTTGACCCGCAGGGTTTTACTACCCCACATCGAAGAAGTGACACAAAAGCCACGGGAGGTAATGTATAGTTCGAGTTCCTCGTAGATATTGAAAGCAAAGCCATACTGCAACTTGAAACTCTCCGAATTAAATTTACTTCTTTGCGTAATCTTTCGTCAACTATACACACAAACATGTTTGGCCAGAGGAAAAGCCAATTATGTATGTCCATCCTGCCCCATAATCGCAATACTCTGCGCCAGATAATCCCAGTCGGGAAATTCCACCCAATTCAAATCCCAGTTATCCATGTCCAGAATAGTCTCACTCGGTAAATCTTCCGGAGCTGTCTGAATGGCACTTTCTCCCTCCGGAAAGCGCTCAGTAGAACTAGACGCAAGATGCGCACGTCGGACACGCGACGCCTTCGCCCGGAGCTGAATCAGAATCGGCCATTTGGGGCCCGGGTCTGGCCAGGAGGGATCATTGTCTACTAAGTCGAAGTGGTTATTGACGCTATTCCACGCGCGTTCATTGTGCGGGCCCGTTGGGTACACGCATAGGTGCCACAGGATGTAGGTGAGAAGGTGGAGTTGTGGGCATGTAGATGTTAACCAGCGGAAGCCGCGGAGTAGATCGTCAGTAAACATCTCCAGTCCGAGGTCTAGAGCTCGAACTGCCATTTCGAGGAGTTCGGTTGCAGCTTCTGTGTCGACGGTGGAGGATGCGGCGCCTTGTTTTTGAAGCACTTTCTGCAGCATGTGGACCTCAAATTTGGAGACTAGGACCTGTGCTAGGATTACTCCTTGTCGCTGGATGGGTATGTCCATATCTGCGTATTTGATGAATCGATTGTGAAGTCGTTCCTTTAATTCTCTCAATAGCTGATGCGACTGCGCTCCATCGGGAGAGTTGTCGGTAGACCGGGCGATCGGGATGAACATCTTGTTGACCTCATTGATTATGAGCATGAAAGACGAGTCGGTCCATCGCTGTTCGGATTCAACCGGTTTGGTGGTTTTTTCATTTATACTCTGATCATCGATGTTGGAGGGAAGTTTGGTGTCGCTGCCATAATCTTGTTCGGGAATTAAAATGCCGTGGTCTTCGGACATTCGAGAATCGGTAGAATATAGATCCCACCATATTCGTCGGCGAACCTCACATTCCAAAGGTGAGAGCTTGAATTTTTCTCCATCGCGATGAAGCCCAATTGATTGTGCAGCACGGATGGTCAAGCCGCGCAGGGTAAACCCAGCTCGCCCGCTGTTGCTGTAGCGTAAACACCTCTAGTTGAGAAAGACATGTTAGAGCGGCAGATGGTATAGAAGCAGATTCGGCCACATTTACCAGATAAATAGACATTGCCTGCAATGAAGATATTGTGGGGGATTCCAAGAAAGAAGAGTTGTAGATACTCAGCTCGATGCCATGTTGGTATCGCTGCAGATCCGCATGGATTTTCTCATTCGTCGGGTCATCGCTCAACAGGGCAGTAGTAGCCGCAAAATAGACAGCAAATAGGAGGCAATGAAAGTCAGGCTTGACAGAATCAGGTCGGCTTATGGCTGCAAATATACGCGGCGCCGTTGTGGGTACATGAAGCACCTTTATGACCGGTTCCACCCGACCAAGGAAAGTCTGCCAGAGCTGCGTGGCCTGATATCGATCTGGATACAGAGCCTTGAAATCCAATTGTTTCAGTAGTGGATTGATTAGCATTCCGTCCATTCTGAGAGGAGGGGGTCTTCGTGAACCACCGGTCGGTGTGCTCGGTGTCCCTATGGCAGACTGTAATTCATGTTCTTTCTCGAGTACTCGTGAAAGAAGCGGCTCGTCGATATAAGCACCATCCTTGATAAGGAAGCCATAGTTTGAATTGGTTTCTCTGGTCGGCTGGGGTATACCGAAGAGGCATGACCATTTGTCAGAGCCGGAGGCACCCCAGATATGGGCGCAGCTCTAGGACGTGGCAGCTGTTGCTGCCATTGTGTTCTCGGCTGTTTTGCTTGCGCTGCGGACGAATTGCCAGCTAATGTCGCAATAGATCGTTCCAGTTGCTCCAGGCGAGATACAACATTCGTGACACTCGTCTTCGGGGATTTTCGCTTAACCTTTCGTGGTCCCGGATATTCACAAACTTCCCCTTGACGTATACATTTGCCGCATGGTGCTTTCTTGTCGCATCGGACTTTGCGCTCGTGGCAGCGTACGCAGGACCGCTCTACGTTGTAGCGGCGGATACCCTCCATGGAAGTTGGCTCATATGATAAAGCAGATGAATCGAAACGGTAGATTGCGCATTGGAAATCTCACCAGAGCGAAAGGCATCAATTGTCGGTGTTCGGCCGTTCGGCCATTCGGTCTCTGTCAATCCCGAGATGATCCACCAATGAAAGCAGAAGGAGTGGGGCTAATCGTCGCCAACAAAAAGCGTTTTGTCGCAGCAAAGAGAAAAGGAGGAAAAAGAAGTTGGTCGCCGGCAGACAGAACCATAAGGGTCTAGTGCCAAGACATCCACTTCTTCCAAATATAACCACGCCATCACTCTCCTGGGGTGACCGATTTCGCGATCCATGAGGCTCTCTGTTCACGTCTCTCATTTTCTCGCTTTACCTCTCTCTGTACTTGGCCACTTCGTCCATCTTTGCAGCCTCTGGAAAGTCCCGCGCTGCAAGAGAACCATGACGAAGTTGGGAGTTGGTCTTAGGAAAGGAGGACTCGGAGGCTCATTTCAATAGTAGGTTATAATCAGCTTCTACTATCGAATAGAAAATATATATTTCTAAGTTACACAAACTAACCAGTATGACAATGTGGTATCATATATTTCAATCTGTACAAGCCAAGACTAACAATAAGAAGGAAGACATAAACCCTTCTTTTTTTATCATATGGTCCCAAGAGTTGCCAAATTTGCATCACAAAATAAGCAGAATATTATCGCATATTATCTATAAGCGCCCCCCAAAAAACAGTGCGCAAAACGCTCAATATTAAACCTCCCATCCGCAACTCCAATCCCGTAAAGTAACCAATTCGTTATAAAACAAAGCCACCATCCATTCATGAAATAAGAAGATCGCGAACACTCATGCCTTTTCTCCTTTCGGAATCCGACACCCCGTTGGAGTTCTCAGGCGTGGGACCAAGAGCCGTGCTGGCAGGGAAATGCTCGCTAATCGAGTCAGCGGTACCCCGGCGATCCCGCGTCAGCATGAGTAAGGCGGCTGAGGCCTCGTGATCAATACCCTGCAGGTCTTGCACCTTGTCCATAGAATGATAGGAGGGGCCAAGTGCCGGGCTGGGCAGGATGGAAGGGATCTCGGACAATGTATGCACAGAAGGCAGACGGGTGCGAGGGGAGAATGAGGGAGATACATCGGACATCTGCCCGCTTGGTGGTAGGATCTCAGGTGAACCAGATTCGGAGTATGAGTATACGGAAGATGGAGGGCGTTGCGGAGGCCGGTTGGAGGTTTCTACTCCTTCAGCGATAAAATCTGGAGATGGTGGGGATGGCGGTGCAGCGGTTTTGGTGGTACCGTCCGTCTTGATGTCCTGGATGATCTGCTCTAGGTAGTTGACATAGTCGATGCTGGCCTGTAAAATGATATGAGTATACTTCCAATCATACTTGAAGGCGGATAAAAGTAGCCGATAAATAACTTGAACATACCTGAAGAATAGCCAGCTTGTGCATCTCCTGTCCCCGACAGGCTGGGATCATGTCCTTCAATGTACCAAATTCCTCGTTCATCTTAGAACGGCGGCGTCTCTCAATCAAACTGTGGGCAGTCTTGCGGGCAATTTTGCGTCCTGCGGCACTCGTTGCAGTTGGCTTCTTTTTGTTGGCCGGGCCAGCCTGGGTGGTGGAATCGATGGGCTGACCGGAGTTCTTGCCGTTCTCCTTGGGTTTGGTGGGAGACTTGGAGGCTGCTGGAGTCTTAGGCTTCATTTGGATGATCTTGCGAGTCCTTGTAGGCGGCGGAGGTAGGTCAAAGTCTTCTAAGGGACGTTTTGTGGCAGTGCCCGACCGCGAAGAAGAAGTATGAGGCGGATTGCGGCCACGAGGGATCAGATTGGGCGAGGTTGGTGAGGCAGACTCATAGGAGGGATCTGAATGAGAAGAAGAACGACTATAGGAATCATCCCCGGGCGGACTGATGGCGGCGGGTGGAAGAGCAAAGACATCGGTGCCATCCATAGGCTTGTCCTTGATTGTCAGTTCGCCGGACATGGCAGGTGTAGGAGGGAATCTTGAACGAGACATGGTGTCTATAGAGGGGGGGGGGGGGGGGTGTAGACCAGGCACAGAGTAACAGAGTAAGAGAGTTACAGGGACGACAGATTCCAAGCCCAGAGGAGGGGGCGACCCCTTGCCCTTGTACTTGTATGTAGTCACCCTCCGCAATCGTCATTTCCCATTTCTCATGTCTCCCCGTCCCTCCAGTCTCTCCCACAGAAAGTGTCGCGTGCTTGCAGAGCCCACGAGTTGCAATGGTGGATGCTCATTGGATGTGGGGACAAGCTCGTGCCGCAGCGAGCGACGCGCATTTGCTGGACTGGCAGTGGGGCCTGAGCTTAACAAGTACGGAGTACCATATTATACTTACCGTCTACCCGTCCTGGCTACTATTACTCTGTTACTCCAGGGAATCTGGTAGTTCTGCACGTGCGCTTGCCAGGGCAAGTTGGTGGAAACCCACTCCTTTAGAATTGAGCACGCCCCTGACCGGCCTGAGCTGGTCAGTGATCGTTATGTAAGCAAACTGGCCACTCACTGAGCCTGATTGAAGGACCCTGATTTGCTCAGTGAGCGTATGATACCCTGAGCACTGTGATCTAATTACTAGTTAAGTTAATCGCTGTTGCTTACTAAGCTTCTGCAACTCAGGCGGCCTGAGTAAGCAGGCTCATTAAAATGCGACACGCTAGCTTGACCGTTTAACAAGAATTAGCCTCGTAAAGTTGCCACTGACTAGCGATCTTTCCCTTTGCAAACAGAATGTAACTGATTAATTTAAACAGGCTGGGCAATAATTGTCTAATACCCAGACAGAAAAAATGACCTTATAGACAATAAAAATTTCCTAGCTAGATAAGAAGCCGTATTTTGCGTTCATTATACTGTTCTGTCTATGTTTGACACAAGATAGATTCTTCTATTTTGTAGTGAATCTAGTTCGCTATTGTCCTAGGAGTAATATCCCACATTATAACAGGATTACCCTCCTAGGAGGCCCCGACCTATGATATTGCACTAAAAAGCGTGATATATTCTGTTTGGCTAATAAATCTTGTTTCTTTCTCTCGTAAGAGTAATCTGTGGGTCTATGAGCAGCCCTTATAAGAAGGCGTCCTTAGTTTTTATTTTCCTTTTTGAACTGTACTCAATACTGTAACTCTCTCTAGCAGATGGCGTATACTAAAGTTATATTAGTGACCTCTGGCTACGAATTATATGAGCTAAGCGAAGAAAAACATCACTGGTAGATTTGGGGATTGACAAGGTATTAGGAAATGTACGATATTGGGATATAAGCGGGATCAAAGAGTTAACGCTATTTGATAAACACTATTCTTTTACAAAACGGGGGTTGGTCATTCTATTTTTAATATACAATAGATTATACTGTACTGTATTACTCATTTTGTTTTCTAGAAAATAAGCGTTTTACAGGAGCTTTGTTATTACGTTGACTGTCCTAGTAAGAATTAAGAATTGATCTGTGCAATACCTAACAACCAGGTTAGACATAGCTCTATATATACAGACCGTCAGTATCTAAATAGGTCAGACTCAGGTCTACACACACAGACTGTCAGTGTCTAAGCAGGTCAGACTCAAGTCTATATACAGACCACTAGTTATACACAAATCCTAGACTATATTCTAGACCAGATTTAGTTCTATACGCTGACTACTAGTTGTGTATAAATCCTGGATTAAGTACTAGGTCAGATTAAGCATTCTGCACATAGAGCTCTTCAGCCTGTGTATTAGGGCTGTTATTCATTCTGCGCCCTCCCTCCAGCAATGACAGATACCTCTTTATAGTGCTAGGGGCTATTACTTGGCTCGACATAAGCTAAGGAAGCTAAGCTCTGTATTTACTCTTAAACAAGTTTAAGTGATTTTCTATAAGTTTATACGGTTTTTATACAGTTTTACACACACAATCTCCTGCTGGTGGTGTAGATCTTGCTCTCGCCAGTTTAATTTTGAAATCCCAAATGAATTTTAAGTCTGTGTAAACCATAACGGACTTACGTATTCTTTTGCCAGCATATGGCATACGAAAACGACACGAAAAGGGACAGCTACGGCAGAAGTCTCGTGGACTGGGTACAAGAAGACAAAACTATTTTGCATGAAGTTCAATCTCAATGCTCCCGAACCTTTTTGACACCCAAAGAGACTCAGTTCGCCATACTCCGCCAATCAGCCCTAATTTCCTCAGAGACACTACTTCGTTCTCTATCAAACTTTGAATGGCTTCTTGTGCAGCAATTAGGTCGTTATCTCTTGTTCCTTGGTGACATATACAAAGCGAACTATCTATTGCGGCTTAATCTACCCCAAGAAATTGGATCTAAAACTGGAATATTCGAAATCCACTGCACCAGTTGTGATTATTGGATCGATGGTCCCCGCTTTGTTTGCCGGAAATGTGCCCGTGTCGATCTCTGCTCGTCCTGCGTCCATAAATCCTGCAACAATAATCTACACACAGATCAACACGAAATATTCAAAGTATCTGATGTACTTGATGAGGAGTCATGTTTTGGATTGGTTTCCAAGAGCCCGAGCCGCTTTTTGAGCAATGTTATGCATGAGTATTCTGCGCCATACACCAATGAGACCGAGATAGGGCTGTCGAATGATTCCGTGTTTTCTCCGTTCCTGGAAAAGAATGCTCTTTTGTCATCGAAAGCTATTCTCGGCCCAGTATTTACTGCTTGTGCTGTTCTCTTTGGGCTTTTTGGCGTTATATTGGGACTTTGTTAAGTTCTGTTTAAATGCATCGTTTAAGGTCTTCATTTTACTTCACATACTCCGAGGGGATAAACGATTACATTCACTTATTGGAGGTACTGGTGGTGACTGGCGGGAGCAGTAGAATTGGCACCGGGGGGTTCTCAGCGCCTTGCTGTTGTGGGGGCAAAGGTGATCGTATTGGATATAATCCCTTTAACATTCGAGCCAGGTATTTAGACGGCGTTGATTTCAGAAAGTAATACGTATCTTGAGACTGACTAATATGATCTTGAAGGAACCAAACGCATTGTATACCGCAAGTATGATCTCCGTGACGAAAATGAAATCGCGAACGTTTGCGAAAATATTAGAGCTGAGGAGGGCCGTCCGTACTAGTATTATACCAACAAACTAGTACTTTCTAATTCCTCTAGACAAATTGTTGCCTGTTGGGATTAGGCTCACTAGATCATCCAACCTGTTTTAAACACCCAATCTGATAGAATCACGGCAATGGCAGCAGCCTGTTCCAAGTATTTAGCCCGTGTAAATACGGCAATGACCATGGTATGGAAGTCTTACCATTGATGTGTCCGCTCCAGAAGTCACAGTGACCTCGAGAATAGGTTTATACCTGCGCCATCGAGAGTTCATAAAGGGCAAAGTCTCGTTGTGCTCTATACTTTCCCTCACTACCGCCACCTTCCTATCTCCGTCCACAACATCATACAACGCTAGGATGCTACCATGTCTCTCGATATTCAATTTGACCCGTCTCTCTTCTTGTGCTTTCCCATCCACGGCAGCTTGATTCTCGAATGATAGGCTAAAGTCATCAAGCCCGTGAATAAAGGACCATTTTGGTGCAGCTTTGGCTATACTTGCATGATCGCTTCCGGGCAATGTGATGAACCAGGAATGCGTAAAAACGGCTTTCTGGTGAAGTTCAAATAGGGGGAGTCCTGAAGAGTCACGAAATTCTCGACAAGAGCGATCGCCATACTTTCTGCCACTCACAGTGAACTTCACCGAACTATCTTCGTCGTCAACGATCTTGAATGAAACGGCTGACTGAGCGTCGCCTTGTGGTTTGAGAACCAGACGTGTTTGTGAGGTCGCGATATATTCGTTGCGGAAGGCAATCTGGCGATGCGGGGACCGAAGCGCTTTGCGGGGTCGTTCTGGGGGTGGATGTAGCCTCCTAGCTTCTACATGTGAAGTGAACATCCTGTTGGGATTTGTATTGCTGTACGGGCGTCGAGCTAGGGAAAGATATTTGGAGAATGCTAGACAACCCCCGGCGGTCTATTTCTTGGGCATCGCCCCCACGGTCGCATTCTCGCTAGGACAACGTGACCCTCGCGTCAGTTGCCTTATAGCATAATTGTGGGGGCTCTAGCCGCGTGTTGGGTTGGGTTGGGTTTTGTATGGTATAATACACAGGGCAGGGAGGTTCCGGTATCAGATTGGTATCTGAGGACTCTGGATGAGACACTCTCGGCAGCAACCCATTTTTGATTTCGGTGCAACAATACCCAAAGTATTTATTTCTCTATCTCTCTGAGAGCCTCACGAGTTGAGTCTGTATGGATACTCTGGAATGCGAGGGAAATAAAAAGTAGTGAATTTGAGGTGCTGTGCCCGGTCGTAATATGGCCCCTTAAACCTTTCGCGCCAATACTTTCATGGGGCGGGGCCAAACCTAGTTTCATGTAGAATGCACCGAAGCGCTGGGTGGTCTGAAGTCACTGTTTTGCTATAGATAGAATCCTGATTATTCTGAAGGAATATATGCTAATTTTCCATCTCTGATATCGTCATCGAGGAGAGGATATCCTGCACGCGATCATAGATCTTTGGGTACTGCGATTTAGGAAGACTCCAAAACAAGAAAAAAAACACCCATGCGAAACCAAACATCTTGTTCCACGCTATCCCTTTCTGTCGCGTAAGTGAACCCTGCGGGCACACTTTCCTAGTACTTCCCATTGCGCGTTGCACTCGTGAAACAGCCATTTCCAAAGCCCCCGCTGCAAAGTTCAGACAGAACCACCATATATCCCCCGACCAACTGTGATCACCAAGCTGCCAGGACACAACACTATGCAAAACACCAGAAAACAGAAATATAATGAAAATGACAAGTATTTTGTCACCCTGCGAGCCGGGACGCAAGCCCAAGACCCTTCGCGAGAGAAATGTGCCGTAGTTGGTATATGATCGAACTACAATTTGGTGCCAGAACTGACCCCAAAAGCGGCGGATACTCCAGCAATCGCGAGGGGAGCCGAAAATTCCAGGCCAATCTGCAGGATCATTGAACTGAAAAATCACGACTGAAATAATGGAGAGTGCAGTATGCGCGGCATCCAGTTGGGTGACTGCGCCGAAGGTCCAGTAAAATACAAAGACCGCTCTCATCATAACTTCGCGCATTGTTATCGGCTCGGTGGTAGAAAATAACCGCCGAAGAAACACTTGTTTTGCCGGCCCAAAGTCATCCACCTGCATATTTCTGAACAAGGCAGGGAATATGTGCGGCAGCACAAAGATATTTGCGGCCAGGTACACCAGCAACTTTGAGAATCGGATCATCACGAATTTACGCAGGGATAGTGGAGCACTCGATTTTCTCAGCGCCTGCCGACTGGTTCCAACCAGGCGTGGATTATTCCAAAGCTTCAAAGGCTTGTGGTATCTGATGGGTACCCAGCGGCTCTGGAATGGCTTTGTATCGTCCCAGACACTATGGTCCTCGAGCCATAATAGTGAAATAGAATGGGCGATCCATATGCCTAGGAGCAAGCCCCAGAGGCTACCTATGTCACCAGGCCAGTAGTTTGCCCTCGTGAAAGAGAGGATTGCAGGTATGAGAATGAAAGGCAACAGCAAGAACTTGTGAGCGGTATTGCTGGCCACCAAAAACACTCCAACAGAAAGAAAAAAATAGAAAATGGATGAAACAACCGGCAGATACGTCGAGGCACTCAAAGACATTTTGATTTTTCGTAGGAGAGAGTCGGATAGTTACAAAGGAGATAAGTCATTTTATTTATAATAATACTACTGGCCTATTGACGTCAAATTGTGCTATGTATAGACGAAACTATTTGGGGTCCAAAATTTCGGGTATAACAAGTCCCATACGGCAAAGTTACCACAGTATAAGAAGTGGGGCGGCCCCGCGGGGCGTTCCTGGGCAATTGCTTATGTCGACAGCCTCGTTGAATATATCATACTTTGACGAAAGGCTGGTAAATACAGATCTCAAATTACGTATTGAAAGAATGATAGAAGGAATGGATAAATAAGAAACAAATGTTATTGGAAGACAATGACTGAGAAATATCAAAACAGCAAACACGCAGACACGCAGATAAACAGGGCTAATCTCTGTTTACAACATATTTAGATACAAAATATCTTGTTCAAACAAGATCATAAGACCAATTTACTGCTTTCCAGAAAGAGCACTCTGCAGATCAGTTTTGTCCTGGGCGGAGAGCCCAGTGTACTCAAGACTCGAGCTACCCATAGGAGTGGGAACTGGGCCGCCATCCTGGGATGGCGTACCGAGGACAACTGTAGCAAGGTCCATACAAGCGGCAGGGACATTATCGGCTCGAGCGGCTAAAGCCAGGGCAGTTAGCAAGTATTACACGATATCGGATAAAACAGTGAAGAGAAACATACAGTCGGCACCGGTGCTGTACACCTTGACCGGGCTGCCAGGCCCTTGGGCATTGATCTCCGACTTGCACTGGTCGAAAGCGGCTTGAGAGACACCTGGGGGCAGGTCTCGCGCAGTAAGGTCTCCAAGGTCGTTGGGGAAGTTTGTGAAATCCCGGCGACTTTTGCTCAGGCCTCCAGCAATTGAACCGGAGATGACACCACCTATAAGAGGGGCAATGGCTTCCCAAGGAGCAGGGCAGACTTGCATAAAAGAAACAAGAGCCACGGAGCCCATACCAATTGCCTTAGAGATATGCATCTTGTGAAGATTTGAAGTTGTTCTGTTGAGAAGAGTTGAAAAAAATGGCTTTCGAATAGAGAGAAGGGTGAAGCTGTAATGAATAGACCAGGAGGAAGGGGAGAGATGCAGCTATTTATCCTCTGAGCACCCACTATAGAAGACATTACTGCCCCATAATCTGCTTCGCCTCGCCGATGTCCTAAATTTGGAAGTCCGTACCTTGTGTTCCGCAGTATGCGTCATTTTGGTCATTCACAATTTGATACTAATTGGTGATTTGCATTCGAGAACGTCATTAAATCCAACGAGAATTTAGTGCCTCACTTTGAATACATATGGACCCCATTTTGTTTCGGTTCAGGCCTTCTCTCATTGCCATTGCCCCGACTAATGTGGATTCGAAAAAGGAAGAGAAAGATTAGTCGTTGGGCCTTTGGTTCCCGCCCCCTCCTTCTCATTGTCATCGCCCCAATTGATGTGGGATCAAGGAAAGAAGATCGGCCATTTCGAGAAATTTATCTTTGGCAATCGGGCGTAGCGAAAGATGGAATCGACATAATTGCTTCTCATTCGCAGCTTTTGCTCTACTGGAGCAATTGTACGTCATGCAATTGGGTTCTAAACTGGGGCTCTGGTGTGGATTAATGAATGGGGGCCTACAAGGCTGCCTCGTGGTACTCCGGGGATATTCTGGCTCCTTTCATGTTAGTCTGGATTTACTATCTTTTCTTGAGAGGCTTTGTACAGAAATGGCACACACCTATATGGACTTTCAAGGCTATATAAACCCTTTCCTTGCCTCCAAGTTTCCAGTATTTATTTCCAGTATTTACAACTTTGAAACTTATCGCCTTCTATCCAGCTATCCTGCACTCTACACAACCCCTTTACCATTTGTACTTGCTACAATGAAGCTCATTATCGCATCAACCGCTGTCGTTGCTGGCCTCATGGGTATGGCCAATCTATGCCCGGCCCCTCAAGCTCTCGTTATACCTATTGCTTCGGCTGTTCTGTAAGTATATCACTGGCAAAGGTAACTGTGGAGATGGAGTTAATTCTTTAAAAGAGCTGGCGATGCTGGAGCCATTACTGGAAAGGTAATTGAGTCCGGCACATACAAGAAGCGCGACGGCTTCGTGTCGAGGGTGAGGCGCGACGATGTAAGATACCAGGACGTACCCTGAAACTTAACAATGACGCTAAACCACCCCATAGCCATTTGCAAGCCTTCCTCAGCCCGCCGCCAATGAATGCAAGAGTCAACTGAAGGGTGTTACTGTGAATTTTACACCAACCGGAGAGGGTGCTTACCGAATCGACAATATTCCTTCCGCTTGTATGACTCTTTCAACGGTGCTGATTGGAAAAAACCCCAGCGGGGCAGTGCCCACTCCCCTTGGTAAGTATAAGATTTTTGTTCTGAAATTCGGGTTAAATTACCTAACATTAATATGCAGGATCTGCATCGTTGGAATACACCGGAATCACCTCGGATGAGCTTAACCAGCTTCAGTCAACTCTGGGTAAATAGAACATAACTAAATTGAACCCGAGCGCAACCAGTGATGATTTGGAAGAGACAAAAAAACATGCTGGCTAGACAAGGTCCATATGTACTATCTCACATGTTGGGATTATCCAGCGTTTGTGTTTGTGACTTTGATATTTTGTATCTAACTGCTTTGATCGCGTTCAATAAGAAAACGGCTCTGTATTTTTCAACTACTAGTACGTGTGGAATAGTAGCTATATCGTAGATCTGTATGAACAATCTTTATACAAATGTCCTCCCTTCTGCTCTACTACGCACTTAGCCCAATCCTTCCTCTTTCATCGTGCGTTGACCTTTGAATGCTGCAAATTGTAGGTTTCCATGGTTAAGGAAATGGCCTCGGGAGGGAGAATCTAGAGATTTTGTATTATTATGTGCTTTACGTAGATAGTAAAATGAATATGTACATTAGTATGTAATTTTAGGGACCCTTGGTAAATCCAAAACACCCGCCAGGCACGAGGGTCACCCAACGACCTCTGAATTTGCCACAGATGATCTATCAATAGACTGCTATTCCTGGTCAAGCAGCAAATCCCGAACGCTATGTCCATAAAATCCAACATATGGGCCAAACTAAAGTTGCAGCGGGCCATTGATCGGCGAATTCTAGCTAAGAACCCCCACATTGTTGTGCACTAACTGTCTGTTTCAGAGCTGCCTCAAGCTAGATGATATATTTTGCGAGTCAGTCTTCGGTCGAGAATTCTGGATAATTTCGACTATAACATTGCCATCCCTGCAACACAAGCTGTGCTTTATTCAGTAGCACCTCGCGAGGATATATTACTAAGAGGATTTCACGATAGATCCTCCCAGTTGGCCCACCCGTTCCTTCGGCCCCCCCGGCCCCCACGCACCTGGGCATTGCCCCTGCCCCATCCCATCGAAGTGGACCAACCAGACTTGGTGACTCGGCCTCCAGCTCTGTTAAGCCTTGTTAAGCCATGAACCTCCTGCATGCCGCCCCCAAGCTAGCCTTCCAGTGACCCTGTTCGCGTGCTCAGGTGGGTATTCCTCAGACGATTAAACATTGAGATGGACGTATCCCACCTGCCCCTAACTAATTACATCATCATCTCACGAATCTCCACTCCCCACCTGCCCCCTGAAGCCTCTGCATTTTCCGGAAGAGTTGGACATGTAGTTACGGCCCCTTGTTACTTTACAATGGGGCGGTTTATGTTTAGATCGCCCGGTGAGTAGGCTACGGCATACAAGGCGCCCGACTCTACGTCACAAGACACGTACACGTCCCTTTCCATATCGATAGCCTAAGAATGCTTCATTCAGTCAACAAGTTTACCCTTCGATGCGAGAATATTCTGTCAGAACACCAGAGCAGCCTTTGCACTCTCTTCCTCCATAAAGATGGCTCCAACTATAACCAGTCCCAAACAGCCGATTGCAGTTCGTCTTGATCATATTGCTTCCAGACCCACCACGCTTCGGGTCAACCGTCATAGCCTGAGTTGGTCTGGGGGCGATTTTACCATCTCGGAGTTGGTAAATGCCGAAGGCGGTTCTTCTGGCGACACGTCTCCTCTGTTCACTGTCAATGGCAAAGTTGCATCTTTCACCCAGCGACATCAATTCCTCGATCAAACCGGTCTTCCGCTCTTTGACATCACACGAAAGGCGGCTGGTGTGACATGGTTCGTTAGACTTCCTGATGAGGGATCTTCTCGTGAGCCCATTGCTACGATTGCACCTCGATGGAGCTATTTCAAGGACAAATTTGATGTTTATATATCAAATGCTGCCATGAACGGAGAAGAGATTTTGATTGAAGCTCGCGGGCAAGATATCTGGAAATTGAGGACGAATTTCTACGCCAATGGCTCCTTGGTGATGACATCGAAAAGGACAGACAAGCTTACGGCATATATTCCCGGTAAACACCCTGAATGGCAGATGGATGTTGCAAAAGGCATAGATCTGTCCCTGGTGAGCCTCAAACCTATATGAACTCATTGAAAGCTATCTAAATATATTTCGAAGGCGGCAGTCTTATCGGTCTATCTGGCTGAGCTTATGTTTCATAGCTCCATGCCATCTTCGCACAACTCTGTCAGTGATACCCAGGGATCATCGAGGGAACAAACTAGCTCTGGATCAAAGGATGCTATTCGTTGATACCCAATGGGTTGCGCTGCCAGCGTTGAGAGAAGTGTAGGTTACCAAATAGCCCCGTCGGCACCTATAACATGCAATCGCCTGTTAATGAAACGAATATCTCATCGCAGAAAGAACTCAAATATTATTGCCGTATATATATGAATCAGTTTCTCATTTTACTTCGAATCATTTTTGGAACATTGCTACATGTTTGGAGAGGACTGTTATTCCACATGTCATATAGTTTCTTACTACTAGTATGGCAGATGGTCACTGTTTGACTGAATTACAAGATTTAAAGATATTCAGCAAATACTCTCACCCAGCTCATTTTCCGGTAGGATTTATATGAAACTAGACTTGTTAAGAGATAATATTACGTGTGAATGAATTATCTAAAGAGTAGATTGCTCAATGAAAAGTCGCAAAGTTTGGCCCCCACGGCCCCCAACCTTCCCAGGAATATCCCTCGCCTATAAAGCCCCTTGATGCGCCAAATCATATTCTCGCATCTAATAGTCCTTTGAAAGGACTGGATATTCAAAAAATAAAAAGATGCATATCCAAAATTTTCTTAAAAGCACTCTCACACTTCTTTTGGTCCTTGCCACCCCTTTTACAATATGGAAAGCTCTCTCCTTCGCCACGGCCAGTTCGTACCCAATTGTCGTGGTAATATCCGAATCAATGGCACCGGCATTCCATCGTGGCGATATCCTATTTCTGTCAAATCGAAGCTCTGAAGTGTACGCTGGGGATATCCCCGTTGTTTGGTTCCCGGGAAACCCTTTACCGATGGTGCACCGGGCACTGAACGTCATGATTGACGGTAACAAGTGAGTCTCTGAACTATGAGCGACTTGTCAAAATATTCGTGCTAATAAGGAAAGACAACAAATTCTTACAAAAGGAGACAATAACCCTGTCCATGATCGCTCATTATACCCCCCAGGTCAGTCATTTGTGGCGCGTAAGGAAATTGTCGGGCTAGTCAAGGGATATCTGCCCTTCGCTGGATGGTTCACAATCGCACTCAGTGAATATCCATGGCTGAAGGGTGTAGGAATGGCCGTTCTAGGCGGTTTAGCGCTTTTCACTTGAGTTGGAGCTTGCTGTGGCATTTAAATTGCATTGATAGGGCTTAAAAGGCGGTAATTAAAGAATTAATTGATTGATTCCAAGGTTGATTAAGGTTAAAGGGTATTCTATGCTAGATATATAAGTATCAATCTAGTAGGGTAAAATCCGATGACTCTTGTAAAGAGCCCAGATATGACAAAGATCAGATAGTAACATTGTGCATTTACTGTTCCTTGATTTTCTGATCCTTGTCACTAATTTGAACAAATAGCCACACATTCGAGGTTTGCCTAATAAGATATTGTCAATGATTTGCAGCCTTTATAGACAGCAATGCTATATTCATCTTGAAAAATTCATATAGGGATCTGTATATCAGACTGCAGCTTAACTCCGTTCCCGCACCAATTTTCTGCCTTAGCCCAATTTGAAGCAGATCTACTCCGTACTTAGGGTCCCTCTACGTGCTTTCCGATATCACCCTTTATTTCATCTGCCCTTCTCCTCTTTCCTCACTCCTCTCTTATATCCATGGTTCGTCAAATTGAAAATCACATTTTATTCACTATATGAAGACTCGGCAATTTACAATTCCGAGGACGATATCACAAACGCTAAAAAAACCCCATAGATAACACCCAGAAATCAACCCCCGAACTCATGTTTTTTTTCACTCGTCCGGTCAAAGACCAACTCATCCTAGGATTAAAACTTGAATCAATCTTCCCCAAAGTATTCCTTTACTCAAAATCACTTGGGTGGCACTTAGATACGCACTGCTTGTACCCATTGTTGCTATAATCCACGAATTAGCCTCTTGGCCTTCAATACAGAAAAGACAATCTCGGAAACCTTCAACTTACCAGTACTCATCCTCATCCGGCATCGCAATCGTGCACGTCTGTGACTGCAATGAGCACAGCTCGTTACAGTGGTTGATGTGCTTGATGTGGTTGGGAATATTCGAGTTCAGTGGGATATTGGCATTTTGCGGGCCATGCGACGAGTGAGGCACGTTACTGCTACTGCCGTTCTTGACCGTTGACACACCCGTGACCAGTGCTCCCTTGGCTTTGGTGGCGGTGCTAGTGGTGGTCGCGTTATTGGGAGCTGTACCATTTCTGGGCACATGCACTGAGATGCGAGCGCCGTGGTAGGGGCCGGCGAATCGGGGCAGGACGGCCGCATTGGCGGTCATGGCCAGGAGGCAGAGGCCCACAACGTTGGTGAGTTGCATTATGGAGATCGGGTTTGGCAAGGGATAAATAATAATGTGGATAATCTGGGAGATTGACAATGCCAAATGATGCGGAGGATCAACTGTGATGGTAGATAGAGATGAGAATAGATCGTGGATACAACCCCTCGGGTTATCGCTTTTATATAAACGCCCCCCCTTCAATCAAAAGCCGCTGAGTGGCTGGGCGTCAGACTCTAGCAACTAAAAAAAGCCTCCTGGATTGTGCAGCTGTAACCAGGACAGCTCTATAGCAGGTGTCGATCCCTGGATTACGGCATTCCACATTCCAGACGGGGGCTGCTAAGCTTTCCAGCACGACGCATCGGGGTAAGGCTTCATTTTGAAGAGGCTGGGGAAGCTTATGACGCTAAAATATGTAATTTTTTTTCGATTGGTTCCGTCAGACGCATTCGATGCATGGCTAAGGTACGAAATTATGATGGAGAACAAGTATAGACCTGGCGGATCAAGCTCGGCGCGGCCCCGCGCCACATTCCACATCGCGGATAATGCATCAGCATCCTATCACAGCACCCATGAGGAATTTTAGAAAATCTCAGTTCTGTTCGAAGGTCGGAATAAGAGTCAGCGCCTGGTGAGAGTGGGCCCCTGCCAATATGACAGAAGCTCTGGCCAGATAAAGCCGTATGAAGCCCTAATAAGGCAATATCGTGTCAGCAAGTCCAGTTGTCATCTATCTTAGACATCATTGGGTTTATCGAATTCCAGTTGCTGACGGGGTTCTAGGTGGGCCAATAGCCGTTGTCATTGTGCCTACATTGCACTTGGATGAATTAAACTTCAACCCTATTTGCCACTAGGAGATCGAAGGCCCCAGTACAGGGTGAATGCAAATATGATACATTTTGTTTGAACTAGCGGACACGCTATTCTACTAGCTAGTATTAAAGGATCGCTGAGCCGACCCGCTTTCCAATTGCAGCTACAAAATTATCGGTGTAGCTGAAACGTCCCAAATACCTCATCCGTCAAGATTACGAGGTAACACAATCAAAGGCATACCAGTGAAACTCTGGATAAACCTCTCTGTTCAACACTGCCAATGTCCAAGCATGAACACAATTGTGCATGGTCCAAGATTGTGAAGCCGGCATACTTCCCTCTGTTTGTGTGACATCCAAGAAGCAAAACTCTACCAATATCTCCATCAGATGCCGAATACGCCTATCTTCTGTCTTCATCTGGTGCTGCCAGTAGTCGGGTACATTCCCTCTCCCCGGCGAAATGAGCTCGTGTTGGACTTTCGGGTTATCAAAGTAGGCCAACCACGCGAGTAGTTTCGCCGCCTCTGGAGAGGTCGATTTTAATCTTGCGAATGATTTGTTCCAGACCGTATGTAGCGTTTTGTTATACTCCGGGAGTCTCATGTAGTTGTAGGAGTTGAAGATCCAATGGTCCTTATACTCCTTGAGATAATATTCAAGGGTGCATTTATTTCGCCGGATGTAGGCCCCGGCTGTAGCCAGCGCTAAGGGAAGTCCCCCAAGCAGCTTTACAATCTCTTTCGCAGCTGGATCTACAACGCTATTAGCTTGGGCTTTTCAAGTGTTTGTCTGTGCGCAAGGGATCAGTCATACCTGTCACACTGTTCGCTCTTTCAGATCGGGCTGCCAGGACCGCCAGACTACCCTCCTCATCCAGCGACCGCAAACAAAAGGAGATACCAGGCACAGAAGTCGGGGATTGAGTGGTGATCAAGATTGAGCCGTGGGCGCCGCCGGGAAAATAGTTGCTAATACTGAATTGATCAGGGTCATCATATTCATCAAATATCAATAGCCACCCTGTATTCTTCGGGTCCGATAGCCACCGCAATGTATGGTGTACGGCATCTTCGCTTTCCGGCATCTTTTTAAATATTCTTTTCGCGATTCGTCTAAAGCTCTCCTTCAGCTTCGACTTGGATGTTGCATTGAGCAGAATAACCGAGTCGTAAGCCGGGAAGTCACGCTCACAGTAGAGCTTTGCGTATGCGATAGCCAACTGGGTTTTCCCCAGGCCTCCCTTGCCATTAATTGTTAGGCATTGCTGTCTTAGAGGCTTCTGGATTGGGTTCAAAATTCTTGTCATTTCCGCGAGTTCGTTGTCGCGACCTTTGAAATAATTGGGATCGATACATGTTGTTTGGCTAAGGTTCATTCCGACGCCATGGTGGAAGCTGAAACCAAGCTCGGGTTGGTTTACTATTTATGGAATCAGCACTGACTTACTTAATACTATCATCGCAGTATTTACCGCCGCAATTGGAGTCGCGAAACTGATCCTTCAATACTCACCGTAATTGTATTGCTGTATGCCACCAATATTTTGCTGTCCATAAATGTTGTTCTGGAGTCCATAGGCCTGGTTCTCACAGCGGAGTTCGACCTCTCTGCCATTATCAAAAAACTTGGGAAGATTCTTTTCTCGTTCAGTCTTCTTTTCTGGCCTTGTGGAATGAATTATATCGTTGTTGGCCAAATCCTCGACGTCCTGGAACATGTCCACCTCTCGGCTCATATCTTCGGATCCAGAGGTTGAATAGCATGTCGATGAGCGATTACTTTCCCGAGGAATTATCCTGGCTATGACCTCTCGCAGTGCACGAGACTTTTTGTCGCAGGCGTCGAACTTCTTATTCAAGTCCCAATAGAGGTTTTCCGGCAAAGCATCGTTTGAGTCGCTTTGGGGATTGCGGGCCGTTTCGCGCGTCATTACCATCGTCCCGTCAAGTGTTCCCCAAAGATTTCCGGCTACTTTGAGATAGTCGTAAGCTCGCTGATAATTCTGAAGTGATTGATCCAGTAATGTGCCGACTGTGGAAAAAACGCCGATATTTTCGATGCCTGGCATGTTCAGGATGCGAAAGATCAACTTTCGCGATGAAGACCCAAAGAAAGAAGGAAAGGAATTAGAAGGAAACAAGAAAGTTAGATAGCTATAAAAGATGACGACGGTCGATGAATGCTCCGCGTAGTGGTAGGGGAAATGGGGGGGGGGCGCCAAATAACTTATATGGAGTACTAGTCAGCGCATCATGCAACTGATCAGCAATCTCAAAACAAGACATTGTTTTGATCCAGCGACACGGTATGACTATCAGCGCTAAGGCAAAGTGTGACGAAACGTCCCAAAATGGCCATGCTGCAGATCTTCCCAGTGGTTGGCCTGGTTGATGTCGTGCCGGGCCAATCATGTTGGGGGGAATAGCGCGCGGCTATACAGACAAGGATTATTTTTAGGATTATCCACACCCGAGAAAAAGATCGATGCAGGCTGTCATCCTGAAGACAAAGGGTGGAGTGATTTCATCTGCCCAGGTGCATAAGAGCTAACTAGACTAGGCAAGTTTGACAGTTTCGATTCGGATGCACGCAATTGGATACTAGTCCCGTGGCCCTTTCATGCCGGGCGCTACTAGTGATTCTACACTATAACTTATGCCAACAAAGTGATCAGACATGATTATATTCATTCATCCATCTATATCATCAACTCTATAGTCATAAATAATCTAACCAAACAGCTTGTCCATAATGATCTGGCCAAAGTTAGATTCCGCCGGCGACTGGTCCATCCGATAGATACGGTTGCCAGCGCGAGCACTCAACCACAACCCATGGTCACTCGAGGTTTCCTCTTCACCTTCGATACGGTGACGATTACGACGATCCACGACACACATACCACGGGTCCATTGGCCAGTCGTTTCGACGCGAATATCTTCAGGCGAGTTGGGTGCGGGCGCCCAGCGCGAATCCTCGGTCGTCAAGGCATACCAGACGCAGACAGGGTCGTGCAGACTCAATTGAGCATCGTCACCAACATGGCCCGGGTGCAGGCGTTCCAAGGTACGGAACGTGTGTCCCATGAACGCATTGACCCATTCCGCGAGGGGAGAACCCTTCTCCAGGAGCGGGGCGACAGCAGTGCGGAACTGACCACGGGAGATGTTGTGGCGCAGAGTGATGTCCAGCGGGAAGAGGCGCAGCGTCAATTGCTTGCTCAACTTAGCTGGGTACGGAGGTAGCTGTGAAGTGGTTGACGGGGGCAAAGTTGAGTTGGGGTTGGGCGATGTAAGAGCGAAGACCCGGGCAGCGGCAAAGGCATCTGCGTAGGCATTGAACTCGCCAACTGGAGTTACCTGCAGAAGTTGATTAGGTCAATTCGGAACTTGCATTGGTGACGCGGTGCGGGGCGTAAGGGGGAAATGTTGGAAAGTGTACTAACATTGCCGGGTTCGTTGACGGCACCACCCATTACAACCACCTCCTTCACGCGGAGGAAAGTCTCTGGGTCTTCGGCCGCTGCCAGTGCCAGGTTGGTGAGGGGACCGACAGCCACCAAAGTGATTGAATCCGGTTCATTCTCGCGTAGTGCACGGAGAATCTCCTTGTGCGCGGGGATCTTAGATGGGATGAACGAATGATCCCCCGAGCAGTTGTCCGCGTCCGCGGATTGAATACCGTGGGAGTCACGGACGGGGTCGAAGAGATGCGCCCACTCCTGGTTGGGAGTGAGATGCGGGTGCTATGCAGCAACAATCAGCTGGATTTGTTCTGGTACGGAGAGGTGATTTAGACATACGCTAGCATGGATACCTCCGAGTCCATCGGTGCCATCTGCGGGGTAATGATTAACCAAAGTACCGTATGCAGGTGAAGGAGGGGGGGAGAAAAAGAGAATGTACGGAAATAGTCTGCCAACATCTTCTGGTCCTCGAGAGGATCCTCGGCGCCCACGGCTACAATAGGGCGCGAGGCGCGCATTGCACCGAAGCCCTCGGGGCGTCCATTCTCGCGACGCCACTGGGCCTCGCGTTCAAGGATGTGGAACATGGACACCACATTGCGAAGACAGCTAATGAAATGATCAGGTCGAGTCGTGATTGGAGGAAGAGGATGAATAACGGCTCACTTTTGGACTTCGATGTTACCAAAGGTCAAAGAAATCAACAAGACCTCGACTTCCTCTGGCTTAGCGGACAGAGCTAGCAGCAGAGCGAGGATGTCGTCGATACCCTGGTTATTATGAGCTGATGTGTAGTAGTAGTGGCATTGAAATCACCTACCGGATCGGTATCGATAATGATTTTCTTTGCCATTGTGAAGGTAGATGATGAAAGGGTGGGATATAAATGGGAAGTTGTTGAAGTTAAAGATAAATTGATTGATTGATCTTTGGTAGTCACCTACCGTAACCTTCGGAACTAATCTGCTTGCTGCCAGGGCGGCTTGGCCCGGGCCTCTCATCCGCCTCAGGCACAACACTGTAGTAATTGCATACTGCATACAGTGACTACGAGTAGTGAACTACTGGTTGACCTAGTATACCATAGTACTCCATACTCCGTCCTATCTCAAGGTCTGTTACTCCGTAGACCATCTCCCGGCACGGCAGATGACCGGGTTTACCTTCCGGCCCCTCGTGGCGGACGTGAAGCCGCCTGCAAGGGATGGCGCCGAGTCCCTGCCGGATCGACGCGCATCTTGAACACTTGGCTGGCCACGCCCAGACGGTCCTTGCAACCAAACACAGTACGTAGTCAGGGAGGGGGAGGGAGTTCCACCGTGGAGGTGGAAAGGTGGAAATGAGATCCCCGACCACTGGAGGAGACGTGGCCTGTTCGCGAGACACCGACAGCTCTCTCCACTGGAGAAACTAGAGAAACCAATTCGATCTCAGGAGTCTGGCTGTACTGTACGGGGTAATCTGAATACCACACTGCCCCCGACCCCAGCTTATCGTATACAGTGCCGGGGCCCCATGAGATGCTGGGCCCTGGCCTGCTGCAATAAGATCGTAGTACTTGACTCTCACCTCAGGTACAGACTGTACCGATTATACTTGCACAACCCGTTGTCTCAGGCTGTGCAACACTTCCTTCAATATATCTCGACATAATGTACTTGACTCGGTTGTACAATCACGAGGGGAAATGGTGTGCCCGTACTGTCACAGAATTACCGTATCGTACCGGAGATTCAAGGTGGCCTCTTCCAGTCCTTTTCTCTCCTGGACTTCTCTCCTGTCTCTTCCTTTGCGACGCTTTTTTCTTTTCCTTCGTTTAACGCCTTCATTCACGCCATCAATTGGATCTTTCCATTGATTTCTCTACCCTGTGTTGTTTTGCCTCGCCTCTTCCCCCCATCCTCTCCCCGTCGTCCGAGCGCAACCCCCCCCATCGCGCCCCCGGATCAACCCTCCTCAACGACGCATCATCTCATCACCATCACCCGCGGACCTGATTTCAGCAATCACGTCCCTTTGGCTCTCTTCTTCTCCTTAAGTTTGGCCTCTTGAGCTCCGGACGGCCTCGAGGCGAACCAATTTCTTTGAGAACCTTGACAGATGCGTGATCTCGATCTCGCCCTTTAAACCCCGATCTTCTTCCTCGACCACCTCCCGCTCTTCGGTCTTACAGTTGCGCGTGTCGACCTAATTGTGCGCGTGCGCAATTGTCACACCTCCTGAACCAAGTTCTCCCCGGTCATTCATTTCCACAACCACAACCATTTCACCACGAAAGGCCAATCAATAGTACGTTCCCGAAAACACCGGTAGACTCAGAAAATCGGACCGGTGGAAAAAGAATTGGATGAAAGAAACTGACCTGTTTCGTCCGTAATAGCTCGATGACCATGAATCCCTATATTAGCTGGGCCATCCTACTGGTCGTGGCTGGTGGTCTCGGGTGGTACTACACCAACGGTGCGGCCCCGAAAGCCAAAGCCCCCGTCCCAGCGCCTCTTGAGAAGGCTCAGGTGGCTCCCAAGAAGCCTAAGCGCAAGACCAAGCCCTCCGAACCCGCCCCGGCAAAGAAGCCCGAGGTGAAGACCGTCATCTCTCCCCCAGCCACCGAGGATGAGGAGCCCGAGGAGGAGATCGACCCCCGGGAGATGGCCCGTCGCCAGACTGCTATCAAGAACGGTATCCCCCAGACCGCTGCCTCCAGCACCAAGAACAAGAAGAAGAAGCTGCAGAAGAAGGCTGCTCAGCTCGAGGTTGGCTCTCACGCCTCTTCGACCACCGGCGCTGAGGCCGATGACGATCTTTCTCCCGCTGTCTCCCCTCTGGTCAGCGCTACCGTTCCCTCCGCCGGTGATGTCGACGACATGATTGAGACCCCCGCCGCTGCCGCAGCTGCCAAGGTCCTCCGTGTTACTGGTGACCTGCCTGCCCAGGCCGAGAAGAAGGCCAAGAAGGAGGCTGTTCCCGAGAAGAACAAGAAGGCGCGTGCCCACCAGCGCAAGAACGATGAGCGCAAGGAGCAAGCCCGTCTGGATGAACAGGACCGCCAGAAGAAGCTGGAGCAGCACCGCCGGAACGTTCCTGAGCTCCAGGCAACCTGGTCCCAGTCCCACGCCAACAACGCCTGGGAGAACAAGGCCGCGACCAACGGTGTCTCCAAGCCCGTCCCCGCCCCCGCTGCTAGCAATGTCCAGCTTCTGGACACCTTTACCCCCCCAGGCTGCGAGCACCAATGAGTGGGAGCAGGGTCTTCCCACTGAGGAAGTCCAAGAGCAGATGGCCAAGGCCGCCGTTGCCGACGACGCATGGACCCAGGTTAAGACCAAGAAGGGCGGTAACAAGAAGGAGAACAAGAAGGGTGGCAAGACTGACGAGAGTGTTAGCGAGACCAGCGCTTCCGAGGCCAAGCCTGCCTCAGTCACTTCTGCTCCGGCTCCTGTCAAGCCTCGGGTTACCATCACCCCAACCTACCTGCCCGACCTGCGCTCCCGCGAGAAGGGTCACCCTCTGGACTCGGATTGGGCAGCCTGATTGACTGATCTCCCCCCTCTCTCTTCTCCCTCTGATCTTCACCATCGATCCCTGATCATCGATCCCGCCGCATATGCCAATCCTCCCTTTCACTGTGACTTGTACTTTTTATCTCCCCCTTGATTATGGCTTTGGCGTTTCGGTTGTGTCCCCATAATACCAGCATCCTTCCCTCTGCTCGACAGAGAGAAGAGACAGCGCGCGCAAAATGCGAGCCCCTTCCATGGGGGACTGGCGAGAAACAAAACCCAATGGGCCTGTGTTTGTAGCTCAAAACGTGTACTTTTTTTTCATTTCTCTTCTTTTATGGTCCCTCTCTCTCCCCCCTCTCTCTCACTCTCTCTCTCTCTCTTTCTAAATTCAATGGAAAGCATCGAAGCAATTAAGCAATTGGAAACAAACCGCAAACCACAAACCACAAACCACAAACCCTGTTTACGGAGAAGTGTGAAAAGTAGTTTAAAATCGAAACCCCCAATCAGGCCTCCTCAAAATGAGTAGGTTGTCTATAAATAATACAAATAATATCAAAATACCAAGTTTCGTTCCAGGGTGAACACGACTGTCGTCACCTTACCCAAAACGGACTAGCGTTGAGTTCCGGGCAGCGTGGCCTGAAGAGGACCGCTTTGTATAACCGGCTCCACCCATTATTTACCTTCTCCGAGTCTACTCCTCTCTTCCTTCAACCTCGAAGTCCCTCGATCTTGCCCCTCCCCTCCCTCCAACCTTCTCAACTCCAGCTCTCTCACCATTCACCCTCCCTCATTCGCCATGGCCCAAATCCGTGGCACTGCGGGCTACAACCTCGGCCACCAGAACCCTTTCGGTGGGCCTGGCAGCGCAGATGCCACCAGCGATCCTAGCCCGCTCGATGCGATTCGCGAGCAGACCAGCAAGATCGAGGACTGGCTCGACACCATGGCCGACCCCGTCAAGCCGTATGTTGCACCTCCGACCCATTGAATACAGCTTGTGGTGGCCGCTAGCCGTTACAAGCTGCTACCCGCCACCGTTCTCCGGGGTCGCCCCCAACCCCAAAACAAGGGATCTTCAAGGCATGCCACTGACACGGTGTTCTCTTTTGCAGGTATCTTCCCGCGATCGGCCGCTTTCTCATCGTCGTGACCTTCATTGAGGACTCACTGCGCATTCTCACACAATGGAGCGACCAGCTCCTCTACCTGCATGATTTCCGGGGCAGTAAGAGACCCTTGCCCACACACCCCCCCTCTCTCCGCACCAGCCGAGGAAGGGCGCTAGCTCAACCCCGACCAAAACACAAGGGAAAACAACAAAAAATTGACAAAAATGTACCGCTGTTCTAACCCGGTTTCTTTGTAACCTCTAGTTCCCTGGGGAATCACACACCTTTTCCTCATTGTCAATGTCATCGCCATGTCCGTCTGCTCCACCCTCGTCATCGCTCGCAAGCGCACCGAGTACGCTGTCGCCGGATTACTAGCCGTGGTCGTCACCCAGGGTCTCGGATACGGCCTCATCTTCGACCTGAACTTCTTCCTTCGCAATCTGAGTGTCGTCGGCGGTCTTCTTATGGTCATATCCGACTCCTGGGTTCGCAAGAAGTTTGTTCCGGCCGGTCTGCCCCAGCTTGACGAGAAGGACCGTAAGATGTATGTGCAGTTCGCCGGGCGCGTCCTGCTCATCTTCCTCTTCATTGGTTTCGTCTTCGCTGGCGCGTGGAGCTTCTGGCGTGTCCTTGTTAGTCTGTTTGGTCTTGTCGCTTGCGTGATGGTCGTTGTTGGCTTCAAGGCTAAGTGGAGTGCTATTATCTTGGTGGTTCTGCTGAGTGTCTTCAATATTCTGGTTAACAACTTCTGGACGGTATGTTTTTTTTACCCTTAAATCGCGGTTTTCTGTTCAATTGACTGACTATTATTATTAGCTTCACCCTCACCACCCCCACAAGGACTTCGCCAAGTACGACTTCTTCCAGATTCTGTCGATTGTGTATGTCTCCTCTCTTTCCAGCTAGCCTTTTGTCATTTACTAATAAATCCCAGTGGTGGTCTGCTCCTCCTAGTCAACATGGGTCCTGGTCAACTGAGCATGGACGAGAAGAAGAAGGTCTACTAGAGAAGGAGAGCAGAGCATAGTAGAGCAAGACGACCAGCGCGCTCCTCTATATACCCCGTGACTTTTACAACCAATTGACAAGCATGGTCCAACCAATCGGAAATGGGTGTGGAATTTTGGAGGAAACCCGCCGGTCCGACCCCTTCGTTCTAAAACAACACATACCGACCTTCTTTCTAGACATTCCCCGCGTGGGTATGCATCTAGTGAAGGTTCCGTTATCCCTTGTCTATTCTCTGTCTTGGCCGCAAGAAGACAACTACTATAACTACTAGTAACTAGCCTCTTCTCTTCATGCGCACGCTCGTCTTGGTCCCTCTATTCTTCAACATTGGTTTTTCCTTTTCTTCACCTTCTTCAAATTTCCTCCCTCGTCTTATCTCCATTTTCACTCTAACATGCATTGAAGGATGGATATCTATCCACAAAATCCTGTTTCCCGGCCTCTCTTTTCTGCTTTTTCTCTCTCCGAGTTCATTTTTCAGATTCAGCAAAAAGATCATGTCTGCATGCAATGCTTTCTTAAAAGGGGTTCTTTGTTTTTTTTATTATCTTTTATTTTTTCACGAATGACAAGTTGCATTGAAGTCATGACTTGGAGTCATCAGTTCGGCTTTCATTGGGGTTTTTGAGTTTCAATATGCGTGCATGAGATCATGATCATTTTGTAGATGCCTAGGTCAAAACGTAGTTCAAGGTCCAAGTTCACATGGTGTTGAGCTAAATACATACGGTGGTGCACGGATGCGGACCTAGTCTCCTCGGTACGGAGTAGATGCATCCATGGATGATGCTGCTTTGTCCATGTTGCCGTCTGTGCCCTGTCTTGAAATTGTATGCATGTAGGCAGACCTCGGCTCAGATGAACCTCTGGGTGGCGACTCAGGTGCCCAAATTCCCAGGTGGTAGTATCCAACTGAAATACTAATCTATGGATGTTCACTCGTGTAGTTACCTAGTAGTACTAGTACTACTACCTTGCGAACGAGGAAGAAATTGGAAGTCGTCTTGTACTTACCTAGGTACGCTCCTTCAAGTTACTCGCCCAGAGAGTCCAGTTGTATATATGTTTGTCTTTGTATGCAATGCACAGTGCTAATTATACTATAACATCTGCCCAGAGTCTAAGTTGTTATTCTTCATCTGCGAAGAGTAATGCTCCCAATATAACAGCGATGGAGGGTAGCGTATGACTATTTCCGGTAAATAACGGAGCACTCATTATGTGATTTCCTTGACAGTACATTTTTGAGATATCAAAACATGCTAGATCATAGAGTAGCGTGGTACGGAACAGATTCTGGGAAATAATATATGAGGATAAGGTGGTGAAACCGATTTCCAAGGGACACAATCAGAGGCGTTTCTGGGGTCGTGTGAAACTTCTTCAAGTTTTCACAAGTTTTATAAGGTTGCCCTCCAGGGCTGTAAACTCTGGCCTCCAATTGGGCCCACTACTACTACTAGTAGGTACTAGTACTAGTACTAGTAGAATGGCACAGGCACCAGCTGATGAGGGTGGAGGGAAATGCGTGTTGTGTACTAGTACAAGTAGTACTGGTTAATTATACTATAGTATCAACCTTGAAACATATAATCATATCCATTCTATACTATTAGTAGTATTATACCAAGAAGAGCTATATGAATCCAAAGCCCTAATTAACGGTCTTCGGCTTGGTACAGAGAAGGTCATCACCCTTATTCTCGCTCTCATCGTCGGTGATAAGACTTGAGGGGCAGCACACAGGTCGGGAGTCGGCCTTGATTTTGCGGCAGCTTTCCTCGAAGTCGGCGGTATTCTGTGCACTCGATGCTAATTGTTCAATGCAGGTCAGCAAGAGTTGGTCCATGCTAAATCTATTTGCGATGATCAGGGCATTAACTTACGGGCCATGCAGACCTTGTAAGGCAAGTGTTCGCTAGTCCACGGCATGTTGTAGCAGCATGCGGCGGTAGGCTGAAGAGGGTTGTCATCGCTGTACCAAGGGCAGACCGGAGATTCGGTGTGATCGCGCTCGGCGAGGGAAGTAGGCTGAGCAAGGGCAATGCCAGCGGAGGCGGCAAGAAGAAGAATAGAAGCCTTCATTTTGAAAGTTTGGATAATACTGGAACTTGGACTTGAACGTGGATAGATGGGTATTTTCGAAACAGCAGATGCGGGTTCAGAGTAGTATATATACCTGAGATCTATCCGATGAGTCCGGTATGGGTGATCTCTTTCCCAGATACATATGTCGATCTACGGAGTAATCGAGGATCTATTGACCTGTGGTTTGAATCTGCGATATCCTAGATCTCTTTTGTCAACAAAATTCTACTAGTCTGTAAATAGTCTGTAAACCATTATCCTTTTTACCACACATTCAGATAGCGTTATGTAAATTATTCCATGATTCTCCACCCTATTCCTCCGATCTGCAGCTATGTAGTATATAACGAGCATCATACTCGTAGACCGCTCGTAGCTGGGCACCACAGCTAAAAACCCCAGCAATCACAACCTCAACCTGCACCCAAAGAACTTTCAGTACCCCACCACAGCTGAAAACTATTACGAGCCGTGGGGAACCATCAAACCCACTCAACCCCACTAAAAGCCGCGATGGACCATAAAAAACCATCAAAACATTCAACAACTCTTGAGACATCTGAGCGTGTCAGCGTCGAAAACAATCCTAACGCAACCCGTAAGCGAACCGATCACCCCAGCAAACCATCAACTTTGATTGAATCTTATTCAACCATAACGCCATATATACGCCATAACACCATATATACGGAGAAAATAAATCTATAGAGGGATAAGAATCTTTCGATTTCGATCACGAAGACTGATATCTTCGTAAGATGAACGCTTAAACTGGCGCCAAATGTAGCCGTTTTCGGTACGCGAATTACAATCACTTAGCCTTGGGGTGTAAAAGAGGCGCCAGTAACGTATGATCTTCTATCTGACAGATACTAGTATGTACATGCCTTTCAATGATAAGACACATAACATATGTCTTAATATTGTTCGTCCATCGCCTCATTACAGATTCTATCCGCAATCTCATTTTTCTCCCTCGGGATCCAGAGAAACTGCACATCTCTCCTCCGCCCTCAATCTCTCATCAAGATCCGACGCCTGCTCCAAGAGATCTCGATTCGCAACATAGTTCCCCGCAGAATTAATCCAGCCATTTCCGCTCCATTTATAAATCCATTCTGTCATACAGTTAACCGCGTATCTCGAGTCGGAATAAATTGTCACATCAAGCCATGGGTTACTGTTTAGATCTTCATACACCTGAAGGGCTTTCTCCAATGCCAGAATAATAGCTTGGATCTCGGCACGCTGGTTTGTTGGCGTAGGATATGAGGCTAGCGACATCTTCCAGCCCTTGTAAACACCATATTTGGTTTCGAAAACGGCGGCAGCGGCTCCAATCGCCCCTGGTCTTCCATTGCCTCTACACCCGCCATCGGTATATATTTTCATGATGTAGACCATGTTGTTGTAAAGACTGCAGATCTCCAGGGTGTAATTAAGAGGCTTGACTGTGCTCTGTATCGTTTATGCGAATGTGTAAGGTGGCTCCGTGGTTGTGGTCAGCTGGTATATAGAAAGTCCTCAAAGGGCCTCTATTGCTTACAAGTTGAACACTGCCAGTGGTTATTTCCAACGAGAATGCTCCGGCAAGGACTTGGGTGTATGTATGAAAGTAAGAGTAGTATTTCACATGCCGTTGAAGCCTTGGAGAAGTAGATTACACTGGCAATAGCAGTGCTTAATGAATGCGGGGTAGTTCGGGCTACGAGCATTTCTGAACGAGACACCGCCCCCATCCGCGAAGGGGGAGAGGCTGATCTATCTCGCAGTCGTAGTGGACCAATCATAATCGAGATTTCCGCATTCGTCACAAGATACTAGTACTAGTACTCTCCATCAATAAACAACCTACTCCAAGTCCCTACTAAAAGGATTATATAGTTATAGATTTAGATACTCAATGCTACTAGGAAATTAATTACCAGGCTTCAAGTTCAAAAATCAAATGGATCATCATGCTATGTATGCGCTATGTATGTAACGGGAACAGTGGATGATTATTATGTTACAGGAAAGAAAAAAGGTCTGTAAGGATAGTCAAGGAGGGTGATGAGAAGGGGAAACTGGGGGAAAAAGAAAATTCAATCAAAAAGGGTTCTTTCTCAATGACCCGACGCAGTGTACTTCAAGTAAGTGTGAAAAGGAGAGAGAAAAAGCTGAAGGAGGGTACGGTGGCAAGGAATGATGTAGGTGAAGTAGTAGGGGGGGTACTTGGTTGTTCGCTGGAACAAAGCCAGTGCCCCCGCGCCAACCCTTTCGCTGTGATGCTGTCGAGGTTGCCTTTTTCTTGCTGTTCATTGTTCGCTGATTCGGGGCCATTTTTGGTCCTGCCATACTCTGTGTCCCTGAAGTTGAGGTGGAAAATGTCGCGTGCGTGGGGGGGTGACGACTTGAAGTGAAGAAAGGATGAAGAACGCTTGCTGCGCTTTTTTGCTCCAAACGCCGTAAGATAAAATCAGTGTAAAGAAGATGGTGAAATGTGGTGAAAGCGTGCGAGCGAGTTTGCGGCAATGATGGTGAGGTGGTGGTGGTGGAGTGATAAAAGGGTGAGTTGATGAGGTGAAGACTGTTAGATGTCCATACTCCAGCGCCATGGGCGAATGGGTTCTAGCTGTCCAAGTCCGACTTCCTCGCGGGTGTCGTCATTGATCTCCAGTTGTAGGCATTGAAACTTTTGTTTGTCCCCGCGTTGAATAGTGGAAAGGGTCTTGGAGATTTGCGGACGGGTATAAACTCTTTCGCTGCCATCAGTAGACTTGGAAGCCGGTCGAGTACCAGGTGTATCTGGATATTTCCACGAGGTGGTGAAGGACTGGTCGTCCGAGTTGGCTAGGGAGGACATGGAGTCCGCTGGAGAAAAAGGAGGTTCGTCCAATTCCTCGCTGGTTTTAGAGTGTCCACGTCCGCGAGATGCGGATGGCCGGCGCGGTAATTGGTCGATGGTCTCGTCGATGGTTCTATCGGCAGGCCCCGATCGATGTTCTTCAATTATAGGGCCCTGTCGGGACATACGGGAGGTACGGTCACGGGCGAAGCCACCCGTACTGTCGCGAGGGGAGGTTGGGAAACGTTCCTTGCCGGCCATTACTTTCGCGCTGGGTGGTGGTTGGAGCATCCATCTTGTATCGGCGCGGCTGATTGGCCCACTTACAATCGGCGGATGGATGTCGTTGATAGGGGGAGACCGGGGCATGTAGTATTTGGAGGGTTCTTCCTGGATCGCACGACCACGTCCTGAGAAGCCAATCGACGACCCGCGTACTTCCTGGGCCCAGTCTGAATCATAATCCTGACCCCAAAGGGGTTCGTCCTCACGTTGGTACCGCTTCCATCGTTCCGCAATTGGGTGCATCAAGCCGCCACTCTTGTCCTTCTTCAGTTGCGAGCTCTGATCCGTATTCCAGCTATCCGTCCGGGGAATCTTGCGGTGTCGTCGTGCTGGAGGTCCGGGGCCCAGAACGATTTCTTGATCCCAACCTTCATTGGTGCTGAACGGGGTCGGCTGCGGGAAGAGACGAGGTTGGTCGGTCACGATGTCGGGGTCGTGCTTTTCCTTTAGACGCTGGGTTCGTACGGCATCCTTCCTGCGCTTTCGCCGGTCAATGCCCTCGGCGCAGGGGGTGCAGGTGGCATAGTAGAAGACCGCGGACTGCGCACCCCGGTAGAGCCACATGGCCGACGTGGGGGAGCGATTGCCCTAGATAATCCTTTTTTTTGGTGAATTTGGTGTCGATTGATTGATATTTTTTGGGGTCTGAGTCTTTGCAGAGTCTAGCCACAGGCTCACGAGGGGCTGATTGTTCGGGGAGACAGGTGAATCTGACCCGATATTGGTTGAGTGCTCCTTGCCAAAAGAATCCACATGAAGGGCTGGTGTGGAGCGGGCGGATCAGGGGTAAAGGAAGAGCGCGGAGGTGATCGCCGGAGAGAGACGATTGAGAAACCCAACGACCAGCGAAGGGAGGGAAAGATAGGGTTAAGAGGAAAGAGAGGGAGGGAGAGAAGAAAGAGAGAATAGGATGAAACGGGTGAAACGGGGGTGTCAGGAGTTGAGAGGGCGAGAGGGCGAGTGGGTGAGTGAGAGGGGGAAATGGGGCGGCAACGTTCCAAAGCGGCTGTCACCCTTTTCTGTTTCTGCCTGCCGTCTGGACCAACTTCACTTTGGGGTAGTCCTTACATCTTATGTACCCATGTACTCCGTACTCCGTACATATTCTTCTTCTCTTACTCTTACTCAGTATTCATACTGGTCTGGTCTGGTCTGGTCTTTTCCTCTCCGACCTCTCACATTACTGAGTTGTCCTGCATACCTCAATGCTGACCGCATCTCCTAACCCTGGGCCAGTGTACACTAGCCACTAGCCACTTGGTACTCCGTACTCTACGGAGTAATCTAATTTAATACCTGCCCATCCCGCGCCAAGCTCCGCCGCGCGCTACTGTACGATGCGATCGGGCAACAGGGCTGTACTTTACACGAAGGGAGGCCGGATCTCAATCCTGAATCCCTGCCTTAGTACGACGTACAATTCAGCCTTGGGTTGTGATTTAATTAGATATTTTTTTTTAATCTTTTTTATTGTCACGGTCCCAAGTATACGGAGTATACCATTCCAGTTCCACCGGGCTGTGGCGGCGGGAAATAGCGAACCCACCGGAGAAGGGGGCTGGTCAGGTCAATGCCATGCGGAGTAATCATAATGCAAGATATCTACTCCGTACTGTAGTTCATATTGAGATGAAGAAGAAGACCCTTGCCCCGCTCGGGAGGCGAAGAGCGTAATGTAATGATTTTCCCCCTGAGACCCTGTCCAACCACAACTACAACCCCGCTGCCCATCCGGGTTTGTGCCCAAAAAGTACCTCCTCGTATGCGCCGGTGATCCCCGTGCGGCCAACCGCGACACGGCCGAGCTTTTGTAGACAGCACAAAGAACCCCACACGTGTGTAGTCGTCAAGATGTCTCGGGAAGCGATTGCATCATTGAGGAGGCAAGGGAGGCATTCGCCTAGCATTGCCCAGCACGCCGCATGTGTCCCATTGGTATGTATAATCGAAAATGGTGAAGTGGCCGGGCTGAAAGATGCTGTTCTGGTCCAGATCCAGGTCCAGTCCCAGCTCCGATCTGATCATGGCTGGCTTCTAAGCTGTCAACTGCCATTATAGCCGGCCGTCGTCCATTCCATCTCCCCATCCCCTATGCAAGCAAAAATAAAGATGAACCTCAGAGTTCCCCAGACCACCAACGCCCGAAACTCTCGATGAAAAAAAAGGTAGTTAAAAAAAAGTGTTGCCTATGCAAAACTGGGCTCATGCATTCTTCGTGTCTCGGATCACTTCTCCCTTCACCTTTGTCCAGTCGATCTCCCCGTCAATCTTCTCATCAACCTCGCCGCAAATAACCACATTGTCGCCGCGAATCAAATAGAGCCCATGATCAACTTGCGAAGATGGCTCGTCGTCATCTGAAGTCCGGATAATGCGCTCCACGGTTTCGGTGAGGACGAGGTTGGTCATTTGGTCCGTTGAAAGAAGTGTTCCGAGAAGTGTGCGACCATCCACGGTGAGGATTAGTACTTTCTCTGTAACAGGGAGATGATATTAGTATATTGATCGAGGCAAGCATTGCTGGACCTTGTACTGCGGGGACTTACTATCAATGTAATGTTGGAGAGACATGCTGGGCGAGATGATGCGCTGGTGTATAGATCTTTGCGCTGGGTGTAATGAGCAGGCTCTTTGGTCTGGAAATTTTGGGCCAAAGCAGCAGATTAGCCGGTCAATCTGCAAGAGATAGACGTTCCTTTCACAGCTTCCCGCACGAGGTCGGCTTGTTTCGACGCTGGGGCTCTTGGATGAACAAAGGGTGGTGCTTGGCGGGAGAGTAAAACGAAATGACCGAGCCGTTGAGAAGAAACGTATACGCGAGCTCGATCGGCGCTGAGAAGTAGCTGTCGGTGATTGTTGGGCAAGCAGGCAGCCAGGAGCTCTCGATAGAAGTTCTCGGGCCGTTTAGGATCGCTGACGAGGGTTCGGAGTGAGGTTGGTGGGGAAGAGAGTTGCGAAAAGTATGCGCAACTGGAAAATAGCTATACCGGTCGCAGTCACAGCTAAATCGAGGAATAGGAGTCAATTGATAGTGTTCGCGTGGGATAATGACGGTCTTAGGAGTCTGCGGGTGTTTGCATGGATTGGCGGTGATCACGTGCCAAGAGCTATGCTCCAAATGTATGCATGGATAGACTTGATTAACCTGACACTTCGAGTTGATTGTTTTTTAATTTGACTACTGCCAGTAGTAGTGACTATAATTTCCAAGTCACGAGAAGGATGTTTGATTTTGCGTGCTCTTCACTGGCAGTTCTCTTGGATGAAAAGGCAGAGGTATCGGAGAAAGATTATTTATCATGTTACGTATTCTACATTACTGTTCTCAAAGCTTCTAAAAAGCTAATGATATACAAATAATGTATGTATAATGTATATCAATTCACTATTTGTGCACAATATCGCCTGCAATGTCCTGTACACTCGCATCAGCCGCTCAATGCTTTTAGATCCAAAGGCACACTGCTGCCTCGGCCAGCACGGTATCTCCGCTCCCCACCACTGAATGGTCGGGGTTTGGAGAGCAATCCATCACTCTGGAATTTGAATCGAGGATCTTCTATTTGGGCCGAGCCATGTGTCGAAGAAGTTCGCGAGTTATAAGCAGGAGAAGATCCACCATTGGTCAAAGTATAGGCACTGGGATCCAGTGCAGCTTGCGGTTCGTGGGAAACCGGGCGTGAGGAAATAGGTGACGGTCGAGATGGAGCTTCAAATGAAGGCGCAGCTGGAGGTGAGACAGGCGGAGGCGGAGGCGGAGCTGCAGGGGCACCTGAGGGTGGAGGTGGGGGAGCGGATGGAGGACTGGGACCGCCCAGGGCAGTGCGAGCGGCTTGAGCAGCAATCGATGGTGCAGAGCCGGGAGGTGGAGGAGGGGTAGGTCGCCCAGGCGCTGATGGTGGCGGGGGAGGAGCGCGACCAGCAGCAGGAGCAGATGGGGGAGGTGGAGGAGGTGCCGGGCTTGATGAAGCCGGAGGAGGCGGCGGTGGACCAGAAGGCTTTCGAGATGCAGGAGGCGGTGGTGCCGGCGGGGCTCTAATTCCTCCAGGAGGTGGTGGAGGAGCTCGTGGGGGAGGAGCCTCGGGGGCTGTTCTTGAAGATGCTGCAGAGATGGTGGACGACGGCCTGGCGGCAGGTCGTGGGGGAGGTTTCTTCAAGCTAGCGACCAACGGATTGATCGGAGATTCTGTAGAAGGTGGTGGAGGGGGTGGACGCGCTCCAGGAAGTTTCGGGGCAGTCAGATGTTTAGGAGGTGTAGCAAAGGGTGCTCGCGTGCTTTCCGAGTCGGATTTGTATGCCGAGTCGGATCGATTGGCGCCAGTATCAATTCCCCCACGGCTGCGCAATTTTGGCATACCACCAGCGAAAAGACCGCCTAGTTGAGCTGCTGGTGACCCTGCGCCTCCATCTGCCCCCGATACTCCTTCACTGTTGCTTCGTAATCTGTTGGCGGCGGCTGGCGATGGTACAGGAGGCGCAAGCCCAGACGGGGCCTTTATGCCCCCGGGAACTGGCGGAGCAGCACCGACAGGGGCACCCCCAGAGCCTCCCGCAGATTTGCCAACTACTGGGGCTGATCGATCATTGGTGACTGCCTTCTTCAACCGAGTACCTTTGTGGATATCAGATAAGAGCGCGCCCTGGGAGTAGAGTTAGCCAGCGATATTCCCCCAAAACCATAAGAAGGCAAGAATGATAGGTGAATCTCCCTCGCATCATGCACATACCCTATCCTTGACTTCTCCTTTACCTGGTCGATTTGGCAGGCTTGCTGGAGGAGGCGGGGGAGGGCCACCTAACCCCCCCAGGCGGCGGCGGAGGGGGGAGGAGGAGGGGGAGGAGGCATGTCGACAAAGTGTTGGTGACAAGCAGGAGGGAAGCGTCTAGTACTTCATGAGATATTTTCGAATGTTATCGGGAGGTGGGTGATCTCCTTGACCAGAAGGAGGTTGTAGGTTGTAGGTTGTAAGTTGTAAGGCAGAAGAGAAGCTAAGACGTCAGAGCGATGGGGGCTGTGGTGGACTTGGACTGTCCAGGGCGCCGGGGCGAACTCTCCGCCTTAAACGCCCTTCCACTCGCCGAAAAAAAGGGCCGCCTGGAACCATCCCCTCCACACCACGTCATTCGTCATGAAAAGAGTCGCCTTGAGGGCCCCAAGAGGCCTCAAACCGCAAGGTCAAGTGTGTCATTTCTGTCAATTCTCCAATACCGCCCAGCGCCGCGCTCTCCCTATAGCCCGACTCCCACTCCCAACCGCTTCCGAAAGTCGCGGTTCGAACAGCGGCCTTGCGCTGCAGTTACCAAAGCGCAGCGTACGATCGACTACCTCCTCTCCATTTCTTTCAACCCGTCGCTATGCTTCAACCTCATCCGCTCAAGAATTGGCCATTAAGGAGGTAGCACAGGAAGCGTCGGCCGTGCACAATGCGGACGAAGTCCCCTCCAACGACACAGTAGTTCAGCTGCTGGCAAAGTGTGAGAAGCTCGCGCAATCCCTCGTCTCGAGCGAGCAGGACCAGTCCGATGACACTTTAAAGAATGGCGAAAACAATGCCATTTCCTCGTTGTTGGACTTGGAGGAGAAGAAGGGAACATCCGCACGAGCAGCGAACGCAGTAAATGGCTCCGCAACCCCCGACCCCCGTCTTGCCGACGCAATTTCGCGTATCGCCAACGAAATCGTGAAAGACGAAAAGGTATTCATTAATGAGGAGGCGCTGGAGATCTACACAAAGACACAAACGCTCTTGCGACGGGCGGAGCATTTCCCAGAAGTCTTCCATCTATATGCCAACAAGCCAGTCCCCGAGGAGAACAGTTCACCTCCGAAATTCCACAAAGCGAGCCCCAAAAATGTCAGCAGTGCCATTCCAGCCGAACTTGCGAATATGGCCTTGGACGTGGCTATCGCACAAAAGAACCTCTCTCTGGTGTTGGCCATTATTGACAACACCTTCTGCGCACCCGCTTTCCACCGCGCTAAGATCGTCAGAAAGGCTGGTATCCCCTTGGGTGGTCTGGCGGTAGCCCCTATGGCTTGCTACGCCCTTGCCACAGTCGCATCTAGCTTCCAGAACACAATGGACCCCAGTTACGCAACGGGAATCGCCCTCGCTGCATCTTTAGCATATGTTGGAGGTACCTCTTCCATTGGAATCATCGCGATTACCACCGCCAATGATCAAATGGAGAGAGTCACCTGGATACCTGGAATTCCTTTGCGCCACCGCTGGTTGCGAGAGGAGGAGCGCGCTGCTATGGATAAGGTTGCCGTCGCGTGGGGCTTTAAGGATCCTTACATGCGCGGCGAGGAGGTGGGAGAGGAGTGGGAGAGCCTCCGCGAATTCATCGGCATGCGTGGCATGATTTTGGATAAGACGGAGCTGATGGAAGGCATGGAGTAAAGAGTAGAGTAGGCACATTGTATTATATCTGTACGCAACCATGATGCCAAATAGGGCCACAAACAAAGAGCTTTCTACATTGAATTACGCAATTACGAGTAAACATTAATACGTAGCTGGAGTAAATGGTTGAGACCAAATCGTGAGTTCATATTTTTGTGGTCACTAAACTATGACACCCATTTTGTTGGATCCCCAGATTACACCAGCGCAATGAAGCGACGGAGAATCTAGTAGATGCGCTTGGGGGGGAGACATGGAAGCCTTGATGACAAGGCTGCCAACGTTCTGCCAGCCCTTCTTAAGCAGGGAGACGAGGTAGTTGATGGCGAGCATCAGGTTGGCAAGGAGCTCATCCTCAGTCAGGTTGACGTGGCCAACGGCGACACCGAGGCAGAGAACCTTCTTAAGCTGGAACTTGATGGTGGACTTGACGTCGTCGACCTTCTTCTGGAGGTCGTCGGCGTGGGAGACGGGAGTGGGGAACTTGCCAGCTGTGGGAAAAGTCAGTAACGGTTCTTTTCGTCTGCCAGACGACTTAAGACGGAAATTGGAAAAACGTACCCTTGGACAGACCGGGACCCAGGAGACGGGGGATCTGCTTGATCAGAGCCTCGGAAGCAAGGAAGGCATCGTACTTGCGAGCAAGCTTCTTGATGAGCTTCTTGTTCTTGTTGAGCTTCTTGAGGTCGTCAACGGACATGGCATCGATACCGTGGTGCTTGGCACGGTCGAGATCGTGCTGGTCACCAAGAATACTGTAGTTCCAAATGTCAGCATATTCTGATTCTAGATTGTCGACTGTCCACTATCATCCTTATCGGTCGCACTGGTGATCGATTCTCGGAACGTTCCAGCGAGGGCTCAAGGAGGACGGAGAATGGCGGGGAGCGAGGAAAAACGCACCAGATGCTCATGTTGGGGCGGGGCAGGTTGGGCAGCTTGATGGTGCCAGAGAAACGCTTGTCACGCTGGGGGTCATAGTTCTTCAGGCCGATCTGAAGCTCAACGGTCTCGAGGAAGTTACGCTTCTTCTCGTTGAGGGAGTACTCCAGCAACTGCTGGATATTCTCACGCACGCCGGCTGTGAATGCGTTAGTGATTGTTCTCTAGTGTCATCGTGAACGAATAATAGGCATAAGGTAGCACATACCGACTGTGATCTTGGACATGATGGCGACAGTCTTCCAAAAGAGATTTTCTTATGGTGTGGTTCTGCGTCGAACGTTGAAGAGCAGAAGAAGTAGCCGCAAATTTCTCCGCTTGTGGGCGTGGTGCGCGGCTAAGCCTAGTCGGGACTAGCGGTGCCCTAGAACGAAGCGCTGATTCATCATTCTTGTCACGTGAAAACACTGATAATAGTTGCCTTAGTGCCTTACACTTCTGGCACGCCGCTTTGTTAACTAGAGTTGCTAGCCTACGGCATGATTAGTGTCGGGGAGCTCCATGAGGAGAGGATAGCCTGTCAGAATTCGAGTTTAAAGTAGACCCGTACGGTCTTGGCCAGCCATCTGGTCGTATGCTCCATCCATCGATTTTCGCTGGCGCCGCGATCCACATAGTAAAAGAATCCTCGGACCATTCTTTTCTTTCTCAGAAATTCCCAGAATTGTTGCTGAAATTCTGGTAGGATATGACCAATCCGTCTCTGGCCCCAGGAATATAGAAGGAAAGCGTGAAAATGATCTAAGATTAAGAGCAGAAGAAGGGAAAGGAAGGGTAAACTGGCAGAGCACGCAAGCCTTACGTAGAAGTTGAGATAAACAATAGTTGGGACAATCATAAGGTAGAGCTTGGTACTACGTACCAATCAAGTAGATTAAAATTATAAATACCATCCCATAAGAATTTAAGTCCCGATACTATGCGCATTTAGGACTCAGATCCGAGGTTGACCTCCATCTCCAGCCCTATCACCCTTTCTTCCCCTCCCGGCCGACTGTTCATCACTATTGCTTTTTCACTCACATGGAACCCCATTTTTTTGTAGAGGCCCTGTGCTGCAAGATTTTTCGGTGCCACCTGGATTGAGATGCTTGCCTTGGACACCTTTTTTCTTCGAGCCTCCTCTCGTATGGAGTTGATAGATGCTTCTACCAGGCGACCTGCCAATCCCCTCCGCCGTGCCTGGGGCAAGATAAACAGCCCCACAATCAAGAATACGGCATGGGCATCACTCAGGTCGTCGTTCTCCACAGTCGAGGGATCAGGGATTTGATATTGCCCGTCTTTGATAAAAGCAGTGTGGAGCTGTGACTTCACGGATGTCACCATGGCATCGTCGCTTTGTCCCTCGAAGCGAACAGGTCCAATGATTGTAGCAATACCCAACCATTCTTGTCGCAGGAGTCGCTGAGTAGCATAATTACTGCCGAATCTTTCGACATATGTTTTGTCTTCAATTTGTTCTCTCTGGTCTGTTTCAGGGTCGATCGCAACAAGCGTCTTGGCAATCGAGTTCTCGACTCGAGATTGCCATGTCTTGTATGGAAATTTGACTTCGTCTTCGTAAAGTGAAGTGAAAGCTTCCGGATCAACCTTGAGGCCGTGTAACCTCAGATCTCTGTATCGTTCCACTATCGCTTGCCGATCCGTTGATGATGGTATGGGGTTGGGAATGGGAACAACTTGCCCCAATGGGTGGTGCGGGGCAGCCATTAGATCGCGTGTAAAAGTGGACGCCTTGACTTGGCTTGTTTGAAAGAGAAGCCAAAGAAGTGATGGAAAAATCTCAAAATTTCCCTGTCCTGGAACTCTTTATAGAGACAAGAAGAGATGGATGGAGGTTGTGACTCAATCGTAAGTCAAAGGGTTGCAATCACACAGCCACACAGCGCCCCCTGCCTTGTAGCCCCAGACCATCAACCATTCGGATCCCAATGAACTTCTCGTACTAGTATGCTTAAAGTATATGGTTGGAGCGAGTATCCATACTGTGGCCCTTTCTTTTGTCATAGGTAGTATAATGTGCCCAGAATGAGTCCAACCAGCTGTATCCATTATTATGACACATCTTGTCGCGAAAACGCCAGATCCGCCCGAGGTATGACTCCCAAGATTAGTCTCAGTTCACCCGAGTCAAGGCAAAAGAGGTGGAAGGATTCAAATTAAGATTTCAGGAGCCATCGGAATTCATCTGGTCATACGACGAACTCCGACTCTTTGACTTCACCACGCCCCATGCTAATTGCCCTATCACTAGTCATACCCAAATCTTAGAGTGACTTCCATGATGTCTAGGAACGGTAGTACCTTACATACAATAAAAAGCCGATTTCCCAACCGCGTCTTTATTTCCGCCATTTCTATGCAAATTCCGATACAACAACTCTATTTTGTCTGAAAAGTGGGCAGTAGAGTCAAATCCAGATTTTGCCAGTCCCAGATCTGATCAAATTGACCGACATCCATATTGGAGAAATCACCAATACTCATAATAGGCGGTGTTTCCATGCCAGCCATCGGAAAGTCCAGATCCGCCGAGGTGGGTAAGAACATACCATTGGCAGGCATGAGCCCCAAAGATGAAGTCAGTGATTCTGAGTTATCGGCATCAAGAAAGTCGAAGTCTGGCGATGAGTCGAAGGCCATTGTTCCAGTACTCGATATATCCCCGGTGGTAGTACCATTCATTGAGGCCGCTTTGTTTGGTGATAGACTTCTGGCGAGCCTGTCGAGAACCGGGTAACAAATTGCACCTGTCTTTGTAACTGGGGCGAGCTGACCCATGAGAGAGCATGCGAGCCTAATTGCTTGAAAAACTTCTTCTCGTTGTGGAAGACTGCGATCTTTGTCGTGGATTATAGCAGAGGAAAGGAAAGCCGCAGTGTCAAATATCAAGAACGTAACCAGGTGGAACTTGGCGTTGATTGGGAATACATGGTCAAAAAGTCGATGCGACACTTTCATTAGATGAAGGGCAATTTCGATCGCAGATGCCCGGCGAGCTCTATCCACATCAGAAGCCTGAGAATCAAATGTCTTGACGAGATACCCTTTGAAGGGTAAAAGCATGGTCATATATCCTATGGCATGTAGTTGGCGACGCTGGAGAGGCACGTATATATGTTCTTCGTCCCATTGGGTGTCTGGGCTCTCTTCTTGATAGGCTGCTGGCAATGAATTCATCCACCTTTCTATATCTGCTTTGATAGAATCGGTTTCAATAGCATCAGTGGTGCCTTCCATTTTTGTGAGAACTTTTGTGATCATTTTGCCTAGCTCGCATTGGGAGGCAATGTGAGAAACTGGAGAAGGCAGACCAGTTGCGGGATCCAAGGTCTCCAACGTCATATTCGGTAGCTCGTAGGAGCAAGGGGCTTGGTTGATGATGAGGGGGCGAGACAGAAACATAGACATTTGCCTGAAATCATCAGATAACTTATCCAATACTTTAGTGAGCATGGAGAAGAAACTTACCAGTCCCATACATATAGCAGACACCAAAGCCGTCTTCTCATCTCTATTTCAAATTCGGACAATCCCGGCTTTTGGTGCTTTTTATGCATGCCGAGTTCTTGTGCTTCGTGGATACAAGAACTCAAAGCATGCCAGGATTCGACAAAAAGAGATTCAGACTTGAACCAAGCTGCGGTTAGGAATAGTTGCTGGATTTGCGCTAGACCTCCTTTTCCAGGGGCGATCGTATCGCTTAGCTGTTTGGCAGCGTGGTGGTAGCTTTCTGATAGACTTTGGACAGACTCTCCTAGTTCTGATTCGAGTTTTAATTGAATCTCAGAGTCCAGATATTGCGATGAACAGGCGCAAACACGAATGAGAAGACACGTAAACTCCGGTGTGAGTGGCTTCCCACTTGCTCGGTCGGACCACCAAGCCGCATAGTCACGAGAAAAGATCGGCGGGTATAAGGCATAGTAACTGAAATTGGTGACTCCCAGATAGCGCTGGACCAAAATGTCTATTCTGTTTAGTAAAAGGTCGACCAAGGTGATCTGTGAACGAACCTGTGTATGGTTTGGGAGGCAAAAGCCGTAAGACATTTTTCATCTCGGAGGACATTGCCTCCGAAGATAATTTCGATGCTGGTGTGGATGACTTGAAAAGGATTCGTTAGATATCAGAATATGCGTTTATGGATAATCTTACCATTGGTAAGGCCTTTCCAAAAAGTGGACTTTGGTCAGGCATGTAACCCAAGTTGCGGAGTTCACCCTTCGCAGCTCGGGCAGGTAAATCTTCTGTGGTGATCTCAATATCTTCTGGTTTAAAAAAATCTGCGGGATCTTCCTCTTCTCTGCCTTCCAGAGAAGGTTTCCTGCTTCTTGTTAGTTCTGCCCTTGTCTGAATTGCTACTATCTGCCTGTTTTCATCGTGGGGCTTACCGCGTAGTTTCATTTGGGACATGAGGAGTCTTCGTTAATTGTTTTTGAGGGTATTTGCAGACATGTGGTATATTTCTAGCCTGGCAATGATTGCATGGCCATTGGCGGCTGCACTAATTTAGAAGTCAGTTCGAAGTTATTCAACAACAATTCGGGCACTTACTTTCTGTTTGCGCCGTTGGCACTCGGTGCAGGATGCTGCAGGTCGCACTGTTTTACCGGCCTTCGTTCCCACCATTTTTATGAGTAGCAAGGATGCCCGAATCTCTGGGTGGCATGGGATGTTCGATATTTCATATCAGAAGGCGTGGTGTGACCAGGGAGGCTTTGGATCGCGGGTGCAACGGAGTTGGCATTGTTGCCTTTGTTTGCAGGCATTAATATTACGTCACATCAAATAGTATGGGTCCAGCATGCCAACGCGTAGAAGTAATCTCATTTCGTTGATATGTAGTCTAAAGAAAGAATCGGTAGTCATTGGACGATAACAGCAGGGAAATATTTCGGTGAATTAAAAATTGCTTTTAAAAGATCGGTTTAGGTCCATAGGTGTCATGACTAAGACCTTTAGGCACTAACTAACTATCCAGGCCAAACATGGAGACAGCAGAACAGCAAAAGAAGCCAATTAGACACCATCGAGTACATCTGACCAAATCCCAAGAGAAAGATCTAGCTGCTGGTAGTTTTCCGAAGCATTTTCAAGACCACAAGGTGTTTGGGGGATTCTAAGGCTGTGTACCTCCCACTTACTCGTCAAATATATATTTGAATTGACCGGGCGCATCTTTGAACTGCTTCCGCACAGTATTTGCTAGTTTTAAGACGGCCAGAAAGTCGCAAATGCCGAAGCCGAAGCTCATTTTGGCCAAGATATAGGTCGTTGTGAATGGATGTGTAAGAGGGAGCCCTGGCGGAGCGCCAATTTTAGGGGCTGTGAAGCGGGGTTAGGCAGAGACCTCGTGTTCAGATGACAGGGAGTTGAATTCTGAATATAAACTAGTATCCTCTAGCTCAGGCCTGCTGCTAAAACTTGAAGATAATACCCACTAATACTAGTACTGATAGTAATAAAATACCCTATTTTGAACTTTGCGACTAGAATACATACTATCTCCAAACTTGAAGGTTGTGGCATTTAGTAGTTTTTCAGGTATGAACAAATCCCTCTAACTCATAAGTCAACTCAGCATATTATTCATGAAGAAAGAACTTGAAATTGCCTCGAATACGCGCAGGAAGATAACGAGGCAACAGATAAATGCTCGTGGTTGGCTAAAATATCAACCTAACAACCTGGAGACCAAAACGATGGATCTTTCCACAAAGCATATCGTACAACAAGGGCATAATTAATCTAAAAAGTCAAATCCACCAGATCTATACTCCACTTTCTTCATGCATGAATCTTGCATCTAATATTCTGCGATAACAAGAGTCATAAGAAGACCACCATCATAGTCGTCGTCACCATTCCATCTGACCCAACCCTGTTAACCCTGCCAACCCTCTCAATACCCTGTGCAGAAAAATAAGATTAACCCAGGTGACCCTCCACGTCAAGCTTTTCACCAAGCAAAGACATCGATCTACTGAGTCGGGCCTAATTATAGCGGGGCTGCAGCTGACCCGCGGCGTTTAGGTGTGACCTCCTGGCGGCAAGTCAGCCTCCAGTGGTCACTTGCCCCTTTTCGGATTGGCAACCTAGAGACAGCCTGGATTCTCGTATTATTTTATTCAGTAGCAATCAACCTTGATCTCTCCACTTTCATATATCTTCATCTGCAGAACTTGTTTTTTCTTTCTTGTTCCCTTGCGCCGTCTCGACTGCACTTGTTGATACGATCGTCCCTTTCTCTTCCCCGCTCTGTTTGACCCGCTCCGATCTCACTATTCTTGGTAACGCGCGCAACAATACGAGACGGCCACGGCTGCCTTCAAGTGAGGTAGCGGAGGAAGCTGGATTTGAAGCCAGTCGCAGAGTCGTTCCACTGAACATATACTCACACCTACACACGCATTCACAATGGCCGAACATACCCATTCGCGGGGTGGTCCCACTCCCCAGGACTATTATGATGGATTTACCCGTGATCGAAGTTCGCTCAAGGACCGGTTTAAGAACATCGACGAGCAAGTCCATTTTGACAATTCCGTCCAGCAGCTCAGTGACCCACATACGAAGAATTTTGTACTGGACTTTGGAAACGACGATGCATTCTGCGCAATGAATTTGGAAACAGAGGATTTGAAATTATTGTTGAAAAAGCCGGTATGCAATTCACCCCCTCGATATCGATCATGAGAGAGCGCGCATGTGTGTGAGAGAGAAGAGAGAGACTGGACTAATGCGCAGTCCTCAGCGAGCGAAATGCTTTGGCACGAGGTGGATGTAAGTGCGATGAAACAGGGCCCATCCACGATCCTTGATACTTATATCTAACCATCAACCAATAGTAACATCTGGGCCCCTGAAAAGCAGAAAGAAACCGTCAAGGTAATCCGAGCTACTACTCTATCCACTGCACTACTACATGGTCTATCAAAACATAGATCACGCTCTAACCCAATAAGGATAGGCAATAACAACACAATACGGCGTCTCAGAACGACTACAAGGCCTAATGTGCACTGAGCCAGTCCTCCCCCGCCCTCAAGCCAAAGAACGGCAATCTCGTTCTCGCGATCTTGACCAGTCCCAAGCGTTCTCGCGTGATGATCTTGAAACTGCAATGCGTGCCAAGGAGGATCTAGAAAGCGTTGAGATGGCGAGTGCCCGCTCCGCGGCCAATCCTGGGAAACTTACTTTTGCTCAGATCACGGATCAGATCTGGCATTTCTCGTCGACGGATTATGGGCCTCGATGTAGGTTATGCGATATGATGTGATATGTTGGAGCAGAAGATTTACAAGGGACTCGGACTGACATTTGTTCAGATACGTGCATTGGCTATAATACTCTATTTGCAACGTCCGATACTAGTATTCCTCGAGAGGAAATGAATAATGGTCAAGACCTTCCAGAGGGTCGACGGCTCTGGACCTGGCTGGTTCTGTGTGATGATGGTAAGTGACAAACTGCACGATGAGTGATTAGTTGACGAGCACCGGGGAAATCTGTTCTTCTTTTTGCTAAGGTTGACCATAGGAACCGTGATCTCAATGCAGGAGAATCTATTCCCCCGACAGGATGCAGAGTTCCAACACAACCAATTAAAGATACTCAGGATTGCACGCAGAAATATCAAATCCATCTTCGAGGGTGTTTCCCGGCTTCACCAGAGCAAGACCGAGAACGACTCGCTGGTCACCATCCGAGTACGCCATTTCAACGATGTGGGTCCGGACCAGGCGAATATCAAACAAGATGATGGACCGAGTCTCCTCTTCTATTATCTCTTTGACGACTGGATGTCAAGCTTCGGTTTAGTCGCAAAGCGAGAGCACAAATACAGCATGCTCTTGGAAGAATTGGTAGGTCCTTGCATATCCCCGGTGGTCGAGCAGTAACTGACAACAGGATTACAGCGGGGCTCAATGCTCGATAAGCCAGTAGTGGATTTGGTGAACGAGTTGCACTGGTTAGGTCGCCGGCTCGGCGTGTTGAAGCGACTGTACCAGAGCTACGAGCTCATCATGCAGCGCGTGCTGCAGCGGCAGCGACTCCTGCGCGACGAAGCCCGGGGCACCCAACAACGACCAATACCCTTTGGAGCCACTTTTGAGGAAGTCGAGTTTGCGGAAAGGCGACAGGAGAGTCTGATGAGCAGTTCTAGCCTTCCATTCACAAATGACAAGCCCGTCGGGGTACTGTTGAGTTCGGCCGCGGTGGCTCGGTTCGAGCGGTTGGCGGATCGCATCAATTTGTACTGCTTGAGTGAGATCGAGACGTGCCTCGGCGAGAAGGAGTCATTGACATTCTTGGTGAGTGATGATTTATTTGGCCACGTTTCCATTACTTGCCAGTCCGGTTCAGCCTGCTAACCTGCGCGTCATGGCGACGATAGAACTTTAACTTGATTGCGCTCAAGGACTCCCAAGCCGTTGAAAAGTTGACACGAATCACGATCTTGTTGGCCAAGGCTACCATTATGTTCCTTCCGGTCAGTTTGATGACTGCCTATTTCTCGACGGAATTGAAGGGTGTCAAGGGGGGGATTCACGCAGGCGCAGTACTGGGTGGCCTTTGCGGTGATTCTATTTGTGTCGGTGCTTGTGTTGACAGTGTTTGGGAAGGCGAGCGATACGGTGGAAGGGAAGACGATCTATCAGTCATTGGTTAAGACATTCTTTCGGAAATCGCGAGAGAGGATGAGCAAGTCCAGCAAGTCCAGCAAGTCCCGGCGCGAGTGAGGGAGATCATGATCATCGTGGAGAGGGTAGAGAAGGTGGAGGGTGGATGGTGTCATGTCCAGGTCCATACCATATCCACGGGGACGAGTCCCACTGGGGATGGCGTCTTTCTTTTTCTTTTCTGGGCACTCGATGGGGCTGATAATCAGCGTGAGCCTATCAGCGGGGCCAACCAGGCGTCCAGATCTGGGTGAAGCCGCTGGGTCATGGTCCAAGTGGTGCGCCCGCCCCTCGCCTCCGGTATTTCAGATACTCGTACGGGACCAACACGGTGTCCTCTGTGAAGGAAGGATGTGATGAATGATATAGTAGATGACCACTGTATAGAATAGGAATCCGAATCTGGCAATTCGATGATGGGTGCCTGTTGGTCATAGCCACAGGGTAAAATAAGAAGGAGAGTCACCGCCTGCGTATTTCACAGGGAAGTGGCCGCTTCCAAACAAAAAAACAGGCCTCTCTCGGTGTGTCGCTGTTACCAGCAACACCAGCAACACCGGCAACACCACCACCACCCTCACTTCCCTTCTTCCCCTATCAACCTCACCTTCCATCTCTCCCCTCTCTCCCACCTCCTCCTTACCCAACTCACACACACATTACCCGGTATGTTATCATCCTCTGCTATTATCTACCCTTCTTTCTGCCCTCTATTTGCCTGTTACCACATGATCATCCCTTCCTTTGCCCCCCAATCCCCCCCTAAACCCTAAAATCCCCGACACAACACGTTTTCCAATCTCTCTCCCCCCCCCCCTCCGCCTTTCTTCTCCCTGATTTGACTTCCACCCAAATCTAACCTCCACTTCCAATTTTCCAGGGCTTCGAGTCTCCGCCATAATGGGTATCACCTTCTCGAAGTTGTTTGATAGACTATGGGGTCGCAAGGAGATGCGTATTCTGATGGTCGGTCTGGACGCTGCCGGAAAGACCACCATCCTGTACAAGCTCAAGCTCGGTGAAATTGTCACTACCATCCCTACAATCGGTCAGTCTTCCTCCGATTCATCTTTGCGACATCGCCACTTCAATTTCCTCGCAGGAAATCCCCCCCGACCGCGCAATACACAAAGAAGCAAAAGGGTTTCGCTGACATTCGACAAATTGCAGGCTTCAACGTCGAGACCGTCGAGTACAAGAACATCCAGTTTACCGTGTGGGATGTCGGTGGTCAGGATAAGATTCGTCCTCTGTGGCGCCACTACTTCCAGAACACCCAGGGTATCATCTTCGTGGTTGACAGCAACGATCGGGACCGTATTGTCGAGGCCCGCGAGGAGTTGCAGCGCATGCTGAACGAGGATGAGCTCCGGGACGCCCTTCTCTTGGTCTTCGCCAACAAGCAAGATCTGCCTGTAAGGATTCAATCTCAACATCCGACGAAACCCTTCCCTCGGATTTTCATTCCCTTTAAACCACTGCGGGAGACCCCGAGTACTAATGATGATGCGCTATGTTTAGAACGCCATGAGCCCCGCCGAGATTACCCAGCAACTTGGCCTCCAGAGCCTGACCCGCCGTGCTTGGGTAAGTTTTCTTTCTACACCACCTCCAAGAGGGCTGGCTACTTGCGCTTCCTGTGTTGTTCCTCTGCTAACACTGACACCTCCCAGTTCATCCAATCCACCTGCGCCACCACCGGTGACGGTCTCTACGAGGGTCTGGAGTGGCTCGCCGACACTCTCCGGAAAACGAACCGCGATTAAACGGATATAATACGAAATTGTGATGGGGGAGGAGTGTGTACGTAGCAGAGCAAGAGAAATACCACGGAAAATCTGCAAATGATGGATTGATGATTATGGCGGAGTTCTTTCACGAGGCCACCATCCTGGATGGACAGGACCATTGGCCGGGTTTGCGTGTTTTTGCTCACCATGGCTTTATTTCTCTTCGCTATGCTATTAGCCTCATTTGTTCTATTCTCTCTGGCGCCACGTCAAAATTGCTGGTTTCTCCTTTTTCGATTGATTGCATCATTTCTATCAGTATCATCAGTTCTGATTCTGATTCCGATTTCTGATCTGTCTCTGTGCTAATGGCTCCGTACTTTGTAGCTTCTCCGACCTATAATTATGCCCAAATTAAGTCTCTCAGTCTATACTCTACCCGTATACTCCCTACCAGAGTCTGCTAGTGGTTCATCCTTCCCACCTAATTGAGCAATCATCTGCAGCCAAATTTAGCAGCACATGCGTAATCCCTCATTTTCTCCTGTGGGCTTGGCAGATGCGCCGAGCCTTTTTTCTTTTTCTTTTTCTGTTTATTTTGTTGGTGATTTAATATGAAGCTGGTGCAAACTGGCCCCTGAACTCTTCCATTCAGCCCTATTGTGTTCTCTATTTTCTATTCTCTGTGTGGCTGCTTTGGTCTCCTCCGCGGCAAAAACACCGTCACGCCCCACGAGTGATTGCCAGGCCGACGATCTGCCACCACTTCCATCGCGTGCATCTTCTCCTCTTCCTCTTCCTCCTCCCTTCCCCCTTTCAACCCACTAGCGTCCGCTTCTATTTTAAGAGTCGTACTTCTCCGACAGATGTACCGCTGAATTGTCGCACTCCTCCCTCCCATGTTGACGACTGCCCCGGCAACATGACCGTCCAGGCCAGGAGATCTTCCGCCGCCTATAACAAACCCTCACCTTATAACTCACGAACACACGATAGCGATGTCGAGAAACAACCCATTGGCCGTCATCCCTACCGCCATCACCGTCGCAGCGATGACTCCGAAAGCGAATCCGAAAGCGACGACGCCGACGGCCCAGAACACTCCTCCACCTCCTACCCACCTGTCATGAACGGCGCGGGCCTGCGCCGTGCCCAGGCCGGCGTGGGTTTCCGTGTACCTCAGCGGATTATGCGATGGCTCTGCTTCGCTCTCTTTGTCTCTCTCCTCCTGTTCGTCCTCACACTCTTCCGGGTCACCATCTCTTCGTCGATCTCGCCGGTCGTGGTCGAACTCCCTAAAGCCAACACCAACAAACCTCCTCAATGGGAGAGCTTCCCGATGCTGAGTCGCTACGAGGGCGGCCTGTCAAAATTGGTTTCACGCAAGGATAATGTTCCCGAATACCCTGGTGATGGCCCAGAAGGCATGCCACTTCCGCGGGATGACACTTCGTCTACGGACGGTGAAGAGAATAAATTGAGCGCCAGGGACTTGAAGCCGACTATGTCGAGCTCGGTTTTCAACCCATACCCCGACTACGCGTCTGCCGACTACATCGGTAAATATGGTGAGAAGCGCGAGTGCTTCTTGGACAAGGACGGCAAGACTCGCGTACCGCTCATCCAGTCCTACCCGGAGTCCCAGAAGGGTTCCCAGACCCAGCCATGGGCTCGAACTCAATTCTGGGGATCCAGGATGATATGTGCTTTGATCGGTTTGGTCGTCTTGGCCCTTATGGATTGGGGTACGGGGTCAAGAAAGGCGGCATTGGCGCCGGTCTGGAAGGCCACCGCGATGGCGCCGAGCGCATTTGGGAGGATTCCCCTCCAATTGACTATCGTGGCGTGGATTGGGCTGGCGCACAGCAGAGGTGTCACGCTGCGAACCGCCATCGCTTCAATGAGCTACCAGAGCCGCGCCTGAACCGGTTCGTTTCGATGCCCGTGGGCGTTCCCAATGTGAACATCCCCTCCCTGGAGGATAGCTCGACAACGAAGCCTAAGGTTGGCTCGGATCGACTTTCGAGGACTGCTGTCGTTATTCGAACCTGGCACGACTTCCAGTACACCCCCGAGGATATTATGTATTTGCGATCTGTGATCTCCGAGCTGTCGCTTGTTTCCGGTGGCGAGTACACGATCCATTTCCTCATCCACGTCAAGAACGCCAATCTTCAAATTTGGTCGGATGACGAGACATACCAGCGTGTGCTGGACGAGGCATTGCCCGAGGAATTCCGTGGTATGGGGACACTTTGGTCGGAGCAGCAAATGGCTCTGATGTACCCTGGCCTGGAGGAAACCTTGACTCGTGGCTTGCCCATCCACGGTGTATACCGCAGCACCTATATGCCTATGCAGTACTTTGCCTACCAACACCCTGAATACGACTATTTCTGGAATTGGGAGATGGATGCCCGCTATACTGGCCACTGGTACCATCTTTTTGACAAGGTCGCCGAGTGGGCTAAACAACAGCCTCGCAAGGGTCTTTGGGACCGAAATGCCCGCTTCTACGTTCCCTCTGTTCATGGTTCATGGGATGACTTCCGCCACACAGTTCGCGTCCAGACGGAGAGTGGTACCAACAGCCCTAACAACCTTTGGAGTCCTAGGAAGCCCGGCGCCGATGGAGAGAGCGCTAGCAGTATGATGCATCACCAACAAGGTGACAAATCTATCTGGGGCCCCGAGCGACCCGACGAGCGTGATATTTTCGAGGTGGAGGGTGAAGGAATCCCACCGACCACGATGGAGAAGGACCAATATACCTGGGGCGTTGGCGAAGACGCCGACCTTATCGTTTTCAACCCGCTGTACGATCCCGAAGGCACTACTTGGCTACTTCGCGACGATGTTACAGGCTACAACAAGGAGAAGGGCATGCCCCCGCGCCGTACTGCAATCATCACCGCTTCTCGGATCTCCCGCAAGCTTCTCACCACCATGCACCGTGAGTGCAGTCTTAAGCACCACAGCATGTTCTCAGAGATGTGGCCCGCAACGACAGCTCTCCACCACGGTTTCAAGGCCGTCTTTGTCCCGCACGCCGTCTACATCGACCGCCGATGGCCCACGCGCTACTTGGAGTCTGTCTTCAATGCCGGTCGTAATGGTGCCTCTGGCGGAGCCCGCACGTCTATCTTTGGTGAACGCGAGCACAACTTCAGGGGTACAACTTGGTTTTACTCTGCCGGCTTTTCGCCGAATATCTGGCGCCGCTGGCTTGGACTGCGCGTCGACAACGACGGTGGCGAGCAACAAGAGTTGGCCGGCGAGGGCCGAATGTGTCTCCCACCTATGCTCCTACATCCAGTTAAGGGTGTGTCGATGGTTATTGACGACGGAGAACATGCTGAGGATATGTGAGGGGGGGAGATGCTTGGTGTTTTTTTTTCTCCCCTTTTCTTATATCTTCCACAAATCGTGGTTTTCTCCATCATGTCTAGATACCCACCACATAAATGTCCCTTAATTTACGGCCCCCCCTTCTCCCCGTCCCCCCCTACCGCACCTCATGCATTTGCTTTTTTCCAATTTTGGGTAGCTGGTGGTCAGCTGTGATCAGCTGGCATGATTGCATAACTTACTCTTCCTGTATAATGTCTCTTCATCCATTACCTCCCTGCCCGCAATATATGCGCCCACCCCCAACCCCAGCCCCTTGCTCTAGGATATGTTTTCTTCCCGGCACTGTGATGGTCATTGTACGAAAAAAGAATGGCGTTTCCTCTGTCTGGTGAAATCGGTGTGTGGGTGTGGGTGTGGGTGTCACAGACCATGTGTCTCGTGATGCATTTTACTTCATGTCTCAATGTCCCCAAATTCGCAGTCTAGTGCCTTAGGTATTTCTAGTTGTGAATTCGAATATTGTCTTTGTATACTTTTTAGCTCTGGCGTGAATAAATAGTAGGAAGTCTGCAATTGAAATAGAATTACTTTGGGTGTCTATTCAGTCAAGGAGTAGTGAGTAAAATTCAAGTTGGTGTATCATGCATGATATTATTATATGAGTAATTCTACTACCTGTAGCGAGCCAAATATTCACTATACAGTATGCAAATGCCGCTATGTCGAAGAGCAGAAAAAGAAACGAAAAAAAACCAGAAAGGCATCATCACCTTCATAATACCACCCCAAAGAAACAACCCCCATGATCACTCCACTAAAAGAAAACTAGTCAAACCAAAACTCAATCCCGAAAAGCAAAAGGCGACCACAGGGGCGACTTACGCTTCCCCGGCGCCATAATCCTCATAGAAGCATTAGAAATCTGCTCCGAGCAAGACCGCCGCTGCGAACGCCCATTAAGCGGCGACTTAACCACGAACGACGCCGGCGCAAAACAAATACTGCATTCATAGATCCCATCCTTATCAATGCCGAATGAGAGACAAGTCCTGCAAACTCGGTGCCCGCACTTTGTCAGTAAGACGTCGACACAGTCGCCGCCCATCACGCATGTATGGCAGAAATGAGTCGGGAATTGGATGCGCGGGTCTTGCATGCGTCGTTCGATCTCTGAGGCGAGTTCTTTGCCCTTTTCGACGCGGGCGCGGAGGAGGTGGACTTTTGTTTTCAGGGATTCTAGGGCGGGTTTATTGTATGGGTTGTATTTTGAATTGAAGTTGGCATTGACGAGTCCAGGTTGTGCTGGGTCTGTGTTGGTGTTGTTCGGGATGAGCGGTTTGTGTAGTGCTGGGACTGGTTCGAGGAAGATGATAGGGCGGAAATGTTCTGAGATGGGCTTGTTTTTCATCGATTCGTGTTCGAGGAGCCAGCGGCGTCGGATTTGACGGTTCAATAGCACTGTGAAGTAGACGGAGAGGGCTTGCAAGGCGCGCCATTCGGATATCGGGTCCAGAGTGAGTGGTGGCTTGGTGTCTTGGGATGAGCTGCGCTTTTCCATATTGCAGATGTCCATATGTACGAATTGTATAATTCAATTGAACACTTGGAACAGGGTGGCGAGATATTTGATGCAATGGGATGGATGTTCGTTGATACCTCTTCCCACTTTCCAGCCCAAAGTTGCGATCTTTGATAGAAAACATTCGACAGCAATTCTGATGCCTTGTAGTCTGTTTTTATAGATTTAAAAGGAAAACATGCAACAAAATATTGGTTCGGCCGACGCATTGCCGTAAATCCGATGGAGCCCTGGCTCTTGAGGCTCGCATCGTGCCGGCGGATCCATACCTCCGTGGCTCTACCCCAGACTAGAACTGGCCAGGCTCTTGCAACCAGGTGGCGTCAATCGGCTAGTGCACAAATGGAATGCAAGAAAAAGAGTACAAAAATGCAAGATTGAATCCAAGTGGTCGGGATCAAGATCCTTTCCTTGGGGATGGACCCTGGTTCCCTGGATCACAACCGTTGCCACTCGGCCGGAACCGAAGGCGATCCGAAGGCTCTGTCAGCCAGCTGTTTGGTCAGAGGAAAAGTAATACGTCTTTAGACAGACGAATTAAAATACTTGGATTCAATTTAAGGTAGTAAGGGGCGAGGCTAATCCATCGGTATCGCCGGTCAGTTATGATCTCACTTCTAGGTCAACTAGTTTAGCGCCTCGGCTATCGGTAGCCCCGTAGGTATTATTCAGCTGCCAAAATGAATCTTATATTATTTTCTTCAACACTTTACCTTCCAGATGGAGCCTGGTACAATTTCTTGAAGCCTGGAACCGAGGCTCTGCGCTAACCTACTGAGGAACGTTTGTCTCTAGTTCTTGAATTTTGCACATAGAACATGTAGCTTCTATCGCATAATGCATAGTCGTGGTCAATGGGTCGCCAGGAACGGGCGTCATACCAAATATCTCAAGGGTTGCCAGACGGTCTAGAACCTGGTGTAGATCGTCGACGTAGTCGACCCATCTGATACCACATCATCTTCTATACGAGAAATCTCCCAACTCGAGATAGAAACACCATCAAACCAAAATTTGTAGTGACACGTGCTGTCTTGGAGAACGTAATCAGGCTGGTGGTCGACTGTAATATTTACTGTTGAGTTCGGTCCAATATTGTCACTCTTTCCATGTTGCGCAGAGCGTAGCTTCAAGTAATTGGTTGTTTGAATTTCCAACCCATCTCCAGCTGCCTCCATGGGGTATATCCGGATCGGGAAACTAGTGCCGCCTTCTTCTGATAATCGCCAGATGGTTTGTTTCGTGTGGGATGTCATGCCGGCAGAATCCGAAATTAGCTCCTCGCAGACATACTCCCTACCATATGCAGGATTTGTGGGGTACCGTGGATGAAATGTCACTGATCCACCCATTCCGCCGATATATCCCCTTTTGGCAAGTTTCCATTCTCCATGAAGAGCTCGGAATATGGCCGTCGCTATGCCTGCCTGGGAGTCAAGAGTATTGGCATCACCAGTACCGCGAAGGCCTACCAAGGACAAGGAATCCAAAGTTGACTTTGCATCACTGTTCAAGTTCTCTATGCCCGAATTCTGACCATCTGTGGAAGTCAAGTCATTGTAAATATACCGAGCAGGAATAACAGGACCAGAACCCTCAATGCCTCGCAAAGCAGTGCGTTCAATCCCCAAGTCCTTGGCAAATGTTTCCATAAGCCCTACATAGTCACCCATCGGAAATTGGCCTCGCCAAGTCAGCGTGGCTGGCTGTCTCAAAAGTCGAATATTTTGCATCTGCGACTCAGCCGTAGCGAGCTCATGATTCTCCTGGGCCCATGTCTTGCCGAGAAATCGTGCTTGCATCTCTATGGCACCCCAGTAGGGACCACGATAATATCCGACGAAGCCAAGGTCTGGGATTTCTGATCGGAGACTGCCACCTTGGTCTAGAACCAGTGGGAGGAATGAGTCATCGGTGGTATATTCCAAGGTAGACAAGATATCTTCAGGTAGAAAGGATAGCGATTCAAACGGGGTGAATCCTGTAGCCATCACGATGGATGCGATGTTCTCCAATGTTATTGATTCGCCATCTGCGGTCTCAATCTGGACAGCTGCTAACTTGTTGGTAGGATCTGGGTGGATGGACACAGCTCGACCCATCTTCGGTACGATCGTGCCTGACTGGACGAATCCAGCATAGTCGTTACCTATGGCTACCCAGGGCGGACTGGAATCCGAAGCTCCTGGTCCTCCTTGATGCACGTGTCCGAGTTTCTCGTATTCTGCGCCAAGCAATGATCGGAAGTATTCACTGGTTTTGGCTACCTTTTCTTTTGGGATCGGTCCAAGATAGTATTCTATTGGACCGACAGGCCGGCGATCCAAATCATACATTGTCAAGTCGAGTGGAAGAAATCTAACCCTGGAAGATGGGAGTGTATGTGGGAGATAAGTTGGTAATGTCCAAAATGGTCTTGACGATATGTGATATATTGAATGTTTCAAGTTTGCTGGCGTACTTTTGCCCTCATTCACACCATGAAATTTGGAAGTAGAACGATGCAGCGCAAAAGTCGATGCGGATTCCACGCCAGACATACTTCCTCCGAGAACGAGGATATTCCCTCGGGAGAGGTCTTCATCGTTGGCAGCGTCATGACCTTTGGCGAGAGCCGAGCTGTGGACAACTCGGCCGTTGAACTGCGCCAACCCTGGTATTTTTGGTATATGAGGGCGAGCAAAGTATCCAGATGCCACCACAAGGTAGTCAAAATCCTCGGATTTCTCTGACTTGGTTGCCTGTGGTTGATCATGATCAACTAATTGGGTACTAGAGAATTATATAATCTCAACATTTGCTCTAAAAAGTCATGGCCAAACAAGGGCCAGCTGGGCACATACCTTTTCTGATCCCAGAAAACTCTCCATTTCGTAGAAGAATCGGGTTGGACCAATCGCTCAGTCCGCCTCACATAGCTCCCTAGCCTGAAAGCATCCCTCGGGATATAGCGCTGTGCATAGGCCGCCAAGTATTGGCCAACTTGGCTGGCCTGCGGAAACATCGGAATGTCACCATCTTCAATCACGGACTCCCAGGCGAGATCGGAAAACGCAACTGTGAAGCGGCTGAGATTCGTGCGCATCCGGGGATCCAAAGTCACCGGGTCGCTGGCATCTCGAGCTTTAGTGGGGGCGGCGCCGGTGTTCCAGAGACCACCGACTTCAAATCGACTATCAAATACCACTGGAGCGAATTTCCCAGGTGGGAAATTATGCAACAGTGTTTTTGCGGTGACCAGGCCGGATGGGCCGGCTCCTAGGGTGGAATTGGATTAGCAGGTTGTTCGGGGCTAGAGTGCCCGATGACCGATGGGCGACCAACCGATGATAGCCACTTTTTTGGGTGGTATAGCCATAGAGTTCTCTTTATGGAGTAGGATATCAAAGTGATAAGATCCCAGGTAGTGTCCTAGGTGCAAAGGCCAATAAACCTTGGGAAGCACCCGTCATGACTAGCAGTTGTGGTAAACCCTAAAAAATCCCCCGCGGTGGGGGCATCAACTTGGCACTGGCACATCCCCCCTCTTCTCTCTCGCCCCTCGCCCCCTCTCGACATGAACAACGCATAACTATGATGCTAGATATATTGGGCAAGATATGCAAGTATTGAAAATCTTATATTTTACAAAAGGTATTGGTATTAATATGCAAGTCATGACTTCTTTAGTTTAGCGGCCATTCGTGGCCGTGTCCAACAGAGCCGCAATGGGCGATGGGCCCACCGAGAAATGGCCGACTGTTGAATCACGATCTGATCACTTGGCCAGCGATGCAACACTGAGTTGAAATAGTTACACCTTTATCAATCTATGCTGTCTCAGATCAGAATTATGTACAAGTGTGTAGGGATATCATGGACGACGCCTTGCAACCAAACGCCCTCACGCGACAGGAGGTTGGCAAGAGTGGTTGGTAGTTTGATCCGATTTATCCGATGAAGAATCAAACATGAGACCAACGACTGTATTTGGGAGCCGCTTTTGCCGTCCAGCCAACAGCATACGCCCAACTAGGGGGCGTGCATGAGTAACCACAGTCCACTTTGCGCCATGACGTTCACGCCAAGGCGACAGGATACGAAGATGCACTCGGCATCGGGAGCCAGAAGGCCGACAAAAGTAATGGGAATCAATCAGGCGATAAGAGGAAGCAAAAGCCCGGATTGACTTTTAGTGGTTACGCCCCGATCGGCGTGCGGGGTCGACGACTCAAAGGAAAGGTCGAGAAGAAGGCTAGTCGAACTCAAGCACGACCGTGCGGCCGTGGAGGTGGGGACGATTGTAACCCATGGCTGGCCATGGTTGGTATCTTTCGAGCTCAAGAAACGTGTTCCAGCCATTCAGCCACCTGGATGTCTGGGGTGCGCTGAGTTGGCGTGCAGGCCTCGTTGACTTCCTGTTCTGTCACGAAGTTGTCGACGTTCCGGTGGGTCAATGGAATCTTATATTGGTTCTTCCTGCGAAGTTCCTCCTTCTCTGCGAGTGCTCCTGGCGATATCTTCGAGAGAGTATCGCGTATGCGTCGAATGCCAGTATTAGGGAATGATCGAGGTACCTGTGGAGGGCCAAAGGGAGTATCGACCTTCCATGGCTCTTCGGATGTAACGGAGCGACTGGTTTTGTTGGGTGACGAGCGACTTTGCGACATGATGAAAAAAGAAGAGGACGAGGACGAGGGTTCTTCAAGTTTATCTGTAGATTTTTTGGAGGCCGAAGAGAAAGTGGCGACCGGGAGGAAGACCATGATTAAGTATCTGCGTTGATCGAAGGAACTGGCTCTCGGGCCTAACCGCGAAAATAACTCCGCGGGACTCTTGGAGCGTAACGGTCTGATTGGGGCCCAGTATCCGACCCAAGGGGTTTAGGGTGCATTAGTCGCTGGGTTCGCTAGAATGAGCACTGTCGAGGTGACAGTTTTTGGGTCCAAGGCTCACTGAGCGAGCAGGGTTCGGACAGGGTTTCGTGTGCCACCATGTGGTCGAACAAGCGTGGAACTCCCAAGGACTCTTTCTCTCGCTCTGACTGGCTTCTTTACGTCATCTCGGTAACGAGGTGCCGATCCAAGCCAGCGACCAGTGATTTTGGGAAGGTTGCCCGGTGGAGCCGGTGTGAATTATTTGCTTCGTGAATGGGCGCCATCCCGGGGCGGTAAGACGGTACCTGGTGGACGTAGGGAGAGAGGGAGAGAGAGAGGTTAGCGGGTTGATGATCTTCATTTCCTAGGACCGTTTTGTCCGTCGGTCAAGAAACATATAATCTGCAGCACAGGAGTGGTTGACTCTGTGAGAGGCCTTTCCCCAGATACGAGGACATACTCGTCACGATATGTACATCTGGTGGAGATCTACATTTATTAGAACTTCAAGTTGGAAAAGAAATCACATCAATACTATCTTCAAGAGTCACCGATCCGAGTCTACGCAACTGTCTGCGATTCTGGAACCTTGATCCTAGCACACCGTGAGAGTACCTACCCTGGAGATGAGCTATTTACGACTAGCTGGATCCCTGCAGAACCCCGGATCAGATCGTCATCCGCCCTATTGCCACTCTGGCGGCAATCAGCCTTCATCTTCCAATTACTATTACAGGATGACAGGTACCCTTAACTTGACTTGGCGTTTGACTCGTAACACCGCAAGGGTCAGATCGTCATCGTGCCAATCATTGTCGGAAATGGGAAATTCCGGAAAGGCGACTATCGGGCATTTTCGCATCGGACAACCACAAATGGCGTAGGTATAGCTAATAAGTGTCGTATGGAAGCTCATTTACAAAACTTGAAGCCTGGATTGCTACATGCTTTTTTTTCATGCCCAGAGTCTCCACCCATCGCTACGTGTTTGTCCCACTCGTGGAGTTAAGAAATGATCTTTATCTTTAGTTCCGGTCAAATGCGGAAAATGTCGCTCTTTATTTTCGATCCAAGGGCGCAATAGCCCGATATTTGATGAATCACCAGCAGCCTGTGCTTAGTATGTATACCTAAAACTTGGGTGATCATCTCCAAGGTTGCCAAGCTCGTCCTCTGGGAGCTGGTATCGATCATCTCGCTTCCCCATATCACGTAGTTTGTTCTCTCGCTTCACCCAGACTAAAAAGATTATACAGGCTAGTCCGCAAATCCACGTCATTCCCAGACTGACACTAAATCCAGTTTTATAAGTAGGAGCCTCCGAGTCGAAGAAGATATTGCTTGCAACAAGCCCACCAATATTACCAATGCCTACCTGCATGGCGGCGGCAATCGACTGCTTGTAGTGACCTCCCATATTATTGCTGATCCAACCCAAAAGAATAGGCTGTGTAATATAACCCCCACAAGTGACGGCGTAAAGGGCAAAGTACCGTGCGCCCTTTGGAATTGATTCTTGGCAGAGCAACAACACCCATCCAATGGAAGCGACAACACAACCAACTATTGTGAAGGTGAACCGATGCTGAAGCTTGTCACTGACAACAGCAACGCATAGCGAGATTACTGTTGCAGCCACATAGATTGGAATACTCATCACCTGAGCCCGTATCGCAGTCCAACCGAGTTGCTTCAGAATTGTCGGTGTAAAAAACGAGCTCGCGTAGCCACCATTCACAATGCCAAAATACATCATCGGGCTGCAAAATGATTAGTGATTTCGAAAGATGACTTAGTTTCTTTGGTACACACCCAAGCCAGATTTTTATATCGCTAAGGACGCGTTTCCAGGTTGGACCATCCAACCGATCCATTCGTGCCTCGCCATGGTCAGCTTTCAAACGGGATAACAGCAGTTCTCGCTCCTCTTCATTCAAAAAGGTTGCTGTCTCGGGCCAATCGACTATCAGAAACTTGGACGCAGCAGCTGCGACGATCGTAGCAAGACCTTCAATGATGAAGATCCACCGCCATCCATTGTATCCCGCTATTCCCGCCATATTAGCAATCCCATATGCGAGTAACTGTTCATCGACCATTTAGTGCTGTTTTTCAATATAAGAATGATGCAAGAGAGTTATGCCATACCCCACTGACGGCACCGGCCATGATGCTTGCACTGAAGAACAAATTCATACGCCACTGTAGCTCGTATCGCTTGTAGTACATTGCAATCAAGTACACACATCCTATCAATGTCAGTCAAATCCCGAGTGTCATGTAAAAGGTGAGCAAACCTGGCATGAATCCAGCCTCAAAAACGCCCAACAAAAAGCGGCAAGCGACCAATCCACCAAAGCTTTTGGTAACACCTTGACAAACCGTGACGATTCCTGACACCAAGGCGAACGAGATTAATGGCATTTCTGTTTCTGTAGTAGTTCTTTAAACTTACCCCATGCGAACATTAATCCGCTGATCCACCAGGATGGTGAAACCTTTTTCAAGATAAGGTTGCACGGAACCTCGAAGAGGATGTAAGGGATGAAAAATATGAATAGCGCGATGTTGTAGTCATGCCCCTTCATGTTCAAATCTTCCTCTAGCCCCTGTAGTCGAGCATTGCCGATGTTTATCCGGTCGAGAAAAGCGAGAAGAAAGAGGAAAGTTAATATTGGGACAACATGGATATCGAGTTTCCGTAGTAATCGTTTCTCGGCCTCACGGTCGATCACAGGCATTGGCTGCTCTGACTTCATCTCTTCAACCTGCTCGTTCTCTAGGGCTTTTTCGGTGGGTTCCATATTTTTGAATTGCCGCTAGGAAACCAGCGCGAAGATTAATCGGCGGAACTGAGCTGAGTATGAGCTTCGCAACAGTCCGAGACGGCCCTAGGAATCTTGTTCTTGGAATGAGGGGCAAACAACCGATCGTAAGCAATGCGTTTGTGAGTTATCTGAATTGGAAGCATGAGACGGGCATCTTTTGTTTAAATACAACCCTGGGGGAGACTAGAAAACCATGTGAGACCTCGAGAGTTTGGGAGTGCTGGCGATCATCTCCCCCGCACACCATTCCTGGTCCTTGTTCCGCTGTTATGGTGCCTAGATGCACCTTGTTTCCGCTTCCAAGGCGCCAAGGACGCATTGAACTGGCCGACTGCAGAGTGAGATCGGTTTCCTCGACGATGAAGGTAATATGTGGCGGTCGGAAGCAAAGCTGTAGTGGAATAAAATTTCCCAATTATTGGACCCAGTACCAATCATTCAGAGACTGGACGCCTAACGGATAGATGTAAGCTAAATTAGAGTAGTCGATGGAATGCCAATCAACGAGGGTGTATTCTATTTGAGATAGGAGAGAAAAGGGCTTTTGTTTGTAGTAGCTTCTGTGAGCGGAAGACGTTCCGCTTTCATAAGAGGATATCTTCTCAGCCGAAACAATCCGAAGAAGAGCCAATCATGTCCTATCGCTAAAAGTTTCATCTTAGGGTCATTTGAGTCGTATCAGTGAAGTACAATCCTGCATGGCATACCCCGCTTCCTCGGGTGATCTACGGTGTCTCCGTAGGAACTTCGGTACTCAAAATAAGAATACCAGTGTGGATATTTGATCAGTAAGATGTTAACTAGGCAATTGGTGAATGGTTGTGCTTCGCCCAGGAACCTTAATACAGTGTTTCATGCTCAAAAATGCCCTTTCTTCAAGGCGCGCATTTAAGAACCCACATTCTTTCGAAGAATCGGCTCCAGAGGAAATACTTGTTCATCCTCGGTTACATCTTTATAAACCGTATCCCAACGGTGCTGAAGTGGTTCCGGAGTTTCCCAGGCGTTTTCTGGGTCGCGTAGCCAAAGTCGGAGCAAATGTCGCCTACTACAGTTAGCAACTTCCATGTATCAAGGGTTAGAAGAACCATACTCTTTTCCAGGCACATCTTTAAATCCATTACGAGCATGGAATATACTAAGATTGTTGGCGTATTGAATATCGCCCTTCTGGAAGTCCAAGGACGCTCTGTGCTCCTCTGCTAGAAAATGCAGTGCATCGAGTGCCTCTGCTTGGGCTTCCGTGATTGGAGGGATATCAGCCGACCGAGGCTGGGCCTTGAAGCCTGTAAAATAACGCCTGGCATACTGGATAAGCACACGCTCGGGGGTACTTTCAGTAGCTGGCTGGTGGTATAAAAGAGGCCGAAGAGTGTATGGTTTGTTTGGATTGTTGAATCTGCGCGAGTAAATTAGCATCAATTTTCAATTCCTGGGAAACGGCAACAAAAGTATGCTTTCTTACCCATCAACTGGCCAATCCTGAGATAAAATGTGGAGGATATCAGGTCTCTCCTTTGCCAAAATATTATAGACATTCCAGCTACTGGAAAGATAGCTTTCACCACCCTCGGCCGCAGGACTCAGACAAAGAAGAGAGATTATATCCCCTGCGTCTGTATGAAAAACTTGCTTATCAGCTGTATTAGAAGGTGCACCAATTTTCTCCCTCTCAACGGTGTTGCTGATGTCCTTAATATGCGATATCACCGGGGAAGTTCCATTCTGAAGTCGCGTGTCCTGTTGGCGACCACGAATGCTTCCAATATGGGACGAAACACCGGTGTAGATGATGATATTGTCTTCTCGGGAATAGCTGTCGATACACAGTCCCCTTAATACAAAGAATCCCCGGCCATTGTGAATTTCTTTAGAAAGATCTCTCAGGACTGGATGAAGGCTTGGCAAAGGGAACGTGAGCTGATTGATGTTCCCGAGCGGCTTGTTGAGGGCTACAAAATTAGCTTCTATTTGGCTCTCGAATCGAAGTTTCCAAATGCATACCCTTGAAACTATGCAAGGCGGCATCGATCTCATCAAGCTGGCTATCATTCAATTGGTAAGCCCAGTCAATCCGCTTTTCAATATCCTTTCCTTCCCAAACAAGAGGAGAAATAAGCTGGGACGGAAATCCAGTCGGCACATCGGTTTGAAGATTTCCAGATTCAAGTCGAAGACGTGTTCGCTCCTGGTATTTTGCGAAGTCGGGGTGATACTCAATATCGGGCTGTGTAGGCCGAGTGATTGTTTCGACAGCAGACATGTTGACTGACAAAAGGTGGCTGTGAATAACCGTTGCACAGAACAAGCAGAGCCCCCAAGGTTTAAGACAGACAAGCACTTAAATAAGCATCGTTCTAGTATTTCTTACGTACAAACTGCGATCGCGTCTGATCGCGCCATGTCCTATTTTCTCGGACAGTTAATTAATCAAAAAGCATCCATTCGCTGCGATTCGCAACATAAGCCCCACTCACGACGATTTCTCAACTGTGTTGCATCGATCTGCATTGTTAAAGATTCACCACGTTACGCCAAATTCGCGAGTGGAAAAGTGGGGGGGGAGCAGAATCGTGCGTGGCATTTACACCAGCAAGTGGTTTCTAAATCGCCGGTAAAGTAGGATTATTGTCAGCAAGCTGGAACTGGGCTGGATGGTAGTAGTAGTAGTAGTAGTAGTAGATCACAGCTTCAGTCGAGCCGCTCATATATTTACCATTACTACTGCTAGTTACTACTAGTAGTAGTACCAACTGTGCTCAGGCTCAAATTATTAGGGTCGAGAGAAATGTCGACGATATACTGATCCAAACTTCAATGAGACCATTCAGACCTCGCCTGCGTCAACCAGTGCCAGGTGGTAACCTCAAGATCCTGAGATATTTTCGTACTGGTACTAGTAATGCTGAGGTATAAATTGAAGCCAGTAGGTAGTCCACATTCCCAACCTTGGAAGACGACAAGCTCCAACAAAGCTCACTGAGCTTGTTTCTTTCTAAGCACGCGAGCTCCGTGCTATTGCACACTAACAATATCTCAAACCATGCGTCAAGTGGGCCCGTTATCATTCCATAGAAACATCCGATGGCGACAGATCAGCGGGCTGTTTGGGCGCGGCGCGTGCCCACACCAGGATTAGGACGATCACGACATTGATGCTACATAGTTGTCATTTCAAAATGGTACATGTTGTAGCTGCCATTTAAGTCTTTTGGCCGGCTAAACAATGGTCAGAACACAATACCGCTATGTCCAAGCACCTCCAAATCACACACGGTGAGATTGTCTTGAATTTTGTCGAACAAAGATGCGGCTCCTGACTGACGAATCAGAGCCCGCCGAGGCGGATTTGTCTTCCAGCAGCGGCGATGGCTCAAGCTCCAGCCTTCAGGTCAAGGAGGCGCACATTCTACAAGAACGCAGGATCGGTCTTCTTGGAGCGATTTCGCTCATCGTGAACAAAATCATTGGCGCGGGGTATGTGACCCTATGTTTGACTAAACATTGGACAGCTGCTCACCCAGAACAGAATATTCTCGACTCCAACTTCTATTTTCAAACTAAGCGGCAGTCCGGGACTGGCCTTGATTCTTTGGGTGATCGCTGGAGTAATCTCAACATGTGGTGCTATGGTACTACTCGAGTTTGGTAGCGGTATTCCAAGGTCGGGTGGAATGAAAGTCTATCTAGAGCGGTGCTTTTCACCCCGACTTTTAGTGACTTGTGTATATCTCTTCTACTGTGCTATTCTACGTGGGTCTTCTTTTCTCGTTTTTCTATCATTATTCGGCTACTAATTTGGTCACTCACTACAGAGACTTCAGCTAGTAACGCCATCACAGCTTCATCTTATATTCTCAAAGCGGCCTCAGTAGATTCTACTACTTGGAAACTTCGAGGACTGGCTATTTCTGCCGTCTCATTTGCCGTCGGTATTCACACCGTGGCACCGAGAGTGGGAAGAGGATTGCAAGATGTTCTTAGCATCGTGAAGCTATTCACACTCTTTTTTATCGTATGCACAGGATTCGCTGCCTTGGGAGGCCATCTTAGGGTGCCTAAACCAGACAACCTTTCCGTCTCTTCGTCATTCCGAGGCACCTCGAGTAGCGGCTATAATATTGGTACCGCATTGCTAGATGCAATATTTTCTTTCCAGGGATATGATAATTTGAATGCGGTAACTACCACTCACGCTGTCCTAGACAACAGTCATAGGCTAACTTGCGCTCCCAGGTCTTGTCTGAAGTGAAGAATCCCCAGCGTACGCTTCGCATAGCTCTTCCTACCGCCATGAGCCTGGTCACCGTGCTCTATGTGTTAGCAAACATTGCATACGTATGAGGCCTTTTTCCCAGAGGAGAATTTTCACTCACTAACATGTTTTCAGTTTGCCGGGGTTTCGCGCGAAGACTTCCTAGCTTCCGATCTGACCATTGCAGCCTCTCTTTTCAACAACGTCTTTGGCAATTCTGCAGCTATCAAAGCACTACCTGCTCTGGTCGCTATCTCTGCCATCGGCCATCTACTAGGTGTGGCTTTCACTGTTTGTATGTATCGACAATTTGTTACAGCCTCTATTTCCCAAGCCAGGGGCTAATATGAAATGACAGCGCGAGTCTTGCAAGAATTAGCCAAAGATGGTGTCACGCCCTTTCCTAGTATTGTCATGCAAAATCGACCATTCAAGACCCCCATTAGCGCTCTCGCAATTCACCTGGGGGTGAGTATCATCTTGATTTGTGCTCCTCCCGCAGGGGCTGCTTTCGATTTTGTCGTTGGTCTTGGAACTTATCCTACGGTATTTCTCTTGACTTTTGTTACTATTGGATTGATCAAACTGCGCCTTTCGAAGGATGAAGATTTTCAATCTAATTTTAAAGTTCCTTGGGTCATTTTGGGCTTCTATCTCGCCAGCAACATTGTAAGTTGCTCCCAATCTCTCTGTGCAATGTCAAATTTATGCTGACGAATTAACCCAGTTTCTTTTGGTGATGCCTTTCATTCCTCCATCTGATGGTAAAGGTAACACGAGTCTCCCTTACTACCTTTCTCCTGTGGTGGCACTAGCTATTCTAGCTGTTGGTGTCATATATTATACCATCCGCTTTGTACTATTGCCGTGGGCTTTTGGGTACAGATTGGAATCGGTGGTGGTCAATTTGAGTGACGGGTCGCAAGTCTCAAGATACAAAATTAAGAAGACAACTTGAGGTATTAGTATTTGAAGGCTCTCGAGGTTCGGACCTTTAAATATTCAACTCGACGAGATCGTTCTCTTTCGAATTTCTCTCGTCGGATCACCTAATTTACCGAATATACCGAACCTACCGAGCCTACCGAAATAGCCGAATCTGCCGAATCTGCCGCAGTATACAATTGGCTTATATTGGCTGGTTTTATCAGGTGTGATTTCGGGGGAGGATTTCGTGATCCCTGGAACTTGATTGGGTAGGATAGATGCGACCGATACATTAACTACATATTCTGCATTCAAAACAACACCTGAAAGCCAATCACGGACCTATTCTCAAGTGTTTTCTGGCTGTGATCGAGCATATTCATATCCTGCGTAAATCATTATAATCCTGGTTATACTCTCAACTAATTACTACTAGTATACACGGAAAGACGTGCCGGATAGTTACCCCGCATATTCTATACTGGACTAACCACTGTGAAGCATGATTATCTCGGCTAAGGTGCGAGTCGTACAGTTTATTGCGTGCTACGTATACTCGTCCTTTGCCATGACCCGGCTCTATATAAATGGTGGAAGTAGACCCGGAAACTGAACGTAGATTTTCAACAAGAGTGAACGTTCTGATTGCTTTTGCATCGTTTTCACCATGGCTCCTGGAATTCAAGACTCATCTCTTCCTTCTCGCCCTACACCTAAGGATGGCACTACTTACCCTGTGCCACTGAAGCTTACTGGTGCTTTGGACAAGTTTTCTTTTGAGGATACGACACCGGCCATTGGTCGTGAATTTCACAATGTCAACATCGTCGATGACCTCTTGAATGCCGAAAATGCCGATGAACTGATTCGCGACGTTGCTATTACAAGTAATTATCTCCAGCTCGCATTTTCAGGATATCTACAACTCTCAAGACTGACCACCTTCTGATACAGTCTCTCAACGTGGAGTTGTCTTTTTCCGAGCCCAAAATAACCTCGACGATGACTTGCAGAAGAAGTTTGTCCACCGACTGGGCCAGCTTTCCGGCAAGCCAGCAGACTCAACACTGCACATTCATCCGGTCCTCAACAACACCAGTGAATTTGGGGTCAACGACGCACAAGTCAGCACCATCAGCTCGGTCATTCGCAAGAGGATGTTCCGTCACCAGAATCAGCCCAACAAGCGCCGCTATGATTCAGCCCAATGGCACTCAGATATCCAATTCGAGGAAGCTCCAGCCGACTACACCTCGCTCCGACTTACCCAGCTTCCTAGCTCTGGTGGAGATACACTTTGGGCCTCAGGCTATGACCTCTATGATCGATTTTCACCGGCTTACCAAAAGTTCTTTGAGGGACTTACTGCAACCTATATTGGCGATGGCTTCCTCAAGGCTGCGGAGGCAGATCCCAATATTATCGTTCACACTGACCCTCGAGGTAGCCCACTGAACACTGGATCTCACTTGTCCGCTGTTCACCCTATCGTGCGGACCAACCCAGTGACCGGTTGGAAGAGTATCTACGCCGTGGGGCCATTTCCTAAGCAGATTAATGAGCTTACCCAGGACGAGTCTGATGAGCTTCTGAAGAAATTTTATAATACTATCCTCGAAGGCCATGACATCCAGGTCAGGTTCAAGTGGAGAAATGAGAACGATATCGGTTAGTGACGAGCCTCCTTTCTGAGCCCCTCCTGTTTTCAAGTTTCTAACTAGATTTTAGCCATCTGGGATAATCGATCTGCATTCCATACCGCTACATTTGATTACGAAGGTCTCGGCGAGCGATATGGCCACCGAGCCGTTGGTATCGGCGAGAAGCCTTTCCTTGATCCCAACAGCACCTCGAAGGCTGAGGCTCTGGCTGCCAGCGCTAAATAACTTGAACTTGAAGTTCGCAAATCCATACTTTCCAGGAATTAGCTACTGTATATATCGAAATGAATACATCTGGAAAAAAAGAATCCATTCTCAGGGCGCGCTCGACACGCTGGTATTAAAAGCTAGCAATCTCCGCTGGGCCTATTAAGAAAAAGAAACCACCTGGGAATTTTCATCGACACCCGCACAAGAAACACTTGCTCATAATTAAAAAAAAAAAAATTAACCGCTATCAGCGGTGTTCAACCTTCTCAACCGTGACCGTCGCGGGCTTCTCGTTGCTCTCTTGGGCTTGAATACCCTTTCGGTGAGCAAGAACCTCTTCGCCCTGGACAACGTGGTTGGCACCGCCAAACAGAGCATCAATCTCCTCGAGGGGAACTTGCTTAGTCTCCGGAATAAAGAAGTATACAAAGACAGCCAGCAGGAAGTTGATTCCGGCAAACATGTAGAAGGCGTAGAAGCCGCAGTTGTCCAGGAAAATAGGGAAGAACTGTTGGAAAATAGTGTTCGCGACGTTTTGAGTCTGCGAAGCCATACCAACAGCCTGGGCGCGAACGTTCATGGAAAAGATTTCCGATGTCCAAATCCAAACAGTGGCACCCCATGATGGCTTGTCTATAAAGTTGTTAGTAAGGTAAATTCACGCAGAGACCCATCAATGGAACGGCGATGACTCACAGAAGAAGATAAATAAGAATAAAAGGAACACAATCGAGATTCCGACCGGTTCGGACTTCGCTCCGCCGGCCAAAACGGGCGTTTGAGTTTCAACACTGGCGACAACGATCATACAGATACCCATACCGATGCCACCGACGATCAGAAGGAATTTTCGTCCGAAGCGGTCGATGATCCACACGGCATTGAGGGTGAAAATAATACCAAATGTAGCGTTCAAGGCGTTGATGAGGGCAATTTGGCTGCTGCTAGTGAAAATCTTCTGGTAGATCTTGGTAGAGTACGAGTTGAGCGAACCTTGACCAGTGATTTGTTGACCAGCGTTGATGATCAAAGCGAGGAGCATACGCTTGCGCAGAGACTTGTCCTTCCACAGAGCAGAGTAGTTTCCGGAAATGGCCTCCTTCTCATACTCTATAGCTTCACGGATCTGTAGGATCTCATCCTCAACCTCTTCCTCGGTATCACGAACTCTGCGGAGAGCGGCACGGGCTTTCTCGATATTGTTTCCACGTTTGATGAACCTGAGTTTTGTCAGTTGTCTTCTTCCTCATACCTGTTGAAGTAACAGCATAGTACAACTCACCAACGAGGACTGCCAGGAATAGTGGGTAGGAGAGCAAGAATTATAACCGGAACCAAGAGTTGGAACATGACAACCATCTTCCAATCCCATTCACCCAACTTGGGAACATTCTTTGTGCAGGCATAGTTGATCCAGAAGCAGATGAAGGAACCAACAGAGTAGAACATTTGCCAAAAGGTCATGATCTTTCCACGGATCTCAGCAGGCGCAAGCTCGCCGATGTAGATAGGGCCCGATGCTATGAAAAGTGAAGTTAGCTTACTGTTCACCCACTCCTGTGCCACTCGTCATGTTAAACATACTCAACGCAATACCCTGGCCAATACCAATGATGCATCGTCCGGCGATGAAGCATGCAAGGTTGCCATGAGGAGCAAATGTCTGCATAAAGGTAGAAATGATAACCAGAACACAACCGGTTCCCATTCCGACCTTACGACCAAAGTAATCGGCGATAGGGCCACCTAGGAAGAAACCTCCGAAGATAGCACCGACGGTATAAGCAGTGTTGATAGAACCTATCACGCTGGAGTTGGGTTCGCCGAACCAGGCCATCCAATTTTTAGATCCCTGGACGGAATTGAAGACGGAGGCATCGTATCCGTACAACACCATGCATGCTGCCGCTACACATGAAACGAACCTATACATCGTCAGCTTGAATTGCCACGTCTGTTGAGAATGTTTCAAGTCTCACCAGTTATAGCCCCGCTTCCGGGTCATTGTGAACGTCGCCATTTTGATGGCAGAGGGGGGTGAGTGAAACAAGGTATGTCAAGTTCAAGTTCAGATCGACCAGTACCCGAGTGACTTCTTCAAATTCGCGCCACGCTGTATCTCACACTCAATACAAAGCGTATATTTTGCGTGTTCTTCGATGCACGCTTGCTACAGCCCTAACAGGATATTGGAAAAGAACTATCCAGGGGTAGAAACGAGCGGAGGCACTTCTCCAGATATATAGTAATGGTCCGGTCAGACACTCAGACTGGCACCTGAGAGTCTGGGGCAAGAAAAAAAAAAAAGCTACTGAACGCCCTAAGCAGAAACGATCACGGCACCAATCAAACCATCTTGGTATAAATGAACTCCAGGCCCGCTAAGCACCGCGTGCAGCTTGATAACGCCAGGCTGACCCCACGGGGATCGCTGAGTGGTGGGGTTTCCGGAGGCTTACCAGGCATAGACAAGCGGCCATCCTGTTAAGCGAAGGTCATTGGCCTTGATGGAGTCAAAGGCCATGGTCCGGACCTGGGGTAATGTTGATCTGGGGTTCGAGGATATTTTGTCCCCGCGGGCAGGCCTGGCGTCGGCATTTCCACGAATCAGCACGGCGCCGGACCGGGGGCTGGGAGAAAGTCGACTCCACCAATCGCCAGAGACGCCATGGCCAAGCAAACGCAAACGAACGAGCTAAAATGTGAGCAAGGTACGCGTTTTGAAAGGATTGTCGTCGAAGAACAAGTTGGGAAATGTGAAGCGAGGTCTGGTGATCAAGTGGCGACGAACGCTTCAACGCAAACTCCAGGTTGACCAAGAATGGATCAGTCGCGAGTGATGATTCCTTAATAGACATCTTGCTTATTCCCGATTATTTTCAGGCTATGAAAGCCCTATTACTTGGCTATACAGATTATGCAAGATAAGTGCAGAGAAACAGGCCCTAATGGCCAGCAAATATCTAATAGACGTTCACTGCAACTTGAATGCATGATGAACCAATCCACTTGGAAATGCAATATGTAACATAACACAGGGGTATCGCGATGAAAAGAAAAGGTATGTGGAACTCTCCCGCCTTTGAAAGACATTGCACTTTCTGTCCATGTGCAACGCTTAGTATCCTTCTGGGTCTAGAAACGACCAGTCCGACCAGGCTATATTGAGGTCAGCTTCGTGTCAAACAGTCGAGCGAGAAATAGAAAACATACATGATTCTGCTCCTCTCGAGCCACTTTGAGGTTGGTATGAAAGTCGCGCCAGAGCTTCTCGATCTCATTGTTTTCTTTCATAGTCTTTATAACGTCGATAGCGTTGCGCGTCTTATGCTTCTGCTTCATTTTGTTCCGGCGCAAAACTTCATCATCTTTCATATGACCCATGCGCTCGAGATGGTCGATAACCCATTCGTTGAGATGGTATCGCCAGTGGTAGAGAGTATGCGCACTCTGAGCGTTGGCTTTGCACGTTCTATGTATGTATCAGGAGGATTAGTAAATGCCCAAATTCCACATGCGCGAAAATATTTACCTTCCAAGATAGAAGCTCCTGCCATCCTCGGACAAGACATGACCGTCTCTGTCTCGATCAAGCCCCTTTTCCTCTTCATCAGAGGAGCTTACATCACCCACAGACGTCTCGCTATCTCCATTCAGAGGTTCTAAAGTCGCCATAGAGTACGGTTTCCCAGAGAACCTTAAATCGCTCGAAGCAGGATGACCAGAACGCTTGCAAGCATCGCACGAATGTTGCATTGCGGTTGGATATGGAGTAATCTCAAGACTAGGCCGAGCAAGTAGTGCCCGTCGGAAGTCAACATCCCATACAGAGGACATGAATTGAGAGCCGGTTCGCCCTTTCACTTCGTCTTCAAGTTTATTGAAAGCCATCTCATACATGGGGTCCGAACGAGGAAATGCAGGATCGATACTATTGTGGATCATCCAGCAGACAACGTCTTCAAAGTATTCCTTCAGTTTTTTGTAGGCGTGTCGAGTGAATTCAAATGGGAGCTCTGTAGGAACTCCAAGCGCGGTCGTATCGTCTTCGAGCACGAAGTCGTCATCATATTTATCAAGGTCTTCATCACCATTATACTGTCCGTCACCGTCGTCATCCGATATCTCGATGGTGGATGATTCCCCTTGAGCAGTTGTGTCTGAATCGCTTTCGTCTTTGATCCCTGCGCGCTTGCGACGTAGAGCTTCGAGGTATTTTTGTCGCTGGTCTTTCGCCGAGCCAGCGATATGGCCACGCGTCCGGGACTTCTTCACAACTGTAGACAACCAGTTAAACTATTGCATGAGACTCCACGAGATACACATAACATACCTGAGTCTCGGAGATCTTTCACATCCTCATCAATCTCTTCCTGATCTTTGTCCATTTTAGCACGGGGCGTTTGAGGTGATTTGGATTTCGATCCGCGACGTAGTCGTTTCGCCGGAGATGAAACCAGTGGCTTGTCGGAGTCGCTTGGTTCAGAATCGCTTTTCGGTCCTCGCCGTAGTCTCTTCACCGGTGATAAAACTAGCGGCTCGTCGGAATCACTTAAAACAATCGACACATTATCGGCCTTGCGCTTGAGGCGACGGGCGCGAGGAGTTTCCATATCCATATCTTCAGGATCGGCGAGTGCGGGGAGTGTAGATCGTTTTCTCTTATGTGAATTCGGTACAACAATGTCGTCGTCGGATGAATTGTCCTGCGGTGGTTGTTCTTCGAAACATTAGTGGAATGCCTCGCACAATTAAAGACCAAAGCGATTTGACATACTATTCTCTTCTTCCTTTTTCGGTGTCCTGATTTGCACTTCCAGAAATTGTTGAAGAGGGTGATGACGCTTCGACGGTTCAGCGCCACCGATGCGAGAGCCTTGAGATCGGACTGCCGCCATGCTAGGATGACCATATGAGAGTCTAGCCTGGCGGTCGCTTGCCTCGTCGTTACCGCTGCCATCGCCCGAGGATACGACCGCAGTTGCTGGGGCGAAGGCAAGGCGCGCTTGCTTCTTCTTTGTTCGGCGGGGCATGACGAAATGAGAGTTGAGCTGCTGAAGATGGTAGAAGGAAAAAGTAGAAGGATAGATCAAGTCAGGTACGAGTAAAAAGTGCTTCTCATAACAGAGGCCAAGAGCACGTCATAAATCATATCGAAAGACCAAATGCCTGTTGTGCAAGCCCAAGCTTTGGAGCTTGGAAGTGAACCTTTTTTGGTCGCGCGGCCGCGTTGGGACGCGAGAGCACGTGACAAGTATAGCCTGATGAGCATCAGATTAGAAAACAGCAGCTCTTGGGCACTTAGGAAATTCTCTATTCTTCAAGGTATCCAGGTATCTATATGGCATAAAGTTGGCAGATTTTAAATCTGTGAACGACTCTATAGGTATTGTGTCTAGTGAGCTCAAGAGACAAAATGGGCTCAAACTTATTTTCTTCGACTGTGGAACAAGTCATCCCAATTCATAATTTTCAAGCAAACACATGTTATGAGCATGAAGAGAATGTAAGAGAAGAAAACAAATGAAACAGAATACTGAGAGGAAATAAGATGGATGTGGTTGTACAAATACATGCATGCATGAGCTGCCGGAGCCAAAATTTCTGGAAGAAGACATCAAGGAAGCAAGAAAAGGATATAAAAAAAACAGGGCAGCGTTGCCGGAAACCAAATGACTCGATGGCAAATCGGGTTGAGCTATATTGTTTCGCTCATGTCTTCGTCATGCCGGGCGAGGCACGGTCATGGAATCAATCCACTTGATTGCCGTCCGGTATATTGCCAGGTCACTCAATTGATCTGGGCGTCCGGATACATCCCTATTTATTTGGGATGGTGGGCGATCGATTCACTCGGTTCCTCGCTACTCCTGTTTCCCGGGGCGGTGATTAATTTACAAAGTGGGTTGGGCCTCCTGCTTCTCGGCCTCGGCGCCGGGTGTGAGCATCTGTTGTAAGAAGGTCTGGTGAGTAACCCGTCCAATTGATTCGTTGCCAAACAGCGGAATCCCGCGCGTGGTGCGGTGGGGAAATCAAGATTTGATCATACCTCGTTGGCACCCTTAATCATGCCCTGCTCACGCTCCATCTGGATGTACTGCTCCTCCTCGGCGTAGGCCAGAGCCCAGGGGACACCGATCAGGAAGGCGCTGGTGCTGATGATCCAGAGAGCCTTGCCGCTGAAGGAAAGGCTTGCCTTGGTGAAGGATGTGAGGGAAGAGACGGAGCTGGTGACGGTGCGGCGGGCGGAGGGAGGGATCATGTCCTTCAGGGCGGAGAGACGCTCGGCGAAGCTCTCCTCGTCGACCTCCTCGTCCTCCTCAGCCTCGGAGATTTCTGAGTCTGCGAGAGGGAAATAACGTGTCAGATGTCAATTCATTGATTGGGAAAAAAACGATGTGTCATTTCGCCGTTGTAGGTGATGTCGAGGTGGTCACGATTATCGGCAGTGTCGGATTGGGGTCGAATAGAGACAGGTGACGCGCTCTTTGGTATCGAATCGCGATAGAAAAATTCAATTGGCGCATGGTGGGGAGAGTGTGGTCGCGATGAAGGCAAACAGGAGGCGTCAAACACTTACCGGTGTCACTGTAGTCCTCATCCTCGTCATCGGAAACCAACAGAGCGTCGTGCTTGCTGGGGGTGGGCTTCTCGGTGAAAGCCTCGTCTTCGACCTCGTGGAGCTTGACCATTTTGGCGGGTGTGATAGGGGTGTGATAGGATGGAATGGGATGGATGGAGAGGGCGTTAAGAGATGGTGGATGATGGAACTGGGAGGACGGAGAGGCAGCGCGAGTTCAGTTCGGGACCGACTTTTTTGCCGGGCAAAAGCGGCGAGGAGCTTGGACCCGCCCAACCCTACGACACCAGTGGAAGGTAAGTATTTACTACAGTACATTCAATTCATGAAAAGTCAAGGTAATTTACAGAGTTGTGTTTTGTTGTGCTGGCCAGAGTCTATTGTACACATTGCCTTTCCATGCGAATGCTGCCCCCTCATTAATCAATCCTCCTACTACAATCCGAGGAGGATTGTGAGCACATCCTCTATACGGAAGTGCTCAGAATATCCTCTATATAATAAAGTGAAATACTTTATTTATCTTCGACCAAGCTTCCACCGCGCAATGCGCTCCTGTATTTCTTCCCAGGGGAAAGACCGAAGTTTATATCCTTCCAGCTCGCCCTCTTGCAACACAACGGTGGGCTTTCCGGTACCCTGTCCGTTGTTCTGGACGTTGCCGCCAAAGACGTGACGAGCAACGCGGCGGAGGTCCTCAACAGTCAAAGCCTCGATCTGGTCGCACATTTCACGGACGCCAACCTTGCGCCCATGCACCTGCACCTGACGTCCGAGGTCCTCGAGTTCCACCATGCGGGACTCAAGGTTCATCAGCAGCGAAGAACGGAGTTGATTCTTAGCGCGGTTGACTTCCTGGGTTTGCAGGGCGGAGTATCCGGTATCCAAGGAGAGCGACTGCAGTTCGCGGCACATCACCTCGAGCATCTCGGTAGTCCGAGTTGGGCTGCACGAGGCGGAGATACCAAAGATGCCGCTGTCGGTATAGCTGTGGTTGAAAGCAATGCAGCTCTCAACCCATCCGTGCTGGTTCAGCACATTGGTGTAAAGTCTGGAGTACATGCCCTTTCCGGGGCCACCGGCTGAGAAAGAACCGCCGCCTCCAAGGAGGGTTTGGAGAGTAGCGAGAGCATAAATATCCGGAGAGGAGATGGGGAGAGCCTCAAAGGCAAGGTGGATGTGGCTCAGGCGGGGGAGCATAGGGTTCGCCGGGGGCGGAATCGGGGGAAGTGCCACAAAGCCTCCAGTATAGTGAGCTGGTCGTCGGAGGTCTAGTGTCGACGGCTCGATCAAGGAGGGGTCGAGGGGTGTGACGACACCGTCCTTCGAGGGGGAGCCCGATAGTTTCTTGAGGAATGGAAGCTTGGATAAGAGCGAGGAGTGTGTGCCTTGTGATGCGGCAGGGCTGGTCACTGTTGAAGAGGCAGTGAAATGAGGAACGGTCGGGATTTGACCCTCCTTGGCCGCGGCGTGGGAAGCCGACAGAGTGGTGTCAATGCCTGATCCAGACAGAACAGGTCCCTTAGTCATGTCCCTCGCCTTCATGTCACCGAAGTACTGCTCGGTGAGTTTGATGGCGTCCGCATGGGGGACACCGGCAAACGCAACCACCATTCGGTCCGGGTTGAAGAATACCTCTCTGTATCGCTCGACCGTCGCCTTGTTGATTTCACCCAGTCTCTCTTCGGGGCACAGCAAAGGGTTGCCTAGGGTGTTATCCCGGTATGCCGTCATGTGGACGAGCTCCGGCAGGATGAGTTCGGGCTTCGCCCAGATCTCGCCAATTTCATACTCCGCTGTCGCAAGTTGCTCAAGCACTTCCTGGTCTGTGATGAGGGGATCCCGAATGGTCTCTGCCAGCAGGCCAAGGGTGGTAGGGACCGCCGAATTGAAACTGGCGGACTGGTACATCAACGACTCTCGAGACGAAGCACATTGAATGTTACCACCCAGTCCCTCGAGGACCTCCAGCATCTCATCTCCGGAGCGCTGCTTGGTTGATTTAAAGGCCAATCGGTCCATAATGTGACTAACGCCGCGCAGGCTGGCATCTTCGTACCGGGAGCCAGCATCAACGTAAACTCCGACGCCTGAGAAGGGGCCCGGTAATGACTCGGTGGCGACGCGAATTCCGTTCGGGAGAGTGGTGATTTGATCGAGCTCGGAGGGGTCCTAATTGTCCAAAAGAAATCGAGTTAGAGGTAGCAAGAATGAGAAAGGGCGATCAAGGATATGATACCTTAGCGGAATCATTCAGAGTAGCAAAGCTCCTCGACACCGAGCGAGGAGCTCGGGCGACGGGCTTCGCGGACTCGATAGCCCGCAATGCAGAACGGCGCATGATGTGTTTATTCCGATACGCGGCAAGCTTCCAATGGGTGAATATTATGCGTTCTACACGCTTTCGCTTCGATCTTGCGGAGGTCGGAGGTTCAGCGCGGCGAAGAATCGATTCCGGAGAACTGCACCGAATCCGGATTAGATAAGCGGTTGTATGATTAAAATTGAACAAGCAGCACTCAAGCCAATAAAATTGTATTTTATGTAGGCTTTATTTGTCATATACACCTAAAAGAATATCCTCATCCTCGTTTATTACTCATTTTCGGTTCGAAGAGGAGCTTTGATTCTTTTGTTGCTGACCAAGTTCCAATAGTCTAGATCCAATATGATGACATAGTAGCACCAGAGGTAAGCCCGCAAACCGGGCCCCCCGAAAAGAGTCTTGTTTCGCATTATAATTCCTATATCCAATTTATCCAGTTTATATATCCAACTCAGACTCGGAGACAATTATGGATTCTCAGAAACCCAGTTACGATACCAATCAAGACAATGGGCATTGGCCACACTGGCACCGATCTTAATGTTCAGTCCACACAAGATCTGCTTAACCGCGTTCTCAACCTTCTTGCCATTAGAAGTGACCGGAATCTCGGGGCAGGCTTCGATCACGCCGGGTACATGACGAGGACTCAGTTCCTTGCGAACGACAGCTTGGATCCGAGATGAGAGTTCCTTTATATCGACGGTGCTATTAGGTGCAAGTCTGACGAAGAGCACGACAGTCTCATCGGTGTCGATGCCCTCTCGCCTGCGGCCAACACAGAGAGAGTCTTCAACCTCCTCCGCAAAATGCTTGAGGAGTATGTTGTAGATCTCCGCGCTTCCGAATCGGACGCCAGAAGGCTTAAGCACGCCATCGCTGCGACCTAACATGACCACACCACCCGTCTCCGGGTTCACGCGAACAAAGTCTCCATGGTGCCAGATAGACGTCCCGAAGACTTCAAAGTAGCTCTTTCGGTATTTTTCCATACCAGTTGCGTCGGGCGGCCAAAACATGACGGGCTGTGCTGGGAATGGGGTTGTGCAAACAAGGTCGCCTGGTTCACCCGAGGCGCTGATATCGTTACCGGCGTAGTCAAACACAGAAACGGCCATGCCGAGGGAACGGCATTGAATCTCGCCCTTGTAGACGGGTAAAATCGGACATCCAGAGCAGAACAAGGATAGGATATCTGTGCCGCCCGTGATAGAGCCCAGCATGATATCGGAGTGGATAGAAGAGTAGATGTACTCGAAAGTCGATGGAGCCAGCGGTGATCCGGTGCTGAAGATAGCCTTCAAAGTTTTAAGGTTCACAGGGCGGTGCTTGTTCTTGCTGGGATTCAAGGCGGCTTGTTCTAGGATGGAAAGGTACTTCGCCGAGGTGCCGAAGTGGGTGATCTGGAGTTCTTCTATCAGGCGCGGCATGGCCATTTCTCCTTTTCCTCCTTCGACATCGAACGGGCGGAATGGTGACCCATCATACAGTACAATCGTTGCGCCACTGGCCAGGGCAGAAACGAGCCAGTGCCACATCATCCATGTCGTCGTCGTAAAGTAGAAAAGTCGATCACCGGGTCGGATTTCGCAGTGAAGGAGATGTTCCTTCTTGTGCTGTAACAGAGTGCCTAGCGAACCGTGCACAATGGGCTTCGGTGCACCAGTAGTTCCTGAAGAGTACAGAATATAGACTGGATGATCAGGTGGGAGGCTAGCAAACTCCAACGGGGCTTCTTGATTCCGAACAGCAGACAAGAACGTTCCCAAGGTGACTGCTTTTCCATTTTGAGGACGAACATCCGCGATATCAAAATCAAGAGACTTGGCTATCTCAAAGATCACCAGGAGCTCCAGATCAGGCAGCTCGGAGACGATTTCGCGTACTTTGGCATGGGAACCGTGGATCTTGCCATTGTAGAGCGAGGAGTTGTCTGCAAAGAAAATCTTGGGTTGAATCTGCTTCAATCGTTCTAGGACAGCGTGCACGCCAGTATCTGGAGAAACACCAGTCCAGAAGGCGCCAATGGATGTCGCAGCCAGCATGGCAACAACGGTGTTGGCATGGTTGCCCACAAACCCTGCGACACGGTCGCCAGCCTGGAGACCGGCTTCCTTCAAAGCATTGGCCGTTTGGCGAACACGCTCTCGCAGCTCCTTCCAGGAAATGAACTCGCGATCAGCTTCAGTCGCTCCAATGATGGCAATTGAGTCCTCATCTGGATTGGCCGCCGGGAAGAGCAGATTCTCGGCAAAGTTGAGAGCACTTCCTTCGAAGAACGCCGGCCGAGGAAATAATGCCTGGTCGGTTTCAAGGACCTGCGATTACGATTAGCCAATGGGGGTTCCTGTTACATTAAGCCCTCGGAACTTACAGTGTTGTATGGCTTGTGAGCTTTGATATGGGTATAGTGCCAAATCTCTTCCCAGAATTTGGCGGGCTCCGATGTGCTCCATTTCCAAAGGGAATCATAATCCGACAATGATAGACCATGTTTCTTGTTTATCTTGGTCATAAAATCATATATCTGAGTGGACTCGGGCGATGAGTGACGCCATAGTTCTTTCACATCAGAAGTCACAGCCTCATCAATGTGCGGCATTGTTTCTGAATGAGCAATTGGGGTATATACGACACAGAATCAAGACAGTTGAAGCCAAATGGCGGATTGAAGCCTGAGGGAGGAGAAGGAAACTTTTTTTTTTCAAAGGGAGAGGCGCCAGTGGCAACGGTGGTTTTCGGCGGTTTTGTTGGACCAGTTCAGGGGACCAAGCGGCGGGAAGTATAGCTTAGGTACCACCAGAATCGTACGTGGTAACCACCCGGGCGAAGTATACGGATAGCGGGGTTCTCGCCGGATTGGATGGGTCGTTGCAGGGGTGATCGGTGTAAGAGAAAGAGATCAATCATACAATTCCAAACTCTGCCTCCAAGGATCGTGGGGCGGAGAATCCCCTGGAGGGGATCGGGTACTCGTACTACATTGCCGCTGAAACCCGCGGCTGCGGGTAGCATCAAGCGGTGGCAGCCGCTGGATATGACTACGCACTATGCATTATGCTATATAAGCAAGGAGGGGAGGGGGTTATCCCTGTTGGAAAAACTTGGTTGATCTCCAGGATTCCCTCTACATATCTCTCCGCTCTTCTTTGTACCCTCCTTCCCCCGTGACGATGAAAAGGAGGGGGATTGACTGTCTTCTCCTTGATGCGGCAATGCGGCATGCGGAATGCGGGCCACTGGGGTGACATCTCTGCCTCAGGCCCTGGATAAGTGGACTCCTAGTCAACTGGCTGACTAGCAGTGGGGGGGGAATTGAATGTTCCTGAAAAGAACGGGAAACTTGAGGGTCTTTGGTCTTCGGTCTTTGGTCTCGGCCTCGGCCTCAGTCTCGCCTCGGCCGTGACCGTTTTCATCCTGCAGGTACCATCACATCACGCTGTGGCCCACAGCCTACTGTTGTTTGTGCGAGATGACATGTCGATCTCTCCAGGCAACCTTTTAGTAGCAAGTACGAGTACGGAGTCCTCGTACATGCATACAACAGCTGCATGGACTGACCCCTGGAATTGTTGTCTCATGTTAGGCTGCAGACATAATCAAACTACTCCAAGCAGTCCAGGAGTGCAGTATAGGGCACTCGGATGAAGACCCTAGCAATCCAGACAGTCAGGGCCAGTGGGTAACTCTCGAGTAACTAAAACTAACTCTTTTCCTTCGGGTCCGATTCTTGGTTGACGGTGGATCCCAATGAAAAAAAAAGCCATGGATGTATTGGGATGTAAAATACGATAGTTACTCAAGCTCCACACTGTGGAACTGTGGAAATACAAATACCATTTCCAATACCAGGAGGTGGACCAGTGCATGATGGCTTGATGCAGCATCGGCACTATTACGATTACTCTCACTCTCACTCGGACTATTGCTGCTATTTACTCTCATCTCATCTCATCTCCCCCTTCTTTACCCTTTTCTCCCCTCCCCTCCGAATCGAACCAAATTACAAGCTGGTTTGTGATCGTGGAGATTCATTGCTCACGAACATTGGGCTCCCCCCCACGCTCCTTGTTCCGGCTCCCCCTTTTTTTTGGTGTTGCCCCCATTCCACGTGTGAAGCCACACTTTTCCAAGGGCTTCACTCAGCCGGAGGTCTTCGGATCCCGCTTTTTGCGATCATCAGCCACAATTAATCACTTCGAGGTATGTCTTCATCTACTATTCCACTTTGAACAACCCTCCTTCTTTGCCTCCGACGCCTCCGACACCTCCGACACCTCCGACACTCGCGCATCCCTCCCAATCTTCAACTTTCATCTTCAATCCAAGGATCATCCCAACTGACGATCTTTCACCGTACCTCAGATCAACCTGTTCTCCGGTTGTTGTCGAACGAACCAGAAACTTGGACCGTCGAAAGCAGAAAATTGACTCGGTCTCTACTGCTCTCCTCGTCACTCGGTAGTCCTTGCCTCAAACCACCTCGACGCGTTGAAAACCCACATACACACAACGCACACACAACACACATACACGCGCCACCCCCCACCAACGTCCCAGAGAAATCCCAGACGGTGCAAAAAGTCCCCCGTCGTTCTCTTCCTCGAATCGTTGCTTCCCTCTGTGCGATGCCTCGTCGGTTTAGCAACAACTCCTCCTCCAACGACACTTCCAACCCGCCGTCCTTTTCTCCTTCCTCCGGAAAGGGCGGTATTGCCAACAAGGCATCCTCGGTCAAATCCAATCGACTCTCTCAATTGTTTTCGAGCTCCCCTAAATCCAAGGCTCAGCCTCAACCTATACAGGCGGCCCCCCCAGTCGACCGGTGGGAATCCTCCTAATAACGCCTCTCCGCCGATCAGCTCGGCATCACTGTCCCTACCGACAATCTCTCTGTCCACTGCCACTGCCGATTACCCTCATACCGACGAAATGCCGACGACACTCTTTCAGCCTCCTACCCCCGAGGAGGCCCGCCGGCAGGCCAAGCAACATGCCCAATTCGGCACCATCGGTCACCCCTCCCACCGCTACTCCAGTCGGCACCCTGGCGGTGTCTTCCCGGAGCCGGTGATGGACGAGCCGCCGTATTATTATCTGCTTACGACTTATATCAGTTACCTAATTCTAATTGCCTTCGGACACGTTCGTGACTTCTTCGGCAAGCGCTTCCGGGAAGAAAACTACCGCCATCTCAAGTCCCGCAACGGGTACGGTGCCCTTAACAGTGATTTTGACAACTTCTATGTGCGCCGTCTCAAGTTGCGAATTAACGATTGCTTCGAACGTCCTGTTACGGGCGTTCCCGGACGTACCATCACATTGATTGACCGGGCTACCAACGATCATAACCAGCACTTCTACCTGACTGGTACCACCACTGATACCCTCAACCTGAGCTCCTACAACTATCTTGGATTCGCCCAGTCGGAAGGACCCTGTGCCGACATTGCGGAGGACTCTGTCCGCAAATATGGAATTGCAACCCCCAGCACCCGAGCTGAGACCGGTACTCAGGATCTTCACGTTGAGGTCGAGGATCTAATTGCCCGATTTGTGGGTAAGGAGGCGTCGATGGTTTTCTCGATGGGCTTCGGTACCAATGCCAACGTCTTCCCCGCACTTGTCGGAAAGGGTGATCTGCTCATCTCCGACGAACTGAACCACGCCTCCATTCGCTTCGGTGCCCGTCTCTCTGGTGCATCCATTGCCATGTTCAAGCACAACGATATGAAGGATCTGGAACTCAAGCTCCGTGAGGCCATCTCTCAGGGCCAACCCCGCACTCACCGTCCCTGGAAGAAGATCTTGGTTGTCGTGGAGGGCCTGTACTCCATGGAGGGCTCCATGTGCAACCTCCCGGGTCTTGTTGCCTTGAAGCACCGCTACAAGTTCAACCTCTTCGTCGATGAGGCACACTCTATCGGAGCTATCGGTCCCCAGGGTCGTGGTGTGTGTGACTACTTCAGCATTGACACCTCCGAAGTTGATGTTCTTATGGGTACTCTCACCAAGTCTTTCGGTGCCAACGGCGGTTACATTGCGGCAGACAAGTACATGATCGAGAAACTGCGGGCCATTAACTCCGGTATCTTCTATGGTGAATCTCCCGCCCCTGCTGTCCTCATGCAAATTTCGTCCGCTCTCCGCATTATCAACGGCGAGCTCGTCCCGGGCCAGGGCGAGGAACGCCTGCAGCGTTTGGCCTTCAACTCGCGGTACCTCCGCCTCGGATTGAAGCGCCTTGGCTTTATAGTATACGGCCACGATGATTCTCCCATCATCCCTCTTCTTCTGTTCAACCCCGCTAAGATGCCTGCCTTCTCCCACGAGATGCTCCGACGCAAGATCTCCGTCGTGGTTGTCGGCTACCCAGCCACCCCATTGGTCTCATCTCGCGCTCGTTTCTGTGTCTCTGCTGCCCACACCAAGGAAGATCTTGACCGGGTTCTGACTGCCTGCGACGAAATCGGCAATGTTCTCCAGCTCAAGTTCTCGACCGGTATTGCTGGTGGCGCTCTGCCTCCTACCGAGGAGATGGCTCCCCCCGCCCGAATTGGAGAAGGAATGGCACCGCAAGCGCTCTGTACAGTTGACCCCTCCTCGGTGGCGGATCGAGGATGTTATCCGACGCGGAGTCCAGGATGTTAAGTCACCTCTGTATTAAATATGACTTGTTCTTCTTCTCTGTCGCTACGTGAGACTGTATTTGAACTTGATGCACATTGGGTTGGAGTCTTTGCGGATGGACGATAGTTCGGTCTCGGTTGATGCTGGTCACGCCGAGTTGCGGTCAAAACTCCATACCTCCCCCTGCTACTCTTTTTGCTTTTGCTTTCTTCCCATTCCCGGTCGTGGCTTCGGCGCGTTGGGTTCACGGCGGCGTTGCTTGGATGTCTCAGCATGGGTGCAGTGCAGAAAGAAGAGAGATGTTTAGTACCCGGGATGATGAAGAGGACCCAGGAAGAAAAGAAACAAAACAGAAAAGTCCTCACCCGGTCATGAATTATTCGAACAAGCAACGAATGGATATGCCCCAGTTTTCCTATGATCCTCCTCCCCCTTTTTAATCCATCTTCTCTTCTCTGTCACTTTTATCTTGCTAAGAATATTGCTTAATGCCGCCTCTCTCGTTTCTCACATTGCACATCACATCGCTCACCCAGACCGCCACCTGGCTACCCCGTGGCTCCTCCCCTTTCCCCATGTCACTGGAGTTCGTTGCAGAGTACGCAAGGCTCTAGCTTTATGCTTTTTTCAATCCATGCTTAATCATTAATGAGATGGTGTGACAAGACTGGACCGGGCTGGGCGAGTATTCTAGCATGGAAAACACATGTACACATTACTTTCTACTTGGCAACCCCTAGGGTTGGCTTGGTTTTTGGCGGGTTGGTACCCGTTGACGCCGTTTTATTCTTGAAGTACTTGTTTATAATTAGATGATTCGTTGAATGTCAATATACTACTATCATGCGGATTTTTTCAGTAGATGTGCGTACATACTCTGATTTTCAACCTTTCCAGGCTATGGTCTGAATCATCTTTGTGTAGGCAAAGTAATACTGGTAGACTTCACGACCAAAGTATTTGAGCGAGTCAAGCACTATATCCATCGCGTCGATGAAGCTCCACAGAGAACCTACGAGATATTGCAATCCACCTAAGACCAGTACTGGATCTTGGAAGAGGCCACAGATGGACATCCAATACAGCCAAGTTCAATCTACCCTGCGTGGGTCGAGTGCGTTTATAAAATTCCAGACAAGTACGATTATCCATTTCCAGTGGACAGAAACTGGTATGAAAGAAGGAAGTATTGGGCCACTCGACAGGCTGAGGTTCTTGAGGGGCTATCTTGATCATTGAGTACATTATACAAGTATGGGAAAGCTCTCGCCTGCCATTCCTACTGTTTGATCTTCTTTTCTGAAGACTTATGCTTTATAGATAATGTTTCTTTTCGTTTCTTGATGTCACGGTGTTTTTCTTTATTCTGTAGTGGCAGATACTGCGCTTTCAAACTTGAAGTTAATAGACCTGCTCGGTACCTAGACACTACTGGTAGCTATTCCTGTCTTTGGATAGACCTTCAGGGCTCCAGAATTATTGTCTCTTCGGCTTTGGCTTTTACAAGAACAATTAACATGAGTAATAATCGTTTCACTTGATGAGTATACATGTCATATGTACAGAAATAATCCGAAAGTGCAAGGCAATGGTAAGCTATCTCAACCCCCAACTCTATATTCGACCTGCAACCTTCCACTCGCTCCACACCATGGTATAGTAAAAATCAAAAACGCCAGAAAAGGAAACCCTAAAACAGAGGAAACAAGAACCAAAATGCAAAGCAAGAGTCGAGTCATTCCCCATCCAATATGGGAGATCAAAAAGAAAAACAAAGTGCCCAATGCGTGAATGAGTCCAATGAAAAGTCGTAATGTCGTTAATGTATCATAACCACCTTCGCTCTAACGAAGGCAGTTGGTCGAACCCTGTAAGAAAGGAATAGGGTTTAAATGTATATCAAGGTAGATAAGTGACTATATCAAACAGTCCCGTATCGTCCTTGTTCATGGCTAAGTAGGGCCTGGCCCTCCCGCGAGCGCGTACGCTCGTCACGCTCCGGCGACGTTGAAGGAATCCATCCGCGCATCCATCCACGCACGCGACGCCACTTACTGCGGCCGCGCTTGGGGTCTCCATCCTCGGAACCAATATAGCTCTCGCCATCCTCGTCGTCTTGTGGGCCGTACATCAAGAACTGCACGCCCATGAAGCCATCCAAGAATAGAACGCCAAATGCACCCAGGAAGAAGGGCAGACTCCGTCCAATCCACTCCCAGCGATCATTACCGTGGTCATCGGCCCAACCGCCACCGCCGTACGGCGCGAAGTCATACCAGGCATTGGGGTTGGTGAGCAAAGAGGAGGAATAGAACAAGTTGCCGCTGAAAGCAGCCATGAAGAGAAGCGGGGAAAGACCTTCTGTGCTCTTGCGGCGGTAGTTCTTGATGAGTTGGGGCGGGCGTGAGCCCAGGTAGAGGAGGGTTGACATCCAGGAGAAGATGCGACCCACGATCTCGATGATTGTTTCACGGGGAGCATGGGAAATGGGCGGGTGAGGTGACGGGCCGGTACCGGTAGGACTAGCATTGGCTAGGACAGCACAAAGCAGCGAGGCAATGAGCATAGTGCGGGGTAGTGCGAATGGAGGGCTGGAGGCGCTGCTTCTGACCCGGATCGACCGGCGCGAGGAATTTGTCTTCTCATTCGAATATGATGCAGTGGGATTGACGGTTGAGTTGAGAGTTGATCCGGTCTGCACACCCGCGTCTGTCGCCTCGGATTTCTTTGACACGTCCATGTTGACTGGTCCCAATGATTGCGACTGTTGTGTTGCATTGTTGTCGGGCAGGGGCACCCCCTGTAGCAGCCCGCCGGTGGAATCGGATGCATCGTGCGAGTGTGGTAATTCGCGGTAGCTGTTGTACCGCCGGGCTTTATAGTGGGTGTACCAAAAGAATTGAATGACTAGCGCGACATCCACGCAGACATAGTAACTGGCGACGACGACTTGCCAGCCGGCCTGGCGGGTGAAGAGGGCGCCGATAAGATTGCTCACATCACCGAAGCACCAGATGACGAGGAAGAATATGGACAGACCGGAGGTGGATTGGAGCTGGTAGTTCTTGAATATTTGGGGTAGCTGGGCGAAGAGCCATGACACAATGCTGAGGGTGCCGAGAACGGAGGAGATCAGCGCGAGAGGAGTGGGGAGGCAGATGTGGAGATGTGAGGAGATAGCGGTCAGAAGAGGCGAAGAGGGTTCACAGTGGTCTGGAAGAGACCCAGCAACAAGGTTGTATAAAAGCGGCGGAGGCATATTCTAGGAGAAATAGCCAAGGAGGACTCGCGGTGGCCGTGGTGGGCTCGGATATCAAGCGTAAGGTTGGTAAGGTGAGGATGCAGCCGAATCCGGGGAAGCGATAAGGCGGGGGTGAGGATTTCGGGTCGCGAGTCTCGAGGCAGGGCGGTTCAGAAGGAAAGAAAAAGACAGCAAGGACGAGGAAATGGTGTAAAAGGTCGAGTGCGAGTCTAAGTCTAGGAGTGAGGGGGAATAAAGAAAAAGAGAAGAGGAGAATGAGAATGAGAAAGAGGTCACGCAGTCATAGTCACCCCTCGGGCTCAGCTGAACATTGCGCAGGGCGCCGACTTAGGGCAAGTAGGGTCTTATCTCCCTGCTGACTCATTCGATAAACACTGGAGCATCAACCAATCAGAAGTCTCCGATATCAACCTCGGTGGACCCCGGTGGAGTCCGGTTTGGCCCGCGGAGGCGATCCAGTGGTTCTCCTTACTTCATCCCATTTGTGTGTGTGACTGTTCCGATCTGTTGATATGTGCAGCAAAAGAAAATTGATTATTATACTCCGTATTCGTCTAATCTCTCTTCCACCCCGCATTCCCACGGTTTGATCTACAGTAACACCGCAAGGGCCAACACACCCGCAGCAGCCGCCACCCCGGACGCCATGACTCCGGTCGCCGGTGCCGAATTTCCATGACCTCCACTACCAGGCCCTCCAGTGGGCTCGTAGTGCTCGGAAACCCAACTCTTGACGCTGCTAGGAAGATCCGCATACCACTGCGGGTAGTGGCCGTCTGCGATCTCGCTGAAGATGGACGACCGCGCTGATGGGTTGCCCAGTTGGGACAGATAGGATTCCGGAATCGCAGTGATGAGCACAGACTGGATCGAGGCCGGGGGTGCATCGCCGAGTCCTGTCAATGAAGGGCCCGTCGTCATAGTAGGCATATCGAGACTATTAGCGGTCGTCTCACTGGCACTGTCAGTGTCATGACTGTCACCCCCACCCAAGTGCGTCGCACTGGGGTAGTCCGTCAGCCCATAGTCGCTCAGGGTGTAGTCATTCAGGTAGTCAGAGTAGTCGCTCAGGTAGTTGGTGGGCAAGTCTTTATATATGTCGCTATAGTCCGAGTCCGTGAGGTAGTCAAGATAGTCGGTCTCGGAGGCTCTGTTTCTTTATGTTAGACCGGATTGAGGAGGTTTCCATAGTCAGAAAGGCCGTCTTACAGGCTATTGAGATCGCCCATGAGACTGTTGTAGTAGTCATCGGAGGAGTCGCCATATTGCTTCTTCTCCAGTTCGGCAGTAGCCAGAACAGAGGCTGAGAGGCACAGCAGAGCCAGAGTCTTAGAATGCATATTCTTGTTGGATTAAAAGACCGGTGATATAGCAATATAGTACTAGTATGTGTAAGACTAGTCGTACTAGTCAACTCGGAATAAAAGAGTATATGCTGAAAAAAAAGAGGTTCGAGAAGGATATGGACGGAAGGAAGTCAAGACTCAAATCACCATCCTCGATCAGGGCATCAGCTCCAATTTAAGGGTCCTCAACGTCCCTTCTTCGGCCCTTCAGCCGCAATGGTCCACCCCTTTAACAAATATCAGCCTCCGCGCGAATAATCACAATCATGGCTCACTCGTATCGATCCACTAAACCCAAAACCAAGGCTAAACAAGCCCTCCAGCAAATCCTCTGGTGTGGTAACCGAGATGGAACTCCTCCGAGATGTAGGGTCCAAGCCTTCTTCCTCGATGAATCCAATCAGAGAACCCAGATCACCGTGAGCAGAACGGAGTCAGTGTCAAAGAACGAGGCGATTGGAGACGCCGGCTCGTCAGTTTCTCCCGGAATGGGACCAGCGGGCAGAAAGGGCTTCGGCTGTGCCTCGTATTCCCGCTGAAGATGAAAAGGGGCTTCGGGCTAGATGGGACCGTTAGCTAGAAGCTGAGAGTTATTCGAGGCACGCTACCCGTGTTGATCGTGAGAGGTGTGGATCGTATGGTTAAAGCTCAGATAAAGTTTTGAGGCTGGTTTCGTCAGGAATCTCATCGATGGGCCCAAAGTGCCCTTTATCCCTTTGGATGATCTCTTAATTATCTCTGAAGACTTGTTAGCCTCGCTTTTCATAGCCCATGATTTCTTTCCCTGTTACCAGTCTATGTACCGATCCAAGGCGGCGAGGAAAGACCCTGATCGACAGGTTCAAATGCGGGTCTGGTGGGAACAGATACGAGGCGTGTTGTCGTTTCGAGCTTGAATACGAACCCTACAGATTTTTCATGCCTCAATTGGTCCAAATTTAATTTCGCCAAGTCGTTCCTGAATAAATTTCAGGGTCCAGCCAGTTGCCAAGACCTAGACTGAAGGGTCCATCTCGTAACCTTGGTGAGAGCCCTAACTTTGGGTTCTGTTGGCCAACAATCTAACCAATATAATCCAATAAACACGGATGCGAAGGGACAGTACGGAGTATGGAGTGAATAATTCTTTGGCTCTCCGTGAAGAGAATGATTTTAGTTGTTTTAAATTTGGCATAGCCTCCAAACGTACGGAGTACTCGTAGTAGTTGTGTAATTTCAAAGGCAAAAGGTAAAAGGCAAAATAGCAGAATATTGGAATAATGGAATCAGCCGTAAAATTCATGATCACGTCAATCTCGTTCATCATAAGGAGCTCTTCATCATGAACCTCGAGATAAAATAGACAGAAAGGGAAAAGCACTGCAGCCATCATCCTGGCTGGGAAGAATATGCTAACACGCCATCGATACTTGGCCTTGCATCAGACACACAAAAAGGAAGGACAAAAAGGAATCCATCATCACAAATCAAAACATCATCGCCTCTATGTCATGAAATTCTGAACGCATATTCAGTAATCGTCCTCGTCACGGTGTCGTGAATGGCTTCGACTCCGACTATGTCGGTGATGACTATGGTGGTGGTGATCATGTCCGAGGTGACTGAGGTGACTGCTATTATGACTGCCGTGATGACTTCCATGATCACTTCCATGGTGACTGTGGTGACCGTGGTGGCTATGGTGACTATGATGGCTAGCATGCGACGATAAGGATGGCGAGGGGGGGCCTCTCATGCTTCTTCGTTTTGTCTTCAAGCAAGTTTCCGATGATAGCCCCGCCAATCGCACCCAGGATACCATGATCTTTCTTGTGTCCGAAGTAATAACCCGCGGCTCCACCAGCCAGAGACCCTCCAAATCCACGGTCGCCCTCGAGATCTTCTGCACCCCGGTTTGAGTCCCGACTCTCCTTGTCGTGAGGTCGGGTATTATCTGCCTCCGACACGTACACCGGGGGTGGGCGCGGGCTGTGTGACGGTGTGTATCTCGGTTCATCGGCTGGGTGGCCATCGCTTTGAATGAGTCAGCTTTCTGTTTCTGGTGCTATGTAACTCTCCCACTTCATTCACGTACTAGTATCCCGCATTCTCGGGGACCTTTCCACTATCATGAAATGGTATCCCTGGAGCGCTGGCCGGACCGAGGTGATCTGGTTGTCCTACCGGCGTGTAACTTCTGTTGGGCGCATTGCTCTGGTATCCTTCCGGCTGAAGGTGGTATTGACTCGACTGCGGAGCATAATTGTAGTTTTGATCCGGCGATGCCACACCACCATAGTCGGCATTGCTGTATGGGGGCTGCTGGTGCGGATATGCGCCTTGCTGGTGAGATTGCTCGTCCGGGGCTGGGGGATAGTAACTGACCCCACCCGGGAGTAGGCGTTGGATATGAAGTGTAGGGATTGTAGGGGTCAGCCATAACAGCGAGGTGAAGGTGAGAGAAATGAAAGGTGTTTCGAGATGGGAAAGAGAGAGAGGGAGAAAATGTTTTATACTAAGTAAACATTGTCAGTGACTGTCAGCCGGGAGGCATAACATCATGCGTGCGGCTGACCTGTCCGCACGACCCTTCTGCCGTGCAGGAACTTTGGCATGCGCTTACCTCCAATCAGAATTGCAGGGATTCTGCACCAGGCGTCTAATGAGGGGGGTCATGCCCCTCGTTCTACGCTTGATTCTGGCTACTGGAAATGACGGTGCATGATTGAAGACGGAAAGACAAATTGGTATTGCGATACGTCATCGTCAAGTAGATGAACTATAGAGGGAAAGAAGTGAAGACAAAACAAGTATGACTCGGATGACTCGGGGTATTCCGGCGAAAATCAGAAAATCGAATGGACAAGAAAGGATCCAATGCAAAGAATGCGCTGACTGTTGATCAACTAGGAATCACAGGTCGCTTCTCAGTAATGGAACGAAACAAGGCAGGTCGTCAAAATTGCATCGATTGGCGGGGGGCATAAATGCGACCAAAAGAGAAATCGGGTGTATTGGGGTTGCATGAATAAAACTTGAAGAGAGAAGAAAACGAATGTAACAAGGCCAGTCGGAGCTGATGTGCCCAGCACAATTTCCTGGTCTTTCCAGGACAACTCGACAGGCCCATGAATATATCCACAGACACATTGGTAGAGAAAGATTGATATACAGTAGACGAATCAAGCGGTCGGGCTCTGCGGGCTTCGCAGGCTGTTGTTCCTCGCTCGCTGGGACATCCAGTTCACAAGCATCTCGTCGAGTTGATTGTTCATCTCTTTTAGACGTTTGCTCTCTTCCTTGAAAAGGCGACCAGTAACCGGATGATCAGTCCCAGCCGGGGGAATATTGGACTTGTCGTGGACAATAATGAATAGGTCGCGAATGTCATTTTCATCGTCCATGTAGGTTCGTAAGCTAGCGTCACTCCAGGTCGGGGTATCTGAAAATGTGTCCACAGAACCTGGAGCAGCCTCGCTACTCTTCAGGTCGTTCACGTCGACTTCAGGAGACGACGGGGGTGAGAATGGAGACGTGGAGTGCGTCCGAGGTCCGGCATCTGCCGTCAACCCTGGGGCGGCGGCGATGGGTATATGCTCCCCCACAGGAGAAACATCGACGGGGGACTCCACGCCCATCGCTCGATCGTAGTCGGTGACCACTCTTGGCATCAACTTTTGTGGTGGCGAGACCACGGATGGCTGCACTGTCGTCTTGGGTTCGTATGTTCCTCGCCATTGTACTTCGCTGGAAGATCGTTCAATCGGAGATACCAGCTGTTCTCTGGATTCGGCAGTTGCAAACGAGTCCTTTGAAGGACTGGGCTGGCTGGGCTGGCTGACCGGGGATGTCACTATTCCTCGACTCGATTCCATATTGCCCGATTCCTCCGAGGCCACGCGACGGATAGACTGCCCGGATTGGCTCGCATCCTTGGCCGCCTCTGTCGCAAACTGACCCTCGACTCTCGTTGGTGACATCGTCGCTGGGGGTTGCTTTTGTAGTTTGTTGGTGGCTTGTTTCTGAGGCCTGGACGGTCTTTGTTCCGGCGAAAGGGACTCGGATGAGGTCTTCGGTTGCGGCGAGGCTCGGAAATTCGACTCTGCTGGAGACCTTTCGGCTTCTTCATAGTCGTCGATTGATTTGCCCTTCTTGTCTTTCCTTTTGAACAGTCCACTGAGCATTCCCGACTTCTTGTCTTTGCGTTTCTTCTCTTCTTTCACCTTATCTTGAGAAGACAATTTACTCTCGATACTTTCCATACTTCCACGAGGCTTCACAGATGTTAGACATTATCTTGAAATTGGGGGTTTGTTGATAACCTACCTCTTTCCACTCAGCCAGACCATTGTTGATGTTATTGTTGTTGGACTCATCGCGCAGCAAGTTAGGTGTAAGAGATATTTTCTTCGGTTCGGCAGTGTCGTCCTTGAAGAAGGAATCCGTGTTCCGTACAGTACCATTTCTGGATCTACTGACGGTGGGTTCTGGTAATAGATCAAAGTTAGGGTTCCGTTCTCGTTCAAATGACGAGGGACGCCAATTGATTGCTTACCTTCTGGGTCGAAGAATTCTTCGCTGGAGCGTCGGGGGTCCGAAATCGAACGCTCCGGCTCTTGTTTCTCTTGTAGTTCCGCCTCTGCCTGCTCTGCGGGCTTTTCCTTCTGTGCCTTCGGTCTGAGGGGTTCCACCACAATATCTTCAGTCTGTTCCTGGGCGTCCCCTTCTTCCGATTCAACGGTTTCATCGTCATTGAAGAAGTCGCCATGTTCGGAATCGTCGTCCGAAGAGTACTCAACGTCTGAGGCCTCGATGTATGTCGGGGGTGCGAAGTTAACAGTCTTCGCATTCCGTCGGCGCATCGCCTTTTTCAAAGGATTCTTAGACTTTTCGGAATTATCACCAAGCATGGTCGCCGAGAGCTGCTAATGTTAGAGCGGGTCCAGTTGACGGATAGAGCATTGAGACATACATCGACATTACGGTGCTTGTTTAATCGGGCAAGTCTCTCGGTAGGTGTTTCAATGTGCTCGGCCGGGAGGTACCCTGATTAATATTAGTATTGTTCAAGGGGTTTTAAAGAGGTCTGGACCTACCAATGCTTCCATCTTTGACCACGCGAACCAGCCACCAATAGCTGTTGCTATCATCCAAAAGAACCATGGTGTCTCCCTTTGAGGCATTCGCCTGCCCATCAACAGTTGCGACAAAATTGTGAAGAGCGTAGACAAATTCGAAGTCAATATCCTCTGCTTGCAGTTAGTTTCAGGCTCCCCGCACAGTGAACACTCCTGAGGCCCTTACCATCATCAATTGAGGGAGAACTAGAGATTTTGTCCATTAGATCATCATCAAGAAGATCATCGCTTTCGCCATCGGCCAAATCGCCATCTTCATGATCGTAATGTCCATTTGATCCCATATCATCATCGTCCGTGTCGTCCCCATCTTCATACATCCCATGTCCACCTGCTCCCGGTCCACCCATTATCTCCGCTTTCGAATCCTCTTCCGCATGACGAATCGACGATTCTTGATGGGGGGCAGGCCGGCCGGCCCCTAGAGGAGCTGGTGCTTCGGGTTGTTTTGTGTGATCCTTCGCAGACGGTGTATCATGGTCTTGGAGGTCGAGTGTATCTAGGGTAGTCGGGATCAGCACGGGAAATTGCAATCAAGCGCGGGTTCATGAGGCGGATATAGCTCCGACGAAAAGACATACCAGCGCGTATAATCTGAGGCCTCGTCATGTTGCAAGAAGCAATGAACGTGGGATCGGCGGTGAGGAGGCGGAGACGCGAGTGATAAAAGAAGTCGGGGGAAGGAGGGATTGTTGAACCAGCGCTATTTGGCGTAAAGAGGACAGGAAGATAAGAGTATGCGAAAAAGAAAATCCCTTGGCCAGCGCTGCAAGATTGAGAAAGTAATTGGGATTCACCGCGGAGTCCCTGGAACTGGTCGGCCCGTAAAAGAAAGACTGCGCCTTAAACAACAAAGGTGGGGTGGCTGGGCTGCACTTCAAGTCGCAGCACTAAGGGCGAGGCGGAGAAGAAAAAACTACTGCCAGAGCGACATCAGAATAAGAAAGGAAAGGACTGTTTGATTGTTTGAATCTCCAAGTATCCCCAGACATGAAGCCAAAAGGAGGTTGCTCCCAAACAAGCGCCCCTTGCGCGCGGCTAAGTGATTAATCAGGGGTCCGCGAAGCCCCTGAGAGTCGCCCGATCGGGTTAGGGCTTAGGGCCTCTCTATACTATGTATAGTGACATAGTTACATACGTTTATAGTAAATATACACTTTTACAGAACATTGAAATACATCTAAATGTTGGTGGCTTGATTCAAAGTTCAATATGGTTAGGTTGGATGGTTGCTAGGGTTAGTCGCCTAGTGTTGCGTGGTTGTTGTGGTATTTCCCAATTCGATGCAACGAGACAACGCCCTTGATTCATTGCCGATCCCCAACTGTATGTCCTCCGAGTCAGTACTAGTAAACAAATAAATTCAGACCTGCCCTAGCTAAAACAAGGTTGATTCTATCATTCTTGTACGTAAAATGTCTCCTAGCTGGATGCCTAATTTGTGTTATTGTTCCGCAAAAGGCGGGAGGGAGGTTTATCTGACGTCGTGACGCCCATTCCAATCAACTTTATGTAGACGTTGGATATGTGGACTCGGGAATATTTTCCGATTGTTTGCACATGATCGATTTACATACTACTTTATTGCTACCTACTACTAGTACTACTAAGGCGGTGCATCTGCCCAGGTGGGCACCGGCTGGCTACATTAGTATCCTAAACATGCAGCGTAGTAGTAGTAGTAGTAGTAGTAGTAGTATATATTGCTACTACCTACCTACTACCTAGATAGTAAGTAGTACTATGTAGTCCTGTTCTACCACTCCAACTCCAAATTTTCTAATTTATCACTGGCATCTTGAATAATAAACTTCGGAATTGACGCACTAAGCTACGTTATTTATTGAAAGTCCCATAATCACATTTGCCATATTTTCATTCAAGTTTGTGTTGCATAAGCTAGTAATACTAGTAGAGAATATTTGATTGAAGCTGGGCGGGCTTGACCAGATTCCGCTCCCGGTTGGGGCGCATGAGGCGGCCTCCAGTGCGCCTTATGGAGCCATAGATTCATTGCAAAATTTTAACCACGCCTGGTAATTGCTTGACAGTCGTGACCTAAGTTGGCATCAATGGCGGAACTAACATGCCGAGCTGAGGGTATAAATAGGCTCGGAGTGACTCTACCTTTGCAGCTCAGAACTAGGTATAGGGTTGCCAATTGACAGCAATAGCGACAAGGTCACTGTTTACCGAATAGCTGACAAGGCTACGGCTTTAGAGTCGAAGGGGCATTCTGGTGGAATTAAAGCGAACAAGTATTATCACCTTTCACTTTCTGTACGGTCGACTAATATCACCGTTATATTGAGTAAGATGGAATGGCAAAGACCACGGTTACTGCTTCTGACGGTGGACTGAAGAGTGGGTGGGCGTGTTTGTATGGAAGCTATGGTAGTGGCAGTTTCAAGAACGTCCAAATTGGCACTAGCAGTTTGGCTTGAGCTTGTGGTCTTTACTAGTACCAATCGAAATTTACTTGTAGTTGTAAGTACTAGTATCCCCACACCAGTGAGACCCGACATTCAGGTAGTACTTGGGTATCCATACTAGTAGTGACATTCCAAGGTTACTAGTTTGTGAACTTGGAACAATTCAACGTGAGTAATTATGTTTGCAGCCACTATATGTACGTGTAGTCCGGAGTACTTATCCGTGGACTAGTTATTAGTTTATTAGTTATGTGTACAATGTAGGGCAACAGGACGATCAGCTGATCCTCCCGGAATCTCCCGAGGATCCTCCCAAAACGCCCTGCGGCCTCCGGTTGGCTCCGACTGACCAATCTCTTGTCCAGTATTTCCCCTCTGACCTCACTTAGCTTAATGACTCTCTGTTTAACGTCAACATTTCCAATATTTCTCTTACCTACTTCAATCTCTTCCATCGCTCGACGCCGTCGCTCGACCCCGCGATTTTTAAAAGCGTGTCGCCCCCACTTCTAACACGCTTATCGCCCCACCGTCAGAGATCCCATCCCATCCAAATCGACCGACTTTCATCATTCGAAACTCCAAAAGAAAAACGTCGGAAGTGCTTTCGCAACCCGACTGCGAGCCTACGAAGGGCTCGCTTTCCAAAACGACGTCTTATTCCGCGCTCCTGCCGAGGGCATGGCGTATCCGGAGAGGCACGGGTTAGCGAGTTTGAGGATTGAAACATCCTTTCGCGAGAACAGATCAGGATGGCCCGGTGAAGAGCAAGGGAGGGGGAAATCGACAGAGAGTGGCGATGGTATCGAGAGCGAACGCACCAAATCTCATGACTACAAGGCGCACCGCCGTGATACTAATGAAGACCGCAGTGTGTTAAGTGATTTGCATTCTGCAACACCTCCCATCTCAGTCCCTCGCCCTGAAGGCCGCCCGGCCGATGACGCCGAATACCCCCACAAGCCAGATGAGATTTCAGGCTCCCCCCCTTGACTCATACCTGCAAGACTCGTACCTGCAAAAGCGTCGCCCCTCCATTTCCTTCCACCCAACGGTCTCCCTGGACTCGGGTATACAGCGCCCGCTAGAAGAGCCTCTCGTGAAAGGCGACGCCAAGAACCGCCCCCCGCAAAAGTTCGAGTCCCGGACCTCTGGTCTCCGGAACGCGCTTTCTCACGATGATGGCTCCGCCGACCCGCAATCTGTCGCTTGGGGTTGCGAATCCAAGCGGTCCCTCGAAGAGCGGGGTATCCCGACCGGGGCTTCCCGTTCACGCCCTTCCGTTTCCTCGGAGGATGGCTCGATAACAACAAATGAACTCGATCAACCGACCTCTCTGACATCGGTATCAACGGCTTCCCCAGGCGATGAAGTTCATACACCGCCCGATGGCAAAGATGTGCTGCTATCACCTCTCTATATCACTTCGCCCACCCAGTCGCTGACGTCCCCCGAGGACCGCAGCTCCTCCTGGTCTGGTGGTGTCATGACGCCGTTTGGAAGTAAGCGCAGCTCTGGGCTTGACCGCAGCAGCAGTCTGCGAAACACCACGCGGCATAGCTCCCGGCGGTCGACCCTTTCCAGCGGCAAATCACCGGCGAGTATGTTCTTGTCTATGTGGTCCTCTGGCAAGGAAGAGCCAGCCACACAGCCAGACGACGAGGGCCAGATGGTTGGAACCGATTATGTTCTAGGAAAACAAATTGGCTTCGGTGGTTTCAGTGTTGTGAAAGAGGCTTATAAGGTAGAAGAGTACGGCGAACCCAAACGTCTTGCTGTCAAGATCGTGAAGAAGCATGTGACTGGCCGCTCCGAGAAAGAGAACGAAGATGTGCAAGCGGAATTCGACCACGAGGTTCGGGTCTGGAGATATCTCAGCCATCCCCACATCCTAACGCTCGACGCCGTTTATGAAACCGACTTCGCTACTTTCTGCTTCACCAAGCTCGCCATCGGTGGTACATTGTTCGACTTGGTTCGCCAGAATCGACAAGGCATCAAGACGTGTCTCGCGAAGAAATATGCTTACCAACTCGCATGTGCCATTCGTTATCTCCACGAAGATACCCGCGTGGTGCATAGGGATATCAAGCTCGAGAATTGCTTGCTCGATCCTATTGCGGACCAAGATGGTAATATATCTTCGACTTTGGTACTTTGTGATTTCGGTATGGCCGAATGGATGACAATTGATAACGGCGGGGACTCTCCCGATCCTTACGATGAGGTCGCTGATCGACCCCCTCCCAAGCAGATGGGCCCTGCTGGCTCGAGTACGAGTGTTGCTGGTAGCCTCGAGTATGCTTCACCTGAGCTGCTTCAGTCGACTGGCGGTGTGATCCACCCGTCAGTTGATATCTGGGCCTTTGGTGTCATCGTTTTCACCATGGTTGTTGGCTCTCGTCCCTTCCAAGACACATTCACCCCTCGCATCCAAGCCAATATACTTAACGGCACATGGGATCAAGATGCCATGCTCGGAGAGATGATCGAAGACAATGTGCATTATGACCGCCGTGATGCCCTTGATCTGGTCAAAGGTTGCCTGGAGATGGATGTCAATAAGCGATGGACCATTCGTGACATTCTGGAATGTCCCTGGCTGCGCGAAGTCGCTCAACCCTCCGAAGACAGCTCGTCCGACTCGGTTTGGCGGCTATAAATTGCCCCCGCTTTTCTCTTCCTTCTTTTTCTTTGAAATGGAACGAAAAGGAATGTCTGGAAGAACACTTCGTGCCCCTGACCTGACGTTCGTTCGTTATATTGAATTTTGATTTTGCTTACTTACTGGCGCTTCCCCAACTCGAGCGCTGGTGTTTTGGATTTTTGGTCAGCTTGATACCCATTATTTCCTAGTAACGTGTGCTATTTGCTAGGACTTTCTGATTTTTGAGATTTTCTTCCCCGGACTTTCGCGTTTGATTGCATTTTGAGCTTTTGATTTGATATGACGGATGGATTCATGATTGTTTACTTTCACTTGAGTTACTCGGCAAGGCGTTTTGTGCGTTCTGACTTTTTTCCCCTTCAATTTTGAATCTCTCGCTGCTTCTATGATTGTACTCTATACTCAGATTTAGCTCTGCTGCTGTCTCGGCTCTATATGCTATTTTCTCTTCCTCCTGGCAGGATCTTAGCTGGAAGATAGAAACATAACAAATCAAAAATACTGGTTTATATTGATTGAATTTCCTTTATGACATCTCTAGGTTGTAAGTGAGTCAGAACACAGCAATCCACCGTGACTGTTTTCGCTCTATCACAAGCACCAAAGTCGGCCGACCCATACTACTACATAGACACATGGATGTATAATCAAATGCCACGGGACACCCACACTGTGATGTATCATATATCCGCCGAGGAGGTAGCCTAGCCCGGTTCCAAACAGAGCGGTATTTAGGCCTTTGCTTGTGCAGACATGTAAGCAAGGCAACGTTTGAGAGGCGGTAGCTTGCTCTGAATAAAGCCGAACTGAGTCGTATACCAAAACCGGTTAAATTTGCATTGTGCATGGGGATGGCCCCCCGCGTTTTTTATTATTTCGGCGAGTCCGTGCTGGACAGGGCCTTATCGAAAATGCGATGAGCAAGGAGGATCCTTTTGGCTAGTTTGGTTCTGCATCGCCTATGCTGGACTTGGGTGTGTTTGCATGTGTGTGTGACGGATGTAATATTGGAGGGGCCTCGAGCAAGGTCTACACAAAGATTTGCAGGGCCGGGGAGTAGATTTTTAAAGATAGGTAAGGGCTTGAGCAAGGTTGACTATTTCATTTCTTAGATGCACAGATAGTTTTCTTTTAGAAATGCCCAGGAGTTCCCGTCAAGCCCTGACACCTGTTTATTGTAGGACGAATCATGCTATGGTATTATGGAATAGCTAGAGATGGGAGTGTTCGAGCGCATCTGACTCTTTTGCGCAACCTCCGATTTATCAAGGAGTTTCACGATCATACTTTAGAGCTAGATGCTTTGAAAGCAACATGAACACAAACGCTGCGGAGTAGGCCAGCTGTCATGAATAACCACACCTGGCAGGAATTAAGCCAAAAGAGGATGCCTCCATCGAAGTCGATATCAATATTTAGCATAGTCATCCAGGATCCGGGGTAAAGAAGCTGGTGTTAAACGGTAGGCTGCACAAGGTGGCCTGATGCCGCCAGAAGACTCGGCAACCAGACCAGATTGCAAGAGCCGAGCATCGATGATCCAGGTTTCTTGTTCTTGGTGAAGCATGCAATGTAATCTGGCTACCGGTATATTTACGCAATAGGAACCTGCTCAATGGCCAAGTGACAGCTGTCGGTAGCGAGGGCAATACTACCGTATCGAGGGTCGTAAGTGTGATGTGTTCTATAAACAAGTATCAGAAGGACAGGACATCATCTATTGGAAACAGAACAAAGCAAATCCGATGCTTTTCCCTGGCGATCGGCAATATACTCATTCAGCCTCAAAGGTCCTACCAGCCAGCCAGCCAGCCAGCCCGTCTTCAGACACGTTCCACAACTACCAAACAGACGCAAAGCAGCCACCAGCCAGAGAAACAGAGCAAAAGCCCAGCCCAAAACGGCGCATGCCCCGGTTGCAAATTGTGTGGTAACAGCCCCAGACAAGCAAAAGAAAGAGCGCTTTGGTCGATTCAAAAATGGCACCGATGACCATATCACAATCGGGAAGAGCAAAGAGGCAAACCAGATCTCAATAAAGCAACGCGCGGTTGCCGAGGACGCATTCAAAGACGACCAATTGACCCTGACATTGAGTAAGTAAGTAAGTACCTTTGACCAGGTGGTTTACGCCGGCGTCATTAGTCTGCCATGGAACAGGCGTCTCATCCCGGTCATCACTAGCAGACGCCTCTGGGGGACGAGCATAAAACAAAAAAAAGAACCAACAAGCTGGTCGTCAGCCACCCCCTCAGTTAGCCAAGATTCGCGTGCTGTGCCCGGGTTCAAAACGACCGATGAGGACAAAATGGCAAAAGGTTGAAGGTTGAAACCACACCCAAACTATGTAGGAGGCTTGGGGGCGCTGGAGACAAAGTTGGAAGTTGATCTGGAACTTTGGAGTCCGCTTTGGAGGCTTGATTGATTGGAGGCTCACACGCTCGGATTTGACTTTGACTACATTTCGGTCAATTTCCTCTTTCTATTCACGTTGTCATCTCCGAAATCTGTTGCGTCTCCATGGAAATGCTGTTTTCGTCGTTGGACGGGAAATCGGAAGACTGTTTGTTCGTCTGGAACTACGTAAGATCGTAGTGATCTCAGCGATCTCATCTCAAAGAAGTCGATGCGCTGGGTGACATAGCTTCACTCAATCCCAATACCACCTGCGGGCAATAATTAACCTTTCCGTTTCCAGGTTTGGGCTATTTCCGCCACTGAAAATTCCAATTTGCTGGACCCTCTAGTTTATTAGCGAACAGTTAACTCGGGGGTATAATTTCCATCACAGCTTTGAGCGGTTGTGCTTTAGTCTTCACCGACAACGGGCCTAAACCATGTACCCCAAGTACGACACTCGGTTATTGCCCCGTCCGGAAAGTCGTCGCCGTTGGAAACAGAAGCATGTACTCCGTACGCCGCCCACTATGTGCTCTAGTCTGAATATTCCCCAGGCAGTCAAAATCATCTTCTTTCACTGACCCGCGATCAGTTGGAAATGTGACTAGCAGCCTCGGGATTGTACCTGGCATCTGCCAAAACCATTGAACCAGGCGTATTCCGTATACTTTTTATTCCCCATTTGTCATAGACGGAATCGATCGGCTTCGGCAGCAATGTCCAAGAAGCTCTAGACTAGGTACATACACATGGAGTAGAGTGGCGGCGATACCGGATGTGGACGGAGAATCGGAGAGGGCGGGAATGTGATCCTGGGAAAGTGACCTTCGGTCTGCACTGGGACACGCGTTGCTCCACCACGATCGGCTGTAGGAATCATGGGTAAGAAGGTGGAAGGCAGAATAATAGAATTTCGGGATTATGGGTAAGAAATTTAGTATTTGGCTTTTGATTGACTATTCCATCCATAGTACGGAGAGTAGCTGGACCGGGATTGCAGTGCGTCTCCCGGGAGCTGGGATGATCATCCCCGAAGAAGATAATCATAGAAATAATATATCAATAAAAAGAGAAAGGAAAAAAAGACCCTGGCGACACACACTGCATGTTCATGGTTGAACTGTGATGATGATTGTGATTATTGATGAGTGATAGCCGAGTGTCTAGACTCGCGTCCCTCCCAGGCCACCATGTGCCTTTTGACTTGAGTCTAATCTTAGACGGACTTGGACGGCCTGAGACACGGCTACGTAATAATGGTCGTGCAGGTCCTCCACTTCTCCACACCGTATACGGTAATTCCAACACACCTGATTGATACGCCGACATGTCGTTAGTTCACTGGCTAAAAATGACAGACCCGAGTGGTCAAAAAACCTATACATTATAGATGCTTCCAGCACTTCCTTTCGGAGTACAGGGCCCATGAAAACTCAAAGGAGACCAAGGCTAAAGTCAAATGAAAAGCAAATACTCGTACACACACAAACACAAACACACAGCGAGGCGATGACGGATGTGTCAGACTAGAGACGTTAAAATGGTGCTTGGGGCGCTGGCTGGGAGACTCTCCAAATCAAATTGATCGAGTCTCGAAAATAATGGATGTATTCCGTACTGTAATATCAAATCATCCATCCGTGCCGCCGTGCGCTTTCCTTTGATTCGAGGCGCAATCTGTTTGGCCCCTGCGCCGGGCTGAGGCATGTCTAGAATCCCTCTCGCATGCACTTGACTCTCCCCTGACTGTGATTGTCTTTGTTGCCTTTGCGACCCGTCATCCCGGCCCGTTGGCGCTTTTCTTTTGTTGTCTCGAACCCTGTCGTGACTCGAGTATGCCAGGGTGGGAAAGGATGAGCTAGTAAATTGATTGAATGACCCAGGTGGATGGATGGTCAGACATCCCCAAAAAAAAGAATCATCCCAAAGCGCCTGCCAGGTAGCTTTCTACTTTCCTTGTAATTTCACTACTGTAGGACCTTCCAACTCCCCCAAAAAATACGAAAACAAGTCAAATCATCTTTGTCGCATGGTGTATTGCCTCACGATCATCGCCCCAAACACACACACCCCCATGTCAGTTGACCTTTGATCGTCTCTCACGCCCCCCTGCTGGAGGTGATCGAAAAGGGGGTGCGGGCTGCGAGGTCGCCCATCCGCCCCGGGCTTAGACGTGGATTGTCTCGAAGAGAGGGGGTAAGAGGAGGGGCAAACGATCCTCTTTTTTTTTTTTTTAGGGCCAGGAATCGGGAATAGTAGATGATGGCTTGTGAGAAATGAGAAATGACGCTAGGAATCCAACCATCGCTACCGCAAATTTCCACCCCCTCTCGTCAACAAAAACCCCACCGATGTCGTAGATTTTTCCTGGCGCAGGAAACTGCAGCCTTGACCGATTCGTTACATTAGACCCATCTATGCTAGATTGGTGTTGCGTCGCGTCGCGTTGCTCCAGCGATTTCGCATGCCGAGGCGAAACACTGGAGAGGTCGATGTGATATCGACGGCGGTTGGTCTACCTCATACAGACACTGTGCGGATGGGACCCAGTCGGCAGGCATCCAATATCTTTTTTTTTTGTTTAGTTAGTCTCGGTAGTTTGTGTGTTCTCCCGAGCATTCGGTGCCCAGCCGCAAGGACGAGGGGTCGATGCAAGGAGCCTTGCTTGGGAATCACGCAGGCATGCTCCGTACTCTGTATGGCATTGCGAGCTCAGTGTCGGCACTGGCATCCGGAAAAAGTGAAAGTGAACGGGACAAAAAAAAATCACGACGCATGAGACAGGTTACTCCATCGCAGCGGCACAACCCCTCTGCTCAAAGTCTCAGGAAATTGATGCCGGGGGCGATTGAACGGAATCGGTGCCCCGCCCGGGTTGCTGTGCGTTGTGTAATTGACCTGGGCCCAGATGACGGAGCAACTGGAGCAGAAGCAAATCCAATGTACGGAGATGGAGTCCTACGGAAGTATACGACATACATACACACGGGGTAATCCGGTTAGGAGATTTGCTGATCAGCCCTCAGCTTTGTTGCGTTGGACCCAACCTGTTTGATGGCTAGAACATACAGTACAAAATTATGCTGGCGACATATACTTCCATGCTATGGGGTGAACTTGTGTCCTATTTGGTCTGTGGGCATACGATAGTACATTGTAGCCATGTACCAGAAACTCTGTTGCGACACCAATCATGACTTGGCGGCACGCAAGTTCAATTGTGGAGTAATCCGTATTGCTTTAGTTGAATGGGGTACTATGTACTACCGATCGGGTGAAGAAGTATACTCGTAGTTAGATTATTACATACCAGTTGCCCGCGTCCGCCCGCGCTGACCATAGATAGTGGACTACACTTACTCTTTCGCTACGGAGTACTGTACTACATATGATTGACAAGGAATCTCGGATGACTTCCTTGATTGGTGACCCTTCCGTGTGCATATAATGAAGGTGCCTGTTTCTTACAGCGGCCGATGACGGAGTATCACGACGATGGATGGTCGCGGTCAGCCTGCATGCACCAATAGTTGAGAGTTGAACCCGTCTGTGAACCGAGAGGCAAGATCATCAGCTTAGGTAGCTTTGACTATGGGGACGACAGTTCACTTTTCTTTTTCTTTTTGAATTACATACATGAATATTCGTACTTTTTATTTAAAAAGACTTAATTTTTATTTTATTTTTTTAAACTCCATACACACTTTATCAAAAGACAAATTCCAGGAATACTAAATACAAGCACCCGATATGATCCTTGAGATCAATTGATCCATGATGCGTTCTTGTGACGAAGTCGAATGCTGCAGGTAGCACCGTACACGGCAAAATCTCACGCAGTTTAAAAAAAGAGGGGGCGGTAAATGTTCCATTACTACGCTCCCTGTGGAGCACAATAATTTGCTCGGGAGGTTGTTGGGATTTGGGATTCTAATTTCTGTGCTATTTGCTCATTTGCCTGTGCCATACACCGGCGGTGACTCCCCATCGACGAAGCTCCGCAGTGCCGCAACCGGTATTAGCTAGTGGTCGGTGGCAACGTGCGCGCGCACAAGAGAAGAGAGGGGGGATGGATGGATCCATTTTCGAACATTGGCCTTGGGTCATTTTTTTTTTCTACGATTGCCCCCACTAGGGAGGACGTGCGAGTGTCCACGGGGTGGTTGGTTGGCCCGGGCTGGGGTTGATTTAGTTAAGGGGGGAGAAGATTGTCAAGTCAGCATGTAGATCGGGCAAAGGCAAAAAGGAAAAAGTCCCGAGGAGAGCCAAGGAAAACCGAGAAGAGACGGAGACGGAGATAGAGATGGAGACCAAGGGTGAGAGGAAAGATACAGCCCCATGCAACAGACCCAAGCGAGGCGTGGGCTTGTATGACTGTGACCAGTGTTCTGGATGATCGAAGAAAGAGATCGTCTGCCTCACGCTTTCGCTTTTCGCCAGCTCCACTGCCTTGTGCCCTCCATCTGGGGTTCTGGAAACACCGAAACGAAGACGAGCAAACCCACACCGTGGCGGTGGCTCGGAAAAGTGGAGTGGTGGAAGGACTGACGACGAGTTTCTGCCTCCTCTGCCCCCTCAACCCTCAGCCCTCGTCAAATCACAACGCTCAAAATCCATCCCAGCCGACTTTGGGCCGTATCCAGTCTTCAGCTCAGCGGATGACAATCACGGAATGGTGATTTGCACCCGCCAAGATGACCCAGGGTCACGGCCTTTCGATCGTCTCGCGAGCCCTGTCGTTCTCGTACGCGAGTTTCAAGTTCTTTGAACTGGTGGCGTGACGGATGTCCACCCTACATCCTCTTGAGTCTTTCCTTGTCTTAGTCCCTTTTGCCCGCATCAGCTGTACCAAAGTAGTTCGTGACATGGTACTGGAATTGCCTATCACCGTGAGGCGCGTGCACTCCGCGTCTGCGCGTCGAATCTATTTGATTTCCCAATCGGGACTCGATCCACGGCAATTATCCAGTTGAATGTTCAAGTTGTCGTTGAGGTTCTATGGATGGAGTATACGGAGTAGACTGTTCCCGGAATCAAAGACGTAGTTTCTCCCGTCGACTTTACTGATACCCTCTTTTTTGATTCTTTGATGATCGACAGAGTACACCCGGAAGGATCACAGGTGCAACAATGCCCCCCAATCACCCGCCTCGAGGACGGAGTAATGTACGAACCAGGAGGCAAATGTCAAAAGGACGGTTTCGCAGGGCGCTTCATTCACAGCGCCAGCGCAGGCCGGAGGTTGCATGACAAACCAACGAATCAGAGACGTCCGCGTCCGTGTTGTAGGGAGGCTTGACCTGAACTATCAAATTGGTCCGCGCGGAACCTCTCCTGAAATCTTAGCCCGGGGCTACTCCGTTATACGGAGTACGGAGTACGGTACGGAGGACTAGGACAAGGCAAAAAAAAGCAAAAAGGCAATATATACGCTACGAAGTATCGTGGAGATGGGCTATCATCCGAGTTTCCGACCAGACACCGAGTGGCCGGGAAGGATCAAAGCAAAAAGGAAAAAAAATAAAAATTTGGAGCCCCTAGAGCCGGAACTAGGAGGTCGTCTAAGAGGAATGATCATGAATGGCAACGGCGATCAGTTGAAAGACCAGTGTATCCGTACTAGGGTTGACGCAAGAAAGAGTTGAAAAAGACCGCGGTCGGAAACCGAGGGCCAAAGGGCGCCAAAGGGCCCCAGATGAATCAAACAAGACGAGTCAATGACAAGAAAACGGGCCAATCAGCCGATGGCACCGGGGGTACACGATTAGTCACCTGTAGGGTAACGGTGTCATGATGGCATTTGACGGTCACCAAGGCTGGAGAGAAGTCTCGGTGTGGAGGGCAAAGACTAGAGGAGAGAACCAACCATGGGCGTGCAATCCGGTGCACACGGACGGCAACCAGTCATGGCGCGCTTCTCACGGGACTCTCAGCCACCGAAGGCGGGTGGCTCGGATTGTTACGAGCAGTGAGACGAGTGGGGGTCCTCTCATCCTGGAATTCCGCTAAAGGGAGAGGGGGGGAGGGAGGAGCTGGACAGGATCCGGGCCAGTCAATGGATTGGATTAGGGCCGGGGGGTGGTCCACGGGGCCGGTTGCACCTAGTGTTCAAGTTGATTGAACGAATATGCTAGCCGCCCTTCCAGTGTCCAGCAGGTTGGCTGCTCAGCAGGCCTTACATGCCTCTTACGCCGATCAGCGAGACCGAGACTCCCGATGCTCATCCCTGCCGCCCAACCCTTCATTATTACCGTCACGCTAGGTATGGGCGCCCCTAGAGTGATCATCTCTTTCCTGTCTCTCTCACCTCTGTCGGTCCGAGGCAACGATGGAGCACGGAGGATGGAGTACGAGTACAGAGGTATGGAGTACATTATAGGAACTGGGTTTAGAGGCTGACCCGTTCTTGGTCACTTTTGGGGGATCTCTTTTTGTCTAGAATATAGAACATCGTAGTAGTACTATGTACTACTTGTAACTATACTCCGTATAGTACATAGTATCAGCCACTAGCAATCCTGCCTATTTACAGCAACTTGCACCACCCTACCTATATGTATACACTACTAGTAATAGTTATACTGTACACCTTAGTCCAATGTACATGTACTCCGTTCTCTGAATACTCTGGAACCATCTTTGAGACCTCTCGGACAGTAGCTCTGTTCATTCCATCGATCAGCCACCGGATGACCCCCCCTTTAACCCTTCCCTGTGCAGGGACGGAGGCGTACATGCTTGCGCACCCACGCAGACACGCCAGTTACGGAGTACTTGCCTCTCAAATGGTGTATTGTGAGTTGTGTATTATTGATACACCCACGGTCATTTGGTAATTTTTCCCTCGCGCAGGCATTGGACCGACGGTTGCAACCACGCTAAAACCCGCCTTATTATTGGATCTGATATGGGTCCTGGAACCCCAGTAAGGTCTTGGGTCTGTCCCCCGATGGTTCTGACCCTGTTCTCAATTTTTCCTCATTTTTCCAATTTCCCGTTTCGGATTTATTTTTCTTTTTACTTTTCTCTTTTTTTTCTTTTTTTTCTGGCTCCAACACTGACCACTGACCACTGACCAGTAACCACCCAATTTTCGCCCGTTTCTTTCTCTGTCTCCCTGTCTCCCTAGACTCCCCCTTCCACTCACACTACGCCATTCAGAGTATCCCTCCGCCCTGCTCCGCCCTAACTGTGTTGCTGCGGCCGGGACCAGTGGCCTCCGTAAACATTACTCTGCGACCTACCCTTTTTAGGCCCGCATCCACTTGTGACCCCCCAACCACTTCCCTTCCCTCCTTCTCCCCCGGTGGCTCTGACATCAACCGGTATTTCCATTCCCTTTTCATGTATTAATTTTCGAAATTAAATGGCGTTTTTTTTTCTTGTATTTTTTTCTGCCCCCCCCCCCCCCTCCCAGAGACAATCAATTCTAGATTGACCAAACCGGAACCCAAACGAGTACCCAGAAAGGAGGATCAACCCTCAGGACCTGCGTCCGGGTCAAACTCTGTCCCGAATGGCCGCTCATGCTTTCTCCGGATGGGTCAATCTACCCTGGCTCCTCTCCCTTTAGTGGACTTGAGTAAAAGGATGGAGATGATGCCTTGACTTCATCCTTCATTATTATTATTATTTTTCCCTAAATTTTTTTTTTTCAATTTCGTTTTATTTCCCGCTTAGCCGTGAACGTTTTCTTTTGGAAACCACCCAAACCATACCCCATTTTTATTGGATTTTCCTATTCCGAATTATTACTGGCGGTGCCACTTCTAGATGAGCGGTTCCCTCTAGCCTGGTTTAGTTCGTCTGCCTCTCGATAGGCCTAGCTTAGCCATTTCCATATACATCATTCTTTGCCCCTCTGGGAGTCAAGACCTACTTGTTCCTTTCACTTCGTCTATTTTCAATTTTTCTTTCTCTCTCAGACGAGTGTTCAATTTACATTGTCTTCATATTCACTTGATTTACCGGTGTAGTTGTCGGTTCACAATTGGGCAGGTCCATACTATACAGCGGCAGGTTCACCCGTCAACAACCTCTCAGCCTCAGAAGCAACCCCAAGCCAGCAACCCGCAACCCGCAACCCGCAACCTCCCTTATCACCGGAAAACAACCCTGGGTTTTTATCAAGAAGAGAATGGATCGTTGAATGTCCCTCGCCTTGACTTCACCTTGACATTCACTTCCTCAACTCTACTTACGTCGTTTCCACATGTGTCAACTGGATCTTGAATCTACATTCACTCGGTCCTTATGTCTCTTCCAACGCTGGATTACCGATCGACCTTGATTCCGGGCTCCATTACACCTGCCACTCAGGAAACACACCATCGCAAACCAACTTTCGAGCCCTCTGGACCATACTGGACTGCTCCCTTCCGGGACGGTCTGCCTACTCCCCCAGGCGACATGACCGGCTTGACTTACAATGCCGTTCCACCTTTCAACTATGGATCCAAGGCACACGGGCTAGTGGGACTACCCTCTCACGCCTATGGCAATTCGCGTCCACACTTCGACTCGATCTCGTCTTCGATGATGCCAGCAACGAAGCCACACACCCAGCCCGTACCTGCGAAAGAAGCCCCAGCCCCGGAACCAGTACAGAAGAAATCCTCAGGAACGACTGGTGGCTCACAATTACGGATCCCCTCCTCAATAAATAACACAAAGGGCAGCCTGGCCGAGTTTGCAGCTCAGGTACGAACCACCTACTCTCAGCGTGAAGTCACTCGCATTAAGATGCCAACTAACACCTAATTATTTTAGATGACCTGCCTCTTCTGGTTCGAGAAGACATCCAAACTCCAATCCATTGAAGATCGACGCAATCCAGCACCTTCACTTGTCCCCGAGGCGATCCCCACGGTCGGTTTTCAGAAATGGGTATCTACGATTTTGTCGACCACACAAGTCAGCCAGAACGTCATTTTGCTTGCTCTTCTTTTCGTCTATCGTCTGAAGAAGTTTAATGCGAGTGTAAAGGGCAAGAAAGGCAGTGAATTTCGACTGATGACGGTCGCTCTGATGCTGGGCAATAAATGTAAGTGATGGCTTATCGGTTTCACCGCTCGGTGATTCTGCTCTGTGATTAGTGGAACGTGTGCTGACTCATACCAGTTCTGGACGATAATACCTACACCAATAAGACGTGGGCCGAGGTCTCGGGCATCGCAGTGCAGGAGATCCACATCATGGAAGTCGAGTTCCTCAGCAACATCCGTTACGACCTCTTCTCTTCCGAGGCCGAATGGGCCCGATGGCACAACAAGCTCGGTCTTTTCGGTGACTTCTTCAACAAAGCTTCCCTGCTGCCCCTCGAGAACGATGTCCCTGTGCTGCAGCTCTCGCCGCCGCGTCTGCAGCCCCAGTCGCCCGCTTCCAAGCTACCTTCGCCCCAATCCGATGTGCTTCGACCACACTCGCAGCCCAATTGGTTTCCTTCAGGTTCCGGACTTCCCTATCCTACGCCTTCGTATCTCGGGGATACGCCCCAGAGCAGCTCTCGCAAGCGGAGCCGGGATGAAGACACCGAGCTGCACCCAACCAAACGCATTGCTCGAACGACGGCCCTTCCTACTCCTGCCTTGACTGTTCCCACCTCCATGGCTGGGATTCCCACTCTGCCGCCAATGACCCCTACTTCCGCTCCCATTGCCCATACTCAAATGCCTGGTCCTGTTTCACGACTCCCACCTCCTAACCTACCACCTTCTTCCAACCCAATGGTGCAAACTCTTTCTTCTTCCGCCATGTCTCAACTTCCCGCTCTGGTTCCTCCCGTCTACAATCGTTCTCAGACGTGGGCCCAGCAAATTCCATCTACCCACCTCTCCGCAGTACCATCTGGAGTGTACAACGCCCCATCGCTCCCCGATATTGGCCGCCACCACCAGGTCCCCTACGGTGTGTCATCTGGCACTGTCTCCCCAGCTGTTTCTGCCTACTCCGTCCACACCCCTCAAACGCATCTCTCTCCATCTTTCTTCCTCGCCAACCGTAACTCTCCTTATCGCCCTGTTCGCTCCGTCAACACCTTGTTGATCCCACCTCCCACCTCTTCTCTTCAGCCACAGCGCAGTGTCCCGTTTGATCACATGCACTACCAACCCCTGGGGAAGACATCGGCCGATCGCAAGACGGGCTTATTGCCCTATATACAGCCTGATGCATGGAACCACGGATCCTTTCAACCCTACTTCCCTTCCTCGCAGCCTTTCGCAGGCTAAATTGCTCACATGTTATCTTCACGACCTCATCGCGCTACGACCAATATTCACGAAACTCCTTCCCATTCGCTGTACATCCGTTTTTCTTATTACTCCTTTGTTTCTGCTCCATCATGTACAGAATATGGTCTTAGCATCTTGTCCGGCGTTTCACCATACTAGAAGGGATATTCTCAGCTTCCTTGCACTATTAGTGACCAGGAAAGCGTCCACGGCGTTAATTGTTTCACTTGCAGTGGTCTTTTCTTTATTTGTTGCCATGGGCGACTGTTGTTATCTCGGCAGATCACATTGCATACGCATCCAAGGCGTTTATTTTAGCAGACAGCATTAGTCTCGCAAGGATGACCAAAAAATTAGAAATTTACTTATCTAAATCTTCATTCTTGATATGAATATATAAATCCACTCAGCAAATAATAATTATCAAAATCAAGATGCGATGAAATAAGCAGAATGCTACTTTCATAGGTTGGCCCTAGTCGAAATTTGGCCGTGTACTTCCCACCCGGCCCGACCTTTTTCCGACCGCTCGAGATCTTTGATGTGAGCCGCGCACCCCATTGAACAACCTTCCCAGCACATCGACATCATGACACCTCGACTGATGGGGCTGCCTCTGCAGCTTCAGCAATTTATTGCAAAGCCAATTGCTCAGTCTTCACCGCTGGCCTTCCTTGCGCCTCAGTTCCAATCTCGCAGCGCTCACATCCTCTCCTCCATCTCCGACAATCCCTCAGCATACAACAAACGCATCCGACGAGGCCGTGGTCCTGCCTCCGGCAAGGGTAAAACCTCTGGTCGTGGTCACAAGGGTCAGGGTCAGCACGGAAAGGTCCCCGCAGGCTTCAATGGTGGTCAGACGAAGGATATTATCGTTCACGGCGAACGCGGAGGCACCACCGAGTATGTTTTTTTCACCAACCATCATTTCCACTCCTCTTGCGCTCTCAATCACATGGACATATTCGACCATTTCAGCCAACGCAAATCAAATCAAATCGAGTTTCCTCTCTAACACCGCAATAGGCTTCACACCGAATACGCCCCTGTGAATCTCGCACGCATACAAGAATGGATTGACCAAGGCCGCATCGACCCAGCGCGCCCAATTACAATCCGCGAACTGACACACTCGCGCTGCATCCACCAATCGAAAGACGGCGTCAAGATCCTCGGCGGCAGCGACTCTGCCCTGAAACAACCAATCCACCTCGTCGTTTCGCGCGCCTCAGCATCCGCCATCTCCGCCATCGAGGCCGCCGGCGGCTCCGTTGCAACTCGCTTTTACACCCGCCAGGCCATCCGACACATTCTCCGCATGGAGTCGCACACTTTTATCTCTATGGCCTGGTCCGCTGAGAGCGGGTCTAAGGATCTGCTCAAGGCTGAGAAGGCGCCTGAGGATCTGTCCGAGTCGAATATCATGAAGGCTCTCGGTCTCCGCTACCGTCTGCCCGATCCTACCCGCCGTCGCGATGTCGAGTACTACCGTGATCCTGCCCACCGTGGCTACCTGAGTCACTTGCTGAAGCCCATGGAGGGTCCTTCGTTGTTCTTCCGCTCGCCTGAGGAGCGTAAGTCGACTGCTGGTGTCAAGAAGGAGAAGGTTCTGCCCGAGAACAGACTCTGGTAGATGGTGTTACTGGGTGGAGACTGTTGATGTGGACATCTTTTCCTTTGTGCTCTACTTCGAGCAGCGTACATGTATAAATAGCCAGGCTTTGGATTTGTTCTTGTCATACAAAATCATTTATTTTCTAGTTTTCTGGCACCATCTGTAATCAGCTCACGCGACTGGAGGGACAGTCTTATCGCATTGAAATATGGCAACTTTGACTAGAACTCTCGCATTGTGAGACCCTTCACTATACTAGAGATGAAAAGGATTGGCATACTATCGGTCCACCGTCCTAGAGTGCCTGTAGTGGCATACTACCTGCCCTACAGAAACTAGTGATAAACCAGCATCAACAAAAAGCCTCGATCGGTCCACGGGTGGTCAGTTTTTTCTGTAGGACACGATGAGCCCAGGCCTTTATTGACTGTCACGGCTCTCGACTGCGCAACCATGCCAGTACAATCCCTATCTGGTGTCAGAGAAAGCGCACCGTCTATAACATCATGTTCATATATACGAAATCCCCAATACCAGTGACGTATAGGCTGGTTGGTCAACCTTCCATGCGTAGGATGTGTCATCTTGAGATCCCAAATCCTCGAGGGAAGGCCTGGTAGCATCCTTCTCGCGTTCAACCCTCAAGATTTAGGGTGTAACGCCATCTGACTATGTCAGTAAGGTGGCCTGGCATTGCTAAATTCAAAAAGGAAAACAAGTCGTGCTCAGTTTTCTCTCGAGGATCAAACAACAGAGGGAACATACAACAACTAGGGAAGCAATGTTTATAGTAGTAACTACGTCTTGTGCAATGGTAGGAAAACATACCCGCGAGGGAAACAATTTTGGCCAGAGATAGCATCTTGCAGTTCGACGAATATCACGGAAATTGTGTTTATCTATAAAACGGAAAGTTCACCTGATTTGTTGTCCTTTGCATTCGTAACTTGGTCGAAAACAGTCCAACAACCCGGCTGGTGGTGTGTATTCAAGCATATACTATTGTACTATTGTGGTAGTACTAGTTGTGGAATTCAAAATAGTTTCCCAACTACTATAGTGAAACCTTCCAAGGCCGGGAATACTAGTACCCATTCTCCCGGTAGGTAGATGCAGAACCTCTATATCTCTGAAATGGAAGACATTGAATGGACTTTCGAGATACTATCTCCCGGGTACTGGCCTCGTTGATGTTTTAAGATCGATATCAAAAGAGCTAAAGCCAGCTCTCCTAGTTAGTAACAAGTTTCAAATTGAAGGTGTCTAAATGCTAGAAGGAAAGATCACGTCTTCTTACTTCGTAGATATCCATCTGGTCACTGAATTGAATCAATTAGTCAATTTCAGGGGTTAAATGGGATTGGGTCTGGGTCCTATAACGAGTACCCGCTTTGGCTGGCCGCTTTGACGTGAGAATCTACATCAATCCCGATATTCGTTCTTTATTTTTTATTTATTGGATTTGTTTAATTGTTCAATCGGTGGCTAAAGATGGTGATCGTACTTTAGGCCTAGACTCCATCTAATGAAATAATGGCTTGACGCGGCTGAAGATGGCGTTAGACCGAGTACGGACCAATGTCAAAGCTCCATCGATCGAAACAATGATCATCACAAATAGGGGAATTCTTTGCCGTGCTTTAAAAATATCCACACGAGTGTCTATGGCAAAAAAAGAAAAAAGAAAATAGAGCTCGCGTTGCCAATGTCAATGCCAGTCGCCAAGGGCAAGACCACGCGAAAGGTCTTTAGTTCGGCCTGGAGTTGCCATCTAGGACAGCTAAGGACACAAGCATCAGCTCGGTGAACTGTTCTAGAAACTGTCTCAGGGCCGTCCCATCCGCATGGCAGGCCAATGGCGAATCTTCCCGCGGTCAATCTACGTCATATCATTAGAGTGACACACTGGGGGCTTAACGAGTCCCTCGATTCCGAGTCATTTGACTGAGCGCCGACTCCTGCCGAAAATGGCTCGGGTAGGGGATGGACTATAGGAGGTACGGGGTGTGAGATTGGGGCGGAATGGGGTGGACCAGTGAGACTTTCCCCAGATTCCCCATGAATAGGGCTAGGTTTGTAAAGTATGCGAGCTCGACGATATTTCCCGGGGCCGCATGGCGGGTGATCTCGGACGGATGGGGGGAAGAGGAATGGGGGGATGGGAGAAATAGGGGAGAAATAGGGCTTGAGAGAGGGTCGAATGGAGAGACATTCACGTGGAAGTGATTTGGACATTTTTCAAACAAAACTAAGTCCAGTACATTGCAAAATAGTTATGACCATACACTGGCATAAAATGGGGAAAAGGGTCAGCTCTCCTCAGCGGTTAATTTCTCCTCACCGGGATTGAGATTGTGTAGGAGCTCCCCTCACGTCTCCAATTTTCCTTTTTTTTTTTTTGCCCTATCCAGCTATTTGATTGCCCTTTTTGCCGCAGAAGAAAAAATAAAATAAAAATAAAACTGGGTCCCGAAATGCCAGTTCGGAGCTAGTTCGGAGCTGGGCTATCCGATTGTATCAAATGACTCCTCGACTCGAGCCCCCATTTTTACATAGGTAGCATACACTAGATCATGGAATAGCAATAAGAGATATCGGACTCACGGAAGACAATTGAACGGAATTACAATTCGTATTACGCTAATTAGTAGACTGTAGCGGTAGCGGAGCCAGGGTGAGAGAGCTCCGCTGGGTCCCAGAGGTACTTGCTGGGCCATAAAAAAATAGGCGGCAAAGTAAGTACCCTTTGGACCCAGTACAAATGGACAAAGACCCGCTGGAAACACACCGATTACACCGATTCGCCCGAAACAGCAACGCAATCGCCTTATCAAAGATTTTTGGATCTGGATTTTCCCTTGCACTACTCGTACTTCTCCCGGGACTTGGTCTCGCTGACTCTTTTGACTTCCCCTACTCCTTGTCCATCTCCAATTCTCTCCCACCCCCCAGTTTTACCTGGGACTTCCACCATCATGGCTGGCACTTCGCTAGCGATGCGCTCAATGGCCTCCCGGTCTACCATGCAGCTGTCCTCGCTGTCGCGCCGCTCCATCGTGACTTCGCAGGTCCTCCGCGCAGAGCCGCTCCGCCCAAACATCCAGTCCATCTCGCGTATTGCTCGCCGCGGTTACGCTGATGCCGCCCCTTCGCCTTCGCCTTTGCCTTCGCCTGCTGCTCCCTCCCCCTCCCCTGCTCCCAAGCCCAAGAAGCGCTTCCGTTTCCTGCGCTGGGCATGGCGTCTGACCTGGCTGTCCGGCCTCGGTATCACCGGTGCCATGGTCTACAGCATCTACTCCCTGCGTCACCCCGAGGAGCAGTTCGAGCCCTCTCCCGACAAGAAGACCCTCGTCATTCTCGGTATGATATTGTCGCGCCCGATTGCTAGTTTATTGGTCCCAACTGGAGCTTTGCTAATACCCTCGCCCCTGTAGGAACCGGTTGGGGTGCCGTCTCCCTGCTGAAGAAACTCGATACCGAGAACTACAACGTCGTCGTCGTCTCTCCCCGTAACTACTTCCTGTTCACTCCCCTGCTGCCCTCATGTACCACCGGTTTGATCGAGCACCGCTCGATCATGGAGCCCATCCGCAATATTCTCCGTCAGAAGAAGGCCACCGTCAAGTTCTTCGAAGCCGAAGCTACCAAGATCGACTACGAGAAGCGTGTTGTTCATATCAGCGATGACTCTGAAATCAAGGGTGACATCTCTCACACTGAGGTTCCCTTCGACATGCTGGTCATCGGTGTTGGTGCCGAGAATGCTACTTTTGGTAAGACACCGCCCTTCATGTGAACCTTTAACCCCGATGGACACAGAACTGACAAAAGCTTTCTAGGTATCCCTGGTGTTCGCGAGAACTCGTGCTTCCTGAAGGAGGTCAACGATGCTCAGAACATCCGTAAGCGCGTCATGGATTGTGTCGAAACTGCTATGTTCAAGGATCAAACCGAAGATGAGGTCAAGCGTCTGCTGCACATGGTCGTCGTCGGTGGTGGCCCCACTGGTGTCGAGTTCGCCGGTGAGCTCCAGGACTTCTTCAACGATGATCTGAAGAAGTGGATTCCCGAGATTCAAGACAACTTCCACGTTACCCTGGTCGAGGCCCTGCCCAACGTTCTGCCCATGTTCTCCAAGCAACTGATTGACTACACCGAATCGACCTTCAAGGAGGAAGAGATTACCATCCGCACCAAGACCATGGTTAAGAATGTCACCGACAAGTACATCGAGGCCCAGATTACCAACCCCGACGGATCCAAGTCTATCGAGAAAATTCCCTACGGTCTCCTGGTTTGGGCTACTGGTAACGCTGTTCGCCCTGTCATCCGCGATTTGATGGGCCAGATCCCCGCCCAGAAGGATTCCCGCCGCGGTCTTGCTGTCAACGAGTACCTTGTCGTGAACGGTGCCGAGAACATCTGGGCCGTGGGTGACTGTGCCATTACCAACTATGCTCCCACCGCTCAGGTCGCCGGTCAGGAGGGTGCTTTCCTGGCCCGCCTCTTTAACACCATGGCTAAGACCGATACCATTGAGAAGGAGCTCCAACACCTGTCCGACACCCAGTCCCAGGCTAAGTCCAACGATGAGCGCAACCAGATTCTTGATGAGATCCGCGAGCGCCAGAAGCAGCTGCGCCGCACCAAGCAGATCGGTCCCTTCCAGTACTCCCACCAGGGTAGCTTGGCCTACATTGGCAAGGAGCGTGCCGTTGCCGACATCTCCTGGCTCTCCGGAAACATTGCTAGCGGTGGTACCCTGACCTACCTCTTCTGGCGCAGTGCCTACCTGAGCATGTGCTTCAGCTGTAAGTTTCATCTTATTCAACCCCGCCTTTCGTTACTTTTGACATGACTTTCTAACTGTGTACAATAGCCCGCAACCGTGTTCTGGTCGCCGTTGACTGGATCAAGGCCCGCCTGTTCGGCCGTGACGTCTCCCGCGAGTAAACATATTACATGCAAGCCATGTCAAAAGCCGTCTGTAACACTTCCTTTACACGGCCATCTATTTCCTTTCTGTTAAATCCACGGACAACCCCACCTCCATGTCCATTTACACCCTCTTGAGGGACACGTTTGAAACGCCATACCACCCCCACGCCACCACCTTTATCAACCATTTTGGGTTTCCTTTTCTCTGTTCCGTCTGTTTCTGTGATAGACATATCCATCCACTACCCGTTTCTCAATTTCCGATAACCTGCTCCTGGGGCGCTGTTAGTTTGATTTTCTCGGTCCATCTCCCTCACCCCCTCCCTCCCATGTATACTTTTGTTCCTTCATCGCATTGATGTGGGCCGAGGCTATCTATCCGCTTGACAAGCGCCCTCTATGCTGGGAATCGGAGAGGAAAAGCATTAATCTGCTCTCCTTTTTTCTTTGTTCGTTTCAGCTTCTTTTCTTTTCTCTTTGGGTTGTACGCTATGGGAATTCGATAGACTGGGTCTGGGATCATTGTCTGACCTATATTGAGCCAATGATTTTCTTCCAAACCTTCTTTGATGATGCCTGTAATATTTGGATCGGCAGAAGTGAAATAATTACTTGACTCTTGAGCCGTCGGAGTAGTACTCTTAAGTAACGAACGCATGAGGCTTGCAAAAAATCTGTATACTTGGCAAAGATGTCTATTGGAATATATCAGAAATACAAAAAGACCATTTCCAAGAGCCGCCCGAGTCACCCAAAGTGAACTTTGATATTCTGATTCTCGACTATAGCAGGGTTGAGGCTGCTGCATGATGCTTTTTTGCTTTCTTGGCCAATTTCTCTTTGGCTTTTTTGGTGTCTTCTATGCGCTTTATGTGATTGTTTGAGTACCTATCGAAAATGGAGAAAATCCGGTTTCGCCGCAGCTTTTACCAGTATTAAATGTGCTGCCAGCTATTCCGATCGCGTTGTCAAGCACCGGAGGATCGCAGCTCTTAGAACCCCTTTGATCGTGGACAGAGATTTTGCAAAAACTTTGCTCCTTGGGAAAACGAGCAACTGGCTTGTGTATACGACTACATGATTAAAATTATGACTCGAGGTTTGCATACTCTCAATCCATTCATCTTCTCGCTATTTCTAAACTTAAAAATAAAGTAATTCAAGGACTGTGGGGCCCGCGAAGAGGAAATGATTATTTCAGAGATCCGAAAAAGAGCGGAATATCAAATAAGTTTAGGGTTGGCCCATTTCAAAGAAATGGTAGAAGCACTGGCATCTGAGTCTCGTTTCGAATTCCGAGATGATAAGATTAAATTTCCTGCTATTGTTTCGTCCCACAACGTCAGGTTTGACTCCAATTTTATCACCTTGCATTTCACGAATACAGCTACGATTTATCCAAGCGGGAGCTTATCCGCTTGATCACAGATCTTAAATTAGATGACCAGGCAAGCAAAATTTATCCGCCATTCTATCATGATACAGAGCGTGGACCAGAGGAGATATGGCTATCGATGCGTGACGTAGTAAACGACGGGTACAATAATATTTTACTCGACTTGATATGGCTGAAATCATACATCCTCTGCCTGATGATTTTCCAAATAGCTTTTTGGCGGAATATGATAGTACTACTGAGCTTTCAACTGATGATGAAGACTACCAAAATTTGTGAATTCCGAACCACTGCTAACGGAATGGGATAGGATATTTGAGGAAAGCCATATTTTTAACGCTAGGATTTGCTAAATTAGATCAATCCGTTGCTTCATATTTGACAGAGTGTAATGATCTTTCAGAATTTCGATGCCGAGCACCTGAAATATAATCCCTGGATACCTAGTGATGAGGGAAGCGCTCATTGAAATCACGCGCTGAGGTGTGAGAGTCGATTCAGCTGAGAAAATCACCACACAAATCTCCGAGGCTGTTCAACAAAGGACGATTTCTTTCACAAATAGGCGAACACCATCGTAGCTTAGCTGAAAAGTAAAGGTTAAGAGAGATGCATAAAATACGCCAAAATAGTACTAGCGCGTAGTCAGACCCCATGAACACCGTGTGGACTTGATTATGTAGGCGCCCGCCGTAAGCAGAGAATACGAGGGGCAGAAATGACAACTTCGATGCTCTTACGCGCTACTTTAACGGCTCATCTGCGCACATCTGAAGAAGATCTACATCTAACGATATTGAGAATATCGAGAGAATAGTGCAAAATGCTGCGGAAAAAGGAATCCTATATCAGCATTACTCCCATCCCCTCGTCTGTCCCTCGTCAGCTAGCGCTGGATATATTGCACAGCCACGGTGAAATTATCACACTTAATCCGCTTGTTCTGTCCTATCATCCGATCACAGCGCCCAGAGATGCCACCGCAGATGAATATTATTCTACCTGGTATGAGATTATCGAGCGAGTTCAATATCTTCCAGGCCTGGGGAAGCTGGGAGCCGGCAAGATAAGCTTCAAGGGCTGCTTCCACAATACTCCGTGGGGCCTACAGACTCACACGTTCGTTCCTCTGGGCATCGATATTCGCAGTAAATGGCGCATTGGTGGAAATCAGCCTAATGAGCCACGTCAACCGAAGGAGTTTCTAGTAGACGGCGAGCCGGAAAACGGACTCTATCTACGGGAGGACATCCAAATCGAGTGCAATTTAACGTTAATTTCTTTTGTTAAGAGTCAAATGAAGGCGGCGTCGAAAGTACTGGTGGAAAGACTGATGAAAAAAGCTGAACTTCTCGATGCGGGAGTTTTGGAGGCTTATATGGAAGATGGTAAACTCAAGACCATCAATCCCGCCAATCGTTCAAACCTATTCCAGCCTTCGTCGCCATTGCAGTCTCCACGATTAGAGACAGACGCAATGTCAGAGTCTTCATCGAGCCGATCCGGAGCTCAATCTCTTACTGAACATCCACGATGGGGGTCAACGTCTAGGCGTCGGCGAGAGTCGAGCCAACTATCGTCGCAGTCTGGAAAACAAAAGAAAAACTTTGTGGCGGAGCTGCCAGGGAATTATTACCATCCGCAGTCTCAGGCTGAGTCGGAAAATCAGACGCATTACGAGCTACCAGGTACGAACAGCCACTGCTAGTTATAATCTTAAAACTTGAACTCACATCCAAAATCAGACCAACCAGTCAACCCTGGCCCCCTCTCCCCTAAACCTAAGGAAGGCCGCCATTCTCGTCACTATTCAAGAAATGGAGGCTCAACAGCGAATTACGAGGTCCATAATACAATTCATGAGATGGGTAATAGCTGAAGAGCGCTGTCTTACTTCGCCAGTTATGGGATGAGCTGCCAGTGCATGTTACTGCACTTGTCAACTGATCAGGGCTTTTATGTAGTATTTCTGCGTCATTTGATTTCTTGTATATCAACCTAGGGACAAGAGGATACGGTGCTTCTTTTTTATGTTGGGGGTTGTCTCTTGTTATTTTGTCTTCTTGATTACTATCTATTTACTCCTATATCAAATGAATGTTTGGGTTTTGTTCAATGCCCAGCAACTGGTTTCTCTTTCAAGTTTATTGAAGTCTACAACAGTTCGCTCAGAGTAGTAATCAGGCTGCGTCAACCGCGCTCGAAGGTTGACCGCCTGGGCATTCAAGTTGTTTACAATGCCACTGGAACCTATACTACTACTAAGCCCTGGAGTAGCACTAGTACCTGCTACTAGGTAGATGCGTAGCAATTATAAAATATGCCCATCAAGTCAACACCCCTTCTCAATACTGTTAATGCGTGCGTGAATATATGAGGTGATTTGTTTGACTTCAACTGTATGTACAAGTGGCAAGTTATTTTAAGGTGCAGGTATTTCGATAGAGGAGAGAAAGAGACCGTAAAATTCTCCAGAAACAGAAAAGAGGGGAATATGGGACGAGTGAAAGGTATCAAAAGTACAACTGTGGTGCTGGGGTGTCTAACCGGGAAGGGAAGGGGGGTATGAAAGGGAGTAAATCGAAAAGCACAGATTCGCAGATCGTAACAGGCGATTCTTAGAAGATATTCCAGCGGCTGCGAGTTTCTTTCGCGGCCTGTGCACGGTCGGAATTCCGGTGCATGCTTCGACCGTCCAACTGTCGGATACCCTCGATCTTTTGAAGCGCCAGTTCTAGCAGTTCCTTTTTGCGGATGATGTCCAAGTGACGGCGGACCCGAGGGTCTTCGCGGGCAAAACGTTCAACTTCTTCGTCCGAGAGGTGTCTACCGAGACGCAGGTCCAGTTCTCGGGGGAAGTTGTAGTAGAACTCAGAAAGAAGCTCAACGTTGAGGAACAGCACTGCTGTAGACGTGAGCTTATCCGCTACCACATCGAGGAAGACTTCTGGGCAGTGGTATTTGTTCTTTTTGGATGCGCACTGCTTGGATCGCACAGCCATTATTCGCATTTTGATGATGTCAGCTCGATCCCGGAGGAAGATGCCATCTCGGCCTGGATGTTAAGTTAGTCTCAAGCCGGCGGATGTTATGTTTTGCTTAATCAAAGTTATGCAACTTACCTCTCTCGAGCAGGGCGGAACTGAAGCCACCGGCACCACCGGCGCCATTGCCCTCCAGCAACACATCACCCTTCCGCACTTTGTCGATAAATGCCATTACGTCCTTGAGCTTTCTCTTTCCAACAAGATCTTCGGCATGCTTCATAGCTGATTCGCAAGCCCGGAGCTCATTCTTCAGCACCCTGCTCACGTTTTCCCTCCCCTTGGTCCATTCCGAGTCCTCAACCTCAATTTCGAATTTATAAGGCTTGATGCAGTTCTCAACCTGGTCACTAGTACCGAAGAATCGATCATTCAGGATACTGTTGCAGGCGTCGGTAATCTGCTTGTGTGCCCCGGGGTGAGAGGCAAAGGTAGAAGACGCCAGAAGCTGATCAACATGGGTTTGGAGGGCATTGGCGACGACTGTGGTGGCAAGTCGACCGATTCCGAGCTTTGTCAAAGAAGAGCTAGATGCGTCCAGCTTGCGGTGCCAGAACAAGGACTCTGGATCGGCCTTGGGTAAATCCTTCAATGGATCGAGCTCTGTCATTACGGCCTCCAAGTCCTCTACTGGCTTGTTCCAGTAGCGCTGCGCCAAGATATCCATAACGCGTTGGTCGAGTTCGGCCTTCAACATCTCCCGAACCTGTGGTCGACCGAAGCTCTCGGCAAATGCTTTAAACGAATGCTTGAAGCCGTCCAGGCTCTCGGCGAGGTATGATTCCGCACTCAATGGTCGGTCATTGTATTGCACTTTGAATTCATATGTTGCCTCTTCAAGCTCCTGGCTGATGGCATCTCTTGTGCCCGCCAAGCTGGACGCCATCGTCTGTTCAAGGACATGCATCAGCTTCTTACGCAGTGTTGATACACCGACCGAGGTCTCTGAGTGAGCACCGAATTCGGCTGGGTGCGCAGAGAAGAAAGAATTTTCGTTCTTCAAGATAGCGCTTGTAATGTTTCCAGATCCGCGAGAGAAGAGAGCTGATGTTTGGGGATTCCGGCTAATGACGCCCACATAGCCCAGTCGAAGGGGGTACTTCTTGTCGCATAGAACATCATGGCCTCGTTCAGGGTCGACGAGATCCATCTTGGTAATAACACCAATTGTACGTTCTCCGCGAGGGTCCACGCGACGACTAGATCTCAGCGCTGTTGAGTTCGCAAGATCGACATCAGCTGCTGAAATAGCCAGAATGACGTTGGGTGCTTGAATATATTTGTCACAAAGGTCTGCGATCTTCTGCTTCAGCTCTGGGGGTTGGTCGTGTCCAGCAACCTGGATGTAACCAGGAAGGTCAATCATGGAAAGGTCTGGAACATTGGGCGAATAGATTGTCAACTGAATGGGATCATCCGAGACACAGTCCTTTTCTGGAACCGCGAGGTTGAGGTCTGTCAGGGTCCGTTGGATCGAGGAGAAGTCGGTGATTTTGCCAAGTCCCAAAGCCGGAAATTCACCATACTCTGCTTGTGCATTGGGGGTGTTGACCAGAGTCAGCTCGATAGGTCGCCGAGTGACCATATTGGAGCCCTTGGGTAGAAACTCATGACCCACAATAGCTTCCAGGACCGAGCTTTTACCAGAGGATTGCGATCCGATAACGACGATGGAGGGGAGGGTCAAGGTTCCTGACTGGCCGACGGATTGGAGGATGTTTCGAATCTCAATCATTTTGCGGGTAAGAAGCATCATCTGGTCATCTTCGGCAACCTGCTGCTCAGGTCGGGAGTCGTCGTCTGATTGATCGTAACCAAACGCCGCGCCAGAAGCAGCCGCTGCTCCGACTACAGCTCGGCCCTCCTTTGGCTCTTTACCACCACCCGAGCCGCCAGATTGGGACTCCTCGTCTTGTCGGAGAATCTTCTGGAGCCACTCAGGGGTTTCGATATCTCCTGTTGTCTTGTTCCATCCCCGTTGTGTTTGATCCGCGATATCCTGAAGACCCTGAAATAGGCCCGATGCGGTGTTGCCTGCTGTCTCTCCGGCGGTCTTGAACAAATCGATCGCATAGTTTCCAGCCTCTATTAAAGTATGTATTAGTAGATGATACATTTTGGGGATCACGGGGGGGGATCACGGGAAAAATATAGCACGTACGGGTGGCTTGATACTGGACGTAAGCTAGACCGGCGACCGTAGCACCTCCGAACATAGCTGGTATGCGAGCAAATTTGAGAGCCAGCTTCGGGAGAAAGCGGCCATACTTGAAGGAGAACTCCCGTACAGCCGGGACATTATGAATAGCACTTGCACCGATCGGCCATGCGCGTCCCCTCAAAGCGGCACCTCCATCGGCGCGCAACAAGCCTCCTGTCCTGGAGCCAGCATGATGGAAGTTGCGGGCCACCCCGTTCCGCATCAGCGGGGCGAGTCTATGGGAGAGGATTCTCCCGCTCATGGTTGTTGTCGAATCTCATGCAAGATGGGATTTCGAGGGAATAAGTTAAAGTTGAACTTGAACTTGAAGATCCACCGCTGACATCAACGTGACCCGCGCGATGTGGCCGCTTCGCCCGCCGTAGTGACCAAGGGTCACGTGTCTCGAAATGACGTGCTGTGCAAGGGAAGTGAGTGCGGTGTGTCCAAGGGGATTTGGCTTGTTTTGATTTTTCGAGTCATTCTTTCATATATCTCTCTATATCTGTTCGTGGTTGAGTCTGTTGTGAAATCGCTCAATCGTGGTTGGTTTATAGGACCTATCCTCTCACACACACACAAACAGATAGTCGGTGACACTTCTACCCGTCAACGCCTAACCAAACCGCCAGCATCGGGTTTTGAGAACTGTTGCTCCAGATACTCCCTCAGTCTTTCGAAAATAGCGTCCAGGATACGACTCATACAGCTCAACGGTTTTGATCTACATTTACTCGCACATAGACAAAGGCGGGCTTAACTATACCCCCCAACATGTGTCGATTTCTGGTGAGTCAACTTCAAATAGGTAATGTGTTGGGACCAACCACTAACAGCTACGCCCGCAGATCTACAAGGGACTTGACGAGATTCGTCTCAGTAAACTGGTCACAGAACCAAGTCATTCTATTCTCACACAATCATATGACTCCAGGTTACGATTGGTAGGTCTCAGTCACTCTCGAGCTATTAAGCTCTTTACGGCGCGGAAATTCGTCTAAGAATCATCATCTACCATACATCAAACTAACACTTAATTTCAGGATAACCGTCGGCCAGTCAATGGCGATGGCTTCGGCGTCGGGTTCTACACCGACCCTAAGCTAGGCCCAGAACCATGCATTTTCACATCAACGCTCCCAGCTTGGAACTGCGAGAACCTAGAACGTCTCGCTTCTAAGACCTGCTCCAATTTGATTTTCGCCCATGTGCGTGCAACCACAGAGGGCGCTCTGGCAGACAACAACTGCCACCCCTTCCAGCACCAGACCCTGATGTGGATGCACAACGGTGGCGTCGGTGGATTCCAATACATCAAACGGCCTCTCGCCGACTCTCTAGCTGACAAGTGGTACTTGGGTGTCAAGGGCGGTACCGATAGCGAGTGGTCTTTTGCACTTTTCCTCGACCTCCTCGAGAAGGAGGGTGTGGATCCGAGTTCGGATCCCGGTCCGGAGGGATTCGGGCAGGCCCTTTTGCGGCGGGTCATGATGAAGACGATCGCCAAGATCAATGAGCTTGTGCGTGAAATTCCTCAGAAGCACAACGTTACCAATTTGGAGACCAGGAGTCTTCTCAACTTTGCAGTCACGGATGGTCATACCGTCATCTGCACGCGGTATATCAGCAGCAAGACGGATGAGCCTGCTAGTTTGTACTTCTCATCTGGTACGAAGTGGAAAGAGGGAAACACAAAGGGACACTTTAAGATGGAGCGTCATGATAAGGGCGCTGATATTGTCTTAGTGGCCAGTGAGCCTATCACTTTCGAACGACGTAAGCCTCTCCCTCAGTTTTCCTACTTGTGGAGCTCAATGACACCCAATACTAACATTCTTTATAGACAACTGGGTCGCAGTGCCTGCCAACTCGGTGGTCACAATTCACAAGCAGACCGTGATGCTGCACCCCATTCTAGACGAGTTTTATGGAGAAGATCTCAACCATGATCGTTCGTCCTGCTTTGCCAGCTCGAAGGGACTGGTTACTACTGCACCAGCTACGACTGCTATTCCATCAGAAACCGAGCCATGTGGACCTAGTGCCGCCAAAGATAGCCAAGGAGTTGGCCGAGAGGTGCCCACACCAGCACATGTCACAGCTTGCGCGGTATCGCATTGAATGATGATTTAGTTGCATTTTTTGGTCTCTAGTACATGAAACGCATCAGCATTTGTGGAGATTTGCAGGGGCGAGTTGGGATATTACTAAACTAGAATGATACCAAAATAGCGAATGGAGTCTAGGATTTCGGGTTGAATGCTATTCAAGATATTTTGAAGTTCCCTATACTACTAGTAGTATTTGCAGCTGCGTGAATTGATCTTAATCGGGGCGTGCAATCAATGGGTCGTAGGGAAGAAAGAAAGAAAAGTCTAATTAGTAGATAAAATGTCTGGTATCAATATAATAAATCATAAAAATAATTTGAAACCTCAAATACACCGAACCCAATCAACTATCATCACCAGAAATATTAGCATGCTTGAAATACTTCATTCCCACCCAAGCAACAACGACCCAAACCCACGACATAACAGCCGTAAGAATGATCAAAGCAGGATAATACCCAACAATCGGCAGTGTAGGATCATCCTCCAACTCCGGCGGCGCATACGGCGTCTCACCAACATCCCAAGCCCAGCTCCAAACTTCAAAACAGCTCCCAATCCCAACGACAAAGACCAGCCAAGTTACAATCAAAATAATCCATCCCCACCACTCCGTCTCCGAATAATCCCACGTTATATTGGCAGAATTACTCTTCATCTCCGCCGAGTGCGTCGACAGCGGCGATGATTTGCGATGAATAGGTCGGTACGCTGCATCCGCCGAGAGAGAAGGATATCCATAGCCCTCCGAACCGGATGATTGAGCAGGAATGTGAAGGGAAGTCGTAGCGGGGCTTTTGTTCAAAGGAGCATTGTTGGCATTGGAACCGATACTCGCGCCGATGCGCGGGAACGAGACGAGCTCCTCATCGTCCGTGCCAATCTCATCGCCCAGCAAATTGTTTTTGTTATTGTTGCTGTTGCTGTTGTTGTTCTGCGGCGGTAATCCTTGCCTCCGGCGCGCGACAGAGGATCGGAGAATCTTCTGCGCCGTATTCGTGCTGAACCAGCTCGGTTGTGCACCTTCACCATCCTCCTCCTCGCCAAAGCCGCCACGTCTGGTTGTATTAAAATCGTCCGGGAGAGGAGGTGAAGTCTGTTCCCGTAGTGAGCGCGGCACATCCTCCACATGCTGTCGAATCGGCTCCCCTCCTCGAACCGTCTCCGCAGATGCACCCCTCGCCGCTGCGCGTTTATCTCTGGATTCCAGTCTCGTGCCCAGCAGTGCAGTCTTGCGCAGTGAGCCCCGCCGCCTTCGCGTTCGTCGTTGTTGCTGTATCACTGCCGACATTGCCTTGGCGCTGGCTGATGACTTCTCGCTGTTCATTGGGGGGATGTTGGACTCGAGGTGGTCCTCACCGTCGCCGTCTTGTTCCATGATATGCGGACTTTCTTCCGATTGTGTGGCTTGGCTCATGCGGAGGAATGATAGTCGAGAGAGGAGGGAGCCGGAGAGGCTTCGTTTGTGGCCGCTGCTTGCGCTGCCGGACCGTGTGCGATTGGATAGTTCGTCGACCGCTGCGAGCTCCGCCTTGTTTCTTTCGCCATTGTCCATTGGTGTGGAGGGGAACGGTGAGCCGAACCGTCAGCTCTTCGGAATTCAGTCGCCCAGCATTGGTGAGTTTCGTCCTAGGTGAAAGTTGGTTGCCCTGGGACGTGTTTTAATTATAGGCCGCGTTGACAAGGTGGGTACGGGGTAGCGGATTGGCGGGTTGGCGGGAGCTAGATTTGTGGCCTCAGGCACATAGCAATTGTTTACAGTCAGCATGATGAACATGGCACTCTACTAGTAGTCAGTTGTAGTATACGCAGCTATTTACAGACTCAAGACCTCAAGAGAAAGGAAAGAGTTTATTGAGAATACTTTGATCTAGATGGGCATTTTCTTCTCATTACTCGCGGGTATTTCTTAGCAAGTCGTAGCAATCTCCTATGTGAGCTTATAGATTTGACTACATACCTGGTAGCACCAAATGCGATCATCGGGCACCATGCATGAACGCGAAATGGGTAGGACAATAGCCAGCGGCCGAAAAGTCTAGACCAGTGTGGAGGAAAAAGAACAAGGTAGAAGAGTAACAGGAGCACAGAAAAAAAAAGGCAAATTGGTATATCGGCTAGAACGCCAGCAGGCATGAGATAGGAAAGAATCACAAAGACCGATGGTGTCAAGCACGACAAAGGAACTCATAACGGGCATATACGAATACTTCAGGGGAAAGAAAAAAAGGTGAGAATTTCCCATCAGGACAAATTGTGAACCGAACATCCTGTGGGAAAGGGGGAGGAAAAAGGAGGCGGGGGGGTAAAGAAGCATGGTTTTGAGTAACGAAGAAGCAGTATCAAACAATGAAAATATGGGCCTAAGAAAAGGAAAAGGAGAAAAAAAAAGGGACAAGAAGCAGATTCAGCACAGCACAATAATACACGTACTGGAGAAACAATGCGATAACAACTAAACAAAAAATTCACAAGAACATGTCGAAGGGCAAATGAGTATAGAAAGAGAGTAGGGAAGATCGCTTTTATTTTGGGGGGCACAGCACTCCAACCAAACATCCAAGGGCGTGCACACTCAAAAGGGTAAAAGAAAGATCGAACCAACAAAGTGGACTTGGGGGTATTCGGTGCACAACACACAAATTCCATTCAAAAGAAAGCAATTGATCGCTCGGGAAATCCACTTGAAAGACAATTTCAACAATTAGAACGACAGAAGTGAGATGGGAGGGGAGAAGGTCGAAGGGGGTGGGTGGTGAGAGGAAGACTGGCAAAAAGTCGAAAAAGAGAAAAAGTTCGGCCGGTTGACAGCCAGTGTCAGGACATTATACCTAGTCCCACAAGTGCTATATTAATAATAGCCAGTGTATTTTGTGGCAAGATGTCAATAACAGGCAAGATCAGTCAATGAAGATCTACGCCTGGTAGCCTCCGTTGAAGTTGTTGTTACCCTGGTCCCAGTTTCCAGACGGGGACATGGGTTGGCCACGGCCAAAACCTGCAGCATTTCCCTGGGGGAAGCCCTGAGCGGGCATACCAGGACCGCCAAAGTTGTTTGCACCCTGGTCCCAGCCTCGACCAGCAGGGGCAGGACCTACATCTTTCAGTTAGCATATGATGTTTTTGAGAAACTAAGATTGGGAGACATACCTTGGTTCATGGGGTTTGCAGGACCACCATACTGGGGAAAGAAGCCGGGGCTGTTAGGGAAAGTGGCGTTCGCCTGCTGCGGAGAGAAGTTGTCGAACTGTCCGGTAGGAGGACGATCCTTACCCCACTGTCCAGAGTATACAGTCAGCAAATCGGATGTTCAAAGGAATAGTTGGGTTAGGAACTTACGCTGCACTTCAGCGGACGGCCATTGACGTTGTACGCGTTCAGCTGGCAGATGGCCATCGCGGCGTTCTCGTGGGAATCCATCTTGACGAAAGCAAATCCGCGATCGGCCTGGAGACGCGTCTCGAGAACATATCCAAAGTTCTGAAACAAGGGGATCAAGTCGTTCTGGGAAGTATAGGGGGTCAGGTTACCGACGTAGCAGGTGGTCTGCCACTGCGGGGTTTGCTGAACGACCATATCGTAGCTCTGAATGCCCTGGGTGGGGAAGTGATGATGACCGAAGGGAGTGGTGGGGGTCATGCCCATGGCGGCCATGGCCTGCTGTTGGGAGATGGAAGGCTGGCCCTTCTGGTTGGCCCAGTTGCAGCGGATAGCACGAGAGCCCAGCCACTCGCCATCCATTGCGTTGAGCGCCTTATCGGCATCAGTGCGATCACGGAAAGCGACAAAGCCGTATCCACGAGAGCGTCCAGTCTTCATATCCCACATCACACGCGCCTCGGAGACGGAGCCGAAGGCAGAGAAAGCCTGAGTCAGAACATCGTCATTGACCTCATTGCTCAAGTCGCCGACGAAAATGTGGAAGTGGTTGGAGGTGTCCTCCTTGTTGGTGTTGTTGGACTGATACGCCCAGTTCACACGGATTTCCTGCAAGAAATGTACCGTCAGAGAAGGATCAAGAGCATAAATTGGGTAATCATCAACTAACCGACTGGTGGATTCGGCGGCCATTTAGAGTCTGCATAGCCCTCTCAGCCGCACCGGGGTCGTCAAACTCGACAAAGCCGTAGTTATAACCCTTGTTGTTGAATTGCTGGTAAAAGTTAGCCCTATTCGAACGTTTATGGAGACCGAGCTATCCGGTGCAGAAACTTTACATCTTGCATACTCATCGGTATGCTTTGTTGGTCTCTCGTGGGAGTAGCCGTGGGTCGACCATCTCCCTGTGTACTCACATTCTTGTCAGGGATGATCTTCACGCTAACGACATGACCGGTAGTCTCAAAGATCTGCTTGAGAATATCTTCGGTCACGCGAGGATCCAAACCCCCAACATAGAGGGCTCTCTTGTTAGGCTCGGGGGCAGCGCGACGGACATAGCCACCAGCGCTTGTAGGGGACATCATGTTGCCAGACATGGGGGAACCCATTGCGGTCGGGATGGGGTTGTTGTTCTGGGGAATGATCACCGGAGGCCGCGGCGGGGGAGGCATGTGGGAGGGGTTGGCCTGGCCATTGCCCTGGGCAGCATCATACTGCTGATTCTGAGCGGCGGCAGCAGGCTGAGGAGCCGAGGGCAGAGTGGAGGGAGTGGAAGCGGAAGTGTTCTCAGCCATCGTGTATAGGCGTTGATATATTTTGGATGAAAGCGATCGGGGGAGAATGAGTGATGATATAGCAGTTGACAGATGCAAAAATACCTAGACGGCGTAGCCAAGAGATAAACGGGGGTCGGGAGAATTCGAGCGATCCGAAGAGGTAGAGACGACAACGTTTGTCACAGAAAAGGTGACGATCGTGGAAATGCAACTGAGAAAAGGATATGTATGATAATATTTTTGGTGTCAAAGGGGGTCCGCGGGGGTGGCAGGTAGGCAAGTCCAATGAAAGGCCAAGCTTGCAACGATCCAAACAAAGCAATCACTGGAAATGGAGAACTGAGTTGTGGAGAGACAAATAATGGCTATCGAAGCTCAAATGTCGACAAGAGGATGGACGAAATATGATGAAAGGTACCGAGAGGTAAACACGGGAGGGGTACGGTGTTTTGGTTTCGATCGTCGATTTGTTTCGTGTCGAGATGGATTTGGGGGGGGGACGAGCGAAGAGGAAAGCGTAGCAAGGCTGGGTGCCGGTAGATAGATCCAAGATCCAAGATCCAAGGAGACCAAAGGAGGAAATGCAAGAAAGGGCAAAAGCACACACGCCACGAACTAGAGTCGCTTCGATCCGCGACGAACAACAAGGAAAAAACGAGAAGCAGATGGGAAAAGAAGAAGTTGTAAAGGGAGAGTTAAGCGGCTAGGGGTGGGGGGGGGAGAGACGAGAGAGAAGAGAGAAAGAAGAGTGGCTAACTCTAACGGGTCTAGTCAACCCCGTGTGTACAACCATCTCCCAACTCCCGCCTCTGTGCTTCCCCTTGTTTCATTCAACTACGGAGTACATATTACTCTACTCTTGTGCTAAACAGGAAGAAGAAAATATTTGATCATACTTGCCCCCCCATGACCTCTGCCAACTATTCCAACCCCGACTCCCTGGGCGAGCTGTCCATGCTGATGGAGCGCACTGTACTGCTTCCCTCTTCCTCAAAGAGATTTACTTCGTCCAAATTGCTGACTTACCACGCAGCTACTGGATACCGGACGACTATTCAGGAAAAATGGTTCAATCCCATCAAGCACACATCTGCAACGATCCATCCCCTCCTACTATGAGAGCTTCCAGTCGGCCCTGGATAATCTCTCAGAGCAAATTGTGAGTCCGATTGGATGTTCGGAGCGATTACGTAGTCGCAGAGACACATCAAAAGCATTTATGCCTTTCTTTCTTTCTTTCTTATATTTGATTTGATTTTTGATTTCGATATTTACTTTTTCTTTTTTCCAATTCGGACAGTACTGACGTATCACAGTTTATCGCTAAGGCCTTCTTAGAAAAAGACTATGAAGCTATCAAGACCCGGGAGACCGCGCCCCAGCTTACGGAGGAGGATGTGGCAATGAACGATGCGGATCTGAATATTCCACCACAGGTGCAACCACTGCAACCACCACCACTATCACAACCTATCGCAAAATCCCCAAGTCCTGAAAAAGTGGACCTGAAGAAGGAAGACCCGACAGTGACAGAGCCGCAAGTAGCACCCACCGCCACCATCCCGGAGCCTCAGCCGAAGGAGGAGGTAAAGGTGAAGGTGGAAAATGAACAGGGTGCTAGCGCGCCGACCGATCAAGGATTGGCAGGGGCCCAGGAGATCAATTTCGATTCTGTTCTCAATGATACTGGAGGCTCCAACACCTTCGACCTCAATCTTGACTTTGGAAACGACGACACGGGCAATCAAGCCTTCCTTTCTGGAACAACCTTTGGCAATGCTGAAAAGCCCAACGTTTCGATGCCGGCAGAGAATCCGATGGAGAATACAACCCCCACGCCCGCTGACGGGGGTGCATTCGACATGGAATTAGAAAGGACAGATGGAGACACCAATCTCTTTCCCGAGCAAGGCGCCGGTACAGACGATATCATGGGTCCTGGGGAGTCCAGCTTCGACGACTTGTTCATGGAAACGGAGAATTTTGGAGAGGGTGGAGACTTGAACCATTTGGAAGGGGATAGTTTGATGAACATTAGCGAGCTGGACGACAACTGGTTCTCTTGAAGAGCGCGGAGCGCGGAAAAACGGAAAATAAACTGCCTTTCTTCCAATAAAAATGTATAGTACTAGTACCTGATCGGGGGAGGGGAAGACACATACAAAGTCGTTTCCCTATGATCTACATGCGCATGCACACTACACTAGTAGCACTAATTAGATCTACTGGGAATAGTGCCATGTTCGTGTCGCTAGGCCAATCGATGCATCGCAAAGATGATCATTGCTTGGCATTTGGCTAGGCCTAGGGGACCCTTTTTCCCCGCTGGATCATTTACTTTTTTCCAAGTTCATGTGGTAGGCGGAGATGACCTCCAGAACCGCCAGTGCGTTGCGCATATCAACCATTTTAGGAAACACGGCACGGGCGAGATCAAAATGATGTGTATTTTTTCAAAAAAATCTTTGAATACTGCTTCTCAACAAAGTTAGTATACAGCAGCTGACTACAGAGCTCAATAATTAATATAATTATTGACCGCTGGTCGAACTGAACAGAGATTTCAGAGCTCTCTTCTTGACCTGTCACTTTGCGTGGGGAGGCTAGTATTCCGTAACTCCGTCCTCTGTAGTGGTACGGAGATTGGATGTGCGACCCCCATCACCAGGTTGACAGACCCGTCCAAGAGAAAAGCCCCGGCGATCAGGGCGGGGCAAAGAAACAAAAAGTGACGTAGAGAGTAGGGCTGAACAACCCCATTTCCATCTCCATCTCCATCTCCATCGGAGGCTAGGATCAAACCCGGTCACGGTTATTGATTCCAGGTGAAACAAGGCAGGTCTAGCGAGGTCAGTTCTCTTCCTCCCCCATGTATACAGTGTCCTCTGTTCTATAGTTAGTACATCCTCCTCTCCCCGCGGACAAGGATTCCGACAACACACACCACTTCAAGTCGGGCCGGCGTTGACATCAGGTCTTGTCCGGCCCCCAATGAGGTCATCGCAGCCACGGACCCGCAAGGAATTTAACATCTTGATTTGACTTGAAATCTAGAGGGACATCAAGCATATTCAGACTCAGGCTACGGAGTACAGTATCCAGACTCGCATGAGCATGAGCATCTGACCAAAAGTCTCAAGAAGGCGCAGACAATCCCCCTGCTTCAGGCCAAGTGCCCTGCCCTGCCACCACGACTATCCCCTGTGTAGAATACTCTGTACTCTGTACTTCGCTCTCACCACCCGATCTACAGCACATCGTGCCATGCAGAGAGACTGGACATAATGTTTCTCCGCGGGTTAGAACTTCCAACCATTCACAGAACATTTTTCTTCGCTCGTTCCTCGACGTGAGGGTTGGAGGTCAGGGCTCGTGCAGTGAGAGCAAACTCTGAAAATCAGGGCCCGCAGTTAAGCACTGGTCCCTTGGATCAGGAGGGTGTACTTTAGGTATGAACCTCGGAAGTCCTTCAACTCGCAAGTACTATGTACTACTGTAGGATGTACTCCGGACGTGAGCCTCTGGCAGTTGCCGGGGGGGAGGGGGGAATGGATGCGATGCCGAGCATCCGGATTGCCCGTTTGAGTCATGGTGGAATACTAGAATACTATGGTTGGAACACGTTGAATTGGGTTGGATTGAATTGATAGAATGATCATGATCATGGACCATGGACCACGGACTTGGTTATGTAGTTGATCATGCGGAGGATACCCCGTACTCCATACTCTGTGACTCCGTGGCTCCGTCTATCCGGAGTATACGTATACTCTGCCCAGTGTGTATACTGTACCACTGAGACATGAGAAATGCCGAACTTGAACCACAGACTGCAAGGGAACTGATCTCCATACACATGGGAGCTGTCTCCACCTAGTCTACTCTATTCTAATAGAGTACGTAGAGTAAAGGGTAAAATCAACCCGGATTTGTGATCTTGTCGATATCATGTCATCATCGATCGGGTCTGGCTCCCTCTGGCTGACTCTGGCTGCCTCCACTTCTCTCACCACATCCAGACCTCCCCGTGGATCCGCTTTTCAGCTTCGACGCCCCCCTGTTTCATTACTCATTATTCCTAGAGTCGCCCTGCTCTGCCCTTTCTTTTTCTTTTTCTTTTTCTTTTATTTTCCTCCCTATCATTTCCCATTTGTGACTGCCCAAATCTCGGCCATTTGGTCATCAGCGCCACATTACGGAGCGCCAACACGCAAAAAAGTCGGGAACCACAATTCATTGCCCCCCCGCAGCCAATCCAACGCAACTCTCCAAGGGATCTGCGCGGCGATGATCACCGGAGTGGAGGACCCGTGCTTATGAAGTCAGCGCCCCAAGAATTCCATCTCTTCCTGCACAAAGATCAGTGTGCTCCTTGCGTGGTTGATCTGAATTGAAGGGGGATGCACAAGGGATTGCAAAGAAGCAACCACACACATCCCATTAATATCCTCTTCTGTAAGTCTAGTTGATTCTTGTGTTCACCCTTCTTACCTCTTTCTTCTCTCTCTTTCACTCGTGGCATCCCCTCGTTGGGTCTGGAATTCCCCGTGAAGAACCATCTGTCCCCCCCCCCTCCCCGCATTCCAACGACGGTTTTTTGCGAAACACAGCACTTGTGGTTCGCAATCCGTCGCAGGAGAAGGAAAAAAAGGGTTTCTCCTTCTCTCGAAGAAGCCAAAAAAAAAAAACACATACCTTTGTCCCAGATTTTCCCCCATCTCACACTACACACTATGCGCCAAACTCCACGATGATGGCCGCTCACATTATCCCCCCGCAGATTTCATCGCGGTCGGGGTCTATCAACGATCTTTCTCCGTCCGAATACCTCGCTGTTCCTTCGTTATCGCTCTCCAATCTTATCCGAACCCGGTCCATCCGACGCCGTTCAGTGTGTTTGAACGTCGAAGAACAGTTCCCCAAGCAAAACCGGCGGGGTTCCCTACTCAAAAAGCTGGCGGGGCCACGCGAAAACGCGAAGCGATTCCTTCGCCTGCGGTCGGCGGGCGTCCAGTCGCTCGCGCCCCCACACCAGGCAAACCCGCGCTGTAGCGGCGCTCGCGGCACTCGGCCGGTATCCGAAATCATCCTCTCCCCGAGAGACTCGACTTTGTTCTCAACACAACCGGAATTTAGTGCCATACCCACAGAGTCAATGATGGCAACAGAGGTTTTCCCCGGCCAGTGGTCGACCCTCCCAGTGCCGTACCCCAACTGAGTACCCCATTCCCCCGTTGCGCAATGAGAAGATCGTTGCGACGGGTAGCGGACTCACTGTTGGTATTGCCCTGACAGAACCAGTGCTTTACCTTCAAGGCTATGACCAACAGGATCCAAGTTCTAAAAAATCAGCGATCTTGCGAGGTCAGATACATCTCAAAGTCACTAAGAGTGTCAAGATTAAGAAGATCTCCATTCAATTCCGCGGACATGCCCAAACAGATTGGCCCGATGGTATTCCGCCCAAGAAGATTCATTTCCACGACAAGAAAGATCTTTTTACCCACGGGGTCGTTTATTTCAACCACGGCGATACGGCTTTGATGCAGAATGACTATGGTGCGCACTACTACCAATACGCCAAACCCAACTCCCCGGTACCAGGCAAGGATGGCGTCTCTGCGACAACTCGGGAACTCTTCTCCAAGAGTGGCTCAGCCACCAACCTTGGCCCGACCAACGTACGAGATCCCAAGCGACTCTCCGTACAGACTACCCGCGGCCACTCTCGAAGCTTCAGTCGCAACGACACGCCCCAGGGTCTCCAGGCTCAGCAACAGCGCAACTACCGGATGTTCCCGGTTGGTGACTATTTGTATAGTTTCGAGTTCCCAATCGATGGGTCTCTGCCGGAAACTATCAGAACGGACTTGGGATCTGTGAAATACGATCTGGAAGCTATTGTCGAGCGATCCGGCGCTTTCCGCCCCAACCTACTCGGCACGATGGAGATTCCCGTCATTCGCACTCCCGCTGAGGGTTCATTAGAACAGGTCGAGCCGATTGCGATTTCTCGAAATTGGGAGGATCAGCTTCACTACGACATTGTGATTTCTGGAAAATCCTTCCCCATGGGCTCTCAGATTCCTATCGCATTCAAGTTGACACCACTTGCCAAGGTCGAATGTCATCGAATCAAGGTCTATGTGACTGAGAACATTCAGCACTGGACCGCCGACAAGAGTGTTCATCGACTGCAACCCGCTAAAAAGGTCTTGTTGTTCGAAAAGCGAGCGGAATCCGCCAGCACAAGCACATACCCCGGCAGTTCCATGCGTGTAACTGCAGGTGGAGGCATCGACTGGGACCATCGCGCGGCTGCTGCAAGAGGCGAGGAGATCGTGGATCGGTCCCGGACCAACTTGTTGGGCAATCTCTCGACCGAAAATGGTGTCGGGCCAACCGAGATGGAATTTAATGTACAGCTCCCAAGCTGCCATGAAATGAGAGGTCGAGACGAAGGACAACGCCTCCATTTTGACACAACCTACGAAAACATTCAAATCAACCATTGGATCAAGGTAAGTGATCTCGTTTTCATCCCCCCCCGCCGGCTTCTTAATTGAATATGAATACTTACACATCTTTAGATTGTCCTTCGTCTTTCCAAAGTCGATGAAAGAGATCCTACCAAACGCAGACATTTCGAAATTTCCATCGATTCACCCTTCCACATTCTTTCCTGCAAAGCTACACAAGCAAACATTTATCTCCCGGCCTACACGAGACCCTCAGCCGAGCCAGAGCCACCAGCCCAGGAGTTCGAATGCGGCTGCCCCGGGGCATCTATGACACCAAGAGACAACTCGGCAGCGCAGTCTAGTTCTGACCGTGAGGAGTCTAGCACGAACCTCAGCCTCAACCGTCGCGCCTCCTCGGCCCAGTTTCTCGGAGCTTCACGAACGGTTCTGGAGGTCTAGCCCGCCCACCTCAAGCACACTTGGCCCACGAGCCTAACAATGAGCGAGAGCACAACCCCACAACGGCACCGGGACCTTCCGAGGCACCTCGCCCGATGCATCTACTGCGAGCACCTTCATTTGCCCCTCCTGCCTTTGAAGACCTCCTCCCTCCGCCTCCTCTTGTCACTCCACCCCCGGAGTATACGACCATTGTTGGAAATGGGGATCGCGAGGCGATTTTGGAAGATTACTTCTCGCGACTATCCTACTACGAAGACCAGGATGACGACGATCGGGGGCGGGGCCGTGTCGATGTCCCCCTTACCCCAGGTGGCCGGGTCAATCGCAGTATGGATGTACCCAGGGAGTGGATTCGAATCGAAGATCTCGCCAGGACGTGATCGACTTCGATTCTCCAATCCCACACGGTGCATTGATTCGCCCTTTCACGATTAACCTAGCCATGAAGTAACGAAATTTCATACCGGAAACGGTGTACGGAGGTTCATTCCTTTCAAAGCTTTTCCTTTTTGTTTTTGTTTTTGTTTATGTTTTTGTTTATTTCTTATAGATTTTTGAAATCATCCTCTAACTTGTTTACAAATGTGTTTCATTCTGTTCGGGGTTGGATTGGGTTGGGTTGGATTCGGATTCGGGGTTTGTTGGCATATCGGGTCCGGTTCAGATGTCTCTCTGTTCATATCATTGGGCAAAAGGCGCGAGGGTGTTTCCTTGCCTGCATGTTCTTCTATCTCTTTCATTTCTGAGATTACACAAACTCATTAAGTGTATCTCTCATATTTTCCGGCGTCGTTTTCATAAGGACTGTCGATTATATAACATCATTTTGTCTCTCTCTATCTCTTTCCTCTCCACGACATGGACCGTACCTATATCATCATGAGACTAGAATGGCACTCCAACTTCAAATTAAGACGAGCCTGGGTGACTCTTGGTTGCCTAGCCCTGTCCTATACCCCCACCTCTCCCCGCAGATAGCGATAAGCGTGCCCGCTTCGAGCTGCCTTCCCTGGTTAAAGAGGCTTTCAACCCTTGGAACCCCCCCACATCGGTGGACCACTTGCTACTCCAGATATCACCCAGCCGACCTCACTTCTCGGACGTCATCAAACTACCACTGGCACGCCTCATTATTCTATCGCTTATATACCAAGCTTACCTACCTGAAATCTGATACTCCGACAAACTACTGTTCTTGGAAAGAACTGAGAGCTTGACCTGCATCATCAGCCGAGCCTCTCGGACCCTTCATGATTTTGCGGGGTCAACACTTGAACATCCACAATGGCGATCGAAGTCGTCCCCTTGACCGAGGCCGATATCCCTGGCGCCATCCAAGTGATTCAAAGAGCTTTCGAAGATGATCCATACTACCAATGGGTATTTGATGCCTCCACGGTATGTCATATCATTCCACTCAATATGAAGATCATTGATGCCGGAAATTTCTCCATGCTAACATCAATCTCCTCGTAACGCGGTCGACTATCGACCTGTCGTTACCCTGTCGGGGAGATCGATACATATAGTTCAGCAAGAAACGGAACTATGACTCGCTAGCTGCGCGCTGCCGCTGGGGCATCAACAATGCAATATTCCAGGTAGCCAAGGACACCTCCGCAACGGTAGAGAATCCAGTATCTTCCCCTGTCCTTGGAGTCTCCTGCTGGATGGCTCCACAGCCAGCTACCCAGCCTGAGAGCTGGTACTCCTGGTATCAAGGGTGGGTCCTTTCGTTCAACCAATTCCTCACTAATATACGATATCTTGGACACGGAGGTCTGCGCACGAACCGCTATTGGATTTGGAAAGAGAATCAGCAGAAAGCTCAGGCGCAAATTTGGGATGACCCGCGTGGATACTATTTTTGCAATATCGTGGCTGTGAGTCCCGAGGCGCAAGGGAAGGGGATTGGGAAACTTCTCTTCGAGACGGTTACAAAGCGGGCTGATCAGGAGGGTATCAAATGCTATTTGGAAAGCTCGAAGAGTGTGCCTAATGTGCAGATCTATGAGGGTATGGGGTTTGAGATGAGTCGGGAGATGGAATGCCGTGACGGAGACGATGCTTGCATGGTACGTGTTTTCTTTTTGAGTCTTCACTGAGAGACCTTGCTAATGATACCCGCGTGGCTGTTCCTAAAGCTTTACTGCATGATGCGAAACCCCCGAACCAAGTGATGCTCGCAATCAAGACTCGGAAATTTGCGTAACTCAACGGAAGCGCTATGGCCCCTATGATTACAGAAACACATACCTCAATGCATGAATTATCAATTCGACATTCCCTCCTCATCCCATTAAAAACTCACCTTTTGATCTGTCATTTACTAACTAATATCCTACTTTGCACTGCCCCCAATGCACATATACCCGCCCTTCTAATCCGTTTGTTTACACCCGATGAGAAAGAAGGAAGAAAGGGAGAAAGAATGCATCAATTCAATCCCAAACCCGGATCTCGACAGAAGCTCAATCTCAACCCCCAGCCAAATTCCAAATCCGCCTTAAAAAAAACGCTCTGACCCATTTCACCATCCCGATCGTCAACGACCCCATCGTGACCCACAAACGGGTTGATCATGGCGCGAAATTTATCGCCACAAGCGCGGCCGGGGGAAGAAGGCTCCGCCGCCACACCCATCGCGTTTGTCCCCTCCGCCAGGCGAAAACATAAGTTGCATATGACCTGTCGCAATGGATAAGCTTCGCGTCTGTGCTGACGGGGGTTGGGTAGGTGGGACACCTGCATATGCAGCCGCAGTCAGCAGCACAGATGACCTGCGAACGAGACGAGGGTCGTTATTCAGAAGTCGGTTCGGAAGTGAGATAGGTGGGCTGCCGGATGGATTGTATTGGATTGTAGAGTTAGGGGGCTCTTTTGGTGGTACCGTGTTGGTGGCTCTTCGTCCCTGGAAATCTTCCGGTGTTGCGGGCTTGGTTCGATTTAAATGTAGACTTTCGGATTTGCGCTGGGATCACCGGGCGATGGCAGAATGGATAGAACTCTGTTTTGATTCTACGGGTTTGGTGATATTGGAAAGTGTGTTGGTCTTTTCCAAGGTTCTGAGTGATCTTTGAGAGCTTATATTTGAGATCGGAGTACGCATAGCTAGGACTCTTGATTTCAGATTTTAAGATTCAAGCAGATCTAGATCTAGATCTAGATCCAAAACAGACTTTCTTTTTTTTTTTTTTTGACTTTGCATTTGATCACCTGAGATGTAAGAACTTTTACAAATTACATTGCTTTTGTACCTCGCTCATATAGGTACTGTTCTAGTGTACTGCTTTAGCAATATGAGACTCTTGGTATTGCACAACGGCCGGACTCCGTGGTCCGCTGTTCAGACCTTTATCACCCGATGTTTCCAATTCAAGAGAGATGCAGCGGTAACCACTGAAACGCCGGAAATAAGTGATGAAATAAATGGGAATGACGCGGCCAATGCCCGAATCACGCGAACACCACCTTCCCCAGATATCCACGTCACACCAACCACAAAGAGGGACACACCATGTTGCAGCGACACTGAGATGATTGTTAACCAGCTCGCCATGCTAGCTGCAAGCGTCAGTCAATCATCTACAAGTACAGCGCCAAGATCCCAAGGATCGTCCACACCATCACTCGTGACTACCGCAACCACGCAATCCTCTGCCACCAACAGTGCCAAGGAGGATCATTTTGCAGAAGAGGAATCCTTCCACTATCTGCGAAGTCTGATCACCACATCCTATCTATCCCAGCACACTTCTAGTCAGCTGTCAGTGTCATCGACCACTCAAGAGGTAGAACCATCGTCACTTGGTCGGAAGCGGGCTACCTCCAGATTAAGCATTCGCCTGGGTGACCTTTCAGGACTTTCTTTCCCAGCCAAGATATCTCGAAGGCCCTGTCCGAGTCCTCGCTACACAACCCTGCCGCCAATCTATTCGCCCAAACACATCACCACTCGGCCAGAGGTACGATTTTGAGCCGAGTAAATGGTGATCAATCAAAATATCCCTTCGACAATTGGTCGGCCCATTCACCCGTATATAGATAATACCAACCCATGAATACAAGCCATTCAGCCCAATGACGGCCCCGTCTCCCCATTCCCGCCTAGACCCTGTGTGTGATTTCTATCAATATCGCACATAGACATCTACCCACTGACTCTGTTCAGAGCAAAAAGGACTACAGGGACTACGTAGCTCTCCTGTGATCAGATCCCGTCCCGAACATAATCTGAACGCGTAAGAAACATGAGTAAGAACTCTGCATGAACTCAACCCCACTAGTCGTTGAACGCTGACCCGAAACAGATCGGCAATGCACCTCACTCGGCAATCCATTCTCGCCCCCAATGACGTTTTACTTCCCTTTTTTTTTGATAGTGCATACCTGACAAGAAATGCCGGGCCTGGGGGAAACGACAGGCTGCCTCGTCCCGTGGGGTCCTCGGTCATTTCATTCATATGCCGCCGAATAGGGTGGCTTCCGGGGACGGGAAATCCTTGTTATTTCTAGCGCTATTCTGCAGCCGATTGCAGGTCTTTTCTATCACAGACACGGAGCGGTAGGCTTGACGAGTGGAGGATACACCTCCGGTTTCGACTTGGGATTTCTAGACTTTTTTCACAAAAGAATACAATTTCTTTCTTTTGCCGAGGGTATATTGTATTCGTATTACCATTGGCCTAAAGGCTTTCAAGGCGATCTACAGTATTGATTAATCCCAAATCCTTATCGTCGGTGGATTCGTCGGCTGAACAGCCTCTTTTGGTTCGGATAATTGCTAACATCAAGACAACAGGATCTGCAGGGTTTTCCCGGTGTCTCAGCCGTAGACTGTGCCGATCGGTCTGTAATCAGCCTGTGTTTCGTTTTCTTCTTTGAGGCTTCCTTCGTTCTTTTTTCCCCCTCTTGATTTCCGCGCGTGTATGTATGCCCTATGCCCACCCCCTCTGGTGGGTTGTCTCGGTGGGTTGGCGGAAGTGGCTTCGGTACTCCACCCGAAAGCTCAATTTCCGCACAGACCGCGTGCGAAGGATCAATGGGACCATGGTTTGTTTGATCATTCCTTCAAGGGGCATGTTGTTGATTTCTAGCGGGAATTATTGCGTCGGGGTATTGTCTGAATCGCTAGAAACCCACGCAAGTATCATGCAACAAGGAGATAGTAACCGGGTAAAAGCCGGGGGAGTCGGAAGTGGGAAGAAGGTCCACGTCAAGGGCTAGCTATGTTGTGATCCAGTGAATACGATTGGCTCTCTTATTATTGGATAAACAATTTAACCTGATGTTTGCTACCTTCTTGACGAATTGCAGATGGAAAAAACAGCAAAAGTACCGGTGTACGCTGATTCAGACCACAATCAAAACTTTTAATTATTACAAACCATCAAGGCCAGATCGCGAGGCTTAAAGCTTGAGTATGTCTTGGCTTTAGTTTTCCTTTCTATGGGATAGAGTTTGTGCTGATGAGAAGGAAGCAATCATATCATTTCAGACAAGGGAGAATTCGGAAGAGTTCTGTCGAAAGACCTAGGCCCCGCCTTGTTGGGCCACAAACGAACGAACGAACGAACGAACGAACAAAGCCAGGTGCGGCACGAAATGAACACGTTTATACTTTTATTTGATTCGCTCATCGCAGTCGGGCCCGGATGAACTTCTAGACTCCGTCTACAGAGTCTAGACAATAGACTTAAAGGGCCAGACCCCCTGGTCGGTGGCTCAGGCTGTTGAAATTAGAGGGGCCACATGCTAGGCAAGGCTCTAGCTCCCTCCAAAGCAGTGTTGCGACGTTAGGATATTGCGCCACCAAGGTCAATCAAACTCACCTTACCAGTGACAGGGTTGATGATAGACAATGGTGGGAGCATGTGAAAGAGGTCTAGAATCTGTTGGGGCTAAGATATGAACGCCAAACGACGACCGTTGCGGGTCGAGATCGTGAGTCGATGCAGGAACTTTTGTCAGCATGAAGGAGGGGCTGTGGAAATACAAACCGCCTACGTGCTCAATGCACTCGTGATCGGATTTAAACTGGCATGCATTGTCAACTGTCGCGGCTGGTCGACGACAGATCGGCGTGCAGGGAGGGATTGCCCGATCTAGACAGCGGCATTTCATTGCCTGTTCATCATCGGAGTCGCAGGTAATAATCCCTAACCAAGCAGCCTGAAGGATTGCCGGTAGAACTCAAGTTTCTCGTGGGGCCTGACAGAGGTCGGCATAAATATCAATAATGTATTCTTTGACTTCGGGCCCAATGAGCGCCCGACACGGCACGCAATCTTATTTTTCCCACTGGGTCCGACCAACCCCGAGGCTTGCGAGACATGTAAATAAAAGTAGTCGTCTGCGTCATTACTGTCGAGAAGGAACACGGCTGCGCCATGGCCCACTGAGGTGCAGTTTCATGCTCGAAAATGGAGTACCTGTCTATTCCCTAGTGCGGAACAAGAAGCTAGATAAGTCCATTTATGAAGACTTGGCCTAAACAGAACGCGGCGACAGTGACCAATTCCAGCGACTATATACTAGCGCCATCTGTAGGGATTTAGCGTTCCAAACATTGAATGAACCTAGGTATCGCACTATCCGGCATTGAAATTACTCTAGCCTTGGAAGCTTCGGAGCACCTACCGAGCAAACTTTTGAGTGCCTTTCATAGTGCATAGCCCTATTTTCCCTTTTAGCAATGGCCCCCCCTTCCAAATACTATCTATGTAGTATGTACGACCTTTTTCTCCTCTATAATATCCACTCCCCGGACTTTCTCCCCCACCAGGAATACAAAGCCCTAAAATGCCCGTCCCATGTGCTCCCCGGACATCCCCCCAATCCTAGCGGCCGCTACAACCATTGATTGCATCATGAGCAAGGTTTCGGCTGTCGAGGGGTTTTGCCCTGTCCCGGGCCGGTGGAATGGAGTTACCTACGAGTCCCGTCGATCTTTGTACTGCGTGTTTCAATCGAACATCTATATATTAATCATTGACTGAAAGTTCAACCGATCGGGTCCTTTAAGGGGTTAGTTGTTGAGTGATTGATATTGTAACCGATGTGGAGTGTTTCTAGATGAAGCCTGACAGAGGATTAAGTTGTGCCTGGCAGTACTGAAAAAAGAAGACTTCGAGAAACCCACAGACTGGTACTTACTACTCAACGGCGTCCCAAGGAGGTGCACGGAAGATTGCGTGGATTCCCAGCGACCCGGGGCTTGGCCCAATTATTCAATCTTTCCTCTCTCCCTTAATTTAATTTAGAATTTGGTTATCGGTTATTCTACGACCACTACCACCGTAGCCGGAATTATCCTTTCTCCAAAAAATAAATTGAAAAAAAGCCACCAAGATTTAATGCACCTTCTTCCCCCGCCCCTAAACTCTACAGCTGCACAGCTGCGATGCGCGCGACATGGCTACAAAAGCACGGGTGATTCCTGCGCGGGCATACCTCGTTGAACCGGGTTAGATGTTAATTTCTGCAGATTGTAAAATACCGAAGTTGGTGCCGAAAGCGGCATTTGTGGTCGTTATGTCTCTTGGACTGGGCTAGGACCCCTTCCCACCCCTTGGCCTATGCATTTCGGAATTCCATAGGGGAGGGTACAACCACGTTGCCCGTGCGGGACCCTCCCCCTGGCCCCCGGCCTCAGTCGACAATTTGTACGGAGTAAAGCCGCACTTCCTTTCCTTATGTTCTGTATTTAGGTCCGAGCCCATTGACAAAGGAAGCTCTTAGATCGAGTGGTATGCAAGTTTAGATAACATGTGACGGCCTCGGGGCTCTTGTAAAAGTGGCGAGAATAATAAAAGCATCAACAAAGAACATCTTGCAAATTATCTCGTAATCGTACAGGCGGTGGAAAGCTTCCACGAAAATATAAATATATAAATATAAATGCAAAAAAAAGCAATACGCATGCAGGGCATAGTTTCCGGGAAGATAAAAGTATCAACATCGACCTATCTGCGGTAACGGACCTGAAAATCAGCAAAGTATGTCTAACATGGCACCGGAAAAGAAATCCCACGAAACTCCCCGTAGAAGCAGGCATATAACAAGGGAAAGGCACAACATATAGAGAGGGAGAGAGAAACAATCGGAAGCTAGCATCCAAGAACACAGGTAGGACGCTCAAAAGAACCATGGACCAAAAGACAGAACACAATCAAAGATCAAAGACAAGGGAAGGTGTCTGTAAAGTCAATACTACCGGAGTATCGAAAAACGTAGATGACCCCAGGGCACAAAGTTTAAATCGGTGTGGGCCCTCAAACAGACAAAAGAAGAAGAACAAAAATGAAAAACACCAGAAAAAAGAAGTGTCGATCAGAGCCCTGGTGACGAATCATCGCATTTGAATTGTACCAGCCCCTCCTCATCGTCGGTTCCAAAATGCGGATTTTCAAGTGGATAGCCTCCCGAGAGAGGGTCGGCTAGAGCCGAATCATAGTTCCTCGTGGTGATTGTGTCGTTAAAAGTATGGCGGACCGGGCACAGAACGAATGGGAAAAAGGGTGGGAAGCGGGCGAAGTCAACGGCCGATTGATAAACGGAAAAAAGAGAGTCGAACTACTTCTTTTTCTCTTAATCTGCGGCGATGCTTCTTTGGCCTTCATCTTATCGTGCAACAAAGCAAACATTTGCCGACAACCACGATGAATCGGTCGTGTGGACTGTCGGAACAGTGGCCATCTTTGCAACCATCCAAGGATGTTCGAATAAAATGAGCAGCGGGATTCTGGCAACCGCTATAAATGTAGTAATTTTTGAAATAGTTGCACATTTTGGTATGATCCCATCGGGGATGACGATGGGGATAAAGTTGGACTCGAATAATAGCGAGCAGCGGCCCAACTCAAGCTCGACAAAATGTAGTATTAGATGGAAGTAGATCTTTGCAGAGGAGTGAAAATGACACAACACAGTCAGATCTTAAAAGAGCCACGATCTGGGAGAAGAGCGATGTTATGAGGGAGGGAGGGAGTGGCTGCTGGAGGTAGGAAAACTCCGGAAGGTCCGAAGGATGGAATAAAGAGTACTGAAACTGAAGATGCTACCAAGGTGGGAAGACGAGGGAAGAAAAAGGGACTGGGCACACAGTATGTCGTCAATCACAGACTACCTTCCGAGACGGAGACGAAATTTACTCCATAATTCCACACCTGAGCTTGTTGGTAAGAGAGCAGTATCTACAGTAATTCTGCAGTAGCTTTTTCCTCGCCCCGACCCACCACCAATCCCTGTCTCCCCCCCCTTAGCAACCCTAGTCGCCAAGCGGGTCCTGCGTGCAGAAAATGAAGATTTTAATAATATTTAATAAATAAAAAGGATTAATGGCTTTGATTTGTAGATGGTAGTTTAGAAGTCTGCCCGAGAATACTTAGCGGAGATTATTCCAAAATTATCAGGGATCAGCCTTTCCTTGCCCCCTCCCATGCTCAGTGGCCCCCCATCCGATGACCTGGCCCCATCACTGCGGCATATGTTGATCGGGTAGATGGGAGATCGACGTCGGTTCCTCGCAGCCGTTGATGCTTCTTCCACTCACACGTGGCGCTAGTCAGGGTGCTTATGCAGGAGTCACGACACTGTCCGGAAAGGCTCACCTTTAGAAGAGTGTCCATCGGATTTTTCCTCCACAATCCAGCTTCCTTTGGTTCACCATAGTAAAGAGACGTCAAGCGAGCATGGGTTGCTCGTTTGGGTCGTCCTGTGACAATGGATTGTAACAATGGTCCTGGGGGTTGGGCAACCTGGCTGGGTTCACGACGCGTTGGGCAGTCGGGGGAAGCGATAGGTTGCCATCAAGCATAATGTTGCCACCTAGACACACACTGAGAAAGAACCAGGGCGAAAGAAAAATAATTATGGGGCTTCAACCTCAGCCTCTGTCCCACATTTGAAACCCCTTCCAGACATACGAGTGCACTATCCGATGGCTGGCCCCATCGTTGTTGTAATGGCATCATTCCAATATGAAGCGAACGGTCCCGGAGCAGCAGGAATATTAATATAAAGAAACCCTTAAAAGATAAGTGGAGAACAAAAAGTACTACGTGGTGACTTCAAGTCCTAGATCGCCCGGAAATAACCATTGAACGATACCAGAGGTACGCACAAGGCATTGGTCCGGGAAGAGTGTACAGTGCACTTTCAAAGGACGAGACAGGGTCATTCAGGGTGGTAGCGCCGATGAATTAAAACTAAATTCGGAATTCAGTTTGCGATCTCTGCGAGTACGAGTACCTACGGCAAAGTCTTGTCTGTGCCGCGTTTGCGACTCCACGAATTAAAACAAGGTTTTCGAGGTTTGAGCTTTGCTCGGCACTCTCCAGGCTCCAGATCGGAATAAAAACAACGGGCTCCAATTTTTTTTTCTCCACTGTAGGCTCATCATGCCGTTGGATATTTGGCCCGTCTCCTTCCTTGATGGGTTGGTCACCAGGCCGTTTCGTCGTAGAAGGTCCCACTGCGTGACAAAATAGCCCCCAGTGCTCAAAAGGGTTTCAGTGTTCGTTCGGAATAGATCCATCAACCATTGGGGTTGCGTCGCGGAGGTTGGAGCCGAAGTGGATGCTCGATAGACCAGGGAGGGGTCTTCACGCAAGTCAAATCACGCGCTACGAGTAGGAACGCGCCAAGGACATTGGATGGAGCATTGGAAATTCAAGCAAACGAGTAGCACAAGATGGTGCGACGCAAGTGACGTCTCAAGAATGGGGTGTCCACATGCCGAAGGTTTTTTTTTTTTTTTTCAAAAACAATAATAAATTTTTTATGTATGTTTTGAAAGGTGACAGGAAGAGAGGAGCCTCGGATTCCACAAGAAGGTGGTCCCATTGCCCTGCCTCCAGTGGTGCTGTGGTGCGGGCTGTTTACTCGTACGAGTACTCCGTAGGGTAGTGCCTTCTGTATCGCGCCTCACTGGGGCCACACAAGACGGACATGGTTCTGGTCCCATTGAAAGCCCCAAGTTTATCGGATTGTGGATCCAGTAAAAAAGATAGTCTCCTGTGGGCTTGCCGGCGACTCCGCCTCGGGTACGGTTTCAGGTCACAAGTACGAGTATTCGAGCAAGGACAAATGCAGATCGCGCCGAGGCAGCAAGCATCCGAGGTAGCTGCATTCCGATTCCAGGGCCCGAGATGATACTGGCCATGCCCTGGACCTTATGATTGATAGTGTGTACATGTCTTGTAGTCTTGGGCTACCTCGTGGTAGGCTACCATGGGCCGAGCTCGGAGCCGATATCACGTGGCACTGGGGAAGGGCTAGTCAAAAATAAGTGCGGAGCTCGGAATAACTTCAGTGCCGTGTTTGCAGCCCCGTGACCCCGTGACCCTTTGCCCCCTCGCGCGGCAAAGCCATTGGGAGCGAAGTTCTTGGTGTCCGTCAGACGTCCTGATTCAGTCCGCACACTCGTTTTTCCGCTGAGATTTGATCGCATCCACTCAGTTGGGGGAGAAAGGTTATCAGACCTACAACTTGAGCCCCTCCCCATCCTCACTCGCTCTCTCCACTGTTCCACCCTCCGTCGTTGTGGAGACAGCCGTCCGGCCAGCGCTCTGTGACCGCCAACCGCAAAGGGAAAATCTTCTGTTTGTTGTCGCACCGCTCGACGACATCACCACCAGACATCATGGGGTTCGGTCAATTCGATACAATATGCGAGAAGGTGCCGCTGCCTTTGTGCTCCCTCGTGGGCCCGGCGTCATCAATCTCCGGGGCCACCGGCATCATCTCAAACTGTTATGCGCGAAACATTGAGGTTGCGAATACAATCATCTTCGAGGGTGCCGCCTCGTTTATGCACATCATTGCGCTTGCTATGACCGTGATTATGATCCTTCATATCAGGTCCAAGTTTACGGCTGTTGGTGCGTTCCACTTTGAGGCCTGCTGGGGGTGCGAAAGCCATATGGTTCTAACATTTCGGTACATATAGGTCGCAAGGAAATCATTACATTTTTCTACATCTTTCTCGCATTGACTATCTGCTCACTTATCATTGATGCGGGGGTTGTTCCGCCAAGAAGCGGTCCGTTCCCCTACTTCGTGGCAGTCCAGAGTGGTTTGATATCGGCTCTATGTGCCTGTCTGCTAGTAAATGGCTTCGTTGGCTTCCAGCTGTACGAGGATGGCACGGCACTTTCGGTGTGGCTGATCCGGCTTAGCTCGGTGGTTATGTTTTCTATGACATTCGTGATCTCTCTTCTGACCTTCAAGTCATGGGGTGGCCTGGGCCCCGAGAATACCGTTGGGTTGTTTGTGGTTCTCTATCTTCTCAACGCTATCGCGGTAGCCATCTACATTGTCATGCAGCTACTACTAGTCGTGAATACCCTGGATGACCGCTGGCCCCTGGGCCATATCTGCTTTGGTATCTTGGTCTTTATCATCGGTCAGGTGCTTCTCTACGCATTCAGTGACACCATCTGCAACAATGTGCAGCATTACCTTGATGGTCTCTTCTTTGCCACCTTTTGTAATCTGCTTGCTGTTATGATGGTTTACAAGGTATGGCAGCGTATCCTTGAATTGATGAAATTTAAATTACTAATAATATCAAGTTCTGGGATTCGATCACCAAGGAAGACCTGGAATTCTCCGTTGGCGTGAAACCCAACACGTGGGAGGTCAAAGAACTGCTACCGGAGGAGGACCGCCGACAGACTGTCTACCATGATAACAATTCAGAATATGCAGGCAGTGTGTACCACCACCGGCAGTCAAATTACGGACATCACAATTACTAGCCATTTCGCGTTTGGGATATGGTATATGCGACCATTGATATGACGATATTTTGATTTCTTCGTTACATTCAGTTTCAGCCTTTAGGTGTTAGCGCTGCATCGGATGGGCTTGTTTGCATGTGAGACGGCATGGTATGAAAATCTCGCCATTATGGGCGGTACTTTCTCATCTACCGAAGGACCTAGGCGAAAAGCCTACTACGACAAGCAAATCCCGATGTTGCTTTCGATCTTCGGTTAGGCCTCTCCATCATTAATACATAGTGTGGTTTTGGATTTTATAGTATATGTAACTTATTCAATTGGAGTACATTTATCCATCCTATTTCCTTCATTGCTGATCCGATACCACCCCATTAGTAGCCAGGTTCCAATGTGGAGACCGAACGCCTTCCGATATTGTCGTTGTCTCCGGTGGTGGTACGTAGACAGTGTAGAGGAGAGCCCATCAACTGCAGCTCGGCCAAGTTTCCCTTATTCCTCTTCGGGGGCTGTGCCGTCCTTCAAGCTGCAGTCATCAAGAAATAAGTGAGACACCACCAAAAGAAATGCGCTTGCGTTTTCTGTGGTGGTGGTGGTGCCGCCGACGCTTGACGTTATCTCGCATCGAAGCCAAAGGATCGGATCCACAAGTTATGAGAGATCGCCACAACCAGCGGCTGAAACAATTACAAAGATCGACGCTGCCATGGTCCACCCTCAGTTTGGTGACCTGCCAGTGGGTTTAGCTTCCGGGCATGACTGCCTTGATGGGAAGGGGGCCATGTAGTGGACGAATCTGCATCCTGCGAATTAAAGTTGGTAAAAACGCCCGGCCAACAGGGTTTTTTCTTGATGCTTTGCGGCAATTATTTGGGTCCCGTATCGAGACCTTTCCGGCTGTCAATGTGACTGCGGCACGCGCGGACGAAAGTTAAAGAAGACCAGGCTGCCGATCAGGGGGTGTTGGGGCGTGGAGAAGAACTTTAAATTCTTTCCCTCGGAAACTTTTATCGAGGCTATAAATTCTAAATGCGGAGACTGGAAAGTGAAAAGTTTGCAAGCGCTTGAACGTGTCAGAAGTGGAGTAGGCTTTTGATTCACTCGATGAGCACGATGTCGCTATCTGTGGATTCATCGCCCGCCGAATTCTGACCGGTCCCTTCTCGATCCGGTTCCGCTCCGGAGCATCGCCAGCCCCGATCGATCATTCCGATGATGAGCCTGCCAGCCTCTCCAACTAGCGTCATATAAGCGGGGTTCTCTTTGGGCAAAAACATGCTAACATGTGCCTTGACCTCGTCCGTTGCCCTGTTGTTGGTGGCTTTGTGCCAGTACAGTCCCGGTTGGCGGGCAAGTTCATTCTGCTCGCCGTTTTCAACTTCAGGAGGCAGTGTACAGAAAGTTCTGTGGTTAGATCGAATGATCTTCTGACTGAAGGACGTCTTCGTCACCTCTTTCTTCTGCACAAGGGATGAGGCTCCGTCTCCGAGACAGGTAAAAAAATTCACGCATCGAATATTGCGATCATTCTCCACGTTAGACAAGCTAGCAAGACGCTGCCGCAGATCAGATGACCGCCCCAGACAGCCGACGAACTCGAGATGCGACGAAACCCAGTTCACGCCTGCGGATAGATTCTGTCTCTGAGAGTACAGAGCAGCGGCACCGCCAGCTGCAACGGCGCCAGCAGCACCAGCATACATGGCATATCGACCCCATCGTTGCCAGGACGGGGTTGCAGCAGCATCCGTCGAAGGAGGAAGGGGCTTTGCCGCATCGACTGCAGGGGCGGTGGCAGCAGGAGAAGCGGATGAGCCAGTAGATTCACCCTTTTTACCATAGCCGAAGATGCCGGCAACCTCGTTGAAGGTGTTGTATGCCGTGGTTGCGTTGTGATAATGCCCCTCAGCTCCATATGATACAACCCCTGGTGCGATACCTAGAAACGGAGTATCGAAGGCGAGCACGCCTTGTATATGGGGAAACATAAAGGTGTCAGGCTCGATGATAGGCTCTTCCCTTGATTGAGCCGTCTCGTCAGGTTTCGAACGAATGGGTTGCTCATTGGCCAATAGAAGTAACGTTTCGGCAGCAAGAATGCCACCCATGGAATGTCCGACAAGGAAAACGTGAACAGAAGGGTCCACCGTCGGGGATGGTGTCTCGTTTGCGACCTCCAAGTCAATCACAGTGTTCTGCAACCTGTAGGGAATATGAGTCCGGAAAGATCGATTTCAGTACAAATGAAGATTACCAACCATTCTCTTAACCTTGCAACAGATTCCTTCAGGTCGCCTTTCGTCTCATACTTCGGGTAGATGGCCACCTCGATATTCAAAGCAGAGAGATGTGAGCCAAGAAGCGAGCGAATATCTCCAGGGAACCTAGCGAATGTATCATCATCGCCCTGTAATCGTCCAAGTTACTGTTAGACATCCCAAAGAATTCGGACTTTGATAGAGCGAACGCGCTTTATGACAACCATACCTTGAAGCCGTGAATGAAGACGAACAGGAGCGTCTTGCGCTTTTGGGAGTCATTGCCGAGCATGTTTGACCATGAAGGCGGTGCAAGGCACGGTCGCCTGTAAAAGGAGCAAGCTTTGGTGCCTCTGTATATGGACAAAGGCGGGCAGCCAGGAATGCGACGTGGGAGTTGAGGATGTCTGAGGTCTAAATTGGAAAACACGAGCCTGGGCGTTTATCGGCCCCAACGTCATATCGACACGTGATCCGGGGTATACCATGTAGTAGGTTCTATTCGACATACTGGGGCTTCGGAAATAATAATGTATTTATTAAATTAGAGTATAGTAGCCTCGTCACTCCTGGTAATTTCTTTCTAGACCTAATTGTATCAGGGGATGTTGAACGTGAAGTGAATTGCCCTCGGCCTGTTGCAAGTCAGTGAGGGCATCCGGAAAGGTCAAACTTTCCGTGGTCATCATTTGGCCAATACTCTGAATTTTATAGGAAAAAAGTAATGATTCTACAGTTTACCTCTCAATCAAAGGAATTTGACTAAACATAAATTTACTATATGGTAATGCGTGGTGTTGCCAACGGCGATAATCTTTAGGTTGTCCCTAACGAATGTCCACGCGTTGGTTGATAGGAAATTTGCTAGAGTTTTTATAGGGTTAGCAGTGTTGGTGAAACAGTATGTCATCATAAGTACTAAATTACTACATGAAATGCAGGGCTGGAACATTTGAAATGAGCGCCCGAAATCTGCAAGGCAAATCTGAAGTTTTGCTGCTTCAAATTGAATTTCCAAGGTTGGTGCTTCTCCCCACATTCCCAGTGTTTCACCTCGCCGATATATAAGTGTTGGGTACTATTTACTCGGACTAAGTGTTTCTTTCGGTCGCAGTAAATATTTTGATCCAGGAAGAACTTGATTGAATATTACAACCATGCGTGACTACTTTAGTCCGGAAGCTGGATTAACAAATAAATACACGTACAACTGTGACTGAAATAAGGATAGCACCTGGACAGCTTGTTTGTTGCTCTAGCAAAAAGCTCAACAAAAGCAAGATGTAGATCAATACTGTCTGGACATAGGTGGCTACAAAATACCTGCTATTACTAGGATAGATCGAAATTTTTGTGGGTCACGTATTCCGCTTATGTTCTCGGGTTTGTGGGCATTTCCTTTCCCATGATTTGCATTTGTTAGCTACCAACTACTAGAAGGTTATCCCCTATTTTGAGTTTGTTAATTTGCAGCTTGATATGCTAATAGTTTGCACATGTTCAACATCTAATTGGCAAGATGGCCGAGTTGGTCCAAGGCGTCAGGTTAAGGTCAACCTTAACTCCAATTTCCTGATCTCCGCAAGGGGGCGTGGGTTCGAATCCCACTCTTGTCATTTTTTGTCCTCTAGAGGTTTTCTCTGGCCTGTAATCATTTTTGGTGTGTTTTTAAGGTAGGCTGGAGCATATGTTAACAAATTCCGCCGTTTTCCTACTGTTATTTGGCGTTAGTCTGCTTTTTTGGCCTGTTGATGGGCTTATCCAATAGCCGGATCGAAAACCCACTAGTATGGAAAGAACGTCCTAGTACCAGATATTTATCTAAATCTATTAAGGACCTCAGGAAGATGTAATAGTACTGGTACTGCTGTATTTCAATGAAATTTTCAATCCGAACCGCCAGTTATCTAGGTGGTACGTTTCAAATGCCTTGAACTTTTCACGACTCGTCCAATCGGAGTTTCTTTCAATGGTCTATGCGAATCTAGCTCTAGAGGGGTTCGCTTAAATGTACAACAAAGACAACTAGAACCTCACAGATTCTCGCGGCCAAGCTTTCGCAATCGAAGCAGGCTGTCTTGTAACGAGGTGGCAATCAATGTGCCATCCGGACTCCAAAGATAACTCTCATGAACAGCCCTGTTCTCCGCCGATTGGGGCGTCCAACCCTCCTGGATAAACCATTTCAAAGCCAGGCCAGAGTCCTCGGTAGGTGATGTATCCCAGTCAACCATGCGTAGGGCCTCGCCATGTTGGTGAACAATGACGGTTAGAGTAAGACTGGCCATTTCCGCCCAGTGCTTGATTCCAAGTGACCGCGGAATCAACAAGAGAGAGTTCTTGTCACTGGAGTACATATGCGCGCAGGCATACAGGTTGTCATAATCTCCCGCTTGGTCATTATCCTTCATCTGAGAAATTGTCACACTCGGGTCTGGGTCGGGCAGACCCTTTAAGCGGTATTGTGTCAATTGTCGATATTTTTCAGGTCGTTCTTGAATGGCCTTGGTCTTGTTGTAGTCTTTCATGTCTATCTTCCGAACATCAAGTCCTGGAAATTCGCGCTCGGAAATATTGCCTTCTCGCACGCCATCAATCCACCAGTCTGCATCGATACTGGGACTGACGGCTTGATCCTCTGGTCGTTTTCCGGCCAATACGGATTGGTATCGCTCCTGAACCGGCGAAGGCTGATGGCGGAAGATGCGCTGCTTCTCATCGCGCTTGAATGAGCAGAGGCACGAGAACATGATCCTGCCATCCTGTCGAGCATCGACGGCCCTTGTGCAGTACATGAACCCATCTCGCACGTGTCGAACAGTGTAGAAATAGGGAACATCCAGTCGACCGGGCAGTATGAATGTACCCGTCATATCCTGCAGGCCGGCATTAGTCTTCAAAGTTTCCTAATGAAAATATAATTTCGTAGTCTGATGATTTACAGACATAGTAATACTGACATGAACTACAAATCCCTTTCCGACGGTTTTTGAAGCCGCATAAGCGGACTGGGCATAGACATGTCCTCCAAATGAGCGTGTCCCCTGACCAGGAGGATAAGGCGCAGCCAAAGAACGAAATCTTTCGACTTTTTCAGGACCAAGTGTACTAGCATGTGAAACTTCCGTGTCCTCTAGTCTTTCCAGGGCCATCAATTGCGCGAACGAGGAGGGGGATGTCAACTCATCCGGATCTTGGTCCGATTGCTCGTGCACGGGCGACATGGTTATAGGGGAGTCCCAAAAAAGTCCAATTTTAGATATCACTCGCAGATATGAAGAGTCGAAAGCATCACCAATGAGGGATTTATTTTGTTTGACAGCTTGGGGTTGGGATGTCCGGGGAAATTGCCTCGGCGCGGGGCGAGTCACAGTCACGTGCTCGAATTGCCCCTGGTGGACAAGTCAGAGGCGAGATATTATCAATAGCGCGGAAATGGATAAGGTGGATGATAATCGATTGGTATTGCAGGTTTAATACAGAGTTGCGCCGGTCGTGCTGACAGTGCTGAGTGGTTATGCCAAAAAATTTCCCATGCCATAATGATACAAGAAAAAGAGAAGAAAAAAAAAAACAGAGAGGAATATAAAAGTGGCCAAAGATCACTGCCCCAGAATCGCAAAGTCTTATCGAAACAATGGTTTAATCAGAAACTCCCCCCCTCGACATTTGGTTTCGTTTAGAGAGAGTTGGTGATGCTGCGAGTCTTGTTCCATTGAACCTTGCCCTCGATGTCCTTGATCTCCTCAAGCTTGTCACCCAGCTTGACGACAGAGAAGTTGATCATTCGGGGATCGAGACCGAGGGTACGGCGAATAGAGGTTTGGACGGGACCGGAGGAATCGAATCGCATGATGAAATGGTGGCCTTCGCTGTAACGGGCCTGGTGCTTGGTGGTGACCTTGGGCAAGCGGAAGACGCCCCAGTTGGTGTAGCCGCGGACGACACCGCCGGAGCGGATGACCTGAGCACCAGCATTACGGGCAATTCTGTCAATGAGGAATGTTAGTAAGGGCGATGACCGATGAACGATGGGCAATGGCTCGGAAGGTGGTTTCGTGATGTTACGTACTCGCGAACCTCGTTGAGGCTGCCCGGGCGGACCTGCAGGGAGAAGAGCACACGTCAGTAAATCCGTCTCAATCCGGGGTAGATCAATCAGAAATAGATGGTCACATACAATAGCAATCAGCTCGTACAACATTTCATCGAGTGGTGGGGTGTAAGGCCCGGATAAAAGTGACTAGACGGGGGGGTTTGGGAGGCCGGGCAAGAACCAATGCCAAATCAAATCTTGAGGTCGGAGCTTATCGCGGGTCTTGGCGCGGACTTCTCTTATCGGAGCCCATTTGCATTTCCTATGGATCTCCGCCGGGGAACCACCGGCCGTGCTCTTTCCTTCTTAAACTCTCCCCTCCTCTCTCCTCTTCTTTTCAAACTCCTCAATTCACTTCACTTCCTCTCCAAAATGTCCTCCGTTGCTCGCTCCGTCCGCCCCTTTGCTTCCCGGGTCCTTGCCCAGAAGCCTCTGGCCTCTACCTGCCGCGCTGCACCTGCTTTCCGCTTCCCGCGGGGAACCCGGACCTTCTCCCAGAGCCCTCTGTGTAAGTGGTTTCGCTCTCCAAACTGCCATGGGTGACCAAAAGGGTCTCCAGAGACCTTCTACCATTGAATTCGCTATGAAAAACATGTTGCGACAGCTCAATTGGGCTCTTGGTTGTGATCGATAGCTAACGACGTCATCAATTGGATCCCACAGCTCAGCTGAAGAAGTACACCGAGTCGCACGAATGGATTGAGCTCGCTGACGGCGGAAACACTGGTGAGTCACTAAATCATACCCCAGAATACCTTTATTCACCCAAATCGAGCTTCTATTCTCGAACTACCTATAGCTCAAGACCATTACTGACGCGCCCCCGCTCCTGCAGCCAAGATCGGCATCACCGAGTACGCCGCTCACTCCCTGGGCGACGTCGTCTTCGTTGAGCTCCCCGAGGCCGACCTCGAGGTTGGTGCTGGTGAGCCCGTCGGTGCCGTCGAGTCCGTCAAGTCCGCCTCCGATGTGCTCTCCCCCGTCGCCGGCAAGGTGATCCGCGGCAACGAGATCCTGGAGGACAACGCTAAGACCATCAACGCCAGCCCCGAGGGCGAGGGCTGGATTGCCGAGATTGAGGTTGCCAATGCCGCTGAGCTCGAGGCTCTTTTGGACGAGGCTGCCTACAAGGCGACCATTGATGCTTAAATTTGAGTTTGTAGAGAATATATTGGATTTTAGAGGCAAGTTCGTTTGTCCCGAGAAACGGTTGTTGGTGTTCTCTCGTCCCTTGTGGACTTTGCTATGCGTTTCCTTATGATGTCATATTATATTGGTCTTTCACGAAGACACGTTTCTTTCAACACAATACATATAGATGGGATGGGTCCTCCACGGTCTCAACCTATCGTTCAACAGTCCATAATCTCCCAACTCATATAGAACCCGAGTGCCTTCATATCCCTAGATTTTTGAAATCTCCTTAGTTCAAGTTGATTTGGAAATGCGAAAGAAAGGTGGCTTGTGGCTTTTCGAGGTATACTATGTCTCAGGATGTTGCGAGACCCAGCGCCTCATAGTTCTTGTGACGAATAACCCAATATCACTAGTAGTACAGATGACACTACTACTAGTACCCGAATAGTTCTCAAACAACGACATTATGTAGCATGGTATCTCAGATTAGGGTTGTCATAAATTATATACAAACTCATCGCCTAACACATTACTTCCAAAGAAATAGCTCGCTCATCTTCTGTTCCCTTAAAGGAACTTGCGGTGAACTTGGACCTTGACGCAGCTTGGGTTCTGGGGCTTGGCACTGCCGTTGCCCAAAACCCAGTTCAAGGTGCGATACTGGTAGGCGGAGTAGTTGGTCTCACAAACATACCAGTTTTTCAAGACCTTGACTTTGTCATCCTTGGGAGGGGTGACGGAGTCATCGAGATAACTGTAGATACCCATGAGTCCATCCTTGTCGAACATGACTTGCTGCTGGTCGTAAGATGGCTGGAACAGGGGCATAGCGACGTTGGTGGAAGGGTCAACGTAGAAGCTCATGGGTTCAGATTCCACCTCTGTGTGGTCTGTTAGCGATACTTGGAAGATATGGAGTGATATAGGTGTGTACTCACGATTACCGTTATATGGGAGATTCCAGATGAGCGTTCCGGAGGGCTTGTCGCCCTTGATGGGGCTTTGTGATCCCTCGGTGGTGTTCAGATAGAACTCCGAGCCGGATCCACCAGCCAGGCAAAGCGATTCAATAGCGGCACCGGTGTGGCAGGCGGCAAGCTTTTGGCCATTGATGGGCTTCTTTTCCGATTGAATAACCAAGTTGAAGGGTTTGGACTGGATCTCCTGGGCGGTGACAGCTCCAAGGAGGAGCAGGGAAGTCAGGGCAGTGATGGACTTCATTGTTGGTGAAAAGTTGTGGAGATTGAGTGATTGCACAAGTTTGAAAAGGAGACGAGGGAAGACTAAGGAGGTGAGGGGAATGTTCTAATTAATAGAAGCTTGTGTAAATAATAATTGATGGTTATGGAAAATTGGAACATTGCAGGTAGCATCGCGCGCTTTATACTGGGAGAAACATCCGGTTTCCTGGTTCATGCGGAGGAGGACCCTGAGACATGCGTGCTTTAGCGTCATCGACCAGCATCAAAAATCGGTCAGATCGTCGGTTTAGCTTCGACTGGGAGTAACCATTCCCCGAGATTCCATGGCTAAGGCTAATAATTCTCGCATAAAAATAACACTGCTGTGGCGCAGCTAGACTTCAAGTTTCTTTCAGGGCCGAGTAGCCGAGAGAAATGAAGCTGCAGAGACTACTCCTAACATGGAAACTAGTAGTTCCAAAAGATCAGTGGCAAAAGATGGGGAACTCGAGCCTTGAAGCCAATTGGGGCGAACTCGTCAAGGCAGGTGACAAGCCTTGGTTGGTGCACAGACCCCTCCCACTGGTGCAGGCGAAAGCCGATCATTGGGGTTTTTAGCTGCGGAATCACCGAGAGCCCTGGAGACGCGATGGATTTAGCTGCAGGATGAGCCTGTGCATAAGGTGCACCAAACTACAAGTGGCCAGCCCTAACTTGAATAGGACTTTCCCCATGTCTCACCTTTCCTGACTATCACTCACTTCGCCACGAGATGGTCCAGTTGGCTATGGCTATCAAGGGACAGGGTTGAGTTAATAATTTCCTCATTTTAACCAATGGGCTGGGGATGGGTAAATTAGCTCAAGTAAAAGTGTATCGAGAAAAAAAAAAGGGAAATATTTCAAGATCAACACACAGAGATCGACCCTTCTTCAAAGATAATATAAATTTATATACGAAACACGAATATCAACACATGCTAGCTTTACACGGGGGGAATGGTGTCACGGCAGATCGGACACTGTAGGCGAAGCCTCATCCAACTCTCTAGGCAGGCAGTGTGGAAGATATGCCGACAAGGAGTCACCATGTATTGGCGACGACTCAAAATGCTCGCAGCCCCATCAGTCACACTACTTCCGCCTGCAGAAGTGGGCCCAGGAAGAATAGGAACCTCGATATCCTGCATGCAAATTGCACAGTCAAACATCACTCTCTTCCGATCTTTAGACCATTGCTTGTCGTCATCTTTAGTCTCGACCACATCTTGCTTATCGGCTCGGAGAGATTCGATCGAGAGATTGCCACCTGCCTCAAGGTCATCATCGGGCCCGGCGTTCTCCCGCAACGTGGGGTGATAATCATATGCGGGTGGCGCCCAGCCCCGTGGGACAAAGAAGCGCGGGCCCAATATATCCTGGCTGGCCAATATCCAGGCTTGGACCCACACCCATCCAGCCAACGCAAATGCGGTAGTCCACTCCGTTTGGATGAATAGCACATTCTCGCGAGCCGTGAGGAAGTAGAGGAAAGGGACTAGTCGGAGAATGCTCTGACCAACAACAAATTCCCACCGGAGTGCCTTGCGACAGTTGCGCATCACATTGCGGTAAATTTGGGGGACCCAGAATGATAGGTAAACGGTTGCCAAAAGGCGACAATAGATTGCACTCATGCGCGTGGGAAGGAGGAAGACCCAAACCGATAGAATAAGCATACCGAAAAGTGCGAAATAGAATCGCCCATACATGGCGCCCACATCGGCACGCACTTGTCGTGGCGTAGCAGGAGTGGTTCGGTTAGCTGGTGCCGGCTCTGGCTCCATTTCATCGTCAGGTGCATCTTGGTCAGGAGGCAAAATAATCGGTGTAGCGCCAGAGTCCCGCACTGCAGCAGTTGCGGGGAGGGGAAGCGTCCCGGAACGGGTGACAGGGGTCGGTGGATTGGCTGGTCGTTCTTCACGCCGTTCGGGTTCCTGAACGGCCCAAATTTCCATCATGAATTTCATGCCAATATAACTGACAGAAAGGAAGACTAGGAACGAGGCAGTCGCAATAACCAAGTAGGAAATAGCTTCAAAGAGCTGCGCAACAATGAATAGCATGACGAAAGAATCTCCAAACGCCATTAATGCAATGGTATAAAAGCTGACTCGACTTCGGGTGGAAGGTGTCGACGCCTCTTTAATCTGACGGAGCAGGAGACTGATCTGTGCGACAAAAACCCCCCAAACGACAAATATGAGACAAGAGGCAGCTTTACTGTACTCTTCATGCTTTGGCCCTGACAGATATAGCGCATCTGAGGGTGGATACTCAGGGGTCCCCTTGGATTCGAGAATGTATCCACAATCTGGGGAGAAAACCACGGCAGACATGGTCATAGGAGGTGGGTGTGGAGTAGGTGCTCCCATCGGGTATCTTAATTCCCTTTCTATCCAATCGACGGTCATTCGATCCGCCAAATTACCGTCAACGACGAGTGGATGTTGTTGCAGAAATATGACATGTTCGCATTTTGGCGCAGCAAACTCCATTTGTTCAGTGCCTGCCAAAGATGCCCAAGGGAATAGGGTTGGAGGACGGTTTGGCTTTTCAAGCATGGTATCGGAGAGCGATTTCAGCAGGAGACGATGGGACAACTCGTAACCGTCGGCTGAGAGTGCAAGGTGAGGCAAAGAGAATATACCGCCAAACTTCTCACTTGATGTGCTTAGGATAATGGCGCCATTCTCTGGGAAGTGGATGCCGAATAGTTCGGCCCGCCAAATACTTCCCCAGAAGTCGTCACTTTCTATCGTCCAACTGGCTCTGATTTCACGCGCAAATCCATCTCCAATACGTAATTCTTGTCCAGGTCCTTCCTGCAAATCGAAATAGAACGTCCCCTCGCTACCTGTTATGTTCAAGCCGAAATCATGAGTGAAGTATTCATGTTCCTCCGCGATGGCGGTTATGTTCAAGGGAACGGCGCGCTGTACATCTGACCGACGAACCCAGTCCCCACGTAATTTACCAGTGGCATTGCGGTAAACCGGAAGGGACAGCTTGGTCAGATTCAACGGGGATGATGTGTTGGAACCGTCTAGGCCGAGTGGGGGGTCGACGCCGTAAGTTGACAGTACAGATTGCAGTTGATCACGAGCACGGCTTTGGACCTTGGGGAAAAGGTCCCAGGCATATGTATCGTTCTTTCGTAACCCTGGGATAGGAACCCAGTGATCGGCGACGGGATCGAAGTCGCCATAATGTGACTCGTTCAAGAGTCGGATCGCACGCTGCTCTCGATCAAGCTCCCGTTGACGCAGTCGGCCTTCATCAACCAGCGGAGGTCGCGATTGTGAACTGAGGAGAAAGTAGAAGACTAGCAAGAAGAAGAAGAATGAGCCGCGGTTATCCATCGATGCCGGGGGTTGGGCATCGGCCTCCTTAGAACGCAACGGTGATCATCGCAAGACAAGCACAGATAGTTCAGTGCGCGAGTTCAAGTACCGCGCGCGCAACCATAAGAACCGACGACAGTGAATGACGAGGGTGGTAGTGTTAGAGGGAACAGGAAGTGGATGATGTACTCGACATGCGGTCGAGGCCCTGCTGGTCTCCGGTTCCCCCGCCCCTTCCGCCTTTAAGGTCCTCTAAGTTCAGCGCCTGATTTCCCAGGCAAACACGACGTCTCCACTATCTCCTGATTGATTTCCCTTTCCCCCCCTCACGAGACACGATACTATCGACTCTGTTCCTGGTTTCGGAACTGAAGTCGTCAAACTTCTATCTAGCTATTATGATGTCCTCAACCCTCCCATTACCAATTCCTCCACGTACTCCAACACCGCCGCCCGACGATGGCCGCGATCAATATGCCCCCCGAACGACCCCAGGACTATCGATCGATCGTGATTCCTTGTCGCCGCTGAAGGAATCATTCCCACGGAGCGCGACGCTCGATCCAGTGAATTCAGATCGTCTCAGTCCTACGAAATCATCGTTCAACCTGAGTCCCAGGACTGCAGATACGCCTACCTCGGTGCAGAATGGGTCGAGCGACTCGGTCCCCGCAGCGCCCTTCAATTTCGATACAACTGTTATGTCCAAGGGCCCCGTGGTCAAATCGGTGAGTCTTGGGGACATGTGGACACAGTCCTACCAGGATTCAAGGCTAATAAATTTGTTGGTATTTCCAGAACATCGGACAGCGTCGCGGTCACAAGTACAAGCACAGTAGCATTTCGCACCAGATCTTCCTCGAGCCCCCTCCACGTGCGCCTTTGGCTTTGCCCAATTCCCTCCCCATCCCAACATTGAAAGAGTGCCGCGCAAGTATGTCGAAGGACCAAAAGACACGCTTTTGGTGGAGTCTCTGCCACATGTTCGTGGCGGCTTATACACTTTGGACGGCACATGGGTCATTGGCCATGACAGCATTGTCCCATTTGATCCTGTTTGACTCACTGGGAGCCCTTGTGTGTGTTGCTGTGGATGTTCTCAGCAATTTTGAGGTCTGGAAAAGGTCAAGTATTCGCCACCCATTTGGCCTGGAACGGGCCGAGGTGCTGGCTGGATTTGCAATGTGTGTACTACTCTTGTTCATGGGCCTCGACTTGATCTCCCACAATCTGCAGCATTTCTTGGAGAAATCGGGCCACGAACCCCATCATTCTCATGACCATGATCGGGTTTCCCTGGGTAGTGTGGATGTCACGGCGGCTCTCGCCATATCCTCGACCTTGGTTTCGGCATTTGGTCTCAAGAACCATGCCCGTATTGGCAAGGCGATGCGATTTGCATACATCGAGTCTTTACCGTCCGTTTTGAGCAACCCTTCCCATTTTTTGACTTTGTCATGTTCTACCCTTCTTCTACTTTTGCCTCTGGTGTCGATTCGAATCTACGACTGGCTGGACAAGTTGTTGTCCGGCACCATTGCCATCTCCATGTGTGTTCTTGGAGTCCGCCTTGTGAAGACATTGGGCTCCATGCTTCTCATGTCTTATTCGGGCCAGGGAGTGTCTGATGTGATCAAAGATATCGAGTCGGATCCCTCAGTGTTCGGTGTTGACGATGCTCGATTCTGGCAAGTCCACTATGGATTGTGTATGGCAAACTTGAAACTTCGAGTGTCCGGAGCAGATGACAATGTTGGGAGACTGAGGGAGAAGATTTCCAGCCTGGTGAGGAACCGATTGGGTGGAGGTTATGGCACAGGAGGACAGAGATGGGAGGTTTCTCTTCAGTTCACTATCGAACGAACCTAGACATGTGTTTGGTGAAGGATCAATAGTTCTATTTGGTGAACTATATGCCAATACATTTAGAATACCCTTGTACCATAGCAATGCAAGCATTATCTTGTTCATGATTTGTTTGAGTTAAAGCTATTCCATTTACTCCTGTACTACTACTAGTATTCATCATGCCTGGCCGCCACAAGTGGCAGAGAAGGACTCGCTAGTACGTACTAGTAGTAACTTTCAATCCGCCACTTGAAGGCTAGAGAACATTCAAGTTGAACTTAAGGACCTTGGAGTGCTGGGGCACGGTAATGGTAAGAGAAAGTGTTGTTCATATTCCACGGCATATATCGCTGCAGACCTTCTCCGCGAGAGAACTTGGGATGTCGATATATCAAACCACCGAATTTTGGTACATGTAAAAAAAGAAAAAGAAGCAAGGAAAATACAGAATGCTCAGCTTCCGCTCGTCACCAATTGTGCAAAAGAAATAAGAAATTATGAAGCAACAGCCAGAACAGCACCCTCCTCGGTCTTGGAGATGCCCTCACGCTCGTCCCTCCGTCGGCGCTTCTCGAGAATAGCCTCCCGGCGCTGTGCGAGCATCTTCAATTGGCGTTGCTCGACACCCTGGAGCCAGTAGCCAAAGCTGCCACCGACACTGGCGAAGAGAGGGTAGGCCCAGAGAGAGTCCCTGCAGAACATGGGACGCATCTCGATTCCGAGCTGCCAGAGGCGAACGGCAATTCCTGCACAGAAGAAACAAAATTAGCCAAATATTCTTCGAAGCATCTCATCCTCTGAAAGCAACATGGCAGAGGGCAATGACGCCTTTTATGGGGTGTGGTGGTACGCACCGAAGCCGCTCCAGAAGAGCACTTTGTGGACCATGATTGCGGATCGGTCGGGGGCGGATACGAGGGATTGAAGTAGACCGATGAATTCCGACTAGACGCAGGAATTGAAAGAGGCAGCGGAGTCGTCGTTGCAGGTCCGCGGGTCGCAATCGATGGAGTCGAGACTGGGGGAGAGGTCGCACCGGGCCAGGAGCGAAGGTCAAATCATGTGGAGGCAGTTGTCACCCCTCGGAACAACCGCAAAATGGTTATTCCGCGGGGCCCTCCGATAAACGATAACGGGTTTGGCTTTCACGCGACCAAGCTCGAATAACTTAATCCTCTTGGGAAGTTATATTTTATTTCACCATCTTTTCACGATGGCTTCAGAGGCCATGGAGGATGTGCAGCCAGGGGAAAAGAGGCCTGCGCTTGACATCGAGAGCCTGAAGCGCAAGAAGTTCAAGGCTGAGGACCTCCCTTTGTCCGCGGCGCAACACGCTGCCATTGACAAACTCCTGCACTCGTTCAAGAAGAAGGGCGGATTCGACAGTATACGGAAACAATTATGGGCTGATTTCAACGAGGGCGTATGTTTTTACCGTTGATCCTTGGGATATTACCAGAATCCATTTCTGCCTCGCTGGCCGCTAACATTTAATGCAGGAATCGAAGTCCATGTTCACCGACCAATTGATCGCGCTCGCCGAGTCGGAGATCGAACGCGAACCGGCGCATCTCTCGCGAGAGAGAGGTAAAGCCGCGACACTTATTGAGGGTGCTGTCGACCGTGGCGACGTTTATAAAAATGTGGAGGACTCCATCGACCGACTTGCTTCGAAGCACCTTGATGCAATTATGGATACAGTGCGCGCCATCCGTCGTCAAGAGATTGGAGAAGATGCGGCTGCCAAAGAAGAGCAGGCTGGCTGCAAAACAGACGACGCCTACGACGCCCATGTCAAGGAAAAACGGGATGCGCGCGAAGAAGTCTATCGTGAGGAGATGCGCAAACAAAAAGAAATCGAAGACGAACAGAAACGTATTCGAGCTGAAGAATTACGAAAGAAACGAGAAATCGAACGCAAAAAGGAGGATGAAGAGCGAGCCCGAAGAAAAGAGATTGATGACCAACGACGGGCCGAGCGTGAGCGCCTGCGTGATGAACAACGTGCTCTTGATGAGCAGCGAGATCGCGAACGAGATGAAAGGTGGCGCGGTAGAGATGACCGGGATCGTTATCGCGGTTGGGATCGTGATCGTAGCCGAACAAGAGACCGTGACCGTGACCGTGACCGTCTTCGTGATCGTTCGCCGGCATATCGATCAGACCGGGGAGGATCCCCACGCGGTAGAGACGCGAAAACAGACAAATCAAATACTTCGACGATCCCAACACCAGCTCCAGCGCCGCCGGTGGACGAGAAATCACTCGAGGAGGCCGCTTTGCAGATGCTTTTGAAGGAGGGCGAAGAGCTTGCAGCAAAGGCGCGACAAAAGCCAGAGTTTGACTTTGAAGAGGCGGAAGCTATCGAAAATGGACTCAAGCCAGGGTCTACAGCGACGGCCCCGGCCAAAACTCCAATTGAAACAGCGAAGCCCGCTTCCACCAGAGCAGCTACTCCATCTAGACGACAGGAGCCAATGCCGGATCGAACCCGGAATCCGGACAGGGGGCGAAGTCGAAGCCGCAGCCGTTCTCATCGCCGATATGCATCTCATTATGACCCGAACCGCCGTCGAGACCGGTCTCGGGATGCTTCAATTAGACCGCGCGACCGTGACGTGGACGAGCGTCCTGGACTCCGCGACTTTCGCGAACGCACTCATGATGAGCGAAGCTGGCGGCCAACGCGTCGCAGCCGCAGTCGTAGCCGATCTGTTGGCCGGGGATGGGACAGGGATAGTAAACGTGAGCGAGATCGTCCCCGCTCAAGATCTCGTGAACGTGATCATGACCGCCGGCGGCATGATCGCAGCCGAGACAGAAGTCGGGATCGTGACCGTGATGAGCCTCGCCGCCGCGCTCGCTCCCCGACTCATCGACGCTCACGTAGTCGTCGATCACGTTCCCGCGTTCGAGAAACTCGGGATCGTGAGCGAGTGAAATCTCGATCTCGATCCCGATCAGAAGTGAGAAGGCGCTCGCGTTCCGGAGGACGCAGACGATCGCGATCCCGGCGCCCATCACGAACTAGGCGGCCTTCCCCTGCCCGGCGTGCTTCTCCCGGTGGCCTTGATATCGATCGCTACGTACCTTCGACTAGCAACCGCAGCAAGTCTCCCCGACGCCGAGTCCGGTCTCCAGAGCGTGAACCAAGACCATCGGCAGCTCGGTTTGGTGATATTGACCGATATATGCCTCCATCCGAGCGAGAGAATGATCCCCCTCGAGAGGCAGTCAAAGAAAAAGAGCCCGAAACTACTGTCACTCATGCCAAGGAGCCCGAGGAACGACGACCTCGTCGTCGAAGCCCGAGCCCTATTCGACGAAGAAGCCGCAGTCGTAGGCGAAGCCCTGAGCGACGAAGAAGCAACAGTCGCAGGCGAAGCCCTGAACGACGAAGGAGTCGTAGTCGGCGCAGGAGTCGAAGCCGAAGCCGAAGTCGAAGAAGAAGCTTGAGCCGCAGACGAAGCCACCGATGAGGGTGAGATACTTGCTCTCTAATTTTAATATGTACTAGTATACTATTTGGATGCAAAATTAGCCATCGATTTATGAGATATTCTTTGCCTTTCCCACCATTCCATAGAGGTGAAGACCTGTAAATAAGTATTTAGTAGTACTGCAAATAGTACTTTAGCCCGTTCCATGGAATTAACAGGGAATTTAGCCTGGCGTCCGGCTTATCGTTATCAGTTTGCTCCACCCGCCCAAAAAGTTGCAATAACCCAGACCGCGCTCGACTTTTTTCTTTCTTTTTGAAACCACATCTGCAACAAAAATAGACAATCGAAGCCATCGGTATACCCTCGAGAATTCTTGGATCAGTGTTGGAATTCTCGAACCACTACAACGTCTGTCACTTGGCCACAGACCGCAGCTCTTGTGATCGCAGAATCGAAGCCGCATTACATCGCAGTCCTCTTGCATCGCAACAAGCCAAGCAAGCTCCGATTGACCGAAAGAACCAGTCACTAGACAAGGCTAGAAATCAAACAACATGAGCGCAAGACATCAAGTTTCCAAACAAGAGCTTCCCATGCGGACAACCGTCCCCGTGGACGACGACGATTACACCTCATCCTCCGGCTCTTCCTCAGATGAGAGCGAGGACGAGGAATCTGACGATGACGACAACGAGATGATGATCGACTCGAAGCCCACTTCTACCAAGCCCGAAACCGCCAACGGAACCTCAATACCCAGTATTCCTGGACGCCCGAAGCCGCAAATACACCGCATGGAGGGGGGTTCAGACTTATTATCGCGCCTGTCGTCATTTTTGCCGCAAATGAAGGATGCGAATGAGGAGCTTGAGAAGGAAATTGCTGCCGGAAGGGGTGATGCTATGGTGTTGGATTCTGTAGATGATGGGAAGGATTACATAGAGATGGTATGTTGAATCTCTTCTTCTATTTTTCTCTCTTGGATTTGAATTGAAAATTGTTACTAACTGTCCTTAGAATCTTGGATTAGGAGTACTTAAGGAAAAACGTGCAGATGGTCAGGATTCTTCGAGTGAAGATGAGAGCGACAATGAGGACCCCGAGGGTTCTGCGAAAACAAAGCAAGACAAGGAGAAACCCGATGTTCTGGATATGCTCATGGGAGGGAAAAAGGCAGATACGGAGAAGCCATCTATCGAGGAAATGGCAGAGTAAGGCTCATCTTGTCTAATGAACTACATTGCATTCAAATCGCATCTATGCATTTGCCGGGGGTATATTATTGCAGACTTCTACAAGGACATTAATGGGAAAGACATGAAGATTCGTACATTTTGATGCATCCGCCAAAGCCTCCAAAAATTCTAGTCAAAGACGACAATAAAGAATTGAACAAAAAACAAACATATCGAGTATCTATTTATATGCATGGACCCATCACGTACTATGGCTGAGCCATATGATTAAAATTTGATAAAAAAGGGACCCTGATGTCGATCCAGGATCTAGGAAACTTCCTTGATGCGGCAAGTCCAGCCAGACTCCTGGCTCAGAAGAGGCAAGCTATAAGAAAAGTAAAGATTAGTATATCGTTCATGACAAGACAAGACAAGACGAAACATTGTCAGCTTACCTTGCTCCAAGGCACCAGCCCAGCTCGTTACCCTTGATCTTCTTCGCAATCTTGACCTCACGGGACAGAGGCATCTCGTAACCAGTGTGCAGCAGGCTCAACATAAAGTTGAGGTCCATGCACCAATCAGGACGATCACGGAGCTCGGTCAGGGCGTTCTCTACACCAGCAAAGACACTCCAGTGCTCCTCACCACCACAGACATTGGCAGTGAGTTTATGAAGCTCGTCAAGAGTGAAAGACGAGGGCATGCCCAAGGGATCAGTGCGATCGAAGAAGTAGGAGAAGATATACACATCCTCGCGGGCAAAAGTCTTTTCCAGGGAAGGTTGGTGAACACCGTTGAAGGAGCAGGGAGCCAGTGTACAATCGGCTTCCTTCTTCAAGATCTTCTCAGTAAGGGCACGGCACTGAGGAGCAGCGGTCGTCTCCTTCGGACCAGCCATGATAACATTGACTGCTGGCTTGCCTAGAGCGTGATCCGCGGGCAATTTGATTTCAACTTCCTTCTCCATGTTAGGCTGAATGCAAGGGTTGGAGATAGGGCTCTTCAACCAGGACAGGTCCTTCGGGTTCTTAGCAAGCATAGCATCCAAAACAAGAAGGTTAATGGAATTGCGCGCAGACATCAGACCGTAGCCAAGGTGAGAATGCTGGTAGAGATCGAACTCGTGACCACCGAACTTCAACTCGTACTTGTGGTCGCCCTCCGCCAAGTGCTCGGGCATGCCGCCAGCCTTGCTCTTCTCAAAAGTGGGCTGGAAGACGATCTGAGTGGAACCACCGCCAAGATCGAAGACAGCAGCGGTTGGGTTCTCGTCGGGGCCACCGATTTTACCAAGAAGATAGTTGGTAGTGATCCAGGCATAGACACCCTCATCAGAGCCATCCATGATCTCAACACCACCCTTCTCGCGGGAGACTACAGGGAACGGATAGGCAGTCTCCAAACGGGTGCGTACAGCCTCCAGGATGTTCTTGCTCATCTCGGCACCCAAGAGACGCAGACCAGCGGTGGCCTTGACCGCGACGGGGGTACACGACTTGTACTCGGCGGGAACGTTGGACATAGCCACCTCCATAAGAGGGTCCAGACTCTTGGCAGCACCCTCAGCATCCTCCTTATAAGAGCTGAGACCGGAGCTGCCGCCCTCCTTCTTTGCGGTTTGCTCGAAGACCTCGTTCTCGAGTTTGGGGGTTGGGCCGCAGTTGTTGAAACGGTAGACGTGGATACGGGAACCCGTGCTGCCAGCGTCGATCATGAGGGCGTACTGAATCAGAGGCTTGGAAGAATCGTGAGACTTGGTACACTTGGTCATTACACCGGAGGCAGATTTGTCTATAGATCAGAGAAAGTCGGGATTAGTCTCAGTGCTTGTAAAATCTTGGTGATAGGAGTTCGCATACCTCCAGATAAATCGGTGTAACTCGAAGGTTTCGATGGCGACAGCCACAAGAGTACCATGAAAATGAAACCGACAATGGCACCGGTTTTCAACCACCGGGATCTTTGGCTTTGAGAAACCATGTTGGCGGATTTTTGCTCGGGAAGTTGAACGGATTGCGGGAGCAGAGGGCCGTGGCTCTGCGAGACGGACCGTAGACGGGTACCCAGGTTCTCAATTGGGATATTAAAGGGTTGTTGGCTGTCAACTCCAGTCGACATACGAGCAATCTCGGAGAGATAAGCGGAAGAAACGACAGGTGGCGAAGTGGCCGGCTGGGTAAGGATTGAACGATCGGAAGAGTTTAAGAAAACGAAATCAAAGGAACCAACGACATTGAATCGGGCCAACAAACCGACTCCAGTAAGGCACAGGGGATGGGGAAGTTGAAGGGAAGAAAAGGATTAGGAGAAGTCGGGAAATTGGATGCTGCAAGAGGAAAGGAGACCAAATGTTTCGTGTGGCGCAAGTGTGTGGCGTGGCTCTTACTCGATCCGGTCTTCCCCATAATGGACCCCGTTTGGAGCTTCTCCTCACCTCTTCTCTTCTCTCTTCTCCGATCACGGTCAACCACGGGAAGCTATTTTTTAACGATACCCACACGGGGTATATATATCCTTCTCCTCCTTCTCCTTCTCCTTCTCCTTCTCTTCCTCCTTCTCTTCCTCCTTCTCTTCCTCCTTCTCTTCCTCCTCCTCCCGTCAACATGAATCATACCCGCGGCCTTGCGTCGACTGCGCAGGCGTTGCGCCATACCTTCTTCACACCTCTCCGCACCTCTAGGACGGGACTCTTGCAGCCCAGACTGCACCAAAATGGCCTGCAGCTCAGATCCTTCCAGTTGTCTCGAAATCTCGCCGGTCCCAAAGTTACCACGCCAGCTTCGACCTTGATTAAAGACGAATCGATCGGATCTGCTTGGGTGCAAGTGGTCAACGAGGGAGGAAACCTTGACGAACCTCAAAAGCTCTTTGATGTCCTCACCTCATTCGATCGCAACAAGTTCTTCTGCGTTCAAGTGGCCGCCGCCGCCGGACCGAGCAAACCGCCCATTTGCAAGATCTTGAATAAGAAAGAGTATAGGGAAAGCGAGAAGGCCAAGATCAAGGCGGCCAAATCGGCGGTTCAGTCTACAAAACAGGTTGAACTGAATTGGGCTATCGATGCACACGATCTGCAACATCGTTTGAAGCAATTGACCAACTTTCTGGACAAAGGACGGAAGGTGGAAGTCGTCCTCACCCGCAAGAAACACAAGCGATCGGCGACGGTGGACGAAATCAAGAACGTCATGCAGTCAGTCATGGATACCATTCGAGAGGCAGGGGGTACTCAAACCAAGGCGATGGAAGGAGAACCGGGCAAGCATGTTATTCTCACTGTGGCCAAGGAGAAATAAATTTGAAACAGTACTCCATCTGGGGTCACCTTCTATTGGGGATAACTCGCAAGTCTCCTGTACATAGCGATCTATTGTATACTAATTGCATTATGGCATATGTTCCATCTTTCAAGTCCCGGCTTTAACCAGGAGATCTCTACGATCCAACCTTGGAAGCTCGGTCAATATACTCCGCCCTATCTTATAAATTCCAGCAGATCTCTCATCAATGCTACAGAGGCTGCTGTGTAGACTCATCAAATAATATCAATCTGATGGCTAGTCGTACTATCTGTATAGACACAGCCATTGCAACACAAGAACTGCAGAACTACTCGTACAGGACTACATACTCCTGATGACAGCGGACCTCCGCAATTCGCAGCATCTGATTGGCCGTGGGTGGCCAGTGGGTGACTAAGGTTTTTCCGGTTTTGACCGGAAAATTGGGTGTTGATTCTCCCCCGAAGTTTGACCATCGTGTTTCTTGATTCTATCTCGCGCTTCTTCGTTTGGTTGTTCTTGTGGCTTCCCATATCGCAAAGATGTCGTTCTCCCGTTCCATTAACCTCCTGGCGCGCACCAGCCGCTCCTCCCTGCTGCGCCCGCGCGCCGTCAACCCCGTTCACCACGTCTTCACCAGCGACAAGCTGGCTGTTCGTGGTCTGGCTACTGCTTTCGAGCGTACCAAGCCCCATGTTAACATTGGTACCATTGGTCACGTCGATCACGGCAAGGTAAGATGCAATTCCATTGCAATTCAATGCCTACCATCTGACAATGACCCCCCCATCCATAGACCACCCTGACTGCCGCCATCACCAAGCACCAAGCCTCCAAGGGCCTTGCCAACTTCCTCGATTACAATGCCATTGACAAGGCCCCCGAGGAGCGCAAGCGTGGTATCACCATCTCCTCTGCCCACATTGAGTTCCAGACCGAGGATCGCCACTATGCTCACGTCGACTGCCCCGGTCACGCCGATTACATTAAGAACATGATTACTGGTGCTGCCAACATGGACGGCGCTATCGTTGTCGTCGCTGCCTCCGACGGTCAGATGTATGAATGACCATTGATCAATTCTTTCAGTGGAACTGCTTGCTAATATCCTTTTCTTCTCATTAGGCCCCAGACCCGTGAGCACTTGCTGCTTGCCCGTCAGGTCGGTGTCCAGAAGCTCGTTGTTTTCGTTAACAAGGTTGATGCCGTCGAGGACCCTGAGATGCTGGAGCTCGTCGAGCTTGAGATGCGCGAGCTGCTCTCCACCTACGGCTTCGAGGGCGAGGAGACCCCTATTGTCTTCGGCTCTGCCCTCTGCGCCCTTGAGGACCGCCGCCCCGACATCGGTACCGAGCGTATTGATGAACTTATGAAGGCTGTTGACACCTGGATTCCCACCCCCGAGCGTGACATGGACAAGCCCTTCCTCATGTCCATCGAGGAAGTCTTCTCCATCCCCGGTCGTGGTACCGTCGTCTCTGGCCGTGTCGAGCGTGGTCTCCTGAAGAAGGACACCGAGGTTGAGATTGTTGGTGGTGGCGAGGCCCCCATCAAGACCAAGGTCACCGATATCGAGACCTTCAAGAAGTCCTGCGATGAGTCCCGTGCCGGTGACAACTCCGGTCTGCTTCTCCGTGGTATCAAGCGCGAGGACATTCGCCGTGGTATGGTCGTTGCCGTTCCCGGCAGCACCAAGGCCGCCCAGAAGTTCCTGGTCTCCATGTACGTTCTGACTGAGGCTGAGGGTGGTCGCCGTACTGGTTTCGGCAGTAACTACCGCCCCCAGGTCTACCTCCGTACCGCCGATGAGCCCGGTGACCTTACCTTCCCCGGTGAGGACCAGTCCGCCCGTGTCCAGCCCGGTGACAACGTCGAGATGGTTCTCTCGACTCACCGTCCCGTCGCCGCCGAGGCCGGTCAGCGCTTCAACATCCGTGAGGGTGGCCGTACCGTTGCCACTGGTCTGATCACCCGTGTGGTTGAGTAAAGGGCCTGATGGCTCCAAATAATAATCGGGCAGAAAACATCTGTCCGACCTGTATTATGACACCCCTTTTTCTTTCTTGTTTGTCTGTCACCAATTATTCAGAGCGCGGGATCATCGATCAGCCACAAGGGTTCCAGGGGTAATCCGGAGTTTTTCGTTGCAATCATGTTCATGTACTTCTCTATCGGAGATGTAGCCTGTTGTATCTTCTCCCCTCACCCTGTGGAAATGTATTCAAAATAAATTTAACTCCCACCATCGAACGTCTCAGAGTTTATCAGTAATTAGTAGTGATTTGATATTAGTTACATGATGCCTTTCCAGTGATTGTATGTGAGCTGTCCACAAACACCCGTGGATGGCGTCCGTCCGTTCGGACGAAATAGGCGGACGAATTGTGCGGATTTCGGACCAGCCGGCTCTTCCGCGCGTGGCGTTAGTATAGAAGCTCGTGCTCCTTGTGTGACAGCCAGCTCTATGCCGGCAACTGGGACGATTGAACAGGCAAATTCGCCCAACCAAAATGCAATTGACCTATCTGAACACAAAATCTTTTACTAAGGAGAGGGCCTTTGGCTCACAAGGAGTGACCTTTTTTCCCAGTAGCCTGTACCGGGGCAATATACAACCTACTAGATACCTTCACCTTGGGGGTCTCAGTTAGAGCATCTAAAGGGATGGAGTAGAGTTTTCGATATAACGATTCTAGTAGTTGAAATCCACGTCGAACTGAGCTCCCTTTGGGTGGTCTTTTGAGCTTCCAGAATTATTTTCAGTGTCGGATTTTATTCCAAGGTCATGTCATATTCGCGAATCGCAGTCATATAGAAACGACATTGTATACTCGATCATGCCCCCTTATCAACACGCACCTCAAATGGTAAACCCGCATGGGGGTCACCCCCTAGGACTATGGCCTCGTAAGGCTTGCTGCCTCGTCAATTTCCCCCCGAAAAAAGTTCTCCGTTCGTTTCGTCCCGTCTCATATAACTCTCCAAGCCTTCTAGCCTATTTATCTGATGGCCTGAGTGGCCCACTCATGCCCCTCATCCTGTGGACTAGCCTAGTGCTCATTTGCTGCTTCTAGCCCTGGCATAGAGAGGCGATTCGGTTTTCGTTGTCAAAATAAGAACAGCTGTCATGAGTTCTTGGTCAGATACAGGCGGCCCGCCTCGCAAGAGAATGCGGAAAGGGACGAAAAGCTGCATTGAATGTACGTTCGGGATTTTCTCGTGTCGCTTGCTTGTTCTATATTGATTTCTAATATAGGTCGACGTCGGAAGATCCGCTGTACTTACACTGCCGATCACCGTAACGTCTGCAACGAATGTCGTCTTCGGGGGTCTAAATGCGTCGACCAGGAACATAATGAAGATGATAGGAGTTTACCCCCAGGGTCTGAACAGGGAGAGCAGCGCTATAGTCTCCGGGAGCGTGTGGCTCAGTTGGAGAATGTAGTGCAGGATCTAGTCAAACGATTGGATCAGCAAAGTACAACCTTCAGCTCACCTGGTAAGCAGATAACAAGCCCATTCCATAGGCTGAAACACTTTCCTCCGGGAACACCTGTGCATATGCTGACTCTATACCCCATAGCTGATAACCCCAGACTCAGTAATACGTCTCCCGCCTCGGTCGAGTCGGACAAACTTGGCCCGTCTAGCATTCAGATACAGAATGCCCCAGTTATGCAGCTCTTCGACAATTATCTTGTCAGTCGACAGGAAGACCTATCCAGTGATGATCAATTCACCGGGATCAGGGACATGTCACCAAAAGCCCGCGCCGTGCGGGCTGAACTTTTATCCTTACTCCCTCCCCAGAAGGACATATGGAAGATCGTCAACGAGGGCTCAAAACTCTGGTGTGTCTGGGAAGAAAGCTTCCCCGAAATCCAAAGCATCTTTGATCACAAGTGGGACTCTTGCGAAGGCCTTGTGGCTCCCGCCGACGTAGGAAAGGCAATTGTCTGCCTCTGCATGAGTGCCCTTCAATCCCCAAAAAGTTTTGATTTTGACAGTCTGCTTGTACCGATTGAACCGGAAGAATTCTCAATTCGTTTAACAGGAGCCGTGGATCGCTTAGTCGTCCGCGATGATGACTTCGCAGCAACACTACCGGGAATCGAGTGTCAGATGCTCCTGGCCAAATTTCATCTGAACGAAGGTCGCCTTCGAAAGGCGTGGCTGGTCACTCGTAGAGCTATAGAATTTGCCCACTTGGCCGGTATGCATCTGTCAACTCGAACTCGCAGCCCGCAAGACACCCTCTTCGTGAGACGACAGAAGATCTGGTGTTCATTGAACTGCTCAGATAGATCACTCAGTCTGATTCTCGGGCTACCTTACGGAGTGACCGAAGCGAATTTCTTACCCCAAATTGAGCAACGCCTGAAGGACGGGCATAATGCACCAGCGGAAGAATATCTATTTCGGATCGGTGTGATTTGTGGACATATGGTCGACCGCAACCAGAACCCAGCCGATATGTGCCTTGAGACTACACTGAAATTGGATTCCGAGCTTGATAGTGCATGGAGATCGATGCCTAGGAGTCTTTCTAGTGTTGAGCTTGGCCCCGACGAGCAACAAGAGCAATTCCATGCGCGAATTCCCTTGCAGTTCATGCCAAAGGTATTACGAGCGCTGTTACATTTACCTCTCATGCTGAAATACCCATATGATTCACGGTTTGCCTTTTCCCAACGAATGGCAATCAAATCTGCGCGCGAGGCACTGGCGATCTACAAGGTGCTGCGAGCGATGACCCGATCTTATCTGTGCAAGATGATTGATTTCCTTGCTTTCACTATGGGCATGTTGCTCATTGTGCATTTATATGGTGACTCTGATGAATTTCCGGAACACAATGAAGAAGAAGATGAATCCGACTGGAGATTAGTAGGGGAAGTGGTCGATATTCTTCACCAGGCGAGGCAAGAAAAGGGTGGCTCTGTGGCAGCAGAGTCCTCCAATATTCTGGGGGGAGATCTATCGTACAAGATCGCAAGTGCGGGAATTCTCCCCTGTTACCTGCAAGATTACAGTGCCCTACTTTGGAACCATCACCGTGGGTGCTGGAGCCAAGTTCCCTCGACCAGATAATAAAGGGCGTCAGAATGATGTCGTGAGCGGTCCATTACCAGAGAGCCTAGCAACCAAACCATCGCCAAACCAGCTGTACACTCCGCCACTATCTGATCCAGAGGGGATGTCTGGGTGTCATTCGGACACATTTGGTGACAATATGCCAGTCCCAAGCTCTCTGGGGATGGGCTGTCCGCCCGAGGCTCTACCAGGAGACGGTTTCGCAACGACGGCTTTCCCAGGCCCAGAAATCAATGCATTCACGGGACTATTTGATGATTTCAGTCAATACTCGTGGTCAGCCCCTAATGTTGACCTGGGATTGGACCATGGATGGAATCTGAATTGGTTTAGTTAGAGCGACTGGGCATGCTTATACCCATCATCTGTACCGTTTAGAATTTGTTTAACTCTTTCTTAGTGAATGAACCTAAGTCACAGAGATGTGGACGCAGAGTATCGTAGGGAGAATGAGGACTTCGTGATATAGACACTCGTAGAGTCGCCAGTACAATACCCCGGGAGTATGCGAAAGTACATAGTTAGTACTAGTCAACCGTGGTACGCTGGCGATCATGCAGGGGTTATGTAAGACTGTTTTCCCCAGCAACCCATCAGACCTCGGACCTTTCGATCCTCGTGCAACGGCCTTGTGATCGTCCAGACTGTCTTGTGCTGCTTTTTTTTTTCGGAGTACATACTTCCATTTGTATCGGTTCTGCGAGTACTCCGTGCATGCTCCACATCTTCCCCAACCTCCTAGTTCCCGCACTCATCTCCTCTCGCCACCTTCCTACGGTGATCTGTCCCCACCACCACCTCTGAGTGCGATAACCATCACAATGACTGAACGCCCGTCGGGACTTGGCAGGACGCCAACTGCACCCCCTGTCATGGCAAACGGCCACTTTGCAACTGTTGCCGACCAAGGCGATGCCGCCTCCTACGAGCATGGCGTGCAAGCGATTGATGGGGATAAGGAGTTCAAGTATGGCAACACCCGGCTTCCGAGAGCTTCATTGCAAGCTCAAAGAGCTCGCGGATTGCGAATCTTGTTACTAACTGCCAATCCTATAGTCCCAACTTATCCAAGTACCTCACTCTCGAAGATGTCACCCCCGCCGGCTTCAACTACCACCTCATCTCCGTGTTTGGATCGCAGTCCACCGGAAAGTCCACTCTGCTCAACCAGCTCTTCGGCACGCAATTCTCCGTCATGTCCGAGATGGAGCGCAGGCAAACAACCAAGGGTATCTGGCTGTCAAAGAACAAGAAGCAGGCCGATTCCGCGACAGCCGATGGCTCGCGGATGGCGGACAACATCCTCGTGATGGATGTGGAAGGTACCGATGGTCGTGAGAGAGGTGAGGACCAAGATTTCGAGCGCAAGAGTGCTCTTTTCGCACTTGCGACGAGTGAGGTCCTCATTGTGAATATTTGGGAGCACCAAGTGGGGTTGTACCAGGGTGCCAACATGGGCCTGCTTAAGACCGTCTTTGAGGTGAACCTGCAATTGTTCCTAAAGGATAAACAGTATGCGGAGACCCTAGATTCCTCTCGATGTGCGCTACGTACTAATGGATTCACAGCACCACCCACCGATCCCTACTCTTCTTCGTTATTCGTGATTTCATCGGCACCACCCCGCTCAAGAACCTTCAAAAGACATTGCTGGAGGATCTCTCAAGACTCTGGGATACCATCTCCAAACCTGCTGGACTGGAAAAATCCACAATCCACGATTACTTTGATTTCCAATTCTACGGACTCCCGCACAAAGGCTACCAACCGGACCAGTTTGTATCAGAGACCAAGAAGCTAGGTCTGCGTTTCCGTGAAGGACACCGTGATCCCAAGCGGGATGCTCTCAAAGGTGAATTCTCGGAAGGAGGTGTCTTCTTGCCTGAATATCATCGACGTATTCCGGCGGACGGTTTCGCGCACTACGCGGAGGGCATTTGGGACCAAATTGTCAATAACAAGGATCTTGATCTGCCCACTCAGCAGGAACTGCTTGCTCAATTTCGCTGCGACGAGATATTGCGCGAGGTTATGATTGGGTTTGACGAGGCTATCATCGCTTTTGAGGACAAGCAAAATGAGGCAGTGCGTCTGGGAGCTCCGGAAGTGCTTGGTGGTCTGGGTGTGGCGATGCGGACAGCACGATCCAAGACAGTCAATGGCTTTGAGACTGAAGCTAGCCGGTATCACAAGGGTGTTTACCAGCGCAAGAAGGCTGAACTGGAGGGCAAGGTTGACACCCGACTCAAGGCTCTTTTCCACGGCCAGGTCTCCGCTGCGCACAAGTCTGGTATTCGTGATTTCAGTGATGCCGTGACGAACGCTGTCAAGTCCGGTCAGAAGAAGGGCGGCAACTACGACTTTGCGGAGATTGTCAACGAGGAGAGCAAGGTTTCGCTAGAGAAGTTTGAGGCAGTTGCCCGTTCAACTGTGGTGGAGAATACCTCCTGGAGCAACTATAAGCAGGAGCTGAAACTCTATGAGAAGGAATTGTCTGAAGTTAGCGCTCGTCTTCGACGCGATGAGATGCGACGCTTGGCTAGCCGTGTCGAACGCTGGGTGCAGTCTCGTCTGGGTGAATCCGTGGGAGTTGAATTTAATGGACTTGGCTCTGGACGTGCCGGCGGTGGCGCTCCCGAAGATGGCGATAAGCCCACCGAGAAGGCATTCTGGGATCGTGTCTGGAATGTGTTCGTGGAGACTGTCCTGGATGCCGAGCGAAGATTCACGGACCGCGCCAGCAGCTTCGACGCCAGTCTGGAAGAGGTCGACGTGGGACTGTGGCGTCTGCGCCGTAAGTCCTGGGGCGTACTGCGTGCGAAGATTGACGAGGAGATGATCGAGGGTAACTTGCTTCTCAAGCTGCGAGAGAACTTTGAGGACAAGTTCCGATATGACGATGATGGCGTGCCACGCATTTGGCGTCCGACGGACGACATTGAGGGTATCTATACTCGTGCTCGCGAGTCCACTCTTACCTTGATTCCTCTTCTCTCGCGTTTCCGCCTTGCCGAGACCTCTGCTGCCCCGCCACTCGATCGATGGATTGGTCACACCCCAAGCACAGCATCTCCTGCCGATGAAGAGGATCTGGCTCCTATCGGCGGTGTCGATGAGGACGAAGGCAAGAGTCTGGAGGAAGAGATGACGATTGTGGGTGATTCCAAGCGTCAGGAACTCACTGTTCGCTTCAAGAAGGCTGCCGATGGAGTATATGTCGAAGCCAAGCGGAGTGCCATTGGTGGCATGACTCAAGTGCCGTTGTACTTCTATGGTATTCTGCTGGCATTAGGATGGAACGAGATTATTGCTGGTAAGACGAATTTATCCCATATACTTTGGTGCACCTTTACTGATCCGATTTTGCTTTAGTTCTCCGCAACCCCGCCTATTTCTTCTTGCTGTTTGTGTGCGCCGTTGGTGCCTATATCACCTATCAACTCAACCTGTGGGGTCCTATCTTAAAGATGACCGAGGCAGCATCGCAGCAAGCTCTCGAGGAAGGCAAACGTCGCCTGCGCGAATTTCTCGAGTCTTCCGACACAGGTCGGCAGGCGATGGCCATGTCAGCCTCGGACAGGAATGGTTCTTCGGGCCGTAAGGAAGAGTATGAGATGTCTGACCTGCCCAGCCGTGGCTCGAAGACTAACGACGACGACCTGGATGACTTGTAAATTCTAGTTTGGTTGCTAGGCTGTGCCCTTATAGGGAACATGCCGCGTGTTATATTTTTTCCGGAGTAGATTATGTTATAGCGTCGGCATTAACTTCTCAGCATGACTGCTAAGATGTAATAAAAGAGTTCATGTCTATCGTTTTCTTGTGCGCGGTTGTACTATCCTACGTGGATCGATCTACATACTAGTAGTAGATTGGATAACCAGCCTCAATGCTTGATTTTGAGCTGGTCACACAGTGGATACACACACTCCGTGCAGGGCTATCGCTTACTTACCCCTTTAAGAGTCCATGTCTGAGCTGTGCCCACATATCAGCAATCCCAGTGACGTGGCTGGACCTCACGACGAAGCGGGCTGCGGGGGAGGGTCATGCCCACGTCAACGGACTTGCTCCGACGTGGTGGGCCACTGTTCTATTTAGCCGTGCACCACCCCTAGAATTCAAGTTGCTAAAAGTGCCAGTGCAGCCGAAATTGATGCTCCGTAATTAAACTCTACTTCCTACGTCTCCCATAGCCCAGCCCTGCAGGCCCGAGTTGGTGCATCGCTAGCTATACATATCACGACTTCCCCGCATTTATCCCTTCACACCAATCCATCACCATGGCCAATCTTCCCAAATTCGATGATCTTCCTGACAAGCGCCGGTACTGGCCTGCACCTGCGGGATCAGAGGAAGAAGGTCTCAGGAATGCTGCGTCTGCTTACGCCCGAGGTTGTCGCGGACGCAGCGCGTACACAGATCCAGACCGGTGAACGGGTGTGTTTGAATTGGGATATTGAGAACTTGACTCCGCCAGGTATATTCCCTCACCTAGTATACATACTATGCCCTGCTTGAGAAGAGCAAAGAAAGACGTGTTAGAAGCCCCTGGATAATGAATCCATGCTGATACAATGCATATAGGATTCGGGCGCAAACCCTTCGAGCACCGCATCAAGTGGGTGGCTGAGGGCGTCGCCTTCGACGATGAATACCATTTCAACCCACAACAATCATCTCAGTGGGATGGATTCCGTCACCACAATCAGCCTGCACCCACGCCCGACAATCCCGAGCGTCGAGTCTTCCACGGCGGCACAACCGCCGAGGAAATCAAAGACACCGACTCCCCCCGCATCGGCATCGGATTCTGGGCGAAGCGAGGTATTGCCGGCCGCGGGGTACTAATCGACTACGTCTCTTACGCAGAGAAGAAAGGAATTCCCCTGAATGCACTTACCCGCCAGACGATTTCCCTGGACGAAGTCCTCGAGATCGCGGCCGAGTCCAACATCACCTTCCAGCACGGCGATATCTTCTTCCTGCGCGTTGGACTACCGGGGACATGGGCAGGTATGTCGGCTGATGAGCGACAGGCGTATAGTGAGCAGTCGATGCCGCAACATGCGGGTATTGAACAGAGTGAGCGGGTGCTTCGGTTCATGTGGGATAATCATTTTGCGGCTGTTGCGTCGGATGCGGTTAGTTTTGAGGTCTTTCCGGCTCGCCAGCCAGAGTTTGACCTGCATCATTATCTGCTCGCTGGATGGGGGGTGCCTATTGGGGAGATGTTTGATCTGGAGGAGTTGGCAGCAACGTGTCAGCGGTTGGGACGGTGGAGTTTCTTTATGTCGAGTAGTCCGTTGAATTGTGCGCGGGGGGTGTCGAGTCCGCCGAACTGTATGGCGATCTTCTAGATACTCGTACATACTCGTGGGTTCTGGCAATGAAGGAATGAAGGAATGAAGGAATGACATTGATCGACCTTGAGTAATTCTGAACGTTCCAAGAAAAGATTGAATGGTGAATCCCACTAGTATCTGAAGTAAATCCTGAACTTTGATGCACAGCCGGTGGGGCCAAAAGATGCGGCTCAGCTAATTTTAGTTATACCACAGTTATACTACAATATTACGGAGTACATTTATATGATAATGGTTGTAGTTATGTACTTTAATACCCATCTAGTATCTGGACTGTAGTGGTATCCAGATACTAGTCACTGATAGGATTATCCTACCAGTATGGATAAACTACTCTATACACACTCTGCCATACTTCGTACTCTCCACCTCCCTCGTAAGCACGAGTCCCTGCGCCACGCGACCAAAGACGATCGCCAGAATGCGCCCCAATGGACCATCACTGGGTTTAAGCCCCCACCGGCCACTTCCATTACTGAATTACCCATCGGGTCTACCGGAGAGTGCGGAGTAACAAAGCTAGTAGGGGGTGCTAGTTCCTCACTAAACTACACAAGGCACAAAGCACTCCAGCAGGGCCCCCCCCCCAGAGTCCCCCCCAGTCCGCGCCCGGGCTTTTTCTTCCCATTTCCTCTTTTCTCTTTCCCTTTCCCTCTCACCACCATGTCCCGGTCCTTGTTCCCCATAATTTCTCCTTCGCTAGGGCCCAGATGGAAGAATGCTGCTTGTTAAACGCCAATTGCTGGTAATCATACCCTGTCTCTTGCTGGTCTGGGGCTTTTTTCTCTACATCAGACCGCACCCCCGATCCCCCGTCCAACCGACAAGAACTCCCCTCACCCAACCACAAAGCCAGCACAGCTTCGATGGTGCCTGGCGATATGACCGCGACCGGGACAACCTGCTCCTGACTCAGGGTCAGTGTGATCTAGCCTTCCCCGATCTCTTTGCCGATCTCGAGCGTGCCGGTGCTGCACGCGCCGACCGTCCGATCACCCTCGGAGAAATCGACTCGGTACCCCCGCGGAATGGATACATCCGTGCCATGATTTATGACCAACAGGTGAGTCGTTGGTCTGCTACACTTCGAATTTAACCATTCCGGGATCTAACCGGTTCTTCCGACAGCTCTATGTAATTGCTAAAGAAGGCGCTATCTGGTCGCGTGAGATTGCGACGCTTTCCGCCATCAACCGGGCCATTCTCACCTCGCCCGAGCCTCTCCCCAACATCGAATTCGCTTTCAATACCGACGATCACATCGACAACGCCGCCCAATGGGGTTACACCCGCCGCCCCGAGGACGAGCTGGTATGGCTGGTCCCCGATTTCGGGTTCTGGTCCTGGCCAGAGATCAAAGCCGGTTCGATCAAGGAAATCCTCATGGACGTTGAGGGCGCCGAGAAAGATGGAATGACCTGGTCGAAGAAAAACGACAAACTATTATGGCGGGGCACATTAACCCTAGGCTATGAGATCCGAAACAAGCTCCTCAGCGTGACTCAGAAGAAACCCTGGGCGGACGTCAAATCTCTCGACCAGGACGGTCAGCAAACCATGCAAGACGAATACCGAACGATGCCGGAGTTCTGCGACTACAAATACCTCGCTCAAACCGAAGGCAATACCAATTCCGGCCATCTTAAATATCTACAAATGTGTCGTAGTGTGGTCGTCTCGCACAAGCTAGACTGGATCCAACATCACTCCCACCTTTTGCGCTCCTCGGGTTCCCAGCAGAACTTTGTCGAGGTCGATCGCGATTGGTCCAACCTTGAGAAGAAGATGAAATGGCTGCGCAAGCACGACAAAGATGCCCAGCGCATAGCCGACAATAGCGTGGAGACATTCCGCGAGCGTTACCTCACCCAAGCAGCCGAGGTCTGCTACTGGCGCCGTTTAATCCAAGAATGGGCCAAGGCGAGCGACTTCGAACCGGAGTTCTTCACAGAAGAAAATGGCAAGAAAGTCCAAAGGGGATTGAGCGCGGAGACCTTCTTGCTGATGCGCGCTATGGATTGGGAATCTTAGCATTGTCTTGGGCTGTTTTTTGATTTCTCTTTCCCACACGGCGCATTTCAAGGAATTATGGGGTTTTAACGATACACTCGCTTCATGGGCCATGCAATGCCGGAGTTTTGTATATATAGATCATCTTCGATCTCCAATCGAGATGCATGGAAATATAATCTAAACTATCTACCAAAACTTGTGTTCTAGATTTCGGGAAAAGTCACACGACCTATGAGCTGCCTGGGAGGTACCATGGAATCGCTGCGCGGTAGTCGCCACCTCCACAGCGCACCTCCAGGTTGATATCACCAACCAATGCCCTCTCTCGTGGCTAAAAAAATGACATTCAGGACCCGGGCGGTGATTCGTCTCCTAGCTCTTATTATCATAAGGACCTCGATTTCGCTGCAGATTGTCAGATGATTGACATCATCATGATCTTCCAGCAAACGAGCTACTAAGCTTTATTAAAACGAACCCCTACCTGTGCTACTAGTAAATTCTTCGTCTAACTCATCCCAACCTGCAGCACACAATAACTGATCTACTAGTACTTGCATCATGTACTCTGCTCTAATCAAACATCAACTCACTAGGCCATCAGCCGCCCGCGTCAGCAGACTGGCACAGGCATCTATTCACGAGAAATCTCAGCCCAACGCCAAGGGCAACGAAGAATGTATGTGCTCAGAATACCACTCGAGATGCCAGATATAAAGCTAATACTTGATGATCTCAGTTTTCATTAACACTACATTCCCCGATGACTACGAAGGATCTCCTTTGAAGCCAGACCTCGATACAAAGCAAGCTGCTACAAGTGACCAGGTTCGTCTACGTCCAATCACATTGATACTTATCGGTAGGTGATAACATTCGGTTTTCAGGGTACTACTGAGGAGCATAGGGCCGATATTTATGATAGTCTGTGGGGGAAGGAAGGAAGTGGCGCGGCGAAGGAGATGAAGCAAACAAAGCAGACAACGGCTCGAGATGAGGCCCTTGAGACTGAGCATGAACCTGAGCTTGATGAAATGTGATATTGAGTGTGGCTCTTGGGTGAATTCTGAGATATTGAGCACAATTATGTCCTATCTCACTTGAGAATGAAAATTTCGTTTCACTTGCGTTTGTATACTAGATGTTGACAAATTGAACTGGGGCTTGTTCTTACCGTGACCTCTTTGCCTGATAAATCTCTCTGATTATGTACCATCATTCTCCATTGGTGCAACCCCAATATCCAATCCCGGAGTTTGCCACAACTGAATTCGTCTGGATGATCCCTTGGTATCGGGATGATCAACACCCAATACTTTGGCCTGTTTATCTCGACATTCTATCATCCTATCCATGGCTTCTAGATCTTTCCCTTGGCTCTTCAAGCTCACAGACAAAAATGACAAAGAGGCTGGTGTCGTTCGATGTTCTACACCAAGGCTGAGGTTTCTGGCCTCGAATACTTGATACCAGAGTGATGAGGCTTTTTGAAATTCCTCAATCTTGTCATATAAACGTGCCAAGTTCTCACAAGAGTGGAGCGTATCGTGGCTTTGAGAGCCAACGGTTTATTTAAAGCCATGGACAAATATCCTAAAATATTGAGAGTATCAGGATGGTGAGGTCCTAGAGACTTTTTGCAAATCTCAAATGCCTCAACTCCGAGAAGACTCGGCTACTTCTAGTAGACGAGAATCAGGGTAGAGATGTACCATGCTCCTTGCGGTAGCAAGGGTATCTGGATTTTCCGGGCCAAGGTTTTTCATGAATATCTCGATAATATGTATTCCAAGGGTAGCGGTTTCTTCAAATCGGCGTTGTTCACGATAGGTCCACGCTAAACTCAGCATATTTTCAGCAACCGAAAGATCATCGCCACCATATTGAATTTCTCTGATTTGAAGCTCCTTGAGTTGCAACGCTTCAGCTTCCTGGAATCGGCCCTTACTGCAGTATGCTGCTGCCAGATTCCCCATTATGCGAAGCGTAAATTTGCGCATCTTCCCATATATCTTCTCCAGGTCTCTATGCACTCTCTCGAGTATGTCTATGGATCTTTGCCATTGTCCGTGTCTCTTGTAAATCCAAGATAACAGAATTGCGCCATCATGTTAATATCTCGTCAATCAGTTCTTCCTTAGCATTCATGGATTCCATGGCCATCTCTTCTAGATGAGTGCCTTCGGCGTAAAGATATCCTTTGTAAAGAAGTGAAGCCCAACTACATAGAGCAAGCTTTGACAGAGGTCTTTGTGACAAGGCGGATTGAATATGAGGAAATAAAGATCGACCAAAGGACCAATCTCCAACATTAGCCCAATGAGGAAACTCGCTGTTCAACGTCTCAACAAACACGGTTTTCCATTTTTCCAGTTCGCCATTAGCTTCGAGCCATTTCTGCATTGATAATTGCACCAGGCGATGCATCTCAAACGATGATGATTCTTGGCCTATTGAGACCAAGCAATAATCTCTCAGCATCATGATGTCGCGCTGAATATCAAACACAACGTTCGCGGCACCGCTCTTCTCGGAATCTTCAGGGGAGTTGGGGTTGACTGTGGAAGATGATCCTCTGCTATAAAACATTGAATAGAACCATTCTGTGACTTTCCACTTTTCCTTTTTTCCTAGTATCTGTTCCTGGGGTATCTGCCTTTGGAGAACCGCCTCTGGAATTCCCTGTCGATCAAAGAAGCTCATCAGAGAAAGCAGGTCTGCAGCAGACAGCCGCATTTGCCGAATATGCTCAAATGATAATGACCAAGTCACTAAAATCGAGTTTTTGGCATCCATATCTCGATGGATATTACCCACTTCGTATTCAAGAAGTTTCAATTTTTCTGAATCACTGCTGTGGAAATCTTCAAGATATTGATCGGCGGAACAACGGGAAGCGGGATGTCTGATATAGGCCGCTGCTTGTACGATGGCCAGCGGCATAAATTCAAGAGCCTCTGTCAGATTCATGATATCGTCCTGGGTGGCAATCCCCTGCTCTGTTTGGTACCCGAGTTTGACATTCATCAAAGCTGAAGCGTCGAGACTATCCATGGGATTAACCTCGATTAAATTCCGTTCGTCGACAAATCTGAGAGCCACTGCTCTACTCCGAGTTGTTATGATTATTGAGCCATTTGAACTGCAAGGAAGAAAGCCGAGAGGCCTTTGCTGGTGCGCAGCCTGGTTCTTTTGCAGCTCGTGAAAAAAATGATCGTCGTCAACATGATCGAGAATCAAAATCCACTTTCTCTTCTCGACTTGTAGCCAGTCTGTGACTAACGATACAACGCAGGCTTTGGGGTCCCGATAGCCAGAAATTTTGGCTTGATAGGCGATCACTCTGTAACTCTGTTCGAACCGGGCTGCATTACTCGCGTGGACCCAGAATACCCAGGTATTCGGTGCCCTCTCACGGACGCGATAGGAGTATTCGATGGCTAGTTGGGACTTTCTAGTTTGCTGTCGACATTATCCACTTAGATAGAGTTTCATGGCTATCTCACCCAACACCGCCTATCCCAACAAGAGCCAGCCTCGATGGTCGCACAATACATTTTTCCTCTACTTGCTCAAGAAGAGTTCCACAGTCGACGAAGTCTGCGTCACGGAGGAATGGAACCGTGGAAAGAGGCTCGGAAGGTGTATCAGGGCGCTCTGGAGCCGCGATGTGGGGAATTAGATTCGCCCCCTCACTATCAGCGCTACAGGGCACCTGGGGGGTTGACTTACCGGGTGGCAACTGGATCTGATTGATGGGAGCATTATTGACCCCAATCTTGAATCCAGCATTCAGTTCACCAAAACATATCGTGGAAGCCATTCTTCCGATATTCATTCAGTTGCGCGGGCTGCGACAGAAGACGAGCTGAGACTGCGCAGCTGGCCAACCATGCGCTCGCTGACTACGCCCCGCGCTAAATGGGCTGAGGTGCAGCCAGCTTGTCTCTTTTCTCAACCTCTCTGCTCCCAGAAATTTATCGCAATTTGCCATCATGGCCGATCCTCTGAGTCTGGCCTCTAGTATTGCCGGCGTTGTTATACCTGCTCTCCATGGTATGCGATTACTTCACCGGGATTTGCAGGATATAAAGGACGCCCCGAAGAACGTGCAGAATCTCAAGAATGATCTTTCCTTGGTAGACGGAGCCCTTTCGACTCTTCAAGATATTAAGCCCGAGGACCTAGATTCTCTTGGTCCAAGTGTGGAAGACAACATTAAATCAACAGTCAAAGTCTGTTCTACGGCTTGTGACAAGTTTCGAGCAGACCTCCAGCGATGGACTCGCCATTCTCAAGACAAAAAGCTTTCATGGAGAGATAGATCGACTATTGGATTTTGGAAGCAAGACGATATCAAATCTATACATGGCAAGCTCCATAATTGCCAGGTCAATATAACTTCGGTTGTTAGTACAGCGACACTGTGAGATAGCCTTTCATAAAGTACTCCCATTTCTCAAGCGGGTATACTAATTCAAGACATGAAAATACAGATACAGCTCATTCCATCATGCTCAGATTACGCAAGAAATCCGAAAAACACTTTCTTTAAAGGAAGCTGAGCTAAAAGCTGCCACTCAAAATACGATTCGGCAGCGAGGCCAAGTGGAGCTCCGGCTGGAAAGCCTGAGTATCCAAGACGCCGAGCCTGAGGAGACAGCCAAAAATCTCCAGGAAGAGCAAAGGTACCTAGAAGAATCACAAAAACTCCTGGGGGAACTGTTGGCGAAAATCCAAGAAGCTGCAAAACCGCAAGCCACTCCTGTGGTCAATGTTACCTTCGGCGGCCAAAACTCAGGTCTACAAATTGCCACAAACAATGCTCCCATGAGTGGGTTCATCTTTGGGGGAAGAGGTGATTAAGTTTGACTTTGGAATTCCCATCATATCATTATAGCATCTATCATTCAGCGCAATTTAGCCCAGGAACTTTGATTAGAAACAACCTATCCTTGGTCCGCAAAAGAACTATGTAAAACCCCAAGTAAATTTTGATCTTTGCTAAACAGATGTTTAATTTTCAACATCTCTCTTGATACCCATGACCTTCCCAATACTTTTTTCCACTGTATCCCATTCCTTTTTGATGGTGTCCACCACCCAGTCACCCCTCGGCTTGAGTTTGAATTTCAGTTCTCTCGGCATTGTCATAAACCCCGCCACGACCATTGCCCACGGATCAATCTCTTGTCCTTCGATGGGCTCGATATCAAATGCCCAAAGAAGACAAGCAATCTGCAGGAAGGTCCCATCTGTCGCAACCCTTTTCCCTTGGCATATACGTCTGCCCTGACCAAATACAGGCAGTGGGAGATCCGCTCGCAGTCTTACTGCCCCATTGCCATCTTCTAGAATCCATCGTTCCGGTACAAATTCCTGGGGGGTCTCCAAGCTCAGGATCAAATACTTGCTCATCGCGACCGATAGCCCATGCGTTGGCCATGATCGTGACGCCTTTTTTTATCTTCACGCCTTGGAATTCGTCATCACGATCTGCCCTGCGAGGAATGGAGCCCGGTGATATGGGACGCCAGCGGAACAGCTCGTGAGCAATAGCATCGATGAAACTGAGATTTGAGCGGTCAGAAAATCCGGGCAAACGGTTGCGGCCGACAACTTTGTCGAGGATATGATGAGCCTTGGCCACGAACGACGGCTGGTGCAGTGCTGCGACGAACAGCCATAATATTTGACGTGGTGATGTCTCCATCCCGCCTTGAATTGACGTTGCGAGAGTGAAAGCAAGATCAAGGTCCGGGATGCCACTAGGAGCGTGCTTCTTTGCCGTCAAGATAGCCTGTTTAGTGGCATTCCAGCCCTCGGAATCTCTGCCATGGCGAAACAAGCGCATGTATAAATCCACTTGGGTGGAATACAGCTCGTCTGCGGCACTTTTCCAGGGGGACAAGGAAGCCGGCAGGTGTCGTAGAGGTGGGATAATATCCGGCAAGCCAGGATTGGCAGCTAGATGGGTCACCTTGGACTGGATGTCGATCACTTCATGAAGAATGTCATCCTCGAAGTGTGGGATACGAAGACCATAGTGAAGCGCTAGAATAACGCTTGACTGGGCTCGCTCTAACATCGGGTATATCTTGTCTGTACTGACCAAACCAGTGCCATCTGATAGACGATTGCAAATGTCAAAGAGCAGCTGCTTTGATTCCAGTTCAATCAATGGCTGGTAATTAGGGGCAGCAGGGGCACCAAGACTAGGCGCGAGAACGCGGTGGTGCAATTTTAGGTGATCATCATAGTCATGCATCAAAGTGAATTTTGACTGCCCTGGTGATGCACCTGTAATCATTTCCATGCTAACCGAGGCCGGGCGGTTACTATACCACTGGCTGCGACGACTGAACAATTCCGTCACGGCCTCGAACGAGCTGAGGACAACAATTGGAATGATACCAAAAAGCTTTGGAACCGCAATTGGGCCATTTTTCTTTGCCCATGAGTCCCAGTTAAGCAGTGGCTTTTCTATGGGAGAGCTGTGCAAGTCTCCGATGAGGGGAAGTTTGAGGAGGGGTCGATATTTGTCCTCGCCAACTTTTCTTCCACGCCTCGTGCTGATGTATAGCAGTGTCAAAATGCCTATAGCAACAACTACTGCGGTCGGAAAAGTAACAGCCATAATAGGAAATGTCACGGAGGAGAATGTTCGAGGATGGTCAGTCCCAGAAGCAAGTCAATTTTGGATCACATTTCTAAAGAAAGGGGTCGATCAGTTAGTCAGTGAGGCTCATAAGCCCATGAAAGTAGTTTAACCACTTGAATCATGCGAATGTAAGTAACCAATCCAATGTGGACGAATTCCAATTGTGTGGACCAACTTCGACGCGACACTCAAACCGTTGCCGAGCTAAAGCACGCTAGATGAGTCGATGAGTTGTCAGTCCGAGGGAGATTCAATTCACTAAGCGAGTCCCGAGGTCCACGGGGGCTAGAAATATTCCCAGAGCCGAATCCAAGCATCAATTAGAGAATATATGGGGTAGGATGATGATTTATACTGATTTACTCAGCATGCTCAAGAGTCAAGAAGGGGACCTGCCCTCAGCGGCTCAATGGAAATGGCTCCCTACTAGTAGATACTAGTCGACCTACATTCACATCCTAGACATGGATATCAATATCCTCCTATCTTTCGTCTGTTGAAAATGCCAAAGTGATGATTTCCACGAACAGGCGTTGGAGATCCTTGAAAGTTGGCCGCATCATGAGGGCTCGACCAGCACAAAGGTGTGTCTTCTTTTTATGAAACAAATAAGAAAGCTTGAGCTTGCGGCTATTAAAGCCTCAGGTTCATACACAAAATGAGTGCTTCAATATCAGTACATAATGCCAGACCAGCAAGTTGTGATTGAGACTAAAGTGATATCATATGAATGAAATGTTTCAGATGTTTTATTTCATGGGAATATTTTCATTAAAACGTCACGGTAGCAAGCATTTGCTGCTACTCACTCATCGCTATCGTCATGGCTTGCCCTGCCTAAGAGATTGTCCAAAATTTCTTCAATATGGAAAACCATATCCAGATGACCAGTTTCGTCACAGAAGTGCGTCTCGGCACCGGGCAATAACTCTGCAGCCTGCTCCGCCATCCCCAATGGGACATTCCGGTCAAGCTTGCCATGCCATAAGCGAATACCTCTTCCATCGATATCCTCAAGCTCAAACCCCCAATCATTCAGAAGCATGAGCTCCGTCGCCGATCCAGCTCCTCCATTCCGAAAGGCGCCACGTGCGGAATCTAACCCCGCGGCCTTGATTCTTGGTTTCGTCCAAGCGGTTTTTTCTGTCCCGGGCCTCTTCATAATTGCGGCATCCATTGCCTTCTCAAGAACTTTCGGGTCTGGATCTCTCGCAGCACGACCAATAACCCAGTCGAATAGAGTGCCTGTCGCGAATCTTGGCAGCCATGCGCCGGCAGCAAGCAGCACCCTCAATTCAGTCATCATCCCATTTGCATTAAGTGTGGAAGGATAGGCGCCGCACACGATCGAAACACCAAGGAGACGTCCATTTGACGTTTCATCGAAATCATCACCGGTGATACGTGGGATAGAGTGCGCGCATGCAAGAGCGTAGGGACCTCCGCCCGATAATCCCAAAATGTAGAAATGGGGAACATGCAGATGATCGGCGATGGCTAGGACGTCATTTGGCCAATCTAGTATGCGACGCTCGGCATAGTGTGTCGAGTTGCCAAAACCAGGTCGGTCAACACTAATGATACGAGCATTGCGCTGCTGAAGAACTTCATGCCCGATTTGGCTCGCTTCACTGGAGCAGCCAGGAAATCCGTGGAAGTAGAAGACAACAGCTGGTGACTCTTGATCTTCATTTCCTTGAAGATCACCGCCATATACAGTCCATGCAAGTGTGCGCCCTGAAGGCAAAATAAGCGTATCTTTGCCGCCGGGTTGAACAGCCATAATGACTTCAAACAGGGGAAATAAAAATGGGACGGGAAATGGGCGCAATCTTCTCGATTGATTTCAGCCCCCCCGCTTTGCGGCTGAGTGGTTTCGGAGAATTAAGACCAAGATGCAGAGTCGCTCGTTCGGCGAGAAGGATTCAGTCTGTTGTTTCGAAACTGAATGCCGTATACCGTAATAATCCCTTTCAATTTAAGATTCGTATGCAGTATATGTAAAAAGACAGATTGCTCCGGCGAGGCGAGGCGGAGCGAAGCCGCGTCTCCAGGCCCCCAAAATGGGGCCAAAATGCAGTCAGGTGATCTGGTGAGAAATGACCCAGTCGCTTCATTATTCCTTTAATTGACATTTAAGAGGTTATTTCAAGGCAATTGATCACTGGCAATGTGCAAAAAATGGTCCGTGGGAGTGTATAAATAAATCGATGGAGCATTTGAATGAGGCTAACTTGATTGGGAAAATTGGCAACATTCTAGAAATTCAGATCTAGCCCACTAGCATTCTTTCCCCAAGATGCGCTAGTTAGTAGTATGGTAAATACTAATAGTGATTTCCCATGCTGATGATTGCCGAGACAGAATACCTACTACTATGTACTACTAGTAGTATTAGTCAACTAGTAGCCCTGGAGTACTAGAACAGTACCACTAGATACTTCCGAGTCCAACTGCCCAGGTGCAAGTATATGTTCAGCCGAGTCCCAGGTATCGTGCTCGTACTAGTACCAGGTCACACTGGAAATCGCCTACCCACTAGAAATGTAGCAATTCAATCATGTTATTACCAAAATTACTTAGTAGGTAAGCACCAGCACTCATCACAATTAATTGATAATGCTTATTTTCCAAGGTTATCTCGGAACGGATCACGTGAGACGACACTTCTAAGTTTTGTTCTAGCATCAGCAAAAAAACCAACTCTTTATAAGCCTTGGAATCTTGGTGTGTTTTATGAGCTTCTCGTGATGAACACCTCTCGACTAGAATATAATAATCAGTAAGTATATAAGCATGCGTCATGCATGGACCCGGATCAACTATTAGTGGAGTTTTGAATAGGTGTCACATGACTCAGCATCATATGCAAGGTATTGGGCAACCTCGGTCCGCTTCCCAACAGAAATCGATCGTGACGCTGATATTACTATTCAAGTTTGTGATCGGCACGGCTGAAGAGGTTCCGTTGAGATCTATCCTGATCTCATCGCCTGCCAGCTCAATCTTTATCTCACAAAATATCAGCCATTCCTTACTAGGCAGTACATACCAAGCACGGCACTTTTGTCAATTCCCCTGGGAAGACCCGTTACCCATCACTGAACGGAACTATATCCTTCTTACTATCTGTTTCACCCCTGCAAGACACTGTGAATCACATAGAATCCAGCTTCCCTGTCACTGTCAACCATTAACCCTGACCGCCAACCCCACTGTTCATCTCATATATTCGCCTCGACAGCACCATGTCCGTGATCCCGGCAGCGCTTCGCGTTGAAAGTATGCGCGACTTACTATTAGCGATGGGGTCGCTTGCATCGTGGAGAACGCTGGCCTTAATTCTCGCATTCATTAACTTGAAAAATCTCCCATTCGTCTGGCACGTATGTATCGTTCGCATCTCACCCCCAAGCTGCTCGTCAAATTTGACTTTGGCGAGCATGTAGGGTCTATTAGCCATTTGACGTCGTGTGACCTTGCTGACCGGTGTTTTAGTTCCGCCTGCTGTACCACTTTGCGACCAACCTTCGGTTGAAGCCAAATGCCCCTTTTTTCCGAAAGGGAAGGCCATCGTGGATGCACAAGGCAAGCCGACACATCCGGTCTTCGTGCCGGTTCGGGTCACTTCACGAACACCTTTGCTGGAGACGGACTATAATATGCACAAGTCCAACAGCACGTATTTCACCGACCTGGATGTGTCTCGTACGGCACTGGTGAGCCGCCTATATAGCCCCGGCGTTGGCCTTGTCAGTAAAGAGCTGGACAAGGAATTTCTCGCTGCGGCGCAGAAAGAAGGGAAGCGTGCTCCCAAGAAAAAGCCTATCATTATTGTGCTCGGCTCCGTCTACTGCAGCTTCAAGCGCGAAATCAAGCCCTTTGAGCTGTACGAAATGCACTCCAAGGTGATTTCCTGGGATAAGAAGTGGATGTATATCCTCACGTGTTTCATGCGCCCTGCCAGCCGTGCTGGTGGTGAGAAGACACTATTGGCAACTGCCCTGAGCAAGTATGTCGTGAAGAAGGGCCGGCTGACCATTGCACCGGAACGGATTCTCCGCCTCGGAGGATTCCTCCCCACGCCACCGACAGAGAGTGAGACAAAGGATGCTCCGATTGACTCGTCCGCCGATATTTCCGCAATCGGGACACCTGCTAGCGGCGAGGGCATTACAGCTACCGGTGGTGTGGATGGATCTCTGGTGCGCGAGGTGCTCAAGATGAACGATGATCAAATTCCCGACCGCCAGGATCTTGATGAGCAGAAAAATGCCAACTCCGACACATGGAGCCCCGAAGAATGGCCCTGGGAGCGCATTGAACAAGAGAGACTGCGGGGACTGGGTGTCGTGGACGGATATATCAACCTGGATGATCGATTGCACCAGGAGTGGATGTAATAATTTAAAATTTCACATAGATAATAGAATCGAGTCGAGGCTCGTCATTGCGCGAAGCTCGTATAGAAGGCATCCAATATGGAGCAGTTATATGCAGAGAGCCGTGGATTATTATATGTACACATGTAGTTAGCGCTGAGGCCCTCGTGTATGGGATTGATCTAATAGATCGCCGGGAGACCCTCCCCACCGACGGGCGAGATCGACGAAAGTTAGGCAGCGTGCGACTTCGGGACCCCCCCTGAAACCACTCAACTTTACCGGCAAATCATCTCGGTGGTCCCGTTTCAGCAGATCCTCCGCGGAGCCGGGTAAATTGTATTATTACGGTGGGTATGGTTGCATTTTTACAATTTAGCAACTGCTAGATTCGAAATATGTACGGAGGATGTATTCCGTACAAAAAGTAGATACTCTTGACGATTAAGAGAGTCCGTGCGTGAGTGAGATCATCCTGGTATCTACAATCTACGAGTAATTAAGTACATATGGACGAAGAGTACTCCGTACTGTACCAGGAAACGCCCGGGTCCGGCGCTATCCGAAAGCTCGTGCACAGCCCCCCCTTGTATTTCATACAGCGGAATGGAACATTCAGCCAATGCAAACTCTTCGCCAGGGCACCATTCTTGACAAGATTACCAGGAGTTACCAGAAACTTACCAATATTACCGTAATTATCCTGTTCCCACAGGGCCCAGTCACGTGCTGCACGTGACTGAGCCTGGGCCAGCGACGGGCTTGGCGAGCTTCGTGACTTTTGGGCCTTGCAATGGTCGCAAAGCTTTGTGACGAGCCGCAACCTCGTGAAACCGGTGAGTAACTTTTGTTTTGATGAACATTCCTTGAATACCTTTGATTCTCTCCAATGCTGCCCTTTCTTGGACTTGCTGGGTGAACTGCAAAACCGATTTTCTTGGTCCGACACCGGATGAGTTTACAGTATCATACGGCCAAGTCCACTTCGCGGCTCCTCCCCCAAAGGCGCTACGACAGCCAGTCCACCTTTTCCCGCTCTGATCGGACGCATTTCCACTCAGTCTTGCCCGGCAGACGCTGTGATTAGCTGAAACCCATTCCAGGCATTGTCCTGAGTCCTGATCCCACCTACCCCTGCCCATATCCTGCCCTCCCAGAGGTCCCAGAGTCAGGCCATCGTTCTCGCTCGCTCCACTAGCTTTCCGGAACGTCACCTGCATGATTGGCCCACCCTCCTTCTTCCTCATCCTTTTTCCATGGGGCGAACTTGGTCTAGCGTACGATTGCGTTGCTTGACTCGTTCCTTGCAACTTCCTTCGACTCCCTTCTCCCCTTGATACTTACGACCTTCTATCAAAACGTTTCCTCGTCACTCTCCATCGGTCCTTTTGCTAAAATTCGTGCCTGTTCCTCCGTTTCTAGGGGTGAAAAAGTGTTTCCGATCAAAGAGCTTATCGCGCCATCGTTCGTTCTACATCTCGCCGGTGTACCTACACACTACACACCACCACATCTACATCCCGACACTTGACCAACACCTTCCTTCGTCCTCTTACCTAGATTGGAATCCTTTGCTCCGACTGCCGAAACCCTTCTTCTTTCCCCGACCGCTGGGAATCACTCTTCGCCGTCGATCAGCGGTCGCTCCATCCGACGACGGCACCCGAGTATCAAGCCGCATTCCGCAACAGCCTACTCCCCCTGTCACCCAAGATGGCGGCAACATTGGACCAACCACACTTGGATCCGCTCGGGGGTGGCCCCGTTGTCGACTCGGCTTCGATTACTCCCCCTCACAGTGCCAACGGAAAGAAGGATGCACCCGAAGGAGTCCCTTCTGAGCTATCGGACCTCGAGTTGGACGCCAAATCTGCAGCTGCGCCTGACGAGCCTGCGATTAAACAGGAAGAACAAGAGCATCCGGCAGTGGAAGTGGAAGAGGAGGACATTGAACCTGACCATTACTATGGCGGTGGAAAAATTCCAGTCTTCAAACCGGTATGTCACAATACGCCGCTAGAACTGCGAGGGCCGTCACTTCTCCGGAGGATGCACTGCTAGTGTATCAATTCGGTGAAGCTGATGTGTGTCACTCCCCTTCATGAACAAGAAGGCTGACGTTGTGAGCAAAGACAATGGACCAGTTCCGAGACTTCCAAAAATTCATCAACAAGATCGATAAGTACGGAATGCAGGCAGGTATTGTCAAAGTGGTTCCACCCAAGGAATGGTGAGTGCAGTAAAATTACGAGGTGATCAGGATAGCCGTGCTTATTATCATAAAGGACTGAATCACTCTCGCCTCTGGACGACCCTATTAAGTCTATCCGCGTGAAGAATCCCATTATGCAAGAGTTCCACGGGTCGCACGGAACTTACACGCAGGCCAACATTGAACGTCAACGATCTTACAACCTGCCTCAATGGAAGGGCCTGTGCGACGAAAGCAGTCACCAGCCTCCTGCTCGTCGTGGCGAGAGACGTCGAAACCAGGAACGAGCGAATCGTGCTGCTCCTACTCCACGGGCCCAGTCCAGTCGCCCGGAGAGTCAGAAGCGCCGCCCTGGACGACCTGCTAAGCGTGGAAACCAAGTGAAAGTAAAGGAAGAGCCACCTGCGGACGATGCCGAGAAATCCAAGCCCGAAGGACCCCCAACTCCCGTGTCACCTGAATCGAACCCCATTGAGCCGAAGAGCGAGGACTTGAGCGAGGGCGAATCGCTCCCTGCAGCTAAGCCTAAGGGCAGACAACCCAAATCTGTTACGTCTCGGCGCAAGAACAATCGGGGCGACACAGTGGACAATGTCGACGAAGAGGCATTCAAAGACTTCGATTATCGCATCCACGACAATGAAGACTACACCGCCGAGAGATGCGAAGAACTGGAGACTGCATATTGGAAGTCTCTCATGTTCAACAATCCCTTGTATGGCGCGGACATGCCGGGGTCGCTCTTTCACGATTCTGTCGAATCCTGGAATGTTGCAAAATTGCCCAATTTGCTCGATGTTCTTGGTCAGAAAGTGCCGGGAGTCAACACGGCATATCTCTACTTAGGAATGTGGAAGGCGACTTTTGCCTGGCATCTTGAGGATGTTGATCTCTATAGCATCAACTACATCCACTTTGGAGCCCCCAAGCAATGGTATAGCATCTCGCAAGAGGACGCGCCCAAGTTTGAAGCTGCGATGCGCAGCATTTGGTCTAGCGACGCCAAAAACTGCGATCAATTCCTCCGCCACAAGACATACCTTGTATCTCCCAGCTTGCTGAAATCCCAATATGGAATCACCGTGAATCGCTTGGTCCACTACGAAGGGGAGTTTGTGATTACATTCCCCTACGGATACCACTCTGGGTACAACATCGGTTATAACTGTGCCGAATCAGTTAATTTTGCAACCGAGAGATGGTTGGATTACGGCCGCATCGCCAAGAAGTGCCACTGTGAGGACGACAGTGTTTGGATCGACGTCGACGAGATTGAGCGCAAAATGCGCGGGGAAACCACCCCCGAATACTATGGTGATTTCGAAAGCGAGTTTGACGGATTCGAGGGTGCTTCAGATCTCCTTACGCCACCACGCAGTGTACCTGAAAAGACCTCCACCCGTGGTCGAAAGCGGAAGATCACGGGCGACGGCCCGAGCACCAAACGATCGAAGCTCCACATGGAAGGCCCTCGTAAGCTGCCGTGTCTGCTGTGTCCCAACAATCTTGACTATGAGGATCTGCTACCGACTGAGAATGGAAAAGGTCATGTCCATCGCCGCTGTGCCTCGTTTATCGAGGAAACCAGCATCTTGCGGGACGAGTCGGGCAATGAGGTAGTTTGTGATATTGACCTGATCCCTAAAGCACGCCTGGGTCTGAAATGTCTGTTCTGCCGAGAAGTTCGCGGTGCCTGTTTCCAATGCAACTTTGGCAAATGCACTCGGGCCTACCATGCGACCTGTGCACTTCTAGCTGGCGTTCAGGTCGAGCATGGTGCCATTGCCGTGATCGCCGATGATGGTGTGCATTATACACTACCGAGCGTGGATTTGAAGTGTAAATTTCACCGCCAGAAACGGCCGGCTGGATTGCTAGGCGACTCGTCCGATTTGGACCGTCGTGTGATTGAGGCCGCTCGCCGCCTGACGCAGGGCGATCTGATTCAGTTCCAAGTCGACAAGGAGATCAATGGCGCCATTGTGCTCCAAAACCGACCCCAAGAGCGGGCGCTTCTGTTGAAGGTTCTTCCACGAGGGTAAGTGAATCATTCTGAATTGTGATCCCCGCCCCGCCGCGGGGGTTTCCGTTAAGTTTTTTTTTTTGCCCATCTCCCTCCTCCCCGAGCCTCCCGACCCAAATTATCCTCAACTTTGGAACGCCATGGAGAGGAACGCCGTTCCCGTGATGACCGAATACTGATAAATGTCAACAGAGATGTGATCGAGATGCCGTATCGTTGGATGCTGGTCGTCCGCAAGAGCAATTTCGCGCCCCTTGCGCCGGGAATCCAACCCCTCCCGGCCCACTTGGTGCGAAAGCCTGAACAGCGAAAGGACTTTGAAGCCGCCGTACCACTTGCAGGCAGTGCATTTGGCGACGGCCGATCTCCCTATCAGTGGGCCGAATTTGAGACGGTGGATGCAGCTAGAAACCAATTTGCCCCACCGGTTACGGTTACCATTGACAGACCGGAGCATCTGTGGTATTACTTGGGCGCGCAGTCCACCGAGAGTAGGGCACAATATACGCACAACCCTACCGTGCCTATCCACAACCCGCGGGCCAATTTCCTGGACAGCGTCAAGTCGCTTGGCGTGGCTGGTGCCGGTGCCGGTGCTGCTCGTGCATCGAAGATCTCACCCCACCATCTCTTCCAACATGCTCCCACCGCCCCTGCCCCTCCTTACCAGCAAATTCTTTACGCCCAACACCCAGCACTGCTACAACATAAACACGCCTCTCTGAACGCCAACACCCCTCACCTGCCATCCCGACCGCCCTCCTCTTCCGCCTCCCTGACGCATCTTGCCCCTCCCCCTCCCCCTGTCCTTGCTGCCGGTGCTGCTGCTGCTGGTCCTGCGATGCCGTCGGCCTTTCGAACTCTGCCGAACACATCCGCCCGCCATACCCCCTATCCATCGGTCATCAAATCGCATGTTCAGCAGCAGCACCACCTCCCTTCCACCAATACCTTTGCCAACGTCCGTGAACTCATTGCCCGGCGTCGCCTGGCTCAGATCACTGATCATGCCAATGTCTTTGCCGGGTACACGATCGTTAGTCCGGAATTGGTGGTAGAGACCCTGCTGGGCCCCATGGGCTCGATCCCTCCGGCCAATGGTCTGGAGAAGCTCGAGCTCGCGATGGCCCAGCAGCGGGTGCAGCCCCGGGCTGCCGATGGTACTTTATTACCACCCCAGACCCTCAACATGAGGTCGGAGGAGGTGACTCGTTTGCTCCAGATGCTCCGGTTCTCACTGGTGAGTCACCGCGAGCGCCTGGATGTGATCCAGAAGAAGGAATCGGAGGGTATCAAGTTGGAGACTGTTGATCGAGGGAGCATTGCCGCGGCAAAGATGCCAGGTAAATATGCCTTTCTCGATCAGCAACGGGCCATGGCGCCCAATGTCTATCAGTCCCCATACAATATGCCATCTGGTCTCTCCGAGTACGCCAAGACGACGTATGAATTGGTGTCAGCCCCAGACGAGCCGCCCAAGGAGTCCTTGGCCAATGACTTCTTCGCCAGTCTCTCCCAGATCGACAAGGAGAAAATCATGAAGACGTGTGGTAGCTTCGTGCAACGTGCCATTGAACGGTCGGCCAGTCATAGCCGGCACAGCTCTACGGCTTCTAATCTTCGACTCTCTTCGGCGTTGGCCCAGCAGACGGAAAACCCGACCATTGATATCACCACCGTTGAGGATCAACCGATATCAGGACTCGATCTTCCCTTGCACGCCGACTCTCCATGTTCCAGCTTTGGCCGATCACATCTGCGGTTGCAATCGCCGGGAGATTTCCCCATCCACGGCCCCGACCCCCACCCAGATCATCACGATCTGTTTGGCGATCAGCAAGCCAACACCCGCTTCTGGCAACATGGGCCGTGGACCGCTGGCGATGGCAATACACCCAACGATGAGAATCGACCGTTCTTTGGGCCGCATGAACGTTTGAAGCACGACTATGCCTCCTCCGATATTTCCCTCGGTAAAGGAGGACCTGGGTCCTTACATTCCGTCGACATGGCTGGCTTTGGCTTTGATGTCGCCGAGGACCTTTGTGCCGGCCTGAGTCCATAACGGTCTTGACTTGATCTCCGTCTCATCTTTTCTCGACCGTTCTCTGTATCCCTTCCGCGATTTGGCTTTCGACTGTACTGCATCTCTCTCATGTAACGACTTCACCGGCCTGACGACTGCATGAATGGGCGTTTTTCCTGTTCCCCTTTTTCCGACCTCGATTCACGATCGTTTTTCCACCACGGGTCATGTTTCTCATTGTGTTATGATTTTTGGAGTTCACGCTAGCTGGCTGGTTACGACTCAGCGTTTCTTTTATTATTTTTCTTTGTGTTTCCCCCCTTACTACCCTTGACCTCTCACCAAAACTCCCTTCCCCCCCTGGTCCTCCTCTTTGCGAATCTCGATCAGAACGCTTTCCCTACCGGACTGGCCGTATAGACAGGCGTTCGACTGATTTTTGTGCATCTCCCTCCAAAAGTCCGACCTTGACCTTATTCACCCTTTTCCCTGTTTCATCTATCCCCATCTTTCTCCCCCTCCCTTCCATCAGGGCCTACTTTCGCCCTTTCTCCCCCGCTCCCATGTCCGACTAGATACTCCAAACAAGAAAAAAATTCTTTTCAAAGACTGGATGTTTGCCCCTTCCTTCCCCCTTCCCTCAAATTTTTGATACCCCCTCATCACCCGCACGGGCGCGAGTGTCGCTTGATTTCCATTTTGGTCCGAGCTCGTCGCCCTGCGCCCCCTTTTTTCGTGACTTCTCTTTTCTTTCTGACTGCTCTCCCTGGCGCTCACCGATCTGTCCTTATGATAGAAACGGCGTGGCAGCCGTCACCACCGAGTGACTCGATGTGAAATACATTTACCATTATGGAGCAATTGAAAACAAAAAACAAACAACAAAAACAAACAACATGAAATGACCCTCTATTTATTTTAAATTAGTAACAGTATCGTGGTAAGCCTTGTACGAATTTTTCTAGTGTCTCTGGAATAAATGGAACCAATGGAAACCCGGCGCGGAAGGGGTCCACCACCACACGAGCCTTTTCCTGTTTCATCCATCAATCCAACAGGCAAGCCTTTAGGTCCCATCGACTATCAGACCCTGGCTCATAGCTTATCACCCATGGGTGTTAGTCACAACCCCAAAATGGATCCAAGATGGATCCAAGATGGAGCCAACATGGAGCCAACATGGAACTACCACTCGCCCACAAGCCCCAGGCACCCAGCCAAAGGCCCGGTTAAGCCAGAGGGGCCACTGGCCACTAACTACTGGATAATGGAACCGATGGAACCCTGGAATAGGACCCTACCCTAGGGGTAAGACCCAACCTGCGAGCAGCTGATAAGCCTATGTCTCAACTCGGCCGTCTTTGCCCCCGATTGGAACGTGAAAGTTTCCGCGGTCTCGGACCGCGATGCGTCCACGTTTATCATGCGGGGTTTAACTCTTCCTCTCCTTCTCCCCTTGTTCTTCTTATCTTAAATAACCTCGGAGAGCTTCCATGTTGAATTTCGACCCCAGATCAACTTGATCTCTCGCCCTCCTCCTCCTCCTCCTCCTTCTACTCCTCGTCTCCAACAACCCACTCTCCATCATGCGCAACTCCGTCGACGCCAATGCCGACGAGGCGCTGGCGGCCATGGGCTACAAGAGCGAGCTGCCTCGAAACCTCAGCATGCTCAGTATCCTTGGTCTGTCATTTGCTATTATGGCTGCGCCGTATGGTCTCAGTACCACCCTCTACATCACTCTCAATGACGGCCTCTCCGTTACCATCATCTGGGGCTGGGTCTTCGTCACCCTTATCTCCATCGCCATTGCTGCCTCATTGGCCGAGATCTGCGCTGTCTATCCCACCGCCGGCGGTGTCTACTACTGGAGCGCCATGCTATCGACACGTCGCTGGGCGCCGTTGATGTCTTTTATTGATGGGTGGTTGACCCTCGTTGGTAATTGGACCGTCACCCTTAGCATTATCTTCGGTGGCGGACAGTTGATCCTCAGCGCAATCAGTCTCTGGAACGAGGACTTCGTCGCGAATGCATGGCAGACTGTCCTCACGTTCTGGGCTGTCCTTTTGGTCTGCGTCTTGGTTAATGTCTTCGGCTCGCGCTACCTCGACCTGATCAACAAAGTCTGCATTTTCTGGACCGCCGCGAGCGTCATCATCATTCTCGTCACCCTGTTAACCATGTCTGATAACCTCCAGAGCGGCGAATTTGTCTTCGCCGAATACGATGCCTCGCAAAGCGGATGGCCCGATGGTTGGGCGTTCTTCGTGGGCTTGCTGCAGGCAGCATACACGCTCACCGGATACGGCATGGTGGCTGCCATGTGTGAGGAAGTTCAGAACCCGCATCGCGAGGTTCCCAAGGCTATTGTGCTGTCCGTCGTTGCGGCTGGTATCACAGGTCTGCTCTACCTGATCCCCGTTCTGTTCGTGATGCCAGACAAGATCGACATCCTGCGCAATGTTGCGAACGGACAGCCCATTGGAACAGTGTTCAAGATGGCGACAGGCTCCGCGGGCGGTGGCTTTGCTCTGCTCTTTTTGATCCTGGGTATTATGATGTTCGCAGGTATCGGGTCGTTGACTGCGGCTAGTCGCTGCACTTATGCCTTTGCGCGTGATGGCGCCATCCCCGGGTTCAAGCTGTGGCGCAAGGTCAACAAGAAGCTGGATGTCCCCGTGTGGGCCATCATTCTGTCCGCTGGTGTTGATGCGCTGCTGGGATTGATTTACTTTGGTTCTACGGCGGCCTTCAACTCCTTCACTGGTGTGGCTACCATCTGCCTGTCCACATCGTACGGCCTGCCCATTTTTATCTCCCTTCTTCGGGGTCGTCAGGATGTCAAGCGCTCTGGTTTCTCGCTGGGACCTTTTGGTTGGGTCATCAACGCGATTACCATTTGCTGGATTGTATTGGCGGTTGTGTTGTTCTGTATGCCTTACACTCTGCCGGTGACCCCTACGTCTATGAACTACGCCAGTGTGGTGTTCGCCGGGTTTGCCTTGATTAGTATCATCTGGTACTTTGCCTATGCTCGGAAGCACTTCACGGGACCCCCCGTCAGCAAGGAGGAAGCAGCTGCAGCTACCGGAATTATGACGGGCGCTGAGGTGGATCCGGAGCGCAAGCTGTCGGAGACAGAGGTGAAGAAGGCCCCTCTCTAAATGTCGCATATGATCCAAATGATTTGGGCCTGTGCTGTAAATAACCATCTAATGTACAATTTCTGATTATAACAATATCCAGTAAACTTGGGCTAGACAAAATAAAAGTAAAAGTTAAGTAAAAGCACGAGGGCACACCAACGGGCGGAATCACAAGTGCCCTGACGATCTCCTGTGCTCGTTGGACCGCGGCTATCGGACTCGGACAACCTTAGCATTCAATCACTCAGCGCCACTTCTCCCCCAGAGTTTCAAGGTGTTCCTTCTTTCTCCGCATTGTTTGAATTGATTCCATCTTGCCCTCTGCCCTCTTCCGTCCCTTATTTACCCCCTCTGAAGCTGGGGAGAGTTGTCGCGTGCGAGATCGGAAACCATTCCTTTCCCGAAGAGACCAAAAGGGAGAAAGAGAGACTAATCTCGGACTTCAACGCCAAACGACCTCCCTCCTTCCGACTTTCCCCCCTTTCATCGTGATCGCCCCCTTTCGATTCGATCCTCCAGACCGGTCTCCTTTCGCTCTCCATGCGGTTCATCCACCGCAGCCGATGCCCAACCCCGCTTCCATGAAGACAGGGCAGACTATCGCACTGCTTCCTCTCACCTCAACATGGCGGACTCTATAGGTACGTGTACTCGACGGGTCTCGCCCTCATTATACCAATCTAAAACCCCTGTCTCAAATATTGATTCTTATCTCGCGCAGATCGCGTCTTCGTCCATGCCCTGAATACCGTCAAGAGGATTCCCCGGACGGGGACCGCGCGCCCTCCGGCAGCCGAGCGGTTGAAGCTATATGGCTTGTATAAACAGAGCATGGGTGAGTGGATCCCATCAATCGTATAAGATATATCCGGAGAGATTAGTTGGCTTATACGGCATTGTTAGAGGGAGATGTTGAAGGTGTCATGGATCGTCCGATTGGGAATACCCCGGAGGTGCACGCAGAGTGCGAGAAGGGGTAAATACCCCCAATCCCAATCCCAATCCCAATCGCCAGGCATACATGCCTTTGAAGCCCCCCAATCCGAGACATATCAACAAGGGCTAATGACATACTTCTTGCGAATGATACAGGGATGCCTGGTACGAGCAGCGCGGCATTTCGCGCACCGAAGCCAAACGCCACTACATCGGCACTCTAATTGATACAATGCACACTTACGCCTCACAAACACCTGAAGCACGCGAACTAGTCTCTGAACTAGAGTTCGTTTGGGACCAAATTAAATACAATGCCTCTTCATCCTCCGGGTCAGGTCCGTTAAATGCCGTCGGTGTCCCGCCCTTATCACGACACCAGGGCAGCTCCTACGGCAGCATCAATGGCCGACTACTATCACGATCACCAGAGCAATACGATCGACCAAATATAAGAGCCGATGACGGCCATGATTCGCGACTTCGCGTACTCAGTCCCGTCAGCCAGCCCGAAGAAGAAGAGTACTATCGTCGCCGAAGGCGGCGCTTAACAGACGACATGGACGAGCAAGCAATAGACGATGACGACGAGGACGAGGATGATGAAGATGAAGAATACGAAGAGGCTCGCGACAGTCTGTACGAACACCAAGATAATGCCAGCACAACCGCAGACACAACCGCAGACACAACCGCAGACACAAATACCGGAACGGAGCCCACCGCTTCCCACGGCGACGACCGGTCCCAGCATCGACATCACCGCCACCGAGACTCCATGGCAGCCAGTGGTACCGGGGACCTCGAAAGTAACTCCCACCACCGCAGAGACTCGCACGACCCCTCAAATCCAAGAAATAGCCGCTGGCGCCGCCGCGTCGAACAAGCCTTGACCAAAATGACCGCTGAGATCGCCGCCGTCCGCGAACAGATGGAGACGCGGACGCTATCGAATCGTCGACGCTCGGGTCTTTGGGCCTGGCTGAAATGGATCCTGTGGACCGTCACGCGCCAGATTATCTGGGACCTCGCTTTACTAGCTGCGCTTCTGATCTGGATGCGTATGCGTGGTGATCGTCGTGTCGAGGATCGATTACGGACTGGCTGGTCGGAGCTTAAGACGCGGCTGGGCCGATTTAAGCTTCTTAGCCGGTTTAACAAGGCTCCTCTTCTTCCGTAGAGGCCCTTTTGCCTTGGATTGACGTTTTGACTTTTGACTTGTCTTTTAGATGTATACCTCAGCCATCGTTTGATATTGCATTTTGATACTTTCCCCTTTGTTTTGGCCGGCTGCATCTCTATCTTTTCTGATTGACTCTACTCTTCATGTCTATATTGGGGTCTTTTTTACATATTTTCTTTTGTCAAGTACATATGGGTTTCACAATTGAGGTTACGGGAGTTCTTTCCTTGAATCTTTTTCTTTGGTTCTCTTCTTTCTCAATTGGGATGTATGATACGACTCGGGCTATATCATTAGACGTTGGGCTCAGGCGACTTGGTGGCTATAATAGGCATGATTGTATCGTGACGGAGATGAGTGCAGTAGATGTTGTTTTCTAGAGTTATTGATGATATCTACATCATCTATGTTCCGATGTTGAAGATGTGTTTAATTTCAAGTTCAAATCACCTTCGATGGTTACCTCAAGTGTTCGATAAGCCGAGCTGCATGGTGTCATCAATATGATCTTCCGAGGTATAATGAAGACCGTCCGATTCTTGCAGCCCCATCCACCTAGTAGCTTTCCCTCTTTGGGTTATTCGAGGGGCAGGCTATGTCCGGAGCAGTGGCCATAGAACATGCCCACTGCCCGGACAGAAAGAGGAAAGGAACAATTGGAAAAGAAAGACCGAATTAAGCAGAAATCATGTAACCATTCCTGATGCCAATAGATATTTACACAAAACATACACCAGACAGACACAAGAGATAGATGAGACACAGGGCCCAATTGCGCATCCAAAACGGGAGGAGTAAAAAGCCGCGGCCCTGGACGGCGCATAAAAATAAGGGGAGCCCGATTTAAGAAGATTGAGTTGACGAGGGTGAAACAGGCGCATTGTACTGCGCTTCTTCCTTTTAGTACTGGGGGCCCGGGTAGATGGCGTACTTCTGCTTGGGACGCAGGTGGACGGGGACCTGGCCCTCGGGGGAGCCGGGGATCTCCTTCTTCAGACCCTGTTGAGAAGACATGTGTTAGATCGTAATTTGGGGCAATAAACAGTCAGGTTATCAATTGCGTATGTCGAATGCCTGTCTGCCTCGGCTGAAATATCAATGGGCGTTTGACGACCTACCAGCTTGTCAAAAACACACTTGTTCAAGTCCATCTCAGGCCGGCGGCACTCGAAAAGGTAGTGGTTGTTGTTCTCAAGGCACTCCCAGTGAGCCTTGAACTGCGACAAGCAGTGGGTGTTGATATCCTTGATACTGTGATAAAGTCAGCCCAGCGCTTTATCTTAGATGATGCCCCGTATCTCCAAAATGATAGACAGCCCAAATATATGAGGAAGAACGTACACGCTAGCAGCACAGCGCGTGACCTTGCGGCCCTCCTTCAAGCAATCCAGCTCCCCGCGGCCATTGCCCTCGTCCTTGCACTTCATGAAGTCATCGTTGTAGGCCTTGCAGCGCTCGCCGATAAAGTAGGCGGCGCTGAAAAGGGGTGCGGAAGTGGCGCCGAGCTCTTGGACCTTAGGGATGTGGTCCGGCATGGGCGTGGTGTCCACGAGGACTTCTTGGTTGAAACTGTGCGCCGAGGGATGGGGTTAGTGAGGTTCTCTCCGGCGTGACAGTTGATACGCCGGGTTCGTATCTGAGGGGGTATCCAGTGCATACCGAGGTTCTCTGGCGGCCATTGTGACGGTTGATGAGCGGAAAGACGAAGGGTTAGAGGTGTCAATTGGTGAACGAGAGTGACTTGGAGCTGCGGGTTGCGGTGGATGGAAAGGTCGGTTTCTTTGGCCTCACGCTGATTGGCTGAAGTGGTGTTGATGAGGTAAGCCGATTCGCGCAGTATCGGGCAAAGTAGGTTGCAACGTCGATATAAAGTCGGAAATTATAGAAAAAGTATTCAAAAGAGATAGTATATAATTGGTACGGATTTTTGTATTAATCATCAATATATGAATCGGTCTTTAGCACCTTAATTAGGTTACAATGGGGGATAATGGATGTATTATGCCAATCTACAGTAAATTTTCATCACGTGACCTAAACAAATCACAGCTCCCGGACTGCTCTGCTTTCGAGCTCCCACCTCCCAGGTCTCTCCCAACCGCCATCCCTTGAGCTTGCGAACGATGCGATGATCATTTGACCAACACTAGAACTTGAATATCAACACCTTCCGCAACCCCTTTTATCAATTCCGCCGGTCCCCTTCCAGCTCGGAGCTGATCCTGCTTTTTCACGGCATACGCGACATCCAAAATGTCACTTTTCGGTACACCCCAGCCTGCCCAGGCAGGTGGTGGTCTATTTGGTGGTGCGGCAAATACGGCGCAGAAGCCAGCAGGTGGCATGTTCGGTGCCAGCGCAGGGACAGGCACCCAAACCAGCGGAGGATTATTCGGCGCGACACCGAACCAGCAACAGAGCACTCCCGCAACAGGCGGTGGCCTCTTCGGGTCCTCTACATCAAACCAGACTCAACAGCCGCAGCAATCGGGCGGGCTATTCGGGTCAAGCACCGCGCAAAAGCCTGCAGGCGGAGGCTTATTCGGGGGTCTCAGGGCAATCCACCCAACAGCAACAACCCCAGCAACAACAGACTGGAGGACTTTTCGGATCGAGTACGGCACAGAAGCCCGCGGGAGGAGGCCTCTTTGGTCTAGGACAATCGACTCAACAACAGCAGCCTCAGCAACAGCAGCAGACTGGCGGACTTTTCGGTGGGCTGGGCCAACAGCCCCAGCAATCTCAGCAGGCACAACAGCCTCAGCAGTCGCAATTCGGCCAGACAACTATGGCTACGCCACAAAACCAACAACAACAATCTCTGTCCTCGAGCCTGTGGTCTCCTGGCCGCGCTATCACCGGAGGTAAGTAACCTGCAAATTCATCCGAGTGGATTTCTTCCGGTCAACTTACAATTATTTGCAGTCCACCGAACTGTCCCAATGCAACTTGAAATTGTCACTGAAAAGTGGAACGCCTCAAGTCGTACGTCCCCATTCCGGGCCTATCTTTACAATAACGTCGGCGAAGAAAACGCGCCTTTCTACCAACCTACCCCCGAAGATGACGAAGCGAAGTGGGAGGAAGCCTTGCGCAAGCGAACCAGTCCTGGATACGTACCCGTCCTCGTGAAAGGTTTCTGGGAGCTGGGAAAGCGAGCTCAGCGCCAGAAGGACTTCCTTTCCATGATGCAAACACGTCTCCACGAAATCAACAACTGCCTCACGGATATGCTATCACGACACGACCTGAAGATCTCAGTGAAGATTGCCGACTGCCGGCGCAAGCACATGGTTCTGAGCAAGCGCTGCCTTTCTCTTGCGGCTAAGACGCAGATCTTGCGCAACCGGGGTTATGCCATGGATGATGCCGAAGAGGAATTGAAGAAGAAGTTGACCCTACTAGAGCGCTCCGTTTTCGACCCATCCCTGAGTGGCCGGGCCGAAGAAATCTGGGCTCGCATGCTGGCCATTCACGAGCACGGCAAGCGCCTGCAGGCTGATATGGAGCGCGTTGGGGCAACTATGGGCTCGAACGGCGAGGATGAGATTGACGAACACACTATGAAGACGGCGAAGAAGGTTCGTTATAATCGATGTTCCATTATGTGTTTTGTATTCAGGCTAACATTCCTACTAGATTCTCGACGACTATCACACCCAGATTCAGCACTTGCAGAAGGAGCTCGAGTCAGTGAAGAAAGAATTCGACGAGGCTCAGAAGCTGAACGGAAACTAAGGTTTCCTTGTACGTGCTTCTGCGGCTTTGTATCTGATCAATTCTGGGGACTAGTGTCCAAGGGCATGGGAGCATTGGCGTTTCCGGGGAGTAGACTTGCTTGCAATGCATATTGGAATACGATCTAATTCTCTCCATTTACATTAAGAACCTGTAATTTTCTTTAAATGATCCAAGTGGCTCCAGCCACTATCTTATTTTCCATTGACCTTTCTATATCCGAATAAGATCGCAGAAAGCAGACATGTACAGTAATAATACACCATCCAGTTAAGGACCAGGGATTGCCAAGTCCCATAACTGGATGTGAAAAGTCGGTTTATCCCATTATCCAATTTAACCAGGTCATGATAACGCCGGAGGAAAGGCAGGGGGTGTCCGAATTGTTTAAAGGAACTTTCGGGCGAAGTCAATGGCGAAGGGGGCTAATCGGTCATCTTGTTAGCTTAGAAGCACACAGGGCGATTGATGTTTAGTCCTGTCTCGCCGTGCCGCGTTTGCTGGCCGAAGGACAGACGTCATCACCAAGGAGCCAACGTACAAAGGTAGAGCGCGATGCCGCCGAGAACGGTCATCTTGACGGTCTGGCAGGCCTCAACCTCACCAGCCTATTGAAAATTTAATTAATACCTATCCGGAGCCAGGGTGAATGCGGTGGCGGATAATACCTTGATCTCCTCCTTGGAGAGCTGTTCTTGGCCTATTGAGAGTAATAGGTTAGCTTGCTGATCATTCGAAGGACAATACCAAGAGCACAGCAAATGTTACATACCTGGAGCGAACATCTTGGTGTGTAGTGGTTGGATTGAGAGATGTGAATGAGTTGAAGAATGGTTGGATCGAAAGGAAGGCGTCTGTCGAGAGCGGACGCAGACGACGGGGAAGAAATCACGGGAGCACAGACCACCGCTCTCCTTCTCTGGGTTCTGCCTCTCGCCTTTACCTTGACCTCCCTCGATTGTTTCTTTCTCCCCATCTTCCCACGTGAAGGCTCATTTCTATCTCAACTTCCTATAGCACAGCTAGTGCAGGTGTTTTATTCGTCTCATAACCGGCCTTGCGCGCCTGTCAATCCTGCCGATAGGTCTCGGACGACATACACTATTAACCGGTCAACTCGCGCGCTTTACGATTTCTTTGATCAGTACCCTATTACCCTATCAGTCAATATCCGATCTTCCACATCCTTTTGATACCCCCGGCCAGCTTTTTATCGCCAGAATGTCTGCCTCCCCAGAACACGCCGTTGGCTCCCCAGCAGCATCCCCCGACCGCGCCGAGGAAAATGTCGCGACCCCGAATGCCGGTGGTGACAACCAAGAGAAAGGCGAAGCTAGTGGAGATGACGACGATAACGAGGGTGGAATTTCAGACGACGAGTCGATTCTTTCAGAAGTCGATGAGGTCCAATTCGAGAACTTCGACCCAGAGAATGTCGACGTCGAGGACCGTCCGCAGCTCGCGATCGATGAGGACAACCTGAAACTAATTGGTCGCCACAAGCGCAAGCGCGAGGAGGGTGAGAGTCGCCCACGTCGCAAGGAAAATCGCCGAGAGAAGAAGCGTCGCGGACAGGATGAAGAGGATGGCGACGAGGGGTCATCTCGTCGCAAGGAAAAGAAGAAGAAGGAGAAGAAGCCGGCGGAGCCAGATACCGATGAAGAGACACTGGATCCTGAAACCCGACGTCGCAGGGCTCTTGATCGTGCCATGGACGAGGCCATGAAGAAACCTACCAAGCGGAGAGCTCGCAAGCAGGATGGAATTGTATGTCGATGACGAGTCTCCCGGGTGCTATATACAGTTACTAATTTGTATTCTAGGATCTGGAAGCCATGGCCGACGCCGAGATCGAACACATGCGGAAGCGCATGACCCACGCTGCGCAGATGGACGCTATTGATCGCCAAGAGGGCAAGCCCGCCATGCACAAGCTGAAGCTTCTTCCCGAAGTCATTTTGCTTCTCAACCGCAACCAATATACTAACAGCTTGGTCGACCCCGAAATCAACCTGCTCGAGGCCGTCCGATTCTTCCTCGAACCTCTCGATGATGGCTCCATGCCTGCCTACAACATCCAGCGCGATTTGCTTATCGCTATGGCCAAGCTCCCTATTCAAAAAGATGCTTTGATTGCCAGCGGGATAGGAAAGGTGGTTGTTTTCTACACCAAGAGCAAGCGCATTGAGCGGCCAATCAAAGACATGGCCGAGAAGCTGCTCGCTGAATGGACTCGTCCCATCTTGCAGCGCAGCGATGATTACTCGAAGCGTGTCTTCCGGGAAGCCGTTTTCGATCCCACGTGAGTTTTACCCTCCCTGAGGAGGAGCGATGTTTGGCTTCTTACTGACTCTGGTATAGAAAAATGACCAAGGCTGTCCAGCCCAGCGCCGCGGCTGTTGCTGCGGAAGCGCGCGCTCGTGAAATGCTTCCACCTCGCTTGGCCAACCGTGCTCGTGTTGATCGTACCCAAGTCAGCTACGAGGTTGTTCCTCGCCAGATCGGTGTCCAAGAGAGTCGATTCGCGCGACCCTTGGGAGCCAGTGGTGAGGATCGTTTCCGCAAGATGCAAGCCAGGCAAAATGCCGCACGGAAGGCATCCCGTCAGTGATTCAAAAGGGTTTCCTTCCTGTCTGATCCATTTCCTTCTTTTATTTTATTTTTCTCCTCGGAGAAGCCTGCCCGTCATCATCTTCTTGAGTCATATTTTTTTTTTTCTTACATGATGCGTCTGGCGTTCGGGATTGATCGGGATCATTGATATTGGGCTTGGGCGTGTAACATCAGTCGCATTCGGTAGATTCTGGCCGCAGAAAGTGAATAAGCATTAACCGAACCACACTAGAAAAAGTGTAGAAGCCAGTCAGCAGGCTTGCATTTATTTTTCCCTGCTATTTTAAGGCCATGGTACTAGTTGTATATCCCCCGGAATTTCGTTCCTTGAGCGAGATCTCCCGAATGGCTGCCGAGTTTCGCCCGCCCCGAAAACCCAGCAGATCCCGCGGTGCACGTCATGCTTTCGGGGTTCTCGGCCTTTGCTTTAGATAAAACCGCGCCATCCTCTTACTCGTACCACTCTTCCACTCACTCTCATCCTCCAAAATCCATCCCACACCTTCCCCAATTCACAATGAAGATTCTCACTAAGGAAGAAGAGGCTGCCCACTACAGGTATGCTAGATATCGCCCGTCCAACACCTCCCAAAGAGCTTTCCAGAGCTCCCCGAGGGTCGGCCCCAATTGTATTACATCATGCCATACTGACAAACTTCCGCGAATACAGCTCTGTCGTCCGCGGCGGCACTGTCGGCGGCCTCCTCGGTCTAGTCGGCGGCGCAGCTGGTGTCCTCCTTGCTGCCCGACGATTCCACACCATCCGCAATCTGACACTTCCTATGAAGGCCTTCCTGGTAACATCGACCGGAACCTTCGTCGGAATCATCGCCGCCGACCACGCCTCGCGCGACTTCGAAGCAAAGAATAACGCTGAGAAGCAATGGTACGAGAACCGTGAAGAGCGCCTGCGCGCTGAGGAAGCTCGCAGTCTGAGTATGACCGACCGCGCTATCGCCTTCGCCCGCCGTGAAAAGTACAAGATCGTCACTGCTACCTGGATTGCCTCCATGGTCGGATCGTTCGCCCTCGTCAGTCGCAACCCTTACCTCTCTGGTCAGCAGAAGATTGTCCAGGCCCGTGTGTATGCACAGGGTCTGACCCTCGGTGTGTTCTGCGCATCGGCTGCGTTTGAGATGTCTGATCGCCGTCGTGGTCAGGGTATGCTTGATGCTGCTAAGAAGGGCAAGGGGCAGGCTAAGCGCGACGCTGCTGAGCCCGAACCCGTGCATAACAAGAACCAGGAGGAGGGCGATCTGTGGAAGGAGATGGTTGCTGCCGAGGAGCAGCGCCTACAGTCAAAGCACCAACCCCTGTACCAGAAACACGAGGAAGCAGGCGAGAAGAAAGAGTCTGAAACAGAGTCCGAGTCCGAGTCCAAGTCTGAGGAGGAGGGCAAGGAGCAAGAAAAGGCTCAGCCAAAGGAGGAGTCCAAGGCCAAGGGCACTAAGAAGCAGACTTAGGTTGCATTCTCGCAGTGCTGCTTGCGACCCTCCATCCGATCAACGTTATCTCGACTTGTTTCATCACCTCCGTCATACTCCCACCCATTCCTGACTTGTTTATTTCCCCTGAGCTCGGAAGCTTAGAGTCGCCACTGACGGCTTGACGGGACAGGGTTTTCTTTCCAAGGGCCTGGACCATTTGGCTTATTTCTCGTTGTCCATTCCCTGTACATACTGCGTAGGCGTTTGTTTATTTTCTGTTTCTCTTATGTCGGAAGGGTTGGTGCCATTCAAAAGTTTGGTCTACATGGTCGTGTATGATTTCTTGAGACGGGTTGAAAACTCTCTCTACTCTCTTTACTCTAATGAATGAACTATGTCTACTGTTCCGATATCTACTTTACTGTTACTTATCTGATCCATAGAAAGTATGCTCTAGGTTCAGCCTTGACAAGTATAGTGATGGATTGCAAAAAAGAGGACCCCGCCCATATCTATCGAAAAATTGTCTATACATACTAGTAGTACTATTTAGTCTTTGGTGTTTGCCTCTATAGGGGTGCTGTGACAAAAGCGAAGTAGTAGGTGATCACATAGAGATCGGCTCACATTCCTCTACAGGTTTCAAGCCAAAGCTCTTCAAACCACCTCTCCAACTCAATTCTATAGCCGTTTTGGCAAAGTCTCTCAAGTCCGTTTCATAAGTTCCAATCATTGCCTCGTCCACGTTTTGCACTCCACCAACTGAAACTATTCGCTGTGCTAGATCTGCTGCATCTCGCAGGGCCGTATTAGCACCCATCGCCCCGGTGGGTGGCATCACATGAGCCGCGTCACCCAGTAAGGTCACTCGAGAAGATGGTCTCCATGGGTCAATTTCTGGGCCCGCAGACAAAATGGAGCGGATAGATGTTTGGTTTATGTCTGACATCTCGAAAATAGTGCGAATGTGTGGATTCCAGGAGCTTGTCAGCTGGTCTGCAAGATTGGCTGCTTCGGAGGAAGAGAGATGCCACGAATCTTGGTCAGAGGATGGAATCTTTGAGCGATGCACAACCAAGACCCAATACATATATGGACCTGGCATATCCAAAGTCGAGACTTCCCCTGCGTGCGGAAATTGGATCGATTCGAACATCAGAACAGGCTGGGAGTTGTCATCTTCGTTTGTGACCAGACTCATTCCATCGCGATATTCCTCTGGCAGCTTGGACAAGAACTCTGGAGTAAGTGGCGTCTTTCCAAAGATGATGCGCATGCCGGTATCAAGACCTTTGAAATTTGGGATATGTTGTCTGCGTATGCAAGATCTGACGCCATCTGCGCCAACCAAGAGTGCACCATCTTCTGTAGTTCCATCTGAAAACGAGACTGTGACTTTGTCTTCGTGGACAGTGTAGTGCTCGAGATTCTTCTCGAAAAAGACGTTTCCTTCGAGACCTGTGAGCAATGTGTCGCGAAATACACTGCGATCAACAGTATAGGCTCTCCCTCCAGGCCCTCCGGGTCCTCCTGGTGGAGCCCCGAATGGTGCGGTCGATCCATCGGGCTTGACCCTCACGCCGAGCTTCGGCGCGTCGGCACAAGTCTTCTCAAATAGAGTGAAAATTTCAGGGGTGAGAGCTTTTTCCAAAGCTTCGACGCCGTGAGAGGTGATTCTTAGCCGATATCCTTGAGCGCTGACATTGCTTTGGCCATACCGTTCAAATATCTTGAAGGGAATGCTGTTTTTCTTGAGGGCTTGAGCAAGGCATACTCCGCCCAAGCCAGCACCGCTGATCAGAACTGGAAGTGTCATTCTCAGCAGGGTCGAAAATATAGATAGTATCAATGGTGATTTGATTTTGCGATTGCTATAGTAGAATATAGGAAATGATGAGGGAAATGTGTCGAGGCAAGTTCAAGACTTTATATATGCCAAGTGTAGGGTTAAGGCCGCCCAACCTTCGGGACCGAACAACGAGGCTCGGGACCGAAGTATCCTTTCCTGGCCGAGACACCTGCGGACGTCATACTACTACCTAGGTACTAGTAACAGATTTTATCAAATCAAAATTGCCAGCACACTATGCTCTATATTATGACATTATTTTGAACCGGATTGCCGATAGTACTGCATACTCCGAGTCCTATCAGGCTTGACTGAGCTCTCACACAGCAGATCATACTATTCCAAGGTCCCTCTACAGTAGTTTGAGTAGTAGATAGTATTGGATTTATCAGTACTACTAGTAGTAACCTTGGAATACTATTACAATATCGAGCCAAATACTTATCTGGGTAGCAAATCTCAGCATCTCCAGTTTGGGGAAATGATACACTTGAGGTGCTGAGCAAAGTTTGCAAATTTAGATAATTTCCGAATAAATAATAGGGTTTGAACAATATTTGCAAAACACGGGTACTTGGTTGTTCTATATGCAGTGCGACGATATACAAAATACGCACCAATTATACAAGTTCGAATATTGTCAAGGGGATATCACAGGGAGTCTGTATTTTCAGAACGTATCATCTTCCATTCGCCCAGATCGTCGGATTATACTGGGGCTTGGGCCGTCGTCGATGTCATCGGTAAAATCATCTGCACCGGCAGTGGCTAGGAGATCAGTAACAATGCGCTTGGACGCTTCCTTGGCTGCGAAGAAAATAAGGTTAGCACATTGTTGCAGAGAAATATGTAAATTAACTCACCTGGTGTTTTCATCAACCGGCTCTGAGGGATATGGAATTGCATTGTCTTGGGTGGACTAGGTCCGAAGTCTTCCTCATCGTCCAAGTCATCCTCACTATCCCAAACCGGCGTATGGCGACCTTGGTTCTTCGCGGGCGTCAAAACACTTGTGCCCGGCTTTGGCGTGCCACGAAGGCGATTGCTGCTGGTTCGACGCTTGCGGTTCGTCCCGGGGGTTGCATTCACGCCTTTAACAGGTGAGTCGAAAAGCTCCGCGTTTAGTTGCGGAGCTTCGGGCTCGGGGCTGAGACATAGGTGAATCGTCACGTGCATTGCGCGAAGAAGAAGCGGCATTCGGCGTAACGGTGAACTTGGAGCGGGTATTGGCGCCTGCGCCTTCATTGCGGAACCCCTTGCCCAGCGGAGTTGCTTGGACCCGATATGTTTTGTCGAGAACCTGGTGCATAACAGGGTCGGAGGGTTTCTGGTAGCGATTGTCTCGCGAGGCAGATTGATACCGTGCTGACGAGGCTGGAGGAATGAATGGAGAAGACATCGGGGTCACGGAGCCAACATCTGGTGGGAAGAAGGGTTGTCGACCTGGCGTAGATGGTAAAGTCGACGAGTCAGGCATATCGAATGGTGCCTCGTCCTGGTTGATCTGCTTTCTCAGGTTCTCGTATGAAGAGGAGTGGTCAAGGGAAGAAATGGTGAAATCGTCGTCTCCTTGATGAGTTGGTGCACGCGGCGTGCTGTGAGAAGAAATATTAAGCGCGGTAAGGTCGATATCATCTCCTTGGCCATGCTGCCCATCCGGGCGACGTGAAGAAGGCGTTGCGTAGGATTGATCTGGCTCGTCCATGCTCGTGGTTTCGGTGATATCGGCCGAGATATCCTCTTCCGTGGCGGTGGTCTCTTGTAGGGTCTCGTCCTCATTGGGTCGTTCCTCATAGCCAGAGAGAGAGACATTGGCACTGGCTTCAAAGAATTGTTTCCAAAACTAAATGCCTGGTTAGTATATATCTACTACTGCCCCCTAATGATTGGTATCACCTTAGCGCCCTGCCAAACATCCTGAGAATGCTCCGTATACTGTTCAACCAACGGGAGGATACTCGTCGTCACAATTCGATGGGCTTGGCTAAAATTGTGGTCGATCTCTGCAGGTAGACGGAGGTCAGTATCATATCCGGCAATCTGTTTACCCCATGGATATTGGGCATACCTTGGAGGGTCAAGGTGATGGATTGCTCCAGTTTCTCCAGCTCCTCTGTCAAGGAAAGCGGCCGCTGGGGCTGGGTTGGTTGGCGAGACATGTCAAGGCCTCGGTCCTCCGGGACTTGGTAAAGAAAGTTGCTATGATTGCAGCTCCAACTGGTTGGGCTTCAACTTGAACTTGAAGACGCGCGGGGGGGACGCGCCCCAAAGCGGTGTGTTTTTAGGGCCGGGGATAAGGGCTGGTCCCAGTCAGGTGCGCGGGGTTATGTAAGAAGGTAACTAGGCATCATCCAACGCGTTTCCCGGTTTCCAACTCTCAGCTTTTCTTGTTCTTGTTTTGCCAAACTCGCCGGGGGAGACAGACAGAGAAATACCACTAGGCTTGTCGTTGCCGTTATCATGCCTGCCCCGCTTGCCAAAGGTCAGTCGACTTCTAACGGTCTTGGAATGCAGCTCCCCGATCATCCGGGCGGTCTGGATCTTATCAGTTCCCCGCTCAAGTTCACTGGAATGGCATCTGACGATCTACTAGGCCTCATCGTGACATTTTCGGTTCTGGTTGCTGCAGGACTTGCAGTCTACCAGTCACCCCAGTTCCAGGAATGGATCGCCACTTCTCGACGAAAGATCGCATTAGCGCTTCATAACCTCGGAGATGAAATCCAACCACGCGATTTAGTTGCGCTCGAAGATGACATCTCCATGTCGGAGGAGGTAGGGTTGGCCGCCGAGGAACGCAGGCGAATCGCTCGCGCCGAAATCATGCAACGAGCGGCCTTGTTAGAATCACATCGAAAGTCAAAGGATTCTATTAAACCACACGACAGCTTCGACACTCTTGTAGACAATGATGGGATCTTGCGTGCAGCCGATGATAAGCAGACCAATCTTGACGTTAACCCCGTCGGGGCTTCGACAGGTATCGACACGAGCTCTGCACAGCCTCTTCATCGTGGAGACAAGTCCGGCGAAACCTCAGCCTTCAACAAGGATCAGTTGCATCTCGATGTTTTCTCAGAAACCACATCCAACCACCCTTCGGAAGACACTGAACAATTTACGCCGACCTCCGAGACGCCCGGAGAGGTTTTATTTGACCCATTCACTGATTCTCCACCGAGAGTGCAGACTCCCGTGTCTGCCACAGCTTCAAGCCATACCGAGAATCATCAACACGTTTACTATGCTCATCCTAGCTCACCATCCAACTCTAGTCATCAGCAAGACCTCCTCACAGAACTGGATGAATTTCGACAAGGTAACCAGTTTCAACACCCTGTCTCCTCAACGCCATCCATTGCTGGAAGCTACAGTCATGTTGGTGATTTCGATGCCTCGTCTGATGGAACGATAAGTGACCTGGGCGCGCATTCTGTGGGAGGCATCGATACCCCAGCCAGCTGGTCTGAAGTGGGTAGTGTAATCAGCAATGAAGATGCTGCTCATCAGCAGCAGCTGTAATTCAATCGATGTCAACCATCTTGTTTATTGGGATCTGCTCACTGGAAACAACAAGGCGCAAGTACTCGGATTTGGCATGGAAAGGAGGATTTTTTTGACTGGAGATACAGGCGCTTAAGGATTTGGTTTTAAGTCTGTTTGTGCTTTTGTTGCTCTTTATGGAAGGAATCTACAATTTAATTCTTGCTTCTAACTGGCTCTACGTAAACAGACTCGATGTAGAGTCCAGTGTCTGGTGTGTTTTGCCATTTTACCTTTCGCTCTTGGTTTGCTGCATTGGGTTTACAGTGCCTAGCAATAAACTTGAAAATTTGAGGCTCTACGTTGAGATCGTTGAGGGGCAAGCGCGTTTCTAACCGACTGGGAAAGCTATTGGCTACTTGAATAGATAGATACCCCTGACCCTCATCATGTAGAACACCCTTGCAAGCTGGAGAGAAAATCTATTTAGATGGTCTAGGGCCAAGACCCCTAGACCATTCGGAGCTACGTGAAAAGGGGGACTGGTTTTAAATTCTTAATCTTGCTTTTGTCCACTGTCTGGTTCACCTCCCTCTTCTACAACATCGCCCGATGGCGCCAACTTGACACTCCACTGGTAACCTCCAAACCACTCCAATCATACCCCAGTTTCCTAGTCATTCGCATGACACTTCGAGGAGCTGTACTAATTGCGTAAGTATTTCATCCTTAGATTTTATCTATTCTTTATCTCCAGCATAATTTCCTCTATGGACCGACGGCTCCCTTCAAGGAAATTTGAGCCGGACTTAACCACTATCCCCGGCGCAACCTTATGGCTGAAGAATGCTTGAAATTTTACTACAAGTATATAGATCGTCGCCGTGGAAGATCTAGTGACATCTTTTATTCTCAGACAGTATAAAACCCTGTCTATTCTGCGGTCAAAGGTTCGCTGCACCCACTTCCAATATCCAGTTGATTCGAGCAATTATCCATGGCATCCAACACACTTCAAACAATTGTGTTGATCACTGGTGCCAACCAAGGAATCGGACTTGCTACCGCCAAACAGCTGCTGGCATATGAAAACTATTACATTATTCTCGGGTCTCGGGATGCAGGGCGCGGTTCTAAAGCTGCGGCCGAACTCGACCCTACCGGTCAACGCGTGGAGGCTATCACCATCGATGTGACCGATGATGACTCCATCGAGGAAGCAGTTCGACATATTACCTCGACACATGGTCGGCTAGATGTACTGGTCAACAACGCAGGCATAAACAACGAGTTAGAGTTATTCTTCAAACAGGCCGAGGAGCAAGCTCCTAGCACGGAGAAAAAGCCAGATCTTTCTACCCTTCGTGCACAGGCTCAGAAGCTAGAACAGACCAAGCCTCAACTAGCCACACTACGTCAGCTCTATCGCGATGCCTTTGAGGTGAACCTATTCGGTGCTGCCATGGTCACTGAGGCTTGTACACCTCTACTCGACAAAGCAGCTGCCAGCCCTGCTCGGATTGTCTTTGTCTCCTCGCACACGGGCTCCATGGGTCTTCGAGTAGACAAAAATGGTCCTGAATGGGAAAAGTGGTCACGGCCCTCTTTCCCCATTTACCGGAGTAGCAAAGCGGCGTTGAATTTCATTACCCTTCACTACGCAGCAAAATTCAATGAGAAAGGGTGGAAGGTGAATGCTGCATCTCCAAATCTGACTGCGACCAATTTCTCGCGTGGCAATGGACGCCCAGCCTCTGAGTCAGCAGTCAACATTGTCAGGCTGGCTACTCTGTCAAGTGACGGAGACACGGGGACGTACAGTGATGAGAATGGTACTGTACCTTGGTAGGCGCTGTCAAGGAGATTGAAAAGCAGGTGGTCATCATTAAATAAGATTTCGGGTTGATATAATCAACGAATCCAATAGTATGATTACCCGAAATAAGCATGTTGCACCAAATTAAACCTAGGTCTATTTACTTGGGAGTATATCCCGAATACGTATGAAACACCCGACACAAGTAGTGGATACCTCGCTATGGCAGGTTGCATTGGGCGTTGTGGAGGTATCCGATACTTGTCCGGCTGGCGGGTGTCCAGCAGTAAAATGAGCCTCGGCAGTCTCGGGGAAGCTTAAAGCGGAGTCCCTACTTCTTCTGTCTCTTCTCTCTTCTCCTCCCCTCTCCTCCTCCATCCTTCCTTCACCCTTCTTCTCTCCTAAAATACAGGTGTACTTTTATCAAACAGTAAGCCAATCTCTGTTTCATTGTGTTCATGCCTCCGCATTACCCTGTGTAACCGTCTTCCGTCCCTTGTCCGCCACTATGGAGCTTCCCCGCAATAACTCCGAAAAACTCCCAACCCCAGGAATATCAGACAGATTGAACACAAATGGAGTCGTGCTGACAATATAATCTTATTAGCCCCCATAATTTACAATTCACAATGGCCGCAGACCGTCTCAGCTCGCTTTTGAGCCACCTTAAGCCCGGCGCCAGCAGCGGACTCAATGCCATGTAAGTTCCGCGGCAGTCGGCTCCTACATTTCGACTAAGCTGACAAACGGTCAAAAAGCACCCAGAAGAACCCCGATGATGTGGTCATCACCCTGTCCTTGCGCACACCTCTGACCAAGGCCCGCAAGGGTGGTTTCAAGGATACCGAGCTGGACTACATGGTCTACGCCCTGCTGAAGGAAACTCTGGCCCGATCCAAGATCGATCCCGCCCTCGTCGAGGATGTCTGTCTGGGCAACGTAAGTATACCTTATATCTACTGCGCATGTCATGCAAGGAATCCCTATATCTAACAAAATTCACAGGTTGGCGAAGGTAAAGCCGCCTACATGGTCCGCGCTGCCGCCCTGGCCGCTGGTATCCCGCACACCGCAGGTGCCTCCTCAGTCAACCGCTTCTGCTCTTCCGGCCTGAAGGCTGTGCAAGACATCGCCAACCAAATCTCCCTTGGTGCTATTGATGTCGGAATCGCTCTTGGTGCGGAGCTGATGTCTGCCGCTGGCGACCGTCTGGAGAAGCCCTTCAATGAGGAGGTCCTGAGCAACCAGGAGGCTGCGGACTGCATGCAGCCCATGGGCCAGACCTCTGAGAACGTCGGCAATGACTTTGGAATCTCGCGTGAGCAGCAAGATCGTTACGCGGCAGAGTCTTTCCGTCGTGCCGAGACTGCGCAGAAGTCAGGCTGGTTCGATGATGAGATTGCTCCCATCTCGGTTAAGGTTAAGGATCCTAAGACTGGCGAGGTTCACCAAGTTACTCTGAACAAGGATGACGGTGTTCGTTACGGAACTACTTATGAGTCGCTGGCCAAGATCCGCCCTGCTTTCCCTGAATTTGGTGATAAGTCGACTGGTGGTAACTCGAGCCAGGTTACTGATGGCGGTAAGCATGATCTCCACCCCTCTCTTATGAAGATGCCTGCGTCCATTTTCTAATATGACACAGCTGCTTCCGTCCTCCTCATGCGCCGCTCCAAGGCTATCGAGCTGAATCAGCCTATCCTGGCCAAGTTCTGCGGTGCCACCGTTGCCGGTGTCCCGCCCCGTGTCATGGGCATTGGTCCCACCGCCGCTATCCCCAAGCTGCTGACCAAGTTCCAACTTGATAAGAACGATGTTGACATCTTTGAGATTAATGAGGCATTTGCCTCCATGGCGGTTTACTGTGTTAACACCCTTGGTCTGGACCATGCCAAGGTGAACCCGCGTGGTGGCGCTATTGCTATTGGCCACCCACTGGGTGCTACCGGTGCTCGCCAGATTGCCACTGTTCTGAGTGAGGCCCGCCGGACTAAGAAGAAGGTTCTTGTTACGAGCATGTGTATTGGTACCGGCCAAGGAATGGCTGGTCTGTTTGTTAATGAGCAACTGTAAATAACTACGACATGTCTGTTTGATTAAAACAATCTTGGAACCAATTTGAGTGCATATTACGATTAATTCTACCATTCTACGTTATACGAGCGTTGTTTTTAGTAGCAGCTTTATGATAACTTACAGTGCCATGAACCACTACAGTAAGCTTTTGTCGAAATAGAAGTAAAAGCAATTAATCGTGGTGCAATCATAACTCATTATGTAATAGATTATAGGTGTATACAGGTCATAACGGAAATCATCCAACAATTCGAAATCAAGAAGCCTCCTCATCCCGCCTCTCTTTCCTCCCCTCTTTCTTCATCCTCTCTTCCGCCGCGCGCGCAATGGCCTCCCTCCTCGACTCGCCCCCAGAAGAACCGGACGAGCCACCGAGAACAAATTCCCCACCCGTCCATCCACACTCATCAACGTCCTCCTCATTCTGCGCCTGTTCCCAATCTCCCGGGTTGTAAAACTCCTGTTGCGTCAACCTCCTCCCACTAGCACTGTAATCAGCCGCATCAACCTCCCGCTCAATCTGGGCCGTCAAGTTCCAGAAATCGCGATCGTGGTCTCCGAAAACGTTATGCGCCAGCTCGTGACAGAGCGTTTTGCGAATTGTACGGTAGTCACGGTATCCGTCGTATGCATCTGTGCGCAGGCGGAGCTCGATTACTTCGCCGCGATTGCGGTTTAGTCCCAGCGTGCGCGATACGCCTTGGTGATCGCCCGAGGTGTGTTCGGCCGGATTCATTTCTGTGAGTAGTGGGACGGAGAACTCGTGTTTTGCCATGGCGGCGCGGATTCCCGGGTCATCGCGGAGACGTTTGAGGAAATCGAGGGAGCGTTCGGGGCGGGGGAGATAGGATAGTGGGAGGAGTTGGTGGAAGGTGTAGTTCTTGCTGGAGGAGGAGAGGGTGGCGATGGTGTTGTTTGATCGAGTGGGTGTTTTCTTATTCCGGCGTGCGGATGCGAGGGCTGAGGCTCGGGCTTCTTCGTGTCGGCGGTTTGTCTCAGCTTGGTGGTTTAGATCGGCGATGGCTTTGGCTGGGGTGCCGAGGAGGGTGATTTTGAATTTTGGGGAGGAGAGTTGTAGGATTGCATCTAGACGTGTTGGTGGGAAAGGCGCCTTTTGCATTCCTGGTGTTGGAGCAATGAGGAGTTTCTGGTTCGGCGTGGGGATGTTCAGAGATGCTTCTATTGTTGCGGAGAGGTCTTGGAGAGTTGCGGAGGCGGAGAGGGAGAAGTTGTGCGGGGTGCCTTGGTGATGCACGGTGAGCTCCATGGAGGAAGCCATTATGGTGATGGAGGATGCAAGTGTCCAGAGAAGGGGCACACGGTGGTGTTGAGTGTTGAGAAAGAAAAGAGTGAGTGAGAGAGCTGAGTAAAGCAGTGCTGAGAATAGCAAAGGAACCCAAATAGGCAGGCGCCGAGGTGGAAATTCGAGCGGGTTCCACGGCGATAGCTTTGTCAGCACGGAGATAACGAAGTATACTACTCCTTCCGTACTACTAGTTATAGGGTACTTAGTAGGGCACGAGAACTTGAATAGAGAAATATACAATCAAGCTATAAGTATGCCTACCCCGCTGCTTAGGTCTAAGTTTGGCATTGGCCTCACTTCATGGTAATTCAATTCAATTCATTCGACAAGAACACTGCCGCCGTATTCATCTGGTAGTAAAGGGAAATCCAACTACTACATGAGCAAGACCTCTACCAATGAATCAACTAAAAGACGAATAGTCTTCTCCTGTAATTGTTGACTAGCTCCAGAAGATGGTCATGACCCCTTCAAGTTCGCAAATTGCTGGCGGTATGTGGATGTAGTCCTGCATTTATTTGCAGTGGGAGGAGTCCAGGGGCCAGCAGCCTCCATCAGCGACACAGCCATGAGGGCATTCCTAAATAAACACAACTATTAGTCTCTTGATTTCGATACCCCTTTATCAGTAAAATATTGGTCTGGCTCACATCGATCTGGGGGTTGGGGGCTGCTGAAGCCACTGCGGCCAGGGCAAGGATCATTGTAGAAATGGAAGCGAGGAAATTCATGTTGTAAAATGGCTTTGGTAAATTGTTCGGTCTTGAAGTATATGTCGAGAGACTCGGAGTTGGATGGTAGTTGAGAAAAAGAACTTGACGGCCGTACATGAAACGTACGCATCGGGCTAGCCATGCGAGAGCACCTACGTAGCAATAGAAAGCAAATGCCTCAGCGTTGCCTAATTAGTGGCTCCCAACATTGGAATACCACCAAAAGAAACCAACAATAAGTAGGCTTCCCCTCATGATCGTCAAGGCATTTGGGATCTAAAATCCGGAGCCACTACGGAGTAGTCAAGAGTGATATCACTCGTGGAAAATTCTTGAATTATCATGAGAATGTGAGCCGTGGGCGAATAGTGGCAACTACTAGCCTCCAAACATTGAATGTCAAGGTTTATGGCAATGTGTGGCAAGGAGGTGATGTTCTTCAGGTAGAATTGAGGACTTGTCAGGGATGCCTGAAATACGATGATATCCATTCGAATCAAAGAAAAGAAACGCCTCAAAAGGTAAATACAAATCCAAACTCCTTTTTCCAAGAGATATATGCAAATTTCCCAACAGAATAATCATGTTCCGAGACACCTAGCCCCTTTGAAAATGCATGAGATATAAACCGGAGAGAACCAATGTTCAAGATATCAAGGCCGAGGGAGAACCAAGCTCAACCCGGAAATGAAAGAATAGATAGACCGATGGCCAGAAATAAATATGCACGGTGAAATGCAAGTCGACGGAGAAAGAGACTTCAATCACTCGTAATCCACCGACAACTTGACGGTCAAGTCGGCCACATTCTTGTCCAGCACCCACTCGCCTATTTCGGGGAACCAAGTGTGACTGTCTACAGTTAGTATTCGGTAATCATACTTAGATCGTAGCATAAAAGAGACTTACTTGTGAAATTCAGTTGTAATCATCGCCTTTTCTGAGTACTCCTCCCTCAGCACCTGATCATATGCAAACGGGACCTTGGCAGGAACACCCTCAAAGAACGTATGACGCATCGGATACAGATCGATTAGGCGGTATTTGTGGAAGTTTTTACACTGCCAGATATCTGGGTGATGCTCCAGCTCCAACGTGCTGAGACCGGTAATGTCGATATATAGGCCAGTATGAATGTCGATCCAGCGTGCGTCAATAATGTTGTGACCCTTCCCGCGCTCGCGCTGGCGCGACCAGGGATTAATGTCGAGGAGATATTCGCGGATGATGGGGCTTTCGGGGACGGTGTACGCGACGATAGTTTGATTGAAGTGGTCTCCGAGGTAGGCGAGAGTTGTATCCGGGACTTGAGTATCCATATCCCAATCCCAAGGGAGAATCTATGTGACCGGATTAGTTTCTTGCCCAGACAAGCATATCAAACGATACTGCGGTACTCCGAGCTCCGGAGTGATATAATGGGAACGCACCTTTCCATTCCACCACCAGCCAAGCAACGTTCCGTGCGCAATCCAAGTCTCGAGTTTATTCTCATTGAAGAAATTGAGATAGGCGCGAATCATATGGGTGAGGGTCTCGGCGCGTTCGGAGTCACCCACGGGCTCCTTGAAGAAACGCGAGTCATAATGGCCAAGAATATCGTCACGGCCCGGTTCATGGAAGTATTTGTATTCGGCAGAAGCATTGAGACCGTAATTCAGCCAGAGGGGATCGGTGAGTGTAGGATCGGGCTTGGGCTTAAGCTCGGTATTGGTATTGGTATTCGAGCCGATATTGGCCGGTCTGTCAACCGGACTGGGCAGAGCTGTGGCGGCGGACCACAAGGCGAAGCCGGCTGCGAGCACCCGCCGCATCTTGAACGGGGTCGATTTGCTTAGGAGACAAACGCTATACGGTAAATCGATCCAGTTCGCATGCTGGGATTTGTTTGAGATCGAAGTTGAGAGAGGGTTTGGAGTCCGGGAGGTATATCGTTTATAAAGTTCAGCTTTATGCCGATTGAGTGGCGCGACGGGGATATATACAGGGTTGGAGGAGGAGACAAATGGTCGAGACAAGATCGGAAGAAGGGTAGCAGTGATACGAAGAGAGGAGAATGCGGCGGAGAGGAGAGGAGAGGAGAGGAGAGGAGAGGAGAAGTCAGCTCAAAGAGGTCTTGGTAAGACTGGGAGAGGGGAACCCGGCGAAAAAAGGCCCATCTGACTCGGCAGAGTCGGTAGAACCAACAAAGCTACATAGCAAAACCAGCAGAGAATGGGCCAATCCGAATGAATGCGCCAGCGTTTATGGGCATCAGCGGGGCGGATTAGGCCGGATAGCGTGCCCCCACCGAGGGAGAATGGAGCACACCATTGAAAAGGAGTCCCCTGGACTTGGGGAGGACCAAGGGGGAGGGGGGGGTGCAATCGCGCGAGGTATGTCAAGCCTGCCAATTGGACAGGATTCGCAGGGCTCACAGGAGAATGCAACTTGGAGAGGGTGTCATCCTGCATATGGACAGTGAGCGAAGTGGCCAAGAAACCCGCTGCAGCCACCGAATGTCCGCGTGCCCACTTTCCTGATCGGAGTTGGGGAAGTCGTGATGTCAGCGAGGCAACGTGTCTCTCATCTTTCAATGCCGGAGGCGGTTGGCCCCCTGATTTTGCATTGTCCCTCAAAGGTTGAAGTGGAGTGGAGTAGTAGCAGATAAAGGGGGGGCTCAGGGCTCAGGGCTCAGGGGAGAGATCTCCCCGATCTCCTTGCCCAGCCTACGCGAGGACTGCCAGTGTGAGGATGAGAACCCTTGGAAAGCCAATGCACAGCTTGGCAAGCGCCAAGACTCGGGACGCCCCACGGTGGATTGAGGATGCCTTGCCGTTGAGAACCGGTTGGTGAAGATGGGATGGGGGGGGATGGGGGGGCAAGGGTGGGATCCCCTGGTCAATTTCCGGTCAATTGGGTATTCAGTGATGTGATGCGCACAGAATACATACGAGGAGTATACGATAAGACGGAGTACTCCGTACTCCGTATAGTATTCGTTTAGGCTGCAAAGTACGGTGTACGAAGTATATTAAAACTAGATTACCGTCCACTGCAAGTATAGCATGATCGTGTCCCGATTAAACGAAACCCGCCAGGTTTTTGCAGAAGAAAAATTGGAAGAAACGAATACGATCGTATCGCCCGATCCGGTAATCCGCAACGTCGATCGAGTTACATTTAGGCGACCCACCGTTTGTTGTCAATCTTCCGATCGACATGACCTATCAGCTTGCACTTCTTATTCAACATCAATCCTTTGCACGATCAATTAAGGTTGTGGGAAGGACACACGATCGCTTGTGCGATCGTGAACTTGTACTACTAGTACGTACATGGTACTAGTAAGGTGACTACATGCCTACGCATATCAATGTGAACCACGACGACTTTACCCTCCAGGACTCATTGCTTTTTCCATCGCACCATTCTACCCCGGCCGTTTGCTCTTTGACTCATCAGAAAATACCATCAAGCTGAAGCGGGATAGCAAACGTGTCACTGCGGATCTCCGAGTCTCAAGTATTTTCCCGAGGTGCTACTAGTAATGTACAAACACACATTATGCAAAAGTACTAGTACTACGAAAGAAAGCCGGGCCACTGCATGCTATAGTGTACTAATGCCCAGATGCTTTGAAAATACTACTATGTACGGAGTACAGGCAAACACAATATTTCCTCGCCAACTCCAATGTTCGCTGCAAAGTAGCAAGTTTAGTATCTCCTTCCAAGGTTAATAGTTAGCTTAGGCGCAATTCATCTCTGTTTCAAGTTCTTTTCTTTTCTCATCTCTCGATTCCTCTCGATTTCCGTCTCCCGGGCCTTGTCTTCCCTCCATATCCATATTCAACACTGTCAACAGATATTCCGAAGCTTCATCAAACAGCTAAGCAAGCCAACTTCGCCATGTCTGAATATCATGAGGATATCATCCATGATGAGGGTTTCAGCTCTGGCCATCGACATTTCAAGGTATGGCCTGGCGGCGTGGAACGAATCAAGGGCTCCCGAATTCGAAGAATGTTTCTACCAAGGCTGTCACGTGAAGCAAAAAGGGCACTCCAACAAAATCGACAGTTTGTTCGTTGCCAGTTGAAACACTATGTAATTCGGTTTTCAGAGGAGGAATACTCGGGTAACGGGACTCAACTGCTGCAAAAATTCCTCAGGGATGGAAAGTGTGATGAGGTCCCTCCCATCATCCTCCGACTGGAATGTTGGATGCACAGAAAATGGTTGAGCAAGTGCGACCCTTCAGTCCTGATCAAACATCCAGACTGGCTGATGGACCGAGATTTCTTGGCAAACGGCCGTCCTGACCATCTAAAACTCCTTGTCTCGTGAAGATCACCCCTCAGGACTATGGGACCCATGGCCCTGATGGAATTATTGAAGCCGCCGGAAGGGTCACAGGTTTACACTGCCAAAAAGCCGTCGGTCCCAAAACTCATGTCGTCTTCATGGGTTGGAATGCGGTGAGTGTGCAAGAAGGCGTTGAGAGCCATATTACTGAGGAGAAGACAGAAATGCATCTTGAGGAGCCGAAGAGGATATTCGTGGAAGAGATGAAGAGAAGAGCCGAGGAGGAGAAGAGGAGGCGGCATCGCCAGCGAGAGCAGATATATGCCGACAACCTGGATATTCTTATGCGAGAGACGGGCAACAACATTAGCTCCATTTCGATGCCGACTCGTTTACCCATTGACAGCTATGACGTCTATTGCGAAAAGCTTGAAGGCCAGTGGAAAAAGCACGACTTTACAATCGACATCGAAAAAACGGCTACACCCGGGCTTTTGGAAGCTGCCTTTGACTTCGGGGTCGTGGAGGGGATTATGATCATCTGTGGCAGTCAATCTAGACTGAAAGAATGTCGCGATCGAGCATATCGTGGAAAAAACCCTTATCAGTACCCTTTTCCGGAGGTAAATGACGATCTTAGCAATGCTTTCTCTTCTTCGTCATCAGGTTCATCCTCAAACCCGTCCGGTGGTGATAGCGGCGTTTCGAACGGAAAACACCATCAACCTGGTTCCAAGAGAAAATCAGAAGATGAACGACCGACCACGGAGATAAAGGGAGCTAAGAAAGGACAAGGACTACCTTACAAGTATCCTCTGATGCTCAGATGCCGCGAGATGTATCAACAAGAGATACTATACAATCCCGAGATGGGCAAGACCATGTTCAAAGACGGCAACTTCGATTGTTTTACTGGAATTGTGAACTTGCCTGACGACTTTGGAAGAAATGTTGTCTTCTATGCACTCAAAGTTTCCCACGAACCTCAATCTTTCAATAAGCAGTGGTCGGATTATTCGGAAGAGCAGTGGGAGTTCGAGTGTCGTGATAGATATCGACGGAGGTGACGAAGCTAGTGCCAGTGGTATGCAAGTCGGGAATTGTGTAGGCAGAAGTTCTATTGTGACATTCAAGTTCCAAGGTTGTTTTCAAAGTGTTATGAGTCAACGGCAGAAAAGTTTTTGTAGTCTCCTGCAAGTTATTATACAGCAGTTGAATTCTTCACTGTTCCTTCCTCTATAAAGAGCAATATACTGCTGGTATACTGCTGACATCCATGCAAGCACTAGCGGCTAAACTCTACAAGCAGCGAATCGTCGAGTACTTGATGGGAACTATGTACTACATAACTAGTGGGATACGGTTCATGGGAGGGAACGTGCTTTGACGCGCTAGACGAACCCAATCTCATATATAGCATGACTGAATTCATCTATTCATAGAAAGCGGTCTACATCATAACTGTTTGCATTAAGAACAAAAAATGACCAAGCAAGTTGATCGGGTCTAGTCGCATAAATATCTCTTAATCCTTTTCGTCATAACACGGGCTCCGCCCGCTCCAATCGTGGTGCACGGTTCTGGAATCCCGCCACCTAGATTGAAAAAAATAACCTCAAAGACGCGAAGATCGTTTTCCAATCTACTGCTTCTCCTCAGCCTGGCCCTCGGCGGGGGCATCAGCCATCTCGGCATCGCCAGCCTCGGCAGCGAGCTTCTTCTTGTGCTCCTCCTCGGCCTTTCGCAGGTCCTCGGCGGCCTTCTTCATAGCCTCGAGCTCGGCGGCCTTCTTGGCAGCAGCCTCCTCCTCGGCCTTGCGGACAGCCTGACGCTCAGCCTCAAGCTTCTCCTGGTAGCGCTGGATGATGGGACCGACAATGGAGCGGATCTCCTCTTGCTTGGAGACGTAGACGGACTTGGTGGTGTCATCGCCCTCTTCGTACAACCAATCCTCGATATCGGTCAGCTTGGAGCGGAGCTTGTCCTTCTCCTCCTCGCTGGCGAACTCGGAGTAGGCACCGTCGATCTTGTCACGGAGCTCGTAGATGGAGGCCTCGAGCTCATTCTTCTTCTCGTCGGTCTCGGCGACCAGCTTGTCCTCCATGTACATGGCGTTCTCACGCTCCTGGAGAATGGCCTTGGTAGCCTCGTCGATACCACCGGTACCGGCGTTGATGGGCAGGTCGCCCTTACGGACCTGCTTCTTGACCTTGCGGGTCTTCTTGGGCTGCTCGTCACCGTTGGTGTCCATAGCCTGTGCATATTGTTAGTAAATCGGAACCAGTGGAATCTTTCGGAAAACATAGTTAAAACTTACATCACCCTCCTTCTCGCCCTCCTCGGGAACGGGCTCCTCAACCTCCATATCCTCAACGTAGTAACCAGACTCGACGTTCAGGATACCGTGCAGGTTAAGACGGGCCTTGAGCTTGCAGATCATGAAGTCATCGTTGGCGTCGGCCTTGACGCCCTTGACAGAGAAGCGACCGATCCAGGGGTTGATCTTGCCGGGCAGCATCTCGGGCTTAGAGTAGCGGGCCTCCAGATCGAAGGGCTGCTTGCGGTAGAAGGTGAGGATCTTGGTTGAGGGCATAACGTTGCCACGGCTGAAGACGGTGAGGCTGGTGTCCTCATCGGGGATATCGGGAGACTGCTCCCAGGTGAAGTCGATGGGGTAGCTAACAATGTCGTGGATAGCGAAGTCACGGACACGGAAAACGGGGGAGAGAGTAGCGCAGCAGAAGGCACAACCACGGGCAATGGCCTCATCCTGGTTCAGGGTGAAAGACAAACCCTTACCAAAGAAGTTGCTGATGGCCTCCTTGATAGCGGGGACACGAGTGCTGCCACCAACCATCTCAATGTAGTCAATGTCCTCAACCTTGAGCTTGGCCTCAGCGAGAGCCTGCTCGATGGGAACGGTGATGCGGTCCAGCAGAGAGCGAACCATATCCTCCATATCCTCACGCTTGACCATAGCGCGAACATCGGTGTCCTCCATTAGGGACTCGATGCTCATGGGAGCCTGGGGGTTGGCGGACAGGACCTTCTTGAGCTTCTCGGCGGCAGCCAGGGTACGAGACCAGGCCTTGGGGTGAGTGCGGATATCAATCTTGTACTTCTCCTTGAACTCATCGGCGAAGTGCTCGGTGAGGGCATAGTCGAAGTCACGACCACCGAAGTGGCGGTCGTAGGCGGTGGATTTGACGTTCAGCTCACCCTTACGGAACTCAACAATGGTGGCAGTGTAGTCGGAGTAACCGATATCGACGAAAGCGACACGGCGGGGCTTCTCCTCGGGGCCGGGCAGGTCGAGCTTGGTGATACCGTAACCCAGAGCGGTGGCAGTGGTGTCGTTGACAAGGCGGAGGGCATTGAGACCGGCAATGTCAGCCGCATCGATCATGGCACGGCGCTGAACGTCGGTGAACCAGGCGGGAACGCTGATAGTGACGTCGGACACGGGCAGACCGAGTTCCTTGGAGGTGGTGTCCTTGATCTTGGTCAGGAACATGGCGACCAACTGAGTCGCGGTGAACTTCTCCTTCTTGCCGAGGTAGTTGACCTCAACACCGGCGAGGCCATTGACATCGCAGATGGGGGCTGTGTTGTAGCGCTGCTCGAGCTCGACATCGGGGTCGTTGAAAGAGCGGCCGATCAGGCGTTTAAGGGAACCGATAGTGTTCTTGAGGTTCGAAGTCTCTTGTGTCTTTGCTGCTTCACCGATGTGTCTGCTGCGAGCGTTGAAACCGACGAGAGACCTATTGGGCAGGAAATTTCAAGTTAGTCTTTCAAAAATCTGATTGGGATGACGTCGGGCCGCAGTAAGCGATCGGACTTACGGAGTCTGACGGTTGGAAACTTCATTGGCGATCTAAAGGGAAAGAAACAATCCTAGTCAGTCTCAATTCTTTTTTTTTTGGTCAAAAGGGCGACAGGGAAGATATGCGCATCATCCACATGGGGTGAGGCTGGACTGGCGGGGCAAATACGCACAATATCAATACCCTTGTTACGGGCAACACCAATCTTGGTGCTCTGCGCACCGAGATCAATACCGACAACAGACATTGTAGGCGGGAGGAAATGGGGGTATATTGAAGAGAAGGGGGGGAGGGTGGGTGGAGGGAGAGTCAGAAGGGAAAAGAAGTTTGGAGGGGAGAACAATTTGCACGCCACTCCACTATGCGATTGGCGGGGAGTGACAAGGTATAACGGAATTTTCTTAAGTTGGGCCACAAAAAAGATGAATGAGGGAGAGAAGACGGTGAAAGAGAGGGACTGAATTTACTTGAACTACGAATCGAAAAATTTGCCTACGATATAATAACGTAAGAAGACCTCAGTCCAAGAGTTGGCAAAGTGACTGTGTGGACTCATCGAACCTTCCAGCGGTTGCCAGGCTTTTCTTGGTTCTGCCAGAATTCACCGCCATGAGGCAGAATTTTCGTCGGGGCTCCACGGCGGTGAGAAAGGCTCCACTCATTTTGTGTGGCGAATCACAGCACACCCAATGATATATGATGTATCATTTTTTTTTTCCTTATCAATGTTGTTGTTATGGGAACTCCGTCTGTACTGGTTTTAATTTTACTTTTACTTTTCCATGCATATGTCACAATCGTAAAAATAATGATCAATAAATCTATAGACGCCGCGAACAAGAGAGAAAGAGGAAATATTTCCAAAAAAAAAAGTGGAACAAGCCCAGTTGACTTGAGAAACACGACGTCATTCAGACCATCTCCCTACGAGTACGTCCCCAAATATTGGACCCCGTCGTGGAGACTCATCATTCCCAACAGTGGTCAACGGTGGTCCAGTTGCCCTGTCATCCTCATCTCTTCTAGTAAAATTTGACTCTCTTGCATCGAATCATGTGGCTCGGCAAAGGGCGACATAATTTGAAAGTGAGAGGCCTCTGCATGGTCGGGAATAGGTTCGAGAATCTGTGGCCACACTGCAGCCTTGTCTGAGGCTCCAGGCATACCGATGGACGCCCGAACTTGACGGGCATAATACAACTTGCGTTGATCCTCTTCACTCATTAGGCTTTCCACTGTGTGCGGCAGCAAAACTGAATTGGACCCGCTATCAGAAGATTCGGTGAAGATGGACTCCATAGACTCGCGAAGTTGACCCGGTATATGGAATCGGGGGACACCTGGGAGAGGGGCTGGCATGCGTGCTTGAGCAGGATTGATCTCGTTGGTGGTGATATAGAATCCATCCAAAAGTTGTTCCGCAGGTGCAAAACGTCCATCAATGTGGTCGGACGGGCGAACGGGAACTGATCGTCGGCGGACGCTGTTCGCACGGAAAGTGTCGACGTCGATGTTCAGCTCATTCCCCAGTTCTTTAGCCAACTCGGCAGCCTCCTCGGGAGTTATATGGTCATCCGCAGTGGCTGCATCGGCTCGTGGTCCACCCCAAGTGCGCTGTCCAGCGGTGAAAATCCCATATACCATGTAAAGCCAGTTGAAGAATGGATTAACGATGAACATTAGTGGATAGAGCCATGCTTTGTACCGACCAAGTCGAAGACCGAAATAAAGCATGAGTAAATAATTCAGACCAAGGGAAACACCGATAAAGCCAACGGGGACGTCATTGACCGTTTTGGAAGTCGTGATAAGGGCGATAGCCATGATGAAAAAGAGCAGAGCAGTGGTTCGAATAGTGTTCTGTAAAAATCGAACAACACAGAGGAACGGATAACGTTTCCATAGCCTGACATCAGTGATCATGCAAACTTCATTGGTGATAAAGCCCAAAAACCAGCGGCGCCGCTGTTTGAGCAAGCTGCTGAAGGTTTGAACAGCTTCAGTTTTGCAGAAGGCGCCACTACACATCTGGATCTGATAGGGATGTTTGGCTCCGACCATGAAGAGGTGAGTGAGCCATCGATCTTCGCCCAGGTGACATTTCCCGAAGTCGAATATGTCGTCGCATTGCTCAGCCTTGTCGGAAAAATAGTATTTGGCCATTTTGCGAAATGCCGAGAAACGAAGGATGGTTAATGCACCGGGAAGACATGTCACGGCCCCGCATGCAGACTCCACCGAACGCTCAAAAAGCTGACCATGGACATATTCCATATCCTGGAGAACCGTGAGAAAAGAGTGCTTCGTCGTGGTGGAGGTGATGATACCCGTCATGGCTAGCATGTTGTGCTTGCTTCCCGGTTTCAGTTCCATGTCATACATGAAGTTTTGCAGACAGACGCGATCGAGGATGCAATCGGAATCAATAAAAAGCACAAACAAATCGTCATGTCGCTTCAGATACTCTGCATAAACTTTGTCGATAAGTTTAAATGTTTGCTTCTGACAGTACCGTTTGCCACCATGAGAGAAACGAGAAACGGTGATCCGAGCATTTTTGTAAATAACATCAATGCTTTGAGGGTAGCTTTTCAGAGAGATCGGAATACCCAAGTGTTGAATAACCCGGAGATAGGATTCGTCAACGATATTTCCATCCCAAGAGAGAAACACATGAATGCATGCTGCTGGATAGTCGCAATCGACGACCGAGTCGATTGCCTTGATCAACGTCTCAGGCTCCTCTTTGTAAACTGGCATAACGACCACCGTCTTCGGTGCAGTACGATCATCCAAAACCTGCTTTATCCTCTTTTTGCGTCCAAGGGAGCTTGTGACGAGCTGGTAAATACAGGCAAGCCATGGCCCGACGAGGAGGAGGGAGAAAGACCAGAAGGCGAACCACTGGAGATCTCGGGCCATGTACTCAGGAATATGGTGGCTCAGTTGAGGCGGCAGAGGAATGGTCACAATCATGACAGGAAGAAAAGCTAATCTGTAATCCCAACCATTGCGGTTAGCCCTTTTTCTCCCCGAGATCCCCAAATTCCGCCTGTTTGGGCTTACCGTAGCAAAGAGAAGAGAAAGACCATCACCACCGCGAGGACTTTGATGCTCCAATGATCTGCCTTTTGATAAACCTTGACGAGGCAGTAAATAAATGCTGCAAGCCAAAGCACCCATTCAAAAGCCGCTGCCAACATTAATGGCCCAACTATGGATAGGTAGATGATCTATTCACCAAGTTAATCTGCGAATCTTGGGAGAGAGAAGAGGTAGAGCCTTACATCTCTAGTCGGCCACCTGGTGGAGTAGGACACAGGCTCGTCGGTGACTGCCATGTCGAGTATAAGGCTTTTTCAATGCAGGTTCGGGTAAACTTTCTAAGCCCAGTGACTAGAAGATCCAATGCCCTAGAATATGTATGAGATAGAAATAGGAATGTTGAAGGCCGAGGCTTTTCGCCAGGCTGTTCGGGGGCAGATCGGAGCGCGTTTCCGGGTGAATCTTTTTTTCCCCCAGGATGGAGGCTCTTGAGTTGGTTCGAAGAGTAAAATCTGCCACGTTTGAAGGCCTTTCGCGCTTGTGTGCATCGATTATGTTGGTATCCGGGATGTGCAAACCGGGTAAGAACGGAGGAATGAATAGAAAATGGGGAGTTGGTCCGGTAGAGAGTTGCGATGATAGGAGCCCGGGGGGAGGCGGGAGAATCAAAAATGCATCGGTGAAGACCCGACGAAAGCACCGTTCGTATCTCAAGGCAGGAGCGATTTGTTCCTGAGCAGTTCCAACTTCCAAGTAACTGCTGCCACCCTGCATAGTATAGACTATGGCTATGATTACTCGTAGTATCTCACAAAGGTCCCTTAATTTGACTGTAAATCACTAGATTTGATATTATGTATAATTCTGCTATATTCTTTTCACACTTTCAGGACCATGTCGTGCATACAGCATACAGCATACGCAAATGTATACTTTAGAGCCTCGGGATGATCTAGCCAAATAAGGCTTAGTGTTGAAGCCTCAGGTGTCAGTGGAGCTGCCGCGCTCCAAAAAAAATTCACTCCCCGCCGAGCTCTTGCCCTCTTAAGATAGATCATCCACGGCGATTCAACCTTGGTTTTTCGTCTCACAGCCACTTACTTCATAACTTATCTTTTAGTCTTACATCCGTGACTCAGTCCTTCTTCCAACCGTTGACTCATCCCGCCGAGTCATCTTGGCACCTTCATTTTCGCCCTCGCGATCAGAAACCAAAACCTTGTCGCATACTCAATCTACCACAATGTCTGAGGAGCAGAAGCCCACCAACAACGCTCAGGCTGAGCAGGATGTCCAGGATGTCCTCGCCGAGCTGAAGGGTGACAATGCCGCCCCCGCCGAGGCGAGCAAGGAAGACGCCGAAGAGGCGCGCATCGTCGCCGAGGCCGCCAAGCTTGGAGAGAAATCGGAGCAGTCCGAGGAGTCACAGCAACGCGACACCCGGGGTGGTCGTGGTGGTAGCCGTGGTGGTCGCGGTGGTCGCTTCGCCAACAACGTCAAGTTTGACCCCTCCCAGCAGAAGCAGACTGACGACCCCGTCGAGATCCGCAAGCAGGTAAGACAGCCGCGCGAGGAAGGGCGTCGGAAGCTCTGAATTCACGATTAATCTAATATGCCCGGCTTTAGGTCGAGTTCTATTTCTCCGACTCCAACCTTCCCATGGACAAGTTCCTCTTCTCCAAAGTCGGCGGCAGCGAGAACAACTCCGTTCCCCTGGAGCTGCTCCACTCCTTCAAGCGCATGCGCCGCTTCCAGCCCTTCGACGCCATTGTTGAGGCCATGAAGACCTCCGAGACTCTTGACCTGGTCGACGACAACACCGCCGTCCGGCGCAAGGTTGCCCTGCCCGATGATGTGAAGGTTCACAGCGACCAATACGCCAAGGTCTTCGCCGACGAAGCTATGGCCCGCAGCGTCTACGCCAAGGGCTTCTGCCGATTTGGTGAGGAGGGCCCCACCACCCAGACCGATATCGAGACTTTCTTCGAGACCTACGGCCCCATCAACTCCGTTCGTCTTCGCCGTACCAACCCCGAGAAGGTTTTCAAGGGCAGTGTTTTCGTCGAATTCAAGTCCGAGGACAAGCAGAAGGAATTCCTGGCTCTGGACCCCAAGCCCAAGTTCAACGACCGCGAGCTGCTCATCAAGACCAAGAAGGAATACTGTGATGAGAAGGTGGAGGAGATTAACAACGGCACTGTTCGCCCCAACGATGATCGCCACCGTGCTGGCCGTGGCCGTGGCCGTGGTGGTCGTGGTGGTCGCGGTGATCGTGGTGGTCGTGGACGCGGCGGTCGTGGCGGTGCCCCCCGCAATGATCGTGACTGGCGCGAGCGCCGGGACGAGGACCAGAAGAGCGGATTTAAGGATGCGGCTCAGAAGGACTCTCGGTAAGAAAGCACCTCCATGAAAACGATTGAGAGATAGTCGCAGCTAACAAGTATAATTAGTGGCGTTCCCGTTGTCAAGAGCTCCTCCGACTCTGCTGGTCAGAAGCGCACTCGTGACGAGGAAGCCAACGGCGATCACCCCGCTAAGAAGGTTGATTCGAAGGAGTAGGCGGCCAGCCGGCTGCTAAACTCCTTGTTTCACGTTTCTATTTTCATTGGCCATCAGAATATCAAAAGTCTTGGAACGGACACGGTGCCTGTTTACAATTTTACATAGGGGAGACCCCAACGGCTCTACTGGCGTTATGACAAATGATTAATCACGATAAACTTGTGTTCAGTTCTTGCTTCTTCAAAAAAGCGCATGTATACTCAAGTCCTTTCCAATAAAGTAAAGTTTTTGACTAGATAATCCGCTAGCATTCTTTCTTCATCGAATCTATCCATCAATGTCTAGTATAGGCTCCTCACTTAGAACTCCAGATCATAAGCAAGGGTATCTTCGCAGAGCTCTTCTCTCATCTTATGAACCCTGCGGTGCATGGTACGTTAGCACAAGAACGGGCGTAACTAAGGGATTGAAAGTTCCTACTCAAGGTGTGCCGGGTGTGTCGCATAGGTAGCGACATCATCGGCCTTTTCCAGGACCGCCACAAGGCCCATATCAAATCCCTTTGCGCGAGGAACCGAGATTGGCAGTGGCTGGTTAGTTTCCATCGAGACAAGACCTGTATTCATATTCCGTCGATATCAGCGGATTGTTGCTAATTGAGTAGACAGATGTTTGGAAATGACTAACCGGGAATTTGCCCAACCATTCCCTTGCATTTCTGCGACCAGATCGCCAACTGGGCTTGGGTGACTCCGGCCTTGAGGCGGAAGAGGACTGTTGCGTCGGTCAGCTCTCCGAGGGTTTACAGTAGATAGCCAGTTCTCTGCGTGAAATTGGGTGACCCAGGGTATCATGAGGGCAATTATAAATTTGAACTCACCAATGTGATAGATAGGCATGGCTGGTAGTCAAATATTGTTTCAAGTGAGGGGAGATAGAAGGAGAAAGACAAATCTGGCAAATAGCTTGAAGTTATCCCATCGGACTATCTGATCAGCGGAGAGCGGGGGTGACCTTTGAGGGTCGGGAAATGTCCGATGGGCCGGAAGTTGAATGGAAGCCCTGGAGCCCATGTACCTACTATTCGTACTTCAAGGTTCGTTCTTGGTCTCGGTTTAGTCTACTACTAGTAATAGTATACCATCTATTTCCTCGTCAAATTTGAAGTCGAAATTACGGAGTACTCCAGGGCTAGTACTACTAGTAGTCGACTATATATCGATCTCGAGTAAAGCCACCCTGTGTTGACTATCCCTCCCATCTGGCAAACATTCTCTTGTAAATACAGGTGCATACCCAGGTCATTTCTAGACATGGGCGTATGGGAATGACCATGTCTGACTCACACTGATACCTCGAGTCATGGCCAGTCATCGCGTGTCGGGGATGCGTCGCGGCAGGTGGAGACCTCGGGAACCTTCAAGTGTGAAAGGCGGGCATATTTTTGTCTCTGCATCCACCTCTGCGCATTCAAACAACTTCCAACATTCGCTCCTTACTATCGGTGGCTGAAAACGAGTAGAACCGGTTTTCATCTCCCTCCTTTACAACTGAATTACACCACTCAACCACCGACGAAAATGTTCAAGAAGAAGCCTACGGTGGGTGATCAACACCTCCCCGCATTGCCCCTCCTTGAAGCTATCCCACCTTGACTTTCTCATGACGACGCAAACCCAGCAATGAAGTGAATGCTAAACAAACATGACCATTTATATATACAGATCAAGAACCTTTCTCCTTTGCGATCTTCCGATCGCAGGAAAATCGCCGACCAAATCATTAGCGATTACAAGATCTCCATCCCTTCGAGTCCCACCGAAACAAGCTCAGATTCAGCCGATAAAGCCGCTACTCCGACCCCAACTCTCTCTTCCATCCGAAATGCCCTTCTCCCAGAAAACTCGCTGACGGCACGCTTCACAACGACGGCCGGCCCAGACCTGCGCGAGGTTCAGGGTATCGTTTACGTTGGCGCACACCCGGGAGAGGACGAGCGCGTGCTCTGGTTCAAGGTGGAACATGGCCCTGGCTCCGATAAAAAGCTATATCCAACCGTCTACACACTATGGAATAACCCCGACATCATGCCATTACTACACACCCCGGAGATGGTCATGCGGAAATTACAGGGTGGTGCGGATCTCATGACTCCCGGTCTGGCCAATGATCCGCCCTTCGATCCCCGAGCAGTCAAGGGCTCTCCTGTTGCCGTTGCGAGTTTGAACAGCCATTCAGTTCCTCTCTTTGTTGGTATCTGTGAGATCGATGTCTCGGCACTCCGGGAGGTCCAAGGCACCAAAGGCCATGCGATCCGAGGTTTGCACTGGCAAGGAGACGAATTATGGGCATGGAGTTCTTCATCGAGACCTGGTCGTCCTGCTCCTGAATATCTGGAAGGATGGGATGAAGAAGTGGAAGAGGAGGATGAGTTGGAGGAAGGTGTTGCTGAATTGACCCTTGATGAGAGCGCAGGTGAAACTGTTGACAATAATCGCAATGGTTTTGTCGATGAATCACCAGCTCTTGAGGCAGAGCCTGCTGTGGCACTGAAAGAGCCTACAACTAAGGGTATGAAATATAGACTCAACAGCCGATCTTATTATTTGCTAATAAGTCCTAGAAATCGATGATGCGTTTATCAACGCATTCGTCTACGCCCTCTACAAGCTCAAGCAGGACAACCCATCAGCAAATAACCACGGGTTGACGCTACCGGTGTCACCCTCTATGCTTATTGCAAACCTGATCGCCCCTTACCTCCCGATATATAACCCCCAAGAAGCTCAATTCTACAGCATCAAAAAGACCAGCTGGAAGAATGTTAAAAAGTTTATCAAGCAATTGGACAAGCTTCAACTTGTCAAGTCGAAAGACCGCAATGGGCAAGAAACTGTGATTCTGGATGTTGATTTTCGCGACCATCGTGTGGAGCGATTTGTGCCCTATAGACTGCCATCACGCAGTGCTCTAGACAGCTCAAGCAAACCCGCCGCCGCGGATGGCAAAAAGGCTACTGCAACTGGCGATTCTGATCCATCTGTTGGACAAACTCTTCTCGTTCAAACTCTTTATCGCCCAACGGGGAAGCTAGCACCAACAATCTTCCCAGCCCTTTCTACAAGTGACCCGAAGAACTTCTACAAATACGCCGAGGTATCCACCTACCTGGATCAATACCTCCAATCACAAGTCCCGCCTATCATCTCCAAAGACAACCGACGCATCATCACTCTTAACCCCTTCCTCGCAGAGACCGTCTTCACCTCATCTTCCACCGAAGATCAAGGAACCTTGAAGCGAGGCAAGACTACTCGCGACGGCCTCTTGAAGCGCATCCAAGAAGACCGCACCCTTCTTCAGCCACACTACGCAATTCTCAAGCCAGGCCAAACCCTCGCCGAGGTCAAGCCTAAATCCGGCGCGACGCCCAAAGCTCTTGTCACGATCGAGAAACGAACAGGGTCCAAGACCATGACGAAGGTTACCAACTTGGAAATCTTCGGCATCATTCCAGCTCTCTTGGCAGAGGAGTTGCAAAAGAAGTGTGCCAGTAGTACCAGTGTTACTCAGGCTACGGGTGCGGCCAAGGGAGTCATGGAGGTTCTGGTACAAGGTGATCAACGCCAGGTTGTGCAGACTGCTCTTGTGCGGCGTGGACTGAAGACGCAATGGGTTGATATGGTGGATAAGACTAAGAAGAAGAAATAGATACTAGAGGATTAGTTGGTGATTGGATATTATGAATTACGGGTTCACCAGGGCTCAACTTTGTACTTGGTAGATATTCAGGTATATATGCGATATGTGAACTACTAGTACTAGTAGTCCATTCTTACCTACTATTAGTTAGTAGCAGGACACCCGTGACCGTGCCCACTGGAATGTCTTAGGCTACTATTAGTTTATCACCCCCAGTCTCTTGATCCCAAGGTTCCAAGGTATTGTTATAAGACTTCTTTCTTCTTTTCGTGATTTTGTACAAGACTTCAAGTTCCAAGGTTGGTAGTAGCGAGCGTGCGTAGTTTACATTTAATAGGGTACAAAGTCGTCGATTGAGGATGCTGTCAGCGGCGGTTAGCTACTATTATCTGTCTCTCTTCTTCCTTCTTCCTGGCTTCTCCTTTGTATGAATGGATGTTTATTTCCAAAAATTTACGTACCAGTGAGGCTCCTGTCTTTCTTGCTGGTGTCATGTGGTGAAGGGACTGCAGACCAGGTTCTGTGTAGCATGTCTAGAGCTTTCTGTGTGTTCTGACTCTTGGTAATTCGATACTGAATTTTCAGAAGGTTTTTAATATCACCTTCATATTCGCGCTCTGCCTCGTGGCCTGCAATGAATAAAGCTGTACTTAGACAAATAGATGGATGTGAGCCAGCATGCATAGGTATAGAACTCGCAAGTTCGATGACGCTGCGAACCGAATTGGTGACACTGGGGTCTTTGCGGTCCAATCCGAGGCCATATCGATAAAGGCATATCAAGGAAACATGCTGCGCAATGGTATTGCATATCCGATAGTCTTCCAAGTGGGTATCCGTCGGAAGGCCTTGGAGCTCGTTGCTCACCATTGGAGGAGTCTTGGAGTCGCGTGCCATCATCTGCTGTACAAATGAAACTAGCTTCGCGGAAATTTGTTGAGAATATTCGGTAATATTTTGAGGCTCAGATTTAGGCAGCTCCAGCGACTGATATTTCATCTCTTCAAGAATACCAATCCATCTGAATACATCCAGCAATTCCATGCAGCAGGCCATTGTTCCGTCGATAATTCCAACAGTCTGCAAGCAAGGCAGAATTGCCGGATATGTGGACAAGTAGCACATACGCGGGAGCCGAGGCCACGATGTAGGCAGCGACAGAAGAAATCCTATGACTGTGATTCTTCTAAGTATAAACCGCCAGAGTGCTTCATCTCCAGGTCTATACTGCGCTGGAAACTGCGACAGTAGATACCTCGCATACTCAAAGTGTTGGCGCCAGGCGCTAGTCTCCGGATAATAGCGTAGCTCGCAGGTTGCTAGCATCAACATTGTAGCGATTATGGCTTCATTGTTCGGTGTTATTCTCTGGCACACCTCGGACCGCAAACATGAAAGAGCTGCAGAGCGTAGCTGTAACACCTGTATCTGTATCGACTGGTCCTTGATCGATCTAGACGCATCATGCATTCGAGAGGATTTGTGCATTGCTGAAAACAGTAGACTAGCATATAGCAGACTCGGAAACGTTGATCCAGCTGATATCACTGCATTGCAGGTGTCATACTGAATACCCTCGTTGCATGAAATGGCAGCGGATGCCTCATGGACGTAGTATGAGAGGAACAGACTGTGAGACGAGCTAAGACTGGGAAAAAGGCGGAAGGTATGCCTCGCTGGAGGTAACGATAGAACAAATACTGAATCGGCCATGTGGTGCCGCCTTAATTCGTACTTCCCGTACGCACATGGGATATCCGCATCAAAACACCGGCTGCATTGTGGCTGTAGCTCGTCGCACTTCTGGTGCCTACTTCTGCATCTATCACAGCCCGTGCGAGACCGAAGTTTCAGCCGGCGACTAGTATTCATTTCCGCTTGTGTTTCTGAATGGCTTTTGTGCCAGTGGTAAGTGCAGAGACAAAAAAAAAAACTAAAAAGGAGATCGGGTGGATGGCGCGGAATATCCATTGGTAGGATGGTGGGGCTGAGCACCAGCTCCATGTGAGAATGCCTTAGGAATCTGTCGGTGAAATTGGAAGAGCTTTGCGACTGTCATTCTCAAGTTGGTTTAGTAATCCTAGAGAGGATTTCATGCCCTTGGCATTCGTAGTAGTATGAGTTATTCCCTGGGGCTAATTATTTACCGAAGAGTCACTTGTTGATTCTGGAGGCACCAAGAACAAGTTTATCAAGGCAATGAAGCCGTCATACTATGCCACTAGGTAGAGCCACAGTATTGAAATACGTATAAATTATCGTGCGGTATGCTTATTGGGTTATGCTCCAGGGCTAATGATACACCTATTTGACATACTCGAAGCATGAACTCGACAAATGACATACTAGTAGTATCTTTGCGATTAAAATCCCTATCTGAAGCCTATGGTCTGTGAGATCTAGTTTGATATTTCACGTGCCCGAGTCTAGCCGCGATCGACTCCCCCGGCCCTAAGAACTACTAGACCTTAAGCTATGTAGGCTGGTACCTTGGGATCTACAATGGTGGCTGTCGTAAAAGAATGTAATTGGCACCCGAGAAGCTGCGCCTCAGTCCCACACGATGCAAACTGACACTAAATACCAAAACAGTACCAAGTACTACTTAGTACTGTAGTCGTTAACCTTCCTAGCGGGAACAACTCCGATACTGAGCCACAACGATGGGACGTACTGAATCCAAGAAATGTCACGAAATCCTGAAGATAAGACAGAGTAACAAAGAAGCTGTTTAAGATCGTAGAGATGGCTGCTAAATACCCCATTTCTTCGTTCAATACTACTGATGGAATCCAATCAAGTCTGTGCTATCCCATAGTCCTCGACTTAATCTGTGGATATGATAAGTTACGTTGCTGCCTGTGTACCTGCGCAAGTTATGGAGGATCCACGGCCGGAAGGTGGCTGATGTAACGCCACAACGAAAATCTTCGGGAAGCATCTTTAGCGGCAGAATTTGACGTCGACTAAACTTAATCGAAGAGATTACTGGGGACTCCATCTCGCTGTGGGCCTCGTGAAGGCGCTACTAGCCACCGGTACTAGTAATAGCTTTTCATGGTTTTGTATACATCAACACATCTACGAATTCAATTCAGATTGAGCTCCAAATTGAAAGGTCACGGCTCAAGTTTCTTTACCGATCGGCGATATCCCAAAGAACCTAGAATGATCTCACACTGGAATAGTACTATTATTTATATCTTGAGCTTCCAGTTGTACACGATCCTAGATTATATTAGTGGAAGAACAATCATACTAGTAAATATCTAGTGCTTCTGCAGTGTACTATGGTTGTCGATCAAAATCTGTAGAGTAAAAGCCGAAAGCGCTGAGCATGTGAAACCCCATTCTGAGCGGAAGCCAAGGCTGCATACTACGAAACCGATGGACTTGAAACAATAAATTGACATTCAAACTGATTTTTGCCGATCCGTGAAAAAGCAACACTGAGGTATTGTGGAGTATTTCTCTCCCCGAGAATATTTAGAACTAATTTGACTTTTCTTTGTTAAATTTGACGCATTTGGAAGGTGGCTAATACTAATCCCAAGAAACGGGTCGATGCGATGCCAGCGGAGGCAACACAATTACTGCTAGCAATTTACCATGCACTGCCTGGACTAACCTTGGAATTTTCGTATAAATACTTCAAGGATTATGGGAATCCAACACCGCAGCAGCAATTATTTCAACAACATATCACTATGCTATTATTCCTTTTTTTCACTGCTAGTATGCTTCAACTTCAGGGTATTTTTGCCACTTCTATCCATCGACCTGCAGAATGGGATCACCAGCAGCAGGTCATTATGGCCTGGCCATCTGCCGAGAATGGTGCATATGGCAATGATTTGGCCGCTATCACCCGTGATGTTTCCAGAATTGTTGAGGCGGTGGCTCAATTTGAGCCAGTGACATTGTTGGTCACCCCGGATCGACACAAGGAGGCAAAGAAACGATTCAACAATGAGACAGGTGACATCGAAATACGACCTGTCCATGATTATCCCAAGCTTGACCTCTGGATGCGTGATATGGCACCAACCTTTGTTTTCAACGAATCGCATCTTTCTGGAGTTGACTATAACTTCAATGGCTGGGGTAACAAATACCCCGTGGAGGCAAATTTTTCCCTTGCATCCCAAATCCTCCACGATATCCGAAAGCCTCGAATTACAACCTGGCTTGTAACTGAGGGTGGCTCGATTGAAGTCGATGGAGAGGGTACTCTTCTGATCACCGATAGCTCGATTGTGAACAAAAACCGGAATCCAGGAAAGAGTCAGAAGGAAATTGAGGATGAGCTACGGAAAACGCTTGGTATCTCAAAGATTATCTGGCTGCCAGGTATCAAGGGTGCCGATATTACGGATGGCCATGTTGATGGTCTCGCGCGTTTTATTGCGCCTGGGAAAGTCGTTCTCAGCAAGCCGAATGTTCTTGACGATAGTGAATTCACCATGGTGTACAGAAAGGCCCGTGACATCCTGTCTAATGCGACAGATGCTAAAGGCCGGCACCTTGAAATCACTGAGATCGTTGAGGCAGATCTACACTCGCTTGGGTTGGATCGACGTACCCTGAAGGAGATCGAAGATGGCCAGGAGGATTATCCTTCATTGACTTATGTCAACTGGCTACTTGTGAACAACGGCGTTATTTTCCCCCAATTTGGAGACAAAAAGGCAGATTCCGCGGCCTTGAAGATAATCCGTGAGTTGTACAAGGATCGCCAAGTGGTCACTGTGCGTCTCGATGAGTTGCCTTTTGCCGGTGGAGGTATTCATTGCTCTACGCAGGAGGTTCCTATTGCTGGTCGAACTCCGCCAAGTCAGCGAAAAGAGGGCTCTGGCTCTTGCTCTCCCCAGTAAGGGTCCGCTTTCTGAAAGGTGGTGATCGATCATTGATGGGATTCTACCAAGGAAAGTCTGATTTTGCATTCACTCAATCATTCCTATATTTTGTACACTTAGAAGAGTTAGTTTGGCCTGCTAGTGTTATAACACACTAACGCAAACTTTTTTTTTTTTTCACAGAGACCCTCTCAACAGCAGTCTCCTACTACTAGTAGTATATACTAATTATTCGACCGTTCGATCAATGCAATTGCAGCGAGCTTTCTTTTTATCTATCACTTGTTTGTCGAAGGCTAATGTAATAAGTGGCATCTTCCACGTAAACTATGAACAATTGGGCACGGAAATGTGGCGCATGAGCCAACAGCATTCAAGTTCCTTTCCGGTAACGCCAACCTTCATTTGTCTGATACACACTTCTACTAGTGAGACCCCAGTTTCTTCTGTGAAACGTGAATATCGCTCAGTGAGTACTAAATTGTAAAGGGAAAGCCAAGACTTGCATCGGAAATCCGATACGTAGGTTCCTACTCAGAGGATCAATATCATATACTAATTGATACCCAGGCATTCATAGATTTCGATTCCGTTTTTTTAAGGAGTATGTACCAGGTAGGCCTTCTGCGGGTTGTTGATGGAGAGTATCATGGTCCCGATTGGGCCGTTGGCTTCGTTTGCTCCCTTCCATTTACGGCAGGACTCTCATTCACAACAGGCCCGGACTAGCTTTACCGATCCTTCTTCTTTCTTCCATTCTTTTCTTCCATTCTTTTCTACCCTAAAAGAAAGGCTTACATTGCGATCCAACATACTGACTCATCCCATGGTCCACATCTTTACTTTGTATTGACTACCGTCCCTGACGCCTCGAGTCGGCGCCACTAGGGTTGAGAGATAGCCCGAGCTTCCCTGCATTCATTCAAGGTGGGCACTGGAAGTGTACTCTACCTCCCAGGCTTCAACGGTGTGTGAAACCTTTTTCTTACTTCCCTACATATATCCTTCTATATAGCTGACCACAACCATAGAGATACCTGACACACGCACCTCCCAATCACAATCCGCTGTGCATCACTCTAAAAACCCGCAGCTTTTTCGGCCTCATCAACCCTCGCAAACATGGTCTACATCATGAAAATCTACATCGATGGCGGCTGTAGAGGCAACGGAACACCGAGTGCGATTGGTGCCGCTGCCGCCGTTTTCATGAACAGATGGGGTCGCTACAACAAGGGCCTTACGAAAGCGCTTAACCCATGGCCTCGACCGACAAGCCAACGAGCTGAAATCGAAGCTATTATCCTAGCACTGAAACGAGCCTTGGAGCGATATGAAGGGCTTAACAACGACCCACGGCTCAGGGTGACAATCTATTCTGATTCGACATATGCGGTTAACTGTATGACACAGTGGATCCCCAGATGGATTAAGAATGGCTGGTCAAATTATGCGGACAATGAGGTTGCGAATCGAGATCTGCTGGAAGAGGCTTTCAATCTGAGTAATAGATTGAAAGAGGAGGGAAGGGTTAAGTACGTCTGGATTCCGAGGGAGGAAAATGCGCATGCAGACAAAATGTGCAATAAGAACATGGACAACCAATAGTTAGGACATACTACTCTAACTAGTCTTCTTTCGACTAGTCCTGTACTAGAAAACTACTACGAAGACAGATAGGGAAATGATGAGAGCAGTCTAACAATTCCATTCATGAAAAGAGTAAAAGAGAGAGCACCTCAGATATAAGGCTAAGCCCCTCACCCCCAATATATAGGGAAAGAGAAAAGAAGTAAAGAAAAGTAACAGGCTAAATGTTACAGACATCCCCAGTAAATAATCCCACAATCCAAAGAAAAGACCTGAATACCCGACACAGGCCAAGAAGAAGAAAGTCCAAGATCGGCCAACGTGCTCAGATCGTTTCCCTCATGAATGGAAGGGAGAGAAGATCGATCTGCGCTGGCCACTTTTGATTGGAATTTAGTTGGTCAGGGAGCGGGCGTGCTTCTTGTCAGTGACGAGCCACTTGACGGTCTTGCGGAGCATGCTGACGAACTGATCAGCGGACAGAGAGTCCAGGTAGGAGGACCAGTCGCTGGAGTTGTAGGAGCTGGAGCTGGAAGAGCCAGTGCTGGTGGTGGAGCCAGAGCTGGAAGAGCCAGAGCTGGAAGAGCCAGAGCTGGAAGAGCCAGAGCTGGAAGAGCCAGAGCTGGAGTCCGAGGAGTCGGAGCTGGAAGAGTCGGAGCTGGAGGAGCCGGAGCTGGGAGTGGCGCTCTGCTGAGATTGGCCGCTGGGGCTGGCAGTGACGGTCACGGAGTCCTCAACGGTGGCAGTCTGGTAAGAGACCTGGTTAGTAACCTGGGCAGCAGCAGTCTCGGTGACAGTGGAAGCGCCAGCAGGAGCACCACCAGCGGGGTTCTGCTCGCCAGCGGGCTGGGTCTGCTGGGCCTGACTGGAAGCGGTGGACACAATGGTAGCGCTGTAGGACGGGGGCAACGGGGTGCTGCGGAGAGGGGTGCTGGACGGGGAAGCACTAACGGGAGTAGCGCTGCTGGTAGCGATGGGAGCAACGGTGGCACCGGCGGTAGTAGTAGCAGCGGCAGAGGCGGCAGCGGTGGTTGCGGCCGAGGAGCCAGAGCCAGAAGAAGCACCAGAGTACAGAGCAGGACCAGGGATGTCATAGCTGCTAAGGGACTGGTAGATGTTGACCTTGATACCGGCGTCGGTGTTCTTATACAGAGCGGTACCCAGGGTGCCAGCGGGAGAGTCGCTGCCACCACCGGTAACCTTCAGGTTAATGCACTGAGGGTAGTTCTGGGCACCGTTGGTATCTCCAGCGGAGTGCAGGGCAATGATCTCGTGACGGAGAACATAGTTGCCAGAGGCGATGCTGCTGGGGATGGTAACAGTGTAGCTGTTGTTGTTGCTGATGAGGTTGTCGGAAGCCCAGGTGCCGGGAACGCTGCTGTCATCGATAAGACCGGCTTCGTCAATCTTGAAGAACTTCAGAGAGGTCTTGTCCACGGTAGTGCAGTCACCGTCGCAGTTAGCGAGGTATGTGATGACGGGACCGTGGTGAGACTCGGGCCACTCAGTCCACTGCAGCTCAACATCGCCACCAGCCTTGACAGAGGCAGAGAGGGCAGCGTTCTTGGCATCCTTGTGGCAGATAATGTCACTGCTCGAGTAGGAGGAACCGTCGATGAAGCCGTTGTCGGTGGCATCCTCAAACCAGCCGATGTTGTCGGGGAAGGGGTCCTGGTAGTTGTATGTGTCGACGATGAATCCACCGTGGTAGGTGCCGTCAACGACAGCACCGGTCACATAACCGTGGCCGGCCACAAGGGCAGCCGATCCGAGGACGGCTCCAACAAGCTTGGTAACAGACATCTTTCAGGTGATTTGATATAGAAACGCACAGCGTTTGCTTTTGAAGGCCGCAAAAAGAGCGAGGCCGGGATAAAAAGAATGGAAATGGGGACTTCAGTCAATGAAGTCAACCCGAGGAAGAGAATGGAAAGGTTGGAAAGAATGGAATGTGGAAAGACTGGTTGAAGAGAAGAAACGAGTAGCAGGGTCGTGGATTTGCATCTTTATATTCTTCTCCCAGTCGATGTTCATCCTCGACCGGCATCATAGCTCCATTAGGAGCCGAAAGCCATGCCAACGACTCCACAGGCACGCCAGATCTGTATAAGTTGGAACCCCTTAATTCAATGACTTTTTTCTGTCAGTGTCGCCAGTTCCCAAGACCAGTTCCACGGTCTTGCCTGGCCGGTCATAGGTGGAGAATCTCCCGCGACCGAAAGGGTAATGGCCCGAGGTAGGAGATAGATGAACAGCCTTGGTCTCCAAACCGCCATGTTTCCTGGCAGCGAAAATTAATTAAGCTATGCCCAGGTGCATTCCACTTGGAAGGCGTCCGGGGCCTGGTCAAACCACTAAACGGTGCCTGTCGATCTCTGGGCGGCTGTCTGTGACGACTGGAGTTTCATAACTCTAACAAAGCCTCTTCGGATTGGACGCTCGCTGCACGTCCCTACATGCGATGAGATATATCATCACTCTCTCCTTCACCCCCTCTCATCCACCTTTGAACTGCCAAGACATTGTCCAAGCTCCTGCTCATTCGGAGTAATTTCGTTCATTCTCATGATTGCGAAAGCTTGGTGGTTGAACTGAGAGAGAGGTCCGAACCGATGAACAAATGATGGGCGCGCATTGGCTAGAGCCATGTGGTGTGATGGAACCTTGATCGTATTCCAGTGCTTTTGACGCTTGCATGTTAGTAGTATGGGGCGAACAAGATGTCTCGGAGATGTCAGCGACGACACACCAACCGGCAATTCGCCAGCTGTCAGAACTGTTATGGCAATGTCGAGTGCAGGATCAGCGTTGGCTCAGACCCCATTACGAAGATCCCGTTAGTTTGATTTTGGTTTTTTTTTTTGGTTTGGGGCTCGGACTTTGGCTTGGGCTTTGAGATCATTTCGCCCCCAAGAAGGATTTGCCAGCTTAGCCTGAATGATATCGCGAGGCCATGACAAACCGTTCGACGCGCCCATCCCTGAATAATAATCACTTAATCTACCAGGACTGAGGGGCAAAGGGTTCCGGCGCGTACTCGGAGAATTATTTTGAAACGCTCGGGGGCTCGGCGTGCCGTACGGAGCGGAGTCCAGCATCTCCACTCCGCGACCCAGACCGTTGATTTCGCTGGGAACTAGCCCTGCATGGTGCGAATCCTTTTCAACTGTCCAATCTATGCGATATGCAATTGCCAATATCTCCGAAGTGAACACACCGGCCTAAGCTAGGTATGGCTGGCGGTAACTAGTTTAATGTCGCTAGAGGCATCGCTCTATGACAGGGTCGGCCCCGACGCGCCAGGCTGGAAGATCAGAAATTGACCCTGGAGCTCGAGAACGAAATTCTACTACCTAGTACGCTAGATGACGCCGCATGGCACTGACCCTTCGAGATTGCGTCGAACAAGGGACTAGCGCTCTCTGGATTGTTGAGGACGGCCATCCAGGAAAGGCTATTGCATGTAGTATGTAAGTCAAATCTGCAGCCACGGCAAGCCTCCAGGGGTCTCGATCAGAGGGGCGGGTGCAAGATATATACATGTGGTATGTGAGTGAGTGTCTGGCCGGCCGAGATGACTACAAGTCAATGAGACTTTCCACGACATTGTCCATTCGTCTCAACAGCTGAGTGGCTGCATCCGGCATCGGCGGTCACCATTCAGACCAATTGGCACGTACAAACAACACACATGAGATATTTGACTCTTTTCTGGGAGAGTCGCCGCTAGCCGGGGTCATGATGTGCGCGAGTGTGGGCGTGGGTGTATGTTTGTATCTATGTATGTACGGAGTATGTGTGTATCAAGTTAAGATCCTATACCAAACGGCGCACTGTGAACGGACGGCCTAGATATACTCTGGGACAAGGCACTGGGGATGTTCCCTCCCTAATCGGGAATCTTGGGAGCAGGCGATAGTGGCACAAGCCGCGACTGGAGTGACACACGCAAGAGATTTCGTATCTTAGAAGCGATAACCCGCGTTCGTCATCGGTCGTGGCTTGCATGCGCCCGATACCGAGTCCATGTTGGTCGGGAGACAGTGTGAGGGGCTTGATGGGGGAAACCGGGAGCGAAGATCCTCCCCAGTATCAACGGCATCGTGGGGTCTCGAGAGACGCTCTACTAATGAACACGAGGACTGGGGTGCGACAGACGGTCGATCTTTCGTCTCACACCGCAGGGCCATATGGAATGGAAATCGAAGAGCACAGAATCCTGACTGGTGGAGGCGAGGGATGAGAGCGAATCAGAGAGACGAACCCGAATAAGAAAAACTCGCTGGGGATTGGCTGGCCGTGTACGGAGTAGTCACCGCTGGATGTGTTGAAAAAGGTACAGAAAGTACGTGAGGGAGGGGACAGAAAAACAAAGCAAAGTAGGCAAAAGATTCAGGAATTTCTCTACGAGTATAGGTACAAGCATCCATCAGAGAGTACGTATACTCGTAGAGCGTAGAGCGTCGAGCGTCGAGCCTGCTGACAAGTGTGGTTGAGGAGACGAGAGAGTTCTGCCGGTCTGGATCGGCACTCACACTTTTCCCGCCTCCTTTCTCCCTCAGTGACTCCACTAAGGCAGTCACTTTCCCCCATCCACATTTACGACTACCACCCCCATTCTCCCTCCTCCGGTCTAAGGAGTCATGATCGTTGCAGGCCGGTCCTGGTATATCGAATCCGTTTAACTATTCCTCGATTCCTCGATTCCCCCTTTCGACCCCTTGGCCTCGTGTCCGCTGCGAGATCAGGCACCCCGACCTGCGCCCACCAACCCCAACAATCACACACACGCGACAATCTACCTGTTCACGTTGGACACGGTGTGAGGATAGTCGGCAGTCCTCGCCTTTCATTGCTCTCGAATCGTCAACGACGTGGCATTACGAAGCATGGGATCGATCGAGGCGCCCTCTTCCCCCGCATTCCCTTCCCTAGACCCCGTCATCATGGACGACGAGATGGAGTCCGCCTTCATCAATTCTAATATGGATTTCCTCGACCCCACACAACTTGACATGCCTTCAGGCTCTGCTGGAGGTGATTTTGACGACTTATTTGCCCGAGCCACCAATTCCCGCCCGAACGGAGTCGCGGAGCCCTCGAAGCACTACCAAGACCAACACCCCCTGAGACAACCCCCAGTCATGGCCGCAGATTCCCCCGCCGAATCGCCTGATGCGTCCAGTCGCAGTTCCTCCTCAGAGTCCCCGAGAAACCACCTACGACAAGCCTCAATCGCTTCTACAAACTCCGCAGCGCATAGCGAAAATCCGCTGGCGTCCGCGGGCTACTCAGCAGAGGACTGGATGCGTCCAGAGCTGTCGTCAGTCAAGGAGGAGTCTCCGTTTAACATCGAACCGTCTTTCCCCATGGATGGTGGGTATTCCATGGATCCCGACTTCGAAACAAGTAATCAGGCCATGGACGCGGCATTTGATTTTGAGAGCGCCGCGAGCAGCCCCAGCCCACTGAAGGTCGAGAATCCCCAGCTGCCCAGCAGCCAGAAATCTTCAAAATCACAAATATGGAGCCCTTCGGCCGTATCAGCGGTTCCAGCTCAAAACGGCGCCGCACCTCCGGTGAGTCAATCCCAACAGGATCCTGTATGCGAGCACTCTAACTTTTGATATACATTTTAGGCACATGCACCTGCATCTCCACTTTTCGCTTTTGGTGTGAAGGAACAGTCGCCATTTTCAGGGGTCTTCCGGAATGATCACGAGAAGCTTTCCGCTTCCCAATGGAATGGCCAGTCTCCCTCGTCAATTTTGGAGGAAAGTTTTGGTGGTATCAATATGAATGGGCGGTCTCCATTGAACTCCATGTCGCCAAACATGAGGTTCAGCTCGCCAAGCTCCTACCCATTTGCTGTCAACTTTGCCTCGTCCCCGGCCCAGACCGATCCCGCAAATTCGTCGCAACCTGTTCTCACTGTCCACCCCACCTCACTCAAGTCCCGCGTCGAAACGCAAATACCGATCCGATTGACCCTCTCTCCGCTACCGGCCAGCGTCAAGAAGCTGCGCCTTCCATCCCACACCATTTCTAAACTCAAATTCCTTGCCCCTCCCTCCACCGAACCTACTCCCGACACTCTTCAACTATACACGAGTTTAGTTTGCACAAGCGCCATGCAAGATCGGGAAAAGTTAAAACGAGCCTTTGCGCGCACAAGAAGCGACAGATACCACTCAGGAGTAAATGGTCCCGACGAGGAGCGACCTTTGGACGGCGGGGATGTGAAAATCTGCACGGGATGCATTCAACGAGAACGGAAGCGTGCCTCTCGGAAGAAGCAGCGAAAACCGGAAGAGGACGAACTATTTCAGAAGGATGAGGAGAAGAGGGTTATTGTTTTCAACACAAGTGAAATCAAAGAATGGGCGGAACCACCCAAGAACGCTTCAACTGGTTATGGTGATATGCCACCTGCCCCGCCCGGATCTATGCAAGTGGAACTCCCGATGCGAATCGCATGCTACTGCCGACACCAGAACGAGAAGCTGGGGTTCCAGGTCATTTTCACTGTGAAGGATTATCAAAACAACGTGGTGGCCCAGGCCATAACCAACTCGATCATGATCACCGATGACCACAAAACGCAAGCACCTTCAGCGCCCGCACCTGCTGGCCCCTCGCCATCTTTGCCTGATGGCCTGCCAGGCGTAGGAGTCTTCCCCTCGGGATCTAACGGCGAGAGCAAATCTTCAAATGGCGCTTTCGCTACTCCTCAGTCACCAACCGATCTACAGGGCCTCCAGCAACGATTCAGCTCACAATATCAGCTCACGACTAACTCGTTCGCTGCCGCTCAACCAAATGGTGGACTTTCGAGCTCGCAGACACCTCGCAGTCTTTCAAGACAGGCCTCGCCAACAGACTTCCCAGGCCCTCAAACCAAACGACGGAAGCACAGCAGTGCCGGGCGATTGCCTTCGGAGTTGACCATGACCCGTATGGAGACACCCCAGTCATCTAACTCAGCAATGGCCGCTGCTCAGCTCGCGGCAGCTCGAGGATACGCCTCGCCAACGGAACGGCCATTCGTTACTCCATCGTCCATGTCTGGACAGTACAGCAATGGGCCTCCCACTCCCAACCAAAATAGCGACAATAACCCCTTCTTCAACCCGACACCGGCCCAAAGACAAAGCCTGGATAGTCTTGCTCATCAATCTCTGGTGTCTGCACCCAACTCTGCGCAGCCAAGTCGTCCTGGGACACCCGGTGCCTCTAGCCGCAACAGTTTCCAGGATCCAAACCTTGCACTTGGACTGGGCGGTACGCCTGCAAACCAAGTTTGGCCTTCCATATCCCAAGCTCCAAGCCGACTCCCCTCGGTTATACACAAGCTTGTGCCTGCGGAAGGCTCAATAACTGGAGGCACAGAAGTTACGCTGCTGGGCAGTGGTTTTTATCCCGGAATGGAGGTTGTTTTTGGCGATACTCTCGCAACAACTACCACATTCTGGGGCGACAAATGTTTGAATTGCTTGACCCCACCAGCTCTTCAACCCGGGCTGGTGTCCGTTGTTTTTAAGCATGAGCACCCGACTTTCGGGCAGGTTCAACAAGCGCAACCACTAATGCCCAAACAACAATTGTTCTTCCGATACGTGGACGACCGTGAACTTCAAATGTACCGGCTGGCGTTGAACATCCTTGGCCAAAAATTGGGTAGCCAAGCGGACGCGTTCCAAACTGCCCAGCAAATCATGGGAAGCGATCCGAATGCTTTCTTCAACATGCAGAAGGACATGCAAAGTGGCGGCTCTTCCGGTGGGCATCAACGCCAAGTACCAGGAATGGATTCCCAGGGGAAGTTCAGCGATCTTGATTCTAAGATGTTGACCTACCTTGAATTCATCGATTTGGACGATAGCCCACGCCCCGCTCGCTACAACTCCCGCAGCACCACTGGCCAGACTCTTCTGCACTTTGCAGCTTCTTTGGGCCTGACTCGATTTGTTGCGGGACTTTTAGCCCGTGGGGCTAACCCAGACGTCCAGGACAGTACTGGAAATGTTCCCATGCACTTTGCTGCTCTACATGGCCATGCTCATATTGTCCACCGACTGCGACTCATTGGGGCCAATGCCAATGCCCGAAGTGTGCGTGGATTTACGCCGGCAGACCTTGCAACGACGTTGCCTGCGCACCAAGCTGCTTTGCTCCCATCCCGGCACTACCGGTCTCGCAGTGTTGGATCACTTTCTTCTCGCCGCAGACACAGTAGCTCAGCTAGCCTCAACTCTCTCTGGGAGGCCTCTTCGGCTTCTGGCTCTCTTGGTCATGCTGTTGACGACTCCGAGGACCTGGATGATTCCGAAGAGCTGGACAGCGATGATTCCGAAGCACCATTATTCTTCAGTTCATCCCGTCGATCAAGCATGCATCAAGACGCTATTCCTCCGGTCGTGGATGCTGGTGAACAACCCGCAGCACCTGATACTCGTGGCTTCTCCCCACCTGCAGCCATTGTCGCCTGGCAGAACCATTTGACTGCACAGATCCATCAATTCCAGCAAAGTGTATCCAATGCATTCCCTAACATGCCTGCGCTGCCCCCCATGCCTGCGCTTCCAGATTACCAGGCCAACCAAATGATGCGTCGCATCACTAACCTGGTACCTCAACGCCCGGCTACTCGTGGAGATGGCTGGTGGGACTATCTGAAGGGGAATGCTGCCCCGGCCCAGAATCTTCCGCCTTCGTACGATGAGCTGTATCCGCACCAGCAGAATAAGGAGAATGAAGTATCTGAAATGAAGAAGTCTGCGCTTCTTCAGGCTGCTACAGAGGCAGCTTTGGACCAGCATTTCGAGACACAGAGCAATGTCGCCTCCTCTTCCGCCTCTGCATCCGCTTCAACAGTAATTGCCCAAGCCCAACCTGCCCAGATCGTCAAGGATGATCTCAAGGATATCACAATTGGGAGCAAGGTGATCTCTCGCGAGCAGCAGAAACATTTGCGCGAGCACCAAGCCCGACGTATGAAGGGCCTGGGTAGTGACCGCAACCTCTACTTTATTTGGGTAAGTTACCACGTCCACCTCCACTTTGAAACCTTACTAATTCGCGATAGATTCCCCTGCTGCTTTTGGTTATCTGTGCTTGGATGCGCAACTTTGTACCTGGTATTTGGCAAGGCGTTACGGACGGCTTTGAATTTGTGAAAGCCCGCTCTACACAGCGGGCTGTGGAACTGGGATTTTAGGATTTTTTCATTTGTTTTTTTATATTTTCTTTCATTTGGTAATTCTTGGTCCTCATTTGCAGACCCGGAGTTCCTTTCTCAGCGTGACCCCAGCCCCCTTTTCTGTTGGCTTCTTGTTTCCTTTTGTTTCTGCGTATAATGACAGGCCACGACCATTACATATATTCAAGCTTGCAGAGGCGAATTGGCCTCTTTACTTAGGCATAGACAGATATTGAATCATCTTCTACACAATTCCTTCCGATTCCGGTTCCCAGCTTACGTGCAGAAAAGGAGATATCTTGATCCGATAAGTCTCCAGATCTACGAGTGAAGGTCTATTTGTATCTTATTCTATTCCACACAACTCCTCAAGCATTTTCTCGGCATCGCCATTCGATAGGAAGCTCCCGACTACTTGCAACAAACCATCCGGTCTTATGATGATACCAAAGCCCTTAGTCAATAGTCATAAGTTGCTCATAAAAGCCACCAAACTGATGCACCGGATCATGAAGATGAATCTCCAAGATCCAATGACGCTTATGACCATCCTTCCCAACAGAGCTTATCTTTTCCGAATTCCCCTTCTTAACATAAAGCTTAATCTTATCCTGAGGAATGCGCTCATGAGGAAAAGAGCCAACAATATGTCCCGCAAGGTCAGCACCGAATTGAAACCCAGCCTGCTCAGCCTCCCGGCACGCAATATCGTACAGCTCCTCACCCGTCATATCCGGCCTCTCCCAATACAACGCCTTCACCTTGAGCCAGATAGGCTCAAGTGCATCCCGAAGCCGAATCTTATGCGGGTCGTTGCCGAGAACGTATGTTCGGCCAAAATCGGCCTCCCACGCTTCGAAGACGGGGCCCAGATCCACGACTAGAATGTCGTCTTCTTCGATTATGCGGTCGGGTGGGTTCTCTGCGAATGGGCTGAGTGTGTTTGGTCCGCTGCGAATCACGCGCTTATGCCAGTGAGATCGGACGCCGAGGGTTTCGCCCAAATCGTAAATTTCTTTATTCAGTTGCTTCTCGCTGATGCCGGGGCGGAGAAGTTGTTTCTCGATTTCTTCGAAGAGGGTGACGGCTTTGTTTTGGGCCTCCATGAGACTATTGGCCCGCGCGGCCTCTTCGGGGCTGGAGTATTTGTCCGTCATCCTCATAGGGTTGCTTCAACTTGCTTGTATGTTCGCTAATGAGGCGATTTGCCGAGCTTATAGGAAATACAAAGTGAGCTTGGTGACGGGTCGGGGAATTGGGGATGGTTCCATCAGCTTCGAATTGTCACGTGTGGGGGGGTATACGTATACTATGACTCAGAGGAATCCTTGAAATTGTCAGTCTGTTGAGAAAAGTGTTGGCGGGGTAATAGTTACTAGTTGTGGAGAGGTGAGATGTGGGGGGGGATTAGCTTATTTGTGATGGTTACTATTGGACCTGAAGCCAATGCCCCATTACTTTACCTGAGAACATTCCAAGTTACCTACTCGTGAGTGTGACCAGTATAACTAGCAGACTCATTCTTCATTAATTATTTTAGTACTTTCATTTCCATTTCTTCTTGGTTATCGTGGCAATGCACATCCTCCATTATCTGGGGTAATTGATGATGACCCAGTATCACGGTTGAACCTGCGAAATTCTGCAAGGCATTCAGGGCTTTGCCATGACCAAGGAGTCCATGAACCAGTTGAGATCATAGGGTTCAGGTTACGCTCATCGACTGCTTGCTGGGCATTTATATCCCACGGAAGATGAAACACAGGATTTGGATGATGGGCAGCATCCACATTCATGACGCAGGCTGGACCCAACCCCATCCCATCTTTGAAGAAATTCAACCAGTCCGGGCTATCAGCTGCAGTTTGATTCCAGGGATCGTCGTCCCCGTAGATAAAGAGACGTGCCTCGCGTTGTATAGACTCGTCTGTGATGGGTGATGCGGCATGCTGTTGTTCACGCACAAATCGAATCAGGTGTTCTGTCAACTGCTCGAATGGAGTTGGCTGTGTACTTTCTGCATTTTCAAATGTATCATGGGTCTCGCGAGCTTCATCCTCCCTAGAAGTGCCTTTACGATGACTGGCACTGAAGGGGTATATGCCAGTTGACTCGATGCCGATGAGGTATGGAGGCATGGCATTATCGACAGCAAGCACCACTGCGGGATCAAGACCTCTGCATCCTTTCCACTCTTTGATCTGAGTTCCTTGCCGAAAGTGTGCTGCAAGATGATCGTTCCTGTCTGACCAGAGAGTGAAGGTTTCCGAGCAAAACCCGCATCTTGAATTGATTTGAGTGACCTCTGACTTCCATTTTGCGATGCTAGTGACGGCGTTTTGTGAGCCGTGCACTAGGCGTAGATGCTGGAGAAGATGATCCTTTCGATAAAATGTTCGAAGAGTAGACGGTTTCTCTTGACATTCCATATACCGGTGAAACTGGATATGCTCCTCGGAAGGAGCTTCGATCTCACAAAACACACATCGCAAGATATTGGAAGCCTCATCTCGGTATGTAGGCCCAAATGGTGCACAGACCCAGCTTTCTAATGACAAGTGCAGAGTCTTTTCATGTCTCGTCCAATCATGTTTGGATTTGAAAGTGTCTGTGCAGAACGTACACTGGAAAGGACGCAGTTGTGTTGGCTTTTTATCGCGAATTTGGGATGTTGGAGATTTCTTGCGCTGTCGTCGATTACGGCGACGCCTTGGCTCTCCCACATAAAATCGTCCAAATGATCCTGAGTTGCTTGAGCCGAAGCTACGGGCGGACGAAGCTGAGCTGCTGGAGGCACTTGATTCGGATGCTGCAATCGACGGGGTAGGTGGACGAGGCCGTTGAGAACGTCTGTTTGGAAACGATGACTTTTCAGCAGTCTCTCGTAGCACTGGTGCCTCTGCACTGATACACTTCGCAACAGAGCTCATGATATCTGTCAAATGTGCAGGCTCTGTCTCTGGCGGAGAATTCTTCCACCGGTCCATCGGACTGAGCGGGAGAAGTCTTTCGGGGTGAACATTGTTAATTTCTAGAAATTCTTCGCTACCCCAATCTGTATTTTCAGGAAATGAAAATGACAGGCTACCATTTGGTATTGGTAGTCCTTGTTCTGGTCCGTTGATGTCGTCCGTGCCAAAGGAATCAAGTGAGCTTGTCGCAGAAAAGGTAAATGTCGGATCGAGACCATCTTCCAGCAGGTCAAATGGCTGGGAAATGTTTGAGAATATGCATTCTTCGAATGCCTTTTCAGGTGAAACGGTGAATGGCTCGGTGTCTCTCGGGCCGCTGGCTAAGTTACTACCGAGTGGGTAATCTGGCTGACGGGACCCTTGTTCATTTATGACATCCCAGTTCATGCAAGGCAGAGTAAAGGAACTATGCAGGCCGTTAGCGCTCCCACTAAACCGGAACTTCCCGCTATTCCATCTTACTCATCTTCAAGCTCGGATACAGATGCTCCAGTTTCGAAGTAGGGTGATTCATAGGGTGATTCAATCCCCCGCGGTGGGGGCCATTGAAAATGGTCGATAAAGTCTTCTTCACGAGACGGCACGTTATCCTCCATCTCAATAGATGATGTTTATCTATGGCCAATCATGCAATTTGCATCTCGCGATGTTTGGGGATCGAGGGAAGCTAAATTCCCAGTCTTGGCCTTCCCAAGTGAAGATGTCCGCGATATGACTAATCTGCGCGCCTTTGGCATTACCAAAAAAGGGAAAGCGTATCATCTTCGACAGAGCGAAAGAATCCAACTAAAATCCTTATCAAATGGCGAATAAGTAAATATAATACGAGGAGACTCAATTGATGGGTCTACTCGTGAGAGAGGAAATAAACCAATCTTGCCCACATTTCTCGTCAAAACTAAGATAAACTACACTTGCAGTGACCAAAGAGAATTCTCCACTCGCCATGATGGTCCCTCAACCTTAAAAGTGCGGGGTGTTCAAGAGTCAAGACCGCAATCCGGTTAAAACTTGCCCTATGAATTTCCCCAAGTACGCCATCTATGATTTAAGTCACTCACATGTCCGAGGAGAAAGTGTGGCATCGCCCCTGAGAGGCTGCATCACAGTGATCGGCGCTCACCACTGCCGGTTGGACCCCGGGAATAGTTCGTGTGACTTCATGCACATGGCCCACAGCCAGGGACCCTAGGGCGCCAACCCTTCGAATTTCCTCTCGGGGATCTTGGTATTCCAAGAAAGCTGTGTAATGGCATTTCAGGCTGTGGTCTAGCGCCTTTGAGGCTCGGTACTACTGGTTCATCGCTATGTTTTTGAAGCTACTATGGCTGGCGTTGACACTATTTGATCCAGGGACCTGCAGCTACCCCTCTTCCTGCACTTAACTTCCATTAGCCATGCCAAGGCCGGGCGATCATGAAAGAGGAGAAGGTGGAAAAAAGCAATCTCACGTGGAAGTGATAGATCGAAAGAGTTCAATCTTTCAAACCCCCCACTGGTTGGGACCTGGATGACGTTCTTTTGGTTCTGAGGCCGCTTCCCTTCTCCCCTATTGTACTCAACTCATCATGGCAGCCACCACAGAGACTTCTGGATATGTTGGCAGTCTTACATCTTCTCAGGAAGAGAAGCTGCAAAGCTTTTGGAAAATTTTGATGCAATCCTGGGGTGCTGATGTTTCGGCCCCCAAAGACTCAAACGCATCAACACACTCGAATGGATCAGGCTCAGCCCAGCCACGCCGAAGATTGTTTTCTCTCAGTCGAGCACCTACCCAGCCAACCGAAAACGAAACCGCGGCCATCCCCCAGCAGTTTCATTCCTCTCTCAAGGAGTTGAAAGCTGGTCCAAATGAAATTAAGGCAATCAACTCGCTCTTGTTGAAATTGTCGGGGGATCACCTTCGGTCGGCCTACCTGACTGTACTCAAGCAAGACCATGCGGATGCACTGCTTCTTCGTTTTCTTCGCGCCGAGAAGTGGAATGTTCCTAAGGCATGGATCAAGTTTGTGTCGGCTCTCGATTGGCGGGTCAACGAATACAAAGTCGATGAAGAAGTTTTGATGAAAGGTGAATTATATAACCTGGAAAAGTCGCAAGCAAAAGAAGACTCGCCCGAGAAAAAAGATGGAGAAGGCTTCATGCTTCAGCTTCAGACAGGCAAGGGTTATTTCCACGGTAAAGATAAATTCGGGCGGCCAATCTGCGTGGTTAGAGTGCGAACACACGATCCGAACTCTGCGACCAAAAAGGGTCTCAATGACTATATTGTTCAATGCATCGAGACAGTCCGACTGGTGCAGGTTCATCCTGTAGATACAATGGTAAGCCCTGCTTGATCGATGAATTCTTGTGATCATGTTGGCCCGTACTAACTCTCCCGTTACTTAGACCATCGTCTTTGACCTCACTGCCTTCAGCTTATCAAACTGGGTATGATACCATGCCCGTCAATCGTTCGTGGGTGCAATCACTAATCCCTATTATCTAGGACTTTCCTCCAGTCAAATTCATCATTGAGATTTTCCAAGAAAGCTATCCGGAGTCTCTTGGAGCCATGATCTTTTACAATGCACCGTGGATATTCTCCGGTGAGTTCAACAGCTTCTTGTCCTAACTTTTGTCGGAGCTAACTCCTCATACTTATTCCAGGATTCTGGAAGCTTATCCAGGGAATCTTGGACCCGGTGGTGGCTGCGAAAGTTCACTTCATTAGTGGCGCCCAGGATCTGCAGAAACTCATCCCTGAGGGACAGATAGTCAAGGAACTTGGAGGAAGCGAGGACTGGGAATATGAGTATATTGAGCCGGAGGCCAATGAAAATGACAAGTTGCTTGATGCTGAGACTCGGAGTACAATCCTTGCTGAAAGAGAAAAGCTTGGTAATGAGCTCTTTAGCCTCACTGCCAGTCTCATCTCCAACCCGGAAGACAAGACTGCACAAAGTCGCCGCGAAGAGATCATCGAGCAACTCAGTGACAATTACTGGTTGCTTGACCCCTATGTACGAGCCAAAACTCTTTTGGACCGACAGGGGGTCATCCAAGATGGTGGGAAAGTCGAGTTCTACCCAGCCGCAAAACCCTCGGTCACCAAGGAGAAAATCATCACCGATGAAAAGTCACAGGCAGCGACCGAGCAAGTCAGCGAGGAGCCGTTAGCTGCGGTCGCTTGAATTTAAGGGTTTTCAAGCTGGAGAAGAGATCCGTGAGGTTTTTCGTGGGGTTTCGAGTGATCTTGTTTCGGTAAGATTTGTGGATTTATAGTACCTTTACTATACCTAAAGTCCCGAGGTCGGGCAATCTTTCAATGATCTTTCAATATGATTGAGTAGTAGGCGATACTAGTATTTACCATGTGCTCAAGAAATCCTTTTGTTACTATATACTCCGTAGTATCGCATACCTTCTAAGCTGCCCGAGGTGTAAGCAATTTCCCCGCAACTTGAACGTAGCCCCTTTAAAGCTAGCCGAGTAATCTGACCCCGCCCTTCCGAGGTTGTTGTGGCCATTATCCCATCATCAAAGCCAGTGCCTCAACTTTATTCTACCTCATACTGACTGATTATCTGCGTCTTTCTGTGAAAATGGATATAGATGATGCCGCCCGTTATCACTCGATTCCCTGGGTTTCAAAATTGTTGCAAGATCCGGCTTTCGTGACAGTCCCTTCGACCAACAGAGACACAAAGTCTTCGACCGAGGATAGTCTTTTTTCAGTCACCCTCAAATCAAATGCTACCCTTTCGGGATTTCTTTCCCAGTATAGACGACCGACCCCCACCTCCGGGCCTGGTGAAACTGGGGGGCATAGACGAGGTCCGCATGATTTTCATTCTGGGTAGCAATCTCAACGGCTACCCTGGCGTTCTCCACGGAGGCATCGTGACTACCATTTTGGATGAATGCACAGGCCTTCTTCTTGTCCTTCGCAGCAAGTACAAGGCTGGTGATGACGACGCCCTCGAGCCAGGCTCTAAGACGGTAACAGCCTACCTGAATACCAATTTTTTGCGTCCAGTTCCGACACCTGGTGCAATTGTTGTGTACGCAAAGCTTGAAGAGACCAAAGAGAACCGGAAGTGGAAAATCAAGGGTCGGATATGTGATGAGGATGATCAGATTCTCGCAACGGCCGAATGTCTCTACGTGAAGTCTCGATCCAAAATTTAGAATAGCCTCTAGATTTCTGTTCGATAATGCCTAGGCGCCGACTGCGCTTTCATTGCGAGCTCAGACACTATTACAACTTTATTTCCAGAATTTCAGACTGCTGTTCGGGTTCACGAGTCAATAGGGCATTGCTTTATTTACTCAGTGCCAGTGTTTTATTGTGTCCGATTATTATATGACAACATCCGCAGCGATGCATCCTCCCAGTATCAATTTTTTTTTCTTTGCTACGGAGTATTAAGGGCTCATTTTGATTGGCATAAGTCTACGAGGCTACAATTATGGGACATGCAAGGAACAGATGACGAAGGCCGGCGAGTCCGAATGGGGGCCGGTTGATATTGACGGCCCCTGGGGCCATGGAGAATAATGGGCATTATTTTCTCCACTCTATGTTTCACGAGAAATGAGATACCAGATTCCGATTAACTCCTAAGAAGAGAAAGCCAATCTTTCAAGCGATGTTACTGTCGGCCCGAACTAACTGCACGATTGAAGTGGGGGAGGTTGCATGTCGGATCAGGAATTGGGTAATTGAGGTTACAAGACTGGGGCAGGACTTTCCAAGATAGTCCTGGAAAGACGACGATCAGGAACTAGTATCTCCCAAGACCAATTAAAGAATCCAGATCGGCGATTTTTGCGGGGATGGCCAAACGGAAACAAGCGCCCCTTCAGGAGGCCAGGTTTCCGGGTCCGAGCCGCCCCGTGGGAATGTCCATTCCAAACAATCATAAATAGAAGGATCTCGCGTGTGAAAACTGTTGTCGCCCTTTTGAAACCCCATCTATCATGACGCTGTCCCTTGCCCTTCTCACCCTTGGGCTTGGCCTAGAGGCTGCCGCAAGCCCGCTCTCGGCGGGCATGCAGAACATCAAGAATGTTGTAGTGCTGGTGCAAGAAAACCGATCTTTTGATACTCTTGTCGGCGGACTTACATATAACGACGATATCGATGGACTGGCCGGACGCGATACCCCTTTCTGTAACCCAGCCAACATTTCGCAGCCAGATGGCGAACAGATCTGCGGCAAGCCGACCGCCAACAATATCGCCAAGGATGACCCTGACCACACAATCTGGGGTGGAAACATGCAAGTCTTTGGAAAATATCTTCCGGACTCCAAAGATGAGTCGACTATGAAGGGTTTTGTGACCGAGCAAGACACATACTACAGCTTGGGAGGAAACCTGCTGGAAGCGTCCGAAGTCATCAACTATTATACTCCGGAACAAGTGCCAGTAACCAACGCGATAGCCGAGAACTTTGTCCTATTTGACCGCTGGTTCGCCTCGATCCCTGGACCGACTGACCCCAACCGCGCATATTTGACTTCCGGTACTTCGCATGGCCAGGGAGGCAACACTGAACCCTTTTATGACTCGACTCTTCCTCAAAAATCTATCTTCCAGCAGCTGTCTGAGAATGATATTACCTGGATGAACTACGAAAACTCGACGTCCTCGAACCCGCCTTTTGCGCCCGATTCGATGTTCTACAAGTGGACCAAAGAAAATGGCAAGGATAAAACCAACGTTTTTCCCATTGAGCGCTTCTACTCGGACGCAAAGGCAGGCAAGCTACCTCAGTTCACATGGATCAACCCAGAGTGTTGTGAATTTATGTCAATGCATCCCAAGTCGCCTATCAACATGGGCGAGAATTTCATGAAGGGTGTCTATGAAGCTGTTCGCAACTCGCCCCAATGGAACGAGACTCTTTTCATTGTCACTTGGGATGAGCACGGGGGGTTTTGCTGACCACGTCCCTCCTCCGACCGGTGTCCCCCCGGGCGACGATATCACCTGGTCTGAAGCCCCGTCGAAGGATGGTACTGGTCTTGGTAACTACACTTTCAATTTCGACCGCTTAGGTATTCGCGTTCCCACAATGTTGATTTCTCCCTGGGTTGAGAAGGGTGTTGTTGAACATAAGGCAAGCAAAAATGATTATACCCATACATCTATTCTCTCATTCGTTTCTGAGCTTTGGGGTTTGGATCCTCTTACTCCCCGTGTGGAGTGGTCGCCTTCATTCAGCAGCTTGATCACCAACAAGTACCGGGATAGCCCCGAGACGCTCCCTAATGCCGCTGGTTATCCGCTGAAGCATCAATTGCACTCTCATTGATGATATGCATAGCTGTTCATTGCTCTCAGCATTTCTCCAACCTTTCATTTTCCTTCAATGTCTGATGGTAGAAATGAATGTTGTTTGTAATAGCGCCGCTCAAGAATAGAAATATAAGAAAGCATTCCACCGAAGCCACTACAATGAAAGATTTTTCAGCAATACTTCTCATAGAATATGGCAGTGAATTTCTGGGAAGTGCAATTCTAACTCACAGCAACGTAGCAGCCAACGTGGCTATGATGCCACCTAACGCACGACTAGCCTCGCTAGCGGCCCCTATCGACCCCATGATGGTGATAATAAACAGTGCAAGCCAGAAAACAGTGTCAACAATATTTAAGATCATATTTACTTTCGTACTCGCCCATTTCTTGAATCGTTCGACATGGGTTGTCAGCAATTGATAGGCGAGAAAAACTCCTGACTTGAGGCACTAATGAATTTGGATGAGCTGCGTCCCTCATACAGGATTTGATAGAGGCCCTTACCACCGCAATCCCCCATGTATTCGCCCTGGTTGATGGTGTTCCTTTGACGGCCAAGCGTGCAATTGTCAAAATAAAGACAAGCAAGGTCAGTCCACCGATGATAATGTGAAGTCTGGATTTGGTAACCGATCGCCCGAAAATTAAAAGCTCCATGTTTATCGGCAATGCTTCTTTTCGATCAAAGAAGCAATAAATTCTCTGTCTGGCCTCACGGTACAGTGGATTTTGCTTTGCTTCTGGGCGGGATAAGACAATGTTAAGAAATTCTGTAATTCACACAATACAGAAAGGGCCATCGACTCTTATACATGCAAATTCTAGGTAACCATAATATCTCACTATTGCTTTCGTATTCGTATCATTAACCAGGTGTTATACAATTCTCGAAAGTCTTAGAAAGTCAGCAAATATAGGAAAAGGCTCTTCTCGGTTTCGTATCGTTATCCAGATCTGGTCGCATATAGGACCCACATTCGTTTGGAACCCCGTCTACCAAAATAGGCTCTGAGCTCAGGGCTTACTAGTTCTAACTAAGAATATGATCACCCTGAAGAGATGCGCCATGTGTTTAATCAAAATGTGAAATTTTATTTTTCCAATACGATGTGAGGAAACGGCTTTGCTAGGCATCCAGTCTTCACTGTCTCCGATCTTGCGATGGTTTCAAGTTCAAAGACACCCGTAGGTGCCGAATTCGAAGTTGAAGGTACATCGTATGAACTTGATACTATATGATTGGCATATAATGATATCGGCATGATTTCCGCAATACAGCGAACATGGCCTAAATTCTCCGAGACACGCCGCATGTCCATTCCAGAAGGGACGAAGCGGTGATGATTGGAACACCATAAGCGTAGTTAGCGTAAATGATTTAGCTTGTGAACTCATATTCAAATAAGATGTTTCACTTAACATTTGTCCTATTCATTTAAGACCAATTCCTTCCACTGTTACTTCCCATAGTACTGCATGACATAGATGCGGCTCGGCAACTTCAAAGATTCTTGCAACTACTAATAGTAGTAGCCGACAGGTTAGGCAACAGGGTTCGGTCTTTAAAATAAGGTAAACCCCTTCAAAAAGAAGGGATATGCAATAGTTGGCCAGTGCTGTGGCTCCAGCCACAGCCTTGTTTCAGACAATCTATCGAGAGGCTGAGATGAATTCTTACGCTAACTACACCGTTCCAGGCAGCGCTATTTTGGATGATAGTGTAGACCTATTTTGGTCTGCGTGTGCATCGTGTTGGGTGGCTTGGCTTTTGCTGCACTTCAATCACATCCTAGTAGCCAATAAAAGTCACGATCCGACTACGCTAAATTTTAGTATCGACCTGACTTGCATTATCGCTAATTCATAGCCTATCAGACTCTGCCAAAGACTGTTGGATCAAACCCAAGTCCAGTTTCACGCTCCCGCTCCCGCTCCCGTCCTTTCCACACAGCCCCTCATACTTGCTCTCCCCGTGCTTTTTCGTCCAACCCTCACTCTATAATGGGGTCCGAGCTCCCTTTATCTCTATAATTGCTATTTATGATAAGATGCATAAAGCTAGCAGGGGGGGGTTAAGTCTGCGCCACTGTGGCAGTGACAGTGGTTCTTCCAACCTTGTACCTCTCTAGCCGTCATGGTGATAAGTATATGAACCAAAGATTGCCACGAGTAAGTTCAGGCCAACATTCAAATCCACGGTTTTACTTTATAACTTTGGCATAATCAATCACCAAAAATCGTTGACATGCCTTCGAGAGTTCCCCCCATCACCTACTCCTCTCTGCCTCATCTTTCTACTATCATCAACCTTCAGCCTGATAGGGAGCCATGGTGTGTTGGATATGCCCCATCAAAAGGTCGTCGTTGTCATGCTAGTACAAACGCGAATGGCCGTAGATGTGCGATAGATATTCTCGACGAGGCCACTGAAGACCTTCGAGCCGGAGATTCTATCAACGATCTGCTCAAAGAATTAGCTCCATACGTGCTATGCCGGAGGTTTCATCAAAACCAAGCATCCGATCTTGCTCGTCGCTGGCGGAAGCAAGTATCCTCGTTTGTTGAATCTCGACGATCATCTCCGACACAAAGAACTGTGCAAAATACGACTGGAATTCGCCGCCAAGCTCCCAGGGAACAAACATCAGAAGAGCAAATTGAGGTTCAATTACGTGAAATAAAACAAAGAATAGAGGAGCTCTTGTGGATTGAAGACTTTGATGGGTTCCCTGCCACGTCCCTACGCTCTCAAGTTGTTAATGATGCCCGGCGTATGATGAGAACAGTTGGAGCCACCAACAGCAGCAGCACCACTACTGCTATCGATAACATTTCACAACCCAGGAGTGACTCTATCACACCTGTCGAAAGACCTATTCGGAATCTGTCAGATAGCACAAGAAGCCAAAGTTCAAGAAACAGTGCCAGCTCTCGCGAGATACTGGTTACGTCAAGCCAACCCTCCAGCCGCCGATCCGAGGCTACGACTACGATGCCACCAACTTCCGATTCAGTCCCGCAAGCGGTCAATACAGAGAGACCACCACACTCATCCGTGTCGGCTACCCGTAAAGCCCGTGTCAGTCGTCGACCTGCAGAGGGAGAATGTGGAATATGCTTGTGTCCATTGCAGGAACCACAATCTTACGGCACCGAAGATGAAGAGGAAGAGGATGAAGAGGATGAAGAGGATGAAGAAACGGATGAAGAGGAGGATGAGGGACAGGACGACAACCATGATTCTGAGGATGAACAAGGATACTATTCAGACGATGATGAACCTGAAGTTGAAGTTGAAGAAGATGGACTGGTGTGGTGCAAAGCGCAATGTGGAGTCAATTATCACAGAGAGTGTATTGAAAAATGGCTTAGATCAGGTCACTACGATTCATGCCCAACCTGTCGAAAAACATGGCGGTATTGAGTTCCCTTTCAAATGACAGGGGATACAGAGAAATGGAAGGAGGAAGATAGATTTTACACATATCAAACAGCTACTATCTTTCCTCGGCTGTCGCTCCTCTGAATTAAAAGAATGCTTGCTATTCCGAAGCACTATGTGTCCGTTCCTTTCTCGCTGCAAGTTGACGACCGGGTTTTATGAGTAGGAGAACAGCTGGTAGTTGTGCTGCCGCGAATCCAATCATAACCCTAAGCTGTGTGCTGTAACTTCCAGCAAAAACATTCTTCACCTCATCTTGTAAATAGATAGGCAAGCTTTTTATCAACTCCACATTTTCCAGGAATAGGTGCAGCTCATGCCTTGTTAATACACCCTGTAAATGATGCGCTAGGCGGCCATTCAGGATATTCGATGCTATAGCCAGACCAAGGGCTCCACCTAGGAACCGGAGCTGAACAACAAAGCCGGTTGCAATCGCTGCGTGAAAAATTCAACAGTTAGCCAATGCACTATTATCTGCTTCAGGATCAATGGTTTGCTTGGGGGAGAAATACTCAGGTCTCTATCCTCAACGATGTAAGGTGGCGCTAACACCAATATGCCCATCGTTATCCCCATGCCTGCCCCAGCGATAACTTCATAAACGATATCTGTTGCATGGAATCCATGAGAGCTAGCAATCGTTGAGAGAAGACCAACTCCTACGGTATGGAGCGTGCAGCCGACAAGCAAAGAATAAATAAACGGAATACGACCCCGTGAGCTGACAATATTCACAAGACCAGCGGCGACTGCTGCAACAGCTGAATATCCAATCAAATAGATACCAGCATTGAGCGGCGATTTATCCAATAGTAGCTGTGCTTGCTGCGGAACATATACCAGCACCACATTGAAAACTGCCCCGGTGACAAATGAGGAGCTGATAGTTCGCCGTTAGAAAGAGAAGTCCGATCAGAATACCACAATGAGTTACTCACATGAGAATTCCTATCCACGCGCGATCAAAAAGCCAACGCTTAGGGAAGATCGGATCTTGCTTGGGAAATTTTGAGAGGTGCCATTCCCAGGCGAAAAAGCCGACCCACGAAATTCCGGCAAGCACAAGGAGGGCAATCGCACTCCGGGAAGACCATTTAAATGCCAAGTTGACCTCGTTCAAGACGGAAATGGTCAAAAATGTACCAGAGAGGAGAAGAAGTGACCCCACAAGATCGAGATTAGCGAATGAACGATATGAAGCTCGAGTTCTGAGCGAGGGGGTGTGTTGGTCGAGGCCGAAGTTTGTCGGCATAGCAATAGCGAGAATCACGATCGCAATCGCACACAAGGGGACACTGTAAGTGTTAACATTGGTATATAAAATCCAAAGAACTGCTGCATGTCCACATACTTGATCAAAAAAACCCATTTCCATGCTGAATCTTTTGCAAGCGCACCTCCCAAAATTGGGCCAATCAAGGACGCAAGAACAAGGCAGAATGACATGAGCCCGCTATATGTTGGAAGCTTCGTCTTTGGAGCTATTTCATATATGCATAATATTGCCAGTGCGTAAACACCGGCTCCACCGATGCCCTGTAGTGCTCTGAATATTATACTGTATCTCAGAGTTAGGAAAGTTCAATATTTCAAGTAATATGTGGTCTCACAGTTGGTTGGCTGTTTTCGCACAACCACATCCAATAGAGAATGCGAGCAGGATAACAAAAGCGGCTATAGTGGTATGTTTCCTCCCAACGATATCGCTGCCTTTTGTCCATATTGCCATAGACCCTATGTGTATTTGTATGTCAGGAGATAGGCCATAGAACGAGCAGGCGGTTTCCGTTTATCTTCGTACCGGTGTAAGTGGCTAGGTAGCCGGTGATGATCCAACTTCTCTTCTCGAAGCCTTCTAGGCTGTCCGTGATGTTCGTGAGGGATGAGCTCACAATCGTGACATCTAAATTCGAGAGAAAAAATCCAATCAGAAGCCTTGATTCAAGAAACAGATTAGCTGTCGGCACTCAATTATCTCAGAATCCTCCATCGATCATAGTCCTACCCTATTATTGTAAGAACGAGCCTCCATCCTGTCGGGTAGACGATTTCGTTTCCTGGAGAAAGTGCCCGTTGTGCTGACCCCTTTTCTCCATGAGTATCGACCCTGCCAAAACGTATCGGCTCCTCTTTCTTCGAAATGGGCTCTGCAAACTGTATGCGGCTAGACATGGCGACTAGGCCTGTGATGGATTTGTTGTGCTTCACGTGTCGACGATGACTGAATTGACAGCCATCGTTGCGACGAGAGAAATTGGGAACAGGGCCACACGCTATGTAGGACCAAGCCCCGCGTATATTCACCCCAGGGGCACCAAGTGGAACGCGGGAGATGCGCGATGACAGAATGTGGAATTTATTGAACAAGATGATCGGCGTCGATCATTGAACCTAGTTTCTGCATTGAGTGGCTTGGCGTCAATTTCGTCTACTAGACTGATCTATCTTGGATTGACTATGCGTCTGTAGCCTAATTTTGAGGAGCTTATCTGGATCGGCGTGATCTTCAAGTTTGTTTCATAAGAATTGTCGTTGTCATTAGTCATTGTTTGTGTATGGCGAAACGGGTTGCTCGGAAAGGGGGGCGACTGGTCACCCTCATTCTTCCACACTCAGCCAAGACATCCAAGATGCCACTGAAATTTAAATCGCGCGTTGTTTACCATTATCTTGAAATGTCTGAATCTCGGCACCTCCCTTGCTGGGGGAGGATCTCTGCACCCCTGAGTTAGGACGTCGGATTGAGTCTAAGATAACGAACGTCGTCAAGTAAGGGCTGCGCAGTGCCACTAGCCATATTGGAATGCGCTGTCTCACGTCTTAAATCGAAGCGCAGAGTTTCAGATCGATGCTTGTCTAACTCAACCATGGGCCATGATTGGACTAAGCGTTGGTAATTGTTTGGCCATTGGTGGAACGACGAGATTTGACAGTAATGGATAGTTTGGGAAGGTTTTGACGGTACTAGTACCATATATGGCTGTTGAATTCCAGAATATTAAAATTAAAAGTTCTGAGAGCTATAACCTTGAGAGGTCTAGCTACTGGCCTAGTTCTGAGAATAGAATAGGAGTACCACCTACTACGTAGTAGTAGCATTGGACGTGTATGGTCCAACCCCAGATGCCGGAGCACTCTATTTCAGTTTTACCTGCATGTGTTAAGAATTCATCATGCTAGCTATCCGCTTTGAATCTTTTCATAACCGATATTCTCTCCCCTCGCGATATCTCTAATCCTTCAGCTCCATGGCTAACTTGAAGTTACAACTTGAACTTGAAGTATCTCCCAGGCGGAGAGCGCCAAGGTGCGGCCTGTGCGGTGAACCTCAACGGGAGTTTCCCAAACATCCCCCCAACCCCGCGAGGACACCGTCACCAACTCGCTTAATTAGCAGCTTTTGGTGCTTGAAACGGCATGTTATAAGTGCCATTGGCTGTCTCCCGAATTGCTCCCGGGAATCATGGACCCTTCCAAGGCAGCGTCAAGCAATGTGACCGGTAAGAGCGACACGGAGATGCACTCCGAGTCCGAGACCCCCGACTCCTAGCTCTAGCTGGTGCTAACTACCGCCCAGTCGAATACACCGATCCATCGGGATTATTTCCTCTGGTTCAACCGACTGTCGAATCGAAGCTTCCCCTCAAGAATCTCCATTGGAAATCGCCCACTCGCCCTGTTCGATCGATTGAATCCCTCCGCATCGGCTTTGCGCCTGCCCAGACAGAACCCGCCGAACGGAAATCTTCCGGTGAAGGTGCTGGAAATGTAACGCACCGCCGACATCAGATCCCCGGTCTGCGACAAACCCCATACCTGAAAGTCTACCTCCTCCGCTGCGACGACAACGATACCTACAAGGCAACAGCGCGCAAGACATTGCGCGAGTGGATCAAGACTCAGAGCGTATCAAGCTCATCGCAATCAACTGGCAGCAGTCAGGAAAAGCATGATGCGTTCGAATGGCTTATTGTACATGTGGTCCAAGATGGGGATGGTGCGGAGAAGACACCCGCGCCGGCATCGAAATGGGGTCGCGGCACAACTACGGTTCTAGAGAAGATCAAGGCCGATTTCAATGGGTCATCCAAAACCGCCGTCGACCGCGTGGCACAGCTGCGACTCCCAAAGGATGGATCCACGAAATCCCCTGAGTTTGCAGAGCAGCTGGAGGATCTGATTGACAAGATGAAGAATGGTATACTGGCTTCTTTCGATCTCCGCGTGGCTCAGTACGAAGAGGATATAAAGGAAAAGGATGCGCAGCGAAGTCTCCCTGGTTGGAACTTTTGCACCTTCTTCATCCTCAAGGAGGGCCTCGCGCGGGGGTTCGAGAATGTGGGTCTGTTCGATGATGCACTGGTTGGCTATGATGAGCTATCTGTTGGGTTGGATGCGGCTATCAGAGACCAACTTGACGGAAGCACAGAGCAACCTGGCAATACAATCTTGGATTCAAGCAAGAATTGGGTAGAGGTTGCTAAAAAGGCACTCGAGGCCGGCGCATCTGCCGATGAAAACAACAAGGAAGAACCATCCTTAACTATACAACCGGATGATTTCCCGCTCAGCTCGAACAAATTCCCTTACCGAGAAATGATCCTAGCCAGTGATATCTCCATTTTTGATTTCCGCACCTATATATTCTCTCGTCAGCTCACTTTGCTACTTCGAGCAGCAAGAGCTCCGTCCTTGGTCGGAAACGATCCTGCTACGCGGGAGAAAAAGCCGGAAGATCTCATTTTGCTATCCGAGATCTGCCAAAGATCTACGGAATTCATCGGTCTTGCCGCTCGTACCCTTCGCTACGGTCTCGACTCTGGACTAACGGAGGTGGAAGCGAGTGTCAAGTCGGATACAATCAACAACATCGTGTCCAATTGGGCGTATGCCGCGGCATTGCAGATTCTAGATCAAACTTTTACCTCGAGTCTTAGTTTGCCAGAATCATCTATTCATGCTGTGAGCCAGGCCAAGGAGCCTTCAAATCCCACGCCACCCACTGGGGATAATCGCGGCGACGTGCCTCGCCGGTCAAGCTCATTAATTCAAGCTCCTGGAGGGCACTCTCCGCGGCCAGTGACCCAGGATATTTCTGAGTCAATCGGTCTGATTCAGCGACGCTTGACCTTGGATCACCCCAAACCTGCTTCTGCTCTGCCTCAAAAGACCGGTTCGGAACAATTGGCATCAAGCCGAGGGGAATTACTTCTTCTAGCTCGACGATCTCTTGAGGAGATTGCCCAGCGCCACGGCTGGGTTGAGAAATGGAACGACCTTGGCCTCCTCTTTGATGAGAGTCGCGGCTCTGATGGTATGGCAGAAGTCTCATTAGACGAGACTAATGAGAAAGTCGAATCTAAAGCTGAGAAGTCTTCGCTGGTGGGTGTTGAACTTCCCACCCTCAAGGCCGGATTAATATCCAAAGAGACATATCTGTCATTATATGAAGAGCTCACGGATCATATCGTTCGCCATAATATTGTGGCAAACCGAGCCAATTCCGCCGAGATGGCCCTGGCGGACATCGCCATACTTCGTTTCCGGCAGGGTGATTACGAAGCCGCAGCTTCTTATTTCCACCAAATGGCTCCATTCTATGGCAGCAAGCTATGGGTAGTCTTGGAAGGAACCATGCTGGAACTCTATTCTCGGTGCTTGAAGGAACTCAACCGCAGCGAAGACTATGTCCGCATGATGCTGAAACTCCTCGCCAAATTCGCTACATATTCGCAGTCCAAGTTATCTTTGCGCCAAAAATCTCAATCTATCCCGACATCTATTGTTCAGCAAGAACAGCTATCTGGATATGTCGCCGATCTCTTCGAAGGGGCGAAGGGCTTGCAAAAGGATATCACCGCATCACTCGTCGATTTCTTCGCAGACCTCCAAGTGGAACCTGCAATTCGTTTATATGACGACAAGGATGGATTCCAGATCCAGCTATCTCTGCGATTCCTCCTCGGCCCTCAGATCGAGATTAACTCAGTCAAGGTCCGACTTGTAAGCGCGAGCAGTTCTCAAAATGTCGAGCATTGGATTGAAGGCTCGACGAATTTCACGATCAAGTCGTCGACAACAAAGATTTTAATTGATTCTTCGGTAAGGAATTTATCCAAGTTTATCTACGCCATTTTCCCAGGCTAATACTTGATTGTCTTAGACTACACTGCAAGGCAAATACATCGTTGACCGGCTGGAGATGAAGTCCGGTAATTTGCTTTTCACTTTCAATAGTGGTCAGCATTCAGGTCTTCCGGTTGGCTTCCGAGAGACAGACGATGCAGAAGAAACCGATCGACGACCCTACATATTCTGCTTTCCGGCACCAAACGGACTACACGCCAAGGTGGTGTCGCCCCACTTAATTAATCTGGAAGCAATGCGTACATTGGAGCTGGAACTCGATAGCGGACGGAATGACATTCAAACCGGTACAATTCGCGTCAGGCCAGCCACGGCCGGCCTACGTCTGCGAATTGCAGAAACAGAGGTGGTAGACGGAGAGCTAGATTTGGTGGCCAACCACGAATCTGGAGTCATCGAGTTCTCTCGATTGTCTACTCGGTCGTTCGTGCGCTTAAGAATCCCCTACACTGTGGAAGAAGCCTTCACGACGCTCTCTGCGCGGGCAGAGATCGGGTATGAAACGCCCCAAGGCCGATTTGCCTTTTCGACGGTGCATAGCGTTGTTTCCACGCTCCCCATCTCGGTCAATGTCCAAGATATCTTCAAGGATGAGATGCTATTCTCGCGTTTTACGATCAGTCCCGCTATGTTGATCCCTCTGCGGATCACAAACTGCAATCTTCCCAGCTCAGATGCCTATGACGTTCAATCTAGTATCAATGGCTCCGTCGCTTTGGACGTCTTCCCAAAGCAACCGGCGTCTCTCCTCTACAAGATCAGCCCTACTGGAAAGTCGGCCACGACTTCCCCGACCGGGAAGCGCAGTCTTCGCCTTCAGGTGGATTTTACCTGTGTAGATGATGAATGTCTAGACGCAGCTGAAAAGCAGCTCACGACTGCGCTGGAATCGAGTCCATTCACCCAATATGCTACACTACTTACATCGCACCTTGTGGGGAGTATTCGTGGCCAACTTTCTACCGCAGACATGGAGGTCATTGGCCTCGTGCGAGAAATCGAGATGCTCAGCTACCGCAGTGTGCGATGGGATGATTTGTTTGGAGCGCTAAAGGGACGCACCGAGGAAGTGCGCCAATGGCTCATGGCGTGGCACGAGGTAAGATGATTTGCTCCATCCGCCCCTTTATAATATACTAACCGGTTTTTGATACAACAGAATAACCCAATCATTCGTCTTCCCCGCAACCCTCCGTCCCTATCCGGAGTATCGTGATCCCCGTCGACATCCCCGAAATCCAAGTGGTTCACACGGCCGAGCTGCAGCTCCAGCCCAGCGCCGGTGCCGGTGCCCTAGAATCCGGGTCAACCCACGCTGCTGTGGGCCAGATGATTACTGCTGAGCTCTGCCTCCGCCACACGCGACGTTGGTGCACCCCAACGGCCCAGGAACTGGCTGGGCAGCCGCTCGAATGCTCGTACGAGCTTCACGCCAACCCCGACCTCTGGCTATTGGGTGGCCGGCGCCGGGGTAACTTCCTCACTCGTGATGGGGAGACGACCAAGTTCACGGTCTTGTTGCTGCCCCAAAAGCCGGGTCATCTGCTCTTGCCTGGTCTTGAGATTCGTACCTATGCGCCATCACAGTCACAGCCCCCGACCTCTCCTCCCGCCACAACGGACTCCGGGATGGGGGCAGGCTCCGGCGTTCCAGGCCAGCGACAGGCGATTGCCTGTGAGGTGGACTACCGTAACCATGGAGAGACAGTGCTGGTGCTGCCCGACCTCCGTAAGACGACGGTCAGCCTCAGTGCATCTGGCACGGGCGGAACATCGTGGCTAGTGGACTCAGAGCGACGTGCAGAGGTGCATTGATCTGTGATGCCATGTATTACCTGTTCATTCACAAGGTAGCAAGCTCGGTCGTGTATATAGATCTACGAATGATGAACTTGAATCTACCAATATACCTTATCTATCACTGGCACCATATAGTAACCAGTAAGATACCAGTAGAATTCGTATACTACTACTCAGTACTGTCTATGTAGCCCCCCCCCCCCCCCTGGAGCTGTCAAAATATCCATGGATATAGATAGAGATAGGAACCCCACATGCAAAGAAAAACCCTTCTCGGACCCCTTGCTCAAATACTTCCACGACTTCCCCAACTCGGCCGATGTATTTCATGGATGATACTTGGTACACAGTTTTGCAAAAAAAAAAGACGGGTGGGTGATTGGCGGGGGACCTCCTCAACAAAACTGGACCCGCCCGCCCAACAAGCGGGCCCCGCAGGTACTTAAAAGGTACCCACTCGGCCCGCCATCACCCAGTGACACTCGGGGTATCCCGAAGTACTCAGCAGACTGTGTTACGGAGGATACTCCGAGTACATCCAGGGTACAACTCACTATATACAAAACTTGGGACTAGATTCAAGTAATTTGAAAGTACTCATATACACCTATACTAGAGGTACCCATACATACCTGACTACGAAGAAGTAAAATTCTATCATGCCATCTCTCCCATCCATCCATCCCAACCACTGGCACTGGCGCATTCTCCCCCATCTGGCCAATGGCTATCACATGCCTTGCGCATGCCATCAACTCGCCACAGATCGCCTCGCTTGATCTCGTCCAATCCGCGTGAGGGTATAGCACGCCTGCGCGCCCACGAAAATGACCCGCCGAGGTCGATCGCGATCGGCCGCATGGCCGACCCGCATGTGAAGCTGGCCCGACGGGTACCAGGGAGGCTAACCAGGTCTATGAGTCCGAGTGTACGGAGCATAGAGTTGGTATGTTCCGTATATGGATGGCAGTTGTCCACTGCCCTCACCTGAAAAATAAGATGTACCTACTGTACTCGTAGAAAAATATCAAAATGCACCTATTGATGCCCTCTGATCATGTCATCTAATCAATCGTAAGATCCTAGTTAACTGGGAACAGTGAAGCGGTGACTGGATTCCCCGCAGAAAAATTGTTGAGCGCCCAATGTGGTTGAGTAGCGATAGGAGGGTGGCGCGACCCCAGGCTGAAGAACCACCAGTGGGTCTCTTGGTAACTTTGCCAATGTTTAAATGAGAATGGGATATGTGGTCCAACAGGTTCGGGGTTCTTGGGGGCAATCAAATCTGCTGAGACGGTGAGTGGCGGAGGTAGTCTGAATGTGACTGTGTATGGAGTGTGGTATCTTGTACGGAGTACTCGTACTGCACTGTAGAGAGGAGGTCGGAGGGTCGAGAGATCGGCGAGCTGAGGAGTTCATGCGTAAAGTTGAAAATTGCAAGTGGGTCTTTGTATGGTTAATTTGCAAAACTCAATTCTGCCTGGCAAACCCCTTTTCTAGCCCTTTTCAGCCCTTTTCAGGTACGGCTGACGGTGGCGCGTAATGCAAATTCACCAAATTCCATGGACCGCGGCCGCTTTGGTCCTTTTTTTTCTCTTTTCTGTCTTTTTTTTTCTTTTTTGCCCCCTCCAACCTTTTCCCTCTTGGGCCTTTCTTCTCTCAAGAGCTGATCGTCGTTTGTCTTCCGTTCTTTTTTTCTTCTTTTATTTTTTATTTTCTTTATTTCTCTCTCTTCTCGTCGGCAGTCCTTAACCTTCTCGTTCTGCTCGTTTCTTCCTTTCCCCACCGCTTCTCTCCTTTGCTGGGATCCCTCACTTGTGTAACCACAAGCAAAACTCAAAAAGCCACAGGATCTTGCGATTTCTTCTGGCCAATCTTTCTTGTGAGTCGCTTCGGATTCGCCGATACTTGAATTGATGCTGACCAGAGATTCCTTGCTCCAGAGACTGCATTGAGTCTTCCTGCTGAGACACATTGCTTTGCTATTTTCTGCTCCCCCTCCCTTCCCAATCCTCTTCCGGGGACCCTTTCAACATACAATTTGAACATTGAAGGTGGATAAGCTCGACTGCTTTCCCTAATCTATACCACCATGTCGTCCACTGCACTTCCCAAGCGCGTTGCGCTGAACCGCAACCCCGCCACCGAGAACTCCGTTCCCAGCTCGGTTTCCGCGTCGCCTTTTGATAGCCCGCGCCAGTCGCCCTCGTCGACCTCTCTGTCCTCTATGGGCTCCGATCAGGAGAAGACCAAGATGCTCGACACCTATGGCAACGAGTTCAAGATCCCCGACTTCACCATCAAGCAGATCCGCGATGCCATCCCTGCTCACTGCTTCCACCGCTCCGCCATCACCAGCTTGTACTATGTCTTCCGTGACATTGCCATCCTCGCCTCCGTTTTCTACCTCTTCAACCACTATGTCACCCCAGAGTATGTTCCCTCCATGCCGGCCCGCGTTGTCCTCTGGACTCTGTACACCGTCATTCAGGGTATGGTCGGTACCGGTGTCTGGGTTCTGGCCCACGAGTGCGGTCACCAGGCTTTCTCGCCCTCCAAGGTGCTGAACGACACTGTCGGTTGGATCTGCCACTCGGCTCTGCTGGTTCCCTACTTCTCCTGGAAGATCTCCCACGGCAAGCACCACAAGGCCACCGGTAACATTGCCCGCGACATGGTCTTCGTTCCCAAGACCCGTCAGCAGTATGCTACCCGCGTTGGCAAGACCATGCACGAGCTTGCCGAACTTGTCGAGGAGACCCCCATCGCCACTGCTACCCACATGATCCTCCAGCAGCTGTTCGGCTGGCCCCTGTACCTGGTCTCCAACGTCACCGGCCACAACAACCACGCTAAGCAGCCCGAGGGCCGTGGTGTCGGTAAGGCCAACGGCTGGTTCGGCGGTGTCAACCACTTCAACCCTGCCAGCCCTCTGTACGAGGCCAAGGACGCCAAGCTCATTGCCCTGAGCGACCTCGGTCTCATCATCACCAGCTCCGTTCTGTACTATATCGGCACCACCTATGGCTGGTTGAACCTTGCCGTCTGGTACGGTATCCCGTACCTGTGGGTGAACCACTGGCTCGGTAAGCATCACTCCTCCCTATACCTAAACCAAATCAATATCAGTATATCAGTTCAACAGACGCTAACTCACTTTTCAGTTGCCATCACCTTCCTGCAGCACACCGACCCCTCCCTTCCTCACTACCAGCCCGAGGTCTGGAACTTCGCCCGTGGTGCCGCCGCTACCATCGACCGTGACTTCGGCTTCGTCGGCCGCCACATCTTCCACGGTATCATCGAGACCCACGTGCTGCACCACTATGTCAGCAACATCCCCTTCTACAACGCCGACGAGGCCAGCGAGGCCATCAAGGATGTTATGGGCAACCACTACCGCACCGAGGCCCAGACCGGATGGACTGGCTTCATCAAGGCTATCTGGACCAGCGCCCGTGTCTGCCAGTGGGTTGAGCCCACCGAGGGTGCCACTGGTGAGAGCCAGGGTGTCCTGTTCTACCGCAACACCAACCGCATCGGTGTTCCTCCTTCCAAGGTTGCGGTCAACTAGACGAGTGAAAATTGGGGATAGAGAAACCGATTTCCTTTTTCTGCTTTAGGCTGTCCATTTTGTTTGTGATCATTTTGTGTACACATGTTGACTGACGCGCATACACACAATCGACGAGATCTCGTGAGAATATAGAAGCGAGTGTGATACAGATTTATCGGCTGTTGATCTAAGATAGATGCCTTAACTGCTCGTTCTAATCAGTGTTTCTTCTTTGTTGTCCACTTGTCGTTGTGATTTAATCTCGAGCGCATTTCATACCATGGTGTTTTCCCTTTTTAAAACACTTGGCTCTATATCTCTCTCGGTCCTGTTCCTGTCTTGGATAAGATAAAGGAGGAACAGGCCTAAAATTTCTCGGTTGTCATATTTTCTGGTGTTGGGCTGTTTTGTTTCGAGCGAAGATAGTTTGCTTTGTGAGTCTGTCGCTTCTGCAGACCTTGGTGATATGATGAGACCATGAGTGAATTCAGCACTTCTATGCAAATACCAGATATCCTTTGTAGGATGTAGGAAGTAGGAAGTAGGAAGTAGGAAGTAGGAAGTCGGCAAGAGAGAAAAGTGAAAAGAAGAGGGAGAGTTGAGGTGGCACAAAAACAAGAAAGACGTTGGACTCTTGCGGGGTAGTTCAAGTTCAACCTCTGCCCTGATTTCGTCGTACACCCTTAGGTATGCTAGGCTTAGTTACTAATAACTAAAGCCTAAGGTACTCGTACTCTTGAGGCACGGCCTTCCGCCGTCAGCCGGTTGGAGATCCCAGACCTGTCATTGGCAGCCTTGCAGATCCTCCTCTTCCTAGGCACAACGATTCTTCTTGTTGTCTGCCTTCGACACTCCGTGGCGGCCAATCGATCTAGTGTTTCTGCCAGGGTGGCAGCGTCCCAAAATTACAAGTTTTCTCTATAAAATCTTAGACACGGATACCTATAGTTATAGCCAGGAAGTACTTGGTTGGTACGAGTAGTGTATAGGCAGTAGGTAGCCAGTAGTACTACTCCGTATACTACTTGGTGTCCTACTCATTTATTTACTTAGCACTATCATATGGATCCTGAAACTAGCCCGAATTACTATCATGAAAACCATTCTCTGTTATTCTACTCCTGAATAGATCCTACGGGCAGATATTTGAGCCGCCTTCGGAACCCGAAGCCCTTTGGGACCGTCTCCCAATCTAAGAGTCGGGAGAACTTCAATCCCACCGAAAAAAATAAATGTATAAATGATTCTTCGCGTCAATTTTATTACTTTCCCAATCATTCCCACACTCAAAATTCCTCATCAACCCACCTACGATGGCGCGCAGACCTGCTCGATGCTACCGCTATTGCAAGAACAAGGTTAGTGCTCACTCTTCCGAGTCTATACGCAATAAAGAACCATCTTCTAATCGAGCGTTTTTCAGCCATATCCCAAATCACGTTTTAATCGTGGTGTTCCAGATGCTAAGATTCGTATCTTTGATCTGGGCCGAAAGAAAGCTTCTGTGGACGACTTCCCATGCGCCGTGCACTTGGTATCCAATGAATACGAACAGCTGAGCTCCGAAGCTCTGGAAGCTGCACGTATTTGTGCCAATAAGTAAGTGCGCCTAGTTCCCTATATGCTTTAATTCATAACATGACTAACTTATTTTCTTCTAGATACCTTGTCAAAGTTGCGGGCAAAGAGTCCTTCCACATGCGCGTCCGCGTTCACCCTTATCATGTAATCCGAATCAACAAAATGCTGAGTGTCGCTGGTGCAGATCGTCTACAAACTGGAATGCGAGGCGCATTCGGTAAACCAGCTGGCCTGGTGGCTCGTGTGAGTGTAGGTCAAATTCTTCTTTCTGTACGAACTATCGATCGCCATCGCGCGACTGCAGTGGAGGCACTACGTCGCTCGATGTACAAGTTTCCTGGTCGGCAAAAGGTGGTTGTTAGCAAGATGTGGGGGGTTCACTCCCTTGCCACGTGCTGAGTATTTACGTCTGAAGGAAGATGGCCTGGTGCGGAATGATGGTGCATATGTTCAGTTCAATAGGCGGAAGGGAGAGGTGGTAGAGAACATGAAGAACTTCCCACAGGCGTATACTAGGACCACTGTGGAGGCTTTATGAGCTATCGTTCCCGCAGCATATTGTTTTCCAATCCAGTTGCATATTTCATGAAAGACTTTGACTTGATCGGAATGATTTTATTTAATACAGGCTTATGTTATACAAATACTACACCATTCCTAAAGAGGGCATATGCCGGTTCAAAAAGCCCCCAAATTGTATTCAGCACCCGTTATTTTTAGCTTGACTCAATTTTTCGCCCTCCTGCTTTGTCGTCATCCTTCGTTCCAGAATGTCAGTCTCTCCCTTGAGAGATCATATACAGCTGGATTCAAATGAGATTCATGCCCAGATTCAAGCCCCCAATAGATCCCAGCGACCCAAGTTTCGAGCATCGTGTGACCCTTGTGCGGCATCCAAAGTACGCTGCACCAAAGAGCAGCATGGATGTTCGCGCTGTACCAAAAACGGTCTAAAATGTGTTTATGGTCGATCGCAGCGGAAGGGTAAACCCCCTTCCAACAAATTTGCCTCCACGCAACAACAACCTCCTCCGTCTCCTCCTCAGGTCCCAGCACCTTCGCCGTGGCCTACCAACCGAGAACCCGTTCATCACTACCCGAATCCCCACCTCAACACCAACTGCATCTGGTATAGATCGAATATGCTACCAAAGACCAGCTCCCAGAATCAAAAATCAGATAATGCTATGTCAACAGAAGGAGAAAGAAACACGCCAAGCAGCTTAAACTCACACCAGCCGCTGCCAGACCATAATGATACTCCACCGACGTCTATAAGCTCGGGGCGTATGTCATGGCCCAAACTGGTAGATGCGGACCCCTCGACTTATAGTGGTGATCTCGACCCTCTTCCGATGACCTTTGTTCCTGAAGATCCTATTCATTTTGACTATGATGACATGGATGATGCCAGTGATGACGAAGCAGACGACAATTATGAGAGAGAAGGGGAGCTAGGGCGAGAGAATGCCAATGAAGATCAGCATGAACCATGCATTACAGTAGCATGCCGGGTTCTTTCTTCACTGTACGAATTCGTGCGCTGCGACTGTGTGAATGGTCACGACAGCAACAGCGGCTCATCCACCCAGTGCAAAGATCTCGCCCTAGCAAAAGAAGATCCTAGAAGTGATATTGTGTTTTACGTTACTCAATCAGCCACAGAGGAGGTGTCCCGATTGTTGAATTGCACGGGTATTATCTGCGCCCAAGATTCGTCCGTTTTGCTGGTTCTAGGCGCGATTCTCTGCAAAATCCTCACTTGGTATCAAACACTGTACCAATCGGAGATTTCTCGCTTGTTATCAGATCAGGCACAAGACGCTCACCTTACTACTTCAATTGACCCTCATCATCATTCGAGTGGTGGGACAGATGGTCGGTCTAAGGGTCCACGACAGGTCGATAGAGGCGACTCAATGTATAGAGTCCCATTGAGCATTCCATTGAACACTGGAGGCCTAAATCTTTCCCGCGACATGGAAACGAAGATGAAGGCTCAGTTTTTGCTATGTCAACTACAAACTTTACACCGAGTATGTCAGAGTCTTAATCGACGGGCTCAGGCAGCTGAGGGTATGCAGGGAGAAAAGAGTTTATCTGCAGGATCCAGTGCACAGCTCTTGGAAAAGGTGGGTGAATTTCAACGTGTCTTGACAAAGATCTGTACGCAGACGCCGGAGTATAATAGTTAGACAACCTGATGGATCCCGAGATCAATTCCTGTACAGTTTTATGTATAATGGGAGACCTCTCTATCTCAGAACACTTAGTCTTTTCCAAACATTCAGCTCCTATGAGTTCATATCCCGACCAAACCCATGCACTAGTTAGTTCACTCCGATTTCCACGACTACAATCGACAACAGGGACTCGATCCAGCTACTGGACCACCCTCTCTGCCAACCAAAACACTCCCATTCTTCTCCTGCGTCGAAACAGCCACATCCAGCCCCGGATTTCCCGTGAAAAAGTTCACTGGCTTCAGACCGACAATCATCTTCTCCGACGGCATAACCGGCCAATCCTCGATGCGCGGATTATGCGTGGACCCAAAGGTATGCCAGACGACGATATCTTCATTCCGCACGTCTGAATTTCCTTTACTCCTACGCGCTTCGATCGCAGATGCAATCCCCTCACCACCGAGCGACTGCATCGTATATCGACCAGCAGAAAATAATTCGTCATCTTGGTACCGCGTCACCCACACCGCGTGTTGACCGAACTCGGACCGTCTGGCGTGATAGGAATCTTTCTGGGCGAGGAGAAGTTGGCTATAGCAAGGGAGTAATTTGAAGCCCACTGGTGTCCCTGTGATGGGATTTGTGTGATTCTCGTTGATTATCTTGAAGGTGCGGTTTCTCGTGTGGTCTAGGTCATGTCCGCCCTCTTCAGTGATGATCTTTGACTCGGTGGTGTATCCCACGCCGAGAGGGTTATGGATGGCCGGGTCATTAACAGGAAGAGCTTTGGATTCCTCGATCTGGAGGGAGTTGGCAGTTCCATCAATGGCAGGGTCAATTCGGAGAGAGAAGAGGTGTTGATGGTATGGTGCCAGAACTCCTGGTGCAACGACAGTGCCGTAGCTAACTTTGTCGCCGATGTTGATGGGTGATGTGGAGAGGATCCCTGTAGCACGCACTTCGTAGTGGATTGAGGCGTCCTGGCTGAAGTGGAAAGCGAATATGTATTCGTAATTGCTGACTGTGATAATAGTCTGTAGCACGAGGATCCGGGACCGAGTGACCGCTGCATTCTGCGTACGGTGGTTGGTATGTTTCCAGAGGATCCCATCGTCTTGTTCATGGCAGCAGATTACATTAGGGAGCTTGAGTGGCTCGCCAGCGGCGGTGTTGTGCCAGCCATCGAAGTATTTGATCAGGCCGAGACAGTCACAGCCCAGTTGCAAATTATTTGCATTGATCCCTGCACCATCGTTTCCTAGATCGAAGGCTGCTTTGCGCGGATAAGGGGATCTTGGATCGCCGTACGGCACGAACATCTCCGATAAAGAGAGTCGATAAAACAAACTTCGACCATCGTACCGAATATCGTGGAGAGTGAGTCCCTCGCGGTAGTTGAAGCCCACGCGCATAGTCCACTTCTCCCAGGAAAGACGGTTTCCATTGACTTGGAAAGATGGCCCTTCGGGCTGGATGACTTGGTAGGGCTTAGTGGTTGTGCGTGGGGGCGGTCGAAGACTGGGATGGTATTCACTCAATTCTGTCGAGTGAATCTTGCAGTTGTCATATGGTTTTGCGTCCTCTCTTGTTCGCTCTTCCTCCGATGATGGCAGGTGGTATATTTTGGTAACCTCTAGTTTCTCGGATACCTCTGCACAGAGCTCAAGTGGATAGGCATAGTAGTTTGCATCCGCGCTGTCTAGTAAACGCATATAGAACCAGCACTATCTATCGGTCAGACTGAGGTTGAATGAAAGCCGTTTCTCCGCGGTCATATACTTACCATTGTAGTCCGTTCGTTCATATCATTCATCCCATCAGTCGCATAAGCCCAAGCCTCAATCACAACTGTTGCACCCGGTGGTAGTTTGAGCTTCTGTATCTCTGCCTCGATTCTTGGATCCGCTCTACAGGCCTTCTCGACGGCTTGCATATAGGCAGAATCGATATACGAATGTTTCCCAATGAGGTGCTCTGTCCCAATCACGGAATGAGAGTCAATGTTGACGAGGATCTCTATCAGCTCATTTGATCCGGATGCTCCTCGAGAAATGACTTGCACTCGGGCAACTCGAGCTGGACGCGATGTTGAGACTTTATTGAGATGGTCTGCCTGCAGAAAGGAGACCATCTCGCTCTTGGGCGGTTCCTTCAGCGTGATGACCCGAAAATTCAAGCTCTTGCCTTGGAAGTCCTTTTTTGACAATTGCCGCAACCTGTCACATAAACCTATATCAGTAAAAATTATCACAGGGCCGATAGGACACTTACCTTTGCAATTTCTCCCGAGGTGAGGGGGTCGAATGGATGTGTTGAAACAGACATCGTGCCAGTGACAGTGATAGCAAGTGATATACTAAATATTCGATTCGATAATGTCCACTGTTTCCTGATCAACGAAAGGGTCCGTTCAAGTTGTTCGGAAGTAATGAGGAACTAAGGGGGCTATAAAAGGACTTAGTTTCGGTATGATCCAGTTCGGACGTCTGTAGAGATAAGAATGGGTCAGACAGTCTGAGCTCAATTTGCGCCTGGGAGTTCTTTTAAATTCGTTTCGAAAATATCAAAATCAAGGCCCTCGATTTCCAAATACGAACGCCAGATGCGCGATATTCGCTAAGGTATAAGAATAGCCGGATCCTGCCGTTTGGTTCCCCGCCCTGATGCGGCATCTCCGCTAAGGTAAAGATTAGCCGGTGCGGGGTGGAGATGGTGATTATCTTCGACTCAAAAGGTTAGGCGGTCCTAGCCGTCACTGATAGTTTTCATGGATTATCTCAGCGATTCAAAAGCACTGGTTTATCTATCATCGTTTGATTAGGTCAGTGTCGTGCAATTCATTGCTTAATGTACGTTCATCCATGATTTGTATTCTCCATTTATAGCATCAGTGCTTTACTTAGTCTCGGGCATCCTCGATGGATACTAGTAGGTAAAAACATTATTCATTTGGAAGATTTTCATTGTTGCTTTTACAATCGAAGAATTTCCTCTGGCAATTTAGGTTCGGGGAAAGATATCTGTTCCCGTCCAATTCGAAATAACCCTCCACATAGTATCCACTTCACAATACCATCTCTCATTATTTTGCATAGTCTGTGGACCTTGCAATGGGACCCCAGCTATCGAGTAATTCCAAAGTGTTTTGACATTTGCTTCTGATAGTCACCTCGCAATCGCTGCCTAGGACGACTCGGGGTGGCAGCTGTCTACCCTTTGCAGATCCCGACGCCGTCAAAATGTCGACAGTTGTGTCCGCACCCTTTTTCACATCACCAGGTTGGTTACCATTGACTGCTAACAAGGCATTTCGTGTCTGACCAGAAGGCGTTTTCTCGTCTTCATACGCAGGGATTCGTGCTTCCGCCGAGACCTTTGCCCCGGGCTTTAAGAATCCCGTCCGAAAGTACCCCGGCTCGATGACAGTAGCCGCGATCTCAAACGGCTCCAACTCGATACGAAGTGATTCCGCTAGGGATGACATGCATGCTTTGGTCATGCCGTAGAATGCAAAGCTCGCTCCGCCTCTCCAGGATCCCAGGCTTCCAAATGTAGCGATGGTCGCACGGGGGTGACCAGATCCTGGCAAAGCTTGTTCCCTTATCAGTGGAAGGAAAGCACGAATCGTGTTTGTTGTGCCGAAAACATTGACATTGAATTGCTGTTGAGCTTCATCGGGCGTGACCTCTTCGACTGCGCCTTCGAGAATGTAGCCTGCGGCATTGATCAAGTAATCAATTCGGCCGTATTTGGCCACGGCATGATGTGCGACCTTTTCAATCTCGGGGTAGGAGCTCGTCACGTCGAAAGCAATCGTGTATGCGCCTTTCTTCTCGAGGTCTTGAAGTTTCGCTGGATCGCGCGCGGTCGCGATTACATGGTGCCCTCTTTCAAGAGCAGCTCGTGCGATTTCGAAGCCAAAGCCCGAGCTGGCAGCGGTGATAAACCAAACGGGAGTTGGGGGTTCGGTTGACATGGTCGTGCCCAGGTGATAGTGAGTTCCAAAGGATGGTTGTGTTGGTCTGTTTTCCAGGACAGGTCGGTTTATATATGCAGTCGTGATCCACCTGGAACGTCGACTTAATTTTCGGAGATAAGATACTTTATGTCATCATTCACCTTGGTAGCTGCAATTGCATTGCTGAAATGGGGCAAGATGGCGGAGGCGGCATCGGCTGGGCGTTGTGAGTGGTCCGGGTCAGCCCAACTAAATCCATTGCTTAACACCGAGTTCTCTCTACAAAATACGGGAGCCGTTGAGCCTCCAGGGAATGACCGGTAGATCCAAATGTTAGAGCATTTGAAGCCTCAACTAGCCTTCTTCTTTGATTCAGCGGCACCGCCACCTCTGATACAATTCCGTTGGAGCTGGTTGACACTAGTCGACCAACAATGGAAGTCTACCTTTTCTGCTCGTTATGTACCGACAATCATTATATTCTGGCAGATATCGTGAATAATTGGGTCACCAGTTCAAGCTGAAAAGTACACAAGCTGAGCCCCATATTATCCTAGTCGTCTCTTAACTTGAAACCGAGAACTAGATTTCGAGGGCTTACACCATGCATATCACGCTTCTAACTAGACCCATGTTATAAATGCATTCGTCTCTTTCAAAGATTCACTCTCTGGTTGAAATTATTTTGATTCAACATCTGCAGCTAGTACCTATAGCTGGAGGCTGGTTTTGGCCCCCATAGTAGCTGAAACGTACCTTTGCTATAGCGTCTGTTAATCCATGTCCAGGCGCTCAGCTAATGCATTAATGGACGCGATGCACCTTCCTAATCCACAGGAGTCGTCCGAAGATCTACGAACCCATGATCTTGCGCTCCATATCATACTCCGTACGGAGTCTCCGGTCCAATCGCCTGCCGTCAAGATGTGGCTATACCCGGCTTAGTTCGACAATCCTGGTCCCAACCTGCAGAAATGATTGAGCTGGTAATTTTGGAGCTGAATTGCGACTGAATACGGAGTAGCTTGTTCTCCACGCTAATACCCCCAAGCAAAAGAGGGGGTGCTCCTATTTACCCAGGGGGTCAGTGGTTTAAATACGCCTAAGAATCTCTAGAAATCCAAACATCTCTATCCTCGCTCCTTGCCCTTCATTACGACAAATATCTTTCTTTTCTTGGATAAACCCTCCTAAGTTTAAGATATGGACTCCTCCGTGGCCATATTTTGCTCATTTGCAGAAATGATGAACAGGAAACGACTCTGCGCTTGTCTCGCAACGAGCAAAAAGAGCAATAGCCTGTGCAACAATGTGCTCAGTCGAAAAAACCAAGATCTTGTGGAATCATACCTCGCCAAAATTTCTAGCAGTGCCGTTCCTGTGTCCGAGTCTTTTGGATCACTCGCGCAGGTTGCCTTCTGCTATACGCACGTCAAGAATGCTGCCCACGCTGGCAAACAGTGGTATGAAGAATGGAAGTCTAAGGGCGATGCCGCTGAACAAGAAAATGAGTCTTCCACTGAATGGCAACCTCATTCACTTCCAGCCAGTACTAGTCCCAGTGAGGCTAGCTTCTATGAATTGGACGAAGATAGTACCCTCATTTCGAGTCCCTCATCGCCGATGAGGTATAGCCATATGGCGCCAGGCATGTCCGAGGAAGATAGGGCAAAGCGTGTCACCAGGGTCTTGGAACAAATAGCCAAGGAAAAAGATATGAGGAAAGGGATTGTTTATGTTCTCCGAGTCTCCGAGTCTTTTGGTGAATCACCAGGATTGTTCAAGGTTGGATACACAGAGGATGGAATCGATGCGCGCATAGATTTTCACGAGAAATGCCACGGAAAAATTACTTTGCTCGACTCTAAGCCGACAAAATGGGGTTGTCGGATAGAGAAACTGGTTCATGCAGATCTCTACAGGTTCCATCACAAGCAGAGCAAGGAGTGTCTTGAATGTCGGGTTCACCACCGGGAGCTGTTTAGGGTCAAGGAAGAGGAAATCTGGAAAAGTCTGCACAAGTGGACCAGGTTTTTCCTTAATTATCCCAATCCCTACAACAAGGATGGGACTCTAAATGAGCGAGTGGAATTGCCCTATCCCGCTTTCAGACGCGAATCTTCGGGCTCAACTCCTACAAAGAAAGGTCCAAAGAAAAGTCATATGTCCACTATGTCTAGTAAGAAACATTCTACTAAAGACGAGGACGATGGTGAAGTATTCAGTCAAAAAACGAGTGTTTCCCGGCTCGATTTTCTGGGTTCTCGATTAAGTCGGCTGAATATTGAAGGTTAGCCATTGTTTCTCGACCTCCAATACTATCCAATGGAAGCTCTGAATCATGAAGTGGCAAGCTATCAAAGAGGGAGCTATCTAGGAAGATGGTCTGTATGCCTGAGATATCTAAACCTCAACAAGATTTGTCTAGGTTACTAGACGACTAATTAGATAACCGGCCACCCATTACAAGCATGAACAGATACTATTTAAGTCTGTGATCTATAGTCTGACGCCTCCAGATATCGAGAGTTACATAAGCTTTCTTATTGTTTAGCTGAAATGTGACTACCTTAGGACTCCGGCAGCATAATAGTAGAGAGTACCTAGGTAAACGTAACTCGTAGTATTTTCAAATCAGTCAAGTTCTCTCTAAATCATATCTTTGAAACATTGCTATGGTATATGCAAAAATAGCCACAGGCAAAAGTAGGGCATTATTTTAAATTCTTCACTTGAGCTCACTCGTCGGAGCCCACAGATCGCAGCCCACCTTTCCATATTTCAACGTCTATCTCGTAATATTTTTTGGAATGCGTTCTTGTCCCCTTTCCATTCACAGAATCCTTTCGGCTGGCAGCCCACGGGGCAAAAACAAGCTTCATGGTTCGCCGGGTGATGTATTCTGGTGGTTGCGGCGCGGGCATATGCAGAGAGCTTTCTTTTTCGGGAATGCCTTCTGGTTTGCCATATTTGGCGGTCTTGGGTGTAGAGCCTGTGTCTATTTTGCCAGTTTCATCATCCAGGGAGCCGTTCCGCTTTGAATCCTGAAGCTTGCTCGCTGCACTATGAAATTGAGATCCTGTCTGTTCTTGCGGTGTTGACAAAGGCTGTGCACTATTCCATGGGGTCACAACCGAATGCGTTTCTTTTTTCAATGCAATTCGGCATGCAATTTGCGTGGACCAGAAGAACCCAAGGGCCGGAGTTTTGGGTGATGGGTCAGAGTAGAAACCGTCGCCCCAGCCAGTAAAAAACTTCTCTTGGTGTACCAAACTAAGGATATCGTTGCGAGCAGGATTCTCGATGAGATACGATCCGTCAAATCGTTCGTCGTCTGGAGCATGATAAGGAGAAGATGATATTGGAGAGGATGAAGGGATCTGGGTAGACGAAAATTGCTGGTCGGGGGCATTCATCCTATTTCGAGGCAATGGGGATGCTGCGCCCGTTTCACGCGCCGATATAGCAGGGCTCTGGCTTAAGATGGACGGAAATCCTGGACGGGGTGTAAAGCCCCCATTTACTGGCTCAGGCTCAAACCGATCTGAGACCTGATTTGCCAGCACGATAGCAATTCCTTCTTTCGCAGCGAGGTTGCGCAGCATATAACCCAGTTTTGCGAGTTCTGTGGATCGCGCGGAGAGAGCGATGATGTTGTTTGAGTTGTGTTCAGCGCGGTAGTTGGACGTAATGGAGTCGATGACTACCAGACCGACGTTATATCGTGCGATAGCGACTGGCAGTTGGTAATTGAGAATATGGTCCTGGGTCTCTAAGTCCATGGCATTGATTGACAGGATGTTTTCTAGGGACGGCCTCTGGTCGGGAGGGAGGCTTGAGAGGTATGGCTGGCATTCAAGCAGCTGGGATATACGGCTGGTCGCCAACGGGTGTTCTGTCGATATGTAAATAGCCCGTTTATCCAGGCCCCTTGGTTTGGCTAATTGGGTGGCGAGTAGGAGGCTGAATAGGAATTGTGTCTTGCCGCTTCCACTGCAATGAAGCTACCAGTTAAAGCAAGTCCACACAAAGCATTCGTCTGAACCCCGCCACGTACCTCTCCCCTGTCACCTCAGTGACATACCCTGTCGGGATGCCTCCTCCCAGCAGCGCATCCAATGCGGGGTCCAAAGTCGTAATGGTGTCCCATCTCGACGCGTCGAGCTTTGTCGTAGGGCCTAAGTCAAGATTGCCTCCCTCTGGTATAATGCTCGAGCTTGGTTCTTCTCTTCCTATTGTTGATTGATTTGTTTGTGTCCTCTCGAGGCCAAGATCGCCGTGCAGGGCTTGGACGATTTGTGCGGAGAGCCGGCGGACATCTGCGGGGGGGGGACATGGGCGCGTTTCGCGATCTCGAGGGTGTCGAGGGTGATGAGGTCAACGGTCGTGATCTTGCCTCTCTCGAGCGGAGGTATAATGTGCGCGTACGATCGTGTCGCGAAGTTTGGGAGGACCGATAATAGATCCATAAGAAGGAAGACGTCGCAAGGTGCAAGCAGCCGCCATCGCGGTTCTTCACGTTGGGCCACGGCCAATCACACGCGCTCAACTACATGTCAGCGACACTTCACTGTTCACACCAAGACCAGTAAGTGAGATCGGTTTTCGGATTATATTTAGAATATTAAAACATTAGATGAACAGGAAAATTTCTATCACTTCAAATATTAGGATTACAATACTAGTACCCTTCAACCTTGGAAGTTCAAGTTGGAAGTTCGAAAGATCACGATAGCTACTCGTATCTAGTAACTATAGTACTACAAAAATATATACAAGTTTGGTCAACATTATCAACTTTCAAGTTGGAAGGCAAAACGAATAAGAATTCAATTTCGAAATCCATAGATAGAAACAGCTAGTATAGATTATTAGAAACTAAAACATAATGCGTTGATTACTACTATTCTTTGGGCTATGTAGGTCAAGAAATAGAGTCTATTGTATCCCGATCTCTATTCTTCCCTCAAGTGCAGTCTTCCACTGGAAATCTAAATATCAATTCAAATCTGAAACTTCAAAACCTGCACAATTGATCTTAGCCTACTGGATGTATGTAACGGTCACTTCGCAACTATACTACCACGACTACAAGACCTATCGACTAACTAGTACGGCATAAACTCAAATCAAGACTACTGTTTGACCACCCCCATCTCAACGTCTCATCCACACGCGAAACACGCGAACGACAGGTAAAACCCGACCCATCATTTCCCCTCTTCCCCGCCAGAGACTGCGTTTCAAAAATGAAAAAAAAAAAACACACAACGGCAAACCTCCGAGACTGACAGACCCCTTGGTCTCATTCCCTCTTGAAGATGCCATGGGTGGACCACTTCAACTTGCCAACCTACGGACCAAGCGTTAACAACCAACTCCAAAACCCACGCTGACGAATCAACCCACTGACATGCGTCAAGCGGAACCATGACTTCATGACCGTTGGCCGTGGTCTAGACAGAATTAAGAATTCTTGGGGGCTGGCTGACTCTGTTCTTCTTGCCAGTTCTTCCCCATTTTCAGGAGAGAACGGAGTCCATATGGAGTCAGGAGTCAACCTCCTCCTCCCCCCCTTCTTCTCCCAAAAGGTCTCAAAGGTGGTTCAATGTCGATCGACTATGCCACAAATTCACTCCACAATCATATAAAGTGTCTCATCGCAAATTTCAACTGGCGGCCGGCATGACCCGGTCGACCCCGCTCCATACCAGCGGGACAGGTAGAACGGTGCTTGGCCTTGCGTGAGGAAAACCGATAGCGTATTATCTTTGGCCAGCAAAGTGTGAGTGAGAATGGGGGCTTGTTCAGCCTTGCTGTGGGTACTGAGGGCTTGAGGGGAGGGGGGGCTGCTTGAAGAGCGGCAGCCACTAAATCCTCCGGTCGCTACCTAGGTATGTACGAGTACTAATCGTTACGTGGAGGATTACTCCGTACTCCGTAGTGGCTTACGGTGGGTTCGATTTGATATTTAGCGTTCCTTCAGCTGGACTGTGAACTGTGCGAGTACTCCGTGCTCCACAGGTATATTCCAGTTCTACATTCCAAGTTTGCCATTCATGTGGATTTTTGGAGGCGGTTAGTGTATGTTACGTTTTTCGACTGCGCTTGGCAAGATGCGCTCTGAATCCACTGCACAGGCTATGTGCATGTATGAAGGGTGTTTACAGAACTGTTTTGGAAATTGCCTAGAGGCCATCTCGGCCGGTCTGGCATAAAGTGGGGTGGGGATTTTGATGGGGGGCCCGTTGGAGCTTTGCACGAGCACTGAGATCAGGACGAGTACGGAGTATGTACATGGGTTCTCCCCCCTTAAAGTTTTTGAGAATGACAGGGTCGATCGTGGTGGTGGTGACATGCGGATCAGACGATCATGGTCTGTTTCACACCGTCAACGATGATCGGCGTGGCTGGCGTTGCAGGTGGATATGTACGAGTAATCCTTTTTGGATACAGAAGAGTGCAGGATTCCTTAGGCTACTTCGGGGAAGTCGGGGGACTCGGGGTTTATTAGTGTGTTAAATGGAGCCCGGTTTCGCGTTTGGCCCTTGTACACCCTCTGTACTCTGTACTGTACGCAATAATTACACCTGTACCTGTCCGATTGAGGAAGTCTCAGGACCTGTTTGTCTCGACATAATGCATCTACCTACTTCGTACGGAGTAGGCACACCGGCGTTTCTGGAGTGGTTCACACGATGATTTTCCACGTGGTCGTGGATGTGACTAGCGGTCTACAAGACAGGCTTTAGCTTCTTTTGGTCAAAAGGGCCCGGCTGCTTCGGCATCTTGCGAGGTGCACTTAACAAGGTAGAACTGATCTACGGAGTAGGGGGAGGAATGCTAGTCGTTGATAGCGGATGGTCGAGAACATGATATCACTGATCGTCGTAAAGCCAGGCCACATCTACCAGGATATACGAGTAGGCTACTACAGATGAAGGCACATGACCAACACAATCTGCTGGTTTATGGCCTTGGCGAATGAGGCGATTCAAGAAAGACAGGGGGGCTTTCGGCCGCAACGCGGCTTTTGCAAATGTGCGGAACAGAAACCGAAGCCACAAGGGGCACGGGGTACTTTGGTTTAGGGTGAACTACTTCATATCCTATGAGAAACATGGTGTGGCCAAAAGTACCCTTCGGGATGCCTGGGTACCTACTTTTGCGTCGACCCCGACAAGGGCGAGTTAGCGGGGGAGACGGCAGAGGCAGGGCACTGCCACGGTGAGCATCTACTCTAAACAACCGAGAGAGACCAAGAGTGGCCTACGGAGTAGAGCAACCTAATTTATCCTTGGAACGGACCTTGCCCGACTCCACGACCCTCGAAATGAATTCTTTTAGAATTGATGATCTGGTTCTTGGGGAGGGTGTTACGCGGTTGGCGATCTTCGGTGGGGAACCGAGTCGAATCTACTCTGTAGTCCTCTTGCTGAATGCAGAGCGCAGAGCACAGAAGGGGAGAGGGCTGGAACCTAGCCGTTGACACGGCTTGATTTTCTCCAAGCGCCCATAAGCGAGCATCCTTGTCGATCCATTAGGAACTAAAGATTTAAACAAATAGCATCTCTAGGCAAGAAATAAAGAAAAGGAGAATAGTCCCGGACGAGGGAGAGAGAGAGGCAGGGGAAAAAAGACGCATACTATAAACACGCAGCATCGCGATCCAACGAATGTTCTGCGGGTCCGCACACAGACGTTTTATGGTTATTGCGTGTTGAACCTTGAGACCCTGGAGCATACGAGCCTCTGGTCTGAGGGCGTCAGGCCATCATTGACTTTGAGAAAGGGTTTCTGCCCAACGAAGTCTGTACAGAGATGGGCGCACTCTTTTTCTTGGCTGGATAACGTCGATCTCGCTTCAGGATTCGCGTGTACTATTTATGTACTTCATACGGAGTACATACTATGTATCTGCTATCGACTTCCGGGTCTGGCTGTGCATCTACCTGAGTAAGGCCCTCGAGTCAGACCTGGGGCTGGTGACGGTTGACCGCATGGCTGCTAAGATGATGGAGATCGTTCGAGAGTGCCGCTTGAATCAGGACTCTCTAGATCGATCTTTCCGATGGAGACGACCCGAAGACCTACTTTGATATGGCCCGACTTCCCCGGTGGCTACGATTGGTTTTACTCCGTATCGCACGGGAAGAAACCATCGGAATACCGCTGTGTAAGATCAAAATGTACTCTCGTGCTCGTAGTATCCCGTAAGAACATGGCCATACGGAGTACTGTACTACATACTTCCGCATAAATGGAGCAACGATGTTATGTACATATACTCTGTACTCCGTACGGTACTTTGGATACAGCAGTACGATACGCCGGGTGGAGAATTGTGGACGGGAAAGATAAAAAACCTGACGAAGCGAATTGCGCGCAGGAAACAAGCAAAAGCAAAAAGCGGCAGACCAAAAAAAAAGAGAATCCAAAGACCGAAAACCCAGACCGTTAATGTGCGTCAAGGTCGACCCTGCAGTGTTGGCCCCGACCTTTACCTGTTAAAGCGATCACACCGAAATTGATGTACCGGCTCTGGAGAAAATGCGCGCAGCCCTCGGGTCGGGATGGGGCGGTGGCTTTTATTCGGCGCGGACCGCGTGGGGGATCGTTACAGATACAAACATAGAGAACAGGCTGCAGAAAATGGCGAACTTTCAACAACTTTCCTGTGTCCGTATCCAACACCGTATGTACTCTCGGCGTGCTTGGGCTCGGGCTACAAATGTGGAGAGTACAGCGCAACACAAAGGGCGTTGATTCTTGGAGCGGCTTGGAGTTGGAGAGAGTCAAGTGATAGCTCATCAATCTTTCACGCGTCCAGCATGTGTACCGGGGGGGGAGGGGGAGGCGATGGGCAAATCAGGGTGGGTGATAAAGCGGAGTCACCCGATTCAACCAATAATCAAGAGGTGTTCGGGCACAGGGTGATCGCGGATTTCGAACGATCAGAATTTATCGCATGAGAAGGGGACAAAGGGACCCGCCCCAGCGAGGGGATTGGTCGGGGGAACGGGCAGCGCGAACCGAGTCCTGCCGAACATTGAATGGTTGGATGGTGGGATAGGTGGATGGGTCCAGCTGCATGATTGGGAGAGGATCGCTGGCCCTCTTTCGCTTTCGCTCTCTCCTTTGCGACCCTCTTTTCTGTTTGACAGGCCTAACGGCCGCCATTCCCATGGTTACAGGACAAGCTTCGCGGTACGCCATGGGCGACTTTAATTCAGGACGGGGCATCCACGGATCGGAACTACTAGAAAGGGTGACCACGACCATGACTATGACCATGGCCTTGACCTTGAATCTCCAGATTTGGGGCCAAAACCAACTCTTCCCCCTCATTGACTTGTAAATTGTTGGACTAATCCATGCCGAATACGAAATACAAAGGTATTGGCCCTAATGCCGTGGTGAGCTGCACCCGACGTCAGCGGCCCCTCCTTGTCTTGCCGGTTGTCCGCGT